CTTTTTATATAGATTAAAGAGATCTTTATCTCTTCTAGGAGAAAGAATAAAGCTTTATTAATATAAAGAGATACTATAAGTAGATTATACCTATAATTAATAGTTATCTATATCTTATCTATTAATAGGATCTAAATATATAACTTTATCTTATATATGATAATACTCCTAGATATACTAGTAAAGAAACTCTTTAAGAGCTTTATAAGTATAGGATCCACCCTATCTTCTAGCCTGCCTACTCCCCTAATCTAAATCTAATAGAGATGGTATAGAATTAGATAAAGGACTAGATTCAAGATAGATATCTAGATAATAATTAGCTATCTTATGATATTCTATAAGGTGTTATACAGGCAGTATAGGATACTATTCCAGATGAATTTCTTAAGGATCTTATTTAATCTATACAGGCTAGATGCAAGGCAGTCAAAAAAATACTAAGATAATTAAAAATATTCAAAGGAATATTTACCTTAGGTAGGGGAGGGTATATTAGTAGAATAATATAAATAAAGTAAGAAAACTTAATATATTAGAAAAAAATTAGTATAGGTTAGCTATTTTATATAACTTTAAAGAATATCCTCTTCTAGTAGAAATACAAAAATTTAATTATATTAATTAATAAGAATAATATAGTATACTAAATAAAGAAACAAAGAAATTAGAAAATTAAAGAGATATTAAAAGAATTAATTTTAAAGAATTATTTATAGTAGTAATATTATTATGTTAAAAAATTATAAATAATATAATTATAATTAAGAGTAATAAATAATTAGAGAATTATATAAAATTCCTAAGAAGAATAGAAAGAGATTAAATTTATGAAAACTAATTCTATAAGAATACATTTATTAATTATATAAATAAATTTATCTAAAGTACATTAAAAATAATAATTATTATAAAGATTCTAAACTATTAAAAATAAGATCTTAATTACCTTCTATACCTTATATAGCCTCTTAGTCCTAAAAATTAGTCTTTTTATTATATATAATAAGCTTAATAAGAGGATAGAGAATATTAAGATAAGTCTTAATATACTTATTAAATAAAATAAGATTAGACTAAAACTACGTAAGAATCTTAATATTAAATTATTATATCTAATTTACTAACTATAGGATAAGTATATTATTAAAATAATAATAATATTATTATAAAAAGAGAGTTATTAATAACTAATAACTAATAAATAACTTTAATAATATTTAATATAAAATATATACTATATTTAAGGTCTTAAGAGCCTTAGATAGTAAAGAAGAGCTAATAAATATTATATAATTAAATTTAAATTAAATATGAATCTTTAAAGAGGATAGAATAATAATAATTATATTAGAAGAATTTCTTAAACTTAATTTTTAAATAATAATTTTAATAGAGAATACTTTACTATTATTAATATTAAAGCTTAAAATATAATTATAAATAATATAATTAAAGATTATAAGATAGTAAGATAAAGATAAAGAGAGATTAATAATCTTATATTTAAAAAAAGAAAAATTAATATTATTTTCTTAAAATATATTTAAAATATCTTTAACTTTCTTTTTAAACCTTAATTTAAAAAATTTTAGATTTTTTAAAACTTAGCTTAAGTTCTCTTTAAAAAAATAACCCCTATAATTTAGTTAAGATTTTTAAAATAAATTTAAGCGTATCTCAATAAATTATAAAATTATTAAATAATTATTAGCTATAAAGTCTATTTAATAAAAAGAAGATTTACTTATTATAATTATTTAACTATATCTATAGTTATTACTAATAAAAGAAATAATTATTACTATAACTAAATTATAAATAACCCATATAAAAATCTTAATAAAAGGCCTAACTCTTAAAACCTAGAATAATTATATAATTTTAAAAAGTATTTTAATCTTTCAAATAAGCTATATAATATTTAGTACTAGATATTAGCTTTCTATAAATCTAAATTAGTAAAGCTAAGTACTAAATAATTATTTTAATATTTTATTTAATAATAAAGCCTTTCTTATTCTTAGACTAATTAATACTCTATATTAGATTTATTTATTTAATAATTATTATATTTAGTTATATTAATTTATTTTAAGACATAACTATATTACTTAATATTTAAACAAAATGAAAAAGAGATAATTTATATTATCTAGCCTTCTCTAATATATTCTTTTAGTAAGGAATAACTAATAAAGATATCATAAAGAATACGAATTAATAATAATATATTCTTAATTAAAGAATAAGGATAATAATAAGTTCTTAATAATAAAGTAAAGATAATATAAAGAGAGATTAATAATATTAAAAATAATATAAAAGAGTAAAGAGATACTAATATAAATACAGAAAGAAAGAAGTATAAAGAGGTTAATAAAAATTAAAATATAGAACTTATAATTATTTATTATAAATAAAGATTATATATTAAAATCTCCTATAATAAAATAGGTTCTTTATTTATAAATATTAAAACTTATTTACTAATCTCTCTGGTAATAACTATCTTAATCTTTATTTAATAAATCTATATAAAAAGATACATAACTTTAGGTTAATGGTATAGATTTATCTAAAATAAAAAACTATAAGATTATTCTATAGTACCCTATAGCCTATATAGGCTAAATTTATTATGTTTAGTCATGTAGGTAATACTCTAATTATATAATGGAGGATATGATTCTAATAGTAATTTAAATCTAAATAATTACTAAATTAAAACTAAAAGATTCTTCTAGGTAAGGGGGAATAGTATTTAACTAATCTAAACCTAAATTATGTATTCCTACCTATATATAAAATATTTTCTATATGTAGATTAATATATTATCTTTCTACCCCTCAATAAAATAGATAAATAGTATTGAATACTATAAGTAGTAGTAAGGAACTAAAGGGGAAGATAGCCAGGCAGGTAAACCACCCTAACATTAATCACTAACTTTGATTACTACTCTACCATGGTTTATTATAATATATTAGCCTTCTTAGATAGTAAAGAAGAATATCTATAAGATATCTAATAACTAAATTTGACCTTTTATGTCTCTTCTATCTTACCCATACCGCTTATCTCACTTACTAAATATATTCTTTTTTTTATCTCTCTTATCTTACTTATATAGCTTATCCTGCTTGCTAGATTTAATCTTTATTGAGAAAGGTAACTATATGTAGAGTGGCATTATGTTCAAAACTCAGTTAAATACTAACCTTTAATATTTAGTATTTAGTAATCTAAATCTAGATATTTAATTATTTTCTAGTTAAAAAATATAGGAATAGATTTATATACTAATATATTATGTATTAAATCTATAGACTACCTAGAGTATATATTATAGGTATAAAATTATTAATTTTAGGAGCTTTTTTCTTAGTACTTTTTAACTATCTAATAATATAAAGTAAGCTAATTTTATTAGGAAACTTAGGGCTATATATACTTTATCATAAGCCCTAATTATAGCTTCTATTAATATAGTATGTCTACATATATATCTCTGTCCATGGGCCTATAATACTTTAACTTAGATATGTATTTTTTAATTATTATAATAAAGTACCTTTAACTTACCCTCCTAATATGCTACTCTAACTATATGCTGGGAGTTAGGCTACCTATATAGTATAATAAAAGATTAATTACCTAGCATACTTATAGCCTAAGGCCTATATTAATCCCTAAAAACTATACCTATATAGTATTTTATTTAATATTAATAAATTAATTTATTAATAAAGTATATATACTCTTCATATAATAAAGCTATAGTATATATATTTACCCCTAAAATAGTTAAAGGTTAATTGAAATAATGTATAGATATATTTTTAGTGGTTTATAAATACACTAAGTTATAGATTATAGGCAAACTAAATAATTAATCATTAAGTATGTATAAAGGGGGCCTAGCACCTAGTATATAGTTATCTTTCTTAATGAGAATTAAATATAGTGAGTAAGATAAGCCATGCAGGCTGAACCTACCCTTAGTTAAGTGGTAGCTCTATAAACTAAATAATTAGAGAATTAGGCTTATTAAATTAGGAAAAAGAAATTATACTACTAGAGAAACTAGATGCATACTAAGATAAAGATATTGTTAGTATACTTTATAGTTATAATACTAATACTAATTAAGGTTATAAACCTTATTTATTATATTATGTTTATAAGCTATCTAGAAATTAAGGCCCTACTAATATATATTTCTTGTATTTATCAGGCTTAATATCTAATATTATAACTAAAAATTGAGGCGCTCCTAATTTCTTATTATTTAATTATCTAAATTTATTTTATTACTAAAATTAGATAAGTCTACTAGATTTATGGCTAATATAATAGGCCCTACTATGTAGGGAAGGTAGATATATTCTGCTTTATATGACTGCAAAATACCCCTAATTATCAAACAGGTATAGGCACTAATTAAATTACTATCTACTCCACTCTCTATACTTTAGGCCCATACAGAGTATGCTCCCCAAGACCACAATACCATCGCATTCAGACTACGTACAAGGATATTGACATTGACATATAGCACTCAATACACTGGATGTATCTGAAGTCCCGGCGATCTCCAGTCCAATACAGAATAGACACAACTTTTCTCACTATCTAAATAATCCTCTATTAATTGTTTCCATAGATAACATTGCTTTCGACTGATGTATTGTTTTCGTTGTCCTTGGCACAATAAAGGCTCCCATACGCCCTAGGTAATGAACCAACGTATCTAGGTAATGCCGTAAATATCGACTAATGCCTACCGAAAGCCATCATAACCAGTTCTGTCAGAGAAATATACTGGGCATGACGACCATCAAAAGATCAGTATGCCTTTATGGAGACGAGGGATATGTTGATAGAGGAGAAAATGACTGAAAGGAGACTGCAAGGGAGGCTGGAACCATGGGGCACATACAGGGACCGACAGATGATCAAAGAGATATTGCATCCCAAGCTCTGGATGTGAGCGAGCTCAAGCACCGCCAAAAACATCATAAAAATAATCATCATCAAGTCCATCGCGGGAGGGAACAATTGGAATTTCTCCAGCAAACGCCACATCCTCAAAGCGAACGTTCAGAAGACGAATTTTGAGCCCGTAATCGCTTACCAGATCAACCAGTTTGCTAGACTCTGCTGTAATTGATTGCTGATTGAGAAGCATAAGTAAGCCGTCTAACCATTCCGATGCGGTGGTCGATAATTGAGGACTGAGTGTCAACAAGATACCCTCGTTCCCAGTCGGCTTGCTGATGGAACGAGCGTGGCCATGTCCCTTTGATGCGCCATTTGTCATTGAGGGGGTTTCGATATACCCATAAATGGTGATTGTGGTAGAGGATACAGGGTGGGGGACAATCTTCATGGTTGAAGAGGACGAAGTGTCGGCTGATGTAGTTATGTTGGAAACCACGGACGTAACAGTAGATAGGTCAACTTTTTTTTTTTTGGAAGGCAGTCAGCAAGCAAGTATGGCGAGGAAGTTGAACTCGAAAGAAACCCCTAACCTTTTCCTGGAAGAGCATCGAGGTCCACTTTGCTATTTATCACTGACTCGAAATCTCCGTAATGGAGAAATCTGCGATTATGCGACAACTGTACATATCGGTGAGGTATATTCCCAGCGGCAACAACGCCTGATTCATTAGTCACAATCGGAAACCAACAACCTTCCAGTAGGCAGCGGATCCTTTGTTCCTTGATAAACTGGAGAGCTTCGTGTTGGAGTTCGTCGCGAACCTGGCGAAGGTGCTGCCTCCAGGCATCTTCATATGTGAACTCTAGAAGATCCATTTGGAGTTCTCGAAGCCGGTGATAATCGAAATTCACTATTTCTTCTTCCACATCTTGCACATCCTTCGTTCGGGGTGCCCCGCCAACAATCGATTCGACAAGAATGCGAACAAGCTCAGCGATCTTTTCGAAATCAAGAACATCTGCACCGGTGACCTTCCATAATCGAACAAAGGCATGGAGTGCCGCCACATGCAACCGAGTCCAGTGCAGAAGTAAGGGTTTAAACAGCTTGTCGAGATTAGAGCGGGAGTCTAGGACCAAATCGTTTTTTGAATCTTCGATATCTGATTTATCGATTTCAAAATGCTCGTAAAGAATCGAGGTTACCTCCAAGGAAGCACGGGCTATCGGACAACGTTTTTCAGTCGGTTTTGCTGATTGCTCTAACAGTAGTCTTTGAAATTCTTCTCTGTGGTTCCTCACATAGTCTGCAAGGTCCATCATTCCTAGAAAGCCAGTCTCTTCAAACTGTGCCAGTGGACTTTCTGTCTCAAATCCAAGTCGTCTCCACTTTTCTGGGGTTTGTTTTTTTGGGCGTGCCATTGCATTGCCGGATTCAACGTTTTCATAGCCAGATTTGTCCTGTCCTCCAGCAAGATGTAGTCCCTTCAGAGCTCGTCTGTGTTCGGGCTTCTCTGGATCGAGGGGAATATCTCGCCATCTCCTGAGCAAGACCTTTGTGAGTGATTGAAACTCTATCAAAGGATGCGCGTGGTCTTGCAATGCCGTCCCTTGCATCAGGGCGTAAACTGCTCGAATCACCCCAAGATCCTGAAGTTTCTGTATAAATTTGGGCCACTCAAGCTCAGAGTCATTTGTAATAGAATCACGCATAAGGGAATTGATAAGCTGAAGAGCATTTGCGCAGAGTGCATGGTCTGCAGAGGAAAGTCTGTTCACCAGCATCTCCAGGAACTGGGGATAGATTGTGATTGCGGGCTTCAAGGCACGAAACCCAGAGGCCTCATCCTGGGAGAGACAACCTCCTATAGAAGGATGCGATACGACAGACACCAATATAGACATTGCGCCGCGTAAAATGTTGACTAAAGGTTGTGTTACAACAAGCTCGACAATCTATGGACTCAATTAATGGGAAGATGTTAGTATAAATGCGAACTACCTAGCATCGATGTTAATGTTGCATCTGGTTTCAAGACATACTCTTTCCAGCAGTTCCTGGTCAACAGACTCCCAACCTTTATCGACTTCTAGCAGCCTTGCAAAGCTCGCCAAACTGTATGCCAGTGTGTTTCCAGTTGCATGGAGGGTCAGATATCGTAATTTGCTCAGACCACCTTCGGCAATGAAAATATCTGCGAAGGAAGGATCTCCGATACTGCTCTGGAGCTTGAAGACAGCCATCTTGCGTACTGCATCTTCATCACTTCCAAGTCGCTCAACAACCTCTAAAGCATTGCTGTCCATTTTAGATGACGATCCAAGGATAAGATGGCAAATGAACGTCAAATCATGCGAAACAAACCAGTTAATTGTGTAGATGAAGGTCAAAAGTCTAAGGTAGACATAAGACTCAACATCCTACCTCGTTTTACCAGTTTTTAGCAGTGCGTGGATCGCACCGTCAGATGTTCATATTCAGGGGGTTTCCTAGTACTACTATTTATCTATCAACTTAATGTTTGATAATCTAGCCAAGAACCTTAGTAGGTATAGTACTTTTGTATTTTATACTCACTCAATCAATGTAGACGCAACTGGCAATCTCTGGGCTCAACTCAGCTTGCTAGACAGGGTTCGTAATTCGATAATTTGATATAGATGAAGTCCGCATTACTTTATATCCCGTGTAGTCCTGCTGTCGCCGACTACTACTTTGTGTTCAGGATAGGTATGGACTACTTTGGTTATCTGTCAGGTACACTGATGGGCATGTCGTAATTAATGTACGGAGAGAAATACTATGGGCTTCGTACACGTCAAATATATCCCTAATTCAAGCTGTTGGAGGTACAGAACTCGAGTATGTGGTTCATAGTAGATATCTACACAAACTCGAGCTCTGTTTGAGGGTCCATCGCTTCACCATAGAGATAGATCTCTTGACTTGTTTTCCTGTTTCCCAACTATGCTGGAGAAGTTTGTCACCACTACTCTTCATGCTGACAAAGCTTTATGGTGAGAGTATCAAATTGGATTTTGATGAATCTGGCCGAAACAACCTCACTACTGCCAATTAAACTCATAAACCGCACGACACACCGCAAGCCATTTGGATACATCTCGAATTCGCGACATTTTGTTTGGGATTAACAGATGGAAAGTTCATTACCGGCCAAATCGCATCTGGGCCCCAGCGTAATGCCACAAACCCCTGAGATAGCCCTGGTATTCAACAGCCTCGCCATACCCAGTCCTACCGCTGCTTTTGCCGCCAGTGCAAAACATTTCAGTGAGTCGAATGTGCCAGGGTGGATAACCATCCAATCTCAGGTAAGGTGCGAACACCAATAAGAGATCTGGCTCGGGCTTTATTGACAGAATAGGATGATGCGTGTTCGTCTGTGTATCCGCGAGTCTCGGTGAATTTGACTGCAAAGGTTGTGTGGTGATTTCACTTATTTCGGCATCAATCAACTCTGTAGTGATATCCGCTGATGACAGTTTTCCATTTTGAGACATCTCTGTGAGTGTTCTGGTCAGATCAACCAGGGTTTCCCTTCCGTCCGTAGCGGATACTAGAAGTACGGTAAGAGTATCGGTGTTTGTTTTCCGGGCAGATATTCCATCTTGCGGTGGTTCGTATACGGGATGATGAGGGGCGAAAAGCCGGAGAGTCGGTTGTTGCGATAGAGGGCCATAATAGGAAGAAAATTTATTCACAATCACTTGGTGTAGCGCCGGAATGCACGACTTCAGGACACCTAAATAACAAAGAACGAGGAAGAGGCGCAATTAGTCAACTTTTCGCAAGATTTCACCAAAAACATGCAGAGACTGTGGCAGAGTATGCCTGTGTTTTGCACGTACCGCTCTTCTCATAGATACTCAACATGGGGATCCCAGAGCTTACGCTCCACGCAGCGAGATCCGCCACCTCATCCATCAATATTGCGAGCCCATCGTCCTCTCTGCGCGATGATAGTACAACGGTCAGATGCTCTGGCAAGCGCTTTAAGCCTTTCACATCTTTGCGGATCAGGTCCGGAGTGCGGTGATGATAATACACAACGGCGAAGACTCGATCCACGAGGGCATGGTAGCTTTGAACAAGCCGTATGATTATACCATAGACAATATGGATGAGGGCATATGCAAGCTGATGCAGCTGCAACTTTAAAAAGGTTCGAATTGGGGTCTTGCGGCAGACTTTCTGGGGTCGCTGCAATGGCCGAGATGGGAGGTCCGACGGGTCAGGTAGGTATGGCTTCAGAATACTCGCGCGGTCGGCAGCCGTGAGCTTCACCCCATGACTCCGAACATTGTCCCTGAGCAACTCTCTGTCACGCTGTGAGACCATTGCTGTGTGGGAGTTATGGCTGCTTGAACAGAGTAGCAAGTGAAGAATCCCTTGATTTCTGATTATCGGTTTACCTATTGTTCCGAAATTGAGATATCACTGGTTGCGCTCCACAAAATCCGACGTAGATTTATCAACACCGCTGCTCATGGGCAAGAATCATCTCTGACTTGTTTCATATGGTTACTCCCAATATTGAACAGTACCCAGGGGTTAGGGTAGCTTATGAAAGTAGTTGTGAACTGTTACTACCTTACTAGTATAGGTATACCCACATGTATCATTCTACCAATAGTATCAGGGGGTTTGTAGTGTTGCCGTTCTTGCCACATGACGGGTTGACAACAATGATGGTTTTCGCTTATGCTTATGATGCTGGCTGTTTATGCCCATCAGCCACATAGATAGATATGCGTCTACCTACCTCATGATCAGTATAGTGGGTAGCTATTTTATAAGTCCCATCTTGATTATTCAAAGGCGGCAATGTCCAGGTCTAAGGTAAACTATCTTTCGTAAATCATGGATGTGTCCAAATGCGGGCCTTTTGCATCCCGTGTTAAATAATCAATACAATACGGAGTATATATAGCTACTTTACCAAGTTTATGGGAGGGACCGTTGGAATGAAGGTACAGAGGAGTTAACTATTCCCCTTCCTTTCCTCCCCCCTGTCCCCAAACCCCGAAAAGGTCATTCAATATTTTAGATTTTTGGCCCACAGTCTGCTGGTCACATGTAATCCAGCACTTCTATCATCATTGATTTGCACAAACACAAGAAGACTACTTACCCTCTTTGCTCTCGATGTTGACCGGGAATCATCCCGTGACGCGAAGATGCCGGACAGTTTGTCCACTACTTCCCAGTCAAGTCCTGCGACACGTTCGGTCTTTCCCAAGGGTCCCAGCTTCACCCTAGCTGACTTTTCAAGCCGTGATTTCATCGTGAAGGAGTTTATTGAGGCGCTTTCCGACAGTGCAATCTCAAACCGTCGCTCCGCACTCGGAACTAGTCCTGGTAATCAGTTGTTCGACCCGAAGCCATTCATTCGGACGTTCGAGCATGCCCAAAGACGACTCGGCGAGCTCTCCGGTGATCTCGAAATCAAAGAAAATGAGCTATCAGCTGCAGTTCGGAGAGCCGAGGCACAGCATGCTCAGAACCTTAGCACACTGGGCAGAAAACTCAAGCAGACCATCGAGTCCTTCCAGCAATTAGATACGTCGCTCAATGGTGCAGGAATCTCTGGAAGCGACAATGGCGGGGCAACTGGGAATATGGCCGTCGAAACAGGAAGGCGGCTAGAGGAGCTGGATCGACAGCGACGTCGGGCACTTGATGCCCATTTCTTGATCGAATGCTGGGATGGAGTTTGTAACAGAGGGGAGATAACACTGCTAGAGAACTTGAGAAAATCAGGGTCCGGTGAAGCCAAAGTGAGATCGGCACATATCGCGCGACAGTTGTTAAGGATAAGTCAGAGACTTGATCCCCAAAGCTGGGACGAACTGAGAGACAAAGACAATGGTTTATACCGGAATGAACCAGCATCTGCTGAGGAAACTGCAAGAAAAGCTATCAAAGAAACACGGTGGAACACGCGAGAGATAATCGAAAAATTCTCCGAGACGCTCGAAAAGGATCTCTTGAAACAGTTTGATGATTTTTATCGCAAGGCAAACTTTGAGGGCATGAGAGATTGCGCCACTGTGCTTCAAGATTTCAATGGGGGCGCAAGCGTTATCGCTTTGTTTGTCAACCAGCACCAGTTCTTCATTGACCGAAGCCAATTAGTTACAGAAGAAGTGGGAGGAGATCTGGAAAGCTGGGAAAGACTGGCAGACCCCGATGCTGAAACATCGAAGATTGAACCGGGCCTCCAGTCCCTACTTGACGAGATCAAGGTTACCGTCCAGGAAGAATCAACTATTATCAAACGCGCTTTCCCCTTCTATGAACAGGTGCTGGGCAAATTTCTTCAACGTGTTTTTCAACAGTCTATCCAGCAAAGACTCGAAATGGTATTGGATAAAGCCAATAGCATATCATCATTGGCTTTCCTCAGAGCTCTGCAGAGTTCTCGCAGCTACATCAGTGGGCTTGTTGACGATCTGAAAACTCATGGATTGACCGAACATCCAGACCCTGTGTCCTCTCAGACAGCTCTTATCTTGGATCAGCAACTGGAGGATTTGTTTGTGCCATATTTTGTGGGCTCCTCCTATATCGAGAGGGAGAGGAAATCGCTTGAGGAGTTATACGCGTCCCTGTTGTTCAGGTTCACCACTTTCCATGCCCGCCGAAAAAGAGCAGCTACTACTTTCATGGCCTCTCTCTCAAAGTCCGGAACTGAGCTTCTATCTGCTGCTCGGGACGCATATGTTAGTCGACTTGAATCTCCTGACTTTACGCCAACTCAGAAGAAGATACTCCTTCAATTGGCAGGACTGAGAGAATATACTGATTCTGTAAAATCTGCTGACATCAAATTGACCGAGAATGATGGCCTTCCCAACATCACATATGCGAAGAGAATTCTCAAATGGCTCGCGGAAGCCGTGGGAAGAGGCTTAGAGCTAGGCATCAACAGCGAGACGCCTAAAGACGTATCCGCACTGTTGAGTCTGCTGCTGTCTACGATGGGGGATGGTTATGTTGAGGTGTCTCTGGATGCTGTCCTGGAAGCAGCAACTTCTCAGGAAGCAGCAAAAACAGAGCCCGATTTTGGTTACCTCTCCGTGGTCAAAAATGTTATCAGCATAACCAACCTGATGGTGATGTGCGTACATACATTACTGATTCCCCTAGCGAGCGCGAGTATCACGATACGCCGGGAGATGGAGACAAAAACAACCTCAACAACGATGCGCATAGAAGAGAAAATCAACATGATTGAGCAAAAAGTAATCGATACGGCCCTTATGTGGGTCAGTAGGCTTCTTTCAAGCCAGAAGAAGAATGATTTTCGACCGAAGGAAGGAGACAATGCAGCCTGGCTGGAGATGCTACAAACCCCAGTAAGCGCTTTCGATCAGCTGTACGCTAAGAATACCATGCAGAAACCATGCTGACTTTGTTTTAGACATGCTCTTCAATCTGCACTTTTCTGACTCGCTTACACGATCTGATTACAGCATCATTGCCACACAACGGGTCTAATGTTCGTCAATTACTCACGGAGATCGCCGTTGGAACCCGCAATCAACTTCTTGATCACTTCAAACGATTCGCCGTAAATGGGGCCGGCGGCCTTATGGTTACCAAGGACATGACGCAGTATGCGGATCTGCTCAAGTCTTGGGACATTGACGAGCGAATCAAGGGGCCAAAGGGCGCCCTGGATGTTTTGCTTGAGGTTGGCAGTCTCTTTGTCATTGGGTCAGAAGCCCTACGAGAAAGGCTTCGTGAAGGAGCAGCGACCGACGCGAGTGGACGGTCGGCAATTAGTCGTACTGGCACCCAGCCAGGACGAGATTTAACAGGATCTGCTCAGCATGAGGTGACTCTAAGTGTGCAAGAGGTCAGAGCGTATGTGTCTCGCAGAGAAGACTTTAACACAATAGCGATGCAGAATGTCCTCAACCTTTCTTGATACCGAGCCTGTATGTCTGTTTCCCGTCTTCGATCGTCTTAGAAGATGAGTGGCATCTTTCACTGGTAGTGGCCTACCTGTAAGAGCCATGAATGAAATACATTTCACATGCTCATCCTCAATGTTTGACCCATTTTGATATTCCAGCAATGCACGTTTAACTATTCAAAGGTTACACCACCCTTATCTTCGTGATATTCTCTGTTCGGAGAATCGAGGATACATATGGTCGTAAAATCTACTATCTATTGGGTTGTACTTCAACTCTATGCACTTATGTCCAGATGCGCATGGATACAAAACCATTTTCAAGGGTCAAGACTCTCTCAAAGGCACATGGGTATGATGCTATCACGTCATCATACTACAGGATAGATAAGGTAGGCTTTGTCATAACACAAGCAAGGCTTTATAGGCCTTGAACCGTGCTGCTAGTTTCCAAGATAGTCCAGTAGTGAAGCTTAAGAATTCTATCGGTAGCTGTTATTTTCCTAACATTTATGTATGAACGTTGTAGGTCGGCATCGCTGACCTTCATGTCCAACCATATCCCCCCAGATAACCACCAGTCACGTGACTATGGAGCTATTCTGACGAGCTTCACGGCATCAATCAGCATGGATGTGAGATCCTGAACAGCATTGCTAAAATTGACTCAATGTTACCTACTCACTTTCTAGACTCAGACTTCTAGCTCTTTCGGAGCAACTTCATGTCACTTATTATCACAGTGCCCTGTCCTATCCCGATCACCGTCGATCTTATCGCGAACAGCTCGCCTGTGGGCTGGAGTGTTGTTGTTGTTGTTGCTATTGTCGCCCTGGTTGAAGCTCTTGCCAATTTGCCATCGTTGGTCATCTGATGATTCATTGCCATGATTTCGCGATGGCTACTGCTTATAGGCCTCCTGGCACTGGCCCTCTTTTCTCAACCCTGTGCCACAGAGAAGGCCGAGCCACAAATCAACTCGACTCCATTCGACCATGAACCGTTTTTCATGTCTTATTTCGAGGATTCTGACACAATTCTCATGCTTACGACTCAGCGCAATCTCTTCCGTTCATTCGATGGAGGCAAGGGCTGGGAACGGGTTGATGACATGGATGGCAAGATGAAGCAGCATGTGGTTTCTGTCTTGCAGCATCCTTCTGACAAAGATAAAGCGTATGCCTTGGGCTCTAAGGGACGGCACTGGATCACAACCGATCGGGCTAAGACGTGGAATGCTTTTACGATTCACCAATCTCCAGCCATTCAACATGAACCTCTTGTGTTCCACGGTTGGGACTCTGGGAAAGTTATTTTTCAGACCGATGAGTGCATTGGAACGTTCTGTATCGTCAAATCATACTATACCACGGACGATTTCAAGACTGTCTCGCCTCTCCGAGTCAGTGCTGGTGGATGTGCGTGGGCCGTTGGTCATCCACAATTCGCCGAGGGCCTTAATCTCGAAGATCAGATTCGGAATCGAGTTCTCTGTGTGGTCTCGGGATTGAAAGTACCTGCACCGTATGCGAACCGTCTGGTATACTCGGATGATTTCTTTAGTAACGAGGCCGATGGCGCAGAAATGAACTTGCACCAAGGGCGGCCTGTTTCCGGAGTCCAGACAACTGCTGCAGTAAAGAAGTTCTTAGTGGCCGCGGTTAAATCCCAAGGAACTGATGAGATGGCCCTATATGTGACTCTTGACACCAAAGTCTGGCACCGAGCCGATTTTGGTGGTCATCGGGTAGAACAAGATGCATATACTGTGCTGGAAAGCACAAATTATAGCATGCAGGTTGATGTTCTGACTGATCAATCAAGCATGACTGGTGTACTATTCACATCCAATTCTAACGGTACTTATTTCACGCGTAACGTTGAACACACGAACCGTGACCGGTTTGGGCATGTGGATTTTGAGAAGATAGCAGATATCCAGGGTATTGTGTTGGTCAATACAGTGAGCAATTGGAAGAAACTCGAGTCGGATCACCGGAAGAAAATCGTGAGCGAGGTTAGTTTCGATGATGGGAGGACTTTTCAACCCCTTACGGTCGGTGACAAGCACTTGCATCTCCATTCAGTCACTACCTATGCCAACACTGGTCGTGTTTTCTCCAGTCCGGCGCCAGGCGTGGTGATGGGTGTTGGAAACAAAGGTGATCATCTGAAGGAATACTCGGAATGTGACCTTTATGTCTCAGATGATGCTGGTGTGACTTGGCGTCATGCTCTTGACGGTCCCTTCAAGTATGAGTTTGGCGACCAGGGCGCCATCATAATGGCGGTCAGCGATAAAGGGAAGATTGGGGAGATCAAGTATTCAACTGATCATGGCAAGGAATGGCATACTGCTAAGCTTCAGCACGAAATCTTTCCTAAAATGCTCACGACGACGCCTGATTCGACGAGCATGAAATTTGTCCTTGTTGGTTCAAAGGAGAGTACAGGAGACGGGTTTTTCGTCTATTCAATCGACTTTGGTAGTCTCCATGGAAGGAAGTGCGAAAAGGATGACTTTGAAAAATGGCCTGCTAGATTGAACGAAGATGGCGAACCTGATTGCTTGATGGGCCACAAGCAGTTTTTCAACCGCAGAAAAGCTAACGCGGATTGCTTTATGGACGAGGAATTCAAAGACCCACAGCCAATCTTCGAGCCTTGCAAGTGTACAGCCGAAGATTATGAGTGCGACTATAATTTCGTGCGCAGTGAGGATGGCAAGAGTTGTCTACCTGCAGCTCCACTGGTGCCTCCAGCTGGCAAGTGTCGTGAAAAGACTGACAAATTTTATGGACCTTCAGGTTGGAGACTTATTCCAGGTAACAATTGTATACGAGAGGGCGGCGAAAACCTGGATAAAGACATCGAGCGAACCTGCGAGGATACAAACGGGTCACCCGAGACACATATGTCCCACAAGCAGGTTTTCGATAACTCCAAACAATTCAGCGGACAGTACTTCTATCTTGAGCGTCAAGCAAGTAGCAGCGGAAACGACGAGACCGTCTTAATGCTTACCCGCGAGCGAGAATTTTGGGTTTCGCACGATCATGGAAAAAAGTGGGAACAGCCTCTGAAAGGAGTTCAAATAGTCGCGATCATCCCCCATCCTTACTACAGTGACGGTGCATTCCTCCTCACTGGAGGCCAGGAGGCTTTTTGGACTGTCGACCGGGCCTATACTTTCAAAAGCTTTAAAGTTCCCATTCCTCCTACTCGAGACGACATGCCAGTCTTCTCATTTCACCCTCAATATAAGGACTGGCTTATCTGGACTGGAGCAGTTGATTGCGGACATGGTGATTGCCATTCAGATGCTTATATCACCAAGAATCGAGGGAAGGATTGGGACCTACTCCTCCGCTATGTTGGAAAGTGTGAATTTGAAAGCCGGAAGAATAGACCGGACAGTGAAAATCTTATATTCTGTGAACAATACGCGAATGAGAACAAAAACAACCACAAACAACTGCTGTCTAGCGATAGCTTTTTCGCCGACAGCCATGTTCATTTTGACAATGAAGCCAGGTACGCTACAATGTCGGAATATATAATTGTAGCATCGCACGACCCAAACAACGCCAACTCCCTCATTGCAAGTGTCAGCGTCGATGGCAAAACATTCGCGGAAGCCAAATTTCCCCCGAATGTCGATGTACCTGTCAAAACGGCCTTTACTGTTCTGGACAGCTCGACCCATGCTGTCTTTCTGCACCTAACGATGGGTGTGTTGAAGGGCGCCGAGTATGGCTCGATAATCAAGAGCAACAGCAATGGGACGTTATATACTGTCAGTCTCAATGCAGCGAGCAGGGACGACCGAGGCTTTGTTGATTATGAGAAGATGCAAGGCTTGGAAGGTGTAGCAGTCGCCAACGTCATCAGCAATGTGGACACTGTCTTGAAGAAGGGTGCAGCAGCGAAAAAGGTGAAAACGAAGATTACTCATAACGACGGCGGCCAGTGGATGCTACTCCCTCCTCCCGCAAAGGATGCTGAGGGTAAGGACTTCGGCTGCTCAAATAAAGACGGAAAGGCTAGTGATAAGTGCTCGCTCCATCTTCATGGCTACACAGAGCGCTGGGATTCACGTGACACCTTCTCGTCTGGTTCTGCAATCGGCCTCATGATGGGCGTCGGTAATGTTGGCGACCATCTTACTAGTAAGGAAGAAGCGGACACGTTTATGACCCGAGATGGCGGTATTACCTGGAAGCCCATCAAGAAAGGGCGATACATTTGGGAATATGGTGATTCTGGATCAGTGATCGTAATTGTACCTGAATCCCGGCCCACCAAGATCCTTCACTATAGCCTAGACGAAGGTGATAGTTGGGAAAACTTCAAATTCTCCGACGTGGATATGCTAATTCATAGGCTTTCGACACTTCCGTCCGATACCTCCAAGAATTTCCTGCTTTGGGGAAAGGAACAGGATTCTAACCAACTCGCTACGGTCAATGTTGACTTCAGTAGTCTGCGGGAAGCATCCTGCAAACTGGTTGAGGATGGACAGGACAGCGATGACTATTATCTTTGGGAGCCTAAGCATCCACTCCAGGAAGATAATTGCCTATTTGGCCATATAGAGCAGTATCATCGCAAGAAATTGGCCGCGAATTGCTGGAACAATTGGCGCGAGCCCCATGTCCACAGCATTGGGAAAAATTGCACTTGCACAAGGGCTGACTACGAATGGTGTGTATAATTACTCAGCCAATCTCCTATTGCTTTTCTGACACCTGGACTACAGTGATTATAACTATGAGCCTCAAAGTGACGGTAGCTGTGCACTCGTTCCCGGTCTCCCAAAACCGGATGCGTCGATCGTATGCAAGGAGGATCCCGATAAAATTGAATATCCAGAGCTGCTACTTGGATATCGGCGTATTCCTCAAACGACATGCATGGGAGGATGGGAGCCTCCTGTCGTATTCAAACCCTGTCCTGGCAAAGAGAAGGAGTACAAAAAGAAGCATAGCATCAGTGGTATTGGCCTGTTCTTCGCAATAGTGACCCCCATCGCTATGGCTTCTGCAGCCGGATATTACGTTTATACTAGGTGGGATGGCAAATTCGGCCAGATTCGCCTTGGAGAAGACATTGGCGGGCGCGAGGCCATTCTCTCCCGAGACTCTCCACTGGTCGCTGTGCCCATTGCAATTATTGCAGGCGTTGTAGCGGTGTTGAAAGCATTGCCACTTCTTGCGATAAGTCTCTGGCGCAGCTCTAGCAGCTTCATTCGCACAAGGCGTGATAGAGCCTACTCGAGACCCTATGCGTCACGGGGATCGTTTGCTGCCCGTAGGGGTGACTACACCAGTGTTGTTGATGATGAGGATGAGCTTCTAGGAGTTGAAGATGGTGAAGCAGAGGGCGAGGAGGAGGAGCTATAGCTCTGCCGACCCTCTATGTTATATTTCTACAAACGACTCAGGTCAAACCTGGAATTTTTATTCCCTATGCTACGACTGTGTCGCCTTTGGTCCTTTCATTTCGTCCTGTGCGTAGGTGTACGAGTAGCATGTGCCGACCATTCTCTTTTAGAATAGCTTCTTTTGGCAAGCACTGGCAAGGAAACTTGTCATTGGAGATTGGCCAAGATTACACATTGAAAGCTACTGAATCGAACGTAGAATACCACATTGCCGCTTGTGTCAGAAGATGTGACGCAGCAAGCTCAGGTAAAGCGCCCAATATATTCTGATTCTCATATCGGGCTCGTAGAGCCTTGTTGACTCACTGGGGTAAATCATCTGGTCCAAATGAATCAGGAAGAAGCTGAGGGAATAGTGTTAGCTCAAACCTTGACATCAACCTTGAATCAAACGAGACGGAGTGTCAGAAGGACTACTTGCCTCACCCATTGTTCTCACAACATAATTCCCTTGCCCGTCATACATGAAAACTGGGAATGATGGAGACGTGAATTCACGCATGCTGCATAGTTTTCCCTTTAGCTGAACAGGGTCGGAACCGGCTCATGTGAAAGCTGGAAGGCATCCGGATGTCGGTGGCCAGATGGGTAGGACAGAGTACGTGCTGGATACGAAGCTGGGCGGGGAAGAACATACAATTGTCTGCACATACCACAAGGGGATGCGCCAGGAGTGATATCAGTGGCCACGGCGACCGCCTTGAACTCTTGATATCCACCAGCCTGTACCGGTATTAGCATTGCTCATGGCCGTTGGAATTCGAATCGTATCGTCAACGTAGAGAATTAGAATGAGGAACTTAATCGAAAACCTCTGGAACGCAACCCAAGAACTTACTACGGCGGTACCAAATGCCACTCTTTCAGCACATATCCCAACAGGATACGACACATTCTCGACATTGGCACCCATGATGAACTCACCCGTCTTGGTGAGGACACATGCTCCAACACGAAACTTCGAATATGGACCTGCACGATATCAGAGAATATCCCGCCTATACTCAGAGACTACGTGGAACATATTCATGATGTTGATCTTGTGCAGCGAGCCAAGAACAAGAGAGCCAGAAAACCACTTACAATAAGCAGAGGCCTTGGCCGCAATGGCCTTGGACGAGAGAATTTCCAGCTCTTGCGCCGTAAGGTCGTTAAATGCCATGGGTAGAGGATGCTTATCGATACCTAAATCTTCCAGTAATTGGAGTGAAGTAGTGTGAATAGATGATACAACTTGGGAAGAGAAGAGAGCAAAGGTGTATGGAGTGGGGGGGGAGGATTGAAGAAACATGCGGTGTTTAGTCGGCCTAGTACTGGTAGTAACCCCGCTGTTCTGCAGATGAATTGGTAGATGACCAGGAAAGGCGACGAGAGGACAACCTAGTCTTGTCTCCAGCTAAGATGATATCCAGCAGGAGTATTAGTCCCGATTTCTTAGATAGTCAAACTTTCGATATGAGTGGATATTCTGTCTGGAATCAAGATTTGTATGTACAGCCTAACGCGAGGCGATGACAGTAGTCGAAGCTCCGGGAGGAAGAGGACCATGCAAACTAAGGCCTGGCATGCAAAAGAAAGAAATCTATATTTTGTATGTAGAAAAAAGTCAAAAAAAAGGAGAAAAAAAAAACACCCAATACCAGATTGGATTGGTATTTGAACTGGAATAGAAGTCGATATAGAAAGGGAAAACCAAATCTAGACATGAGCTGCAAGGTATCATAAGAGGGAAAGAAAAGGTACGAAAGGGCATTCAAAGGTGGCAAATAAGAAAACAAAGGAAGAAAAGGGTAGGAAGGAATGCTGAGAAAGAAGATAAAAAGATCATGAAAAATAGCTCCGCAAACCTTCATAGACAGTGAAGATGAAAGCAGAGCTGGGGGCAGCTCGAGCACAAGTGATTCCACAACCACGATACAATGCCTTGAATCCTTGTTGATTCCACAAAGCTTTACCGACACCCCAAAAAGTTTGCCTTTCGCCTCGAACAGCGGCGTGATTTATGTCCTCCGTTTGCATTCGCGATTTGACGGTATCGGCAGGATAGAAGAGGAAATTGTAGCTGATGCCTGCCGCGGCTCCTGCAATCATTTGTTGATGGATTGGAAGGGAGTCTGACTCGCAAGACAATGGTGATGGATAGTATGTTCGAAACAGAGCTGATACGCCTTCATAGCCCCCGAACCAAGCTGCTCCTCCGCCAGTCTCACGGATCAGCGTTCCCATCTGACCCCTCCAAAATCCGGAGATACCGTCTTGGCGAAACACGGTAACAATGAGACTGAGTGGCCCAGGTGCCTTTATGCCAGAAGTTTCGGAGGGCACTTGCATCTTGCACTTGATGAGCTCAATCGGGGTGAGTGCAAGCGAGGTAATTGAACCGGAGGCAGCACCACTGAAAAGGAGAGCCGAAAATGGTAACGGCTCTCCAGATTGATAATAAGTAGCCCTCAGTACATCTTGAATTATACGGTAGCTGAAGAAAAGGCAGCTGTTCTCGACGGCAGCACCCGCCATTGGGGCACTGATGCCCCGGTAGAGTCCTCGAAGGCCATCCGCCTCAAACGACTGGCGGAAACAATCCAAAGGCCCCTTGTACTGAAGTGGGAGATGATCTGGCTGTGCCTGAAGTCGCACTTTTACTGTGTCAAAGGGATATTCCATGACCTTGCCAGCCATTCCAGCCGCCTGAGAGACCATGTAAGCGACAATCCGTTTCGAGATGGGAAGAATAAGTTCTCACAGATCCAAATATGATGTCTTTCAAAGCCTCAGAGCCCTGATTTGGCGGAAGAATAGGGAGCTCCATCGAGTTCTCATTATTGATTGCGAGCACATGTTCTGCAGCCGCCATAGAGGTTGGAGGAACGAGCCGTCGAGCTCTGATTTGTCCGAGAAAGAGAGAAGAGGTTGTAAGGTAGTATACGAAGAAAAGGGGAAAAAAAGGGTTCGTTAAAGTGATTATCGTCGAAACATCTTATGAAGTTAATCCCAAGACGTAGACCGAGAAGTAGGTGGAAGACGAGGAAGATGAGGTGGCGGTGGGAAGTTGGATTGTCTGCCCTGCTTTGCCCGATCGAAGCGTGACAAAGTTGCTAAGTGTGCATTTCTTGCAAGTGAACAAGGCCCAAAAGGCCAAGGCACATGGAAATTGGGTGTTCACAGTGGATACTTTCCTTTAGTGGTGTCTTATTCGCAATGGTTTTCGACGGAGGAGGGGCTGTATGAGGGAGCTACGTGAGGCATTTCTTTTGCATTTCGGACGCCTAAGAGGCAGGGCGGGATCGGATCAGTACCTCAGCCGAGATCCGGTTATCTGATCGGTCTAAGATAACTTTTCCCCCTCCCAAAAAAAAGAAATGAAAAATGAAAAAAGGGAAAAAAAAAAGATTGTCATTAGTAATAATTGACGACTAACGAGTTGTAAAATTGAATAGAGATTCTTTGCGAGGGCAAGAATGTCTCTGCAGTTACCACCACCACCCCAGCACCAAGTACCAGCATATAAGGATACTAGTATCTCTCTTACAACTTGCTAACTGAGGATCCATCTGATATTACTGCTTTCTTACTTTCTGTTTGCGTGATCATGTCGACGATTACAACATCGTCCGTCGCATCCAGCAATGGCATGAGGAAAAATGGTATTTCCTACTTCCTCCCTCCCTCCTACTTCTATAATTTCGTCCGAGCTTCTCGGCACTTATTATCTTTCAATTTGATTCTCTTTGCTAATCTTGTCACCTGCTCAATCTAGGTAAAAATTGGCACGACTCCAAAAAACCATTCCGCCCTACGTCGGGTTTGACGAGTTATGAGAAAAGACTCGAGGCGCGCAAGCTCCAGGAGGCAGTGAAGGAACACGAACGGGAAATGAGGGAGGAAAGGGAGGCTGAACGCAAGGTATACCAAAGATGCGAGATATGACATGCATTTTGACACTGCTAACAATGCTTGTTAGGCTCAAATACAAAAGATCAAAGATCGAAGAGCTGCCAAGGAAGAAAAAGAACGCTATGAAAAAATGGCAGAGAAGATGCACCGCAAGAGAGTCGAACGGCTCAAACGGAGGGAAAAGCGTAACAAGCTTCTCCACTCATGAAGGTGGACAAGTCTCTCATTTCCACTCTTATGCATATATTACCCTTCTTGATAGTCTACCCTACTTTTTGTTGTTTGATATGTGTACCTGATACCACCTGACATTTTCTTTCTTCAGTTCTTGACCTTATCATCAAAGAAGCAGGACCCCTTATGGGTACATTCTATAGTACACCCTTCCAAGACTGTGCACATATTGCTCTGATTTCCCGGTCATGGATGTGACAGCTTGGATATTAGGGATATATTACATCGGCCGTGACACCCAGGTAAAAGTTATGGCATGATGGTCTCTTTTTCCTGGGTTGGTCCTCCAGCAGTAGTATTCTGCTTGCATCAAAAGATAGCACTAGAATCTCAGGAAAGTGGAGCACCCCGAGATTGCTCCGTACTATTAGTATCTAGCAGTTAGGTAGGCATAGAACGTAGTACATAGATACTATGGAGTACTCTGTAGACTAGTTTACTAGATAATAATAGAGATTGATTGCCATCCAGTCTTGGCGAAGACATCCCATTTTCAGTTTAGCGTCTCGATAGAGCACAACATAATGCATGTTCATTTCATCTAGCTCTACGGAATATATTAACTAACAACAAAACCATCATCAACAAGGCTGTGGGAGATTCTCTATTATCGCTATTGCATGTAACTGCTCGCTTTTCCAGATAAAAAAAAGATCTATCTATTGCGCAGTTCGGCGCCTCTCACATTCGGATAAATGGAGTCTTTGAGAGCTCCCTCCCAGTCATCATCTACCACACCGTCGAATGGTGCTCCTAACCATGGATCCGAAACTGTAATGAGCTATGGAGCTCCCTACTTTCCACGCCAAACAGTCGTTTCTAACCAGCCATTTGCGGTCGCTGTGACTAGCGATAATATCGCCGAACGCCAGAAAAACAAATTTGATCATGTACATCAATTGCATACTGCGTCTGTTGCAGAGCGAAAGGAACGTCCGCTTCATGTCCCTACTATTGAATACTATCTGGATGCCAGTAGATTAAAACTTCAGCATACACATAGGCCCAGCAAATCTCGCATCAATCGCATTCCTCAAAAGATGAGCAGTATCGCCACGTCATCTGCCGCAAAGAACTCATTGTCGGCACGGTCAGGGACTCAGGAACGAGACCATGCCGGGGATGATGGTTTACTCCACCCAAAGCCACGGGAAACAATAAGATCGCACTGGGGATCAGATTCTACGATAGGCTTAGAGACTGCAAGTAGAAAAGATGGCCTGTTTGATGCATTGGATCCCAGCCAGAAACTCGTCCTACCAAAGCAACATGAGCCACGCTCTGCGGAAGATCTGAAACAGATGAGGTCGAGGAGGAAACAAGGAGAAGGGTAAGGTCTTATTTTGGCTATCATAACGCGAAATGACTGACTTGGCGAATTGGCAGGCAACTACGGACCGCTCTGTTGGGAATTGGCAACTTCGCGACAGATGTTACTCGCATCTTGGATTATACATATTACAACCTACTGGAGAAGATGGCTAGTCTTACGTCTACAATTGCTCTTTTTCAAGAACTTTCTGAATCCGTCTCAGCGATATGCAACGACTTTGAGCGAGAAACGTCCAGCCTAGACCAGGACATTCGGAAGCAGATGCGAGAGTTAAACAGTTTCCAGCCACAGGTGCAGAAAATTGAAAGGTTAGAGGAGCGTATGAGCTCAGGGAAATCGAAAGCCGAGGCACTCGGGAAGAAACTTGAGGCCATTCGCGACGAAATTGATCGTTGGGAGAAAAGGGAAGCGGAGTGGCAGACACGAGTAGCCCGTCGACTTCGTATCTTTTGGGCGGTAGTTACAGCTAGTCTACTGATTTTCTTGATCGTCTTTATCAGCCAGCACCATTTTACATCGAACGCTCCTGGCCTGCATGGTTCGTTACCAGTCGCAGCGACTGATCATTGCTCCGCAGACCCTTCCCCAGGACAGCTAGGCAATGAGCGCCCGATCACCAAGCTCGATAAGCCAGACAGAGAAGAGATATCGCCTGAAGACCAGTTGGGCAGTGTGTCTCATGCAAGCTGCCAGACTGCCAGCGTGGCAGATATCCCGTCCTTTGACGACCTTGGCGCAATAACGGAACGTACTGGCCTAGATCCTTTGAAGAGACTCGATGAGCTCTAACAAGGGATTGTCCAATTCGGCAGTTAGAGAAAAAATCCTCATTCGTTGCTTCTTGCAGAATTCGTTTCATTTTGCATTTTATCATGATACCTAGTGTGCACCAATTATTGCATTGGAACATTGCCAAACAGAGCTCACCGGAGGCCTTCTTGCATCAGCTACTGCTTTTCTTCTTCTTGTCCTCAACAAGCTCAATATTTGACTCTGGAAGCTCCTTCCCGTACACCTCCAGGAGCCATTCTTGAACATCCTCACTCACATCACCTTGTACTGTAATCTCTTCGACTCCTGCGGGTGATTTTGTCACCGAGGAACCGGTGGCGAATTTCTTCCCGAGTTCCTTGGCCACTTTCTTGTTCTCCAGTCCATGTACTTCCAAGCCTGTTATTACTGTGACATGCTTTCGTTTGTTGCGCTCGACACGCTTGATTTGGACCTTAGCAGCCGCCTTCCGTTCTGCATCACGCGCTTCTGCCAGTGCAGCTTTTGCTTCCTTCTTGGCGGCGTCTTTAGCTGCACGTTCGCGAACTGACACTGAGAGCGTGGAGAGGTTGGAACTGAGAGCTTCTACATCGAGAGTTCTTTGAGTCAACCTTTACTGCTTTAGTATAGCCATGTAGCATCAGCTGCACATACCTTCGGAGTATAGCCGCTGATACGTTTCCTCGTGATTATCCTTCAACCATTCTTCGCATTTCTTTGCGGTACCGCCGAATTCGCAATACTAGAATGGCTTGGGAGTCAACATGGCCACGCGCCAGAATTTGGTCTTCGCCCCTTGTCCTACTAAGCTGATTTTGCTACCAGGAAAAAGACGAAATTTGGGGAGGAGGATGGTTTCCTCGTGGTGGAGCATGGAGCTAAGGTCCGTACCTCTGGAGGCAATGTACAAACTATGAGAAATGAGAATCAGTATCATGGCGGCACAAGTCTTCCAATCATCGCAGAGGTCTAGGTCTTACCACCACAATATACAATTTGCTTTAGTTTCGACTCAAAAAAAGCGGGTTGCGCGATTTCTCCCATGTTGAATATGACTTTCGGTCCAATTTAAAGCGATTGACTGTGATCTGAAGGGAACTGATTGTCTTTGAACTCCAAAACAACTGAGTGTGATATCGATAGAGCGCGGGGCCATCAAGCCTAGCCAGTTATGGCTAGATCTGAGCTTGTACCATAGTCATGTGATCGATAGTGCTTTCAGGGACGAATCCCTCCCTTTGAAGTTAGTTGAATCATCATGTTTTGGAAGTGCTGACCGCTGAGACTGAACCTACCGGTTGGATCAATTCATCTTGATTGGGGATGACACGTAGGAGTCTCTCTGACGCCGTTTGGGAACAATCACGGCGCGACTTAGTAAGATTATCACTACGGACTGATAGGTACGAAAGTTTAGGAAGTGCTCATGGATTTCTCCCTGAAATTACATTTATCAAGCACATTTGTCCTCTATGAATTGCTGGAACGAAATAATAGAGTCGGTGGGAGAACGCCATCGTTATTCAGGCACCTGCCTATCCCGTTCAGCATCAATCGATCTAGGCTTCTAGGCGACCTTGGTCAATGTCCTTGAAGAGCTTGAGAGATGCTATTTGAGCGTATATCAAACTATACATTCAGAGCTCCTACTCAAACTCAATGCACATTAGTGGGAGCGTTCAACTCTGCAGCAAAGAGCAAGCTTGGGGATCGATGACTGGGCCGAGATCTAATGCCAGTCTTTCACAACAACACCCATTCCTTGATACTCTACTATGTCCCTCGTTTTGAACCTTTTCCCACGGATAAACCTCAGCAGAAGTGGTGGAGAAGGTGGACAGATAAAGTCTTGTATAAACCAGAGGATCACCATTATCCTGTCTTTGCTGGGATAGGAATCAACCTCGTCTTGATTTGGACCAACAAGAGACTACCTAGCAAGACTTTATCGGCTTTCTACCTCTACTACGTAGTCCATCTGGATGGGGTACAATGATAGTGGCTCACTGATGATTGGTATGACTGTCCTTTAGATAAGTAGAGCATGACAGCAACAGGCCTAGAGGGACTTTTCTGATCGTGTAGGTCTGCAAGCCAAGAACGGTGCAAATGCAAGTCTGTAGCACTAAACCGAGAGTGCACAGATCCTAAGGCTAGTGGCGCTGACCCTGTTGTATCGGCCATGTCTCTACTCTGTAGTGACTAGTGAGTCCCATGTCTAATGAAACACAGGATCAATCTTTCTTCCTTAAATACTATTGTTCAGTTATCTGGAGCAATGGTAGCCTGCGAGTTTGCCAAGCGACCAGTCATTCAGGATAATCGACTCTGCCGAGATCTCTTAAGCGTATATTGTTCTTTTCGATAAACGAACATCAGTATGAAGAATAAGGAAACATACTGAGCACTGTACTCTGGACCATATACTTCATATACTTACATAGACTGACTCGGAAGGACGACTAATGCAACGCAATGACTCTATTGCATGATAACCCGTATATCCCCGACAGCACTGTTGTCTGTAACTAGTTGACAACCAACTGACTTGGGTTTCCCGGAGGAGCCAGTGGGTCGGTAGTCCTAGTCTCGCCGATCGATTTCGTTATCGGCATCACTTTGATACCTGGAGGTCCAAGAAAGCCTTCCTAGCTCCCAGGATCGATCAATGGAGGGCAGACTCTCGAGCCCTGAGCATCCATCGGAACAATGGGAGTTTTTGAAAGGTCGAGAAACAAGTATGAGAGTTGCAAGGATCAGGAAATCGTATGCAGCATTGGGGGATCGTTCTCTAGTGCAGTCATGGAATCATCCGAGTACTGCAAACTAAAATACCAAACGACATATCATTGATAATGTGCCTATAAATTCTCCCTACACCACGAGACTAGCCAGCAAGAATGACTTGTGGTTTCTTTCTAGTATAGAAATTAGAAAGTCGGCTAGACTGTCTCGACTAGCCAAGTGATATTCCACAGAACTCGATCGTATTATATTACCTTAGATGAAGGATGGGTAGATTGGTGCTAGTACAGTAAATTAGTAACCCGAGAATATTCGTGGCTAGGTGTTCTGCAGTTGTCTGGAGTCTGGACTCTGGAGTCTTCGACTTGGAGGCGCGGGGGTCTGGAACCAGAGGTCAGAGCTATGGGCTATGGCCTATGGGTCTAGCTAGGGGAGGTGGGGGGGGGGGTGGTTTATTGTTACTTACGAGATAAATTTTAAGGTGCCGTCTCTAAGTATCTACTCTGTAGTCTGTACTTCTCAGTCCTCACTCAGTACTTCTGACTTCTGTACTAGCTGTTCATGATATGATGACTGATGATGATAATGAAAATAACCGCCTGTCCCACTCACATCAACAGCAATCGAACCAATTCCCTTACTAAATTCAAACAGCTCCATACTTAGATAGGAAAGGTAAGGAGCCTAATACTGCAGCCAAGTACTGTGTACCTACTATGTAGGCACTTAGCGATCTAGCTAATGGCGGGCAAGAGGCAAGGTGGAAAATTACCCAACCGAATAACCGATACTGCGCCTCCACCTTGTGCCACAAGAGGAGGTTTCTATCATCTTTCACCATGGGTGACTACACTGACAAGAACTATATAATTCAGTAGAAAGTTGATACCCAAGGCAGATAATGTGTAAAGAGCAGATAAAAAACTGTGGGTAGCTAACACAGGTAAGGTAGTTGGCTAGTGATTGGACCGTCAAAGAACTGTAGGTTTGTATCTCCTGTCATGGTTTCTTCCTTGTTTTCTGTTTCCGTTATTGATGCCGACCTAGGTAGGTAGTAGATAGGTACCTAGCAGCCAGGCTATGTACTATAGTAAGCAATGTAAGGTACTGTATGTAACCCACAAACCTCGCGTATCCTAGGGTACTTTACCTGACCTTACCAGGATAGGTAAGTACCTACCAACTTGTACCAAGTATTATCATTACTCCTCCGCAACTTTCCTTCTGAATGAAAGTGTGAACTAAACTTCTGCTTAGTGCTCTGACCAACAAATGACGCTCCAAAGGCGACGAAGGGGGCAAAAGAAGAAGAAGAGGAAGAAGAGGAAGAAGAAGCACCCCCCTGATGTGCTAGCCCCGAATGTACTCTGATAACTGGATTTTTCAATATCCATGTCAAATAAATTGTTTCTCTTTTTCCTTTCTCTCTAAGGTTCTCTTGTGATCTCCACCTATATTCGATATTGTCAGTATTCTTATCATATCATAATATCGTCACTCCCACAGCAAATAGATATCATGCTTGTCTCTGCTTCCTGATGCAATCAATTCCTTCCATTCGAGCCTAATTTCTCCAGTATTCTCAATTGAGTCCCCGAGGGCTTTTGGATCTTCCTGGCATTGTCAACCCGTCTGAAACTCGATGATCGATCTCTGCGACCTCGATATGACGAGTCCCGTGGTATCAATCTCGCAAGACCAACAACCTACGCCTTCTGCCCCGGCTCCTTCACGATGTGCTATGGCTCAAACGTATTGCCTGGAAGCACCCGATATTGCTATGTTCAAACTTCCACCTCATACCTACTCCCAGCGACATTGTCCGAGTCCGATTACATCTTCCGCCCTATCGTCCATCCCTACCTCGCCGGAATTCGCAGATGCTACCGAGGACCAGCTACCTCCCACTCCTACAACCCTCAGTAGCCTATCCCTCAGCGTGAGCGACGACAGCGATGATGAGATCATTCTACCGGCATATGATTCGAATCAGCTCGCTAAGCCCAACCTTCTTCGCTCGGCGGATGCTTCCGGTCATGGTTTGGGTCCATCATGGACAACTCTCCAACGGTTGGTTCCACATACCCTGGCCGCAGATGACGCTTTGGCTGAGGAGGAGCCCTCGAGACATGTTGATTATTTGTCTTACGAATGGAAAGAAGAGGATATCTGGAAATCATGGCGGTATGTGGTCGGCCGTAGGGATGTCTACAGCAACGGTGCGAGGCTAGAGAACGCATCCTGGAGAACTTGGGCGAAGCTGAAGCATCGCCTGGGCACTGTGTCGCCGGAGACCCTCAACTGGTTCGTTTTTCATCAAGCCAACCGACACGGCATTGGAGATCATTCTTTGTGGCCTTCTTCGGATCTAACAGGTTCTTCTAGGTTGAAAGACTGTGATGTAACATGGCTTTATGGTCCTTTAAAATCATCAAACGAAGCGGCGAAAACGTCACCAAGTGTTTCACCGCCCCCAAGCCGCCTTGAAACGCCCAATTTGTATCTGGATAGGAAGCCGATCTTGAAGAAGAGGACCGCGTCAGAGGCGATCCTGCAACGTTCATTATCTCAGCACACCCTCCTGCAACACGCCGGCGCTATCTTGAAGGCGCAAGAAGCAGGTCTCCAACGCCACCGGGCCTCATTCTCACGGCCTAGAGTAGGATGTACATTGGACTCCTCGTCCGCTAATTCCGCTCTTTTATCGCAAGCCCCCACAAATCTGTCGTCTGGCCTCGTGTCACCGTGTGAGAAACGCCGAATTCACTTCAACAATGAGGTGGTGCAATGCATCGCAGTTGAAATTAAGGACGTTGATGAAGGGGAAGAAAACTGGCTAGCGTCTTGGGAGGAAAACATATCATCGGACGATGGTACTGTGCTTTGCGAAGAAAATTCGTCACAAGAATTCGCTCGGAAGAGAAACACACTGCGAAGCAGCTCCAATACCGAAAACAAGATTATCGCACCGCTACCTTCCACAACTCTCAAATACCGCGGGGACACCCCAGAACCTCCTTCAGGCTCAATGATGGGCCGATGGTCTGGGTATTTTTCGAAATCCACCATTCTCTCTTCATCGTCCACCTTTTCCGAGCCGTCTCCTAACTTCCTACTGGACGGCTGGGACGATGACCACTCCGATTTAGATCGGCAACCGGGCCAACTCGAAGCTGCTAGAGATGGAAGCCGGCCTTGGTTTGTGAATCCTGAAGACGAAGAAGAACTTGATCGACCACTCCATTCGAATTCTTCCAATCCTGGTTTGGGTGATGACGAAAGAGACTCGGCGAGCGCCAGCATATTCGATCGGGTGATCGACACGGTAAACACAGCTCGAGATATTGCCCATGTGATATGGAATGTTGGCTGGCGAAGGTAACAGACAGTACAGAAGATCCTTTGAAGAATCAGGAATTTTTCAAGAGCATGGTTGGCGTTACTTCCCCTTTTACTGACGAATTGTTTCATCTTATGTTGGTCTGGTTATATTTGGTTTTATGTTGACCAAAGGTTACATGTTACGGCGTTGGAGGTTGCCAGTGTTCTTTCTTACGGCTCGCATCAAGGGTAGTGAGGAGGATATCTTCGATTTGATATCCATTACTTGATAAAATATTCTGGACGGCGCATTTGAGTGTGGGGATTTTGCCTGTGGTGTTTCTCTTCTATGTTATGTTCCACGTTTGGAAACTCATGATGACCACGAACTTAGCAATGATAACAAAACTAATCGTAATGCTCTATGCATCTGCACACTTACTGTGCGTAGACCCTAAAATCAAACTCTAGAATCTTATCCGTGAAGATCTTTTGAGCATATGTCTAGGAACTTTCAGGCACACCCCTGCGAGTCTTCTACCTGTCAGGTTGCTTTCCCACATACCTAGGATCTTAAGGGCAGAAAACTTCGTCGACGACAGCAAAGCTAACCATTGATTTCAAAAGATGCCATGCGAGGCGAGACCAGAGAGCTGTGGCTACCGAAGGCATCTCAACCCCTGGAACTACAGAACAGCGCTTGCAGAGAACTTGCTAGATATTTCACTGTAGGGATTGATAGGCTGGAGAACCGATGATATTCAAGTTTGCGATTCATATCGTTCTCTTCTTCTTCAGGCTTCACTTTCTGGATATCAAGAGTATCTAACCCGACTGTCCTTCTCTTGTGCACATGATGTAGAACACAAGGAGGGGAATTCGGCTGAAGGGTCTCAGGAGGCGAAGCATCACATGAAAGTATGCTGTTTGGCGGAGCAATGAAAAGGATTATATCAGGTTGGATTAAGTATATAGTCGAGAAATAGGTGTTCATCAGATGCAGGTTCCCTCTCGTACTCAACCTCAATGGGTAAACAAATAGCTCGTAAAGAGCATGAACTTCTTTGAGTTTAGATGGATTTTGCGTATGGACACCTCACTGACAGAGATTCTATTAGTCTTGCCATCGGGCTCGGAAAGTATCAGAGAAAATGATGACTTACAATTAGGATGTCTTAGACAGTACGTATGAATATAGTTTGAGCTTGGTTCTCATCACAGCATAAGAAAGAAACTACAAGCCCACTCCGACTTGGATAGTTGAGCTCCCAAGGGAGGAGCTCCTTGAATGAGCGTTAAGCGTCCAGGTGGAAGATCCCGATATGAGAACTGCGATTCAAGATATCACAGGTTAACCACGTGTGAATCAACTCTCCATTGGCTCATCTGTGGAATCCCGAAACGTCTCTGGGAAGAAACCCGGCGGAGGCCAAATGTCTGCAATGGACGGAGGGTGAACCAATGGCTGCGACCCGCCCAAGCGATCCGGGTCGTGGCAAAATGCCTGGAAGGTACTATCGTCCATGAAGCCAAAATCTTTCAAGCCCGCCTCGCGACTCGTAGCCCATTCTGTTGTGTCAAGATATGCAAGGTCTTTGAAGATAGCATCGAGGTCATTAGGTGTGGCATGATCATCAGTAACGGAGTGGTCGGAGTTCACGTTTGTATCGTATCCCAGGGCTAAGGACCGATCATTACTCGTGGCACTGCCGGGCACATTTGAGTTGGATGTCGAGGAGTCGGGAGTCGGTGGATGGGGATGAATAGATGAGACCAGCATAATATCTAATTCATTCGTCGATTTGGTCTTGTCAAATGATGCCGGAATCCCAGAGATCGACTGTTGCAGAGATACATTAAGCACGGAAAAGTCTGTGGCTTCCATTGTTGTATCCTTGGGGGTCATGTACTGCACATCTATAGGAATGCTGATACCCAGTATCGAGGAAGCATGGTCGGCTTCGCCTGTACCGGGGCGATTTCTCCTATCCGAGTACGCATGCATATTACCCGGTATATTTCCTTGCCTCGGTGTTGCGGCTGCCATGTTATCGAGTGCGGAAGGCATGTTGGACATCATATGCCTGTTGCTTAAGAAGACATCTTGCTCAGATGATGGCAGAGATGATGTTTGTTCTGGCATGTCTTTGAACTTGTTCCAGTTCTCGATAGTTGTGTTCAACGAACGATACAGGGGCCACGTAGAATCAAGCTCCACTGTCCGTTGAAGAAGTGCCTCAGCCCATTGCGCGAACGGGAACGAGTCAGGCTCCAGTCTGCTTCGCAAAATGGACGCCTGTTCGGCGATGGTGCGCAAAGAGAGTTCGAAGATCGGAGGCAGACCACACATGGGAAAGTTTTCCAGATGCTGAGAGATCATTGGAAGGACGCGGAACAGAAGCTTCTTAGCACCCTCGACAGCGGGTCGCTGCGAGCGGTGGAACCCAATTTCCTGGGACGCAATGTGCAGATAAAGCCATAATAGCGTAGCAACATAAGTCAATCCCAGGTAGCTCTGATGAGGAAGGAGAGGTGAGTGCCGTTCGGGATAAATACTATCTGGTCCGATCAACCTGCATCCGAGGGGCAGACGATCATCCCACTGCTTCAATTCCGAGACCAGTTGTTGCGCAACCATATGAGAATTGGTCCCAGTGGTGGCGTCGCGAGCGATTTTGTTGAGTACACCTGCTAGTTCGACAAGCCGGTTGAAGCAACTGAGGGCAAGCAACGGTCCCCGGCGCGGCGGATTCTTTCCCCCAGCCGTGCTCCTCGGTGGGAGCACGTCGGCCCACGAATTCCACTCTTCTAAGCCGTCCTCTTCCAGGAGTCCCACCGTGGCCAGATTGCGAGGGTGCATGCAGGGCCTTCGCGACAGGCGGAAAGAGAGTAATGAATCGATTACGAAGCAGCCGAGGAAAACAGCTTTCCCTTGCCGCAACTCGTCGGACCGCCGCACATCCACCAGCGAGCCCAAGTTCATGGAAATAGCCATGCGAATAGCCTGGCCGCTCAGCAGCCAGGCAGCGGTCCAATCTTCAAGGCCGGTATTCACCAGGGCCAGTAGTAGAAGTGCCTGCACATGTCCGAGTTCGTAACGTTCCGTTTCCGAGGGAATCAGGTTGCGAGAGATCGCGTAGTACTTTTTCGTTGTCGAAATCATCCCCGGCGCGCGGTCTCGTGCGCTGGTGCGCGACTGAGAAATTGTGTAACTGAGCACAGCCCACAGCGCCGCATGGTCGCCGGACCCAGGCGACATACTCGTGATGGAGAGGGGAGAACTCGCGTAGAGGTAAGAAGCTCGCAGAATGTTATGCTTCGCGACGACCGGAAACCAGGAATGGGTGACAGCGAAATACAGGTCCAATAGTTGTGAAGTCTGTGAAGGGAGTTTCAGGGCTTGGGGTCTGAAAAGAATCTGCGGCGCAGGTTGACTGCCATCAGAGAACGACAATCGAGGCCTCTTGGTATTGGGCGAAGGAGTCGATCTGATCACTCGGGGTGCATCGTGAGCAAAGGGCGTGGAACTTCGGTCGATCCTAAAACCCCATTCGCTAGCCGAGTCAACTGAATCGCGATCATGACCCTCTCGCGACCTTTTACCGAATCCCGGGGTCGAGGACGTATCGGAATTCGCCAGCATCTTCTCGAGCGCACCGTACAGGCGACTAGTCTTCCAGGAATCATGCAATGTTTCTGAGGTGCCATCATCTCTCCACAAGCTCATGAGCTTGTCCCTCCGGCCATCGGAGCCAGGGGCTGTGCCCAAGAGAGCCAACATGGTGTCTTCAAAGCCATCAATGTTACAGATGGATAATGCCCAAAGCTTCTCGAGACCACGGACGTAGCCCTCCGGCAACCCACGCTTTTTCGCATGTGGATCGTACGAACAGGCCTGGCCAGAGGCTTGACAGGCGGAACAGGTGGGACGAATACCGTCGCATTTGTCCTATGAAACAATTTCGATGTCAGCACCAGTCAACCACCCCAGGCAGGCTGAAAGAGTGAGATTCAAAGGAGAAAGAGCAAGAAGAAGACCCGGGAGAGATAGAAAAGCAGAGTAGTGACCAACCTTTTTGCTCCGGCACCTGTCGCAAGCGCGCGAGACCCTCTTGCGCCGAGGAGCTTTGGGATCGGGACCTTCGTCCATCGAGGATAAATTAATGACGGGCAAATTTGCACGCCATGTAGGGAGAGGAAGCAGTAAGAGATACAAAAACTCGCTGTAGGCCCCCCCAGGAAAATGAAGAAGCAGGAGGTCAGGGAAATCGTAACCAGCGGAAACCAGATCAACGACTAAAGATCACACAACGCACACAACAATGATCAAGCTGCCTGCCTCTAGGTTATGTCGCCGATAATTGAATGGTGCTTCCGATTCAATATGGCGCAACCGGAAAGAATGCGGTCAAGAAATTACGCCAAACCAGAATCAAAGATATAGGAAGGATGAAGGTATAGAGAGACACATCTGCACAGAGATCCATAGCCACTAGATACGAGCGCAGAGTCGATTATCAGCCCGACGCTTACTCCGTGCCAGATCTTGGATGAGACTCTGTCACACCTGAGAGGACTAGACCCATTCCGAGGAAAAGTAGAACGGCTTTCTATCAGAGTGCATCGGGGAGGAGGCTGGGAAGTGATGTAGGAAAATTGTAAGAGAAATTGGTTGAACCGTCGAGACTCGACTACTCGAAAGTCCGTCGGCTTCACCCCACATTGCCTCCTCCACGGTTCTCCACAACAGGATGTGGGATGATTCTCAGTCTTAGAGAGACATAAGATATGCATTAGAGATGGACTCACATTGATTGTTGGTTAGCAGTAGTAGTAGTAGTAGTATGGCTATGAGTATTATCTATCGTTTGTGTTTATATATTGCTGCAGGTTGTTATAGAGTAATTGCATGTATTTGAGAACGCCTGATGGGGTACAATACCATACAATACCCCCAGGCTCGGTCCTTCGAATATATTTCCAGAGTTACAGAGTAACTAAGGTAGTAGGTAACTAACTACATGTATCATGTATGATGAATTGATTATATCCAAGTGCTCCGTAGTATCCATCAGACTAGTACTATTATCAATCAATCATATTAAGTATCCAGAGTTGAAAGAGCACCCTGACCATAGTACTCCGTACACTCCGTACAAGTTGCTGTCTCGCAAGAACTGCCGATCATCGGCACTTTGACAAACTCGTGAATTTCTCAATTCTCAACATCTCCGTGGATCAGATTGAGCAGGAGACTAAAGGGGATTAATGATTCTAGTACCTAGTACTAGTAGCATCCATCTCAGAGTAGGCTACAAAGCTCAATTGCCCATGAGATGTGAGAACACTACTACTACATCCCACTTAATCATACCTACCTTGGGTTAATCTTGGACCGAGCCTCCCCGGCATCCCGAGTCGGTAAGTCTCCATTATATAGTTCCCCCCCCATGAATAATAATTAACACGATCGATCTGTATAGAGTAATAATAGAATTGACAATGTATCTAAAAGAATTTGTCACACAAGAGGTATCATTTTGGGTTAGCCTTCGACCGATATGATATGCTCATTGTTTGGTGCAATGGCTGTCATATAATCCATAGTAACTCCATCAACATGGATGGTACTCACATTGGATTCTCACAAAAAGACGCAATTGGGCATCGGATAGAACTGATATCACTCTGAAAGAGTAGCCAATTGCTTCCGAGAGTGATCTCAGACTCAATCTTCTGAGCCTGAAAGACTTCAAGAGGGCAAAGAGGGAAGAGGGAAGAGGTACTATTGACCCGGCTAAGAGCTTTGCCGCGACCCACATCCCCAGGCGGTAGCACAGGGCAGAATCTCCATCTAGGGAAAAGCACATCGACCAACCGGCAAATCATCAGTGACGCCCTCCGTCCGTTCGACTCTAACCACCAACTATTATTCTGATCATAAGTGAGTCTCGCAAATCATAATCTGCTGCTCCATGATAAATAAGAAATACAATGTTTTCTTGCAGAATCATCAAAACACTCCCTGCTGCATCGTAATTGCAACTTCCTTACCGTTGTGTTGCTGGGGAACCTCGTCTTAACGCCCATTGTTCGCTTCCATCAAGAGGAATGCTTGCAGTGTAATGAGCTTAGTTTTGGCGCAGAGTTACTTGAAATATTGAAAAAGAAAATGGCGCTCTTGACGATCACTCTCTCTGGTTGAATGAGGATTGATTCATTGTCTCTACAGTGATTCCACGTTACCTTTGTCGATTTCTTTTATCGGGATGATGCCTCCGGCCCCAGACCTCAGCCCGCGGCGGGAATTCAACCCTGATGCCTCCTTAGTGCTGGTCGGCATCCGAGGGTGCGGGAAGCGTTCCTTGGGCTTCGTTGCGGCTGCTGCTTTAAAGCGACGTTTCATCACGGAGGACCATTACTTCAAAGAAGTCACCGGGCTCACGCGGCATGAATATCTTCAGCACTATGGCAGCCAAGAGTTTCAACGTCGCGATATCGATGTTCTCAAGAAAATGCTTGATAATCATCGTTCGCAATGTGTCATTGAGTGCGGTCTTGGGAGCCTGACTCGCCCGGTACAGGAGCACCTCCGTTTGTATTCGGCAACCAATCCCGTCGTGTACCTTGTCCGTGACATGGATCGCATCCAACGCCTGTTAGGCTTAGACGAACAGGCAGTCAGGTTACTCTGTGAGAGCGACCCTTTGCACAGGACTTGTTCGAATTTCGAGTATTACAATGTAGAAGACCGTTCCAACATGTCGGCTCAGACTGACGAAGACACGGCGGACCGCCGTTCGATCAGTTATTCGTTCAAATTACGAGAGGCGAAGGAGGATTTCACTCGTTTTGTACGTTTCGTCACCGGTGCAGACGTGGATCAATCCGGCTACGATTCACCGTTTGTGCTGTTGGAGACACCTCCCGAACTGCGATCCTTCACCCATGCGATCTTCGTCCGCTCTTCGAATTTGATTGAAGGGGCTGTTGACTTGGCGGAGCTGGAGTCGGGTGGAGATGCGATTGAGCTCTGCGTTGACCGCTGGGGCTCAACCATGGCAAACACTGTGAGCAGGCAGGTCTCCTTGCTTCGCAGGAATGCCCGGACACCCATCGTATTCTCTATCGACACCTCAGCATCTGGAATCGGTAGCGGTGACCTCTCCTCGGCCCAATTATCCAAGCTGTACTTTCATATCCTGGAGCACGGCTTAAGGCTGGCAGTGGAGTATCTAGCCGTGGATTTGGGTCAAGATCAGTCCCTGTTGAAACGGGTGATTCGCAACAGGGGCAGAACAAAGATCATTGGGCATTACGTCATTGAACCATCCTCCTGCGTGTCTTGGGAGGATGATGAGTGCCTTTCCCTTTATATCGAAGCTGAAAAGCTTGGTTGTCAACTTGTGCGCATCCTGCGGGTGGCCACCGAGCGCGAAGATAATGCAGCCGTTGGCAATTTCACAAACAAGATTCAGTCCTTATCCGGAACGCACCCACCTATAATTGCCTACAATACAGGCAGTCTGGGGAGAACTTCTCAAGTCTTCAATCCAGTACTTACTTCCGTGACCCATCCAGCGATCACGCGTCATTTGAACAATGGCAGGGACGCCTTGATCACTTCACAAGACGCAGTTCAAGCCTTATTCCAGAGCTATACGCTAGACCCTCTTCAATTCTACATTCTCGGAGGAAACGTCGCGTACAGTCTTTCGCCTGTCATGTACAATGCTGCTTTCCGCCACTGCGGGATGAGCCACACGTACAGTATCCCCGAATCTCCCTCCCTTGCGGCATTAGACAGACTCGGCCGTGACCCGCATTTTGGAGGTGCGAGCATTGTTCAGCCATGGAGAGTACAGGTCTCTCAGAAACTGGCCTCAAAAAGCAGACATGCTGAGGCTATCGGAGCGATCAATACTATCATGCCGTTACGTGCACGCGCAGATGGTACCATGTTTCCATTGCAAGAGCAGGCCAGCCGCCGTAATCAGGCGGGCCCCGTCCTGGGATGGTATGGAGAAAACACGGATTGGGTGGGTATCATGACTTGTATTAGTCGTAATCTGTCCCCCCGCAACGCCATCAGTTCCTTGAAAACCACAGGATTGGTGATCGGAGCGGGTGGCATGAGCCGAGCGGCAATCTATGCAATGCTTCGACTGGGTTGCCGCAAGATCTTCATATACAACCGAACTACATCGCGCGCGGAAAGTGTCGCACGCCACTTTAATTCTTGGGCTGCATCGCAGGTAGGGTCAGCTCAAGTGGTCCGGGTGCTGAGATCGCTTCAAGATGAGTGGCCATCAGATGCCAGTCCTCCGTGCTTGATCGCCTCCTGCGTGCCTGCAGATCCCGATAGAGATGAGCCTCCAGCCAACTTCGAAATGCCGCCACAGTGGCTCGGAAGTCCGACTGGGGGCGTGGTCTTGGAGGTAAGCCGTCCCTTGATTGTATTTGACAGTGAATTCTCAATTAATTGTTCTGTTGGCAAATAGTTTGCATATAAACCCCTGGATACCTCATTATTACGTCAGATGCGTCGATTCCGAAGCGAAACTGGCCGGCCATGGGTTCTGGTAGATGGTCTTGACAACGTTTCAGAACAAGCCATCGCGCAATTTGAACTCTTGACGGGACGAAAGGCGCCTCGCCGATTGATGACATTCGAAGCTCTTCGGAATTACGTTGGTGAGAAGGGACCATTCGACGAGAGGGCGATTCAGTCACGGCTAGATCACGTCTGATTAGACATTCTGATCACAGAAGAAGAGATCGACGTCTTGAAACTTGTACATAGTAGCCATATCATATTTGAGAGCAGGATCGATCTATAAATATAACCGGCAAACATACCCGTAGACACCCACAGAATATCATTCATCTGAGAGTCACTACAAAGATGGTATTATTTGCTCAACACATTGGTAAATGATAGAGAGAATATAAGCCAACAAATATTTGTTTGAGCATTGTTTTTTGAAAGATGCTTGTTGCTAAAATTATGAGTCCCCAAACCAGGATGAGGACATGATCACGTGTGTGCATTGTTGGGGTCTGCGGATCTCCATCACTTACAGGGGGTATCCGTGGTCCAGATCTTTGAATGTCCGCCAGGAGATTGAGTCCATCTGTGTCTCACACGACAGAATGGCCTCCTGCACCTTATTACTCTGTTCTTTGACGTAAAATGGGAACTAAAAAGGGCTCCGTTCTTCCCTATCGCAGGGGTTCTGGGTCCTCCGAAGCGGACTTCTTCGACATCCCCGACGAGCCATGCCTTGCCATCGTGAAACGACAACTACGACGTATTCGAACCTGGATCATTTTCCTAGTGCTTGTCCTTCTGATCCTTTGGTTCCGCCGTGAACCGGCACCGCCGCCGCCAGTTTCGCACCTCGATTATGATACAGTAGATTGGTCGCGCTACGCGTATAGCCAATATGCGACATCGAGCGCATATCTCTGCAATGCCGTGATGGTATTCGAGGCACTGGATCGTCTGGGCAGTCGAGCTGAAAGGGTCCTTTTTTATCCAGAAGGTTGGGATTTGTACGTCTCCGATAACCGGGACAGAGATAGTCAACTATTGCAGCTCGCCAAGGAGAAGTACAAGGTGGTCCTGGTGCCGATTGACCCGAGTATCATTAAACCGGGAGAAGGTGAGTGAAATGAGAACTCGATCACGGAACTCATCTTGCCTATTTGAAGACGCTAACCCGTGGCCACAATCAATTCAGGTTCAGGCGAATCCTGGGACAAGAGCATCACGAAATTACTTGCTTTTGGCGAGACAGAATACGACCGCTTGATCCATCTTGACTCCGACGTAACGGTACTTCAGGAAATGGACGAGCTTTTCTTCCTTCCTCCGACAAAAGCGGCGATGCCGCGGGCCTACTGGACACTTCCTGAGACAAAACAGCTATCGTCCTTGCTGGTCGTAATTGAGCCTTCTTACCGAGAGTTCACTGCTCTGATGGAAAGGGCGCAACCAGCTCTCTACGGTCAGGTGGATACCAGCCTTGACAACGATACTCAGCGGTATGATATGGAGCTTTTGAACAGCCGATATGGCGATTCGGCCCTTGTGCTTCCGCATCGGCAGTACGGGTTGATCACCGGGGAATTCCGAAAGAAAGATCACAGATACTTTCTCGGAAACGATTACGAGACCTGGGACCCCGACAAAGTCTTGGCCGAAGCCAAACTTGTACACTTTTCAGACTGGCCGCTACCTAAGCCTTGGGTTATGTGGCCGCAAAAACTGCTGGCTGAATTATTGCCAAAGTGTGATTTTAAGCCCGGCACGTCCCAGGAGAAGGGGTGTCGGGACCGGGAGGTTTGGAAATCACTTTACCAAGATTTCCGTCAGAGACGAAAGGTTTCTAATCCCACATCGGCATTGACGAAAAGAGAGCTCCTGCTAACGTATATACTTTAGGACATCTGTAAATTATTAAGCTATCCTGCACCGGATTGGCCTCCCATAGAAAAGCCTCCGAGTGACGGATCTTCCGGCTCCTCGTGATATGGACTTTCATAGTTTCTTTTTTCCAGTGACAGCATATACAGCGGCGTCTTAAGGAGTTACGATGGGGGGATCAGTGGGCTTATGCATATAACACAGTTCGGTGTATACCGCGGGAATAAATTGTTCAATGCGTCTCGTATATAGATTCTATTTATAGATATGCTAAATTTCATCCGTGTTCAAATATACCTGTAACCTGCAGAAAACAGGGTCATCCTAGCCACATTGACAAGCTTATGTCTTAGGGCATCAGACTTGGTCTTCTGGGCAACTCGTCCTACAGAGCATCACACAGCATGATCATTGACTTTGAAGTCGATATCACTGCGCTGCATGGCAATTAGACAGTGTGTACATCCAATCAATGCCCCCTTATTGCTAGATGTCCGGCGTATGATACCCCCCCGCTTTAGATATTCGGCAATAAACAAGCTGCCACGATCTCTGGCTAACAGGTCCCCGTCCCTGTCAGCTTCTCTCAGCTCTCGCTAGTCTGACAATGGTTTTAGACCCACTGATTTTAATTTGAGGTGTGGGATCACTCGCGCCGTGGTAAGTAATATACGGCAACTTTTCGTATCATTTGCTGCATATCCTTTTAGGTGCTGGCTTCGATGACGAAGTATTTGTGTTGGAGGTCTTGGCCGAGGGAATGGAAATGTCCCTGGCCCGGGCATGCAAGGACTTGGTGCTGCGGCACTGGAGTCCAAGCAGAGAAAGCCTCGAGCATGCACGGTGGGCGCCCAGGAGCAGTGGAACTATGTGCAAGGATAGCAGCATGTACTCAATGGCACTTGAAAGTTCCGGGTCACATAGTCATGCTAATATTAAGCACCAAGGGAGCTTGGAGATCCTCCGAATGCTTAGAAGCATATGCCTGGTGGAGGGAAATCAACTCGGGTGGCCCGAACCGGGTCCACTGAAATGTGAGATCTCAGTCACTGGAATATCCCATGCCTTTTCTCCACCAGGCCCAGACACCCCGCTGTTCCATCAAACCACCAAACTCTTTGCTGTCTCGACTTCGGATAGTCCGACAATGGGTCTCGCTGCTGGTTTCGAGCTTCGAGCATGTCCATTCACCTGGGAATCTTCGCCTTGAGTTTCTTTCGTCACCACCCCCGGCCGGCTTACGAGCTGAAAGTCTTTATACCGCAGATTGCGTACCACGTTGACCCATGACTCAACAGAGTCTTTGCCTTCCGCTTCAACATACATGATTCCCGGACAGCCTCCGGAACGAAGAAGTACGAAACAATTGTGCATGTCCGCTGCGCGTTTCAAGGCAGACACTTTCTTGCGAGATGTGATGTGGTGGGTGCGAATGAGGGCATTGTAGAGCATTTTTTAAGCCATCAAAGTAAGTTGGAACTTCGGTGATACCCAGTGTACTTAGAGAAAAGACATGACAAGAGCCCAGGAAATATGGCGTTGTCCTCTCTAGAGTAACCCAGTAGATGTGTTTATATTGCCATATTTCACCGCCATCGCTGAGCTTAGAGTGCCCTATGACGTCATATCAGCTTCTCCCCGTTGAAGCTTCAAGTTTGTGCCCCTTAAGGAAAATGCAAAGTGTCCTACTAAGAAAGCAGGGGTTTCGACTTCGCTTGTGATATTAGAGGTCGTTGAGACGATGAACACCTTACTTCTGGGAACATTGAAAGACTTTCATCGAATTCTGACAAGATAGCAGTGAGGCCAGATACATCAGGAATAGAATCATGCCACCAATACATGAGAGCCTTTCGTGCCTGAGCCTGAGCCCGCATTAACCAGGCCCTTCCGACACAAGATGCGAGAACGAAACCACCTTTAGCTGGCAGATGATTTGGCGGACACTGCTTAACAATGATCCATTGAGAGCCTAAGAAATATTGTCCCGATGATCGCAGCTATTGCATCACTCGTACCAAATAAGGGGCAGTATTCTGAATTCCGTCATCTCCAGACCTGAGGTGTCTGGGATAGTGTCCACGATATTGATGTACGCATCTCATGATCCAAAAATTGCTTAATGTTATGCCAAGTCATGAACGGCATATGTTCCAGTGCAATATGAGGGACTGTTCTACCATTTTCATTTAGATGCAAGGGCTTGGGATGCCTGTCGTGTCTTCGTTCCTCTCCTGCTACACTACCTTTATTCCTGGCGAGTTTCCCACATCAACACAAATTCATCTATGGTTCCTATGTCATTATGATGAGCCGGAGCTGTATTTCCGTTGAGAAGGCTATATCAAGAGGACAGAGCGCCCAAGGTGTCGTGTGCTTTCCAGCATGTTCAGTCTTTTCATAGTCCTCGGAACACTTGGTCCTTCACGAATACAAACAGTTCTACATCTATAGAGACAACAATGACAGAATCAGCCAGGGCAGCCATCTCTGAGATTTCCGGCCACGACCTCGACAAGTGGCTCCGCCCATCGACTTTTACAAACGAGCTAGAGGAGGTATTGATACCGTTCATCCTTGCTACTGGACCCCTGCTCTCGACTTTCCCTCTTCTATGAAGCTTGACTAACAGCGGTGGAAGTCCGTCAGAGGTCACATTCACCAAGAGTTGACCAGCTGGCTGGTATATCGAAAACTCGCAGCAGATTGTTCACGCAGTAACATCGCACTGCATGGATTCGCCATGTATGTTTTCTTTATTGTTTCCATCTCTGTCGGGCGTGTGGTTGTAGTCCTTCAAAGCTGACAGGTGGAACCAACTAGGCTTTGGGAAAGGAGTGCTAGAGAGTGCTTAATTGATATGACTTGGCTGGAGAAATATCTCATTACACGTGGAGGCCGATCTAAGCCCACAGACATCCAAGCACCGAAGATTGAGTGGCCAGATACGCCTGTCGACCCCGTCACCCCCTGTCGGGAGGTATTCATGGTCCAGAAGAAGCTCTTTGAGGATCTGGAACGACTGTGTTCCCTGGCTGAGAAGTCCCAGGACACGGCTCTGGTGACTGCGATCGAGTCACGATTTTTGCGTAAACATACACAGCAATTGAAGAATCTCGGTGATCTCCTGCAGCAAGTGGCTCGAGTCTCCAAGCAACCCGGGCTTGGCCTGTATCTTATTGACGCAGAACTACGCCATCATAACGGCTGCATCCCTTGGATGACCCTCAATAACCCCGATACTCATGATGAAGGAATCAGGGTCGTGACAAAGAAAATTAGCGAGGGGCTTGCACTTCAGTCACACCACGGAGGTGGTCATGAATAAAAGAGTTCTGGTGGTCATTGAATGTGTTCACATGGCCAACAGGGTGTCTCTATATTTCATGAGAGCTTGAGTGAATGCCTCGATTGGATAAGGCAAAAGCTTGTAGAGTGTGACATGGTGGATTATCTTACTAGTGCGTACTGGTCCAGATTTCAATGCTTTGACCCTGCAGTAATAGTCACAAAATAAATGATGATTTCTTATAAAGTTGTCTCTGAGAGGTGTTTTCAATCCTTGGGTCCAAAGAATCCTGTAGAACTATATTGGAACAGGTGGACTGCATCTAGATTCTTCATCCAAGACAGCACATTAGAAGTCTTGTATATCCCTGACTGCCATGTCTTGTATAGATGCTGATCTAACGTTCAACAGCACCATACCAGCAAAGACCTAAAATACCACCAAAGATAATCGCCACTGGTGGAGGCACCTTGAACCAAGCATTCTCTGCGTAGGTGACGGCTGCAACAACCACCCACCATGGCTCAATAGCAAGACTTTGGCCATTGCTGGCCTTGGGGGTGAGATACCCAATCTCCCAGAGCCTATACACAGCGGTAAACACCAGACCGACAGCACTGGCATTGACGCCCCTTAGCCAGTCGACGACCCATTTCTTCTGGCGCAGCACTCTCCAGAAGCTTTGCATAGCAACTGCCAGTGTGATACCGGGCACGAAGATGCCGATGTAGCCGAGGAAGGCACCGAAGATAGTCGGGAATTGAGACTTCTGGAGAGCAAGAGCACCCAAGAAAACGGCCAAGTTGAAGTTCGGGCCAGGGAATGCTTGAATAAGAGCCAGGCCGATCAGGAAATCCCTGCCAGACACCCAGCCGGGGTCGACGACATAGGAGCGAAGAAGAGGGATCACGACAGGGCCGCCACCGAAGATAATCGTCCCCGCCAGATACATGTTTGCGAATAGATCGAGGGCAAGTGGTGGGGCGGTTATAACGCCTCTTGCTACCATGATCGCGATGAATGATGCTGGATAGAAATCAGCAAGCGCTCACATATCAGAGCAGAGGAATGGTTAATGGCATGAGCATGCAGCTTACCGAAAAAAGCGATGCAGGCCATGATCCCAACACGGATACGGATGATATGATCCTGAGACGAGCTAACTTCCGAGGATAAAGTCTGCGTATCAGATGTCGACTCCGGGAGGGGCATTGTAGCCTGTCTAGTCTTTCGTGACCGCATATTGCTCTGGTTGACGGTTATCATTTGACTCTGACGATCCTGTTGCTCCTGGAGCTCCACTTCAGAGGGAACATCATTTGCCTGCCTGGCTTCTTCCAGGTGGCTATCCCTCCGTCTCCATTTCAATCTCGTCTTACGAATGAATTGGCTCATCCATCCATCCCATACAACAGTGGACATGCCACCAATCACCATCAGCAGGGGAAAATACCAGAGAGCATTGTAGCAGAGACCTGCGCACGCCCCAAGGATGACCAGAATGCGGGTGAGCTTGTCCTTGATTGCTTTCTCCGCTAGCTGGACTGCTGCCAAAGCAATGATCCCCACGGTTGAGGCATTCAGACCAGAGAGGAGTGCATATGCGATAGGGGGTAGGGAATCATTGATATTTTGAATTCCCAGGGAGAGAGCGTACATGCCTACCGCGCCGGGAAGACTGAGATAGAAGTCAGCTCCGTTTCGGTGAGTTGCTCATTGGGCTACCAGCAAGCAGAATAGAAAGTGTCTGGTTCCTCACCTCCATAGCATGAATACTAAAACGGCCGGGATGAAGCCCGCATGCAATAAAGCCAGGCAGAAGAGCATCTTCGTGCTCGCGGGGCCCGGTAGAGCTTGACAAATAGCAAAAAGCTCTTGATACTACAAAACAAAGCAGTCAGTACAGGGAGCGCTTTTCTATTGCGATGCAGCCTCACACTCTGCTCGTCCACCCATTTCTCCTGGCCCCCTTTGCCCTCGACAAACTTCTCATGGAAAATCTGGAAATGAACCGGTGGGCCTCCAAAGGCAGTAAATCCCAGATGCCACGTGCGACAGAAGACATCGCTTAATCGACTATATAGACCTTTCTTCTGCTGCTCTGTCGCAGCTCTCTCCTGCACACGCTGGTTCAAAGCGCGAAGCGAGGAGAGATAGCGGGAAAATGGTGCTGGGAGCTGCATCTCTCCCCGTATCCCTGGTTCTTAAGATCAAAAAGAACTTGAACCAGGTTGAGTTGAGAAAAGAAAGCTTCCGAGATTTATGTGTTTGAATCCGTTGTCCCTGGTCATCATGTTTATCATATTTCCATAGGTATAGAGACCCGGGGGGATTTTCTTGGCAGGTTGGCAAACCAGCCAGTCCCAGTGGAGGAATCTGTCACGATGTCGGGTCTGAGTGAGGCCATCATTCTCCATCACAAGTGGTTAGTGCCTGGGGCCAACTCTAATATCAGACTCTGTTCCTGCACATTGTCAGGTTGATATATACTAGATAGATAGATAGATATTGACTATCTACTATCTACTCCCTACTGCTATCACAATATTCATCTTCACTACTATACTAGTACCATTCGTCAGATCCCTTAGTGTCTAATCAACAGCAATGAACGGTTGCATTGTGTCCCTAAGGTAACCCCATGATCCTGTAATAGTACACTAGCAAATATCATAGAACGCATTCTGCAGACCTGATCCTCGGTATATCTTTCTTTTCCATCTTCTCAGCCATATCATACAGCATCATACAAGTTCATCAATTCGTAACGGTATCATCGCCTCGATTTCCATGTCTTCCTTGGAGTAATCCTATGCACCCTCGCGGCACTTATTCTTCCCTTCTGCATCGGCTTCGGACCCCCTTAGAGAAGCCCTTCCCGATATTCCATCCACTCGTTGGATCTGATATGAAGGTCAAACAGTGCCCCGCATGTGATTCTATCCAGTCGTCTGCAAGCTTTCTCAAATGCAGAATAGTACTGTCGATTCTCATAGAAGTCACCTCTTCCAAATCTTCGAGGCAGGCCGAGCAGCCCATTTGGAGGTGATAATAGGGGTTGAAGAATGACCATTTCCAGTGACCCTAACCCGCCATAGCTGCGATTCGTCAGGTTGGTCAGCAGCTTTGACACCGGATGTTCACAACCGCGAATGATCAAATATTCGAGAGACTCGGGCAGCTCGGGATCATCGTTCAAGAAGCATTGCTCGATCTCCAGATGTTGGAGGTTTGTAAAGGAAGCGAACGGTTCAATTGTTGGATAATCTTCCTGTTCCATAAGGCGAGGGCTTGTGAAATTGGTATTGACGACAATCACCTCAAGTGTCTCTTTCTGAGAATGCAGCATTGGAAAGATCTTGGAGCTGCTTTCCAACGCCGCCTCGTATATGAACATCTTAAGACCCTTGCACGAGCGCACGAGAGGTTCCAAGTCGTCTACCTCCATGTAACTATGGTTCAAGGAAAGAGATGTTAGGTTGGGGGATTGCAATGGAAGAAGCACCTTCACATGTCTAGCCCTCGTCACGTTCAGGTGCGAGATAGACAAATTCTCCAGGTGCGGTAGGCGCAGAAACTGTGCAATAATATCAGTCGAGATATCGTTGAACTCGGTTGGATCTGCCCGAAGGACGAGGTCTTTCAGATTGGATAGATGCTGGGACAGGAAGTCGGTGTTAGTCAAACGCCCAATTAAGCTCGATAATTCCCACCACCCTTCTTGCCTGAGCGTGATCTGAAGGTATTGTAGATTTGGTGTTTGAGACCAAAGTAGGGCAATCAGAGAAACGGCCTTTGTTCCAATGATAGACGATAAGAATCTTGCTTGATTCTCGACTGGAAGCTTCTGAGCACCATCTACTAGCAGTCTTATAGTCTTCGTCGTGAGTGCCTTTGGCCATCTTTCCGGACCCAGGGGCTCCCATTCTGAGGTATCGAGCATCACCTGGCGGACTCTTACTCTCAGGTCAGGTCGAGAGAGAAGGGTTCGAGTGAAGCAGAGCAGAGGTTCGAGACCATCGGAAAATCCCGAGTGCTGATGGCAATTGAAGCAGTGATATCTGCGTACGTAAGCCTTGAACAGTATCGGTTGAGCCAAAGCGTAAAGTTGGCGCGAAGTCAGGCACAGGGACAGGAGGACAGGGGTATGCTGGGGGGACTCAAAGTACTTGAGGATGAATAGAAGCATTTCAGGAGGCAAACGGAGGAGTCCCTGCATTGCGAATAGGAGGTAATGATTGGAAAGGTGCGTGAAGTCGGAGAGGGTAAGAAGCGTGGAGTAGAGGATTCCATACCGCTGGGAGGAAAATGGTGCTCGGCGTCAGGCACGGGCTCCTTAAGTGAGCACTACATGAGAGGTTGAGAACGAGCTGAACTCCTACACCACTCTTGAGACTTGCTTTCCTCTTGCCATCATACATGCATCTTTATCTGCTGGGGGTGATTTTGATTAAACACATGTAGTCAGTGGTATCATCCGCAACCCGCTTAGAACTCATTGCATTTTCTTGGACCAGATATCAAATTTCACACTTGGTTGTGAATATCACGGAGCATCAGCGATCAGCAGCCAGAGCCTTCAGTCTTGGAACCAGGGCCATCATGTATTTGTGATAGTAGTATAGAGCAGGAATATATATTGACTCCGTATAATCACAGAGAAGATAAAAAAGTCAGTCCTTCACTCGAAGTGTCCCTGGACTGACTCATTCTTCACCACTTCAAAACGATCCTCCTCTATCCAGCGAGTCCGTCGATAGACGGGAACCGCGGGCTCCGAATCACGCATCTAGAACTTCAGATCATCGTGGCAATCCTGAGTCCTGAGTCCTGACTCGGATGTTTTTTCTGACTGCTGGAGCGAACGGCTAGTCACGTGGAGAATGGCGCGTGGCACTAACCACGTTAAGATGCCTTGGCACGTGGAGCCAATTGGTTACTAGCCTCAGGTTCTCGTCTTGGCTGCCTTTTTTGCAGGCTGTCTCCTCTTCCAACTTCCAAGCGTCCACTAACTCCACTCATCCACTCTCCAGACTCTAGTGGTTCAATTTCTCACACGAGCTGCCAAAGTTGGCAATGACCTGGAGTAACTATGAGGACTCTTCTATGGCCTTCCAACCATAATGGATCAACTCATGAATTTGATTGCATGGCACAACTTCTGTCAAGTGTCAAACTCGATCTACCAGAGTCATGGGGCAAGCTAAAGACCACTAGATCGTGTTCTACTTTTCTACAAGCAAAAAAAAAAAACATTGTTATGTTTTCTCCATATCGTCAGTGGGAATGATATCATTTTCCAGTATTTTCTCTCTCTCTCTCTCCTTTTTTTTTTTTTTTTCTTATGTAGCTTCTGGAATCGATTGAGCCTTGGCTTCCCTTTTCGGTGGCCATGGAGCCACATGTTTCTGTCCACAGTTTTCACCCAACGTTTCGATCGATTTAAAAACAGTATATTTGGCCACAATGGAGTTGTTCTCTGAAAATCGAATCTGCCAACTTGATCTGACGCAGACAAAGAATCGGACTCTGGTGAAGATCAAGCGGCATGCCAGCCCATCTTCTTCCTCACCGTGGTGGTGCATCAATTGCATCCCCACATGAGACAGACCTCCAACAAGATGTAATTTCCACATCTCAAGTTCACTCATCTCGCGAGGACGAGAATGCCATCGCCGAGATCCATCGTACGTTGACAGAGAGAACCCGGCATGGAGATCGCCAATACCCCGAGCCGCACTCATCATTCGATCATTTTCTTGAGAAGGAACTTCGGGATGGGAAGAGAAAGGCGAACCTGGGCGTCTGCTTTCTATCTATCACAACCTGGGGAGACGGAGCAGCGCACGTCAATGTAAAGACACTGGGGACCGCTTTATGGCGCACCTTAACATTCCAAGATGTCTATGAATGGACTATCCAGCCTTTATTCTCGAAGAGAAAGCCCCATAATGGACGCCGTCTTATTCGTGACTTTTCTGGAGTGGTTCGAACTGGAGAGATAATGCTGTAGGTTCCCAATCTTCCCGACTTGCCCTGTCCCACAAAGAGCTAATCCCGTGTCCTTAGCGTGCTGGGACGACCAGGAGCTGGGTGTTCAACATTCCTTCGGACAGTTGCTGGCTATCATTCCTCTTTTCTTGGAGTGTCGGGAACTCTCGATTATTCGGGAATCAGTCAAGAAGAGGTCAAGAAATACTACCGGGGCCAAGTGGTCTATGTCCCCGAGGACGACGCGCATTTCCCCACTCTCAACGTCCAGCAAACTCTGGAGTTTGCCCTGGAAAGTAAGACACCCAAGAGATATCAAGAGAGAATACCGCGATATCTTGAAATTTACGGGAAAGTGTTTGGGATGTCCCACACAATGAATACGCTCGTAGGAAATGAGTATATCAGGGGCGTCTCAGGTGGAGAACGAAAGCGGATCTCCATCATTGAGTCTCTTGCAACGGACTCATCAGTCATGTGCTGGGATAATTCTACCAGAGGTCTGGACGCTCTGTCAGCGTTGGACTATGTCCGCAGTCTCCGAATCATGACCGACACATGCGGCAAGGCAACTCTGTTGACCCTGTACCAAGCGTCTGATGCCATCTTCGACCTGGTCGATAAAGTTTTGCTCATTGACGAAGGACGCATGCTCTATCAAGGCCCTGCATGCGAAGCTAAAAAGTACTTCGAAGATTTGGGTTATCAGTGTGCGGAGATGCAGACCGTGTCGGACTTCCTGACAAGCATCACACTCCCAGAGCGACGAAAGTTCCGGCCTGGATGGGAGCATCGTGCCCCCAAAGGACCAATCGAATTGGAGAATGCTTTTCGAAAAAGTGAGGCTTTCCAGCATGTACAAAATGACATAAGACGCTACGAAGATAACAAGCTTGACGGCAAAGTTACGGGTGAATCACTGTTTGATTCGGATTGTGGGAGCTTGGAGGATTTCAAAAGGGCTGTTCAGACTGAAAAGTCTCGCTTTGTCTCTTCCAAATCGCCCTACACAATCTCCCTCTTCCGCCAGGTAGTCCTGTGTGCCAAACGTCAGATGTGGCAAGTGAAAGGCCACATGTCGCCGATCTTCATTAAGCTCATTTCGTGTGTGATTTACGGTCTGTTGATCGGATCAATGTTCTACGATTTGCCACAGGATACTGATGGCATGTACTCCCGTGGAGGCGTCATATTTTATTCCTCTATTTTGCTTGCCTGGCTTCAGATGTCGGAGTTGGAAGAGGCAATGCAGGGGCGAGACATCCTTAGTCGCCAGAAGAAGTTTGCCTTTGTTCGACCGAGTGCAGTGTGTCTAGCCAGGGTCCTCGCAGATTTTGTCCTGGTTTTCATTCTCACTGCCCTATATTTGGTCGTGGTTTATTTCTTGGCGGGACTGAAGACAAGCGTATGCATCAATCCAAGTTCAAGGCCCCTCATTCATTGTTTTACTAAGGCTTGAATTCTTAGGCTGGACCGTTCTGGATTGACTTCCTCTTCATATACTTGTGCACAATCTGTCTCACAGCCCAGTTCAGGCTGTTCGCTGCAGCCTCCTCGAGTTTCGAGGTCGCATTACGGTACAGCGGGGTCTCTGTGCTTTTCTGCATCGTCTTCGGTGGCTACGTGTTGTCCGTGGACAAGATGATGAACGATGTTCCCTGGGTGGGCTGGATAGCGGTAAGTGTGATTCAGAATGGGCGTTGCCAGCAATAAACTTACCGAGTTCTAGTACACCACACCAGCTCTATACACTTATGAAGCAATGATGGCCGTAGAGTTTCACAACACCGATTTCAGTTGTGCGTCCGGATCAGTGGTTCCATCGGGCCCCAGCTATCAGGATGCTGCGTACCAAACATGTGGTTCTTCCGGTAGTCGACCGGGGACGACAGTCGTCGGCGGTGATGAGTACCTCGCTGCACATTATGGGTTTCACTACAGCAATGTGTGGCGTAATTTTGGAATACTATGTCTTTTTACAGTCGTTTATATCGCCGCCACATGCTGGATGAGTGAGATTCTTGACTGGGAGTCAACCAGTGTCGGGCCGATACAGTACAAAAAGGGTGGGAGAGGAACCAGTCGCAGTGTGAGGAAAAGCCGGGATGAAGAGAGCAGCCCTGTACAGATTGACGAGAAACTTCCGGCCTCGCCCGAGTCTTCGAGTGAACGGCCAACCCAAGCCCTCGACGGGACCTCCTCGACTTTTACTTGGGACAATCTTGAGCTCGTCGTGCAAATTGGCAAGGAGGCTCGGAAGTTGTTGGACGGAGTGTCCGGGTATTGCAAACCTGGTACCGTGACAGCTCTTGTTGGAGCCTCCGGGGCTGGCAAATCAACATGTGCGATCATAAATTCACCACCCACCAATGTGATGCGCAGCTTACTGACAGTTACCTAGTGTTGACAGCTCTTACGCAGAGACAGAGCCCAGGAAAATTGACTGGCACAATGTATGTTGATGGACGGCCCGTAGATGAAGGGTTTAGTCGCAACATTGGCTATTGCCAGCAGATGGATATCCATGACGAGACTAGCACTATTCGTGAAGCCTTGGAATTTTCAGCACTACTTCGCCAACCCTCAAATGTCTCCAAACCGGAAAAGCTGTCATATGTGGACACTGTCTTGAATACGCTGGATTTGGTTGACCTACAGAACGCCGTGATCGGATCATTGGACATCGAGAAGAAAAAGCGTGTTACTATTGGAGTGGAACTCTGTGCGAGACCCAAGCTAGTACTCTTTCTTGATGAGCCTACCAGCGGGCTGGACAGTCAAGGCGCATCGAACATCGTCGCTCTGTTACGGCGTCTTGCGAATCTAGGGTTAGCTGTGCTTTGTACCATTCACCAGGCCAACCAGGAGCAATTCGAACAAGTGAGTATCCGCAAGTCATCTCATATTCAGGGGAGGAGGGTTTCATCAAATGCTAATTGCCGATGTCCATAGTTCGATCGTGTATTGGCACTCAGCCCTGGAGGGCGGACTTATTACTTCGGTGAAGTGGGTCAGTCTGGGTGTTCCATCTTTGACTACTTCAGGAAGTACGGCAATGAGCCTGGGAAAGTCACAAATGCAGCAGATTACCTGATTGAGGTGGTCGTCGGTGGCTCGAAAGACAGTACTTGCGAGGCGGACTGGGCAGAGGTGTGGAATCGATCCACGGAGGCCGAGGACATCAAGAAGGAAATTTCTCAACTTCGCAGGGAGAAATTAGAGGAAACAGAGTATTCGGAGAACAATAAATTGATTCGATCAATGCCAACACTTCGCAGTCAGATTATTCTGTTGGCACAGCGCACAATTCGACAGTTCTGGAGAAGCCCGGAATACCCATATTCCCGGCTCTACGCATCGTTTCTACATTCTCTGATCAACGGCTTGACCTATCTGCAGATTGGAAACAGCTTGACGGATCTACAGTCTAAAGCATTTTCTTGCTTTCTGGTCCTGATGTTGATGCCGGAGTTCATAAATGCCATTTCGATGCGCTTCATCATGAACCGCGATATCTGGAGGGCGCGAGAAGGGCCTAGTGGCATCTACTCATGGGTCGCATTCTGCACTGTCCAGATTTTGTCGGAGATACCGTACGCCATTGCCAGTGCGGTAATCTTCTACGTTTTGTACTACTTCCTTGTGGGCCTTCCCTTAGGATTTGCAGCTGGCTATTCCTTCTTGATGTTTTTCCTTTTCTTCTTATTCGCCACGTCCTGGGGCCAGTGGATTGCTGCCTTAAGGTGAGTTTTTGCTAGCGTGACGACCTAGACGGAAGTATGAAGAAGAAGACTAACAATTCTATAGTGCAGATTCCACGGTGGCTGCCACTTTGATGCCATTTTTCATCGTCATGTGCGAGTTGTTCAATGGTATTCTGCAACCGCATAAGAGCATGCCGGTCTTTTGGAAGTACACAATGTACTATGTCACGCCATTCACCTACTGGATAGGAGGTGTTTTAACATCTGTTCTACGTGGAATGCCCGTCATTTGCGACTCCGACGAGCTGGTCAGATTCGAGAGCCCGGCGAACATGACATGCGGCGAGTATGCAAAGTTATGGTTGGCCAGTGGAACTAGCGGTTATCTATCAAATCCAAATGATCGTGGGCAATGCGGATACTGCAAGTACAGTCACGGCGATGATGTGAGTGTACCATGGGGTTTGGGTAGGGGAGTGACGGCTAATTGGATTCCTAGTATCTGTCCGAGCTTGGTCTTGATTCGTCCAAAATCTGGCCATACTTTGGGATCTTTACCGCGTTTGTGATCACGAACTATTTCATGGTTTACCTCCTAGTCTATGTTCGTTCGGTAATGAAGCCGTTATGGCGTCGATGATGATACATGCACATACGACATCAAAGATCGTATGTCGATAGCCACACTACTCTTTCTTTCAACCATGCATCACTCACAAGCCTTTTTTGAGTCTCAACAAGCGATGTTGAAGTGTTTGCTGTTTGGGATTTGTCGGGTAGTCTTGATCTTCGTGAAGAACGATGTGTTAGTTGTATATATCAAAAGCCAACCCATGTGGTTGAACATATGACTAGAATAGCAAGCCCGAGAATATCCCCGATCCCGGAGATTGCTGTATACGGCAACTCCGGTCCGGTCGGAGACTGGTATCTCCGATGGATCAATTCGTTCTCATTCAGTAAACCACCAGGTTGGCTGTGAAATAAACTGCCCCTGGATAGGTTACAGTCGTCTTACTCGCTAGAGGATCAGATAAGCGCTAAGTGAACGGTGCTTCCTTGAAAGTGGTAAAAATTCTTCGTCTCTTCCACAATCTGTGACTGTTGACAGAGCCAGATGCTACAAGGCTGAAACCCCACGTCTGGGTCGAGCGTTGCTGCTGATGATTCATACCTTGTTACCTTCATCCTCGTTCATAACTCAGTGGGAAAAGTAAGACCGCAGAGATGGAGGACGATCAAGAGCTACCATCGAATCATGAGAACTCAGAGTCATCGCCCAGGTCTGTAGCGCGACGTCGTCGGCCACCATTGTCATGTACAGTTTGCAGACGGCGCAAACTCAAATGCGATCGGGCATTTCCATGCAGTCAATGCATCAAGTCCAAGACCCCTGAATTGTGTGTCTATGTAAGGTCTCAGACTGGCCATGTGTCGGGCATTCCACGCGTCGAGGACCAAGACAAACTCCTGGACCGCACAGCGACGCGACGTAGTCCAGCTTACAGCGGTGTCTATGTCTTTGACTCGAAGAATCAGCCATCTCCAAACAGAGTCACTAAGTCCAAGAACCGCTCTGATGAGCTGCAGGAGTTGCGTAATCGCGTACAGGTTCTGGAACATGCCCTGGCCAGGACTGGCCCGATCCAGACGCCAGAGACTCTTGGTACTGTGTCTTCGGCTGTGTCAGATGCAGGACTTCGACCGGCGGGAGACGAAAACTATCTCAGTGACCAAGTCAGGTCCTTACCATGGCCTTGCTTCCGGGGCAAAAAGACGAAAACGACGTATTGTGGTCGTTCTCATTCTGTGGTAGCCATCTCGTTTGTAAGTAGGGAGCTTATCTTATGTGCGACGAGCATACGGGGACTAAGATATGGTAATATGGTAGTTCAGGGATGTCGGTGACTTTTTGAAACAGCGAAAGTCGAAGCGCAAGGAAGATTCTGGGTACGGTAGTTTGAAGCAATTTCGCCGTGAAATGTTTTCGAAGGAGAAGCAAGACCAGCAACGTGCACGAAGCGAACGGGCGAATTCGTTTGAGGCATTTCTCCCGCCTCGACACATTGCTGATGAGCTGCTCGAACTTTATTTGAGCAATTTTGAAACCACGCATCGGGTTCTTCATATTCCATCCTTCCTCAAGCAGTATGAAGAGTACTGGGCTGGAGGAGGAGACCCGGATATGGTCTTCCTGGCTAAGCTCTTAGCATTGATGGCTGCCAGTAGTTGTTTTTACAACTCTTCCACGAAGATCAATGGCAAGGATCCTCTTTCCCAAGTTGTGGTGAATTGGATTGAGGCTGTTCAGACATGGATCGTCACACCCTCTGCTACATGTAGCCTTGATTTTGACAAGTTGCAAGTACATTGTCTGCTGATGATTGCGCGTCAAGCAAACGCCATCGAAGGAGATACAATCTGGATATCGTCTGGCTACCTGCTACGATCCGCTATGTCTATGGGCTTACATCGTAATCCACTGCGCTTCCAGAAAATGTCAAAATTTTGGGCTGAAATGCGGCGTCGTTTGTGGGCAACAATACAAGAACTTGACCTACAGTCATCACTGGATGGAGGCATGCCGCCTTCGATTGATTTGGAAGAATATGATTGCGATGCGCCTTCCAATTATGACGATGCAGATCTTTTTGAAAGCATGACAGAAGATTCAATTCCTAAGGGGCCCAGTGTCCTCACTCGAAGCAGCTTCCAGGTCCTACTCTCCTATTCATTCCCCATACGAGTCCAAATAGCACAGCTTGTCAACCGTTTGAGGTTCAAATTATCGTACGATGAAGCCTTGCGGCTGAGCGAGCAGCTGACGCAGTCAATCCATGAGGCGATGTCTTTGTTTCCCACTGAGAGGTCAACTGGAAACATATCTGGGGTTCGGAATCCTGCATTTACCAAATCATACTTCGATTTCATTATGCGGAGAAACTTGCTTGTTCTCCATCGGCCCTTTTTCTTGAGCATTATGAGAACTCCAAAATTCGCCTATTCGCGAAAGGTTTGTCTCGATTCTGCGCTGGAGATTCTCTCCCAGCTAGAACTTCCGCTTCAGGATCTTCCCGAGGCTAAGCCGAATCCTCATCTTGGGAGTCTGACGGGTGGGATGTTCCGCGAGGAGCTATTTCATTCAGCTATGATGGTGTGTGTTGAACTTTCGCTGCAGGCTGATGAGCAGAGGCAGTCTAGGTCCTTGTTCCCAGGCCAAAGTAGCGTCTTGAGCTCGCTCAATGAAATAGTGGAATCGCAGCAAACTATCATGCTACATGCTGTTGAAGCTGCAATCAATGTCTTTGGTACTCGAATTGTATTCGGAGGAAAGGGGTCCAAACATTATCTGTTTTTGACACTGGTGCTCGCATCGGTGAAAGCGCGGTTAAAAGGGGAAGACCCATATGAATCCATCGAACGATCTGCGAACAAGGCCATCAAGGACTGCCGATTGTTAATGAGGGGGGTACCTTGGAGTGAAGTTCGAGGGCAAAATGAAAATACCCCAGACCTGGTACCGGCCCCTAAGTCCATATCAAAAACGACACTTTTGCTAATCTCGGCACCCCAGATGGACGACTCTGCCACGAAGCTCGATGCTAATAACGAATCCCTTGATATTCCTTTTGACCCGAGCTGTTTAGTCTCAACCTCTATGAGTGATGTCCCAGTATGTCCAAGTCATTCCATCCTGTTAACCAAAGAGGCTAACCTCTAAGCCCCTTGATTTTGGAAACCTCTTTGACATAGCTGATTACGGAATGCCGGAGCTTTGGAGTCACAATCTTTTCTCAGGGGTTTCATGACTTCATGTGCAAGTGGAAGTCGATTTTTGATATACAGTGTTGACGCCTTCATGACGTCCGGTCTAGGAACCCACGATGGAGAATACACATAATCGCACTTCCATAACTATCCAGAGCCAGCCTTTGCAAATTGCCAGAATCTCCTGATGGTAACACTCGGCCATCTCGGTTAATGGGCTTACACGTGCGCCGATCTCTTGGGTCGACTATGCCATGAGCTAGTGCCGACCTGAAGTCTATTGAATTTAACGTGGATTAAACGCAATACCTTGTTGAGCACTTTTGCTGAATTCAACAGTTTTGGCACCAGATCAAGGGATAAAAAGGGCCCGCCCCAGCGATTCATACCATGAATTCGTATCTCGTCTCTGTACAGTGACATTGTGCCATAAATTCTTAGCTATGTCGTAGGTCTACCAGAAATGTCTCCTACAACAAAACGGGAATTAACTATTGAGATATTATAGCAACATCCTCACAACCCTCGGGCTTCGCGCTGCCTCTGGCCAGGAGCAGCCTCCCAACTATGCCACCGTCTACCTGCTCGCCAACTGGTTTTATGCGTATGTCATCCTCAGCAGCCGGGCGGTGAAACGCCTGCGAGGCATCGACCACAACGCGGCACCCCGAGAAGATCTCAACAAATACGGCGACGTGGCCGTGCAGTCGGGCAAAATGTACCGGCGGGCTCTCAACCACCCCACCTGCTGATCAAAGTGTGCATGTTATTGAGAAGATTTAGTGCTTCTGGCCGTCCACGTAGACCTGGCTCGCGAGGCGATCAATGGGATCGGAGCGTGGCATACGCTTTCCCGGATTGCGTTCGGATTGTGTTATATCCTCATTGAATCGGAAACGCTAAGCTTCTTGCGTTTTATCATGTGCTGGTCGGGAAACATGAGCTGTATCACTGGGCTAGTGTTGGCTGGCAAGAAGTTGTAGTACACAACATGCACAGGTATACACACCTGAATTGTCAAATGACATTCACTTTCACACATATTGTCAACGTGGACGAAAATATGACCCTCGAGATAGAGTAGCAATCGAACCTTTCTTCATAAATGCACCAATCTCGACCTCCCCTGGCTGGCCAGATGTGGAGCTGATGAAGCGTACAACTTGGATACCATCGCGGAGATTGCTTTCCAACCGTTCTGATCCTTCTACAGTCGTTGCTGGCTCTCCTTCTTTGAGCAACACGCGCGCACAAGCTTCCCTTTGACGACGAACACGCAGTCGCCGTCGTCTTCGTCTCTCTCGCTCTCGCTCTCAACGGTGGCGCTGCTCCATCGCTAGAATGGCCTCGTGTGCGCAGAAAGCAACTACCGTAGCACCTACACCCGCAGCAGAGATCGGCACTATGATCTCAGGGGTCAATTTGTGCAGCATGTTTTGCTTGAGATCTCCTGATATAGAGAATGGTCAAGGGAAACAAAAACGGGACGGATCGCGACACCTTGCATGAACTTAGTCATTCTTGATGTTGTACAGATTTTATGCACCTGAACTTCTATATATAATTGGTGAAAGTTTCGCGTGCCATCAGCACCTGCCAGCGGTGGAATTATCGTGATCGACACGGGCGCTTGGTCTTTGACTGCAAGCATTGTGTGGAGAGGTATCGTGCATCTCACGTTGATCGTCGCGATGGAGCGATTCTACAGGCGGAGAAACTTCAGCCGACCATTGCAGACAACACCTTTGCTGATATCGAATACAGTTTACCGACGATGTGCCGTACTGGCAGGTGGACACTTTTATTTCGATTTTCAGAAGCCCATCACCTTTTGGCGGTGGGGTGGCCAGGACATCAGGATCTTTGGCTCCGGGGTCATGAACGGCAATGGACAGCGTTGGTACAATGAGTTTGCCGGGTAAGAGATTCTTGTATGAATGTCTATTGCCTGTGTCTTAAGTTTCATAGACACTGACAAATTCCAGGACTCTAACAACAAGTACTACCGACCTATCCTCTTCGTGACTGATAATGCCACTCGACTCTCAGTTGAAGGCATTGCACAGCTCAATTCGCCCTGCTGGACCAACTTCTTCGTTCGCACCAAGGACGTCTTGTTTGATAATGTTTACATCAAATGCTTACTCGACCAACGCATCTGTAAGTGGGACAGCCTCTCCGGAGCGAGCCAAGTACTACCACCGTTCAATCAGGCCCTTCCTAAGAACACTGACGGCTTTGATTCCCTCAATGTTGACGGCTTGTCCGTCACCAACGCCCGGGTTGATATTGGCGACGGCAGCTTCTCGCCAAAGCCCAACACCACCAACAACTTCGTGCAGAAATTGTGGTGCAACAATACACACGGTGTGAGCATGGGAAGCATCGGCCAGGATCGCGGCGTTTTGGACATGATTGAGTATGCATACATTGAGAATGTGATACTGCTGAGCGGCGAAGTGAGAGAACTCCTATATCCAAGGGACTAACAGTAGCAGAATGGCGCCCGTCTCAAGGCGCGGGCCGGTGAGAACGTCGGCTATGGCCGGATCAATAACATCACCTACAAAAACATCCATATTTGAAACACGGATCACCCCGTTGTACTGGACCAGTATTACTTCAAAATCGATGCAGCGGGATGTGCCTCATTCTCATCAAAGTTCAATGTCACTAACATCAACTTTGAGAACATATCAGGCACGTCTTCCGGGAAACAGGGCAAGGTCGTGGCTGACCTAACCTGCTCGCCGAATGCCGTGTGCTTGGACGTTCACTTGAAGAATATCAACCTGTCGAGTCCTGCAGGTGACCTACCAGTGATCATCTGTGATGGAATTCAGGGGGATATTGGGGTTGAGTGCCAATATTCTTCCACTAGTTCAACAACCAAGCGCACGACTGGACTGGCCAGCGGTTAATTTACGGTTAAAAATGGTCTATAATGTGATGAATGCATATCAGACATATCCAGATCAAAGTTATGTCTACTCAGCTCCAGCGTAAAAAAGTATTATATGTCAAACAGCAGAACCAGTCAAACCATATATTCCCCCCTTTCAACTGCGGTTCCAGGTCAAGCTCTACTCTTTTCACAACTGCCGTAGATCTAATAGGAAATTCCGTCCGAAAGAATTCGACCACTTCTCCTCCACCGGCCGGTGTACTTTATTTTCTCACAAAAGATTCGCCGCTGGCATGCTGCAACTCTATGACCGTACCAATAGCTCGGCCTGAGAGACCCGCGCGCAGCTTCTGCTTCTCAGTCACTTGAAGGGGAAACAACCCATATCCTGAATTCCTATAAACCCCAGCGTATTTCTCCAGCGGCAGGGACGGCTGCAGAGGCGATGACGGCAAGCCAGGGTATAATCTCAGCGTGGCCTCCTCTACCGTCTCCAACGCCCTCTGCAGTTGTTCTCTGGCTGTTCTTTCTAGCTGCTTGCTATACTCGCCGGCGTGCGCAGGCGGTATTCCAAGGAGCAATGTCAAAAAGATACATATACAATGACGCCTCCTGGACAGAGAAAATATGTGTTATGCATACACAGTGGATCACAGATGCTCTCTTTGGATTTGCGCCCCAGTGCATAGCGAGCTCTGACCGATGTGACAAGGTGTCTTTTCAAAGTCATGTGTACAGCAACCTGCTCGTCTGCAAGGACAAGGTCCTCCCGGATCAACAAGGCAAGAGGCGTGTCCCAGTCGATTGGAGATGAGGTGCGTTTGCTACTTTGAATACCATGGGAGGTTACAGCCGCGGTCAAGGTTTCTGTCGTACTGCAGGCAGAGAAAAGAGGAAATCTGTGGTCATAGGGTTATCAGGCAGGTTCGCTTGCCCATATGCTAGGATGCATTGGCAGGGGTCAAACGCGAGTATAAGATATACCAATCTTGTTAAGTGTGGAGGAGCCATGAATGACGGCCATACTCAGTCCAGGAATGTTTTATTTCGCAAGTTCGGATTGCACACATTCGTCAAATTTGACGGTGAAGGGAGCGTCGCGAACAACCATGTTTGATGTGGTGGGCAGAGCGATGGAAGGGAATTTTGACTCAGGAATAAATCGCCCATACGAGCAAGAGTAAGAAGAGGATAATGCGTAATCTAACATCTCATTTGAACATAATCCCTGCCCGCCTGGTGGGATGCCATGTTGCTATTGGGGTGTTCTATCAACCCGCGTAAACAGGATGGATAGAGCTAGATTCAGCCAGGCTGTGGAAAGGAGCTTGCATATAGAGTACGTGTGCTTTCAGAATGGTCGCAATGCACTCCCACAGTACTCTCTAGATTGCCGAATCAGCTTGTGTCTAATGCTGCTTCATCAAACCGGGTGAGGACCTTGGGTTGAAGGAGGTACCTTGGAAGCTCTCTAGCCAGCAATGGCCGCTAAATACTGAGGATAGATGACTCTTGATTTTGACAGCCAGTAAGAAAGTCAAGATTAGAGATCAGCCATCCAGAAATGATTGATCAAGGCGAACCTTGGGGGTTACTCCGTACATGTTCCTATGGACACTATAAAATGCTTCCTCTGTCCTGCTACAGGTGACTCTCTCCTATTCCGACAGCTTTCTTTGCCATTTTTGTTCGAGAAGCAAGTGTTGGATTGTATCAAGATGGTGATAGACTCTGGGAGCGATTCTCTCTCTTATCCTGCTCCTGTTCAAGAGGAAGTAGGGGAGGTGTCGAAGAGACAGATCCCGGTTACTCTCCTTTCGGGCTTCCTTGTGAGTTACAATAACAACCATCCAAGTGACACTGAGCTAATAACAAACCAGGGGAGTGGTAAAACGACCCTTCTCGAACATATACTCCAGTCACCCGACCATGGGCTGCGTATCGCTGTTGTTGTGAACGATATGAGCAAGTGTGTCTCGTTCGATCCATTTCGAAGACTGAAACTAATTGGCCTTTCAGACTGAACATTGACGCAGCTTTGATCACCCATCACAGAGTGTCGCAGACGCAAGAGAAGCTCATTCAACTGCAAAATGGATGTATCTGCTGTACTTTGCGTGGGGATTTGTTGTCCGAGCTCGCTCACCTCGCCCGTCAGGCCGATGTGCAGTATGTTGTGATCGAGAGTACGGGCATCAGTGAGCCAATGCAGGTGGCCGAAACATTCACAGCTGAGTTCAGCAAGGCAATGTTACAGGCGGATGAGGAGATGATGGTTGATGATGATAGCCGCAAGATTTTAACAGAGATGTAAGTTGGACAGCCTCGAAGGGGTAGACGATCCTTCGATGTGAATGCTAACAAGGAGCAGAGTCAACCTCGGAGGGTTGCACACGCTCGCTAGACTTGATACCACAGTCACAGTAGTCGACGCCTTTAACTTTCTTGCTAGTTTTGATACTGCCGAGTTTCTATCGGACCGATATGGATCCAAGGAAATTATCCCAGAGGATGAGCGGACCATTTCTGACCTCATGGTCGACCAGATCGAGTTCGCAGATGTGCTCATCATCAATAAGATAGAAACTGTGGATGAAGCCACGCGAGTCAGAATCCGAAGACTGTTACAGACCCTTAATCATGAGGCCAAGGTACTCGAGACAAGCTATTCACGAGTCGACGTCAAGGAAATTCTCGATACGGGCAAGTTCAACTTCCTCAAGGCGGCCTCGGGAGCTGGTTGGTTACGAAGTTTGCATGAGATGAGCATACAGACGACAGAAAATGGGGAAAGAATGGCCCCCAAACCGGAGACGATAGAGTATGTGATCTGCCTGAGCCCGCAAATTGGACCTTCTGACGTGAATAGATACGGGATCAATAGTTTCGTGTACACGGCTCGACGACCGTTCCATCCTCGTCGACTGTTCTCCCTGCTTCACGATAAGTTCATCCTGCTTCAGAGCAACGAAGCCGAAGACGATGAAGAAGAGGAGGAGGAGGAGGAGGAAGGTAAGAGAGGAGAAGTAGAGGACAACATGGAAGTAGATGAGGACGAGGACGAGGACGACGATGAAAGCATCGCGGATTTTGACCAACCAGATCCATCAATTATCCTGGCAAACAAACGCAATCACCCTGCCTTTGGCTCGGTTCTTCGCTCCAAAGGATTCTTTTGGTTGGCTACCCGACCGTTCCAGTTTGGAGAATGGAGCCAGGCCGGTGGCATGTTAACGGTTGGCTGCGGAGGGCCATGGTTCGCGGAGGTGCCAGACGAGGCATGGCCCGAAGATCTCGATGTACGAAAGTCCATTGAGAATGACTTTATGGAGCCTTGGGGAGACCGAAGACAGGAGATAGTTGTCATCGGAGAGAGCATCGATAGCGAGTTGGTGGCGAAATCGCTGGACGAATGCCTCCTGGACGACGAAGACATGGAGCGATGGGCAACGGTGATGCAAAATAAAACGATGTCACACCTAGAAAAGCAGGAGGAGATGGAGAGGTTGTGGGAAGACGGATGGGAAGCATGGCCCGAGTTTGGTATTGAGGACGAAGAGGAAGAGGAAGAGGAAGAGGAGGAGGAGAAGAAGAAGAAGAAGCAGAAGAAGCATCGCACCAGCGAGTTTCAAAAGCACAACCACTCTCATGGACATGTGCATACCCACAAATAGCTTGCAGTGTTATCGAAAAAAAAAGATACATTCTATTATCATATTTTATTGCTAGAACACTTGATCGGACATGATCATCATCTCATATCACATCATATACCAGGATCTTCGCACCAAAAAAGAACCGTGTCTATTACCATCCCTCGATCCGGCTCATCTTCAGATGCATTCCCTCAACCGGCTTTGCTGTAACCGCGTCAGCAATGTGAATCTGCTGCTTGGGATCCTGCATCTCGAATCTAAACCTCCCAGCGATACCAGCCCTCAGCGAGGGAAGCAGTGACACTTGCCAGCAGGACCCCATGGGGGATCGGCAGAGACCAAGTGGGTTTGCGATCTCGGTTTCTCGGTTCGCCTCCAGCAATCATGAGGAATGCATTGCGTCTGGTGATACCCAGACTAAGTAGACAGCAACTACAGCCCAGCCAGGGATACCAGCAGACCTAGAATGGAAATTCCTGAGAACAAGAACGGATCAATCGGAATTCAAGTTCCTGCTGGCCGTTGATCATCGCACAGCAGACAATCTGGCAACTGGCATCCATGTGAAATGTGAACCTTTTTCTCAGCCTGCGCTCTCTTTCTAACTTTTGATAGCTTTGCGGCGCTCCTACAACTCCAACTGCATACATGATCCACAAATCAACCCACAAAACCCCTTCCCTTAATTGAACCGCGAAATTGATTGAGTGCACACTACCAGAGTTCCATATCGCAACAATTTCCGTTTCCGGTCAAGCGGACGGATGTTGCATCATCATTTCTACAAGGGCCCGTCAAAGCTGTGTTTCATCCTTCAGAATCTCCAGGGATTGGATTCAACGGCACCAAGAATATTTGAATGATCCTCATCATGAGATGCTTCGATCTGCAACCCTACCGCGTGTTTGCCTCGGCAACTCTGAGGAGTACGCGTATAAACATCTTCGATTGATCTCGGAAAGACTTGATAGCACGTATCCATACTACATCTCTTCTTGAGAACATCGCGATTCATAACTCAAAATAGTGCGATCACGCCGGCCGTCAGCTCAAAATGTCGCTACGGAACGCGGTCAATATTCTCCAGCAATACGTGCAATCGTCACTCGAGCAGCTTCCCGAGCCTGCGCAGAACTTCGTGCTGAATCCTCTGATCCAGAAGGCACTCGCGGCCGCCCTGATCTATGGCGCTGTGCATCAAGCTAATCGTACGTTGTCGCACTGGTCGATCAATAACTGGCAGAGCGCGCATCCGTGGCAAGGAGATCGGGAACTTGTCCTTGTGTCAGGAGGATGCAGCGGCATCGGTAAACATATCATGAAAGATTTAGCTGAGAAAGGCGTGCGTGTGGTTATTCTGGATATCAACGAGCCGGATTTCCAACTACGTGAGTGAAAATTCGCATTCTCCGACGATACTTGAGTGTTGACCTGGCGAAAACAGCCCGCAATGTCCACTTCTTTAAAGCAGACATCACCAAGTCTGAGAGTATCAAGGCTGTTGCTGAGCAAATCCGAGCAAGATTGGGCGATCCCACTGTTCTGGTCAACAACGCAGGCGTTGGCCACGATGGTACCATTCTCGAGGAGCCCGAAGCCAAGATTCGGCAGACGTTTGAGGTGAACACCATTTCACACTTCCTAATGGTCCGAGAGTTTCTGCCTAGCATGATCCGCAAGAATCATGGCCATGTGATTACAATTGCCAGCATGGCGAGCTTTGTGGCGCTGGGTGAAATGGTGGATTACTGCTGTTCCAAGGCCAGTGCGCTGGCATTCCATGAGGGTTTGACGCAGGAACTACGGCACTGGTACCAGGCCAGAAAGGTCCGCACGAGGTAAGTAGTACTCAAAAAGTGAATAATCTCAGAGGGCTAGACTGACAACGGGAAAAGTATCATCCATCCCCTGTGGGTTCGCACCCCGATGACCAAGCAATTGACCGACGTGGGAGAACAGTTCAAGCAGCCTGTGATGACGACGGAAGTGGTGTCACAAGCAGTGGTCAAGCAAATTCTCACTCAGAGCAGTGGGCAGATGATTCTCCCTGCTTCACATACGGCCGCGAGCATCGTGCGGGCTTTCCCGATGTGGTTGCAAGAGCGAGTTCGAAATGTTAGCTCAGGGGCTTTGAAGTCGTTGCGAGAGTTCCAGGCTGCGGGTAAATTGTAATTTGTTGCTGTATATCGACTACGTTTGAGATGAATGAGTTCGTATATATATATATGTATAAATATATCCACGATATGGGAGACTGCACGTATGAATGATAACAATCGTTGGAGGACAGTTTGGAATATCCTGAGACTTATTCCGAAAAAGGCGTGGCTTGAAACCATCGTTGATACGCATATTTAAGGCTGGCTATTCGGATAACACAAATTTAAAGAAACCACCATATACGGTCATGATAACAAGTCCAGCAGCCAGCTCTTGACCCTCTTCCCCTGTTCCGTCTCCGTCGTGTCCCCAATATACAAGTTATAGATCGGCGCTACATGACCTTCTCTACGCCCCACGAACAACTCCGATGATGGAAAACCGGCCTATTCTCATCAGCCTCTCTGCTCATCAACCTGCAGTTAAGACACAACATACCTTGAACTTCGCCGCAAAGTCCTGAATAATTGGCAACAAGATCTCATTGCCCCCGGCACAGATCAAAACAGTCTCCACGGGAAAGCTAGAATACCACCCGGGCTCCGCAGTCGACAGATCGGTATAGAAGTCCCTCGTCGCGGTCCCCAGATACGCCCTCGCCCACGGGCCCGCAATCGCCGGCGTGATCAGATCCCCGCTGGGATCGATCTCGCGGTCCGGGAACTCCGTATCCAGCAGCGTCCAGGGGGCGATCATGACGGCGCCGGCGAGATTGCCTGCTAGCTTGACGGGAGTGATGTGCGGGTGCGGATGGGCGAGGTGCGACAGCACGCCGCCGACGAGGTTTCCGCCGGCGGAGTCGCCGCCGAGAAAGATGCGGCTGGGCTGGAGGGCGGTGTTGTCAAGGATGTAGCGGAGGCAGTTGACTGCTGCGCGGAGCTGGGTGGGATAAGTTGCCTGCGGGGCGAGGGTGTAGGTGAGGCTGAAGATGGCGAGAGACTGGTTGTGCTGCGCGGCGTAGTCGACGAGGTTGGCGAAGTATTTGAAGTATCCCATGTTTGCGGAGAGGACGAATCCTCCTCCTGTTGGATTATGTCAGTCTTTGAGGGAGTATTTTTCTGCGTCGCAGGTGAGAGGGGAGTAAGTACTGACCATGGTACCAAATCAGGACATTGTTGGCGTTGGCGTCTCCAATCCAGTGGCCGAATGAGCCCTTTCCTAGTTCGATGGTCTGAGACAACCGCTTGGTTTTCTTGATATATTGCTCATAGATCTTGTTGGATGGTGGTGTGACATATCTGCGATGTGGATTCAGCATTCATCCGACACATAGTACTATCGCGGGGACATGCTGCATCTGCGCAATCGACAAGCGCGCCGTCATCTTACGAAAAACTGCATAGCCGATGTGAAGGAAAAGAGTCTTGGGCTGGTTGGAGCTTCGCCAGAGTCCCGTTGCAAGCGCACATACGGCCGTGATCCAGATGGACACCAAGGCAGGAAAGAAATCGAGTTTCTCCCTGAGAGACAGCTTGATCGCTTTGTTGAAGGCCATGGTATGGTGGGCTGATGCGCGATCTGTGATATCCTGATATCTTTGTCACGGTATTCCGTAGAGCTGTCTCCATTGCCTCGTCTCAAGGAGCAACCAGTGTTATTGTATGGTGAAGCATTTAGCATTCTTGTTGGATATCGCGACGATTACCCTATTGGGAAATATTAATGCTCATCGCATGGACCGAGGTGGCCTCGGTTGACTGAGGGCGATAGATCATTGAGGTCCCAGAGTAGGGCCAGTCTCGCGAGTCAAACATAGTGCCGAATTGTGTCAAAGCTGCGAGCAGTTCCCTTGGGGTCTGACTACTAGCCCGAATCAAGCCTCCAGAATGGATTGTGTTGTTTTTTTCCGAAGTGAACTATGGTCACTGGTCAGGATACTTGGCGCCTGAGCCAGCAGGCATTAATGATTAATGCACAAGAGTTGTGATCATTATTATTATACAAGATATTACTTACTCTCTTCCTTTCTCTTTCTTCTCTTCTCCTCTCTCTTCTCATCCACAGCTTCACAGCTTCAAACAACTCTTCTTCCAGCTGGCCCCCATATGGCCCTGTCAAGCCAAACACTCATGATACACCACTCGTGGGATCGACAGCTGAGCCTTGAGCCAGGAAATCCCAGCTCAAAAGCAAAGCCAAATGCCTGTCTTGGTGACCCATCGATTCGCGACGATTTCCGGATTTGGCGATAGATCTTGGAAGCTCCCCACAGTCTATCAAAAATGAATGGCTTGAATGCGTCACCGAGGAACGCAGGACATGTGAACTCCGTGTAAATTCATCTGTCTATAATTCTATTGTCGTTGCCATCGACATCAGAACCTATATAAATGGAATATTCAACTCCTGTTTATCAACGGGCCAAGTGAACCCCCCCCCCCTTTCCCCCACCACCATGGACTACGATATCGTCATTGTTGGCGCTGGGATCGCTGGTATCAATGCCGCATACCGTCTTCAGACTCAGCTCCCCAATCATCGCTATGCGATCCTAGAAGCTCGCAACGCGATCGGTGGCACATGGGATCTTTTCAGGTACCCTGGCATCCGATCGGACTCGGACCTGTTCACCTTTGGCTTTTCCTGGAATCCCTGGCCCCAGGACAATCTGATCGCGGAGGGCGCCTCCATCTCCAAGTACATGCGGGACACGGCCGCACAAGTTGGCATTGACAAACACATCCAATTCCAGCACCGCCTGTTAGCGGCGGACTGGTCTTCCAGCGAAAATGTGTGGAAGCTCGCAGTGGACCACGAGGGCGAGCTGAAATCCTACACGGCGCGCTTTGTTATTTTCGGCACAGGCTACTACAACTATGACGAGCCCCTGTCGGTTGAGATCCCTGGTCTCGAGCGGTTCCAGGGCAAAGTCATTCACCCGCAATTCTGGCCGGAGGACTTGGACTACAGTGGCAAGAAAGTGGTGATTATTGGCAGTGGTGCGACAGCAATTACCCTGTTGCCCAAGATGGCAGAGACGGCGGCCAAGGCCACCATGCTGCAGCGCAGTCCCACCTACATCCTTCCTCTCCCCAACCGACAGAATCCGCTGCTGAGCTACATTTTCCCCACCGCGCTCAGCCGCAAGTTGCAACGGCTGCAGTGGATTATAGTGTCGCGAATCTTCTTTCTTTTCTGCCAGGCGTTCCCCTGGCTGGCCCGCTCCATCCTCAAGCTGACTGTCATCCGCCGACTCCCCAAGCATGTCCCGTTTGAACCACACTTCAAGCCTCGGTATAATCCGTGGGATCAGCGGCTGTGTGTATCTCCGGACGGGGATTTCTTCCAGAGCCTTCACACAGGCCGTGCGGACGTCAAGACCGACACCATCCGCCAAGTCACTGCAAGCGGTATCGAACTGAACTCGGGCGAGACACTGGACGCAGACATTATCGTGACGGCCACGGGACTCAAGTTGCAGATTGCGGGCGGCACCTCCATCACGGTGGACGGACAGAAGCAGCGTGTTTCGGACAAATATCTCTGGAACGGGGTGATGCTACAGGATCTGCCCAACGCATCGTTTGTAATCGGATACACCAACGCCTCTTGGACTCTGGGGGCTGACGCCACGGCGCTTTTCGTCTGCCGGTTGCTGAAGTACATGAAGCAGCAGCACAAAGCGGCTGCGGTCCCGCGCGTCAGCCCGGCCTTGGCCAGCCGGATGCAGCAGCGCCAGTTACTCAACCTCAACTCGACGTATGTGACAGCGGCGCAGAAGGATCTCCCCAAAGCGGCTGATCGGGGTCCGTGGAAGCCGCGCGACAACTACTTATCCGATTTATTCTTAGTCCAGTATGGGCGGATTGACGAAGGGTTGGAGTGGGTGGATGAGCTGTCGCGGAAGCAACAATGATGACGGAGTTTTCTTGGATTTTGGGTATGACGACGATGATGGTTTGGTTTATGATGTTGTAATCTAAGAGCGCAATACCACAAATATGAGTTCTGACTTTCTTTGATCCATTATGCATTCATCTCCTATCCATGACGGAGCGGGTGAGTCTGGGATGTTTGATGCGATCGATCTTCCCTGGATTACTGGTGATGTCACAACCATTTCGGAGATATAAAGTGAACCACAGCCAATCTATGCAAGGTAGTAGTCTCGCACCAAGGCATCCCCCCTCCTGTCCAATTGTTATCTCCAAAAACAAGATATAGTGGGAAAAAAAGAGAAAAAGAAAAAGAAAAATGCCAGACCAGAAGAAATACACCGACCCGGAGCTCCGCGAGGAAATCAAAGAAGAGATCAAACAGGGCGACAAGGGCGGGAAGCCAGGCCAATGGTCCGCGCGCAAGGTCTGTCTCCCTCCTACCTACGTTCTACCTACGTTGTACCTGACATTCCTCACCCTTTCTCTACCCCTCCCCCCCCCATGCCCTATTTCTATTACATACTCACACATAGACAGGCCCAATTCCTTGCCTCCGAGTACAAGCACCGCGGCGGAGACTACACGACGCCCAAGGAAAGCGGACAAGACGAGTCGCAGAAGTCACTGGAGAAATGGGGCTCGGAGGAGTGGCAGACGAAGGAAGGGTCTGGGACGGCGAAGCAGCAGGACGGGACGCGGAAGCGGTATCTGCCGAAGAAGGCGTGGGAGGAGCTAGATGAGGGGGAGAAGCAGGCGACAGAGGAGAAGAAGCTGGAGGGGTCGCGGAGGGGGGAGCAGTTTGTGGGGAATACGGCGGGGGCGAAGAGGAAGAGGGGGGAGGTGAGTAGGAAGGGAGAAGGGGAGGAAGACAAGAAGGGGGATGAAGACGAGGGAGACAAGGGCAAGGAAGATGAGGGCAAAGAGGACAAAGAGGACAGAATGGATCAAGATACAGAAGGAGACAAGAAGGGTGAAGGTGACAGCGAGGAAGCCGAGGATGGCGAGGAGTATCGAGAAGATGGCGAGGCAGAGATTCCAAGTGGTGGTGAAGGTGAAAATGAAGACGGAGAAGGGGAAGAGGAAGAGGAAGAAGAAGGAGGAGGAGGAGACACTCCGGACAAGACCGAGAATAAGCCAGATCCAGGGCCAGAGCAGAAGCGCCAGAAGACCAACAAGAAGTAGATCGATCGATCCTCCTATTTTTCAATCTAAGCCTTGATGAGGAAGACAACCACAGCTACCATTCCTCCAAGCTTTCCTGATCCACACAGTTCCTGTGGCCTAGGCTGGACAACATATCTAGCTATTCCTCCTTCTGCTCCGTGTAACTTCAAGCGTGACTATCGGGGAGAATCGCCCCAAACTGCGCCCTTCTTACCGAAATATCCTCCGGTATTGACCTTCAGATGGCAGCCGTCGTCGGGTCTCCCAAGTATTGACTGTCCAAGGTAGGTAAGGTAGTATTAGTTGATTTGCTCACTGCAAGTCAATGCCTCCAATCCAGGCCAATTGTGCCTGAGGGATTTAATTTAGTAATTGGAGTAGACGTAATCCAAACCGGGGGAGAAAAATTGACGCGGATCCATTCAGGGAAAAAAACTTTGGAGTACTGGAAACCGACTGACTAGACTCTCCGTTGGGGATTTTGGATCTGGACGAAATGCCTCAAATATCGCAGCGCAAACTGCGATTCTCGCGCAAATGTTTCTGTACAAGAGGATATCTGACTAAGCTGCATGCATAACTGGCCAGTAATCATAAGCATAAACACAACCATTCATCCTCCAACCTCCTCCTCCTTCTCTCTCTCTCTCTCTCTCTCTGTCTCTACAGACATACTCTCTCATCTCATCTCTCCATCCCTCGTCCAAGAGTTCCATAATCCAAGCTCTTAGCCCCGACGCCCAACCACAGCCAATAACACCCGTCGAAAAGCAGGCGAATTTCCCCAGACTTTTCATACTGCCGGATATCGGATGAATCGTCCACGCTGGTCCGTCTCCCGGCCGAATGACTGTGATCTTCACTTACCCGGACAAAGACTCGGTGGGGTACACTTGCAGAGACATAGCAGTATGCTATGTACTATCATCCACAGTATGGATACAATGTATGTGATCCTCAGATACTATGTTTCTCGAATCCCCATACTGACAGTACATAAGGTAGAAGAGTGAAGCAAGTATAGCTCGGGTATCCAATCACAGCACCGGCATTTCTGTCGGCAAACCCTCCATTGAAACCCCCTTTGGCCCGTTATGAAGCAATTCTCTCCAGCAGAGCCGATGAAACATCCGGTCATCGGGCAATTCTACCGTCCAGAGCAGTGCCGATTCTGTCATTGAAGCCCAGACTTAGACTTGGCGGCAGTTCTCGGATAACGTAATGCGTAGAGCGGAGCATCATGCTGCGTGGTATACATCCAGGCGAGTATATATAGATGCGACTACGTGTCTGGACATGGAGGGCGACATGGAATGTTCTGTAATAGCAATCAAATCGATCATAATACCCCGTTGGCACTCAATATACTCCGAACTATACGGAATTATTCTTCCAAGATGGCTCCCTCCATCAATGAGTTCTCCCATACGTCCTCCTCCCAGCCCTCCATCTGCCGAATCGGCATCAATGGATTCGGCCGGATAGGTAAGCGTTCATCACCCATATCCATATTCCAGTATTGCATATCAAGCTCACTAGAACAGGTCGTAATGTCCTCCGCGCCGCCCTCGACCGCTCCGACCTCCAGATCGTCGCCATCAACCATACCTGCACCTCCGTCCAAGACCTCATCTACCTCATCCGCTACGACTCCTCCATGGGCAACTTGTCCGCCTCGATCACCATCCATGCCCTCTCCGACACCTTCATTGCCATCAATGGCCACCAGATCGCCCTGACCTCCGAGCGTGACCTCAAGAAACTGAACTGGGCCGCCCTGGGCGCCGACTACGTCGTCGAATGCACCGGCAAATTCACCAAGCGCGAGCTGGCCCTCGACCACATTACACACGGCCACGCCAAGCGCGTCGTGATCTCCGCGCCCAGCGCCGATGCCCCAACCTACGTCTACGGCGTCAACAGCGACAGCTACACGCCCGACGAGGCGCGCCGCGTCATCTCCTGCGCCTCCTGCACGACCAACTGCGTCACCCCAGTCCTCAAAGTTCTGCACCACCACTTCGGCATCGCCCAGGGCTACCTCACTACCGTGCACGCTGCTACCCGCTCCCAACAGGTCCTGGACGGGTACAGCAAGAAGAATCGCCGGCTGGGCCGCAGCGTCTTCGACAACATCATCCCGACCACCACGGGCGCCGCCAAGGCCATCGCCACCGTCCTACCGGAGTTGACAGGGAAGGTGACGGGAGTGTCGATCCGAGTGCCCACGTAAGTCTTCCCCTTCCCCCGGTTTCCCCGCGGGACACTCTCCAACTTTCCCCTGCATACTTCAAGACAAGACTAACAGCGTTTGTGACAGCCCCAATGTCTCCATGATTGACCTCACTATCAGCACGGAGAAGCCGACCTCGCTGGCCGAGATCCTGGCCATCTTCCGGCGCGCGGCCAAGTCCGAGCTCGCGGGCGTGCTGGCTGTCTCGGATGAGGAGCTGGTCAGTAGTGATTACCTGGGAAACCCGCACAGCGCGATTGTGGATGCGGCGGCTTGTTCCGAATTGAATCCGCAGGTGAGTCGTCGTCATGGTCCCTTATGCATTTTCTTCCGAAGGGCGAAGCTAATTGGAGGACAGTTCTTCAAGATCATGGCGTGGTATGACAACGAGTGGGGGTACTCGAACCGCCTGCTGGATTTGACGGCGTATGCGGCCTCGCGGGAGGTGTAGGTGCTGCGTTGCTTTGAGAAGTTTAGAATTTTTTTTTTTTGGCTTTATGATGGATAATACCCCCGTGAAAAATAGATGGACTTTATATATATATATATATATATATAAAAATAGTATCCTTGTTTGGGAAATGTACTATTTTCTGCTGAAATATGTAAAGTTGAGTTCATAAACCAACATCAACATGGAACATCGAAAAACATCAAACATTAATTACATCTGGGCCGTCTCCTCGTCCAGCTTGGGGTTAACCTTCCCCTGGAACTGGCTCTGCGGCAGGTTATTCAGCTCATCCTCCTGCTTATCGAGCTTATAGTTAGTGAGCCAGAAACCGGTGCCACCGATAAAAGCCAAGATGGCGACGATAGCATAGTTCCAGACGAGGAGCGGATCCTCGGCGAGACCGACGAGGGCCTGACCGAGGGCGGAGGAGAAGGCGTTCATGAAGAGGGCGACGGCCTGGACGAGCGAGCGCATGTTGGTGGGGGCCTTGGTGAAGGCGTACTCGAGGGAGGTGACGGAGGCGAAGATCTCGGAGATGCCGCCGAGGACGTAGGTGAGGGCCTGGACCCAGACGGAGATGTCGGTGTGTTTGTTGTACTGGTCGAGGCAGAAGTTGGCCTCCTTGCCGCAGGGGCCGAGCTTGTAGATGTAGTGCTGGGTGACGGTGGCGCAGATCATGGAGGCGCCGGCGACGTAGAAGCCGGCGGTGATGCGCTTGAGCGGGGTGAAGTGGAAGCCGAGGCGGCGGAGACCGGGGTAGACGAGCTGGTCCATGATGGGGATGAAGATGATGAGGGAGAGGGGGTTGAGGTTGTTGATGATGTCGTTGGGGACGCCGCCGAGCTTCATGGTGGCGGCTTGCGAGGTGAGGTTGTTCAGCATCTGGTTGTAGGCGAGCCCTGTAATTTCCCCCCCCAACCTTCTAGTCAGATATCATAGCGGACAGACGGGGACGAGAGGGGGCGGGGAAGGGGACTTACAGAAAAGAGGATACCACAGGAACACCTTGCAAGCCTTGAGACCACGGCCGACCTCGTCGACCCACTCGTCGTCAAAGGTCATCCACTGAGGACGGTTGGGGCCCAGGGCCGAGGGCTTGACAGAGTCCCAAAAGGGCTTATCGTTCTTCTTGAAGCTTCAAAAGACGTTAGCAACGAATACCATCCCAGACAGTTCAACCAAAAGACTCCCCTCGGGACATACATTCTGGCAGGGTTCATCGACCAGCGGCCCTCCATGGCCAGCTTCCACAGCCGGAAGGCCTGCGTGTAGACGGAGCCGGTGGGCTCGACAAGGTGGTACTTGTTGCGGCAGAAGAACAGCACGGCAGGGCAGCCCAGGTACATGATCGTGGGCAGGAAGAAGGACAGCCAGAAGCCGACGTACTTCTCGGCGTAGACCATGCTGACCTGGCCGAGGATGGAGCCGATGTTGATCATGAGGTAGAAGTACAGGTAGATGCGCGAGATGGTGGCGGCGGGGTCGACGATGACGCGCTCGCCGGAGGCCAGCGTCCGGATATAGGGGTGTTCCTCGCGGTACTGCTCGGCAATCAGGGGGGAGATGTTGGACCTGGAGGGAGCAAATTAGTTCGCTGCCCGAATAAGAGGATGACTAGGGACTAGACATACTTGAAACCACCGGTACCGACACCCATGATGATCAGACCGACAGCAAAGCATCCGATGGCGCCGTTGGGGTTGGAGATGACGGGGGGCAACGCGGACACGATCAGAATCAGGTGGCCAAGCAGCGCGGCCGCAATGGAGAACATGATCGTGCGGAACCGACCCCAGTACTGATCCGCCATGAAGGCACCGAGCAGGGGCATGATGTACGACCAGAACGAGTTGACTGTAGCAGTTACGGTCAGCAAACACGGGCCCGAAACGGCAGACGGCAGCGCAATACTCACATAGGGTCAAGCCAGTCGACGCCTGCTGGCCCATGCCCAGCGCACCGGGGTTCGAGTGGTCATAGCCAGCACCGGTGGTGGAGCCTACGGGGAGAGGACGCTGAATGAAGTTGACGACTGATTGAAAAGAAACGGTTCCGTTAGCATTCAAGAGCAAGCGCAGGAAGTCGGTTCGACGCAGTTGCAAGAAGAAAACATACAGACAGCAGTTGTTCCGTAGTAGGAGAACCGCTCGCACAACTCGACAAACGCAACGGTGTATGCCGTCCAGGGAATCGTGCCAGCGACACGGCGCAAGGTCCGGAAGTCTTCTTCGGAGGGATACTGTCTGTCGCCTCCAACCGAGGAGACGGTGGCCTCCTTGGTTGTCGTCGACACCTCTTGGATGCTGGGAGTGAGAGCCAGCTTGTGGTCCAGCTCCTGCTTCTCACTGATCTCGACATCGTGAGCAGCAGCCCGGGAGCGGGCAGCCTCCGCCACCTCGACAGGGTCGGAAGAGTTCATGACAAGCTGGGGTCGGGAAGGCAGCGTGAACGATGCACGAGGGGAAGGGATTGTCTTGTTTCTGTGGGACAGAGTAGAGAGAATGACGAACAGGTGGATCAAGAGGAGAAAGGGTCCAGCTTATAAGAGGCAGAAACTGGGAAGGAGGGGAGTGGAACCATTGAATGGGAATAATGGCGCTGGAGCGAGCCCTTGCCCATCCAACGTGGTTATCGCGTGTCACGGACGACGGCCCAATAACCGACCAGTCGAGCTGAATAACGACAGCACTAAGGAAGCAATTTAATCTATTCTATCGGACGTGCGTCCAGATTGAGAACATCAGGAACAGATGGAACCGTTGGTAACCGGCGGACCAAGACTCTGCGGCTGGGCATGATTAAGGTCCTTTTTTGCCTACATAGCACATGGCAGATGGGATTCGACTGGATTCGAATGCGTAAACTCGCTTGAGATCGGGTGATACCGACCTGACCAGGGAGAGAAGATACTGCAGCCCCATCAGCAAGGGGGTTTTGGCCACAGATTGGGCGAAGATAAGCAGGGAAGGGAAGACAAAAGACCACAAGCTCGGTTACAGAGATTCGAGTCCAGTGTTACCTATCATGGGGAGTTGAGATCGAAAGGATTCCCTCCCCCCTTCCTCCTCGACGAAGTGTTCGATACTGGGGCTCTGGACTCTGGAACAAAAAGTGCAAATTGGAACCGCCTTGGCAACGGGAGTAGAGCAGGTAGAAAGGCTTTGGGAGCCCACGGAGGGACACTGGGAAGCGTCTGACCATCACAATTGGCCACTATGTTGGTGGCGGAAATGCGGCGGGCGCTTGGCCAGGGCTTGGCTGGCAGGCTGGAGTGCAACCTCAGAGCTTGGCTGAGCGAGAAAAAAGCCCAATCACTGATCAACTAGCTGAAGGAGCAATCAAGTTCCTACTTTTCATCACACCAAGTCGGGAGTACGACATTTGCTGGGAGAGAATAAGAAAGAAGAGCTGATGCAGGTCTCGCATGGGAGGGGGGCCCAATTTTACCCCAGATGGAGCGAGAAACCTTGACTAATAGAAAGGATATGGTTACACTTCGGGGGAGGGGAGCATGAGCTATCGATTGATCCAGGATGTCTGATTAGTGACCTGCCAGATTGAGGGTTAGTGAGATATACTAAAGTCTGTAGTCTGTAGTCCGTACCAACCACCAAATAGAGATCTGGAAGTGAGGGTAAAGTTGGTCAAGTGACCTGCTGATAAGACCGACAGGGATGGAATCCTCTCTGTCTGTCTCAGACCTTTCGAGGAGAGATTGTTAATATTATTAGTATTATGATCATTCATGTTAATCTTTTCTGTTATAGGTCTTAGAGGTCGTTAGATAATTCAGATGTCTTATAGTTCTCGATCGATGTCTGATGTCTCATATCTCGAACAGATCTAGGCTTACAGATAATAACAAAACCACTTTATCCACCCAGAGCAGTGGATAAGGGAACTCAGGACACCGTCCAGCTATCTAGGTATCTATCTTGTGGTTGTATCTATTGAGATTTGAAGCTCTTCTGCGACATGCCAATCTACACCAAGGGCTCCTCGTATAGAAGAATTGCTTGGCCATGCTTAAAAGAGTGGGAGCTCATCAATACGAGAAATCCGGCGGCAGCAATCAACCTAATGTCCGGAAGGACTTATGCATAGAGAGAGATAACCAACCTGTCGCACTGTTCGGCAACTGAGTAGCCAAGAAGGACAGCTGGTTGATGTAGGCTTTCTGGTTCCGAGGACAAGCCATTCGGACTCATTGGCCTAATCCATTTCCATAATATTGGATCAAGTACCAGACAGACAAAGAAAGTGAGACAAGTAGATACGAAGGAGAGAGAACTCCTGTACGGCATCATCGCGTGCGTTGATGGCGGGACTCAGGCATTGAATGCGCTGCCTCAGGCACACTCAGGCCACACTATCATTGGTCACATGATAGAACTGCTGACACATCCTGGATGACATCATCCGGCGGGAAAGCAGAAACGCGAATTGAAGAAGTGCTTCAGATTGACTTCAATAATATCAGTCTTTAGAACTCCTTCCAGTTAATATGCCACATCCGATGGCTTGAAGAATGGGGAATTCCACTGCGAGCATTTTTCAGCCCTCCATGTCATCCTTCTTCGACCGGGGATCAGACGCAAAGGCCAGAATAATATTTCGAAACACGCTCTCATTCGACGCTTTCCATACTCATGTGAGCATCTAGCAGTCATTCAGGAAAGGATCAGCTCCCAGCTGGGCGGCTAAGAGAGAGAGAGAGAGAGAGAGAGAGAGAAAGATGCCCCGCATTTTCCCATTTAAGAGTCTGTGGTTGATGGGACCAACAGTGCATCGCACCCACGATAATCGATACAAGTGGATAGAAACTACCTACAGCCTACAGGGGAGCAAAGGCACTAAACACGGCTCATCCACATACTGTCAAATGTTCATGCTACATACCGAGTCTGACCCACACTCCGCAATGCGGGTGACATCCAACATAATGCCGGACTGGCTTCACTTGATCTGCTGACCATTTCGGCACTCTTAGAAGAGTCGCTCTTTGTGTACTTGTCTGCCATCCTCGGTTCATGTGTCCTGACCCTCCAAGAACGCAGTTGCTTTTTTGTTTTTTGGGTCCCCGCGCACTGCTTCCCTACTTCAGCATGGACTTCATCACTGAAAGCTCCCAATGCCAGGCTGATGGTCGGGATCTTCCCAAATCCATACATGTGCTCCGTTTCTTCAATGATTGACAGGGGTGTTCCTGGTTTTTCATGGCCTGACAGTGCATGTCCGGGGAGCAGAATGACTCGCCTATTTAATCTATCTCACTGCCATCAGGTGGGGTAGAGCCCTTGATATACCGAATACATCGAGAGCAATAGCACGCAAACCGAGGAAACATGTGCATTGGGAAGAATAATGTTGGTGGCTGGCATTCAACACGCAGGATAAGAATGTCCACAATCCTCCACGGATGGACTTGAGATTGACAGTCCAGTTCTCAGTGTCTGTCATCTTCAAAGTCCAAAGTTGAATAGGCTCGCCGCCGAAATGAACCTCATCCGGGGTCTTCTGCCTATTCTGGGTCTTTCCCCCGTCATTCTGGCGGCTCCGGCTAAGCAGGCTGTGCCTACGGTCACCATTGCATCCCCCAAAGCCACCGTTCTCGGATCGTCGGGCGCAGTCGAGAAGTTCAATGCCATCCCCTTCGCGCAGCCGCCGACAGGGTCTTTGCGTCTGAAGCCCCCTCAGCTGATTCAGACATCTTTGGGCACTGTTGACGGCACCGGTAGTGCCAAATCGTGCCCCCAGTTCTTTTTCTCAACCGACAACACCGAGTTTCCCGGATCGGTTACCGGTCTCTTGATCAATAACCCTCTGTTCCAGAAGATCACCAATGCCGGAGAGGATTGTTTGACCCTGAACGTTGCGCGCCCGGCTGGCACGACGCCAGACTCAAAGTTGCCGGTGCTGGTGTGGATCTATGGTGGTGGATTCGAACTGGGTGGCACATCCACGTACGACGGGACAGCGCTGGTGGCCAGCTCGATTGCTCTAGACATGCCCGTTGTCTTCGTCGCCATGAATTACCGAGTAGGAGGCTTTGGATTTCTGCCTGGCAAAGAGATTCTCGCGGATGGAGCAGCCAATCTAGGGCTTCTGGACCAACGCTTGGCCCTGCAATGGGTGGCAGACAACATCGCCGCGTTCGGAGGGGATCCTGACAAAGTTACGATTTGGGGCGAGTCGGCGGGCTCGATATCTGTCTTCGACCATATGATCCTGTACGATGGGGATCACACTTACAAAGGGAAGCCCTTATTCCGGGGGGCCATGATGAATTCCGGCAGTGCGATTCCAGCAGATCCGGTGGATAGTGTCAAAGGCCAGCAGGTCTATGATGCGGTTGTAGATCACGCAGGCTGCTCATCTGCAGCGGATACGCTAGAGTGCCTCCGCGCATTGGACTACACGGACTTCTTGAACGCAGCCAACGCGGTGCCCGGAATCCTCAGCTACCGTTCGGTGGCATTGTCATATTTACCGCGACCCGACGGGAAGGTCCTGACCGATAGCCCGGACAAGCTAGGTAAAGCGGGCAAATACGCGCCAGTGCCATTCATTATTGGCGACCAGGAGGACGAAGGTACCCTGTTCGCGCTGTTCCAATCCAACATCACGACCACCCGTCAGGTAGTCGACTACCTGGGTAAGTACTTCTTTTACGGAGCCTCGCGGGCGCAATTGGAAGAACTGGTGGCTACATACCCAGACGTGACGACGGATGGTTCACCATTCCGCACCGGCATCTTCAACAACTGGTACCCGCAATTCAAACGGTTGGCGGCGCTGCTCGGCGATCTTACATTCACGCTGACGCGCCGAGCGTACCTCAAGTACGCGACAGAAATCAAGCCAGATCTGCCGTGTTGGTCTTACATATCCTCATACGACTACGGAACACCGATCATGGGAACCTTCCACGCCAGCGACATCCTGCAGGTGTTCTACGGGATATTACCCAACTATGCATCGCGCGCCTTCCACACCTACTATCTCAGCTTTGTATATGATCTAGACCCGAATGCTCGTCGGGGCAATCTGATGGAGTGGCCGCAGTGGAACAAAGGACAGCAAGTGATGCAGATTTTCAACAACCGGGGTGCCTTGCTCGCGGATGATTTCCGCAACGACACATACAACTTCATCCTGAACAATGTCGATTCATTCCACATCTAGGGGTGAGAGTATGCGGCCCCGGCGCGTTACATAGCATAATTTGATGAATTAATGAGCTGAATATGAGCCATGATCGTCGCTCACCCTGGTGAATCCCTACGATTGGATATTCTTGGGCCAATAGATCGCAGCGCGAGTCATGAATTTGGTTGCAAATTGTTCATGCGTGTAGGACAAGACCTTGTGGCAAGATAGATCCAGAGGTAGACACCTCACTGTTTCTTACCCTTAGATATACATAGGGATGCTCGAGCTGACTCACTTGGACCAGATCTGCGCTATATCAAACCCGTCCAGTTCCCCATGTTCCACGTCAATAGACAACTGGCAAAGACATGCTGGTGCTATCTCCGTCACACTGTGCTACCGACAAGTCAGGGAACCTGCCGCAGTCTCTATCACGGCCAGGATGACCCTGTAAACTATAGCGAGCAGTGAAATTCTTCCTGATCGGCCCCAATCTCAACAGTTGAGCTCATTCTGCAGGCTTCATGAAAGTACGCAATTACTGGAGCCTCACAGTAGAGGGAGACTATCCGTCAACCGAGATGATGCAACTCTCTTTCCCGGCGATCAATCAAGTGTCCTCCGTAACTCAACAGAACTTTTGACTGCCAATGTGGAGGAGAATTGCCGTGGTGTATATCCGAGCAGACTAGCAGCTAGCCAGGACTCAAGATGAAGCAAGTCCGCCATAATGAGAGGGCCTGGGCAAATGGGAAAAACCCGGGGTAAGTCAACCACTTCTTGTCGAAATGTGGACAGACCCTGAAGAAAGGGCACTAACGAAGCTAGCTCAGCTTGGACGCCATCCCTCCAATCTATTAGATTTCATTGGCCGTCGTCGGTATCGGAAGCCATTGGCTAGAGATGATGCCAATTCGGCCTAAAAAAGCAACATGTTCGATGGTGGCTTGGCTTCTTCATCTTCCTCCAGAGCCCTGATTCTATGACGGAGTTTCTCACTCCAATGTCTATGTCATACACCAAGCCAACATGAATCTTCATCTCTGGGATTTGTTGCTATTGATATCTGGGTTCTCGCCTATTCCATGGCCAGCTTCCGATCGGTACTGTTCTCATCATAGTTTCTGAAATCGCATCGTCTCTTGCTCACCTGTGCGGATTTGCTCCAGTGCCAATGTGAAAGCAGAGCAAGATGGCCCTGGAGGATGTCCTCCTCATCGGCTCCATTGTGCAGGTGGGGGAACTGCATCTCATGAAGCTCTCGGTTCTACGGTATTTATATGGCATCATCCCGCTGGCAAAAAAATGCATTTTCTCTTTAGCAGACACCTTCTAACGTCTTAGATTGGTCGCTCTTTCTATTCCCCGTCTTTTCTTCCAACGAACCTCGCCATGAAGCTCCACAGCACTCTTTCAGGCCTTCTCGCGGCCGTAGAGGCTGTGCCTCATGAGCAGCATCCTGGACCTGGCAAGCCGCCCAAGGACCCCCAGCAGCCTCCCAATATCCTATTCATCATGACCGATGATCAGGACTTGATGCTGAACTCGGTTGCTTACATGCCACTGATGCAGAAGCACATTCGCGACAAGGGTATCGAGTTTGCCAACCACTTTGTGACGACTGCTCTGTGCTGCCCCTCGCGTGTCAGTCTATGGACTGGAAAGCAGGCTCACAACACGAACGTACGCTCAATTTCCCCTTGTAGATTGCTCGGTTGCTAATGTGGGGCAATAGGTCACTGACGTGCACCCTCCATTCGGTAAGCTTGCTTCTCTCATGTCTGGCCATGCAAAAAAGTGCCAAGTGCTAACTAAAACTTCGCAGGCGGATATACCAAGTTCGTCTCTCAGGGATTGAACGAGGCCTGGCTTCCCGTGTGGCTGCAGGATGCTGGGTACAACACCTACTACACCGGCAAGCTCATGAACGGCCACCGGTTGACCAACTACGATTCTCCCTTCCCCAAGGGCTGGACTGGATCCGACTTCCTGCTGGATCCCAACACATACTCCTACCACAACTCCACCTATCAGCGTAATCAGGATCCCCCCAAGAGCTACGCGGGTCACCACACCAGTGAGGTTATTGCCGAGAAGGCCATGGGCTTCCTCGAGGATGCTCTAGGCAGTGACAAGCCCTTCTTCCTTGGCGTGTCTCCCGTCGCACCTCATACCAACATCGAGCCTATTGACCTTGGCCCTAATGCTGTAAATGGCCCCCGGATGACCGAGCCCGTTCCACTGGAGAAGCACATGCATCTGTTCAAGGATACCAAGGTGCCCCGTACTCCCAATTTCAATCCCACGACCGCCAGCGGAGCCAGCTATGTCCTCGGTCTTCCTCTGCTCAACCAGACTGTCATCGACTACCAGGACCACTTCTACCGCCAGCGCCTGCGCTCCCTACAGTCCGTTGACGAGCTCGTCGATTCTCTCGTTCGTCGGCTTGAGGAGAGCGGCCGCGCCGACAACACTTACATCTTCTACACTGCGGATAACGGCTTTCACATTGGTAACCACCGCCTGCCCCCCGGCAAGACGACCGGTTACGAGGAGGACATCCACGTCCCCTTGTTTGTGCGTGGTCCTGGCGTTCCCAAGGGCAAGGTTGAAAGGACTGTCACCACCCACATTGACCTGGCCCCCACCTTCCTGGAGATTGCTGGCGTCCCTCTGCGCAAGGACTTCGACGGCACCCCAATGCCTGTTAACAAGGATGTGGACAACATTGTGCACGAGCACGTCACAGTCGAATACTGGGGCGTCCAGCTCAGTGAGGGAGAATTTGGTAATGTTGGTATGTCATGAATGATTCTTCTTCTTCTTCTTCTCTCTCTTCCAGACGATCTAACATGTGATAGGGCCCAATGAATCCTTGGTCCAGCCTAACAACAGCTACAAGGCCACCCGTATCGTCGGTAGTGGCTACAGCTTGTACTACTCGGTCTGGTGCACCAACGAACACGAACTGTATGATATGAAGAAGGCCCCCTACCAGATGGACAACCTTTGGGGCAAGAAGGACGACAAGAAGGCCAAGCCTTTGCTCGGCCGGGATCTCACCGCCATCATCAGCCGCCTGGACGCGTTAGTTCTGGTCCTGAAGTCCTGCAAGGGCGAGACCTGCATCAGGCCCTGGAACGTGCTCCATCCCGATGGATCCGTTAGCAGCCTGCGCGATGCGCTGGAGAAGAGGTACGATGCATTCTACGACGCTCAGCCCAAGGTCTCGTACTCGGCGTGCATCGACGGTTATCTGACCGAATACGAGGGGCCCCAGGAGGGTCTCTTCTACCGCGACGGATTGAGCTGGGAGGCCTGGGTTTAATCGTCAATCGCGATGTCTTTCTGACTGGTAAATCTAGTGATAGATGAGGTAGACACCTGGGATGTCCACACAGCTATACTCAAGCGTGGGACAGGGCAACAGTATGGTTATGGCTAGTACACCTGAACCCTAGATTAGAAAAACCGATGGTATTAATTCGCTTTCTGACATTTGCATTATCCTCCGCGCTGCGCGTCTTCTGCACAGAATCTGCATGTCAGCTCGGCAATCCAGATCACCCACGACAAGAATTTTCACCACGTCAGGATAAACCTGACTCGAACCAAGAGAACAAGCGATGTAATTGGACAAAATATGGCCGTAAATCTCGTCATTTTGGCTTGGGATGTTGCTGTCTCGCTTAGCGGGGACGTCAAAGAAGCTATGATTGCGCCATCCTGCCTTTGTGGTTGCGGCCTCACTTCTAAGACACAACAACCGGATAAGCTTTGCCTTGCAAGGTGCGCGCAACACACCGGGTGTCTTGCTCTCCGCCAGGATATAAAGGTGCGGTGGCAGTCGCAGTTATGTGACCATGGATAACAAATCCAATTTGTGCGGTTTTCCACAATGTCGACGACAACGCCAACTCGCCCCGTCGCAGGGGACATCCACATTCCCATCGCTGCCGCTGAGAAAGAGCTTGGGCTCATTCACGACACAGCCCTCTCATCCAGCGACTCAGACGCAGAGCTCGTAAAGGACTGGGATGAGAAGGAAGAAGCATCCGTGCGACGCAAGTCGGTCATCCCATGCCTCCCCTCCCCAAGCCAAGTCCAAGTAGAACCGCACCGTACTAACACCACCCAGAATCGACCTCATTCTCCTTCCCATCCTCGGCCTCGCCTTCTTCGCACTGCAAGTCGACCGCGGTAACATCAGCGCTGCGCTGACGTCCACCATCACCGAGGACCTGCGCATCACCACCAACCAGATCAACATCGGCTCCCAGCTTCTCTCCGCAGGCATCGTCATCACCGAGATACCGTCGAATATTCTGCTGCAGCGCATCGGGCCACAGGTATGGCTCTCCGGGCAGTTGTTTGCGTGGGGTCTCGTGGCGACGTTCCAGGCGTTTGTCAAGACTTACCCTGCGTACTTGGCTACGCGGTTGTTGTTAGGGTTATTGGAGGGAGGGTTCATACCAGGTGGGTGTCTAATCCCTGGGTCGTGTGTGTGGTTAGTGGATTGATGGCTGACTGGCGCAGGAGCGCTGTATTATCTCTCGACGTGGTATAAAAAGGACGAGACGAGTTTCCGGACGACGCTGTTTTTCTTCGGGCAGATGTTTGCGGGCGCGACGGCGAGTTTGATCTCCGCTGGGTTGTTGCAATTGGATGGGAGAGGGGGGTTGGAGGGCTGGAGGTGGATTTTCTTGGGTATGCAAGCTTTCTCTCCCCCCAAGAAGGGAAGTAAACACATACTGATGGTCTGTAGTGGAAGGGATTATCACGCTGCTTGCTGGGGTTATCTTCACACTGCTCGTGCCTTCCAAGGCAGGTGACGGAAAGCCGTTTCTCAGTGGAGGCCGCTGGAGCTACTTCACGCCTCGCGAGTCCCACATCATTGTGAACCGGGTCTTGTTGGATGATCCGCGAAAGGCGAACGGGCATGTCAAGATCACCGGCTCCGATATCTGGAAGACGGTCCGCCAGCCGCGCATTCTGCAGCACTTCTTCATCACGCTTGTCGCCATGTCCGGCTTCTCGGGCTTGACGCAGTACACGCCCAGCTTGATCAAGTCGTTTGGTTTCGGGGCAGTCCGGGCCAATGCGCTGGCGTCCGTGCCCATCTACGCCAGTATGCTGTGGACGTTGATCCTCTCGTACTTTGCGTGAGTCTTGCCCCGTAGCACCCCGAGCCAACAACAAGCTAACAGATTAGTGATCGCACCGGCCACCGCGGCCCCTTCGTTCTTCTCTCCATCACCTGGAACGTGATCTCCTACACCTGTCTCCGCGTCACGCCATTCACGTCAGACCGGTGGCACAGATACACCGTCCTGACGATCGCTAACGTCGCATACTGCAGCATGCACGTCCTCAACATCGGCTGGCTGTCGGTGTACTGCACAACGCCGCAAGAGCGGAGCATCTCCATGGCGTACGTATCTTTCCATTCCTGCCGAACTCGATCTAGCGTTGTCTAACAAAACAACAGGTTAATCGTGATGGCTGCCAACTGTGCGGGGATTTCCGGCTCGCAGATCTTCCGGACATCAGATGCACCACGGTATCGCAATGCCTTGACGGCGATTTGTGCTTTGGCTGCGGCCTCCTGGGTGCAGACGGTGGTTCTGGGGTTGCAGTATATGTTCCGGAGGAAGAAGGCGAGGAAGTCGGAGTGTTGATTTGTCTATTACACCCTTTCACTGTTGGAAATGAAGTCGTTGGCCATCGTGGTAGTTTTGCCATTTACCTACTTTTTGAAGCCTAATCCAAACCGAGGTTGATGCTGTAATGCTTATAGATGTACTACAACTTAGAATGAAGCCAAAGTCGCCCACACCTCCTTTTCTCTGCGGAGCATTCGTCGCCATTCTTGCGCACAACCTGGTGAAGTAGAGACTCGAGCACCGACCAGGTCGAGGAATCCTCCCCGCCTGCCTTTATTTCATCATCATCATCATCATCATCATCATCATCACGGTGCTTTATTGTTCCTTCAGGGTCCCAGTGGGCCGACTGTGACGCATGGTCGGGCTGGTCAGAGACTCGGGTCCCTAGTAAACAACCAAACGTTATCACACCAGCTCGCCCCTTTGACCCATTGTGCGTTTTAGGATAGCTAAGACCGCGCAGCCTGAGCGGTTCGCTCCTCCCAGGGACCCCGAACCTCAGCCCAGCAAGACGTCCATACATATATCAGGGAGAAGTCTCATCCTCGGACGGAGTATACAGTATCTTCGTCGCCCTTTTCGTCCGCAACCCAGGAAGTGAGGGGATCGGCACCGCGCCAGCCGAGGCACGCTCCGCCATTGGCTTTGGTGAATATGATGGGCACTTGCTTGATTCTCCGAGATCCTATTGGATGGAGACATTATGGTGCGTGTGTAGATGCGCGAGATATCGAGCTCTGGACTATGTTGAGCCAGGAAGGCTTCATGGATCTCACCGGTAATGCTCACATGATGGGAACTACAGACGGAAAAAAAAAATTATTTGTTTGCTGCATGTCAAAACCACAATTAGGATGATAACCCAGCCTGCCCTTGATAGAGCTACAGAAGCCTAAGGTAGACGCTCCTGCTTATTGAGAGTATCAAACCATGGATGGCGGAGGTCCACATTGGGCGCTGATACCTGAAATTGACCCATTCTTGCGGGTTGGCTTAGAAAGTAGATAGTTACAGTTCATGATAATGCAAGGCTTCATTCTCTGCTATTTGGAGGCAAATATAGTATTACTACAGAGTACTCCACCTATACATGATACTTTACAGTCCATACATAGTGCTTGACCCCAGCGGCTGGCAGGGATTGTAATGAGTCAATTCCTTGGTCCACCAGAGAATATGAGACACATTGCCTTTACCTTTATCTTGACTAAAGTTCTAAGTAGTGTTCCAGGCAGCTACTCACGGCAATGGCATGTACAGGAGTAGTAATGGTCCAGCTAGCTGTTGGATTAGAAAATCGGCTTCACAAAACATATCATCTAATTAGGGAAATAAGCCTGGTCACCACCAGGCTTATTATGTCCGCAGTCAGCAATACATAGGTCAAACAGAAAACAACAATATAGGTCCAAAGGAAAGAGAAGAGAATTAAAACCGTCCGAGTGGCGGGGATTGAAAGCATAGAAAATGGCATTTATCCCCTCGGCATCTCGTACTTATCTACCTTCACAAATAGCCCTTTGGCTCTATCTCTCATGGTTTATCTATCTCATCCTCAGGAGGTCTGACTACATGGAGACTATACATGCAGGGGAAAATAATGGCTAATCTCCTGAAGCTGTAGAGACCGTAGTGGTGAGAGCCCTATTAATGAAGGATAGTGATGATAACAGCCACCCTACTGGTCTGAGGCTATTTGGGATCTGCTTGAGCCTGTGTCTGTCAGTATTCCTGACTGCACTTGTATGATGATGCAATGCTATTTTAATATAATATGATCTAAATGCTCATGCGGTCCCTAGGATAAGAATATCGTTGCTACTATTAGTTCTTCTCTTCCTCCTTTACTTTCTCCCTTTTACTTGCCGATGCTAATGCTAACCTCTTATATCAAACTCTGGAGGCTATTCCTAGAAGGATAATTGAATCCTTTAGGCTGTGGTTGGATGAGTGACTACTGACTACCGACTACTGACACTGGGCCAATCCTTGCTGTCACTAATCAGTTGTAAAGCTAGAATGATTTCAGCTGGTATGGGAGTGGTGAGCCTCTTCCTCCACTCCGGGCACTACCTGTCCTCTGCTCATTATGGTGGCAGTTTAATTTCAGCCTGTAGCTGACACTATACAATATACGCATGGGACTCTTCCACAATCTCAGATTTGGTCGTTTCGAGACTGTTCTCGAGGCTTACCCGTCCATGCACTTTCTCCATGATACCCACTGATGATTTCCACGCACAGCGAGACCAAAGTGGAAGTTATTCTATCGGCTGTATTTTATATGGAACAAAATGGTCGCTCAGAGTCCCCCCAGACCAGAACAGTATGTACTTTCCACCAGGTACCAACTACTGCGTATACCGGTCTGGAAGCCCGCCGCAAAATGAGATTGATCCACCAGGCTTCGGCTCTGTAACATCAAATTGATACCTGACATCTATTTGACTTTTGCGGCACTGCGGCATCTTGAGATCAGTCTGGCATATTAACCTTTCCTAGAGCACCAGACAAGGTGTATTTCAACAGCACAAAAGGACTCTTACGATCCGAATTTGAGGCTCTCGACTCGATGCGGCGTCCTAGGACCCAATAGCTTGTCAACAGCAGCAGGCGGGCGTGCGACTTGTATCACCAGCATGAGTGGGCTGATTCAAGATGGTGGACCGCAGCTGAAACCTGCTTCGAGGGGATCAAGGACCGTTTGTACAAGATTTGGCACTTTGATGCCGATCGTATGGTACAATAGACAGTGATGGAGTACAGGGGCCGACTACCCAAAGCGACACCTGTAGGTGAGATCCAGATATGACAACACAGTATTGCATGTAGGCCAACAAGCAGAGAGATGCCAGAGGGAACATCTCATCGCAGATTAACCACTAGGTAGGAGAGAGAGGCCGCCAACTTTGAGCATGACCATCAAAATATCGAGTAACCTCTGTCACACCCGTCCTATCCATCAGGGCTATGAATAGCTCGTCATCGGCATACCCCGAATCGACATCCCCTGCGGCATGCTGCAGCGGCGTAAGTCCATCGTGATCCACAGAGCTTGCATCAACATCCTCTCGCTGCAGCAGTAACTTCACAGCCTCTAGCTCTCCATACTCGGCAGCCCATGAGAGAGGTGTCCGACCGTTCTGGTCTGGTAAGTCGGCACAGAGATCCTCTCTCTCCAGTAGCAATGCAATATTGTTCATATTGAGATTGACGTAATCACCCCCGGACATTGCCAGAGAAAGCGCCGTCCGGCCACCTTCGCCTCTTGCATTTACATCGAGCCGTTCTTGTCTGAGCAAGACCTCCAGCAGTTCGTTTTTTCCCCAAACAAGGGCATGGTATAGCGGTGTGGTCCCGTATGAGGTCCTCACATTGATATCCACGCCACCATGGTCGAGCAAGAGTTGGACGGATTCAACCCTTGAGTAGGCGATAGCCGATAGTAATAGCGTGTACTCGTAATTATCCTTTACGTTGGGGTCAATGGCTTGATGGCAAAGGAGGACGCGTAGTAATTCAGGGTGATTTTCGGGCACAGCTAGGTGTAACATGGTGCGGCCTTTCTTATCGCGCTTCTCAAGATGTCGAGACGATAGTAGTGCAAAGAGCGGTGGGGATGTGATGAGACATTTCAGCAGCTCGTCTGGGCCAAGGTAGTCTAGAATGGAAAGAATGAGTTCCGTTGGTAATGGCCACATAGCTGGTGGTTTCTGAAGCACTCCGGAGATGTGTTATGTTTGGAAGCTAGTTTGTTCTGGGGGAATTTTATAGCCATCAAGTTATTTAGTCGGCATGTTCATTCGGATGAGGGAGCTAGAATATCTAGGCCATGTGAGTCATGCGATATTCTGAACGACAGCTAGTATAAAATTGGTTATACTCATTTCAATTTGACCTATTGGCTGCCTGCCTAGAGAAGGGAATAGGAGTCGACGTGAGCCTACATGATTTATTTTCGAATCAAGTATTACATATGGGGTGTCCTAGCGATGCTCAGTTATATAAATAAATAGATAAAAAAAGGCCATATCACTTTTCTTGCGTACTGAGTGTTCTGCTTGTCCATCGATGTCTTGCACAACGAGAGGATATATGTCACTTTCGAGCCTTTCATGTATCATATCTGAGGAAGACTAGAGAAACTAGCACCGTCCTACGGTATGCCAACATCCAGGATCCGTTTATCCAGTTGCCCTTGCAGTTCTACACCACTCTTAGCCAATCAATCAATGGGGGTTTGTTGAATATCTGACCTGCAGGTAACACTGCATGAGGGCACTACGGAGGTTTTTTTTAGGGCATCAACCCGCTTTCCCAACGTTCTAATCAACAAGAATTGTACTCGAAAAAATGCCAGCAGTATCAACTAGGGACTCGAAATGCCCTACAAATGCCACATGGTCAATCTGGATCGACTACAAACCTAGCAACAAGCCTACGTCTGGACCTTTGTCACGGTGCCTCCTTGCTCATCTTGTAAACAGGTCCAAACTAGAGCTGCAGAGACGGCAGGGATACCATGCATATCGTCGAGTTGGGAGTACAGCACCTCTACTTAAATCCCCCAACATCTGCCACTGCCAACTCACTCCAACCCATCACTTTTCCCGATGTTTTCTCCGCGGCGCAATGGCCTGCAGGCATCCTGCGAGCCATGCCGCAGTTCCAAACTCCACTGCGATCATTCCACGCCTGTGTGCAAACGCTGTCTTCGTCGAGGAAAATCCGATATGTGTGTTTATGGGACCTCGTCTAAAAGTCGCAGCTGGTATTCCGAGCCAGTTTCTCCCCCGCAGACGGCAGTTGGCTCCGACAATGGTGTATCCGGGCCGTTTATGGTGGACGGGGACAGGAAGACTTTGCTAAGCCCATTTTCGGAATCTCTGGGACTGACGAGCTACTCTGGCCCGTTTAGCGAGGAGGGTGGTTCTGCGAATGGGATTGGTGCGCCACTAACTATGGTGGAATACGATTGCGCGGTTCCCAGTCCCAAGCAGGTCCAGCTGGGGGCGCGGTTATTGCTGACTTTATTTGAGAACCTGTCGCTGTATGAGAATGTGTCTGAGAATCTGTGGGATATGTCACCGGAGGGATGTGTCGTTGGCTATCAGCTCGTTCGTATGCTGTTTACGGCTTTGAAGGACGCGCATCGACCGTGGGCCATAGAGGGTCAGGATGCGAAGCAGCGATACTTTGAGAACTTGATGGGATGGTCTCGGAAGATATTCAACGAGCGATCCGATCCGATACATTTCGACCCGTCGACATCCCCTGATGAGTATATCCGGTTAGTTGCCGGCCGATGGGAGGGAATTGGCTTGGTATTCGCTGTCGTGGGACAAGGCGCAATGCTGGAGAGAGATTGGAAGTCGGTATCTCAGATCGGAGGTACTGTACCAGCTGATCAACGGTCACTGGGGATACTTGCTGCTACGGCCAGTGATGCCTGTCTTCAATTCTGCGACGACTCGGGAGTGGTTCATAATCCACTGGGTTGGCTTCTTTATCAGCATACCCATCTACTGACTCTCGTTTATGGTAACAATGGTATGCCTGTGAACTCTTCTACTCATTGACCATGCCACTTTTTATACTAACACCAACAGACTATCGGCCATGGCGGAAACTGGCTCAATTGTCCACTGTCACATTCAGTCTCAGCCTCCACTATGCCAAACACCACACACGCATGCCCTTCTTCCTGGAGCAGCTTCACAAACGTCTTATGACCGGCGCCTACAGTATGGATAAGCATCTCGCCACTTTTGTGGGACGGCCACCCCAAATCAGCTGGCGATACTGCGATGTACAACTGCCCCTGGATCTGGGATACGACGAAATCCTAGCCGATCCGCACACTCGCGACATTGCCCTCAGCAGACTAGACGCAAACGGCTGGAACACTGCCGGAGTCATCCACAAGGCGCAATGGATGCGCGTGGCGCTTCTGATTGGCTCGATCAGAGAGCAGATACTCGAGTTATCGCTGAGTCGATATGTCGACGACCTTCCCCAGAAAGCCAAGTGAGTATCGCAACTCGACCAAGATACCTGAGCTTCACTCACTGATATTTAAAAGGCAAGTATCTGAGAATTCCCGCAGAAACTGGGACGAACTGCCCAGTTTCCTCCGCTGGTACCCCGGTCGTGCCAGCTCCGACAACAGTGACAGCCTACTCATCCCGCTCTATCTAGACTTTCTCTACAACGACTTTCTTCTCAATCTGCTCCTTGTGAAGCGGTCGCAGAATGGCCCTGATGTCCTGATTACCGTGGCCCAGAGGATACTAAGCACAGTCCTGGAGCTCATCGGGAAGGAGTTGGCATCGGGAGCTGGCATGTGCAAGATAGGCTGGAACGTGAGGCTGATTTCCCCCTAGCGCCCTATCAATTCCCCCATGAATCTTACCAAGGCACAGGCATGTTTCTTTGGCATCCCCGCTGCTGGCGTCCTAGCCATCGAACTCCTATGCCAAACCAATGCGTCTCCACAAACCTCGCTCTCGACGTCTCGACGCCCCGAGACCATCCAAAATCTGAGTGTCTTCACCTCGTATCTTCAGTATCTGGTTCAACCGCATGAAGGAAACTACCACATCTGTCAGCAGGCACGGCGTGTCCTGGGGCATATCCTGAATCACATCTTGTCGACTCATCCGCCGCCGCTGCCCTCTGCTCTTCCCACAGATGCGGTAGCGGCGGACTGGTTGAATGGGGAGGGAATCTTGCTAGAGGATGGGACGAGTTTTGTGAAGTGGGCCGAGGGATCGAAGATGGATTTGATGAGCAGTCCTTGACGGCGAAAATGCGGAGAAATGGGAGTATGGATGTGACAACCTTCAGCTTGACAAGTTCCGTACCAGCAGCGGCAATGTAACTCATCGTAAATCATACCATCCAAGCTCATAGGTTGCGCAGTTTCCCCGGAGCAATGGAAGAATAAAAGATCGGGAGGGTTTATGGGTTCCCCTTATCAGGCTATGATATCAACCGCTATGCTCGACTTACTTCATAAGGTTGAGGTACAGCCTCACTGATAGTAGAAGGCCTTATACAATCCCTGCTGGGTTGGTAGTCAATAGCATCCCCTAGCCTGAGCTTTGTATAATAAAAGGGCTGCTTTGTGACCAATCCATGGCTCATTGGAAGTTAGATATCGGTGCCGTTGGGCTACCACATCTCAAGAGGAAGTGCATCTATATCTATAAGAGTATAGAATCCCAGGCTGGGGGCAGGATGAACACCTGTCGTAGTCAAGCCATTCGGTATGTCTTTGAATGGAGAAAGATCCTTCTTTATCCCGCTAGTACGTTCATAATCCAAAACCAACCTACATCTCAGACAAGGAACTGGACATGATCACTCCTCTTCCCTATCTCCTCCCCATTGATTATTGATCCGGAAATAAGAAAAAGTCACGCCTGACTTTTCAACCTCGGCGGCGATTTTGGCATACTGTCTACCGTATGCCGACTGCTTCCTGTACGGTTCAACTATGTAAACCTCTCGGAGTGCCGGCACCTCAGCCTCCTTCCTCGCGGCGAAGTTCCGGAATAGAGAATCGAGCGCCGGTTGCTCATCATCCGTTTCGCAGCCTTCCAACGAAAGACAAGACACAGATGCAGGCACAATATCTCCAAGTAGCGACTCGACATAGCCTTCTCCGTGTTCCTCTCCAGCAGCAGCCAGCTGGTTGCACGTTGCGACTGCCAGAGGAAGCTCTAGCTGCCGCAGCTGCGGAAAGCCACGCATGGACACCTTGCCTGGCAGAATTGAGCCCTGGAACGGACGGTAATTGACGCATAGCTCTACGAGGTGTGACCCCACTGTCTGTTGAATTGTCCTGATAAATTGGCAAAGATCCCAGTCTTGCGGTTCATCGGTGGCCCTCGTCCAGCGCGAGTAGCATAATGTCTTGAGGTGTGGTGTGTGCTTTAGAAGCTCGCCAATGGCCCTGCTGCTGATATTGGCCCGCCAAAAATGAACTGTTTCGAGGGTGGATTTCAAACCATCACGCATGTATCTGGACACCAGGCGTTCGTCACCGTCGGCCATGCATACACCGCGGGGGCTGTAGAACGACCGGAGATGCGGCAGAACCAGAAACGGAGCCAGCAAATCGAGGGAGAATCGGCCTGTGGGTTCGTATCTGCCCTCGGCCTCTAGTCTGGTGACTCCGGCGATGCTGGGTGCATTGCGAAGTAGATGAGCCTGTCTAGCTCTTCGGATGATGGTCTCGACGAGCTTATCAGTTCTGGCAACGGGCTGCCAGGATGCAGGAAGCTTGAGGCGCTTGACATTGGGCAGGAGCGTCAGAAGAAACGCCGCGGCGTGTTGCGAGTAGATCGAGGCGTCGAATTCGTCGAATTCCTTTTCCATGGCGGCATAATATTCCTTCCAATCGAGCCCTGCTTCTTTCAGGTAGAGGGAGCTGGCCATCAACTGAGCCACAGCTTCAGGCCGGTGGTCGTTCTCATACCAAGTAAAATCCATCCGCGGTGCTCTTTGGCTGTCGAGATTGCAGTCTGCCTCTCGCATGTAGCGAGCGATACGTGGCTCAGCACCAATGCGTGCGAGCAGATTGTATGCAGAGCAGCACGCGTAAGGCTCGCGTATGTAGTAAAGGTGGCTCTGCCATAGCCCTTTCATTTTAAAATATTTGAAACGCTGATAATAGAAGCGGATCTCATTGTGGTGCGCGATGAACGGGGTGCAGAGCTCGTACAGAAGTTTACAAGTCAATGCCAGACCCTCGAACGCATCAGGAATGGAGTGTAGGATGATTTTCTCAAGAAGCTCATTTGGCAGACGCATCAGTGCCATGGTTGTGTTTGAGAGATGAGGGAATAAATGTCACTTGTCGGGATTGGGAAGTGGTATGTGTTTAAAGAACAAATGGAGACATGCCGGTCTATAAAGTGATGAGGTATTTATCTTAGCCCCTTCCATATCAACAGGAACAAAGGATCAATAGAGTGGGAGGAGGGCACTATTCGACGGCGCTACTTCTGTCACTATTTGACTACCACTGAGAAGCTGCATGAAGCCAACAGTTGAGGGTTAGTGTCTCCTTGCTTGACATGCTAAGACCCTAAGCTCCCGCCCCTGCCGGCATCGAGCTTAGCATAGTCCACTCAATTCATGCAGCTGGAAGACCAATGGATTAAAAAAAAGAGAGAGAAAAACCGTATAAGCTCATATGTGTTATACGAAATACTTTTCTTCCTTGTGGCCCCATATCGGCGTTCTTCTCAGGGGTACGATGATTGCTTCTCAAATGACATACATGGATGAATCCCTGTAGAGTAGAGTATGAAACAATGACCGCAGACTGCTGCAGCACCCTTAGCGTCAACCTATACTCTGGGGGCTATGGATATATAATCTGAGCGCTGTGGACCTGTGCAATCAGTGACCTGATATCCTAACCCCCATCTGCGGTGGAATCCGAAACCTGGCCCCCAGATATCTCTATCATATGAAGCAACAAATTAACAGCAGCAAAGCGTATACATACACAAGCCCTCGTTCAAGACATCGTGTGGCCGCCTCCACAGTCGATAGTTGGGTCCCAAGAGGAAAGAGAGCGCGACACCTTTCATTTTGGTGATGTATGCAGGAGAGAGCATCATGTGGATTATCAACTTCTTCCAGGAGTCTTTCCATGCTCAGGGCGTTGTTGTTTCAGTAATACTACCATATCAGCGCAATCAACCAACAATTGGGGGCTTCGAGGGCCATTTGGGCTCTTGAGGCCATCTACTGCTTTCTGGATGGTGTTGAAGATGTGTATAAAATCTTGAGAATCTCCGTTCGATGATGGGGGGAAAGCAGCAAGCAGCACAGTTCTCAATTTCTATCCAGTACCATCACTATCTAGCATCAATTGTTTTCATCTCAGTAGACTCGTCCTCAATGCATCTTCTCTTGTACATTCTCCCAATTATATGGACAGCCACGGCTGTCGTTGTGCCAATACAGGGGCGCGCAGATCCATGCCTTCAAGATGTCCAGGACATGGTGGAATACCTCGATGGGCCCACCAACGACGGCACTGCAGGCATAGGAGCTGAGTTTGAGAGCCCCTTCTTCTATTTTGAAAACTACAAATGCAATTTGGATGACACCAATGCGGCGAAGAAAAAAGTTCTTGCAGGTCGCAGAGGACCAAATTGGGTCCTGACGGCAGACACGGGGGATGGCCCTGGGAAAGTCAAAGGAGAGTATATTCTGAACGGCGAAGCGATCAAAGTCGGCAGTGGGGACGCTGCCAGAGCAGGGAAAGCAATAGCAGATGATTTTGTGAGTGGCCAAGCAACCAATACCGGTGTATCTTCATTGTTGACATCTGGCCAGCTAAACTGGGCGCCATGGAAAGCTCCAGTAAGAGCTACTGTTGGCATCGAGGACAACAAATGCAATCCCTGGACGATCGGGTCGCCCGGTAAGAGAGACAGTGGGCTGAACACGTTGTGGATGCCACAGATCACTGCGCCTATGCCCCTAGAGGCAGTCTATAGCCTGATGAAATTGCAGTTTCAGACAGAAGACCCGCCCGTCCTCGCCAAAGACTATATGTATGGCAAGAACTATCTGATTCTTGTCATGCCGAAATATTTTGAGGGAAACCCCAATGGTATTGATCCGAGCAAGGTTACCGACGATGTACTCGCATTCTGCTCCTTGGTTTTATCCTATGCGAAAGCCGCAAGCGACCCTCTGAAGCCGGACGAGAGCCCTAAGTTGCGTACAACCTTCATGCCTCGCACCGACTTCAATACCCTTTTCAAACAAGTGAAGTCGAAGATCCCGGGCGACCTTTTCAGTCTCTTCAATTTCCTAGCATGCTCCAAAGCAAATGGGACACGCGAGGTCATGTACGTACGCCAACCCTCCTTGCATGCTCGACTAACGACGTCTCCAGGTTCGATGAGAAGTACTGCTCTAAACAAGGGTCCAAGATCATTTCCAACAACAAATTTGGCGATCTGGCTTATACCAACGTTGCACGTCATCCCCATGCCACTATGAGCGTCAAATCCTGGATCCAAGGTATTGGCGCCTTGTCTCCCTCTCCAGACTTGCTCTCGAAATTCGACAAAAGTATCGACGGTTCCATCGGAGGCCTCGGGTCTAGAATGGAGAGGATGTACGGCTCCCAACGCTCTGTCCCTTTGTTCGAGTTCCGCAATCTCGGGGAGACAGCCACCGTGGGTATTGAGGGCTTCATGGCCGAGATAGACTCAACCATCCAGGACCTTCACAGGAAGTACGAGAACGCACCTGGCGGGCGAAACGCACGACGTGCAGTGGCATCAGCCTGCGCCTTGAATGCTCCCACGACAAAAACCATCTCCACCGCAAAACCCGAAGTTACGTGCAACACATTCTCGGATCCAGATAACAACGCACCATCCGGGTGTAAATGTAGTGGCATGGATGGCACTTATTCTTTCCTCACTCCCTCCGGCACTCAAACTGGCTTCAATATCTGCGGGTACACCACCAAGCCAACGGCTACCGTTGGTGCCTCCCATGGTCCGTTCTACACCACAAGGCCTGATGGCGTCGTTGTTTCATGTGCTACTTCTACCTATCACAATTATGCCGTCAATTCTAAGCCAACATGTGCAGGCACCACCAAAGCTGTCTCGACTGTTGCATCTATTGCGTCTTCCTACTCTTCTTCTCAGAGGGCCGCATTGTCAGCTACGGCTTGCAATTCCTTGGCTCCAGCTGCCTCACAATGGGCAGCAGCAGACTGTGAAGGCGCTTGGACGTCTGCCATCAACAACTATAACTCCCACAAGACCTCCACATCCAAGCCGCAGGAGAACTTCATTTGGAGTATTGCGAACTATTTCGGACTACCTGGTGACATGGACTGCGCTGACCTTGCTAGTGATAACCGTACGTCTGCCCTATGATTTATTCGTTGAGCTTTTGACTGATTCGGATATGCAGATTGTCAATCCACCTTCACGTGTGCCAATGCCAAATCCCCTGCCGGGGCATTGATAGGGAGCTCACTCGGACAATTGGGAGGGGTGAGTCTCTTACCTTACTGCTTAACTGTATGACCATACACTGACCAACCATATAGGCCTTCTACAACCACGCCAGTCCTATCGGAGCTTTTCTCAACCATCAAAAATGGTGTTTTTGAAGCAAAGGCGGTGGTAACTGAGCTGGTTGGGATGAGCAGCAGCCACTTTGCCGGGAGTTTCCAGGCAGTGGCCTCCGGCGCTGTCGAAGAGAACATCCTTGGCCAAAACGTTGGGGGCATGATGAAATCCGCCTTCGGCAGTCTTACTACAATTGTGGGTATCCCTGGATTATTGAGAGTCCGTGGAAACCGCGTATAGCTGATCTGCTACCCCAGGACGAATATCTCTTCAATGGCTCATCCATCTCGACATTGCACTCCATCATCACGGGTGGACAACTCCTAGAACCCAACTGGGTCCCCCCGAGTCTGAATTCGCTCATGAACGGCCCAATCCTAAATGCATTCCTCGCTTCCCTAATTCCTCTGGCCTGGCAAAAATCGCCCAGCCCGGTCATCCCCGTGATCATCAACTCTGGCCATATGTGCGGTGAGAAGTCTTCCTCAGATCTTTCCGAGTGGTTGGAGCCGGCTGTCGCGGCCAAGACAGGAGTTTGCTATCAAAATCAGATGTGGTATGGCGTGGGCTGTCAGAAGAGTCCAATCTGCCCCCATAACCTATGCGGTATCGGGCGGTTTACCATCCTGCCGGGAACCTCGTCCCTGGGTTCCAAAGCCTGGCCTATTACCTTTGATCAGATCGTCCAAGCGTGAGTCACTGAGCCCTTGCTGCGATTTCGGCATACTAACTGCATCTTGCTTGTTGCATAGATCTGTCAATGGCTATATGCAAAATAGAAAGAAGAACGGTGGTGGTTTCGCAAAAGCGGCAGACACAGCAGCACTATCGGCTATCTACGACCAGAACATCACTGCTCCTGGGGTCAATACTATCCCAGTCTGTGGATTGGATGAGCTACTCCATAATCTGGATGCGTACTTCAACAGGCACGTGCAGAGTAAGAACTTTCCTTGCAATTGATGCCACCGCTGTCTTGCTAGGCCAGTACACATTGGAAGGGGATACACTTCGTAAGTGTAGGATATGCTTATACGGGCTACGATCCTCATACCCTGGGTTTTCATTTCCAGAGAGATACCATACTTTTGCTTTTATTTTATTTTAGTCAATGTATTCATCTTTTGTCTTCTATATACATACTTACGAATTTGGCACTACGAGCCGATCAATATCCGGACCTATCACCACGTCAGTCACTCCGGCAGATCTATCAGAAGGAAGAGACCACCCACCATATTGCCCTTGATACCCACTGAAAGTAATCGTGTTACTCCCAACTTGCAACCGAACATGCAAAGCAGAAGACGCAGGGGTATTCCCATCCTGCGAGGGCAAGAATGCCAGAATCTGCGACTCCCCGTTGACACTCACCGTCACATACCGCTGGGCGGAATCGCCGTTCTCGAACTGCACACGGATGGTGGTCATGCTCGACGCACCGGCTACACCTCTGATCTTCAGTGTTCCATTGCCTGAACCCCCGATCCAACCGACAGACTTGCGGCCGGAACAACCGCTGCAAGAGACGGTTTTGGCGCCGTTGGAGAGGATATTGTTGGAGGATTCGGCTTCGATGGTTGTTGTTGCGCCGCCGGCGGACCAGGTTCCGTCGAGAGGGAGGATCCAGGAACCTGGGTTTTGCTGGTGGGGTTAGTATACAATCTATCTGGAAGAAATGGGGCATGCTTACCAGGCTGGCTTGTGTTCCCTGGATAGTCAAGGGAAGCCAGATGTAGGTCGATGCCATGAGGTTGGATGATTTCCAGCGGTCACCCATGTACCTAACACAGTTAGATGGTAGGAGGACAATGCGGATGGGGAGGAATTGTTACACTACGGAGTTCCCGACTCCGAAGATGAAGTTAGTCTGGGAGTCGTATGTGTGGGTTCCAGAAGGGGCAAAATTGGCCCAGGAGCTCCAAGTGCCCTGGAGATCTGTAGCGGTGGTGTATTTGTTGTCGTTGGTTGCTATGATAGTGGTTGTCAGAAATAGCTTTTTAGAACGTCAAGATTGAGCACGTACACCATCCTGTAGGATTTTAGCCTTGTTAGCGGACATTGAAAGGGGGTGGGTTACCGGTTAATTGAGATCCAAATAGAAAGTATACCCCGTCCTGCTTGTACATCGCTGGGGCTTCGATATGCTCTGGAAAGAGATAGATGGTCGAGTCCAGATTCGTGTAATCATCGGTCAGTCTGTTAATCCTCAATCCATTGGGGCGCTGCAGAGAGGTAAGCTTAATTCAGGCGAGATTTGTCTCAGCTTACATCTTCCGTGAGCAGATACGCCGAGCTATCGTCATCCTTGAACAAGCCTATGTCGCGCGATTGCTGGCCCAAAGGTCGGAATGACCCTCTTATAATCGGGTCAGGATAATCACTGCAAGGTACAGTACAGCACAATCCTCACAGATAATTATATTGCCCACAGACGCTGAACGAGGTCGCCACGCCAGTTTTGGCCTCCTTGTAGGAGCTGTCGTCGATATGCATCCACATCACATACGTGGAGGTCGCCTCGTTGTAGATGACCTTGGGCCGTTCAACAACCCGGTTCGGTCCAAGGTCTCCACTGCCTTGTCGCGACAGGAGCTCGCTGACAAAGGTCCATTCCACCAAGTTCTGTGCGAATCAATCATTGGATTGATTGGGTAGAGAATGGCCGGGTACATACTGTGCTGGAGTAACAATTGATAGACTGAAATGCACTGCCGTCGAGCTTGTTCTCGCCAATCCAGTAGTAGGTGGAATCGACCTCGATGATTCCTTAATAGACAGCGTAGGATTAGAAATGAGTCGCCTCTATGTTTCTGGGAGGAAGCGTGATACCTCCGCCATGTGCCTGGATATGCTGATTTGTACCATCGGCAGTCCAAGTCGCTCCGGGGACCTATCGGTGTCAGAGAGATTATATCCACAATTTGAAAGATGGAGATGCAAACTATTTGCAACGAAGCAACAGTGGCTTGAGCCAATGCCAGAATTGAGATCAGGCGGTTGATGAGCAACATCTTGGTCCTTGGGGTCACAACCACGCGATAAATACCAAAGAACTTCAGATGTTGCAGATGTTCAGCAGCTTCGGTTTATTTATAAGAAAAAAGGGGCGGGGTTTGCAACGAAATCCCTGTTTGAAGACGGACATTGTGCCGGAACAAGCATCTGCTGCAAGTCGTTTAAGAGAAACAAGAACTCCTTCATCAGCGTCGGCTATTGGCACAAGATTGGAGCTTAGACTCGACGATCTCCGGCAGTAGCAATAAAGCCGATATATTTCCACCCGAGAAGTAGTCCGACGTAGCAGTGTTGGAGAACTCTTAGTGTGACTTGACGGGCCATATCATGTTTCAGCTTGATAGGAGGCAGACACTGTTTGATGCAGAGAACCTTTTGATGAAGGGATGGGGATTTAAATTCCGACAAAGTGTTCAAGAAGAACCTTCGAATGAAAATGACCGCATCCTGTTTAAAAAAACTTATCGATGTCCTAGATGGAAAGGGCAGAACATTCTTTTTCCTGTCCTGCATGGTGGTTGGAAGTGAGAAAGTCATTCCCCCAAAGCTGATCACAATGTCATCCCTGGACAAGGTGATGCAAAATCACCTGTGGGCGATCCAAATAACTTGCTGTTCATTATATATAAACGATCCGTCAGACCCCAGAAGCCCGAGCTTGAAGCTGTGAAATCATGAGTCCAACGTGGCTATGGCGGATGGATTCCCTTCCGATATCAAAGACGAGGAACGTCAACATGGCCTCCCAAAGATCAAGTAGAACTCAATTCATCCAATCGGTTACCTGTCGACCAAATGGATACGAGAGGAGCAGAAGCCAAGCACGCAAAGGTCCACATGCATGATCGGATTCCCTGTGGCTGTGAAGTACTCGGGAGAGGATTTGAACCGAGGTCGGGATTCCTCCACGGGCGACGATCAACTACGTAGTATATAAATTCACATTGGCATCATATAATTCACTACCCACCGCGAGGAACTTCTACGCTCAAATACTCGAGCATAATTGCGACACTGAACATAATTACGAACACACAACAGCCATGGCGGACAACGGCGCTTTCAAGGTCACTCTCTACTGGTATGCTGTCCAGTACCTATACATCATCAACGCTTGACTAACAAGGTAACCAGGCTCGAAAAGTCTCGTGCACAGCGCATAGTCTGGCTCCTCGAAGAACTCAACATACCTTACAGCATCAAGACCTTCAAACGCCGAGCCGACATGACCGCGCCAGACGAGCTGAAGAAGATCCATCCCCTGGGTAAATCGCCAATCATCAGCATCGAGGCACCCCACCTGTCCAAACCACTGGTGCTCGCGGAGTCCGCCGTGATCATCGAGTATCTGTGCACGCACTTTGGCGGGGAACGATTCCTCCCCCAGCGGTACAGCGAGGGCAAGGAAGGGCAGGTGGGCGGGGAGACGGAGGAGTGGATGCGATATCAGTATTTCATGCACTATACGGAGGGATCTCTGACGCCGTTTCTGGTGATGAAAGTGGTTATGGATAGTAAGTGCTTGCTATCTGCTTTGCTTTACGTTGCAACCCTGCGTTCATAGCTGATTCTGGATCAGGCATCCGGAATGCGCCGGTCCCATTCTTCATCAAGCCGGTCACCAAAATGGTCGCTTCCAAAGTGGAGGGCGCATTCGTGAACCCGAACATCCACACAAATCTGAGTTTTCTGGAGGACCAGCTTAAGACAGCGCCAGGAGGCGGACCGTACATCTGCGGTGAAACGGTGACAGCTGCGGATATCGTGCTGAGCTACTCTGTCATTGCGGCGCTGTCGAGGTTGGGTTCTCTTCGCAACGAGTATCCCACGGTGGCAGCATATGCAGACCGATTGCAGGCACTCGATGGCTATAAGCGAGGCGTGGCGCAGATTGAGAAAATCGAAGGGTCATTTAAGGCTAGCTTATGAATAACCTTGTCTTGATTGGTATCCGAAGATCATTTCCAGCGTAAGAGGATGGCTCACCAGTATATATACATATTACAGGATGGATCAAATGAATACATGCTCAAACGAGTTGGCCTCAACCTATGTCTACAAACAAATTATACTAGAGATATATTGAAGCTACAAGGATATAATTAGGCACATACAAGCAAAAAATAGCGTGGCCTACCAAGAAATGAATACCATACCACAAAGTAGGAGTCAAGGGGGAACAATTAGCAGAGGGACATATGTTTTCGATTTTATCAAAATGCCAAGCAACAGCTAGATGGCCGAGCGGTCGCATCATTGGTCTAGTGGTAGAATTCGTCGTTGCCATCGACGAGGCCCGTGTTCGATTCACGGATGATGCATTCTTTTTTTTTTTTGTTTTGCTTTAGTTTTTGCTCTACTCTATCTAAACTTCTTGGCTATATCCTCTGGCTTATAGCTGACCAAGGTTAGAAAAAAGTTGATCAAGGCTAGAAAATTTCTGCCCCACCTAACCTTCATGAACTTTTACTTCTTGGCTTCCAGTTGAGCAAGGCTGGAGAAAAGTTCATCAGGTTAGGAATTACTGCCAAGAGAAGTTAACCAAGGTCAGAAATTATGTCATCCAAGTTCGAACCGTGGTCAGCTGTCTCCTGTGACTTGTGCATCCTATCACAGACATAAGAGTGCTAATGGGCCAAAGACGGGGTCAATTACATACAATCCGTGTAGTTTAGACAGGGTCAGTTGGTAGCACAGTTGGGGTAAATCGACTCCATCATTCGATTACAATAACCCCCTATTTTTTCTGGAAGAAAGGACCATGTATCTCAATATCGTACACCACGTGCTAAAACATTATTACATTACTTACAATCATCGCTGACGCAGCAAGCATGTCCAAGAAAGCGAAAGCGAAAGCCAAAAAGAACCCGCTGAACTCCAAAGCCCAAATTCAAGCAACGCGGCAAGTCTATCCTATCCGTGGTATCATACAATCATAACATCGTTTGGACGAGAGCGTTCAAGCAGCGATTGATTTATCCTCCGCTCGGATGGCGGGGACCTCCTTCTCCTGTTCTCGACCGTAGTTGGACCTGGGACCGAACTGATCATCGTGTCTCTGGGATTTGATCAAGATGATGGTACTACACTAAGTCAGTGTCCAGCCTGAGTGAGCGAAAGAAGGGGATATACCTGGCGACAGTCGCGATCCATCCCGGCCACGCCAGGACGACGGATGCAACGGCCTTGGGGTTCGTGCGATATTCTGCGATGGGTTAGCACTGTGTCGCAGCATCGTCAATCCAATCCAATTTTAAAAAAGACGTACTCAGCGCAGGCTTCTTGGGCGATTCCTGGAAGAACTTGCTCGCGGACGCGCCATCCGTGCCAGTGATACGGGCGCTGTGCGTGGCAGTGATGATCTAGGGACCCCAATTAGCCACTGGATCATCTAGGATCAAGATGATGAGCAATATACCGTCATGGTGAGAGCCGAACCGAGCATCATCACCGACACGATCACGCCACAGATCTTCCATGCCAAGCGCACGGAGCGACTCTCGTGCCGCTCGGGCCAGAAGAGATCGAAGAAGAAGGCGGCGCCGAAGATGGTAGCGACGGAGACGCCGACGAAGATGTTATAGGATGCAGCACCGATGAAGTCGTTGTTGTGGACTCGGGCCTCGGGGTGCCGTTGCTGGATTGCGTCTTGTTGGTCGAGGTAGTCTGTGAATTCCAGAGTGATTAGACTGCGCCGAAATCCGATATTGAGACGGGTTTTCACGGGAGGGAAGAGATACGAACCTGATAATGCGGCTGTGCCGACTGATTCTGAGCAGACACAAAAGATCATGGCCATCTGGTAGATGATCATCTTGGTGCGGCGCAGGTGGTAGGCGCGGTTGAACATGTGAGCACTCTTGAACTTGTGCCATTGGATCTCGTGGAGATCGAGGCCCCATATTACTGCCATTGCAGTCGTCAAATGTGTAGGATTGGGATGATTGAAGTCGTTCAATATTCGTGAAGAGACGCCAGCGTTGGGGTGCAACTATATCGGCCGAAGGTGTGATAAAAACTGGGAATAGCGAAATCAACCGAAAAGGGTATCTTGGGTATCTTGGGGGGTATCTGAGATAATTTTGGCTCCTGAAGAAAACAATAGAAAGATGATTCAGAATATTTCAATATGTTGTGGATAGTGTGCAGCAGAATGTTTTCTTTTCAGTTGGTTCTTTGGGGAGCCCAAAGTGTGTTCCTGCCAAGTGACGTCAAAAACAACAGATCTTGTCTTGGTTGAAAACAATTACAACAACAATTAAAAACAGACACACCCACGTCATCTATGCAGATCAAATGACATACAATGACTGTTAGTTCTAAGTGAGTTATTCTAATAGAGTGAAGATAAACATGTATTCCCTTGTCTTAGTCTTAGGGTTCTGACCACTATAACCGATCTCTTGCTACTGGGTAGGATGAGGATGATCCTTATGATGATGATGATGATGATGATGGAGACAATGACAGTAGACAGAGTGATGTACTCCTTTCTTACCTTAAGCTTCAGAGTCTATCTGATCTACTATATACGAACTACTTAATAAGTTCCTGATCCACACTCAAGATGCTCCACAGACAATATCTCCAAGCGCAAGAGGTACATCCTCTCCACTATGATGGCAGAGGATGCCCTAAGGGTTTGGGACCGCCGTCTTTGGATGCTGAACGTATCTATTCCTCCCTACCCCTGATACTCTACTTTGATGTACATACTCCGGTAGGGGGGGGCTCTCTATATCTCAGAAATCCCGTTGAATCGATCATGATGCCTCGACTTTGCGACATGAGATAGATCATATGGTCTAGGTTGGAACATCATGTTTATCTATATTTAGCCTTCATGTAACTAACTATAGTTGGACAGCGTGAGTGATTTCTCCAAAGAGTCAAGCAGCTCGGGGATATATATATATATATATATACACATCAGTCTATTCATAACGAGCTCCTCGATTACTGGAATGGTACCATTCCGATTAGGCAACTGTAAACGTTGGAACCCAAGATACTATCAGCATATCTCACTGAGACCGGCAATCGGGATCTAGATCTCTCTTCTCATTCCCCAAACTCACGATGAATATGTAGACCAAAAACCTGGCACAACTAACTGAATCCAATCGTCTTGACGGTGGTTTTTGTCAACCCCCCCTTGCTTCGGGCATGCAGCTTCAGTGGCGGATCGTGAGCGTCAGGTATGCTGCCTTGGTAAGGGGTCCCAGGCCACACCTCAAACTGGAGCGGTATTTGAGTGATTGCCCACTGGGAAATCCATGAACTACTTCTTATCACATCCTCCCCAGTGTTATGCTGCTCTACAGCAGCTGCGTCTGAATGACCCGCTTTTTCGCAACTGCATACCACCATGGCCGTTCAAGCATCCTCCAGCATCCATCATCTCGCGGATCTCGGCACTTCAGCCGCTCTAACTGGCGTCGTCCTCGTCCTCCTATGCGGTCTCCTGATCGTGATATCCGACTACCTAGACGGATGGCAACAGAGGCGAGCGCTCAAGGGCATTCCGATTGTCGACGAGGGAAGTTACATGCGCCCGCTGCTGCGGTGGAAGCGTTTTGATGCCGCGAAGGAGTATGCGAGGGCATACCACTTGGTATGTTTGAGAAACTTGATGTGCTGCTGGATTGTCTCCCACCTACTGAACAATTGTCGGCGTGGATCTAGTATAGCAAAAATGGACAACCATATGCGACGCGGTTGCAGAACGATGATTACGGGATTGTCATGCCCTTGAACTCGGCGAAGGAATGGCGGGCTCTACCGCATGAGGAACTGAGTTTTCTTCATGCCCTGGCAGAGGTAATATCCGTGATAAGGGCGCGCGCGCGCGATGCGGGAGCTGATGATTGACATCCTCGGGGAGTAGTTTGTGGACATGAACTTGTACAGCGATGTCACGGATCGAACGCCCATTCAGGCCGTTCATAGTTGCAATAATACTCAATCTCTCAGTATGTCATATCACCACAGCGGAGGATACTACTTGCTGACCATCTGCCGAACAGATCATCTCAACAAGCTTCTTGTGCGCAATATAGACAATGTCTTACCCTCTATATTCAAGCAGCCCACCCAAGATAGTAAGTAGAAGAAGACAGACGATGAATATTGCTCACGATACCCAGAATGGCTGGAAGTCAACACATTCCAAACTATCATGTCCTTATGCTCGACCGTGACCATGAGCTTGCTTCTGGGGCCCGACACTCCCTACGACCCGGTGCTCCATCACCACGTGTCTTCCTTTGGCGCGGCAATCATGGAAAGCTGCTACGGGAGAACAGCCTATCCCCGAATCCTACGCCCATTTGCATGGCGCTTCTCGCCCCAGTGCCGAGGGCTGAGAACCCATTTATCGATGGCGAGAGCAAGGCTCATTCCCGAGGTTGCCCGGCGTGTCGCAGCTGCACGAAAGGCCAACATTGAAGTCAAAGACAGCCGTCCAACATCTCTGCTGGACGCTCTCATCGAAGCGGCTCTGGAAAATGGCAGCTTGAATCGGGATGGGATCTGCACTAACGAGAAGGCGCAGCTGCAGATTCTGGCGGATGACCTCCTGTTCTTTCATTTCGAGCTCTCGAAACCGACCACAGTGAACATCGTCTTCCAGATGTACGCCATCATGAACCACCGCGAGTACATGTCCCCGCTTCGAGAGGAGATCACGAAAGCTCTGGAGCTCACCAACGGCGAGTGGACTGTCGAAACCCTCAAGTATGCCCCCAAGCTGGAAAGCTTCACCAAGGAGACCTTCCGACTGTATGATATCTCACCTTGTAAGTTCTCCTACTCCCGGCTTCTGCCCTTCATCCCAGACTCATCGCAAAACTAGTGGTCAGCTTCCGTCGGGTCATGAAGCCTGTCACTCTGAAGTCCATCGACCTATCCCTTCGCCCCGGTACGATCCTCGTCTCACCATGCCGTGACATCCACCAAGACCCAGACTTCTATGAGAACCCCATGACTTTCGATGGCTACCGCTTCTACGATACCAACAGCAATGCGTGCACGCCCCGTGTCGCAACGACCTCGCTCACATTCCTGTCCTTCTCCCATGGAACCGGCAGCTGTCCCGCGCGGGTGCTGGCGAGCCAGATCTGCCGCACCATCTTCATCAAGTTTCTCGTGGAGTATGATGTCGAGCTGGCGAACAAGAAGATGCCGGCTTATGGGTTCACAAATGGGCCGGTGTTTTTGCCCAATCCGGAGGTGATGATGCGGATTCGGCCCAGAGGCAACGGTATGCAGTGAATGGGTTCTGATATTGGATGTCGTCTATAGTAGTTTAAGTGTTTGTCCATGGAACCTGGTCAATAATAAAGACCTGTTTGTTGATGGCGTGGAACCAGTGGTAAGGAAAGTGTTAAGGGGTACTTTGGTACTCTAGATTGATGCCTTAGGCGGAAGAGCCCACCATCGCTTAATCAGTCTTTCCGCAACATTCTGGATGTGGCTTCAAAGTATCCTTCAACCATCCTCAGTGAATTGTCGTAATCGCATCCACTTGTGAATTTTGATCATCATGTATCATCTCTGTATTGCTCTATCTATTATTGGACTGAATCCTTCTGGCAATCAATACCGACTTTCCAGACAAACCCCGCCATACCATTCGGAAGTAAAGGCAAGATAGATCACCATAGAATGACGTGACTGATGTGTATACTCTAGGTCAAATACAAAATTACAATCACTCTAAACTATCCAGCTAGTAAGATGCAGTGAGATACGCCTTGAGCTCCCCGATTGTGGGAGACTCCAGAAAGAAAGAACTCTGGATATCAACCTGCAGGTCGATAGCGAACTTCTCCACCAGGACCAGGGACAGGAGTGAATCGATGCCAATGGCAGAGAACTCTGTGTCATCCGTCAGACTGTCCGCTTCCACCCCCGTTTCCGCCACGATGAGAGCCATGGCTTTGCAGACGAGCTGCGAGTTGGCCTTCTTCTCCGAAGGGAGGACGGGCAAGTCGACCTTCGGGGTCGGAGGGTCATCATCCGAGTCCTTTTGCATGGACCCGGATGATGAGTCTGAAGTGGAGCTAGGTTGAATTTGCAGCTTGGGAAGGTCTCGAGACGGGCTTTGATGAGGCAGTGGCCCATCACCGCCATCTGGGGGATCGAAGAATCGACTCATCAGTATCCGAGGCAGCGGACGCAGTGTCATCTCGCGGATCTTGCCCACTACACGATCTCCGCGCAGCACGTACACGTCGCCAAAGAAGAAGCCCGAGCTACCACGAGCCGGGTTCATCTTGACGTAGGACCGGTAAAGCTCTCCTGGGATCAGCTCTTCGGAGAATCTCATGGACTTCCATCCCTCCATGACATAGATTGTCTTGTGGTGATCGGTGGCATGGCCGGCGTTGAGCACGAGACCGCCGACATGGGCGATGGGGTCAATGTGGTGAGGAGGCGCGGTCCAGCGGCCATCCTTGCTCGGGGCAAGAATCACGTCGGCGACAGCCTCGAGACCATGCAGCACGACGGATTGAATGGCGCGGTAGTGCTCCGCATATTCGACTATATTCTGGAAGAGCGTGTACACAAGATCACGCGATATCCGGCTCGCTTGCCCGCGATCCGCCATCTGATGCAACGCATCGATTCGGCTGGTTAGCAAGTGGGCATAGTCGGCCCATTCATCCTGCCAGTCTTGGACGTCGCCGCAAGTCACAACACCGCTTCCCAGCTCCTCTTCTGCCGACTGGGGGGAGCCTTCGTCTACCACATTGTGTAGAGTCAATTGCATGCTTGAAGTCTGAAGGTTCGCCTGCATGCGCATACGAACCCACTGTGGGCGCGATCGATCCTTGCGGGGAATCAGACCTTGCAGAACTCGCACTTGGCCAAAATCCATGGCGGGGAATGGTGAACCTGGTTTGAGGCGGGAATACATATATCTCGCCATTGTGAATGCGATGTCGGTGTAGGCAAACTGCAGAAGGGCAAGTCAGTGACACAGAAGAATGAGGGTTACTTATGAGCGACTTACTACCGAGACGAGGGGCCGCCCGCTCATTTTATGTCCGGACGCAACTGCATAAAAGTCTTTGTCCACCACATCAGACTGGACGGTGATCTCTCCGCCATCAATCCCGAATGCCTCCCCCACAAGCTGATGCACCAGAGCGGTGCGCAGAGTTGACGGTGCTGATGACTGGACGGTAGGTGTGCAAGCTTTGTCCTTTACTAGCAACCAATCGCCATTATGCTGGATCCAGTGATTCTTCAGATTCCATTGGTACGATGGCAGGCCCAGTAATCGAAGCTCGGACTCAAAGGGCCTGTACCACTCATTCCAGTCAAGTGGCACGCCTGCCTCCTGCAGACCGCACATGGCGGCAGCCAACGTGTGCCAATTGCTCTCATCAGACCGGAAGCTTGGGACGATCAATTCAAGATCTGGGATGGTGGCACGCACAGCACCGGAATATGTCGGATGAACACCCACTTCAACCCAGACAGTCTTGGGTCCGACAAGTCCCTTATCCTGGGCCTTCGCAAGCGCTTCAGCGAAGCGGACCGGCGCGCGTGTATTATCCCGCAGGTAAGACCCGGTGGTCAAGGTGGCGTTTTCCACGACCGCGTCGGCCAAAGTTGGTGATATCAAGGGAACTTTGAGTTTTCGGAACGCAACACCCTTGGTGATTTTCTCGTAACGGTCCAGCATGGGCTCCATTTGAGATGAGTGAAACGCGTAGGGAACATTAAGCTTGACGGTGCGGTACCCATGTGATGCCAAAGTCTCCTGGATCTTGGGAATGTCCTCAACCGCTGCCGCAATCGTGATGCTAAGCGGCCCATTGATACACGACACTTCGTATTTTTGATTTTGCAAAACACGACGCACATCCTCGACGGTGCCCTTGACAGCAAGCATTGCGTGGCTATTGGCGGTGCATAAATCCTGCATGAGCGAGGCCCGCTGGCCAACCAAGAAGATCACGTCGCTTGCCGAGAGTGCTCCAGCCGCATACAGCGCGGCATACTCACCCAGACTGGCACCGGCAACTACAGCAGGCTTTACGCCAAGGTTTCGCCACAGGCGACAGAGCGCAATTTGGACACACACTGTGGCAAGCTGGGTGATCAACGCACTGAGTTCAAGGTCGTCGTCTTCAGTGCCCATGATAGCCGGAAGTATCGAGCCGAAACCGTGCTGATGGCAGATTTCCTCCAAACGCTCGAGCTGCTCCCGATAGGGGGGATACTCCTCGAACAGCTGCCGGCCTAAACCAAGATAGAAGCTGCCTTGGCCTGAGAATACGAAGGCAACGGAGGTAATCTTATTCACGGCCCGGCAGGTATCGACCTTAGGCAAGCGTTTCTGCAGGGAGTCGAGGATCTCATTTACCGAGGCGCCGTGCACGGCGATGCGGTACTTATGATGCATACGACGTGCAGTAGTCGTGTATGCAAGACTTGCGAGTTGCGTAGATGGATTGCTTTCCAACCAGGAGATCAGCGCTTCAAGATTGCGCCGCAGGGAAGTTGTGCTTTTGGCGGATACGCCTACAACGAAGCGCGACTGTGTAGACCCCCTGGGGTCCGGACGTACAGGGGGCTCTTGCAACAGCAGACTGGTGTTTCCTCCGGCCGCACTGAAGTTGTTTACCATGACATATCTCCTTCTCTCTGGATCATGTGGCCACAAAACTGTCTCTGTGGGGATCTTGACATTTAATCGCTCCAGATCGGGGAACTTGGAGTTTAACTTTGTCTTGATGCCAACATGCTGGGGAATTGCGTTATGCTGGAAGATTAATAGTGCCTTCATCAGCGCCGTGATACCGGCTGCAGCCTCTCCGTGGCCCAGATTGGCTTTGACAGAGGAGATGTGCAATGGGTGCGTTCGACGGGGGGCCCATGGGCTGAAAACCCGGGTCACGGACTCAATTTCGGCCGCATCCCCGGCCTGTGTACCAGTACCATGCATCTCAACTAGGTCCACGTCCTGTGGCGGAACGCCAGCCTGGGTAAGGACGGCGCGGAAAAGTTGCTCTTGAGTGGGTGCATGGGGATGAGTAATGGAGATGGCGTGGGAGGAGTGGTTGGTAGCCGTGCCGAGAATCACCCCAAGGATGTTGTCGTTGTCGTCCTCTGCGTCGGACAGACGCTTCAGAATGATAGAGCCGATTCCGTCACCTCGACAGTAGCCATCTGCGGCATCGTCAAACACCTGACAGTTCCCAGTCTTGGACAAGAAGAAGCCCCGACTGAGGCCGGCGAAGCTGTCGGATCCTGTGAGCACGTTCAGACCACCGGCAACAACCATGTCCGCCTCTCCGCGGAGCAAAGCTGCGCAGGCGATTTGGACAGAAGCCAAACTGGCGGAGCATGCTGTATCGCAGTTGAAGCTTGGACCAGAAAACTTGAAGAAATAGCTGATCCGGCCCGGAGCAAATGCTCGGTAATTTCCTGGGATGAAGTACATGTCAATGTCCTGGCCGGCATTCGCTTCACGATAATCATCCGAACACTGGCCGTAAATAGTTCCCACGCGGTCTCGGGTGGTTGAACGGGTCCGATCAGGCACATAGCCGGACTGCTCAAGAGCCTCATATGCGGTAAGTAATGCTAGGCGATGAGTGGGGTCTGTCTGTCCGGCCTCACGGGGAGACATGTCGAAAAAGCCGGCGTCGAAGAGTCCAGGGCTGTCAATAAAGCATCCGAAGGGAGTGTGGCTGGTGTTAAGTCGTTTCCCAGTTACATCAGTATGGCTATCCACGTCGTATCGGTCCGCTGGGACCTTCTGATGTACATCCCGCCCATCCTCGAGCAGCTCCCAGAACCGCTGCAGATCATCCGCGCCTCCAGGCAACCGACAGGACATGCCTACGACAGCGATTTTCGTGTCATTGGCTGTTAAAGATGGAATATTACGGTTGTCGAATATCCACTCTACAAGGTCTTCCACGCCAACAGTACATTCAGGAAATGCTGTTTGGACACTCGAGAGCAAACCGTGAACGACTGGGGTGGACGGCCGGAATGTCTCAAGTTGCAGCTCCATATCGTCCCTCCAGTAAGGGAACTTTGCGGCAGCATGAAGGACACTGCCCCAGCGAATGACGCTCGTCAGAAGGACGTGCGTAGCTGACTCTAGCAGCTCCTGCACAGTCTCGCCTTTCAATGGTCGACCATCGCCCATTGACAGCACATAGGCTGCGTTTGTGGGTCTGCGACTAGCGACACTAGGGCGCATTTCACTGACAATCCACGTACTGTGTGTCCTGTCGTACAGGTGGGCAGCGTGGCAGGGGCCGCCATACACGGGTAATGGCGCTCTTGGAGCCGATTGTACCTTCCCCGGTGTGTTGAAGAATTGGCGCAGTCGAGATGGTGGACCGTTCACAAAGACACTGCCATCCGGTTCGACGACGCTGATATATACCTTGCTGCACTGTGGGGAGCCCTATTTTGCAACTCGGATCAGACAATTGTTTTATCATTTCCTTCCCCTCAACATCCATTTGCCTACCGTAGACGTGTTGAACATCTCCAGCTCCTCTTGCACCGTCTCCTCATCAAGGCCCTTCACAAGCGTGGCCCAGCTCTCTAGGGGACTTTTGACGGACTGCGGCTCGATGTCCTGCGATTTTTGGTACAAAAGAATGCCGGCTCTCATGGCGACGCGAATGACCTCAGCCGCAGTGACGGGGACATCCAACAAGGAAGGGGAGGCAACGATTGCTGTGGCGGCCAGGAAGCCCAGACCTAGACCGGTAAAGAGCGAGTCCTGGGCATGGAAACCGAATCTCTCGGGCCGGCTCTCGTAGTTGCTATCCCAGGTCAGTTCACCCTTCCTCCAATGCCAATTTCGGAATGGAGACACCTCACCCAACGAAAAGACATAGCGGAATCAAACATAAGAAGATGCATTCGAACGTTCCGCAGAGCGGTCCCTTGTGCCAGTTGTGACTTTCTGCGAGGTCCAGAATTGACTGGAATGGTGGGATAAGACTTCTCAATTCCGCGGGCAGGCGGCGGATCTCCTCTCGAACGACCTGGGTCGTCTCGTCGAGAAGTCGACGCAACACGACATGTTCTGGAGATTGAGAGTACAAGCGTAAACGCCGAAAGAGTTCCTGCAGGTCATCTGGGGGGAATTTGTTGCTGAAGAAGAAGAGTCTCATTTTGTTTGTTACCGTGAGGGCAGCGAGGAAAGAAACCCGGTATGGCCTGGTGGGTGTTGGGTCAAGTCGGGTTCGTAATATAATCTGTTCAGTTGGAGAAAACCGTTGAATACTTGCTAATTCCATGTTCTAGACTTCCTAGTACGCATCAAGGACGTGGGCTGCCATTCCTCTTGAATTTTCCCCCCTGCTAGGGGGGTTCTTCGCATGAGGCGGCATAGCGGGTCTAGCTGGCCAGACAACATGATCGTCCTGCCATGTTCCAAACGTGTAGATTCTGGTGATACGTATCAGCGGATGAAAACATTATTGAATGTATGATCGCCACTATTCATCTGAGACTGATCATACAGTGAAGTCAATGATATCAGCCGTTAATCTGTTGATGGCACAATCGCCTGGTACAGAAGTGTTCTGCTTCCTTTGTTGCCTGCACCAGGAATGAAAGGCTCTGGAGAAGCAAGGGAGGGGGTCGACGAAGGGCCTGTGGTCTTCATCTGCTATCACATGTAGCCCGACACATACGTGACCGAAGCTCAGGATTCCTCGTGCGCGGGCACACCAGCCGTGCATGCATTGCTCTGATTTTGGCGAAGCTATGTTTAGCTCGAAGCCACGCACTTAAATCTCCAGCAAATGTAGAGAATCATATGCATGCACATCGTCGCATCCCTAGAGTGAGCGGTGAAAGCCTCACTTATCCACTCTGCAAGGAGATCAGGCAACGGTATAGCTCTCAATCAGGCAATACAGTACAGTCTGATCACATCCGTGGATCGAGAGGCGGTCTCATCTTCTGTGCGATAATGCCGGTGGAGTAATAGATCTCCATAGTCGGTGGAGAACTCTAGGACGACCTATTTAACTGTCTACGTCTAAGTGATTCATCGCACGGCGGTCTTGCTCTTGATCTTGGAACTACAGCGTTTCTCAAGAAACTACATCATGGCCATCACTGAAGAAACTGATCAATATCTCTCGGGCGTCCAGAAAGCCCTGCAACGGCTGAACGGAGCAGCAGAACGCTGCCAGTCGACTCTGCTTAGCGGCCAGGATAATAGCCTAGCGAGCTGTAGTGCCAGGCAAACCGTGCGCGATGACTTGGTTCTCGAAGCCCTGAAGTTCCTCCAAATGGCTCAAGGACCGGTTGATGCTGCTGCTACTTGCTATGAACGGGTAAATTGCTACAGCATGCAGTGTAGATGTCATATCAAATGCTAACAACGGGTGATAGACGGCTCATTTCGCGAGCGTACGCGCCTTGCTCGAGATGGGAGCCTTTGAGGCACTACCCACCGGAGGTGTCTCTCGCAGCACGCAAGAACTGGCCAAGGAACTGAAGGTTGATGAGTCGCTTCTCGGTGAGTATAATCTAAGCTCTGGCGTTTAATTGATTCCGCTGACAAACCAGCTCGTCTCCTGAGAAATTCCTCGCTGTACGGTCCGTTTGAAGAGACTGGACCGGGCCAGTACTGCCACACTCCGTTTTCCGAGGCTTACCTGCGCCCTGAGATCCGGGGGATGTTCCGATTCGCGTAAGTCTCTCATTCCATGGCATGCAATATGCTCAGCGTTTGTTCCAGGATGGACGACCACATGCCCGCTCATCTCAAACTCCATGAGTTCCTGCAGCGCAACGGCTGGCAGGAACCTTCATCCACCACGGACAACCCGTACACCCACGCCCACGTGACAAACGGGAAGAGCATGTTCATGAACCTCTCTGAGAAGCCTGAGCGGATGCAAGCGTTCAACAACGGCATGACGCTGCAAGCGATAACGCCTCTATGGATGACTGACTTATTTCCCTGGAAAAATCTGAGCCGGTTCCAGCCTGACGCGAGCACCGTTGTGGCGGTGGATATCGGCGGCGGAAAGGGCAAGGCGATTGCTCGTATCAAGGGCCTTTGCGGCTTGCCAGGTCGGTATATCCTGCAGGACCAGGGACATGTCATTCAGAGCGTGGAGGGCGTACTTGACCCGAAGATCGAGCGGATGGGCTACGACTTCTTCACCGAGCAGCCTGTTCGGGGTACGTTACTTCCCTTAATTCTAAATGATTTCTCCATCTAACCCGATTCTAGGAGCCCTGAGCTACCTCATCCGCCGCTGTCTCCACAACTGGCCCCAGGAAAGCGTGGTGCGCATCCTAAAGAACGTCGCAGCGGCAATGGAGCCGAAGAAATCCTGTCTGCTGATCGAGGAGATCATCGTCCCGGCAGAGAAGATGGGTGTCGAAGAGGGATGGATGGATATGATCATGATGTCGCTGGGTGCTAAACAGAGGACGCTCAAGGAGTGGCAGACGGTGCTCGACCTGGCGGGGCTGGAGGTGAAGCAGGTCTACCAGATTCCTGGGAATTGCCATGGGCTTATTGAGGCGTGGCGCAAGTAGTTTTTCTAGCATCAATCTGAGAATTTACCGTTGAAATTCATCTCTGGACGGGAAGCCGAGACTTGCACATTCGGAATCTATTGTGCATAGGGCTAGTCGTATCTTTCCTTTTGTTCGTCTACTTTGTCATGAAATATTTGGGTAAATCATATACTGAAAATTGGAAAGATGGGAGCTACTACTTGCAGTGACTGGTATTTCCCTCAGGACATTCAACATCGAGCAGGTAAGAGTACCCTTCACGACTACTGGTAACATACTAAATCATGGAATAAAGCCACACACAAATTCTACCAATTCAAATGCTTATACCATTTAGAACTAACCAGACCATCCCGCCAACCATCTCAAGTTCCAACGCCATCATCTCTCACAGCTTCCGCGCCGTGGCAATAATCGCCTCCGCCTCCATAGAAGCAACCCCATTCTTCCCGACCTTCTCCTCAAGAATCCGCAGCACAGCTTTTGGAATCTCATCCTCGTACTTTTCCCGCTGCTCCTCCGTCCAGAACCGTCTCGTGACATGCGGCAGACTGATCTTGCACGCCTCGGCGAGGTCTTCCACGGGAATGGGGTATGCCTTGCCCACCGTGGTGATCTTGATATCCGCGAACCCGGCGTGCTCGAACTGGGCGCGCACGCCGGCCTCGTCGGCCCAGTTCTTGTTGTAGAGGCAGAAGAGGTCTTTTGTGCTTGGGGTGGGGAGGTTACCTGGTAGGCTTGCGATGGCGGATTGGATGAGGGTGGTCCAGACGGCTGCAAGCTTGTCAGGGAGGGAGGGAACAGGGAACAGGGTGGTGAAGGGTGGGGGCAGGCTTACTTGAGGACCATACTGAGATGGCGAGTGTGCCGCCGGGTTGGAGGATTCTGAAGCATTCTAGGTACCGAATGTAAGCAGTTGCGCGGGCAATTATGATTGGCTAATTTCCAAAAAAAAAAAAAAAAGGCGAGCTTACCTTTCATAGCGGCTCGGTCGTCTGGGAAGAGGTTGAACGCTGGTTACATACACCATTAGCCACAGCCATCTTTCCGAATGGGGGCTGGTTCATATGTACCAAAAGCCGAGAAGACGTGCGTATAGTGTCCATCTGGCAGCGTCGTGTCTTGGGCGTCCACAACCTTGACCTCGGCATTGCGCCATCCTTCCTTGTTCATCTTCTGCTTGCTCACCTCTACCATAGCCTCCGAAACATCGCCGCAGGTCAACTGCCAGCCGCGCGTAGTCTCGTCATCGAGTGTGCGGTGCAGGGTACTAGAGACCGCGCCGGTTCCGCAAGCATCGTCGAAGACAAGCAGAGGCTTCTGGCTCTGCGCTATGCCGGACTTCTGGACGAGCTCTTCGGCGAAGAGCGTGCTGATCCTGCTGCCGAAGTCGTACCGGCTGGCGGTTGCCTGGTCGTGCTTTGCTGGGGCGTCTTGTGTTCGGGTCATGGTGGGTTGTACGTACTTGAGTGTCGAATCTGGGGAATGGTGGGAAGGTGAATTCCTGGTGTCAGAATAGTTTGTATGCTTTTATGTTCGCTATGTGACTGTCTGGGCGAGGGCAATAGACCGGCGGTCAGTTTACAGGCTGCATCAGTGCCCAACCATATCTTGACAGACCAATGCTCAGAAACCAATCGGCTGTTGATCTAGAGCTATCCCGTGCTGGAGGTTTGGCTCGGCGGGGGATGAGGTATTGGCAGGGTTATCTGAGACACTCGCTGCAAGCGCAGGCTACATTTCTACTAAGCTAAGAACATTGCGCTTGCATGGAGATGAATGGTGGAGAGCATTGGTATGCTGTTTGATGTCATGGGACTTTGGCCTTCAACGGCCAGCCGTTTGATTGCGACTGTGATCCTCTCCTTGCGTCGAACATTCTTTGTGGTCAAGCCGTTGGAAGAACGCAGCGCCTTACTTAAGTTGCCTTGATAGGGCGGGCGACTATGCCGTATCTCTACACTGCTGAGAGATGGCTGTCCTTGGTGATCCTGATCCTTGTTTCTGGCCCTGCGTGTTTAGTTTGGGCTTGAGGTTTCTCTCAGCAATGGACAAAATGTACATGGTACATCCCGAGCTGCGTTGTGGTCTATGAGCTACAAAATGTTCGAAGGATTCATATGAGTACATATATTCAAATGGGTCATATTTGATTAAGACTTCAATCGGGTAATCAGTAGCCTCCGAGGGCGCATCTGATTGCAATCCCCACACGTAGAACGGTAAGAGCACATAAGTCCCGGCGACTTGTGTGATAGAAGGAGCAGGCTCATTGAGACTCTTTCAGAATCCTTGATTAGGCCAGTGGCTGCTCCAAAGGCCGCCGATGATATTTGTGCGCAGCACATAACTGAGGTCAGGACAGTCTAGTCTTCGGGAACGACAAAATAGTGGTCGCCGTTGAGTAGGATGAGACCAAGTAAGACAGTTGTCGGTTTGGTTCTGTTCAGCGTGCTAATCAATATACTCAAACCCCTACGCTCTATATCATAGATTCGGATACTGTCCTCGCTACCCGCACACAGGCCCCATAGGGAGCTATGCAGAGGGTCATACAATTATACTAAGATGAATAGTGCGGAGGTGTTGAGATCTACCCGTTTTATGTCGAGGCGCAATCTTATAACTGCGTCCTGGGCTCTCCTTGCCCACATGATGACGCTGCCAACATGGTGTCGAGATCTGGGAAATTCAGTTCCACGCTCTCTGGATCAAGTAGCAATTCTGGCTTTCGCTTCGTCGGTTAGTGTAATCTTGAGTCGCCTCAGACTGTTGCGGTCGTGAATGCCCCTGTGACTCGGTAAAATTCCTCCGGTGATTTGATATCTGCACTGAGAGAGAAGAGGAGGAGAACTCGCCTAGAACATCACAGTGGTTGATGAGAAGATCTTCCATGCCGAACAGTCAGCTCCCAGAGGGAACGCTGATCATCTAGATAGTGGAACAGGAGTGATTCTTGATGACTATCTAACAGAAGGAAACTGTCTGCCACAGTGTCTACCTCTGGCGTACCGACTACCGAGGGAGACAATACCCTTTGTGTTATAGTCTCTTCCGTCTACATGAGACTGCCACAGTGGCAGTCTCGAAGCCGGCTGACCCAGACCAGATTAGCTTGAATAGCACATTTCAGATGTGTCTAGCGCGGCCATATTGCTTCCCCACCATCATGAGCCAGAACATCTTTAACAAGTACTGTGTATGTAGTAACAAACCCTGGAAATGCTTAGCGTGCGGCTCCATAAAATAAGGTTCTGTTAGCCCTTTTCTTTTGACCCTCCAGTCTCCTATTCCTGTCTCCGGTCTTGTTGAAATGTCCGACTGACCGTTCCCCAACTGTTACCAGATGGATGACCTGCAGGAAACCCCAGAAGGCAAGACTGGATGCATTAGCAGGTGCAATAGCTACTTACAGATCAGGGCTTTGCACCTGTCTTTGGTCCTGAAGCAATCTAGGGCGGGTCCTTCTGGTAGGCAAAATTAGCATGCATAGTGACAGGAAGCAACAGTGGCCGGCGGATAAGGTAGTTTCCAGCTCCTACTGGCGACGCCTAGTTAGTCCATGAGAGATATCCTATTGGCGCAAGTGGTCAAGAATCTGCCATGTCGTTCCTCCTGCAACAATCCCTGTAATGCCCCCAGCGACTTTGGTGCTGTACAGCCTGTGCTAGCAGGCTGGAACATCGCCATGAGCCACCAAAAGCTTACCAACATGCCAGCAACATCAAGTCGCAATGCTTCAAGGTAGATGGGCCCTCGCCTACTCCCTATGCCCATTTTAACTTACTATCGTCCGGGTTCTTCTCCTTTTCTGGCCCCCCCTTGTATTGTTGCGATCAGGTTATTGAATATTCTATTAATGAGTCTGTCCTGCCTTAGAGATGTCTCTCTCTGCATACCTAAAATGAACCACCCTAAGCGCAGAGTTCCTCATGATGGAAACAAATAAGTCTATATTCTATTCTATTCTATTCTATTCTATTAACAGTGATCTGCTTTAATCTATAAAGTGTATCTCTAGAACCAATACTCCAAAAAAAAGAAAAAAAAAACACCACCTATGCAAAAGCAGGAAGCTTCATCTTCTCCAAATAATCATCATAGAGCTTCTGCTCTTGGTCCACAAACGGCTGCACGATCTCCCTCCCCTTGAGAATCTCCGCCTGCAGGTGCTCCCACTCGGCCTGCGCGTCCCAGTTCACACCCGCCGTCTTGCGCTGGTTCACCGACGCAGCCCCATTCGCCGCACCGGACGCGCTCATCGGCGTGAAGCCGGCGGCCTCGAACGCCTCCCGCGGAGGCACCGTATACCGGCCCTTCTTGAGCACATACTTGCTGATCGAGACAGCGAAGAGCCGCTTGCGGAGGACCTCGTCGTCAACCGCCGCCGGCGCCGCCTTCTTCCCCTTCTTCCCTCGACTCGGCTTCAGGAAATACGTCACGATGTAGATCCACTTCTCATCAAAGGAGGCAATGTGCGACTGGACCTCGTACTTGGCGTAGGCGGGGATCTCGCGCTTGAAGTTCGTGTAGACGCTGCCGAGGATGAAATGCAGGTATCCGAACTTCTGCTGCTTGTGGAGGCGGGTCTCGAGCAGGGCGGCGCCCTTCATGATGAGCGAGGACATGAGGGCGGTGCGCGACACGTCGAGGTCGGAGAAGTAGGTCGAGTTGGACTTGTGGACGTTCAGGTCGAGCTCGAGGATCGGGGCGTGGGTGAAGATGCTGCGGGGTTTGACGAGGTCGGAGCTGGGGCGCGCGGGCTGCTCGACGGCCGGGGTGATGAGGTAGCCATACTGGAAGAAGTAGCGGTAGACGCGGAGCTGGATGGGGGAGAGGGGAGTTAGTGGGAGTCGTTGGTTGATACCAGCTGGGGACGAGGGGAGAGAGACACGTACATGCCACACAAAGGGGAGGTTCTTGATGTTGAGCAGGGCGAAGCCGATGGCGACGGTGCGCCAGAAGCTGGCGGATTGCCAGACGGAGCTAGCGAGCGAGAGAATGGACTCCATACGGAGAGAGAGTGTGTGTGTTACGGAGCAAACTGGACGCAGGAAGTCGATGTACTGAATACGAATTCGAAGGAGAACAAGACTGGACTGATGGATTCATATGCGCTGTTGAAGGCGACCGAGAAAGATGTACCGAAGAACAGAGGAGAACAGAAATCCACTCCCTATCCAGGCATCCAGCCAGAATTCGTCTCATCTTATTACTCTGTATTAGTGATCTGATCTGAAGCTGCAAAATCAAAATCCCAACAATCAAAATTTCCCATTTCCATGTTCTCTCTTGGCCAATCAGGCCTGCTGTTGGGAGAAAAGCAGGAACAGAACCGTGCAAAGTGCCTCGGTTGCCGGCGATAAAACGCTCCTTTGAGCAAAACGTCCGATGGGATGAGCAGAAAGCCATAAAGCCTTGCAGAGGCCGAAATTCGTCCGAGAAGGAATAAACAAGATGGATTTCCATGGATTTATGCACAAGAGCCACGCATACGTATACTTTAAACCTGGCTATGGCTATAGCTTACTCCCCATATTAACATGCACGGCTTTAATCCGACTATACGCGGCCAACCCGGCCTCCCCCAGCTCCCGTCCAATCCCACTCTGCTTGACGCCCCCAAACGGCACCCGCGCATCGCAGTCCTGACTACTGTTAATCCAGACCATGCCCGAGTCAATCTCCGCCGCAACCCGGTGGGCCCGCTCGAGATCCCGCGTGAACACCGCCGCGCCCAGCCCATAGATCGTGTCGTTCGCCCGGCGGAGAGCCTCTTCCTCCGAGTCAAACGGCTCGATCACCACCACGGGCCCAAACACCTCTTCCCGCACGATCTCCATCGCCTCCGTCGTCCCCGTGAACACGGTCGGCTGCACAAAGTAGCCGGCGCGGTTCTTGCGGTCGCGCGGCACATACGCGCCGCCCCCCATGACCAGCCGCGCGCCCTGCGCCTTCGCCTTCGCAATGTGCGACAGGACGCGCTCGTACTGCGCGCGCGTCACCTGCGGGCCCTGGAAGGTTGACTCGTCCCACTGGTCGCCGACGACGGAGGTGGTTTCGACCGTCCGCTGGTATCGCTCCAGGAAGGGCTCGAAGATGGCCCGCTGGACATAGACGCGCGACGTGGCGGTGCAGATCTGGCCCTGGTTCGCCATGATGCCGAAATGCGCCCACTTGACGGCCTGGTCGAGGTCGGCGTCGGCAAAGACCAGCAGCGGCGACTTCCCGCCCGTCTCCAGCGTGATATCCTTCAGCGTGCCCGCGGCCATCTTCATGATCTCCCGCCCCGTCTGCGTCGAACCCGTGAACGCGACCTTATCGACGAGCGGGTGGGCGGCGAGCGCGGCGCCCGCCGTGCGCCCGGACCCGTTCGTGATGTTCACCACGCCCGGCGGGAAGCCGGCCGCCTTGATCAGCGTGGCCAGCACCAGCGCGCTCAGCGGCGTCTGCTCGGCGGGCTTGAGCACGACCGTGTTCCCGCACGCGAGCGCGGGCCCCAGCTTCCACGCCGCCATCGACAGCGGGTAGTTCCAGGGGATGATCTGGGCGACGACGCCAATGGGCTGGCGCAGCGTGTAGGCGAGCTTGCGCGGCGTGGGGTACAGCGTCTGGCCCGCCACCTTGTCGGCCCAGCCGGCGTAGTAGCGGATGGTCGTGATGGCCTCGGTGAGGTCCTCGTCGCGGGCGACGTGGTAGGGTTTGCCGTTATCCCAGGCCTCGATGGAGGCGAGTAGCTCGCGGTGCTGGTCCATGAGCGCGGCGAGCTTGGTCATGAGGATGCCACGGTCGGTGGCGGGGAGGCCTTTCCAGGACGGGTGGACGAGGGCGGCGCGGGCGGCGTGCACGGCACGGTCGATGTCGGCTGGGCTGGCGGCGTGGACGGTGGTGATGGGTTGGTCGGTTCTATTTCGTCTGAGTTTTATTTTTAGTTCGTAGGAAATGAGGGGGATGGGACATACGCTGGGTCGAGCGAGGTGATGGTCTCGCCTCCGGACGCAGGGACGAATTCATTGTTGATGAAGAGACCGGTGGGCTGTTTGTAGCGACGGCCATTGGGGGTCACGATATCGACGAAGAGGTCCGTCATTTTGATGGGGACTTGGGATGCGGTTGGAGAAGAACTGAGATTCTGAAGCTGGCTTGGCTGTGTTGGTGTTGATCTATCTTCTATTCTATCTTCTATATCGGTTTCTTATCTGTTTCTGTACAGCACCGATGGTGGGGTTCGGATGGACATGCCTAATTGATGCTAATCTGGGGGTCAATTCGGTGTCAGCGATCGATATTCTGATTAGTGATTAGTCTTGCAGATAGCTGCAGGATGAACTGGTTGGACCGACCGCGAATGAGAGGAGAATACTACAGTAATGATATGATAATTAATAGCTTAGCTGATTCTGATGGTCCCAACTCCCAAGGGCTAGCGACCTGTAGAACTGGTATGTTGCGGACTTCTCAGGATATATATATATATATATATATATATATCAGTAGTACTCTGTACTGAGGCAGATGTGCTCTTAATATGACTGGGTACATACAAATGTTTAGCCCTTAAGATTCAAATAATAATCTTGACTATTCAATCCAGCATTGTCCACATACTACCTTACCTATGGAGTACTACACACTATTACTATAGTCCTTTGTAGGAATTCATGTGTTGGAGTTTTATGCGCTGTGATTGATGAGTCAGATGGCGTTCATATGGGTTTTATGCGAAGTAAGAGGGCCAATCAGCAGCATTGCATAAAAGCTGGACGGATGGATGCCCGAAGATGCCTGACAATGGTCTAGGCCTCGGCAGCCAAGTCACGGGGAATGATATCATATCTCGTGACATCTTCGAACCAACAGCCCAACGCTAACCGGATGGAGAGAAGAAACCCAAGTCAAGAGGCCGAAAAGCGTCAATCGGCGACTCAATTGTATTTCGACCGGGAGAAGAAAAGTCGAGTAGTTGATAACTTATATAAATTGATGGATGAACTGTAGGTATAGCATAGCATCGTAGACACTTCCCCTTCATACGGATACTCGCGTCTCGCATTTCCAAACCTACCATCCAAAATGGCATCCGCAGTATGGCGGCGTATCCTCCCCCAACGCGTCGCCAACACCGGCTCGCAACTCCGCGACCACCAAGCCAACGAACGCACCTTTCTCTCCTGGACCCGCATGGGGCTCGGCTTTGCAGCCATGGCGCTAGCCCTGGGCCGTCTCGATGCAATCGACCGCATGATCGCCTCCGCGCTCTCCAGCACGAAACTCAACCTGGTGGTGTTGCCCGAGCATGCCGGGCAGCAGCAGATGCAGGCGGTGCCCGTGCGCCCCAGCGGGAATTCCGCCACCGCCAGCGCTCCCACTACTGCTCCTCCTAGTCCTACAAGTCCTACTACTAGTAGAACTGCTAAGAGTCAGCGCCAAGACCAGGCGCCGTCCCCGTCAGCATCAGCGACAGGCGCGCCGCAAGGGGGGCATGGGTTTGGCCGCAACGGGCTCTCCGCCGCGACGCTGTGCCAGGGAATCAGCGTGTGGTCGTTTGGGTATGGGATCTTTCGGTATCTGTCCGTGCGGCAGAATGTGCTTCGGGGCCAGTTTACGCCGGCGATCTGGGGGCCGGCGTTTATGACGTGTGGATGTTTGGGGCTGTTTGGGACCATGGGGATGTGGATGGATCGGAGGACTTATTAGGGATCGGGGGGTCGTTTTCTGTCTAATTGTATCATATCTAGTGTGATTGAATTATTGGGAAGCTTGTTTGGAGTTTGGGTCTAGTTTGTACTGTACTCAGCTTTAAGAGCTGAAGAATGAAAAATATATTGATAGATCCATTCTGTCCTCTGCTGAACCCATGACGTCAGTAGATATTCACATTCTTCCTACTACTTTTTGCACCCCAGAAGGAATTCCCTTTCAACTGACAAGAAAGGACACTCTCTGAATTCATATTACTGCAGAGCAGACATCAGTCAGTGATATCACTAGCTCCACCCCTCCTCCCTATTCCTATACGGAGTACATATCCTTATTCCTACCTCTATTAGCTCCATTATTTAGGACATTGCTCAAACTATAAAGTAGGCTTGCGGCTGCCATGTGGAGATCAACACGCCTGAGTACAAGTTGAATCATTCTGACGTCTTAAGTGTACAATGGCTGCTGTGGACTCGCCCAGTATCACAAGTGGTGAGGTCATTAGCCGGTGACTTTGTTCGATATCCCCCGGATTGAGCCTACCTTATCCGTCCTTTGATCCAACCTATCGACATCATCCGTCTAGATGCCTCCTCTCAATGAACACTGCTGCCAAGAGTCGACACCATCCATCGCAGTCTATACACAGTCATACAGACCCACTGGGGTCCAAGATCTCCCCCCAGAGGAATTCGCCATCTATCGTAGCCAGCGGCGAATTCATCATAGTCGAACAGTTACAGAGGCTCTGTGAGATCTCCAGGGCCATAGATCTGTCGAACTCTGTCGTCAAGTGATATCACAACCACCACTCCAGGAGCAGCAGTCATGGTCCCCCATGACAAGCAAGAGGCACCGCCGCTATTGTAACTGCACCTATCCTCAGCAGCACTAGCAGCAGTAGCAGCAGCAACAAATGTGATATCACATCATCTCGCAACTACAGTAGAATGTTCCCCCCCTGAACTGCGGAGGGAAAGCCGTGATGACATGATCTACCACCGTTGGTAGGAACTCCCAACCATCATCAGAGCAGCAGCTCGTCCATGGCTATGATGTTGCTGGGCAGCCACGACCTGCCTCTCATTGGCGTAGCAAACAGTTGGCTATCTGTGGCGTCAAACAGAGACCATCTCGTTCTAGCGATGACAAGTCGTTGGCACCTTTTAAGCTTCTAAGGTATCGCGGTATCAACACCGTATAAGAACTCCCACAAGTGCCAATCTAACTTTTCGATTCTGATCACTCGGACGCAATCAGTTCTACGGAGTATTTTCCCTTGTTCAACTAACTTTCGGCCTTCCTAACCTCTTATTCCAACCTCATCAAACATTACTTCCTTCCCAACTACAATCAAAATCCAACTTCAAAACAATGGCTCCCGCTCACCCCAGCCCTCAACCAGCCGCATCCGCCAACCAAATCCCTACCCTCCCTTCAACCACCTCCGACAGACGCTCCGCCTCTTACAACCCCCCCGTTGACGACGACGAGAATACTCCCGGCGGCGATCTCTCCCCCAAGCCGCTCGCCGGCGCCAATATCGACATGCAGATCCGCGAGTACCACAACAGCATCAAGGCCACCTTGACCGCGCTGCTGAATGATGAACGGGTAAGACAAAACCCGGGCGGCAGCAAATGTGTCCAGACGGGCCTTCTTGAAACGGAAAGGGACTTACGCAAGGAAAAGAGGAAATCGCTCAGTACCCGGCCGCCGGAAGAGAAGCTATAAATCCACGCTTGATGCTTGATGCTTGATGCTACGCTTCCAACACTTCACCTTCCCCCCCCCCCAACGATTGAATTGTGTAGAACTACGATTTGACGAGGATTGGTTTATGGTTACTACTGTTGCTCGTGTTTTCACATTGCTATGGTGTTAGATGGGTTTTGTTTGGGGCATCTTTTTTTCTATTTTCTTGTTTTTACTTCGTTTTCGAAAACGATGAGCACGCTGTGATAGTATCGCTGGTCGAAAGCTATGATTCATGATAGACGCAATCCTGTAGTCTCTTACCCCTCGTGCCAAGTTTCAACCTCACACGCCGTCTTTCCATGCGTTAGTCGCACGTAGAACAGTGGTTTGTTCCAAAGAGCGGTCATCATGATGATGCAGAAGCCGCTGGGAGGCCAAAAGTCAATCCAAAGCTTGTTTTCCATTCTCACGCCAAGCGTCTACGTCTAGCCATGATCAAAACTAGGTCTGGGGGTGGGCGGGCGATCAGCAGTCTGGGGCAGATGCTGCATTTCTGCGTCGGAAACAGGCTCTGGAGACAAGTCATTTTGATCTAGTAGTCTACATCTTGTGTCTGCAGACCGCCCGTCTGTGGATAGATGATCATCCGGTTCTGGCTAGAAGCCTCGAACGTTGATGATGGCGAGGATCTGAATATACCCCGGCTTCATGACATCGTTGTACTTCCATGCCCTCACTACCTGACAGTGAGGGCGTCGAACCTGAAGGGTCGGGACTGATCCAGTCCTCATGCTTGGCGAGGTATGTCGCGTCATACTTCATACCTTTGCCGTGGAAGGGCATCTCGATAACCTGTTGAAGGATTGATTCCATTGGAGTGCGAGAGGGGTCTAAATGACGCTTCGCTATAGAAGTTCTTGGGATGTTTGGGTGATGACCAATGTATCTATCGATGTGGTTGGTGTTCGGGAGGGGGTCTAGTTCTTTCCTCGCTGATAGTCGACAGTCGTTCAGAATTTATGGTGTCTACCGACTAGATGGAAGAGTATCATGGAGAGGTATTGCGTAATGTTAGAACTTGGATATCATCATCGAAGCTGAAGTAGAAAAATCTTGGCGGCTTGCCAGAATCAGGCAGATCACAGCCTCTGCAAGCAGGGAGTTTATCATTGATATCATAGGAGCACAATGGGAAGGACATTGGAGATAAAGAGCTTGTAGATGGTGAACACAATGTGGGAGAAGATGAAGATGGGTTGTTGAATGATAAGTGACTTAACCATGATATGAAGTTATCAAGAGTTCAAAAACTTTTTATTGAGAGGAATTTGCAAATGCTGCTAGAAAGGAGTGATATATTCATCTATTAAGTATCTAGAATGAGAAAAGAGGATGGAAGAGTTATCCTGTAGAAGGATAGGATTCAGGGTAACAAGGAGGTATGTCTATCTTTATTGATATATGAAGCTATACAGAGCAGCATTTTCATCTGTTTAGGCAAGCTCCTGGCGTTGAGTTTCACTAGTAGGACCCAACCAACCTTAGACAAAGTAGAGTAAGCTGCTATTGCCATTCAGATAGCTTCCATATATTTAAAACAAATATGAATCCTTCCACTTCAGTTCACCTGGGATACCTGCAGCATCTCAAGTCAGTTGAATAGGAGCACCCATTCTGATAGATAGTCTGAACACAATATTACTGCTTCATGTCTAAGTAGACTGCTCAGACAACGTGGCAGATTGTATTCTGGTTTAGAGTGTGACTCCAACTCATTCAAAAAGATATGTAGTAACACTGCTAATTTCAAAGAATAATGGTCAGTTATACTCCATTGCCTTAGGTTAGCATATATAGGAATGTTAAATAACATAAAGAACACCAAGGGGGAGATTTAAGATTTCTCTCATGTAGCATAGCCATATGGTGCCAAAAGGCCTGTAGTATGAAGATGTGGAAATGGGTAGCTCGTCGAAAGGGCTCCACATTGATTCTCAACGTAATGGTGATCTACGTAGAATGCAGCCAATCTTGATATTGGCAGGCAATGCGACAGGTATCTATAGCTTATAAGTGAGGGCAGGAAGGAAGAAGATGAGGTCTCTGTGGTCCAAGTCTTGTTTGAACTTAATCGAGCTTTAAACGACCTCTATCTATCCATCATGTTTATGACTCAATAAGACCAGAATGGGGGTATGACCCAGCCTCAATTCAACAGCCTGTACACGTTCCGAGCTTCTAGGCTTTTAGGGTTAAGTATACCTGCAGTATGCCCCAGTCATTGGCAACGATCTGCTTCTAACATATGAGGAACGACCAAGTTTCCCACGGGTTTTAAGTAGTTCGGACATATCCCAAGCAATAATTTCGTTCAATACTATGCCATTATGCAATATTGAACCTCAATGTAGCCAATGTGAAGGGCCAGGGAGCCAATCAAAGCATTGCAATTGCTTCTAAGACAGTTCAGAGTTCAAGATGCTACGGGACCGGGAGATACATCCTTCTACACGGCTGGAACACTTTGAAGTTCTGCTCGATGCCCGAGAATATGAGACATGGGTGTCTCTCATGGAAACAAAACGGGATCGGATACAATGGATGCCCTACATCCGCTCGCTATAATGGCAACAGCCGTTCGGTTTCCCGTCAACCCTGCTATACCTTACTCTACGGCATGAAGCTGTTCAACCCGGTCCGTGGAGTTCTTTGTTGTAGAGCAGCCGGCCAAAATGACATTGTTCGGACAATGCCATTGAGCCACTCAAAATGTCTTGAATGCCATTGTCTTCCGTTAATGTTTTGAGACATCAACACGGATTTCCGTGTCTGGTCTATCAATGTCTCTGTTTCCACTGTGATGGATTCCTTCCTGCGTGATCGTGAGGGTCTACAGAGTGCCACTCTATCCAGTGATCTCTTTGGATGAAGATGGGGGATAAATATGGTAGTTCTTCACTGAGATTTAGTCTTCATCAACTTCCTCTTCTCCACCCTCATCACACTGACTACACCACAACTCTGCCATTCAACGGCTGGAACCTTACTTCGACACAAAGCTCAACTGTCTCTTTCCCTCCCTTTTCCACACTTGATCACCTAAGTCAATTGAACGACCCCAAACTTCTCTCTACCGCTCACACACCAAGCGACATCTCTCAGACGAGGATGTATCACCTCATCCTCGCTCTACTAATACCTTGGGTTATAGCCCGTCCCATTGTCTTTTTTCCGGTGAGTATCACCTTCACGCTTTTCCCCCTTCTGCTTACTCTGGTTCCATCCACAATGTACGAGGTTATGAGTACTTGGCTCACCGATATGATGCCGGCTTATCTCCTTCAATTGAACTCCACTGACCTGATGACAGTCATTTTCATGCACCTGTTTGTGTTCCGCTACCTCCGTCTTGTCGTGCACTTGATATCCTTCTGGCTTATGTATCGACCCGCACCTGTCCCGAAGAACCCCACGTTGTTCCCTTCGGACTGCAGCATTATTCTCCCAACGGTCGATCCTAAGAACCAGGATTTCGAAGAGTGCTTAACAACGTGCTTACTGAACGGACCAGGCGCTATCATCATCGTGACCGTCGGCAAGAAGCTGACGAAGCTGACTAACGAGATTGTGGCACCCTTCAAGCGGCGTTTCCCTGACACAGAGATCCTGGTCAAGACAGCTGATGAGGCCAACAAGCGCCGCCAAGTTGCTCATGGCCTGCGGTACGTCAAGACGAAGATCACGGTTCTCCTCGACGACCACGTGTTTTGGCCCACCACCCGTTTTCTTCCAACACTGCTGGCCCCATTTGAGGATCCAGAGGTAGGCATTGTCGGGACTAACAAGCGCGTCCGTCGTACTGACACTGGCTTCAACATTAGGTCTTTCTGGAACATGCTTGGTGCATTGTACCTCGAGCGCCATAACTTCGAAATCCGGGCAACTAACGCAATGGACGGCGGCGTCTTTGTGGTTTCAGGTCGGACTTCCGCGCATCGTTCTGAGATACTACAAGACCCCGAATTCCTGAAGGGCTTTACGAATGAACGGTTCTTCTTTGGCATGTTTGGACCCCTGAGCGCAGATGATGATAACTTCATCACCCGTTGGGATGTGCGTCACGGTTGGAAAGTGAAGATCCAATACTGCAAGGACGCTATGATTGAGACCACTCTCGGAACATACCCCAAGTTCCTCTCTCAGTGCCTTCGATGGGTCCGGACAACCTGGCGGTCCAACTCGGCAAGCCTGTTCACGGATCGAAGCGTCTGGTTTTCTCAGCCCTGGTGCGTCTATGCGGTCTACTTTACGTCGTTCGTGAACTTCGCCTTGTTCTATGATGGTGCAATGATCTATGCGCTTTGGAACAGTAAGCTTGGCACAGTCCGGAACATCAAATACCTTGTTTTCTGGATCTTCTGCTCGAAGATGGTCAAGCTAACTCCATACTACCTTCGCGAGCCACAGGATCTCATTATGCTTCCTGGTTACGTTGCTTTCGCCTATTTCCACAGCCTAATCAAGCTCTATGCAGGCTTGACTTTCTGGGAAACGAATTGGGGAGGACGGAACCTGGACGACGTCAACAAAGGCAAGGCCGATAATAGTGACAGCGAACACGATGAGGGCGAGGACAGCGACGCTACCCCACGCCCGCCCAAGCGCCAGAAGACCGCCAGCAAGTTCCACCCGGTCCCTGGTGATGCGGCCCCCATCGCTCCCTATGCAAGAAACCTCTCTTCCGACCTGTCTTAGCAATTGGTGACTAACTCATAGACACTGAGAGCAAATGACTGACCATCAAGACAGGACTTTTGATTTCTTCAGGGGGCATCACTGGACGCGCCTGGTCTCGCGGCTCAGTGTGCAAAAAGCTACACTTGGATATGGATGGAGGGACAGTGCACGGTTCTTGATGCACGAGCAAGGTATGTTATCCCCAAGACCATCATATCTCCTAGGCTTTTCCTTTATCCTTTTCTTTTTCTTTCCCTTGTCTTTTTCTGGGATGATGGTTGCTGGAGTTTGGGACATAGAGAGGATTTGGCTTTAGTGAGTTTTATGGATCTCCTTGACATGGATGGTTTTCTTGACAGTAAAGGGTTTCTCTTGATATTTCTTGGGTCTTGACATTAATTGGGTTTCTGGATAGTTATGACAAAATGAAGGTTTTACTATTGATCTCTATGCATTTCTGGTCTCGTAGGGTTATCTCAAGGTGCATGGATTTGAGAAGTCGCACTTTGACAATGTAAGTGGTTTTGGAACCTTCTATATTCAACTTGAGTATAAGCAAGGTGAGTAGACAGAGTGTTTTGAGTGGAATAACAAGCAATACAAGGTTTCTTGACTGCAAGGCAACATAGGGTTTAACGCCGTATGCTACTCTGTGTGTTCTGTAGGTCGTTGAAGATATATGTACAGACTCATGGCTTTCGATATTGGACTGACTGAAAACTTTACCATCTGACAGAACATTTCTACCACAGTTGACCTTGTGGCTACCAGTTATATTACCCGGTGACTGCCTTGTTGCGGATCTCTATGGTACTCGGCGCATGAAGTCTGCTAATTACCGCTTCCAAAGAGTCTGGGATGAACGTCCACAACTGCCATTACCGTAGTAAGATCGCAGTGACACTGGCCCTATCCTATCAAACACACCTACAGCCGAAGACGCTTGATCTTCTCTCGGCAGATATCCAGGAGCGAGGCTCAGTGACGCCTCAGAAACAAACAAGCTGGGGTCCATGGGCTGCCACCACGCCCAGGCACTAGATGGAGATAGAGAGAAAGCAGCCTGGCTTAGGTCCGCCGAGCTGACTGAGTATGATCAGCAATCGTTACACGGTTCAGGAAGATAACTTACTATCAGTATCAACAGCATTTAGAAGTCTGGTCGGCGTATCTCGACACTACATTGTGCGGTTTAAGTGAGGCCACAGCTAGGCGACAGGCAGCATGGCCAGGTGACCAGAATAGGTTAGATTGCGAAATAGCCAGGGAGGAGTTGAATGCTTGTAGGCCTGATGAAGTCTGATTAAGGATTGCTAGGTGCTTCTATAGGTTTATTTGCGATAAGAGCTCGGCAATAAACACTCCATCGCAAGGGTACTGCCACTACTCTTGACTACTTCTGAGCAATTCTGGCCGGCCCGTTGATATATAAGCCACAGGGTCTCAATTGGGCGGGTACTCTTCTTGGAATTGTTGAAGCAATATGCATTGTGATCCCATTTGTGTTCTTACTTTACGGGCATAATATTCGAAAGGCGAGTTTCCTCATCAGGGAATTGCAGAAATTGCAAGCAGCGGCATGCTGTTTACCTACTGAGTCTATCGTAACTTATCCAGATAGTCATTGCCCATTTGGAACAGGTTAGAGGAAATACTGTTACAGGAATCTAGCGTCGAAGTACTGCTTGCTGTGTCTTTACAGTCACTATTGAGTAGTGTTAATTGAACGGAGAGCATCGTTTATTCATTTCTCTGGGTATTCTGGCCAAAAAATCCACCAGACCATGGATTGACAATCGCTAACCACCGCCATTAACGCCGGTTGGCATATTTGCTCCAGCTCAATCTCACTCTCCATCTCATCATACCGCACCACCACCTTCGTAGTCTTCCTAATTTCCCCCCATCTCCCCGGAGAATCCAAGTCCATGTCCATCCCATGATGTTCATCGTCCCGCATACCCGCCGCGGACGTGACTCTCACCTCCGCCGCTCCAGCCTCATCGAGCACACTCCATCCCTCGACCTTCTTCGGGGTTGAGTCCAACGGCCGCGACGAGTTCCCGCGCGACGCCGGCGCCACGGAGCTCTTATTCAATCTGCTGAAGAACCGGGGGAATAAGAAGGAGAGCGGGCGGCGCAGGGCGGGGAGGCACGCGCAGATGATGCCGAGGTTGGACTCGATGACGGTCCACATGGACGAGCCGATGCTGTTCCATGTTGTGTCGAGGTGGTTTGTGGCGAGGTTGAGGGTTGTGATGCGGAGGATGGAGGTAATGCAGGTGCTGTATTGCAATTAGGTAGAGCGTCCCCCTTAAAGGGGTGAGAAGGGTTGGAGGACTCACAAGATGCCCACGGCGAAGATACCGCAGAGGGCGATTTTGGATTTGTGGGGCAGTTGCAGTTTGATGACCACGGGGATTGGGAGGGCGATCAAGACCAGGTCGCTGAGGATGTTGAATGTCGCGTTGGCGTACCAGAAGGCTGTCATGTTGATGCATTTGCCGCCTCCTGGGATGGACTTATCGAAGGCCCATTGCACCGGCGTGCACTGGAAGATGCTGGAGAAGACGGTGCCGAGCGTGAAGGAGACGATGATGCCAATCCAGACCCAGCAGATCAAGAGGAACCAGCGATGGACGAAGAGACGGATGTACAGGAGTAGGATGCTGATTTTGGTCAGGCCGATGTTGATTTTGTATAGGATCTGGGCGACAAAGTAGAGCTGCTGGGTGTGAGCTTTTGCGAAAACGAGGTATTTGGTAGTGATTGACGCACCTTCAATGTTTTCAGAAGCAATTCCTTGGGCATGTCATCGGTATGCTTGCCAAAAGCCCAACCGCAGACTAGAGGAAACAGAAGGTTGATGAGTTGTGCCTTGTTGGAGATCCTTTCTCGCTGGACTTACTGATGATCATCTGTATTGAGACTATTTCCGCAAAGCCCTACCACCATCCGTTCGGTTAGATGATACGAAGCCAAAGGGCACCAGGTGTCCCTTTGAATACTCACACAAGACACCAGGATAGTCCAATCATCCGATCCAACGCGGCCGGACAGGAACCGACGGCCCAGCAATCTTGCGATCACCACGATCGGCGTCGCAATGGCAAAGACCAGCGAGGGAATGGACAGCTGAGCGGAGCTGTCCGGGAGATTGCCATAGTGGCTAAACAAAGGCATTGCGGAGCGATGCACCTGGAGACATATCGCAGATCATACAGCAGGACTGGGTGGGAGGGGATGATCGAGACATAAATGCCAGACACTCGTGAATGGGGACAGCGCAATTATTTGTGATAGACTATCTGTGTGACTGCGACCAGGATGAAAAGGCTCCATGTATGTAGCGTCTTCTCAAGGACAAGTCACAGTCAACCATGGCTGGATATTCGATATACCCCTGACTCATGCTCCGAATCGCGCAGCACGGGCTGGGATCTCTCCGATAACACGTTCGACGGCATGAGAGACCGCAGACCGCGGCCAGAGAGGAAAATTTTCCATGTACTAGCAGGGATCTTGCATGGTTGCGAACAGATAAATGGACGTTGCAAGCTGTTTCATCGCTAGGTTAGTGAGTGATAGTCTATTAGATACGTACGCTACGCGAGTCAACCGATGTCGCTCTAATATACTAAAAGTGGGCCATTTCTAGATCGCATCGATAATTGATCAGAGGTAATACGCTTGTTAATCTTGCTAGGCTGGGGCCAAAGCCACTGTTGCTAACTTAGATAGGTCCGTGAGCCATGATGCCATCTGCATCCCCGTTGGACTAGACGTCTTAGTATCTCACTTGTCAAGCATCGTCCCTGCGACGGCGGGATGTTTAGTGGGGCTACATGACTCGAAGAGCTGCAGGGGATCATTATTTAAACGGAACTTTTGATATCTCCTCTCGCTTATTAGTGTTACATTGTTCTCAACTTGCCCCGTGTCTGCTAGCAGGGGTGTTGCCGTAGCAAGCCCCTCTCATGCCACACTCCTCATTGGTCATGCCGTGAAGATTAAACAATCCCTTTTTCTACTTCTCTTTTTCTTCTGCCCAGGGGTTTCTTCCTGACGCTTCCATCTTTCGGAACTCCTGCACTCCGTCAGAGCAAGATGGCGCTGGACACGATGGAGAAACAGCCCGAGCATGAGATCAGCCATGCTGGCAGTAGCCTGGAAACTGCATCCCCGGAGCTGCAGGTTAACTCGAAGCGCGAGAGAGCTCTTCTGCGCAAGATCGATCTGCACCTGATGGGGCCTCTCTGGGTGGTCTTCGTTTTCGGCTTCCTGGATCGCATCAACCTGGGCAATGTGGCGGTCTTGGGCATTCTCAAGGAGCTCAAAATGAACGGGAAGGATATGGCGCTGGGGATGCAGATCTTCTTCGTCCCGTATATCATCGCTGATATCCCGAGTAATATCATCTTGAAGAAGTTCTCGCCGTCAACTTGGATCAGTATCCTGACTTTTTTCTGGGGTAAGCAATCATCTCTCCGCGCTCTATCCTCGGCGGGAGGAGCTCGTCTAACGTTATGCTACAGGTGTCACATGTATGTGCCAGGGCGTGGTGAAGAACAAAGCCGGGCTGGTTGCATGCCGCTTCTTCATGGGTCTCTTCGAAGGAGGCTTCGTGCCTGGGTGCGCATACCTGATGTCCATGTACTACAGCCGCCGTGACTTCCAAACGCGCTTCTCGCTTCTCTGGGTTGCCGGTCTCGTCGCTGGTGCGTTTGGTGGTCTGCTAGCGTATGCTCTCTACCACATGCATGGCTTGGGAGGCTACTCCGGATGGCGCTGGATTTTCATCATCGAAGGCTTGCTATCGATCGTCTCAGCCATCCCGGCCAAGTTCCTGATTGCGGATTGGCCCGAACAAGCGAGATTCCTCAATTCCGAGGAGAAGGCCTTGCTCAAGGAACGCAACGCGCGGGATCTTGACGGATGCGATGGAGCCAGGATGGATCGGCTGGACGGCGCCGCGTGGCGTCGGATCATGTCCGACTGGAAGATCTACGTCGGCAGTCTGATCTACATCAGCATCACCGTCTCCGGCTACGCGACATCACTGTTCATCCCGTCGATCGTAAACTCGCTCGGCTACTCCGGCATCGACAGCCAGATCCACAGCATCCCAATCTGGGTCGTCGCCGCGGTTGTTACCTTGGCGGTGTCATACCTGACAGACCGCATGCAGCATCGCTACGGGTTCGTCATGTTCGGAACCGTCTTCGCCAGCATCGGCTATGTCATTTTGCTTTGCCAGGGGCCACCGCATCAGCTGGGCGGACTGAACGTGCATGTACGGTATATGGCCGTCTTCTTCGTCAACACGGGCTGTTACATCGTGCAGCCAGTCGCGATTGTGTGGATGGCGAATAACCTGGGCGGACACTACAAGCGGGCCATCGGCCTCGCCATCCAGATCGGCTTTGGCAATATTGGAGGCATCATTGCAAGCAACATCTTCAACTCGGATTCCGCGCCGAGATACTTTGTCGGTTACGGTGTTGCGCTGGCCATGATGGTGCTGTGCGCGATCATGAGCACCGTGTTTGCCGTCGGGGTCGTGATCGAGAATAAGAAACGGGTTTCAGGCAAACGTGACCACCGGTTGAATGGGGATGCCAGTGTAGTGAACAATCTTGGGGATGATGACCCGAGATTCCGATTCTGTCTGTGATTCGGTATCAATGTTGAGGAAGAGAGAAAGGAAGATCTATATATAGACTGCAGGGTTCTGTCAACCAAAGCCATATCAGCTACCGATACGCCAAGTAGAAGCACTAGTTCCTTGTGTCGCTTGAAGCCGAAGATTTCTTTAACCATAACCTATGGCATAGGTAGTCTATGGGCCATAAGCTTGATAGAGACCAATAAGCCCCAGGCATGCCAGCGGAATAGCGGCCTCGGTTCCCTTGGACTAAAAACTAAAGCGCTCGGCGTGCTTTGTTGTGCGGGTAAAGAAAGGCACAATGATTAGACCTTTTGATGTACAAAGATAATCCCCTGACCGTCTTCAAAGATCTAAATAAGTGACCCAGGTTTACTTATCGAATGCTTTGACCATCCAGACTCGACCCCTGTCCACAAAAGGCTCGTCCAGGTCCTTCTTTTGGCTTGTCTATTGCCCTGTCTATTGGATCATGCCTATGCACGTCCTCTAATGATATTCTCATTATTCGCGAAGAAAGAGACAAGACTCATTTGGGATTAGGTCCGGTATCTGTGGCGCAATAACTTCTAACATAGCATACTGCCTGTTTTCTTGTTCCTATCAGGAATTGAGCTTTAAAGCCACACGCTTCCGCGCCAATAATATATAAGCATTACCAACAGGAGCATTAATCTAGTCTATAGATACAGTCTATATGAAGCTTCTTATACATCCTTCTTAATGAGGAAGATTTGGAATACTCTGAGGGCACTATAATAGAGATATCAATGTATAAAGTTCGTAGAGGAGCCCTCCGTGACTCGAATACTACAAATGGCGAGTTTTGATCAAAATGGGCGACCAACAAGGAGAAAGCTTTGAGATCTCCTTGATGGCTCTTTACCCATTAAAAGTGTCATTTGGTTAGCATGCTAAAGATTACCTTCAATGCACGTTGAAGTCTATGCCAACCAGATCCCTACCTGAACATGAATCGGGCCCATACCGTACTTCATTACAGAAGCCATTAACAGGTATCTCCTGACTAACGAGAAGGATGTCATAACATTGCAAAGAGGCAATGAGTCAAGGAACACCACATAGCCTTTGTGGTACGTGTCTCATCCTCGGTATATGTCTCAAGTCCCTTTGTTGTAGGCCTCTAGAATCAAAGGGAAATGATGCATGAAACACCAATAAATGCTATCTCAAAGTGACAATGTGTCTTTCAATCTTGCGGACATGGTAGTCATGTTATGTTAATCTGGCCCTCTCAACCAATGCCTACTGTAGACCTATAAATACGCTGCATAGATTGCCCCAATGCATATCTCAACATCATCCTTCTACTCTCCTGCCCTCAACTCAAACAAACCAATACTTCAAATCTAACGTTCATATCAGCCCCACGTCCACAATGACCCAAAGGACGATAACCACGACCGGCGAACATAAGCTTCGAGAGGAGGCGACACCTACCGAGAACTACCGGAACAAATACAGTCTCGTGGACAGCGCAAAGATCTCCGCCTTGCGGCCCAGCTGGCCCCAAGAAGATGTGCGAGACACCTGGAAGCTGATCCTCAAGCCCTTCTTCCCAACAGAGGTGTCTCAATCACCCAACGGGAACGTGTTCAGAGTAGAGCCCGTCCAGATCAAGGATGAGTTCCCGCAGATCATCATTAGCAACCCGCAGGGTCCTTGGGAGTCCCTGCCCCTGTTCACGGTCTACTGCATCAACTGGCCCGAGCCTGATGCAGACATGTGGAAGTTCCTCGAGGGCAAGGCCAAGTGGGACTTGCTCACTGTCGCGCAGTCCTTCGAGGCATACCCTCGGCCGAGCATTTCGCTTGCGCTGGCCGTGGGACCTCTGGTACGTTTCTACAAATTCGACCATGAGTTGGATTACTGCCACATTGACTATAGGAAAGACGACTCGCTCAATATCCATGAGGACTTTGATGACATTGTGGAGGAACTCCTCGAGATCCGCCAGGACATGACCTAGGAACAGATCTGGATGGTTTGTCTCCCCTTCCTTTTCCATCTCGTGATTTGCTTTGATATTGATTTCGTTTCACATTCTTTTGCTCCGGCCGCCGTTACAACATCCTCCTTGCAAATTCAAAGAGACAGGCGCCTGTAATCAAGAATGGTGTGAGTTCAGAAAAAGTAAAATTCTGTGGCAGGTATAGCCTGCACCAGGTGGGTAGCTTGTGTGTAGTTCTTGCTTCCCTGAGGTATTCCATCAAGAGAGGTTGGATTCGCGAGGAGCTCCGAGAGCTATAGCCAAAGGTCAGTGTAACTATGACCAAATTGTGAGAACTATAGACGCACTGCCTTTCTTAACTTCTATATATCTGTAGTATACGACTATATTGCTTGAAAAGAACCTCTGGTGGACAGAGTTACTGGGGCTGTATATCCTGGTTATGGGGAGTCTTCTTCTTTCCGGATGCAGTTTCTGCTTATTCTAGGAGTCGAGAATTCTATATGAGGAGTTACGAAACCAACAAAGCTTTGCTTCGACATTCATATATGGATGATGGTGATGATGGTACTGCTGCTGTCCTAGTATTGTAGGGTTTCTATTTTCACTGGGTGCACTAGTAGAAAAAGCGTCGAAAAAATGATGGAATCTGCTATAATTTAATTGATAATGTTGAACAGAATAGTAACAGCATTATTCTATATAGCAGTAAGGACGATGTCAGTTCTGACTTCTTAGATTGCTTGGTATCCCCGGTGCTTCGGGTGTCCTGGTAATGCCCGGTCAATCTAGACAATAAATATTGATATCACAGAATCAAGTTAATTGTTAGATGAGATCTCACTTGTCCTTCGAACCCTCCTCCTCTTTCCCTGTGATAGGCGGATATAAGGAAATGTGGAACAGGAAAGAATTGAGGATATTGGGGTTTGCTAGGTATATCGGAACCTTGACCTTGCACTGCACTAAGGTCCGTTTCATGTTTTATAGCGGCCAGCCACATGGACTCAAAGTCAGCAAATATCAGGTAGTTCGTCGGAATACTCAACTGTTATCATAATTAGATGGATGGTAGTGGTCAGCCAGCTTGCTGCTGGAACAAGGATGGAAGGATCTCGGCGGAAAATGCATCAGCGGTTCTTCTGGCTTGGGTCTCATCCAGATGAGGCAATTTGTTATCTAACCATGTGTTCTTCATGCCTGTACTAGCAGTGATTATTGTCTATCGGATGGAATGGCTTGTTGACTCTGGCTTCTCTAACCTGAGATACGATATTCTGCGGGTTGTCAGGAGCCGACAATAGCCGCTGCCCTAATGGAGTAAAGGATTGCTGTCATGGCGCAAACCCAAGTGCACCAAATCATCTTTAGGAATGGAGTCCTCTGATTCCGCATGACTGCTCTGGGTAGTTGGCAAACGATGGTGCATCCAATCATAAAATCTGCGTGACCTGCAAGCTCAAAAGTTGATAGCCCTGGTAAGCTCCAAGTAACCCGCATTGAACAATGATGGTGCTTTCTATGTCCAGTTTGGGACTCCGAATCAATAAAAAGACCCATGACTTTGGTTTTTTTTCTGGAGTTGCGAATATCGTATATACATCCTCGAATCGCTCAGATAACTCTGGAAATAGCCATTAGTTTGATGTTTGACGCTCTGCTATTTTAGAAGACCGATCTCAAGATATTTCAACAAGCACCCCAGTTAGCTGCCCAATCTTGCTTACACCCGCTTTCTGGAGAGAGTGAGTGACCATAAAACCACCGTCGTACCAAAACCGCTTCCTCCCCTTCTTCTTTGCACATATCGGCGGCATTATGCGGGTTGGCTTCATGGGCCTAGGTGCCATGGGAACACCCATGGCACTGAATCTATCGCGAAGATTCCCCATTGCCGTCTGGAATCGAAGTCCATCGAAATATCCCCTGCTGAGACAAGCAGGGGCAATAGTGGCCGAAACACCGCAGGAGCTTGCAGAAAAGACCGACGTTGTTTTTACGATGCTATTCGACGAGAATGCCTACCAATCTATCCTCAATGAAGATTTCTGGAAAGCTCTCCGTGGAAAGACCCTGGTAAACTCAAGCTCGGTTTCTGTCGAGTTCAGTCACTACTTAGCTGGCGAGGCCCGGAAAGCAGGTGCGCAGTTCATTGAAATGCCCGTGAGTGGCAGCAAGGTCCCAGCCGAGCAAGGTCAACTTATCGGTATGCTGGCCGGGGACTTCGATACCGCTCAGCAGGTCAAAAGCATCGTTGAACCTATGACGAAAGACGCGATTTACTGCGGCAACATTGGCATGGGCCTCAAGACCAAGTACGCCGTTAATGTTTTTCTCATCACCATGACGGCTGGCCTAGCCGAGTCGATGGCTCTTGCAAAGGCGCAGGGTCTCGACATTGCTGCCTTTGGGCAGGTGCTCGATGCCGGTCCCATGGCTTCGGCGTACTCTAAGATGAAAATCGACAAGATGGTACGCCAGGATTACTCACCCCAGGCGACTCTGGAGGATTGCTACAATCTGACACAGCTCATCGTGTCAGCTTCCGAGGAGGCCAATGCTCAAACCCCTTTGATTCAGCTTTGCGGTTCGCTGTACCGCAGGGCAATCGCGCAGGGCCATGGAAAGGACGATATGATCGCCGTGGAAAAACTTTTGGGCAACACGGATACTAGTATTGAGACTGAGAAAGATTAGGTGGACGGCTCACTGTTGAGAGGATATGCATGTATTCCTGAATGGTTGCAAACGCGTCAATCAGTTGTCCAAGAAGGAGGGTCAGATAATGCTCTTGTCGACATAACAGCAGATCTGTATGTGTTTGCGCGAGCCCTCAGAGTGTACCACAGAGTGTTCTCTGTAAAAGATGTGTGGTTTCTGCATCAGTCCTGATGCGTGATAATACAGAGAGGAAGCTTAACAGAATCCTATCAGGGGTGAATCAGCCGCAAAGACCACCTAGTTATCAAACATTTACTCATGCCTCGTAGTCAATTCTAGATGGGCCCAATGGTCAGACAATTCCTTGACAAAAATCTCTGGGGCATTGGCATGCTTATTTAAAAGCGTCCCCAATGTCAGCTAAGAATTAACCTAGTGGGTAACTAGTTCTGGCTTGCATGAGGGCTAATTTTTTCTAGCCTTCTCTCCAGGTTTCACAAAAAGGTCAGCACGCCGGAGATATGTACCAGGCTGGTATCCCACTTTTTCCTGTTCTCTGTTCCTGTTTCAGTAAACTTATTGAAACTGGGCCAAGTACGCAACGAACAATACAGACCTCGTACGTGTTGGCTTTGTTGCTCCAGCTGAGCTTTGTTCAACTCGGCCTGGCGGAATTCGTCTTGGTATGTTTCTCTGGTCTGCACGGGATGGTGATCAACAGAGTCTGATGGAATGTAGACGATGCCTTGGGTTGGCTATGTCTGCTCCGGGAACTACTGGAAAGATTACAAGGGACGCGTGTTAGAAGAGGTGTGTAGAGTTTCGCTATAGATGGATGTCACTCCTAACAATGACCATAAGAACGATGAAACCACAACCTACGCAATCAACTGCCCTCCGGAAAGCTTCGAGTCAGCATGCATCTCGTTCAGTCCAGACGCAACATTCATTGCGGCCCCTAGTTGTAGGCCGGCCCCGTTCAAACCCTTCTGCTGCACCATGACTAACCTCATTACACTACCAGCATATGATATTATTTACAGTGATTCTGTCGAGTAGGTCCCATTCCATCTCAATCCTCACATGTAGCTCCATATTAATGGTGGCAATCAGCTATACAAGATCTGGCTGCACATTTTCCGGAGCCCCAACGCCTACCACCGCGACTTGCTCATATTTCCAATCCTATCGTATCGGCAACCACACCGTCAAACGCGAGAATACCTATGAGCTCCCCGGTACTGGTGTCCAAGAAATACATTCGGCTACCCTGACGGTGGCGGGAACTGGGCAATTTTCAATATGTCGCACCGCTCCTACTACCGCGACGGCGACGGATGCACCCTCACCTTGGGTGACAGATACTGTATTGGTAGAAACTGCCTCTACAGGCAGTTCTTTTTCTTCAAGCACTGCTGCCTCTACAAGCACTACTGCTTCCGGTAATGCTGCAGGTAAAACACTGGCACCGATGATGCTAATGGGTGCGATGGTGGCCGGTGTGGCGATGCAGGCGTAAATCTTTTTATAGTTTTTTCCTCCACCTTTTATGTATAGAGTACTATATGGATTCAGCCTTCAAACTCTACGAGCGCTCCAATAGAGTACCAAGATTCACGTCTCATAGAAGAGGATGAAGATCTCACATCCTTACTCTCAGCCGCCATCCAGAATAAAGCTACCAGTGTCAATCCATTCTGCCCTGGAGGCAACTCAAATAACATAGTTTGGCGTAATAAACCAAAGAGAGAAGCACGAAGCAGAGTACAAGAACCTGCATTCCAATGTCACCAGGCTGCGAACACTGGCAGCAGATACAAGTGCTATTCCAGGTATCCTTCCGTCCGGATTCGGATTCCACCAGAAGAATATAGCCTGAATTCCTCGGAAATGCCTTTCTCGCAGGGAAATCGCCGCTTGAATTGCAGTTTTGCGTTCAGAGCTTCAGCTAGCTACGCATTATGGGAGGGGAAAAGCTTCTCTCCGAAATCTGAGAGGGGAATCTTCTGCAATGCATCTCAGAGGAGGACACCTGCAGTGGGCATCTTTGTATCACACTTTGAGGTTTTACTACCAGGACTTGATATATGAGCACCTAGAGAGGACAAATCAATCAGGATCTTGGTGTCATTAGATCAGGCCGGGATCCTGGCACTGTTCACTGAACATTCAACATCCCCTGATATATATCAGATTCCCACCTCTGACAGGAGATTCTCAAGCTCTTCTATAGCCTCCAGTGTAAGCTTCTGTTCCACCTCGTCGACTTCATCAAAGCTGTCATCCCAGTCCCTTCACCCAGCGATCTTGTTGAAGCTATCAGCTGTTGGGGTAGATGGAAGCAGCCCGGCTAGACACTTCTCCACCACCACTCTGTACTTTTCTGGGCTGAAATCGTCCAGTAGATTGTCCTTGGTAAACTGATGTGCAGCATCAAATTTGCAGCCTGTCTGTGCTGGTATCCAGGGACGATGGACCCCGACGTCTTGTTCATGCAGATGACAGTCTTCGCTCGTAACCGAAACCACTTTTTTCAGTCGGTCCCAGAGCCCTATCTCGAAGAGTACCACTACCAGGCCCAGACTGTAGATGTCGTACCACTTTGATACCGTGCTCGGCGTCCTGCCGATTGCTTGTAGACAGGTGCGAGATATAAGTCTGTGAATTCTCACCTCTGTAAATCGGTCGAGACATAAGTAAGCACCAAACGATCGCGAGTAGAAAAAGCCTGCTAGCCATGGCCGTGTCATATCATAGTCCCGACTGCCCTCCTTGGCGAAGTATAGCAGTTTGTCTGGTCTAATATCTTTGTGAAGCCATTGCAGGTGGCTGCTCTAAACATGCACCAGATGATGCAGAAAACAAAGTGATAGCCTCAGCCTCGTCGCTGCGCCCCCGCAGCCGAGTCATGCTAGGGTGGTTATCTCTTTGATGGCGCTGGCATTCCGTTTCAATCTGTAGCCTCGCTTGGGTGGTGCTTAGAGAAGAGCATAGGCTGCAAGAAAAGCGAAAAACAGTGAAGATTGTCTGTGTTTCGAGGAGAAGGATGTTTCCAAAGATACGCTTTGTTTGGGTACTATACTTTGGTATATTGTGGGAGAAATAGTTCGTAATAATATGTCTATCGCCGGTCTCTTGATTCGTATCCCAAGATATTTACCGCTCACGCATGCGCAGCCATCAGCGCGTAGATCTCCTGCGCGGCTTTGGGTATCTTCCCTTTCTCAGTTCCCTCCTCGATATCGATCATCTCTTTCACAAAGCCAAAGATAGTCGCTACCAAGTAATCCACCTCTTCCTCCGTGTTACCTGCATGGATCATCACTCTAACGCGGGATTTGCCCTTGGGGACCTGTGGGTAGTCAATGGGCACTACTGCGATCTTCGCCAGCTGTAAATGGAAAAACAGCCACCAGTTGTACTTTTGCCTTGTCCAGATGGGCACAATGTGGGTGACGAAGTCCTGGGTCTCGGGATCGTAGTCCTCGGCCACTGGGATGGATAGCAGACCCATGTCATTGGCTGTTTCCCATAGGGGATCGGAGGTGATGGATTTGTAGAAATACTTGACAAGATGCTGAATGTTGTCCTGGGCCTGGGTTTTGTTAGTATTGACAGTGGGAGGGCTTGGAGACACACCTTCTGAGTGGCACCAGTTCGCATCAGGTTATAGGCTGCTCGAATGACGGCAACCGATGGGAAGGACGGCGCAGTGGTGTTGACCAGGGACCCGGCAAAGTTCAGCATCATGTTTCGGACAGTAGCGTTTCCAAGAACAACAGCTGTGCATGTTGTGTCAGTCATGGCAGTAGAGCAATGGGTCTTGCAGGTCATTTCCTTACATCCGGTACAGGCCAAGGCCTTGCCGCACGTATTCAACCGAATAGCAATCTCCTTCTCCAGGCCCAGATGCTTGACCAGACCAACACCCCTCTCACCTACAATACCAGTCGCATGCGCCTCATCCGCAATGAACGCAAAGTTCCCCTTGGGACAAATCTCCCGTGCGATCTCCAGCATCTCCACCAGAGGACACACATCCCCATCCATACTATACACCGACTCAACCGAGACAAGGATCGACCGTGACCCATCCTGCAGCATTGGCTGCGAGTCCATGGTCGACGACATGGCCTCGCGGAACGAATCGAGGTCATTATGCCGGAAGACAACCTTGGTCGTGGCCAACGACGACGCCATGCCCGTATGCGTGCTAAAATGCACCAGCTCATCATACACGATCGCGTCCCCCGGCCGCGGGATCGCCGTGTAGATGGCGATATTCCCGTTCGACCCGGAGTTGAACATCAGCGCCGTCTCCGCGCCCAGAAAGTCCGCGATCTCCTGCTCCACCTCTTCGATGTAATCGTAGTTCCCGCCCATCACGCGCGAGCCGCCCGAGTGCAGCGCGAAGTCTGGATGCCGGCCCAGCTCGGCTAGGAACTCCGTGCGTAGCTCGCCCGTGAGGCCGAGGGAGAGGAGGTCGTTGGAGCAGAAGTCGATCGCGTCGCCGGTCTTCCAAGTGTTTTGTCCGCGGGTGAGCATCGACTGCGTCGACCGGCGGACGTCTAGGGCCTCTTCGAGGTTTCGGTAGAAGGTAGGGGCGTCTTTCATGCGGGGTGCGACGGGCTTCTGGCTCTTGATCCAGGAGACCATCTCCGAGACGATCTTGCCGTTCGTGACTGTCATGTTGGCGAGGTTGGAGGGGTGATCTTCGACGGTGACGGGCAAGGCGGTGGTGAAAACAGAGAGAACAGTGGGAAACGATGTTCAGGAATAGCAACTCCATCCAGCGGTACTTCGTATTTGGACTGATTTAAGCATTACTTTGCTCGCATCGGCGTTCCGGCCCGAGATGAGGCTATCCGCCAACACGGGTTCCGGGCTGCGGACACGGGGAGGCGCATGGCCGATGCGGAACCCAGCTTGGGGGGGACATGCAAGGTATCGGCAATGGTTTTGTTGGATGTCATTGCGAAGTCAAATGCAAGGACAAATCCGGCATGTTGCAATGAAAACAAGCATCTTTCATCTCTGATCAACAACAAATGACTATGATAACTCTTGAAGACACCAACGGCCTGAACGGCCATGCGGTGCAAATGGATTCGAATACCAATGGACATACTACCAACGGTGTACATACGAACGGCACCAACGGCGTCAACCATGAGGTGCATTATACCGGCCAAATCCCCATCGCCATCTGCGGAATGGCCTGTCGTCTCCCCGGCGGCTTGACGACACCTGATGAACTCTGGGACTTCCTCCTGGCGAAGAAAGACGGACGATGCCGTGTCCCCGAGTCTCGGTATAACATCGACTCCTACTACTCAGACACAAAGAAACCCGGCACCGTCTCGACAGAGTATGGGTACTTCCTCGACGAGAGCGTCGACGTCGGCGCCCTCGATATGTCATTCTTCACCATGACGCGAACTGAGGTGGAGCGAGCAGACCCTCAGCAACGACTGATGCTGGAGGTAGCACGTGAGGCGTTTGAGGACGCCGGCGTGACGAACTGGAGAGGCAAGACGATTGGCACATATATTGGCAATTTTGGAGAGGATTGGTTAGAGATGCTGGGGAAGGAGACCCAGCCATGGGGTATTCATCGGATATCCGGCTCGGGGGATTTCGTCGTTGCTAATCGTCTATCATATGAGTTCGATCTGCAAGGACCGAGGTATGATCTTATTTCGCGGAGCGACAGATGCTTTATGATATCAGTACTGACAAATCAACAGCATGACAATCCGCACTGCTTGTTCTTCAGCCCTGGTGGCTCTGAACGAAGCCTGCGCTGCCATCAGCAGAGGCGACTGTGAATCGGCGCTGGTAGGCGGAGTCAACTTGATCCTCGCTCCCGGCATGTCAATGGCAATGCAGGAACAAGGTGTGCTGTCAAGTGATGGGTCGTGTAAGACCTTCTCCGCCGATGCCAACGGGTATGCCCGCGGCGAGGCAGTTACCGCAATTTTCATCAAGCCTCTGGCCGATGCCCTGAGAGACGGCAACCCGATCAAGGCTGTGGTGAGAGCCACATCGCACAACGCAGATGGAAAGACACCCACGCTGTCTCAACCCAGCACAGATGTACAGGAAGCGCTGATGCGGAGGGCGTACGAGCTCGGAGGCATCACCGACTTTGGGGAGACCGCTATGGTTGAATGCCACGGCACCGGCACGCCGACGGGTGATCCCATCGAGACAAGAGCAGTGGCTCGGGTGTTTGGTGAGAAGGGCGTGTATATTGGATCCATCAAGCCCAATCTCGGACATACCGAGGCTGCGTCTGGCCTGGTATCGCTGCTGAAGATGGTGAAAGCCCTACAACATCGCGTTATCCCGCCAAACATCAAATTCACCAGCCCTAATCCCAACATTCCGTTCGAGGACGGTAAGCTTACGGTGCCTACTGAGGCACTGCCTTGGCCCAAGGACAGACTAGAGCGGGTCAGTGTCAATTCGTTTGGTATTGGTGGTGCAAACGCCCATGTCATCCTGGAATCGGCCGCTACCTATAACGTCCCGGCTGCATTTCATGAAACTCCTGAGACACCACAGCTGCTATTATTCACAGCCAACTCCTCCAAGTCTATCACACGGCTGGTCGACGACTACAAGGCGTGGATCGAGCAGAACCCGGACAAAGTGAGTGATCTCGCCTATACCCTGGCGCGTAGAAGAGAGCATCTACCCCACCGAGCATTCGCAATTGTCAACAGCGGGGTGATCGAAAATCTCTCCCAACCGGTAAACTCGAAGTCAGCGAAACCGCCCAGCATCGTGATGGTCTTTACCGGTCAGGGCGCACAATGGCCCCAGATGGGGCGGGAGCTGCTGCGGTCCAACCAAGTGTTCAGATCCACCATCCGGGCCCTCGACCAGCACCTGCAGACCATTGCAGGCGAGAAGCCCCAGTATTCAATCGAAGAGGAACTAAAGAAGCCTGCCAAGAGGAGCCGCCTGTCTCAGGCTGAGTACTCCCAGCCGCTCTGCACTGCGATTCAGATCGCACTGGTTGACACTCTCAAGGCTGCGGGTATCGTCCCAGAGGCTGTTGTGGGCCATTCCAGTGGTGAGATAGCTGCTGCCTACGCCGCCGGTGCACTGACAGCTGGTGAGGCTATCACCGCTGCCCACCACCGCGGAGCCGTGACAAGCAGACAGAAGAGGGTAGGGACCATGGCAGCGATCGGAATGGGCTGGACAGAGACTGAGAAGTACCTCGCCCCGAACGTCGCGATTGCCTGTGACAACTCGCCCAAGAGCGTCACGATCTCTGGCGATATTGACGCCGTGAAATCGGTCGTTGCGGCTATCAAAGACGAACAGCCACAGATGCTGGCCAGACTCCTCCAGGTCGACAAGGCCTACCATTCATACCACATGAAGGAGATTGGAGACGATTACCAGGCCTTGATTGGCGAGGAGGTTATTGGTAGGGCACCGTCGGCGCTCTTCTTCTCCAGTGTGACCGGAGGTCTCCTGAGTGCGGAGCAAACCATCGGATCAAAGTACTGGCAAGACAACCTGGAGTCCCCGGTACGGTTCCGCGAGGCCATCACAGCTATTCTGAAGCACGACGTTGGAAAGAACGCCGTCTTCCTGGAGGTCGGTCCCCATGGCGCTCTCGCTGGACCATTGCGCCAGATCTTCACGCAGGCTGCGTCGCCTGCACCGTACGTAGCCGCCATGGTGCGCAACCAGGACTGCACCACATCCTTTCTCTCCGCTATTGGCGCCCTGCACTCACTCAACGTCAACGTGGACCTCGAGGCACTTTTCCCCACGGGCTCCTGTCTGTCAGACCTGCCGCGCTACCCCTGGAACCACGAAGGTAGCTACTGGTACGAGTCCCGCCTCAGCAAGGAATGGCGCAACCGCAAGGCTCCACACCACGATCTGCTCGGTGCGCGCGTGGCCGAGAGCAGCGACAGCGAGCCTGTCTGGCGGAACTTGTTCCACGTCACCAACGCGCCATGGATCCGCGACCACAAAGTCGGCGAGAACATTGTCTTTCCGTTCTGCGGATACATTGCCCTTGCCGGCGAGGCTGTGAGACAGCTGACTGGCGTCGAAGAGGGGTTCAGCGTGAGGAACATCATTGTCAGCACGGCGCTGGTGCTCAGCGAGGGCAAGCCGACGGAGATGATGGCCAGTTTCCGGCCGCACCGGCTGACAAACTCGCTGAACAGCGCGTGGTGGGAGTTTTCCGTCTCGGCGTACAATGGGCGGAACTGGACGAAGCACTGTACGGGAGAAGTCTGTGCGCAGTCATCGGCGCCTGAGCAGGCGCAGGATCCAGAGGCCCTGCCACGCAAGCTGAATGTGAGGAAGTGGTATGAGAAGATGGGCAAGGGAGGTCTCAATCTGGGAGGTTCGTTCCAGACTCTTGAGACGATGTCGACGTCGACGGCCGATCAACGGGCTGTGGGCAAGGTGGCCAACGGACGCCAGGGCGATGAAGCCAACTACTATATCCACCCTACCGTCCTTGACGGAACCCTGCAAATCCTGGGCGCCGCAGCGGTCAATGGCTACGGGCGCAAAACCAAGACCTGGCTCCCAACGAGCATTGACAAAATCACTGTCTTTCGGTGCGGATCAGACCTGACGACTAGTGTTTCCGCCAAGCTGTCAAGCAACTTCTCAGTTGTTGGAAACGGCCGCTGTACGTCCGGTGGCACAACAGTCGTGGAAGCCACTGGCATCCGCATGTCACTTGCCGACGGCGCCGGCCTTACAGACACTCCTGACTCTCACGCCGCCTCAAGATGTGAATGGAGACCTGACATTGACTTCTTGAGCGTCCAGGAGCTGCTTTCCCAGCCGAGCGGCCGTGCCGACTACTTGCGCCTGCTGGAGGAGCTCGGAGATATCTACCTGCTCTTGTCCCAGCACCGCTTATCCGAATCGCCCAGCAATTCGATCCACCCGCATCTGCAGAAATACATCGCCTGGGTCGGCGCTCAAATCGACTCGATTGCCTTCAGGCTGCCGTCGACATGGACAGGCCTTGACCACGAGGCAATCTCCGCTCGCATCGACAGGATTATAAACGAGCTGGCAGGCACGGCAGCCGCACCGGTCGCCAATGCCCTGCATCAAATCTGCACAAAGATGGACCCCATCCTCTCCGGCGAGGGTCTAGAGAGTATTCTCCCAGAGGGCGCGCTGGCCCAAGTCTACAGCTTTGCAGGGCAGCTTGACCGGAGCGAGTTCCTTCGCAATCTGAGCCACTCGAAACCGAACATCCGCATTCTGGAGATCGGAACGGGCAAAGGCGGATCTTTGCACAGAGAGATTCTTGCGGAGTTGACTCGACCTGATGGAGAGGTGCTCTGCGCCAAGTACACGCTGACTGCTCCTGGATACGTGGTGGCTACATCCCAGGAGAAGCTCTTCCCGAACATGGAGTTTGCCAGCCTGGATATCAGTCAGGATCCGTTTGACCAGGGATTCGAGGAAGGTGTCACGTACGATCTGATCATTGCTGTGAATGCTCTGCAGGACGCCGAGGACGTCCAGCAGAGCTTAGCAAATGTGAGGAAGCTTCTCCGCCCCGATGGGAGATTGCTTCTGCAGGAGCTGTGCCCGTCATCCAGGTGGCTCCCGTATATACTCGGCGTGCTTCCAAGTTGGTGGTCCGGCTCTGCCGATGGGGTAAGCGATTCGGCGTATCTGAGCACGGAGGCTTGGGAAGAAAAGATTGTTGCTGCTGGCTTTGGCGGCGTCGAGGCTGTGGCTTCGGATGCAGAAGCCCCCCATCAGATCACGACTACCATGATCGTTCACCAAGTCCAGGAACCGCCCGCGAAGGAGATCACAGTCCTGCTCGAGGAAGATGGACCTGCTGTAGCTCAAATTGTGAGCCAGCTAGAAAGCCAGGGCTACAAAGTCACAAAATGCCAACTACACGATGTCGCCCCAGCTGGCCAAGACGTGCTGTCACTACTGGACGTCGAGAAGCCGTTCTTTCACGAGCTCGACGAGGCCCGCTACCTGTCTTTCAAGGCCTTCCTCCTCGGACTCCAGGAGCGCGACGCAGGCATGCTCTGGGCCACACATCTCATCGACATCGGCTGCCACGATCCCCGGTATGCGCAGGTGCTCGGCTTCGCCAGAACCGTCCGCACCGAGCAGCTCGCTGAGTTGGGTACTTGCCAAGTTGATTCTTTCGTCGACCCCAAGTCCATCGGCCAGCTCATTCAGGTACTTGGAAAGTTCCAGACCCGCCAGGGAGACGAGGAGCTCAACCCGGACTTCGAATGGGCTATTTTCAATGACCGCGTGCAAGTCGCACGCTTCCACCCCTTCGTCCTCGCCGATGAGCTTCTTGTCGCGGAGGACTCCAACGAGATAGCCACGCTGAATGTTCGTACCCCAGGCCGGGTGAACAGTCTGCACTACGCGCGTCATGCACGAAAGGATCTCGACGCGGATGAAGTGGAGGTGCAAGTGCACTCTGCCGGGCTGAACTTTAGAGTACGTCAAGCCATGCGTTTCCTTTTCGCGGATGATATTTGGCGTTCACTAACAAATGTTCTAGGATATCCTCGTCGCTCTCGGCATTGTCGAACTCCCCGTGCGTCTCTTCGGTATCGAAGCGGCGGGCATTGTCACCCGCGTCGGAGCAGACGTCAGCCCCGACGACCTCCAGGTCGGTGATCGGGTGGTCTGCTTCTGCAGGAAAGACGCCTTTTCGACTTACACGACCACGCTGGCTGCTGTCTGCGTGCGTATCCCCGACCGCCTCACCTTTGACCAGGCGGGCACGATGCTCATCCCGTACTTTACGTCGATTCACTCGATGGTGAACGTGGGACGCGTCACTAAAGGACATGTAAGTGATCGTATCCTACACTGGCTAAGCGCTCACTGATACAACGGCATTTAGTCTGTCCTGATCCACAGTGCATGTGGTGGTGTCGGTCTGGCAGCCATCCAGGTTGCCCAGATGCTGGAGGCCGAGGTCTATGCTACAGTAGGCAGCGAGGAGAAGGTCAAATATCTCGTAGAGAATTACGGTATTCCACGGAACCGACTCTTCAACTCCCGCGACAAGTCCTTCGTGGACGGGGTCATGCGCGAAACAAATGGCCGTGGAATGGACTTCATCCTCAACTCCCTGTCTGGCGAGTTGCTGCACGCTACGTGGAGCTGTGTCGCCGAGTTCGGCACATTGCTTGAGATCGGCAAACGCGATCTGATCGGGGACGGCAAACTGGATATGAAGCCCTTCCTGGCGAACCGCAACTACTGCTGCGTCGACATCGACGGTCTCTGGAAGAGGATCCACGTCGCGCGTGCGCTGATCTTCTCCATCCTGGATTTCTACGACAAGGGTCATATCTCGCCGCTGCCGACTACCATCTTCCCCGCTGCTCAGACGCAGGATGCATTCCGGTTCATGGAGAAGGGCCAACACATCGGCCGAGTTGGCGTTTCGTTCAAGCGTGCTGATGGTGAAGCCGAGCTCGCACTCGACACTACCAAGAGATCCCTCACTGTTTCGTTTGACTCTGCCGCGTCGTACCTCATGGTCGGTGGGCTCGGTGGAATTGGCCGCGCCGTATCCACTTGGATGGTCGACCACGGGGCCCGCGAGCTGATCTATCTATCCCGCAGTGCCGGTCTGACGTCAAAGGACGACGCCTTTGTCGAAGAGCTGCACAGCATGGGCTGCGCCGTCACGCTTGTGGCCGGTGATACCACCAAGCTCGAGGACGTAGAGCGGGCCATTGCCGCGGGCATGTACCCACTCAAAGGTATCGTCCAAATGTCGATGGTGGTAGCCAACGAGAACTACACGCGAATGAGCTTTGACGAGTGGACGGCGTCGACGGCACCCAAGGTGCAAGGAACATGGAACCTGCACAATGCGTCTGTGTCCGCGGGCGTGGATCTCGACTTTTTCGTGATGTTCAGCTCGGTGTCCGGTATCGTCGGACAGGCGGGCCAAGCCAACTATGCCAGCGGGAACAGCTTCCTGGATGCGTTCGCCCAATACCGGAACGGCCTGGGTCTGGCTGCCTCGGTGGTAGACATGGGCGCCGTCGAGGACGTCGGCTGGATCTCAGAGCACCAGGGAATGATGGGTAAGATGTCGCGGAGCGGCTTCAAGCCCGTGCTGGAGCAAGAGGTCATCGATGCGATGGCGATCTCGATGCTGGTGCACAACAAGCCCAACCCAGCCGTCGAGGAAGCCCTCGCGACCACATCCAAGAACGCTTCATATTTCGTGCACAAAAACACCTTCCTCGTCGGCCTCGCCTTGCTCATCCCGCTGCACGATCCCAGCAACTACGTGATCTGGAAGAAGGACCGCCGCATGGCGTCGTATCACAACAACTCCACTGTTGCCGCCACTGCAGCTTCAACGGATGTCCTCAAGTCATACCTGAGCAGCGCCAGAGCGGATCCGTCGATGCTCAAGTCGGTTGAGGCATCGAAGCTCTTCGCGGTGGAAATCGGTAAGAAGCTGTTCGATCTGCTGCTCAAGCCGCAGGAGGAGCTGAACACCAGTTGGCCGCTGCTCGATCTCGGCCTGGATTCGTTGGTAGCGCTGGAATTACGTGCTTGGATCAAGCAGGTCTTTGCCTTTGATCTTCCCATGCTGGAGATGATGAGTATTGGGTCCTTGGATATTCTGGGCCAGTATGCCGCAAATGAGGTTTACCGGATTGCGACGGAGCAGAACGAGAGCTAGTCTTTCGATTACGGGGCTATTTACTGGCGATTATTCTGTAACGATGCGATTGAGAGTTTCTTCTCTCTCCTATGTCTATAATCTATTGTTTGAGTATCTATTCATTCATGTTACTGTGACAGATCTACCCTAGTGCAACTATATATCTATCTCTCTTGGATATCCGGGCACTTGACCACTAGAATTCTCATTTGTGCTGTTAGCATCACATATATTTCCCATCTTCACTTCCATGTTTCGTCTAACAAATTGACCTTACATCGCTCTATGCTTCAGCATCGAACGAACACAGGCGACCGGAATCCGCAAGCCCGGGGGCAGCGCAGGACGGGACCCGATCTGACGACGCAGGTTGCTGCACAAAAGCCCTTGCAGAGAAAACCTCATGAAGGCTTCAATCTACAAAGCTATTCGATACAAAACCTCTGTACAAAAAATTCATCCATCCCAGTGTATTTCCTTTCCAAAACCATGTGGCGCATTCCAACCGACACCCCCCAGGTCGCCGTGCCTAACGGCCTCACCAAGCTGGCCGAAGTGACCGCCGACACTCCCCTCGACGAAGTCTTCGCCCACTGGAAGGAAAGCGGCGGCATCATCCTCAAAAACATCCTCACACCAGCCGAAGCATCGCAAATCACCGTCGAGCTCGCCTCCCGCCTTGACTCCGTCCAACGCGGCTCCCGCGTCCCACACCCCGACCTCGCGGCCTTTCACGGCCCCAAGACCAAACGCGCCGGCGACCTCATCAACCACAGCGCGACATTCCGCGCCCGTATCCTTGATAACGACTTCATCCACGCCATCTGCAAGCGCTGCTTCTCCGAAGGCGGCCACAACGGCGACTACTGGCTCTCCGCGGCCACGACCCTCCACGCCGGCGGCCCGCAGCCCGCCCAGGTCCTCCACCGCGACCTCACATCCTACCCGCCCTACGCACAGCTCGGCCCCGAGGGCACAGAGCCGCAGATCAACTTCCTCTTCGCGTTTACGCCCTTCACGGCGGAGAACGGCGCCACGCGGCTCATCCCGGGGAGCAACAAGTGGGCCTTCGACCAGCGCGGGAACATGGCGCAGACCATCCCCGCCGTCATGGACACGGGCGACTGTCTGCTCATCGGTGGGAAGGTGATCCATGCGATGGGCGAGAATACCACCGAGACGGAGCGGCGGTGTATCCAGTTGACGGTGATTCCGAGTTTCCTGACACCGTCGGAGGCGCATCCGTTTATCATCACGCTGGAGACGGTGCGCACGCTGTCGAAGCGCGCGCAGCGGTTTGTGGGCTTTCGGTCGCAGTATCCTCGGGGCTCGCCGGGGTTGTGGACGAAGGATTATATCGAGTTGGCGTTGCATTTGGGGTTGGATGATCTGCAGGGCGCGATGGAGGATTTGCAGGATGTGCTGAACCAGCCGAAGCAGTGGGATACGATTGATTATGATAAGTCCTGAAATGTAGAATGGGTGGTGGTTGTTCTGTTGATTCCCACCAAGTAGAATAAGGTTAGGTGCATTGGATAAATATATAGTCGTTATGCTTGTTACTAGTCCTCGAAGCGCTGGTTACCCAGGCTCTGGCTTTTGAGGTCAATCTCATCTATCCATATCGAAGTCACCAATCCCAGTCCGCTCAGCCCCGTCATCGTGTAGAATATGGTCTGGAAACACTTCAGGTACACCCTGAGCACCGGATCAAGGGCCTCCGAAGAGATGTCCAGTGACCGCAGCTTGTCAATAAACGCAACCGCATTGGAGGTATCGCGAAGAGGTGCCAAAGGACCAGTCAGTTGGACCGCAGACGAGGCGATAGAGTTCGAGAAGACAGTGTTGAAAATCGTCGACGCAATCGTCAGACCCACGAGACCGCCGAACATACGGATGGTGAGAAACTGTCCGATCGCCAGGCCGGTATCGTCAACATTCTTGACGCTCGCTTGCATAGGAAGCAAGTTGAGGCGGAGCAAGGCCACACCCACACCCCAGAGGATTGGAAGTCCAAAACGCATGGAGGATGAGGATCCAACGTCGAACAAAGCGAGCAGGCCGGTTCCAAGCGTGAGGATGACCCAGGACAGCCTCAGAATCCAGACATATCCCCCAAACAACGGCACCATCATCATAGAGATGGCGGCGAAGGTGACACTGAGAAAGACAGTGGGAAGCAAAGAGACGGCAGAGAGGATTGCCGATTCGAGTTGGACGGCCTGGTAGAGCAGAGGGAGATACTGTAGCAGCGAGACCAGAACTGCGCCATGCAGAAAGCCTCCGATCAGCGTCATGTTTCCGGTCTTTGAGTGGAACAGACGGTGCGGAACAATTGGAGCTGCAGGTCTCGCCTCGTAAAAGCCAAAGACGACCAGCACCGCAACTCCCAACAACAGTGGTACGAGAGTCTGCCACGAGACCCACGGGAAGAGGGAGCCGGCCCAACTGAGGGGTAGGACGAAGATAGTGATACCCACCACGACCAGCGCCATGCCGATCCAGTCGAGGCGCTCCAGATTCTTAGCGAGCGATGCATCGAGGGGAACGGGGCGTAGTTTCAGGAAGAAGAACACCAAGGGAGTCCCGATCCCCAGCAACGGGAGGTTAATCCATCCAATCCATCTCCAGCTAGCATAGGTAGAGAAGAGGGCACCGACAGAGGGTCCCATAATATTCCCCACAGCCATGGGGATGGCCATCAGGCCGAGATACTTCGAGCGCTCCTCCAGAGTCGTCATATCGGCGAGAATCACCTCTGCGAGCACGTCAATCCCTCCGCCGCCGAACCCTTGCAGGACGCGGCCCACGATAACCGTGTTCATGTTCTGGGCGACGGCAAAGACAATGGATCCGATGAAGAACAGCCCCATCGACACATACAACGGTGGTTTGCGACCGAATGCGTTGGAGATACTGGCCCACACTGGCTGCATGACCAGACCGCAGAGCGTGTAGGACAAGTTGGCCCAGAAGGACTCTAAACTTCCGCCATTGAGGTCCGCAGCTATAGTCTGCCGGTGGTTTTAGTCTTCGATTGCGCAACAGCGGATGGAGAGGTGGTATTGCTTACTGGAAGAGCGATACCGAGGGCTGTTGCATCTAGCTGGAACACAAACAGACTGGCAGCGAGGCCAATGAAGGCGAGCTTGAATGCAAGAGACTTCTTCGGTTTTGCCCCGCCATCGTCAGGGTTCACTCTTTCAGCTGGAATGTCTCCTGCGCCGGTTTCTGCCCCTGTCTGCGCCCCTGTCTCGGCGTCTGTCCCTATTTTTTCTGATGGAGGCTCTGGATCTAGTTCTGGTTGAGCCGCGGATTGGGATATCTCCACACTGGTCCCATCTCTAGCGTTGAACCCAGGCATGCCCATTCTTGTCAGATCGTGATGAATAGACCGCCGTCGACTGGACCTCGATCAACCCGAACACTGACACAAACGAAGGTCGAGTGGTGAGAGTCAGATGGAAGAAGATGCCCCCTTTGTTGCCGGATCGGAAGCCGGAGCAGCCTTCTTCCGTCCGGACGCGTATGACTCAGCCGGATCCCTGTCGCTGTCACGTGTGGGGAAGAATCGAGCACAAAGGGCGGATTCTGAGGGTTGATTGCATTATGGAGGATACAGAAGAGAATGACTGAACAAGGCCATCGTGAGAGTGGGGATAGCCAGAACACTGGCCCCATCGATTCCCTCTGGCGCCGTCCGTGTTAGTGCACGATTAAAGGAAGCGGGTTCCGATCTGCGGGCTCGGGCCGGGGTGGAGGTGGATCAATATGGCTGATGGCTGATGGCTGGCGCTGACAGCTTACGGATTAGGGAGTACAGAAACATGGCACTATACAACACAGACGTTCAAACGATGCAGCTGGTTAATGATCACATCACAACGATCTCCTCAACGAAACAGCTATCGTTATTGAACGGCGAGTATGCGTCCCCAGAAGAAGATTCCCCCGCCGACCGTGCCAACCGACACCATCATCCCGTTCCATTACTGGGACGACGACCACCACACGCGAGGCCTTTCCTTCGACGTCACCTTCCGCTTCGATGATGTCCTGGACCCGCAAAAGCTTCGTCGCGCGCTCTCGCGACTCCTCGAACTCGGAAACTGGCGCAAGCTCGGGGCTCGCACCCGCCGGAACGCAGAGGGGGGACTAGAATACCATGTTCCTCAATGCTTCGATGACAAGCGACCGGGTTTTGTGTACTCCACAGACACATATGATATGAAGATGGCGGATCATTCGCAAGCATCACGCTTGGCTGACGCTCACCATCTTGACGCCGCGGGTCGCCCCGCTGTCTTGGACGTCACATATACTGCTGCCCCGGAGTTCCGATCGTTCATCCGGACTGCAGGGTTCCCAGATCGCCTGGAGGACTGGCTGTGTTCGGATAGTCCTCAGCTGGGGATTCGGGTCATCGTTTTTCAGGACGCAACCCTCGTCACGGTTTCTTTCCTGCACAGCTTGATGGACATGATGGGCTTGAATGCTTTCCTCGACGCGTGGACCGCAGTGCTGCGGGGCCACGAAGACGAAGTGAAGCCGTTTGAAGGATTCCTGGAGGATCCGCTAGCCAATCTATCGGGGATGAAGACGGCACCAGTGCAGAAGTACGTCTTCGCCGACATACTGCTGATCGGGTGGACTTGGTTCCTGTTCGCGCTGCGGTATGTTTTCACAGTAGAGCTGTTCTGGAAGCACCGGGAGGAGGAACGGCTCATATTCCTACCCACGAAGCACCTCCAACGGATGCGCAAGGCCGCAATGGCGGAGCTCGCATCGCAGCACACCAGCGACAGCAACAAACCCCCTTTCGTCAGTGAGGGCGATATTCTCTTCGCCTGGTGGACGCGTGTCGTTCTCCGCGCCGAGAAGCCCCGATCTGGCCGCACCGTCAATATGCGTAACACTTATTGTTGTCGGTCAATTCTCGCCCAGCTGGGCCACATCCCATCGGCTGCTAGTGCCTTGGTCACGAATGCCGTGTTTGCGACTCTGACTTTCCTGTCCGTTCGTCAGATTCTGGAGGAGCCCTTGAGCGTCACGGCATTGGAGGTCCGCAAGTCGCTGATCCAGCAACGGAATGCAAAACAGCTGCAGGCTCTAGATGCCATTCAGAGAGATACGCTCGATAACGCGCATCATCCAGCTCTTTTTGGAGACCCGGGCATGTACAACATGATGATATCGAATTGGGTCAAAGCTAGACTCTTTGAGGTTGATTTTTCCGCCGCAGTCGTGAGAGAGGGTACGCCACGCGACAAACGGAGTAACGCGGTAGGTAGGCCATCTAGTGTCCAGGGCACCGGGACGAAAGGATACGCGACACGCAATACCGGCGTTGTCATTGGGAAAGATGCTGTTGGTAATTGCTGGCTGTTGTATACGCTAGGGAAAGGGGCATGGCCGGCCGTAGAGCAACAACTACGTTCCATGTCTGATGAATAATAAAAGTCCGTCATCATAATGCATATATACATCTCTTGAATGCCAATGCTATCTACATACTCCCATCCTGCCGACACATCCTTTCCCACCGCCTCCTCAGAATCGGTACAACCAACCATCCCACAACGACACCCATGAGCGAATCCACAATCCCAAGCCCTCTCTTCGGGCTCAGCCCAACCATGTTCGTAAACAAGAAGCTCGCCGCCAGCGAATCCTCACAAATGATGAAATCGCCCTTCTCCACGCGCGCAATGATGCCGCGCGCCACTTTCTCCGACGACGGGAACTTCGCCTCCAGCTGCGCGAATGTCGCCACGTCGGTGCCCTGGATCCGCTTCGTCAGGTTCGGCTTGGTATCCTGCTCCAGCACAAAGCCGGGAGAGATGAAGTCCGCGGGGAAGGCGATGTGGATGGAGTACGTGGTGCGCGGGGAGTTGTGGCGCAGGACCTCGAACCGGAGGGTGTCTGCCAGAGCGCGGACGGCGGCTTTGGCGGCTGGGGGATTGTCAGTCAGATAGACCATCAAACAATGCGGTTGATGCCAGAGAGAGAGAGAGAGATGCTCTTACGCGTATAGGCACCGCTCCCCGGGATCCCCAAGAAGGCCGCTGCGCTGTTGACAAACACCATCTTCCTCCTCCTGGGCTCTGAGATCCGTCTGGTCACGTCATCGGCGAATTCCTGCTTATCCGCCTGGACCCAGATATCCAGCATTGCTTTCGCCGCATACGCAGTCGAGTAGTAGTTATTTTTCATGCACGAGTCGAGCTGCGAGGCCTGCAGATCCGCGATGAAGCCGTTCTCGGCATGGTTGCCGCCTGCGGAGCAATAGAGGAAGTCGGCGATTCGAGGCTGGGAGCGGAATGCGTCTGCGACCTGCTACACGTTACCCTCCGGTTCTCAGGGCTTTCATTGACAGCTTCACCACGTGGGTTGGGAGGGAACGTACTGCGGCAGCATCGGCCATGTCCACAGCCACCGCGTTGATGTCTTGCCGGCTCGCGTCCGTGCAGTTGCTAATTATCTCCTTTTTCGCATCTTCCAGCGGTCCACGGCGTCTTGCAAAGATCGTAACATGTGCGCCTGTGTACTGGATATTAGTCGTGGTGCAAGTGTTTTCGAAATTCATCAGGGGTCGAACCACGCGCCGCAACGGCGTTGGAGATGGCTTTTCCCAACCCGCCAGAACCACCTGTTACGAAGACGGTCTGCGGGTATCAGCGACTGGATGACAGGCGTGAGGGGGATGGAGAATGGAGCGGATTGTTTGTTCATGTGCGAATAAAGCCATGGAGGATGTACAGACCTTGCCAACAAGATCCTGAGCTGGTTTCATTTTTTTTGCTTTTCGCTTTGAATCGTATCCAAGTTCGTTGAACTCGGTTCAGGAGACTGAAGAATGCTTCGCCTTGTTTCGATTTAATTGACGCTCGCTGCTAGCCTTAGAAACTGCTATCTCGGTCCTCAATCCTACCAAAGAGAGATCATCCTGTCCAACACCAGCACGGCCAATCGGCCACAGTCAATACCGCTCCCCGGCGACGGATCCCGTCCCCGAGCCTCGAGATGCTACAGCGGCATATTAAATGTTCAATCGAGTCCTCTGTCATCCTGACTAAAACTAGATCCCTGCTAAAGCTAACCTAACCTTACGTTCTGATGGCTTGACTTGACTCGCTATTGATCCGCGGAAGGTCCTCGGTTACGAGTACCGGTGGTCTACTGAGTAAACTACTGAGGACGGACCAGTAGATTGACTCGTCAAGAGAGGCTTGGGCACTGCTGCCTCGATTGCACCATTGCTGGCACCAGACGCTTTCAGGGCTAGAGGATGCGCCACCCCCTCACGCTAGACATGAGCATCGCGATGCTCAATATGGGGTACTAACGCCCCTTCCACCCCCTGAGGAATGGGGCGCAATCTAAATCTATGTAAGTACTCCGTGCTAGATTGAGCAGGATCGGTTAACTTTCTTCTATAGAATATTTGACACAGAGAGATAGATAAATGGTACTACTCACTCCCATCATCTATCTATCTATCTATCTGGGGTGCCAGCAGTGTCATGCCAGAATCTGTATCAGCTTAATGGCCATCACTTCGACACGAGACCTCTGCACAATACCTAGCGCTCTCAGTCCGTGTGTGACAGCGAAGTAAGGGCATTTGCGGACTCGTGTATTATGCCGAAGAAGGCCAATGAATAGGCACGAGCGACGTGCTAAGCAAGGGTTAAGAATCTGAATCTCACTGCAGAGGGGGAAGCAAGAGGGGCCGCTTACTCTTGAGTAATACAGGCCCTTATTAAGTTCGACCTGACAGACCAATGATAAAACTCGACTGCCAATGTCTGTTGGTAGAGGAATGTAGCTCCGCGATGCTGATCGTTCGGCTCAATACAACTCCTCGATAGTGTCAAAGCCAACAAGGATGTGCCAGATGGAGGAGCGTGAAAATACGAATCAATAAACAATAAACACGGCCTGCCAAGCCCAGCTCAATCCTCTAAATCCTGCTCCTACTCTGGCTTGCTAACCTCCACCATGTTATCGAAATTCGCTGTCGAGATACCACCACCGAACAATGTAGCACCCGACTAGGACGCTGTACTACCATTCCTAAGTATAGTGACATCAACTCAAAAACCGCCCCATCGGATCTTCAGCGTCGGGAATACAGAAAGAGGATTGCGTGGTGTCCGAATTATAGCCCATGACCACAAAACACAACCCTGTCCCCTCGTGCAGTCCGCAGCGCACGCCGGAGAAATACGGTTGAATCTCTCGAAGCTCTCTGCCTCACCAATAGCTAGATATTTGCGTATGATCGGCCCACCTCTACTTCGTATAGCCTCTAACTACCCTGCAACCCTACGGATCAAGGGAATCGACGGACCGCTGGGAGATCGGTGGCTGCGCTCCGCCGGCGCCGTCATATCCCCACCAGGATGGATCTACGAATCCCGCCAACACATACAGAGGGGCAAGAAGGTCTAGAGCCGCGGAGGGAAGAGACGCCTTCACAATACGCCTCACGCTAGTGCAGCCGAAACGTCGAATCGCGTCGAGGACATCGAGTCAGGATGCATGGCGGGGCCGAAGATGGCTCTGCTCGTCCTTTCTTCATATCTATAGGCTCGACCGCCGGCATGTTACATGTAGAGTACAATAGGCTGAATAGCTTCATGTACATTTTCGGACGGCGTCGCTATTAAGCTTGGAAGATGATGTTACAAACCACATGCCTAGTTTCGTGTAGGATCGGCTAGCGCTTACTCAGGCCTGGTCGAGACTGGAAGCACGCAAAAAGTATGTTGGTGTTCGACCGTCGGTGATGGGGTGAAGTCGCCCTCGTTGAGTATGCATGTCAGCCTGCAAAAGGGACAGGCAGGGTGAACGAAGTGGGTACGGTGGATAATGGTCCTCGTGCGCGAGGCAAGCAATCCGTTATCATTTACTATAAATCCTTCGTGCCCATGGTGATTGCCCCGGATCGCAAGGGAGGGGACACGAGAGCGTAGTTGTTTGTGCTAGAGTACAATCCAAGGCCCGAATCAAAGAATCAATATGGCCAAAGAAATCACCAAAGACGAGTACACCGGTAAGGGAATCTCAATCCCACAGAACAAGCAAGGCTGATGTGACCTATCACTTCGCCCAGTGTGCGACCAATGCCGGGTCAGGAAGATCCGCTGCAGTCGAGAAAAGCCATCATGCAGAAACTGTGGCCGGCTGGGCTTGCAGTGCGAGTGGTCTGGTCAGGGCAAAAAGTGCAATCAAACCACTCTTCTGTATGTACTGGACACTGGGATTTGATACACATGATGGCTGTAATCTCATGATCTATAGGAGCCATACGATCCTGGGGATGGGCAGCCGCCTTCAACAGCTAGAGGTAAGACATATGCGCTCCGTAGACGGACAGGCTTGGAATAACTGTGCTCGAAGACTTCACTTGCCGACACCCAGCGATCACTGAAGAGGTTGTTCGAGGGCTCAGCCGTGGTCTCGCCTCCTTCCTCGAGATACCCGTCCAGTCCCTCGAGACCGACGCCTCAATTGACCCCTCCACGGTTTCCCGATGGATCGAAAGCGCCGGTCTTCACACGGCCACTGGGTCGTTTTCTCTTGGACCACGGCAATGATCAAAGATACTTTGGCCCGACCTCGCTGGAAGCGCTGATGCTCACGATCAAGGACGAGCTGTCGGACAGTACGGAGACTGAACGAGAGAGCACACGAGAATGCGTGCTCCAAGCACAACACAAGATCAATATCCTGGTTAGCCAGGCCGACGAATCCAAGACTTGTCTCGCCGACAGATCGCTACCGACGACGCCTCCGTTCGCCATCTTGGATGCCATGATCGAGCCCTATTTCACCACTACCAATCACCATTTCCCCATCTGGACAAAAGAAAAGGTTCAAGCAGATGGCCACTAGCCTACGGCAATCTAACTCCTCCGAACGTGACCTTGCTTCGATCGTCTGCTGCAACAACCTCATTCTCCTGGCCATGACCGCAGACTCGCTCTGCGCTCACCAGCGCGAGGCCATACAGGCTAAATCGACCCGCAAGACCTCGTCCATTGATTTTGATATTATTGCAGGCTTCCTCACTAACGCCAAGCGTGCCGTAAACAATATCGATCAGCTGGTCGCCTCTCACGTCGTCAATGTCCAGGCACTCTTATCTCTGGTAAGCCATACCATGATCTCTCTGAGCCTCTATCAGAATTCATCAGATGCTGACTACGTCAAGCACATGGTAGCGCAGCAGTATTTCTCCATAGGTCTCTCGGAGACGCTGTTAGCTCTCGCAGCGAGATGCGCCAAGTCCATCGGCATCCACCAATGCGGTTCCTTGCATGGTCAACTAAGCGACGAAGACATTCAGGAGAGACAAAACATCTCACACTGCTTATACATTCTTGACAAGGCCGTTTGCTGGACAGCGGGCTCGTCTCCCAGTGTACCCGTCTCCGATATGGATTTAGATTCGTCCCTGATGCTTTCTGAACACGGCGTCACGCCTTCTTTAGTAACACGAGCTGAGATGGCCAGGGTCGAAGAAAGTATCTACTTGGAGACATACGCTGTACAGGTCAGCCCGAGGAATGAGGATCAAGTCCGGCAATTCGCAGCCACAACTTTGTCTCGATTGCGAGCCTGTCTGGCCGACGCGGGAGTGGACTTGGACAAGATAGAGAAATGCTCGGAGAGTCCCGCCTCAGACCTGCAGTTGGCAGTCAGATATCTCTGCCTCCAGCTGCTGCTTGTATGGCCTCATAAACACCATCCGGACCAAATATTCCAGCGCGGCCCCGAGGTCGCGAGGATGTGCTTGAAGCTCCTGCTTTGTCTTTGGCATTCCTCTCCGGATCAGGGGAGCCATGCTGTGTTCTCGTCGTAGGTTGAATTCGTTGGCCAGTCATGCCTTGGATTTGAACTGACCTTGTTACTTCACAGTTTCCTCGCATCTCTTCCACCGCTATACCTCTACGAAGTCATATCCTCCAGTCTCTGCGGCCAAGAACCAACCACGGACATGGACATGCTTCAAGAATTCGTAGACCTGCTCCAAACCATCACCAACTGCCGTGCAGAGGCATCCTACACCCGGCGTCTGTATCAACTATCTGCGATTGTGACAGACGTACTCAAAGCCCGACACGCCCAGCACAAACGACAAAAACCACCGTCAGATGGAACCGCAAATTCGTATCTGATGTCCGAGCTGCTCTCTCCCCCAGCCACAGGTTACAACTACATGGCTCCAAACGGTCAAGAGACCTTTGATTCGCGCTTTGACGGCGCCGTCTTCCAGGATCCGGGTAGTGGGTTTGCCTCCCTGAGCCCAATTCCTTCGGCAGGGGGGGAATTGGCCCGCAGTGCGGATGACTTCTTGCCGCAGTTGAGGGGCTTTGCGAAGACAGGTTCCAATGGGAACGATAATTTCAACTCGCTGAGCATGGAAGCTTTGGGCGATACGGTCTTCTGGAAGAGTGTTAGTTAGGGCGCCGCGGAGACGGTTGACTCCATACCAGATCACCATCAAGACGATGCATGGAACATGAAGTAATTATAATGATACATGAATATTTCCGAACCGGGCATTCTAAGAGCTGCTGCCAAATACATCTTGCATTCGTTGCCACTCAGGCAGTCCCCATCGCTGCATCCATTCACATCCAACAACTTCGTCGATCGTACCGCGCTGGCGCGGCTCAAGAAACCTCCATCATCTTCATTATGCCATGAGAAGCCACCTCCTCTTCTGCCGCAAACAGGTACAGCCCATGCTTCTCCCGCGGCTATCGGATATACTCGTCAAACCGCTTGACCCGGTCCCGATGCATATTCCCATACCACTGCTGATAACCTCCTGGTACATAGTAATCTAAGCGCTCAACTTCCTCCACGAAGTTATATTTCACTTTGCTGGGCGCCATGTGAGCCGCCATGCCTCTCTGGCAGGTACATGACAGAGACCTCTGTGTCTGTCTCTATCGATCACATAGCACAGACGCGAACGATCTAACCTTCAGTGACTGGCAAACGGCGTTCCTGACATAGCCGGGCATGATGCCGGGGAAGGTCGGTGTTGGGAACTTAGGACAAGCTTGGCTGCAGTCAAGATGTGCCACATTCGCACGGGGAGACGGCGCCCGGGCCCCGGAGCCACTGGGAGCTGTACAGCCGCGTCCACCAGAAAAAGTAGGCTTATGCTATGAGTAGCGTTAGTGGGCAGCAAGGGAGAGGCCACTGCACCTTTACCGCCGAGGTGACTTGCGTGTTTGATTGTTTAAGCTGTCTATCAAGACGTTCGCGAGGTAGGACTCGGATTTTCGAAAATACTACCAGCGGGCGTAGAAAACGCGGCCTTATCTTCTGTTTCGCGGTGTCTGCACCACTCATCTGCCATTATGGGACTCGTCGGTAATCACCTCGGCGTCCTTTACCTCGCCGTCGCGGCTGCTGTGTTTTTTAAACCGGATTATGCCGTCTGGGGGTCTAGAATAGCCACAGTTATCCTCTTGTTTACAGCCATCACCGTGTCAAAGGTCGTTTATCAACTATTTCTGTATGCTCGGTTCTTCACACCACTGAAACACTTCCCTACCCCGTCCGTAAGTGACCGTCAATCGCAAGGCCCCCGCTAGAAACCTTCATAACTCCTAACATGCTCTAGAATCGACACTGGCTTAGGGGTAACGCGCCGAGCGTGCTCGTCGACACCCCCCATGCACAGATGAAGGAGTGGGCCAAGAACGTCCCGAACGATGGAATCATCCGCTACTACATCGTGGGGAACATGGAGCGGCTCACAGTCACCAATCCCACGGCTTTAAGCGAGATTCTGGTGAGCAAGGCCTACGACTTTGCAAAGCCGCTGGTTATACGGCAGGCGTTGGCTCGTGTGCTCGGCAATGGCGTCCTGATTGCCGAAGGCGATGTTCACAAGGTATTGTATCTCCGAGTAATGTTCAGTTGTTAGTCAACCACTAATGATGCACAGTTTCAACGGAAGAATCTCAAGCCGGCTTTTGCGTACCGGCACGTCAAGGATCTCTACCCGGTCTTCTGGGGTAAAGGAGCCGAGATGGCCAGGCGGATCCGGAAGGAACTGCAAGACAGAAAGTCTCCGGAGGATAACACGATCCAAGTCAGAAACTGGGCCAGTCGATCGTCACTAGACATCATTGGGCTGGCGGGCATGGGCCAGGATTTTGACTCCCTACGTGACCCCGAAAACACCCTCAGCCGCTCCTACGAGATGATCTTTGCGACACCGGGCCTAGGAACCAAGGCTATGTTCATGCTTGGCATCCTCCTCGGCGATGCCACCTGGCTCGCAAAGCTCCCTACCAAGCGGAACAAGCTCATCGACGCCGGCTGCCGGAACATCCGCGATGCCACGCGGCGCATGATCGACGATCAAAAGCGCAAGATGCAGGACCCCACCGCCGAGGCCCGCGTCGACATCATCTCCGTCGCAATGCGCAGCGGTACCTTCGACGACGAGACTCTCATCGACCAGCTCATGACCTTCCTCGGCGCCGGCCACGAAACCACCGCCGCGGCAGTGCAATGGGCCATCTACGCGCTCTGCAAGAATCCCGCCGTCCAGACCCGTCTCCGCGCCGAAGTCCGCGCCAACCTCCCACCCATCAACCTCGACGCACCCACCCCCATCGACGCAGGCACAGTCGACAGCCTCCCCTACCTCAACGCTGTCTGCAACGAAGTCCTCCGCTTCCACCCGTCCGTGCCCAATACGGTGCGCGTCGCCCTCAAGGACACCACGCTACTCGGCAAGCCGGTCCCCAAGGGCACACAGGTGGTCATCGCGCCGGAACTCATTAACCACATGCCAGACTTCTGGGGCGAGGACGGGGGCCAGTTCAACCCGGACCGGTTCATGGCGCCCGGGATGGCGAACACAGGCGGCGCGAGCAGCAACTACGCGTTCCTGAGCTTCCTGCACGGGCCGCGCAGTTGCATTGGGCAGGGATTCGCCAAGGCGGAGCTGGCGTGTCTTCTCGCGGCGCTGGTGGGGAGCTTTGAGTTTGAGTTGAGGGATCCCGCTGCGCCGTTGGAGGTGCGCGAGGGCGCGACGATTGCGCCGAGGGATGGGGTTTTGGCGAGATTTACGCCGTTGGATGGGTGGTGAGGCTTGGGGGGTGGTTCTACTTGGATTTACCTGGATGGGAGAATCGCCTGGGCGTTGGATTGCATCATCTTTGTATCCTTGGTTTACTGGCATTGTGATATCCCATACATTAGATCTATACTTGCCTCTTGTTGAAGGGAGGAGGGGGGCGCGTCACGGATCGGCCATATCGCATAATCTACAATTCTACCGACGGGCCTTAGATCTCTGCTAGAGCAGCGCTATTACGGGGAGAATGGCATCCGCAGGTCAGATGCTCAGCGAAGTACGGCGCGATGCATGGGAACGGAATCCGGCCCCGGCGGGAACGGCGCAGTACAGCATGCATGTGTCTCAATTCTCCCAGATTATGCTACTGGCCAGGTTATCAATATGTAGGGGCTGTAACCAGTGTCTTACTTTGTGTGGAGAACCGTTTCAGGAACCCCTCGTCAAAACCATCATCCTTCTTGAGCAGCAAATATCCGTATACCGTTCACACTCACAGACATATTCTTCCAGTTTGAGGGATTCCCGCCATGACGGGGGAAGAATTGGTCTTCATCACCGGTGCATCTGGCTTCATCGGCAGCTGCACGGCTCTAGCACTACTCAGAGCGGGCTACCGTCTTCGTATCCTGCACCGACAAGCATGTAAGATTGAGAGGTTACAGGCTCTGCTATCGGAATACAGCTCCCGGGTGGAGTATGCCCTGGCTCTCAGCTTGACCGACAAGGCTGCATACAGAGAGCACCTCGATGGAGTGAACTACATCATCCACCTCGCGCATCCCCTCCCCAGTAGCACCGAGAGGGAAGCCTACTTCGTGCCCGCCGTGCGGGCAACCACCACCTTACTGGAGGAAGCAGCCCGCGTGCCCAGCATCAAGAAGGTCGTAATCACCTCATCGGTTGCGGCGCTCATGCCGCTGGACGGCGTACCCCCTGGCGGCATCATCAAGGGTGAGTCCATGTTCACGTCCCTGCGCGCCGTCATTCCTCCTGCGTCGCAGCCCCACTAACAAACAAATCAGAGGACAACGACTGGGACTTCACCTTCGACGAAACCGAGGACTTCGCAGCCTCCGCCGACCCGCGCGGCGTCCCCATGCGCCTCTACCACGCCTCGAAGCTCCTCGCCAACCGAACCGCGCACAAGTTCCGCACCACCGCCGCACCGTCCTACGCGCTCGTCACGCTGCATCCCGTCTTCGTCTACGGACACAATCCCACGCAGAACTCGGCCGAGGAAATCGAGGCCTCCTCAAACGGACTACTCTGGTACACGCTCCTGGCCGGGGTCCCGCATCGCTGCCATTCACAGGTCCCCGGGGTGCATATTGACGATGTGGTCGAGGCGCATGTCCGGGCGTTGGACCCGGGGGTTGCGGACGGGTCGCGGTACCTGTTATCGGGGCCAGGCAGGTCGTGGAAGGAGGTCGCGGAGGTTGTGCAGCGGGAGTATCCAGATCTCGGGGCGAGGATTTCGACAGATCTCGAGGAGGGGTTTCTGCCGATGGATGGGGGGAGGGCCGAGAAGGAGTTGGGGTTGGCATGGCGTTCCTGGGAGGCGATGGTGCGGGATGTGGTGGAGCAGCAACTGGGGTTTGCGAAGAGTTAGCTGTACGGAGTATAGTATATCGCTCTGCTGGTTTGGTTCTGCTTGTCATGAGATAGTGCGTCTAGTATTGTTTCGATCTTATTATAGTGATGCAATCTAGATACGAGATCGCATAAGTGACATTATACTCTGCGTCTGGGTTAGCTCGTTTGGAGGGAATCAACTACACTACACATCAGTGCCTCCTCCATGTACTTTGACTGCCAGATTTAGGGTGTTTCAGCGCAATGTGAGTTTTCCTGCCAGTCTCTATAACCCCTTCACTTCAACTTTGCTACTAAGACCATGGTTATAGCAGCCCGGGTCCATCAGAGCCACCCTGATATGGCTTGTTATTGAATCACGCAAGCGGTCTTTTCACGTATCCTGCCATCCTTGATGACCCTTGGCATCTTGCAATTCTTCAAACACAGTCAGGCCATTTTTTCCTGCAGCTGGCGCTGGGCAGTCATGAGATCCTTCTTTGCCAGAGGGCCGTGTATTTTCGCTATTCTTTTCCTCCAAACGCAGTGTTTTCTCAAGACTCGACACCTATAGAACTGGGGCAAGAGAGGCAATGGCACGTAATGGGCTTTTCTCTCCTCTTGGACTTGATCAATCACTGAGCTAAAAGGTGTCTAGCCATCACTTCCTGACTAACAATGATATGCATGCTATGGTCATGTTGACTCAGGTCATCCATCCTCTTATGATTCAATTGCTAGCTAGTAGCTAGTCACAGTTTACCAGTTCAATTGCAGTGACGCCTATTCCAGATCTTTCTTATTCACTTAGAAAATGCTAAAATCTAGATCTATACTGTCCTACACTTCATGACCTTCAATATATATTTCTCTCTCTAACGCAATCCACACGCGAGGATGAGAGCGACCAGGCCACGCCGGTGAGTCAATTAGGCAACGACTATAGCAGAAGCTGCTATTATATGCTGAAAATTTCCAATGCTTACGGAGGAGAGTTTACCATCTTCGGTATTCTATCATACGACTTGATCGAAAGCAGTCGAACAGCGGGATCGGAAATATGTGTTGCAGCCTGAGGCATCCCGGTGGCAACTGTGTTGTGTAGGGCAAGACCGGGAATTTCAGGGATTTCAAGTAAAAAAAAAAAAAAAAAAAACTTTTCCCCGGTTGCCAGAGCGTGTTCGGATCCTGAACCAGTACCTGTCATCTGTCATATCTATCTACCCATCTAGACTGATTCTAGAACCAAGGGATTGATCAGTGATGTCCTGGGTCTAGGACTTGAAGTGTATCATCTTGACCACGTGTGTGTGAATCTGGAGAGACTCGAGACTAAAGACTAAAGACTCAAGACTAGGACTCGAGACTAGAGATTCGAGACTAAACTACTAAAGACTAGACAATAGAGACTAGCAAATCAAGTGCCGACACCTTTGTCGATCACCGTCAACATAAACTAGCCGGAGCCAGGGAGAGCCATAGGAATGTCGAGAAGAGGATAGAAGATAGAGAGATGATATAACCAAATCGAAAGAAACCCCAGGTTTACGCTCATCCGGGCAGCGAACACGTTGAATAACTGGACCGCCCGATATCGGTCCCGAGTGGCCAAACGGCCTCTGGTTCCCACTGTTGCAATTGGCGAATCACCGTCCCAAAAGGTGCCAAAGCCGAGAATTTCGGCGGGTCTGTTGGAGTTTTCATTATGTATACAAAAACTTCGAGACGGCCGGGCCATAAGCTGGATGTAACTTCGCCTCCACGACGGAGACGATCGGCAAAGTGAGGCGAGGAAAACTTTATCCCCAGGTCCGGAGGATAATAAGAGAATGGCAGGGCCCCGTTTCTGGACCTTCTTTCTTCCCCCTTCTTCTAAAAAAGCTTGTCCCCCCTCGTCAGCATCTGTATCTTGAAGAGTCGACTCCCGCCGCCGCCACACCCCTCCATTGACCGCGTCGACACAAGCATGGAGGCCGCCAACATGAGCCCCCCGGCGTACCGGAATGAGAAGATCGAGGAGAGCAAGAATGGAGCTGCCGATCCGTACTATGAGGACGAAGCGCAGCTGAAGACAGGCGAGGTTGCCGACGCCTTTGGAAACGAGGAATGTGCTGAGATCAAGTACAAGACCTTGTCATGGTTGTATGTTCAGATGCCTGTCCGGTGCTGAGGTCGTCGAAAACATGCTAACAAGTTACACAGGACATGCGGTTTGCGTACGATTTCCGTCTCGCCCGTGTTGTGATGGTGCAAGACTAACCGGGTTTTTATAGTCATGATCTGCGAGTCCGTCTCGCTGGGTGTGTTGTCGCTGCCCGCTGCCATGGCCACTCTGGGCTTCGTTCCGTAAGTGGCTGTCCATTACCAGATGAGATCTCAGTAGTGACTAACCATCCTCAAGAGCGATCATTCTGATCGTCGGCCTCGGGCTCCTCGCCACATATACCGGATACAACATCGGCCTGTTCAGAGAACGGTACCCTCACATTCAGAACCTGGGTGACGCCGGTGAGATCCTGTTGGGTCCCTTTGGCCGGGAGCTTTTCGGCATCGGTCAATTCCTTTTCTTTATCTTCGTCATGGGCAGCCATCTCCTGACGTTCCGCGTCATGATGAACACTGTCACTGAGCATGGCACGTGCTCCATCGTCTTCAGTGTCGTTGGCATGGTCCTGTCCATGGTCCTTTCCCTCCCACGGACCATGAAGGGATTGACCTGGATCTCGCTTGCATGTATGTCAAAATCCTGTCCACTGCTCTAGCAACCCCACTGACACTGAGAACCCCAGCCTTCCTGAGCATCTTCGCCGCCGTCCTGATTACCATGATCTCCGTGGGCGTGCAAGAATATCCCAACCGCATCATCGAGGCCACCGTCCAGAACGACCTGTACCATGCCTTCCAGGCCGTCTCGAACATCGTCTTCGCCTACTGCGCCCACGTCGCCTTCTTCGGTCTGATCGCCGAGATGGAAAACCCCAAGGATTTCAAGAAGTCGCTGTTCATGCTCCAGACCTTCGAGATCTGCCTGTATGTGACCGCCGCGGTGGTCGTCTACTACTTTGTCGGCAAGGACGTCGCGTCGCCGGCGCTCATCTCCGCAGGACCAGTCATGAAGAAGGTGGCGTTTGGAATAGCTATTCCTACGGTACGTTGTCAGCAGAGTATAATCAGATAAAAAAAAAAGGGATATGCTAACTCTGACCAGATCATCGGTGCCGGTGTCGTCAATGGCCACGTCGGCCTCAAGTACATCTACTTCCGGCTCTGCCACAAGTCCGATCTGATCCACAGCAACAGCTGGAAGTCCGTCACTATCTGGATCGTTCTGGGTGTCAGCTGCTGGCTGGTAGCATGGATCATCGCGGAAGCCATCCCCGTCTTCAGCAACCTGAACGGCTTGATTGTAAGTTCTCCACCCTCGCCATCCCCCACCGCAAACAATACTAATGGTTTGATTCCAGAGCGCCCTCTTTGCTAGCTGGTTCAGCTACGGCCTCAGCGGCATCTACTGGCTGCACATGAACTACGGCCAGTGGTGGGCCGGCCCAAAGAAGATCTTCCTCACGATCCTGAACATCAGCATTACCTTGTTCGGACTGGTGCTGTGCGTGCTGGGGTTGTATGCCTCGGGGACGGCCATCCATAATGACTCGGGCAGCAGCAGTTTCAGCTGCGCGAATACGGACGCGTAATGGGGTGTATGATATGATGATGTATATTGAACGTGGCTTGTATATATAAAGCATAGATTGCTGTTGTCACTTTTTCATGAGCTTAGATCAGCGTTGAGTCGTGATCTTGACATTTATTCCGCCTCGGTAATGCATTTATTTCCGCGTATCTCCACTGGTGTTTATCCCAGCGCTGCCTCTGAAGTATGTATAAACCTGCTGCATTTAGCTGGGTCTTACTTCCTGGGTACGAATCCTTGAAGAAATTTGCCATCAATCACATCGCCGCCGTATCGACCACTATGAGAAGGATTAACATGCGCCGCCAATCAACTACGCAGTCTTATATACCAATGACCTACGACTCGTCCTAAGATAAATCCAACAACTCACAAGTGCCACGACAGACGTCGTATGATTGTCAGCATCTACGGGGGCCTGCGGTATGACTCAGCCACAGCGAAATGGGAGGACGACACCCTCATCTCCGAGGAGCGATATGTGATGTGTAATTTGAAAGGTACGTCATTTCAGAAGCACTGTGGTCTACGCCATAAGATGCTATGCAAAACTGACCGATGCTTCAAGCAAAGGGTTGGTGGGTTTCACAGGTTGTGGCCACGCGGGTGTGGTCAACATATGCCGTGATGCTCTGAAACTCGGCTAGAGGGTGCTTCTATATTCTGTAGTGGGTGGTTTCCATCTCGCAGACGCCGACGAGAATAGGTTGTCCGCGACCATGACTGACCCCAAGCCACTCGACGCGAAGGGTTTGCTCGCTAGCCATTGCACCAGCTGGAAGATTCAAGTGTCGGATTGCCCAGGAGATGCCAAACTGTCATGTGCCGTGCTTTTCGGGAAGCACCTATACTCTCAGCAGAGTGGAAGCTGAAGGGAACTGGAGGCTGTAAACTCCAGAGTGCCTTGCGTGCTGCTTTAATGAGGACTCTCTGGTCATACTCTTTGGTTGTGGATGACGGAACCCCCCCTGCCAATAAGGGCAAAGACTTATACTTTATGTCGAACATTAGACTGGAAGTCTGCCTTAGAGAATCAGTCGCAGATTAAACCAGCGAATTCTTGATGCCTCGTTGTTCCAATCGTAAATTATAGAGGTATAGATATTGATAGTAAGCCAGCCATTAGTATACTCAATGATCGCCACTCCCTTCGACCTTGTCGCTTATCTGATGTGCCTCTTCCTCCAGCTCTCCAGCATTAATTATAAATGGTACTTTCAATTCCAACCCGTCTGCCAGCTCAGCAGGAATCCAACTCCCTCCATTCCCAAATCCCATGACCACAATCTCACGGTCAGGCATCTTGCCAGTCTGGTCGGACCAGAGTCGATACCGAGCTCTATAACTATCCTGAATAGCCTCCCAGTCGCCGTGGGTGTCATTCACTAGCGCCATGGCGCGAAGCGTGACCATGATTGCGTACTCGATGTCGACGACTCGGCCTGTTTTCTCATACACCCTGTGGAAGGCATCGGCTAGCTTGCGCAGCTGCGCAATGGCCTTCTCGTCCTCATCTGAAACCAGGCTTTGAAGGTAAAGGCTGTCGATGACATGCTCGTCGAGTTCGGGCACGTCGCCGGTGCGCTCGAAGTAGATCTGGATGTGTCGCCGGAGGGTATGCAGCGCGCCTATAGACCGCTCCTCAGCAGGGGAGCTTTCCCCCGTACTGAGGTCTATCGGTGCAATTTTCAAGGCAGCCTGGCAGTACTCGATTACCTTGCACAGGTCGTCTAAATTGTCGGTGCTCCTATAGCGAAGGGTGAAGGACGCGGCGAGCCTGTGTATCAAGTCCAAATGGTTGGGATGTCCCGGTGGATGAATCTCGTGTATCTCTTTGCAGACGCGGATGGTCTCGTCGAGGTTTTCGAGGGAATCGTCTCGTGCATACATTATTCTCTTAATATCAAGGAGCATCTCCAGCATATCTGCGCGAAACGGATGTTTTCTTGGAGAAATCGAGACCGCCAGTTCTGCCGCAATCGCCGCCTCCTCCAGATATTTCTCATTCTTCGTCTCATTATAACCAAACGAATACAGAGTGCACAGCATGTTCAGCGTGAGGGCATGAAGTGGGCCGTTTTGGGGTGCAACATTGAGAAGCTGTCTGATTATCTCAAAGGCGTCTTCAAGATGCGCGGTGTCCTTGCTCTCCAGGAACCGGAACATAAGAATCGCCTGTAGATTATGCATGTAGACCTGCGGCCCATGATCGTGCTCTCCCCTGATCACTCTCTCGACGGCAGCTCTGCCAGCTTCGGCGGCTTCGTTTATGTCCTCGATATTCTTGGCTGTAGTAGTCTGATATCGTCGTTGCAGGCAAGCTCCAAGGATAGTGAGCGCGTCCGTGGGATTTTCATTTCTCTCCAAAAGCGATTGGACAGCGGCCCTGGCGCAGTCGATGCCTCTGTTAATGTCTTCTTGCTTCAGCCCAATCTCGAACTTCTCCAGGGCTTCCAGGGCAAGTTGCAGGTCATCCTGCTGAGCGCTTTCCCCCTGAGTGGGCTGGTTTTCCGACATGATGAGTTGGTAGATTCGGTCCCAGCCCGCTGTGCAGGAGAGGCTTCACGATTATATGACACGAGTCGATCAACCTCAAATTTGGAATTGCGATATTGTGGCTGCCGAAGCATTGCGCCACCGGGATAGGGAATCTGCCTTGCTGAACACGTCAGATTGTCGGATCATCCCCAGCGCCAAGCCATTCTACCAAACCCTGCCTGGTTTAGTGCAAACCCAAGTAGCGATCTGCATGCTAGGCGGCTCAGCTTAGGCTCAGCCTTGTTCGATGCATAAAACCGAGCCGCGGGGTCAGCACTGTTCGAAACGGACCGCTTATAACCAGGCCAGGGCACATTGTTTCATCCATGAATATAGTATAGCATTCTCAGCCCCTATCAGCCATTACCATGTCAGGCACCAACGACGACCCGTTCCTGGAATCAGCAGCTGAGTGCCCGGTCTGTCTTGATCTGAACAAGGATCACCTCCGCCGCCAATGGCGTCGCTATGGTCGACTTTATGCGGCGGATTCCCCGTACAGCTTTACGTTAAATCTACTCAGTGAGAATCTAGCGGGTAAATCCTGCGATGGCTGCGCCGTGGTATGGGAAGCAGCGCAGAAGATCAAAGAAGAATTCGGGCTGGACTTTCGCAATGCCATACTTGAGTTTCTGGACGACGAGCGTAAAGGCCTTTCTCTAACGCTGACAATGCTTCATCCCCTCCATACCGCGCCAGGCGACTGGGAGAACGCCAAGGCAAATTTGGATCTGAAAGTGAAAGTTCATACGGGGCCGACCAAGAAGCGCCCCGACAGACTCTGGGAGCATAACATCATGTCGCCGAGATATGAGATCTACTCTCACTCGGAGAGAAAATCAATGTGTGAGGAATAAAGCCCCTTGAAGGGCTCTTTGAGAATTTTGCTAATAGTGACAAAAGTAGCAGACGCCGGAGCAAAGCCTCGATGGAGTGCCATTCTCCCCCGACCTGTTCGATGCGGAGATACCGGCAGCAGTGAGGCCATTTCGTGGACGCGCGCTCAACTGAATCAGTGTACTTCTACTCATTCAGATTGCAATCTAGATGAGCCTGGCAGGGCCTTGCCGACTAGGGTTCTTGATCTCGGCGAGCAAGAAGCCATCACATCCGATGTCAGACTTTATGTCACAGATAAAGAGCAAGCAGACTACCTCTGCCTGAGCCATTGCTGGGGCGCTGACAGTGGTCTAAAACCGCTGAGGACGGTCCATGAGAGACTTGAGGAGTTTCAAATCGGGATTTCATTCGGGAGTCTCCCCAAGACCTTCAAGGACGCCGTTATTTTTACCCGTAAACTCGGATATCGCTACCTCTGGATTGATTCGCTGTGCATCATTCAAGATGACGGAGATGACTGGATGAGGGAGGCGGGACAAATGGCGAGCATATATGAAAACGCGGTGCTCACGCTGTCAGCAGCATCATCATCAGATAGTAGTGGTGGACTCTTTCGAGTCACTGCTCATCCCGAGATCCCACTCGGTGGCAGCGAGAAAGGCCAGGGGCAACTTGCCATGCGACGATTTGCGAATCCATCATTCCTGGCATACGCCAAGCGTGGATCAGCACGAGACATGACCGATGCGGCGCGTACATCGCCGTTGTTTCGGCGTGCCTGGGTGTTCCAAGAACGCATCCTCTCTCGGCGGATCCTCTTCTTTACCCCTTTGGAGCTCGTCTTCGAATGCCGTGACTCGAACAGTACCGAATCCGGCTGGTCTTGGATCGACTCGAGCCCCAAACATGCGTTTACATCAGTCTACGACCGGGCGATCTCTCCGACCTCCCTGTCAGCGCTGTGGCGCAAACTGGTGGGCAAATTCACCCAGCTGAGACTAAGCTTGGAGAAGGACACTTTGCCAGCCATGGCAGGTGTCGCCCAACGTTTTCTTCTCCAGGCACAGAGCACAGATCCTAACAGTTATTTTGCCGGCCTGTGGCGAGAAACGTTTATCGAAGACCTGCTATGGGAGGTGTCCAGCTATCGACACGACGGGCATCAGCGCATCAACCCTGGTATTCCGTCCTGGTCATGGGCCCGTAGCGATTCGCCCAAGAGATACGCGCAGAGAATGATCCTAACCCATCTAAGTCGCTTGAAAGATGCTGTCTGTGTCTCCAAGGGACCCGCAGCCAACGCCCTGACGAGCGTGGAGTCCGGTTACGCTGTCCTTTCGGGATACCCTATACAAGCCAAGATGACTCGGGCTGGTATCGTCGTTGACCAGAACCCCCGAGTCTGCCACATCCCGGACAGCGACTACCCCTGGTATGAAGATGGGCCAGACAAAATCGAGAACGGGGATCAGCTTTCTATTCTTCCGCTAGCAACATCCGCCGACGCAGAACATGGCACTTCAATCCACGCCATAGTCCTCCGGCCAAATCGCAATGGGGACGGCAGCTTCACCAGAATCGGGGTATTCAGGATCTCCATCCACCATCTCCGAAACCACCGCTACATTTTTGAAGGCACAAGCGTGTTTCTCGACGTCTGCAAGCGTCAAGTATCATATGGGGAGTCCCTGTTAGGAGACGATGGTAAGTATCGGGAGGTGGAAGGATCGTCAGAGCCGCTCTATCTCGCCCCTAAAGCAGGTAAAGAACTCAGCGCGTTCAAATCCCAGGCACATGATCTTCACCTGTTTCTGCACGGAAACAAACCCGAACTCAAATCTGCTGAATTCATTGGGCAAAAGCACCTGGATACGCTGAAATCGGAAATGGAGACTGAGGAGAGGAGGATGGAGGAGTGGAATCGGCGCAACGAGCAAGGCGAGGCTCAACTTTACGAGCGGGTTTTGGTCAAGATTGTTTAAATGTCGAGGTTAATGAAGCTTCACGTCATGATATGGCCTGTTTTGCCGAGGAATAAACATTACAAAATACACGAGATGAGATCCGACCACTGATTCTTGAAGAACAAGGTGAACTTCAGTAGCTGAAGGAAAGATATTCCCGTCCAGTAATAGATCGAATGGCATCGCTTACAGCCCATGAGTGACCAATCAATCTGATACAAATCAGCGTGGCTGTTGAGCAAGGCTGGTTCCAACCTCGCGGATGAAACTGCCATCCTCATACACTTATACGATTTGATTTGCAGCCTTGCACCATCAACTTGGGCTTGAATGTGTTTGATATTGTTCATATCTATTCTTCATTGTGGGCCAATCTCTATACTTGGACATGCTCATAGTCGGGTTGATCTGCAGTACACCACTATTGGGGCACCTAATCATATCCTGACCGAAAGCCCTACTAGATAGTAGAACCCCCGATTCAATATCAGGAATGGGTGAGCCATGTCTTGCCCATCTTACGGACAGTGCCATACTAGTGGTCGTATATACTAAACACAGCGAAATCACGCGGTATCATTTCTATCTAGCGTTTCTATCCGCAAATCTCTCCTTTAATGCGCATCAGGCTGTTTTCATTATCATCAGAAAGGAGCTGGTTAATGACGGTTTTCGACGCCCCTGGCGAATACTCTGGCTGTTCGGATTCTTCAGCAGCTCTTCGCTTCAACATTCCCACATGTCTATCGCATATTCGCCTCGCTTCTTTTCACCACATGGACGATCGTGTCTAGTCGCAGAAAGGGCAAGAAATTCGGGCTACAAGGTAATGAAGATACCTGGGGTTTTGGACAAATCCTAACCATGGCATCGTTGATGCTTCCGTTATTCCAGTTATTAGAGACTCTATACCAGGGGCAACTTCTTGAGGGCTTGCTCGTGTCTTGACTGCAATTATGGAGAACTCTGCAACATTGACTTACTCTACATAACCTTTGAAAGGGGGTTCTACCAGCAAGAGACCAACATATCAAAGCATGATGCAAGGAAGGATGAGTGCGAGGCTGCCGATGGTTCAAGCGTTGACTCAATTGTCTCTGACCAACGAGTCCATTATGCTACGAAGCACCGTAATTTGCCGAATTGCCTATGTACTGACAGGTGGCAAAGGCCAGCAGCAAATAGGTTTAGTTGTCCATTATCTCTCGGTCGAAACACATCCTACTTCAGTGAGGCTTCACGCCTCGTCGCCATATTCCGAATTGAACCAGTCCGGTTCCAGGGCTTCCCTTGCAAAGATTCCATCCACGACTATGGATACAACGCCAGATCATACTCTCCACAGGCAACTCGTGCAGATTCCCAGCCTACCTCATGGTTTTGTGAGGCACTGGAGGATTTCCGATGCCACTATCAGCGCAGTTTGGGTAGTACCACCCTCGGGTTCCTTGCATCAAAGCGTATGATGGCCCGGTGTGTAAATCCCCATGGTTTACACTACATCTTCTTGATAGAGGCACTTGTTTCGGGGCTCTCCATGGCCCAAGGCATGCTGGGAACTGGCTGAAAACAGTCACAATCAAAAGTTTGCTTATGTGTGGACGCCCTCTAGGGATTCCTCCGTGGCTGAAGACCCTGGGGAATCAATCCAGCCAGGAATCAAACATCGATTCATGTTTAGACCTGTCCTTCCGACCAGTCTCGATTCCAACGTCAAGCACTCATACACGAATAAGAGAGCTTCCGAGGCGGAGGTACAGATCCTTGTGGCCGTCAGGGGATTAGATCAAAAGCGAAGCTATGCGACAGTAATATAGAACTGCTCTTTTCTTTTATTTGTTCTCACCCCACCTGGGGATAAAAGACCGTATCTGTCAGACTTGAAAAGCTGGGTTAGACCTAGTATATGTCTCCTGGTGACATTCGTGGAGTTGCATATCCAGTTTCACTTGAATCTATCTTTTCACCCTGACGGTGACAGCTGCCTCTTTAAGCTGGAAATGATGACAATGCCGCTCATTTCGTTACTTGAGCCTGTTTCCCAAGACTCATTGCAGTATCATCAGTCCCAGTGGCCGCCCAACTTCTTCATAGCCAAGGACAATCATTCCCGGAGCACAAATGGCACATTGACAACACCAGACTCACCAAGCTCGTCTTCCAAATCCATCTTTCACGATGAAGCGGATGTCCAGCTGCAGCGCAAGTTCACACAAGAAAAGGTAGGCTCAGCTATCTTACTAGATTGCTGCGTCGTACTGATCCCAGCTGGCAATAGATCATCTCCGCTCCGCTGGACTATCTCTCCGGCTTCCCCGGCAAAGACATCAGAGGCAAACTCATCTCCTCCTTCAACGAGTGGCTCAAAATCCCAGAGCAAAAGCTGGACATCATTAAGCGAGTAATCGGACTCTTACACACTGCTTCACTGCTGTACATATCCCCAATCCCTACCCATCACAACCTCTGCGCTCACCAAACACAGTATCGACGACATCCAGGATTCCTCCAAGCTCCGCCGCGGCTTCCCCGTCGCGCACAGCATCTTCGGCATCGCGCAGACAATCAACTCCGCCAACTTCGCTTACTTCTGGGCCCAGCAGGAACTCCAGAAACTCGGCAAGTCCGACGCTCTCGCCATCTTCACCGATGAGCTGCTGCGGCTGCACCGCGGCCAGGGCATGGATCTATACTGGCGGGACTCACTGATCTGTCCCACAGAGGAAGAGTACCTGGATATGGTCTCCAACAAGACAGGCGGGCTATTTCGACTGGCGATCAAGCTTATGCAGATGGAAAGTCAGAATGAGAGGTGCGTCAATTGCCCCAAACCATTGCCACAACCCCCCCTCCCCTCAGACCACAACCTCTCTAACTACAATCAGAGACTGCGTCCCCCTCGTCGACCTGCTGGGAATTATCTTTCAGATCCGCGACGACTACCAGAACCTGCAGAGCGACCTGTATGCCAAGAACAAGGGCTTTGGCGAGGACATCACCGAGGGGAAATTCTCGTACCCGATCATCCACAGCATTCGCAGCGAGCCCGGAAACTTGCAGTTGATGAGTATCCTCAAGCAAAAGCCGGAGGACGAGGACGTGAAGCGGTACGCGATTCGCATCATCGAGTCGACGGGCAGCTTCGACTACTGCCGGCAGAAGCTGGCGAGTCTGACAGCTGAGGCGAGGGAGATGTTGGCCGGGTTTGGGGATTTGGAGGAAGTGGCTGGGTTGAACAGTATTTTGGATTTTTTGGAATTGAAGGAGTGAGTGAGTGCTGGCGTTATCTGTGTAGTTTAATGCTATTTGCAGATGGATGATGCCGGTGATGTGGTGGTATATCGGTGGCTGCAGGGATCGCCGGGACACCAGTTCACTAATATATTACTTTTCAATCAAGAGAGAAAGAGAGAAAGAAAAATACTAATGAGTAAAACATCCTTTCGATATCGCAAAACAATACTTCTCGATGGTGCCTCACAAAAAAAAAACAAAGGTCGATCTACATGGGACTCGAACCCACAACCTCCTGTTGTCCGCATAGGAGACAGGTGCTCTACCATTGAGCCAATAGACCTTTTGCACCTCACATACTCCCAAATTGACATTACAGCCCAGTGCCAGTCACCCATGCTCCTATTATCCCCAACTCTGCGGGGGTTTGTTATCAACTGCTTCAACATCCCCCAATTCTCAGCAACCCACAGCTTCATCCCCATACAATTAAACAAAGTAAACACTCCCCCACCTTCCCCCCCAAGCCAGCCAGAAAATGACCTCCAACACCCACCCCACACCCCAAGGAAGTCTCTCCACCCGCATCTCCCTCCGCTGGCTCCCCGGCCCCGCCTTCGAAAACACCGACACCTTCGTCATGTCGCTGACAGGCTGGTACGTCGACCTGCGCGTCGACAAAGCATCCGGCAGGCTCGACTGGGCGATCGCGGGCCGCCGCATCGTCGAAAGCACGGACCCATGTATGCCCACTCGCTCCCACCTGCCCCTTGACTCACTCTTCTTTCCTTGCTACTCCAGCTGACGATGCCAGTACGCGTGCGCTTCACGCATGAGATCGACTCGCGCGGTTCCTTCGCGGACGCGGACTGCGGGACCTTCACTGCCCTGGATGATGGGGATGAGTTGGAGGTTGGCAAGATGGCGCGCGTGGATCTTCCTGGATGTCCGGTGAGGGCGTATGAGGAGGTGTGGCGTGAGTTGCCGTTCCGGAGGGGTCCAGAGGGGGAGGGGAGGGGTGTGTCGTGGGTGCTTGAGGGGTGGGAGGCGAAGGGGGAGGGGGAGGAAGGAGTTGGGATTCGGACGTTTGTGGCCAGGCTGTGGGGGAGTTATTTGGTGCTGCGGCAGCGGCAGACACGGGCGCGGTCGAGGGATGGTCGTGTGGTGGTCACGGAAGGCGGGGAGGTGAGTGCTCGGAGGGAGGAATGGGGTTTGGCGGGGGGTTGGGAGGTGAAGTATGCATTGGGCCCGGAGGTGGATGGGCTGCCTTCGATGAGGAGGACACTGGCAGACGACAGGCAGTGGAGTATGGGCGAAAAAGTGGTGATCGCGGATCAGACGTACATTGTGCGAGCCTACGAGAAGATCGGCTAAGACAGGGAAAAAACGCTAAATGGTCTATGCTCATGATCTAGTAGGGGTCTATGTACATATTAAGTCATAATCTATTGGTCGTTGACGAGGACGTAGCGGTAGCGAGCCTTGCCGGCGTCCATGTCGAGAACGGCCTGGTTGGCGTCCTTCATGGATCGCTCCTGGATCCAGGGGTGGACGCCCTTGTCGGCCGCCAGCTGCAGCATCTCTCTCAGTTCGCTGGGGCTACCGATCAGGGACCCGCCCATTCTGATTCTGCGGGAGATCAGGGACATGGCGGGAATCTCCAGAGCACCGTCCTCGGGGGCGCCCATCTGGACGAAGGCGCCGTTGGTGCGCAGAAGCGAAGCGTATTGTACGATGGGCATCTAGGCATGTTAGCGGAGCCAGAGAAGCAACAACTGCAAGGGATGTTCCTACCTTGGAGGACGAAACGGTGGAAACAATCAGATCCAAAGAGCGGCCATGCTTCTTGGCCCAGTCCTGGTCGTCGTCGGTGGCAATGTACTCATCGGCACCGAGCTTCAGCGCATCCTCCTTCTTGTTGGCCTTGCGGGAGATGGCAACGACCTTGTCGGCACCCATGGCCTTGGCGAACAGGATACCAAAGTGGCCCAGGCCACCGATACCGATGACACCGACCTTCTTGCCAGGGCCACAGCCGTAGTGCTTCAGGGGGGAGTAGAGGGTGACGCCACCGCACAGCATGGGCGCGGCCTCGGCGGAGGGAATGGCGTCGGGGATCTTCATGACGAAGTGCGAGGGAGCCCGGTGGTACAGCGCATAGCCACCGTACGACTTGTCGCCGTTGAAGTGCACCGCGTTGTAGGTGCCGACCATGTTGACGCAGTACTGCTCCAGACCCGAGGCGCACTCCTCGCAGTCGCCCTTGCGGCCCAGGCAGGAGTCGTTCTGCGCGCCGACGCCGACGCGATCACCGACCTTGATGCCACCCTCGGCCTTGGAGCCGACACGGACCGCGATCCCCACGATCTCGTGGCCGACGCAGCAGGGGTACCTGGAGGGGCCCTTTTGGAGCCATTAGTCGGGGGTGTCCTCGTGGTTCTATGGACAGATCGGCAAGGGACATACCCATCCGCTTCGCAGAGTATGCAGGTCCGAACCACAGATACCGGAGTGAGTGATCTTAATATCGACGTCCGTTTCCTCCCACTCCTTGGGCTTGAAATCCTTCCAGACCATGTTGCCGATGGACTGGTTGTCCAGGCCCATCCAGCCCTCGAACTTGTAATCGGTGGACGACATCTTGCTTGCTAAGGTAGCTGACAATGGCGCTGTGAGATACGCTTCCTTACCGAACAGTCGCTTCCTACAGGGTCCTCATTCGTCTTTTATAACTTAGAACGGAGCAATTACCGGGTGAATAGCTGCAGAGTACAAGGGAATGCTTAGAAATCCAGCAAGTTTTAGGAGCCCACTTGTTGCAAGATCATGGTCAGCGCCCACTATTGATTCCATTAAATCCGACGGCTTCGGAGGTATTGGTGGATCGGGGGTCCTTTCACTGTCATCACTGATCTCTAGTCTCTACTCTGCCATCCCGATGTGGATACACGGCCCTGGATACTGCTCTCATCAGGATCAAGCATGGGACTCGCACCCAATGAGCTGACTCGAACAATCACCGAACGGTAACACTGAGCAGTGAACACTGACCCGAAACTGAACGGAAACCCCGGCACGCCGTCAAGATTCTTCCAGGACGCGTCCACGGGTGGGTCTAATCCGGATAGGGATCCATGGTGGTTCAGTGATCAGTCAACGGTTCGACCGCCGTTTGGATTCACCCAGTTGGACGGCAGGATTTAAGCTTAGGGCTATCCTGGCACAATACTGCTGATGCCTGCGCTTTTAGTATTATTAATCGATATTACCTTAGTGCCTGGTTTCCCCCGTACTGATGACTCGGCGTCCTTTGTGGCGGTTTTCCCCTGTGGTCCCGAAGGAGCAGACACTTGTGCACTCTGGGAATTGACCGGTAACTGGGTAGAAATCCTAGGGGTGTCCGCATCCTCAGTTTCCCCGTGGATTACTGATCATCTCATGGCCATGAAAGATCCATGCATCTTGATTATACCGATGCTCCTCGACTTGGCCCGTCGCCACCAACCATAACCCGAGAAGCAGTTCAGCTGCGGTTGGGAATGTTTTGTATAGAGTATTCTCATTATAGAGTGTAGACGGCTGTTGATCTGCAGGTCCCTCCCAGAAAATGCAATGGGATTGAACTTTCGAGAAACCGGCCAGGCCATCGAACCTTTCCCTGTGCAAATCATCAGTCGCCACATCCGCTACCTCGGCCCATGGTGTCATAGTGGAACAGAGTCTCAGTATATGTGTGAGAGCATTAGAAACAGGAACCAGGGAAAGCAGTCAATTTTATCCATCCATTAGTAGTATTAATCGTATGACTGTGTGGCTGGAGAACGCTTTGGGGGATATTTCATCAGCCTGTGATTTGTGATCATGAAGGGATTTGTGATTACTCAAAAACAAACAAGATTCAAGCTAAAAGGGAGAGTAAGCACTATAATTCTTTCTCCCTGCATCGCATAATAGAACTAGATTCAAAATCATATTCCTGGAATTTATAGATAGTAGATCCGGGCCGGTAGAAATAAAAAAAAAAATTGTATGAAAGTATAGATGTCTGATCACAGCATCACAGCTCAGCAACGGCCTAATTCGCATCAAAATGTATATGCCCAGTGCTTTTGCCTCAACACAGTCGGGGTATATGCCAGACATAACAAAACAACATGAGAGAAGTATCAAAAAATAAATAAACACAGAGTAACCAATCCACTGTCCACATCCTCGCGCCCATCCGTCTGCGCACCGATAACATCCGACAGATAATACCACAACTCTACCCACCCAGCGGCACTCCCCAGCCTCGCGCTCAATCACGACGTCCAGGCCCGCGAGCCCCGTTTCCGCACACGCGAGCCGGATTGCTGCCTTGAGAGCGATGATGATATGTATACAACATGACTGCACTGTTCTACTCGGTGGTAGATGTAGGTTGTAAAGATATCTGCAATCATGGAGCAGTGGAAGGTTACCGTGTTCCGAATGGAAGGGGCTTTGTACATGCTAATACCACGTCCACCAGGTCTGACCCTCCCTCCTCTTGCTAACAACGCTAGGGCAACCACTGGTGCTCGCGCGATTACGGCACAGGCTCTGACTCCAACGGCTACGGCCGCGGCGATGCGTACCATTACTCCAACAGGTGGGTTTGCATGTATCATGGACTGGATTGGAGGTGGGGATGGTGCTAACGGGTGCAGCAACGGGTCGTATTACTATTCCAATGCGGATGGGAGTACGTATTATAACAACGGGCGGGGCGAGGCGTGGTATACGCCTGCGTCGCAGAAGTGAATCGATGAAGAAGAGGGGGGGGATGATTGCTGCTCGGGTACGAGAAGAGGGTTTGAGGAAGACAGTCGCTGCTGGAATGTACTCGCTGGGAGGCGTTGAGGGATAGATTCTTTTTACGAATGAGACAAGGGTAAAGTCTATTACATTACATTAGTTCCGGTGTGCTAAGCTATGCTATAATATGATATGCTGGTCAAGTGACAACGGGGTCAATAAAGTCGTTAATTCTGCGCCTTCGCTCTCTCCGCGCGCCGCTTCTCTCGAGCCTCGGGGCCGGCAACGGTGCCCATCAAAACTACCCATCGTTAGCAACAAGGACTTTTTCTCTCTTCGCAGGGGATCCAGAGAAAAACCTACCATCCCAATGTTTAAACGAACTGGAATAATTACCCCAAAAGTAGCGGTGGTGGTCATCATGCCAGTCCGCCCCTCCCCAAAACGGGACAATACGGCGCAGACTCCAGGGAAAGTCGTAGCCGGAGTGGGCATCGATGGCCTGGAACTGGCGCAGGGCGACCCAGGCGAGCACGGTGGCGAGATGCACGTCGTAGCCCAGCAGGCCGAGGACGAGGGGGGGCCCGATGGTACCAAAGCCGAGGAAGAGGGTCTCCCAGGGGCTGGCGTACTCGGCAGTCAGACCGAAGGGGGCAGCGTACTGATGGTGGATGCGATGGACGGAGCGGTACAGGGGGCCCCAGTGCATGGCGCGGTGCAGCCAGTAGTGGTAGGCGTCTTCGACGAGGAAGAAGGTGATGATCTGGGCGGTGAGGGGGCGCCAGTCCGGGAAGGGGGTGGAGAAGCTGAGGCCGCAGAATTCCATCATGGGGTGGAAGAGGACGATGAGCGGGAGTTCGATGACGAAGTGGATGAGGAGGATGTATTTGGTGCAGGCCCATTGCTCGGCGACGGAGGGGGGCGGCTTCTGGTCCTGGATCTTGTATTTCATGAAGATGCTGGGGAGCGCGTCGGCGATGATCCAGGGGAGGCAGCGGCTGAAGTAGATGATTTCGTGCGCGAGGAAGGTGATGATTCCTTTTGGAAGCTGTTAGATTGGGAGGTTATACGAGCGGTTAGGGTTTTTTTTCTTCCTACCTGTCGCGAGGATGTTGTTGTCCCAGTACTCATAGTGAGCCCACCACAGCTTCTCGAGACGCGAGAGCTCCGGATACTGCTGGGCAGCGAAGTCGAGCAGATCGGGATAGCTCGCCATGGAGTGCGAGAGGGTGGTATTGAAATCCATGGCGAATCTCTGTGGAAGACAAGTTGGTTTTGGTCCGTCCGAGTCGAACATCCAGCTTCTCTCTACATACATATATACAAGGCAGAATAGGGTCAAGTTATCCGGAATTGCATGATCCGAATGGCTGGCCCAAACGAACAACAGGAACGGAACAGGCCACCCGGGAGACATTCCAGTGGATCCATCAGCCAATGCAGGAACGGTTTTATTATTTCCTTCCTAGAGCTACTACTGTATGGAACTCTCTGTAAGCCTGTCAAGGCAGATCGACTATGATAGTGGTGGGGAATTGCATCAATTGAGTAGGCAATCCTCCATTATTAGTTTCTTACCCTACTGGCTACAGTTCATCCTACAGTGCTGCCTGTCTGTCTTTCGTGGCTGAGGGCTCGTACGATCTCGGCCCGCCTAGGGAGTGGCCACTAGACTAGGGCTGGTACATAACTCCATAGTATCGGGTATCGGGCTTTGCTTTCATTAAGGGTGTTAAAAAAACAAAAAAAAACTGATCCCTGAACATGTCTCTCAAGAAATCACCACATTGCCCAGTCGTCTTCCAGTAAGTCGGTAAATATATATATAGATATATATCTCTCTGGCTCAACCACATACAAAGTATTATCAATTATAAAAATCCGACCAATGCCAGTCCGACAGAATATAAAACATCACATGTCATAATTAAATATGAAACGCAGCAACAGCAACAGCCAACCCAGCCGCGATACTCAAGTCCACCCCCATCGACGCACCACCATTACCCGTCTGCACCGTCCCAGCAGCAGATGAAGTCGCAGAGGACGTACTTGCGACCAATGTCGACCCTGCACTCACGCTCCCCGTCCCACTCCCCGTCTCTCTCGGCCCATCGCAGTGCCAATGGTCTCCATGCGGCGTACAGCCCACCGATGCCGTCGGACTCGGCGCGGTTGGTGACGGCGATCCGGTGACGTGCTCGTCGTGCTCGTCGTCGGGGGAGTGCGTGGTCGTTGCGGTGACGGCCGCAGTCGACGCGGGACCGTCACAGTGCCAGTGGTCCCCGTGGGGCTCGCAGCCGCTGGACTCGGTGGGACTTGGGGCCAGGGAGGGCTTGGTTGTGGTGCTGGTGGCGGTGGGAGAGGCTGGGCCGTCGCAGTGCCTTTTGTACACAGTTAGTTAGGGCGGGTATACGGGGGAAAAGAAAGGTGAGATTCATACCAGTGGTCGCCGTGTGGTTCACAGCCAACGGACGCCGTAGGGGAAGGGCCTGGGTCTTGCGCCAGGACGGCGGTGGACGCCAGGGCGAGGAGAGCGAGATGAAAGTGCCTCATGGTGATTCTCTAGATTTCCACGTTGTCACGTCCTTTTGAGGTGGTTCCGCTACACGAGGGAGTTCCTGGTCTTATGTACCTCGAATCCTCGATGGCGAGTGCGCACCGGGTACTCCCCCTAGTTACCATCCAAGGAGATTCATTTAAGCAAACATCTCTTGGCCAGAGGTTAGCATCTTCTGTGAGAGGAGCATAGGAAAAGTGCCAAGCGAGTGGAAGCCCTTGGCGCCTCCAAGGTTCTCATCCTGACTTGGGGATATTGTACATGTTGCAGTGTGCCAAGCATGCTTGTGAGAACCTTGAGGACAGTGGTCGTACGAGCGACAAACCGATTGTATCACTACATATATCTTCGTAAGAGAGTGTGTGACCCTCGCACAAGCTTGTTTTGACGTCGGCTAAACTGCTTTGGCGGCTGAGATATGATGTTAAATAAGTCTTATTCGGACAGGGACAGACAGGGCACTTTGAGTAGACTCAATCCACCGGTCTGATGGGAATCGAAATGAGGCAACCTGTTTCGCCATGAGCCGCTACAATTATTGACTGCATCGTCACTGTCCAACTCCATCCTGGGAATAGCATCAACAACACGATGCCTGATGCCTGCGCTCCGCATGGCCGACCACGTGGCTGAACTCCGAATTCCGATGCGGAGTTTCTGCGCATCCTACTCCGACGGCTGCTATCATTCTAAATGAACCAATAAGGACCGAGAAAACAAGACCCGTAGACAGGGGAACAAACAGCGCTGGCCAATACACGCCTCGCATCCACGACATTGACGCTAGAGCAGCTCAAAGGATGCCGATAACGCGACGTCAGCAGTCATCTTTTCCTCCTTCATAACGGCCCTTCTCCCCCCTTCGAACTGCGGCTCAGAGCAATCATCCAACCTGCACCATGCTGTCTGAACCGCCCAGAGAGGATGAATACGACGAGACCACCTCGCTGTTAAGTCACAACACACCGCACCCAGCGCCGTCCGCCCGGCCCCGCTGGATCCTCGCCCTCCTCGTTTTCGGCATCATCACCGTTGATTTCGGGGGTTATCTCTCCCTAGCCCCGCAGATTGAGATCTTCGAATCCATCATCTGTCGCAATCTCCACCCGGAGATCGCATCTGCGACAACAAAAGATGCCATCGACGCCGTCTGCAAAGGGCCCGACGTCCAGGGCGAGCTCGCTCTCCTGATCGGTTGGCGCGAGATGCTCGATGTCTTGCCGGGTATCATCCTGGCGCTCCCGTACGGGCTTATGGCGGACCGCATCGGACGCAAGTCGGTGCTGCTGTTGTGTTTGCTGGGATTGGTGATGGAGGAGGTGATGGTTCGGGTGATCGGTATGTTTGTCTGAGGGATTGCGAGATGTCGTTGGCTGAGGGTGCATAGCGTGGTACAGTGCGTATATACCGCTGCGGGCGGTATGGTTCATGTCGATTTTCCAGCTCTGTGGTGGAGGAGCCCAGATTGCCACGTCCATGGTTTTGACTATGATCACGGATGTGTTTTCGGTGGAGAAACGGTAGGTTTAATTCCCGCCGTGTGAACGCTATACTGAGACGATCGCAGTGCCAATATCTTCTTCCTCATACAAGGTGCAGTCCTGCTGGCCGAGATCATGGCGACTTCGCTCAGTGCCTGGCTCATGGGATGGACCCCCTGGCTTCCGTTCCTGCTCGGTGTGGCTGTCGAGCTGTGCGGTCTACTGGCCGCGTTCACCGTCCCAGAGACTCAGCGCAAGTCGACGGCTCTGAGCGAAGACGGGACAGAAGACAACACCGACGACGACGACGCAGATGAGAATTCGCAGTCCGCCTCCCATCGCGTCAAGGTCCGACTTGGACACGTCTGGCGCCAGATCACCCATCACAGCCGCTTCATCCTCGGCAATCGCAACATCGTCTGCATCTCGATCGCCTCGCTCACCACCGCCGTGGGCCCGCAGTCCGTGCAAATCATGCTGCAATACGTCTCGAAGCGCTTCGCCTGGTCAATGGCAAAGGTACGCCCCCGCAACCCCCGGCCGCAGAATCCCCCTCATCTAACCCTCCCCTCCCCCAACAGGCAAGCTTCCTCGTCTCCCTCAAAGGCATCGTCAGCCTCTCCGCCCTCCTCCTCATCCTCCCCATCATCTCCAACGCCCTCGACAAATACCTCCCCCCGATCCGCCGCGACCTGCGCATCTCCCTCGGCAGCGTCGCCCTGCTCACCAGCGGCAACATCCTCATGGCCCTCGCGCCAGAACCCATTGCCTTCGCCGTCGGCCTCTCCACCTCCGCCCTGGGTGGCGGGTTCTACGCCGCGCTGCGCAGCGTCGCCACCGCACTGGTCGAGGAGTCCGAAATGGCGCTCCTGAGCACGACCATCGCGCTCATGCAGGGCATCGGTGGGATCGTTTCGGGCCCCTTGCTTGCCGGCATGCTCAGGTCCGGGCTGAGTCTGGGTGGCATCTGGCTGGGGCTGCCGTATCTCACGGCGGGGGTGTTGTATGTCATGGCGTCTTGGGCGACGGTTGCGATCCGCATTCCGAGCGGGTGGCGGGAATAGGGGGGAGTAGATCGGGTTTATCTAAGATGAGTATGAGAACAGAAAATTGTACATTGCATTTCAAAGGGCCGTTGGCTCTGTGGGCGGCTTTTCTTCCTCTATCTATCAACCCTGACCAACAGCCGGATCAGTATGCCTCCTGGCAAGCCAGAGTATCAGGACCCAGTTTTCGTATTATCCTCACGATTCACCACGCAAAAAGAAAAAAAAAAAAAAAAATCCATTGAAATGTAGGAAGAAGTTCGGGTACGTACAAGACAGGGGCCTAACGGGCGGAGGTACACCCCGAAATTAAGAACCAATATATCTACAGAGTATATAAGTTATAATATAAGTATAATTTTTCTCCTTAGCATAGTGGTTATTACCATGAAATAATATAGATGCAAGAAGCAGACAAATATAGGTTACACCGTATCTATTTGACAGAAGAGAAATGAAGTATGATACTAGAATGACCGACGTCTTTCATCTAGGGACACCAGGGCTAGACATTGCCAGGCTGGGCGCGTCAAAATCATTCCAAGCCTGCTGGATTGAATTTCTGACTGATCCCAAGAACTCTGGGTTTCGTTAAAAGACCGATGATGCGAATGCTATTCTCTTGGGGGCATTGAAGCAGCACAGTGATCTACCTCCGATCCTGCTCAGATCGAGGCCGTCAAAATCGTCAATATTTCCAATATTCACCAGACCAGGAACTTTTATAAATGGTGAACGAAAGTATTTGAACTTATTCAGTCTGCATTGTAAGAGATAGGACAATGCTCGTCGCATTGCCGACCCTGCTCTCCAATGGCCGTGGGACAGAAATGTTGCTAGCAGAGAGAAGTCCGATTTGGGAACAGGAACATCGGACATTCCTGTCGAGCCGCATGCACTCTTGAAGCAGGATGAGGTCAACTGGAATGTTGTCCGCATCAGTGAAAGCATGCGGGACGAGACATATCCGGTGACAGCGGACATCGACGTTATCGCCGTGGGAGGCCATGATCCTCTATCTCTATCCTGGTCACTCAGTGAAGTCGTGGGTGGTATATCACTAGGAATTCATGTTGAAAGCACGCCGATAACCCTATATCCCATCACAATCATCATCAAGCATCACCCGCTCGGAACCAAAAAATAAAATAAAATAAACATGTCTCTCGCGGGCAAAGTCGCCATCCTCAGTGGTGCCTCCAAAGGCATCGGCAAAGCCGCCGCTCTGCGCCTCGCACAAGAAGGCGCCAGCGTCGCGATAGGCTACCACTCCGACGCCGCGGGGGCGCAGGAAGTCGTGGACGCGGTGGGCGCGGACCGCGCCGTCGCGATCCAAGTGAACGCGGGCAAAGTGCCCGAGCTCGCGCACTTCGTGGCTCAAACCGTCGCGAAATTCGGCAAGATCGATCTCGTCGTCGGTGCGGCGGGGATGATGACCATGGGTACGGTAGAGACTCTCACGGAGGAAGGGTTCGATGAGCTCTTCGCGCTGAACGTCAAGGGGCCCTTGTTCCTCGTCCAGGTATGTCTAGACCCTTTCGTACCCCCCTCCTCACGCCCCGGATACATCACTGATTGATCGGAATGGCAGAAAGCACTACCGCATATGGCGCCCGGCTCGCATGTTGTTCTGTTGTCCACGACGCTCTGTGTGGCGTCGACGATTCCGCCGCCGTACCTGAGCTACGTCTCCAGCAAAGGGGCCATCGAGCAGATGACCCGTGTGCTCTCCAAGGATCTTGGGAGGAGGGGCATCGCGGTGAACTGTGTGGCTCCTGGGCCGACGGCGACGGAGCTGTTTAACCAGCATCAGACAGAGCAGTCGCTGGCGTTCTTGCGGAATTCGAATCCGAATGGGCGCATCGGGGAGCCGGAGGATATCGCGGGGAGCATCGTGTTTCTGTGTAGTAGTGACAGTCGGTGGGTGATGGGGCAGACGCTCAGAGTGAATGGTGGGATGGCTTGATGTAGATTATCAGCTATTAAACAGGATAATTTTTTTATTTGAGGTTGGCATGCTAGGTCTATTGATAAACCCTTGTATACAAGCCAGTAATGCCAGATCATGGGTGTAGGTTTATATATATATTTCTACGCAGGTGGGTGGAAACCCAAACATAGAACTTCATGCTTTTAGCAAATGAAGAACAAACAGCGCGAATAATATCAGCTTTATGAAGTCTGTCTGAAGAAAGTAAACAATGGCTAAGTTACAACTCATCATGTTCCAATTCAAGGTCCGCATACGAAGGGCATGCGTGTCCGCTTTCAAGTAGCTATCCTCCAGCTGCCTCTTCACTCGTCGAGCTGCCCCAGCAGCACCGACATACATGGGGTCGATCTGATCGCGAATCCGTGATTCCAAGTCACTGGGAACGGCAAGGCGGAATACAGGTCGAAACTCTTCCATCTCTTCCGGAGAAACCTCCCCGCTGAGGACGATGGCACGAAGCTCTTATGCTGTTCGTCGGGTAGATGCTGGGAGAGGAAATCGACCATGATTTGTCGGAGGTGCTCATTGCAAATGTCCCTGTCCTACAAACAGGGATTACGGCAGCGGTGATGGCGACGGGACGTTGGAGGACTTTCTCAGCTTGATCCTTGACGTCCTGCAGGATGGAAGAAATAACTGAGGAGGTGGACTCAGAGGGGTGGTAGAGGATATCCTCTGGAGTAGGTATACTGCATTTTTCAAACTGTGCGATGCACCTGTTAGCAGTTCAGTCTTGTCAAGGAAGCAGTTTGGGATATCCTACACTCTATGTTTTGAGTCCAGGAACAGCTGAGCAATCTGGGCTGGATACTCTAGAGAAGTTGTGCGTGCTAGTGAGATCATTTCATTCTGAGCGCTAAGATATGCTACTGTGCTACCATGCATCTTAGCTGTACGATCTCCCTGGGAATGAGAAGCTACTTCATACACATATTTGTATCCTAGATGAGCTACAGCTGCTTGGGGAAGGTCATCAGACAAATGAAAGACAACGGTGAAGACCCTCTACTCACGGTATCCTTGGTTTGCTAGCACAGGAATAAAACATTGAGTGAGGAAGAGAAGAGCAGAGATGAATTTAAACCCAGGATCCATTGCAGTTGGACAGTTATTAATTGTTGGAAGTGTAGTAGGAGCTACTAGAAGATGAGGAAAGAGGAAATATTATCAGATTGAGCTCTGAGTGCAGTCAATGCGATTGAGGGGGCCAACAATTGACCTCCATGTCGTCGAATGAAATCCTATCAAACAACCAACACCGATATGACGGATCGTCGGGAAAGGTAATGTCACGTAACGAAGATATTTCTTAATTGGAGCTGCTGTTGGAAGCCAGTTGAAGGCAATCTTGACGTATGGTCACTACGCCGCAAGAGGGAACTAACGCAATCTCTGGATAGTCGGCAAGCTACCTACTGGAAGTTGAAGCTCCCTTCGTTACCCTACAGCAACTCAGGAGTTTATCAGCACAAAAGGCGCTTAATGCCAAAGCATCACAATGGCATCATGAATCACTAACAACACCCGTTCAACCCTGCGAGCGATCAGTATAGATGCAGTTGGCGAAGGAAGTCGTAGTTTCGACGAACAGAAAAAGAAACGCGGGATCGAAAAGGAGAATCGAATCCATGTGGATGAGATCACTGTCTTCCTGCAAGGAATGTATATACATCTGTCTGTAGAAAAAATACTCACCGGATCAGACTTCAAAATGCAACTACAAGGATGGGGATATTGTGAATGAGGAGACACCGATTGGATATAGGTCTTGGGCTGAGGTGCCAGCGTGGTTTGGAAGGAGGGCTGGAGAAGACTGTCGGGGAGATGCGGTCGCTGGAGACGGGCTGAGCCAGTGTGCTGCAGGGAGAGTCTCTCCCTTGTGAATAGTCTTGTGGATATATATTTTTTGGTAGGTCTGATAGGTGCGTCCCGATTATCTATCCTAAGGATCGCTTGCTCTTGCGCAACCGTCATAATATACAAATCTCGCTAGTTAACCAGATCATTGCGCGTATCCATCTGCATCCATTCATTGCATAGTCCCCAACTCCCATAACACCGTAATTATCATGTTGAAATCGATTCGTGGGGTAGGCTCACATTTCACGGCGACGGGCCTCGATAGCAGCCTCAAATGAGCGAATGGTATCCAGTGGCCGTTCGAGGCGGTTTCGGGTAGGATTCGACTGGTCGGGGTCGGCTGTATCTCGTTAGAATGGGTGATATACATGAGAGGAAGGTGGAGACAGACCGATAACGTTGCCGTCCTTGTCGCGGTGCTGCATTGATCGCAGGGAGAACATGGGTGTTCCGGATACTGCGTTATTGACTATGGATAGTTAGTAGATGTTGCGCACAGACAGATTTGAGAGCACGGACTCGGTTGAGCTTCATTCAAAGCCTGGTTGGGATCGGCTTTGCTGGACAGAGTGGTCTTCTTGAAACTCTCTTGAGAGCCGATAGATCCGGCGCGGTCGCTGGAAGTGCGAGAGGAGCGAGAGAAGCCCATGATGACTGAGATATAGATATGATATCAAGGTGATGAGACAAAGGGTCTAAAGCCAATTTCGAGGAACGTGGAGATGAAACCGCGATATAGATAGATCAGGCGAGTCCAGATGCTGAAGTCCTGAGAAAGCTAGCGACCGCTGGGGCATATAATATATCTATACCATGCGACCAATCCCGTCTCTGGTGACTCAGGTACCCGCAGCTTTTTTTAGAAGCGGAATGCTCACCCTCCAAGCCAGCCAATGCAGATGTGTGACTGGCTTATCCGGGATAACTGTGCATTTTTTTATGCCGCCGCTGACATGTGCTCGACTGCCCATGGTTGATCGAGCGTCGACGCCTTGAATGCACGCGGCATGGAGGGGAAATCACCATGACGTTAGCTAATGGATTATGGAATGGGGGCATTGTTTCAGTCGTGCAGAAATGTCAGTGGACCGCTTGGTAGCCAAGCTTCGACTAATGCGAATCCATATCTAGACAAGAAAAATGGGCCACGCAAGCTCGGGGGCTGTGGCAATTGCATTTTATAGCACGAAGTATCAGTCATATCGACCACTGCAGGAAGAACAATATGGACATTGCCCAGAATCTAGAACGGACTGGGTAGACTAGGCACCAGTATTGGCACCGTGGTTGGACTCTATGCAGGATGCTGCATGGTGCATATGAGTACGGGGATTGGGGATACGGGGAAATCAAGTCAGGATAAGTGAGGGTGATTTCACCAATGAGTTGAATGACTACTCCGTATGATGTATCTCAGACTGTCTCAGATGATTGACTGTGTTTCTTCATGTCTCAAAATGTGGTAGATCTGAATCACATGATCTGAGAGCATGTGACTTGATCCTTCTCCGGATCGAGAAGCGCCGGATTCCGACTGGCGCTAAGTCGAAAGCAGATAAAGCACCAATCTCGTAGTCACATGATCAGCCAGCCAAATGCATCTCCATTGCAACTTCCGTTTCTGCTTCAAAACAACTTCTATCCAGTCAATCCACAAATCCACAACTACGGGCAACCAAACAGAGATCTTCGCTCTGGTTCTGACATGAATATGAACCAACCATGGCCCCTCAGAACAGACGTCTACTCGCCCTCCTAAGGAGCGGAAAAAGAACCCCTCCATGCTAACGACAACAGAAGTAGAACAAGACCCTATTGAAGAAGCAGCGGTTTGCAAACAGTCGATTTGAGCGAGGCCGTACTCTTCCCAAAGTGGAAGAGGTCTTGCTACCGTGGTAGTCCTCCATGCCCAATGCAGGCCGCTCTTCCTTCTCATACACTCCTGTTCATGGGGAACAGTCAATCGATTCTTTCCGTCGGAGCCGCAGAAACACCGGAGGGTCGTTGCTCTGCATCTTGATCATGGGCATGACCGTGCTCGGTCAGGGTTTTGGGTAATATTGGACGTATAGGCTATTTCGGGCACAATCGCTTCCAGTTGAGTTGTTAGAAAACGGAGCCACCTCACTTTGCTCCTCTTTCTCAATTGATATGGCAAATTGCGGTGCCCTTTCCTCGATGAATTTGGATTTCTCTTGCATCACCAGGGTATATTATCTGCTTGTAGCAGAGGCCTGGCAGCGTAGTGGAACAACGGGCATTCACTGACCAGCCACCTGGCCGCCATCCACTCTGCTCTCTTCCTTCAACGAAAGGTTCCTCATAACCTGCTCCTCAGCTTGAATAGGCATATGTGTGCTCCAAAAGCTCCTCCTAATGGAGATGTTTGTATTCCATAAGCTCAGCTTGATAGAAACACCCCGATCAGCTCTGTAATCATCATCTCGGCACGATGGATAAGAGACTGACAGATGAGCCTTTTGGCTCTGGCAATCGCAGTCGCTGGCGAACGTATCTTTGCTAGCGAAGGATTTTGACCCTCAGGCTACTCAATCATGTGGGCTTAGAGACTGTGAGACTGTGTCGGGCATATATATTTGGGGCACGGACGTGGTCAGCGACGTCGAGGGTGAAGTCAGGTTTCGGCTGCGGCGACATCCAACTGTGTGATTGCGGCTATGACTATCCAATTTTTACTCATTAGATAGAGATAGGTCTGATTCCCGATACTGGGATGTGTTAATCGCTTTAGTGTTTATTTAACTGTTGAGAAGGTGCTTCGATTTGCTGCGGGATGAAGATATTTAGCGCCTGTTTACCATCACGACTTCGCCTGTCCATAATTCATCAACAACTCGACCTATGATTAACACATCGCTGCCTCTAATGATCCGACAATCAAATCTATGGCCACCACAACGTATGCTTGCTTTCCTTTTTGATAGAAAAATACTGACCGAATTAGAAACTTGATGACTCTTCCTTATGAAATCCGCCTTATGATATATGAGAAGGTGTTCTATTGCCCCAACAACTACGAAGTCCGCCGACGACCCATCAACCCATGCTGCAATGCCCAAGGCCAGTGCACCGCGATTGACGAAACGCCTGATTGGTACTCTCCATATCTAGAATTCTGTGGCCATCTGGAATGCGGCGAGATAGCAATGACTATTGATTTGATTGGGAAAGACATGTATGTTGGATACAATCCGCGCATCGCAGCGGATTGCTTTCCCTGTCCTCAGCATCTGCTTCGGAAACAGCTCGATCTGCGACTGCTGCAGACATGCAGACAAATCTACGAAGAGGCGCGGGCCGTCCCTTTCACACACACGCGATTTGCGACGCACCAGGTGGCCACCTTGTCCAACTTCTTGTTCTGCTTGAAGAGTTGGCAGATACACTCTCTCAGGCATCTCGAGCTGACGATCCCGGCAGACGTAAGCGATTACCACATCGAGTGGAACGAAACCCTTGCGACCGTTGCTGCTGCATGTACGGGGCTACGGTCGCTTATCATCTCAATCCACACATTTGACCACAAGTGGCCGAATCTCTGCTCTGATACCTTCTGGGACGGAGGTCTGCTGGAGCTCGATCGACTAGAGTTGCAGAAGCTGGATTTCAAGGTCGTGGACCAACAGTCTTTTCCGGGTCCCACCTTCAGGTTCACGGCTGGAATTAATGCATCTGCCTCAATTGAGCACAGTCTGCATCAGGCGCGCGATCGACTGCGCGAGCGGTACCCTAACTCGTATACAGAGGGGCTAAAACGCCAGCTGGACTTGAAAGGGTCGACAAATATGTGTCCGCTCTATCTGCGGAATCTAATCCACCTACTCCCTCAACGCTCATATACACATGCAGAGTTACAGCAGAAACTATTCCTTGGATCAGGGTTGCGCTATCTGTACCCGAATGTGGACAATGCGGCGTCGAAGAATCGTAGTAGATGTATGAAAGATTCGATCAAACGGAACATTCGGTCCTTGCGCCATCGATTTCGGACAATACGCTCGCGTCTCCGGGGAGCACCGAGTGACGAGAAGGATGGCCCATCATCAACCACAGAGAAAATATCCCCTGAACCTGTGGAGCCGAGCTCCAATGTGGAAAGACCAGGGGATTGGCTCCGCCGATTAATACTGGAGTCATACGCCCCTTTTATCGAAACCTTTCCTCTGACCATACCATCAGGGGCCCTTGAGCGCCCTCCAGTAACTGAGTGAGGATCTTGCCTCGTCAGTACGACAACCAGAGCTATAATGAGATCGTCAATGGATGAGACATGGCAGCAATGTCATCTGATAAGATCAGAAGGATTCATAATGTTCCACGTTCCTTGTCTGTTAGCTTCTTTGTATATATACTATGATATTTCTGCCACTTGGATACTCAATGCCTTTCGGTTTGTCATCGAATGAGGTATGGTTGTCGATGATTGTACCCTTCTACAGAAAGGCGAGGACAGAACGCAGTATCACCTGGACTTCTGATATCATCCTAGCACAGAGTCGAGCATATATTTCAATTTAAGAGGAAGAACTATAGGAGAGTCGTTGCGATCCCACAGTCGAATCATTGAATTTCACATGTCTCGCACTCGCCAAAGGAGGCATTCAGAGCAAGACATGTCCATTGTTCAGACAATGCCATTGTTGAAAGGTCTCTAAGTATTGATACAGACACAAAGAAGTCGAGTACATGTCTCCAAGCAATCCTCTGGATTACAGAATGAGGCTCAAATCTCATGGATATAAAAGACTCCTCGTCTGCTCTACTCGACTTCGATTATCAACCTCCCCATCATCGCGCCTTCTCATCATTCGAACCACAATATACTCCTAAAAACCACAATGACTAGCTTCAAGCTCAACGGCCTGACCCCAGGAAGGGAGCTCGTCTCTTCCATCTCAAAACTCCTGGATGGGTATAACATCCCAAGCGTACTCTGGGGCGACTGCCTGCTAAGCGTCTACGGAGTCCCCAGCGGCTGCAACGTGAGTCCACCTTCTTCTCTCCGCTCCCAATCCTCCAAACTGACTCTTCCCCAGGACATCTCGTTCGTCATCCCCGACGACCTGATGGAGAGGGCCCAGGATGCCGTCAAAGAAGCATACTTCGTCCCGTGTCCCCGGGGCGAAAAATGCCCCGTCGTCAACCCGCGGCGCACCAGCCCCATACCCCACGCGCACTTCCACATCCGCGAAGGTAAGCTCCTCGAACCCGCCGTGACGCTGGACCTGCATCTAAAATCCCAGCTCCTGTGGGCGATGCCCGATTTCCCCCTCGGAATCCTGCCGGGTAATCCTAACTTCATGTATACCAGTGACCCCAGACTCCCAGAGGAGGACAAAGCGTGCCACAGAGGCCGCTTCCCGGCGTCCCTGTACCCCGTCAAGATGCCCGCGGTGAGCCGATTCGCCGAGGCGCTTGTGCTGCTGTACTGCCGCGACGCGGACCCCGAGGTCACGAACCGTGGAGCGCACTGGCAGCTGCTGCATCGGTATGTGGTGGTCTATTGCTGCGATTGGCATGGTATGCTGGATCTGGGGCTGCTGAAACCGCGTCTGGCGGAGTACTATGCGCTGTGGGCGAGGGAGCCGCCGTATGAGGCGTGGTTATATGCGAGTAGGCTTGCGGCGCAGATGAGGGAGAACGGGGAGTTGCCGCCTCCGCCACTGCCGCATCGGCCTGCGGGGGGTGCGTCGTTGGGGTGGGATTGGGTCGGTGGTTCTGTGTGAGTTTCTCTATCCCTTTGAATACCTCGTGTGTTTGCGATAGACTGGTCAAATATACGATGTTGATTCCCTCATGCTGTTCCATCAACTGCCTATCTGTCCTGGTAAGCTAACAGACAGTTAGGGTCACGACGTAGTGTAGACGGCGTACAACTCTGTATTGTCCCGATATGTAGGTGACCTCGACAGCGCGAATGCCTTCCGATTCATCTTCCAGAGTAAAAGTCCCGGATACTATCCGCGACAACCCGGGCGTCCTCCACCGTCAACGCATAGTATATCGGTAAACAAAGCAGACGCTCGCTCTCACGACTCGCCAAACCCTCTCCGCTGGCCACATACCGGAACCGCCTACCAGGCGCGCCCTCATGCAACGGACTATAATGCGGCAAGACAGTGATCCCAATCTCCTTCAGCGCCTCCATCAACTCCCTCCTCTCGGCCGCATCCCGAACCTTCACAAAGAACAAGCTCGCATTATGCTCACAACGAGCCGGCAGCCTCGGCAACTGAAGAACGCCCTGCCCCTCCAACGCCTCCAACTCCTTCCAATACAAATTCCACACCCGATGCCTCTGGATCTGCATCGCCTCCGCGCCCTCCAGCTGTCCCCACAGAAACGCCGCCTGCAACTCCCCCAGCACGAAATTCCCCCCAACGGCCTGCCACGCATACACCAGCTCATCCGTGCTCCGCTCACCACCACCACCACCACCGCCGTACACCACCCCCTGATCCCGGAGCATCTCCGCGCGCTCCCGCAGCGCCGCGTCGTTCACAAGCACCGCGCCCCCCTGGCCCCCCGCCGTCACGTTCCCGCCGCCGTCGAAACTGAGACACCCGAGCGCGCCCATCGTCCCAGCCTCCCGCCCCTTGTACATGGCGAAGAGCCCCTCCGCCGCGTCTTCGACGATGTGGACCCCCCGGTCGTGGCTGTGGCTGTGGCGGTGGCTGTAGTCGCGCACGGCCTCCGCGATCGCGTCCATGTCGCAGCTCATCCCGGCGTAGTGCATGGCGACGACAGCGCGCGTGCGCGGCGTGAGGGCCTCGCGCAGCCGGTTCGTGTCCAGCGTCATTGTTTCCGGGACGATGTCGATGAAGACCGGGGTGGCGCCGCGGAGGAGGAAGGCGTTTGCGGTGGCGGGGTGGGTGTAGGTTGGGAGGATGACTTCGTCGGCCGGGCGGAGGTCGAGGATGAGGGCGGCGAGGTGGAGGGCGGCGGTGCCGGAGGGGGTGAGCAGGGCTCGCGGGCAGGAGAGGTGGGTTTCGAGCCAGGATTCGCAGCGGCGGGTGTAGGGCCCGTTGGTGGTGAGGGTGGTGGATTGCAGGGCGGTGATGATGTGTGGGAGTTCGAGGCCGGTCACGGCGGGGATGTTGAACGGGATGGTTGTGTGGTGTTTTGGGGGGCCGGAGACGGACATTTTTTTTATTCTTTTTTTTTCTTTTGGATTGTTGTGAGTGTGGTTGGGCTGAAGTGTGTAGTAGGGAGTTGATGTCTTTTGGGAGATCGGGATCGGGATGGATGATGTCAGGACTCAAGAGGGACGGAGGTAACCATGGGAGAAGATGAGGTTATTCCACGAGCCCTGCGCGGCATCAAGGTCAATTCCATACAGGGATATACAATTAGGCATCCGTGAACATGGGCATAATGCATGATGCATCCATCTGAACCACCGCCATTAAGTCTCGGTATGATCCTTCAATAGCATCTATCAACGACGACAGACAGACTGGTCTATACATCAGACTTCTTCACCGAATCCACCTTTTCCACCGTCCCCGTCGACCTCGACCTGTGGCCAACGATCGCGGATCCAAACACCGATCCAATAACCAGCCCAACACCCCCGAGAAGCTATTTCCAAGTCAGCCACATTACATCCCACAGCACGGGGGGAAATATAAAAAAAAAAAACAAAACACACATACCTGATAATTGACACCCGCCCGTGTCATCGCCAACGGCAACGCAGCAGCCATGGCAAACCCAAGCCCTTGCACATAATTCTTCGTCACGGTGCTGGTGATCTGTACACACCAGGCGACCAAGAACCCGCCGGACGCCTGCAGCACAACGAACAGCCAGACCCGCGCATCGAAGCCGTCAAAAAAGGTCGTGAAATCAGACCGGGTCTTCCCGACGTACGAGAGGAGGGCAAAAACGAGACTGTGGGCCGCGAGCTGCGCGTTGCGCACGAAGAAGCAGTTGGTCCGCTTCAGCGACTTCTCCATGCAGATGCTGCCGAGCGCGACGCACGAGCCGGCGAAGAGCATCGACAGGATCCCCGGGAGGAGACGGATGTGCGTTGACTGGGCGGCGGTGGTGCTGAGGTCGGCTGCGGCGCCGACTTGCGCGAGGACGATGCCGGCCGTCATCATGGAGAGGAAGAGCCAGTGGTAGAGGGTGAATTTTTGCTGGATGAGGAAGGTGGCTAGCAGGGGCGTGATGATAATCTTGACTTGCGAGAGAGCGAGGTAGGGGAGCAGGGTCAGGTAGGAGGCGCCGATGCTCTGCGCAAAGCTGGCGGCCGTGTAGAGCAGGGCCGGGATGGCGGCTTCTTCCTGGCCATTGCGAAGTGCGCTCAGGGTAGATTTGAATGTAGTTGGGGATGAGCGATGCGATTGGACGACGTAGAGCACTGAGACGATGAGCTTCAGCAGCTCCGAGAGGATGATGCCTGCTAGGGGCTCGAATCGCTTGTCCTCGGTGGTTTGGGATTGGATTTTATGTTGCAACTGACATCGTTAGGCACTGGCTGTCTGTCGACGATGATCTAACGGACATACTGTGATTGATGATGTGTTTTGAAGTAACAACTGTCAAGCGTCGTCAGTAGAGAGGTCTGGAGAGCTTATATCATTATATGATGTATCCCACCAGAAGTAAAACCACCAGTGTAGCGAAAGTGGCCTTATTCTGGCCTATGAAACTGAACCTGATCCGATTATCAGTATCAAGGGCTCGCCACAAGTCGCGTGCGATCTTACTTACTCCATGGCTCTAAGAATCTCAACAACCCCCCCACACACACAGTAATCTGATGGTAATCGGATCGAATTGGATTGAAAGGACGACAAGGGAAAAATGAATTCGGAGCATCTACGGAGTCGAATCGATAGCGATTGGCAAGGGAGCCAAAAAAAAAAAAAAAAAAAAAAAAAAAAAAAAAGATTGAACCCTGAGACACAGGTGTGCGGTCCAGCCAAGCTAAGTTACAAAGTTACAAGCTCTCGCAGGGCTCTCTCTGTACTCCCACCAAGTCTGGACTTTGGAGTCAAGCCTTAATCTCCTCAACGCCTATCTCTTGTCTTTCTAGTCGCTACAACTACGAGGCACGTGCCAAGCGCTCAGCCTCATCCTTGTTACTTAAATTAACCGCCTATGGGCTGATAGTCACTACAGTAGAGTGGGAGTGTGGGAGTGTGTCAGCCGTTGCCAGGATTCGACTCTCCTGCTCCTATCTTACTGAAGTAAGTTCTGAACTCAACAGGACCTTTTTTTCCCTTTCAGTTGAGTTAGTGCTGCCGAGTCACCCAGTCCACAGTCAGCACAGATCCAATCATGCGTCCCCCTTTCAATAGGAAAACTCAGGACGGTGACTACGGACAACGCTAGGCAGCCGCATTCTAATAGCGCAGCCAGCAATTTCCTAGAAGCAGTTAGTCGGATCCGCCCTCTCTCGTGTACAATCGGACTGGTCAGACTGTTGGAGCCTGGATTACCAATCAATTGCCCACACGAAAGGTGCTCTGAATCGTAGTAGACTAGTCATCCTCCCTACTGGGACATTAAGCTTTTGCGACTTGCGAGAATTACCAAAAGTTATGAGTGGATGACCTATTACGCCAAGCTCCGTCCTTTGGCTGATCCCAGAGCTTGTTGTGATTAGTCTCTGGCAGAGGGTCCAGATTAGACAGATTGGAAAATTTTGGTTGCGCGAGATTCGCTCAGAAAACCCCCTCAATCCTTGGGGTGAGTGTGTTTGAGTGTTGACACTGTGGGCGATGGGCGAGAGGACCTGGTCAGACCCTCAGCCTCTTCCTATATAATGATCAGTTCCACCCCGTCTCTCCGTCAGCCATGTCCAACAAACCAACATGGCGAAGTACTGGCCCCCTCGGACCCCGAAACATAGGGGATTCAGGATTCAGCCTGACGGTCCTGAGAAGCCCTAGCGCGATCCCTGTCTACGCCCCCCCGTGCTAGTCCGCCTCTACAACCTTGAACCAAGAATAGGAAACACGTTGGGTTGCTCTTTTAGGGGGCTGTATCTTTGAATCTACCAGTGGCATTGATCAATCATCGCACAAAGGAGTAAAGAAAGTTCTAGTGCCCTCGTGATATACTCCATAGCGGCGTAGTCCCAATTAATTCGGACGGCGAAAAGCGTAATAACTACGGGAATCCAGGACTCCAGTGCTGGAGTGAAGCTTAACTCGTGTACGATCCCTGAAACCAACGATCCGGTCAAACCCGTCAGCTCATCATTCCGTACCCATTATTATTATTGCCCCAGGAAGTAAAATGCGCCTGGTAGGTACTCCTCCGTAGGGAGTAGAGAAAATAGGTTAGTAGCGTGCTTCAATCGGGCTATCCTGCCGAGCGGACCACTCATCATGCAGAGAAATTGCCAGGCACCACCAAATGAGCTGGTGAGACCCTTTTGTATAAAACTTCGATCACGCCAGGCATCCTTATTTTTTCTTTTTTCTTTTTTTTTTTTGTTGTTTGTTGTTTGTTGTTTTTTGTTCTTTTGGAACTTCGTATACACTTTTGAACAGAAACAGAAAAACCACTCGTTCACCCCCAGATTCCACGTAATGGCATTCCCTCTCTGAACCGGCATCATCATGGCTCGCAATCGACTCCGGTTGCTCTTCACTCTCCTTTTGGCGCTGGGCGTCGTCGCCCTGTGGTCGTCCCCCTATGAACAGCTCTACTACCTCCTGCGCATGCCCGTGGTCTGGAAGTCCTCGACCGTAGATACAGTCCTCTCGCAGCAGCAGGATCAATTCGACCTCACTTTTTCCTCCTATCCGGCCAACTACTCGACCGTAGACGCCGGATACACCGCCCTGATTCCCCCGCTGCTGCATCACATCCACCTGGGCTCGCGACCGCCGCGCCAGGCATGGCTCGACGCGCGACGGGAATGCTTGAAGTACCACGAGTCGTGGAACGCGACGGTATGGACCGACGAGAACGCGGACGCGCTGGTCCGCAACGACTACCCGCATCTCTACACAATGTGGAAGAGTTACCCGTATCCGATCCAGCGGGTGGATGCGCTGCGGTACATGATTCTCCAGAAATACGGGGGTAGGTTTTTCTTTTCCCATTATTCAACCCCCCCCCCAAATTGAAGAGGGGGGAAATATTGCCCAGTCATCAAGCTGATCATTGTGCGGATAGGCGTCCTCCTCGACTATGATCTCGCATGCAAACGATCGCTCGAGCCCCTGCGCCGGTTCGACTTTGTTGCTCCGGCCGCTCATCCCGCCGGCTACTCCATCGGCATGATGCTTTCCTCGCCGAATAGCACCTACATCAAGGCGTTGGTCAACAACCTGTCCGCGTATAATCATCGCTGGGCTTTCCTGCCCTATGTCACGGTGATGTTCAGCACGGGCTGCCACTACGCGTCGTAGGTCCCTCTTCCCACGCTTTTCCGATGGTGCTTCCCCACTAACCAATCGACAGAACCATCTACACCCTCCAATCCAACCGCACCAATTTCCGCATTCTCGCCGGCCCCGCGGACCAGCCGCGCATGCACATGCTCAACGGGCTCGTCAACACCCCGCTGTTCCGCCACCTGGGGTCCTCGTCGTGGCACGACCGCGACGCCCACCTGATCTCGCTGTTCAAGAATATGAATCTCCGGGCGCTGCTGGTGGTCATGGTCATGATTATGTTTGGGACGGCGGCGCTGGTGATGTTCTACGCGAGTCGGCGTGGGCGCGCGCAGGACTCGGACGAGGAGCGGCAGGCGAATGCGTCGAAGAGTGCGTGAGGCGGGCGGGGAGGCCCGGGGAAGGGGGGAAGGGTTTGGAGTCGACATTTATCTATACATATATATATCCACCTATCTTTCATGTATCTATCTTTTGTGTCTATTGTTTAATTAATACCGATGAATTAGAGAGAAATAGAGATCGACTATTCTAGTTTCGCTAGGTTGTTGAACCACATGTACCGGCTCACTACCAGGTATAACGAGCGGTCCCACGAGTACTGGCTGGCATGCTGGCTGAACGCCGCCCGCGACACCAGGTACGTGGACCAGGGGCTGACCAGCAGCGCCTTGTCATTGTATGCATCCAGTGGCGAGGTGTCGTGCACGGCGCCCGTGTCGACGTTGGTGACCTCCGGTGCTGTCAGGATGGCTTTCAGAATGCGCCAGGAGAAGGGGATGGAGGTCGGGATGAGGTCGAGGAGGGAGGAGTATTTGCGGAGGAGAAAGGTGGACTGCAGCGCGTAGGCCGGGGGCGCGGTGGGCGTATTCTTGACATAGTTTCTGGGTCTATTAGCAGATAAACAACCGGGGGGTAAGCAGCAGCACGAGGATTTGAGCATACAAGACACCGGCGCTGACAGCGCGATGGTTAACGTGGCCGGACACGCCTCCGTTATCAAACGTCATGATCTGGAAAATCCCCCTTCAATCAGTCCCCCAAAATTTCTCGATGGTTGCATCGAACAAAACCTACCAGATCAACCTTCCACTTCTCGACATGCGACGCCACCAGATCCCGAACCATCTTCTCGTCCCACCATTTCCTCGGATTATCCTGCAACTCCGGCACATCCAGCACGTCGCATCGCTCCGCCGCAATCCGCAGCACCGCGCAGCTATTCCGGATCTCCTGCCGGCGCTGCTCGCCGATCCCCTCGTAGTTGCCGGACGAAATCACCAGCAGCGACCGCTGGACGTGTGCATCGTCGCGCCGATAGGTAATGCTGGGACTGAAGAAGAGAGTCTCGTCGTCCGGGTGCGCGGTCACGAGGAGGATGCTGCGTGCGCGCTGGAAGGCCACGGGGACCAGGCGGGGATCATTTGCGAGGTAGTAGCCCAGCAGCAGATAGAGAAAAAGCACCGTGGCAGCGACGGTGAGGACGATGCATGAGAGGATGCGGAGGATTCGGCGTCGCTGGGCCTGGCGGCCGAGGCGCTGGACAACCCAGAGGGCTTTCATTATGATGTTAGATACACAGGGGATGATTTGAATGGGCTTAATTTGTGATAGTATAGATAGATACAGACTCTATTTTGGTAGATAGATAGATAGGTAGATAGGTACAGAGTAGAGCATCTAATTTCAAGCGGCGGGAAAAGAAAAATGGATTGGCAAATGAATGAATGAATGGCGTGTGCGGGATTTTCGATCATCCTATCAGGCTAGAAAAGGCGTGTCTCGAAGAAGGAATGGATCCCGGATGGATGTCTCCGTTAGTGCAGAATTCCAATAGTCTAGTACTCCGTAGTAGTCTCAGAATCCAGGCCGGACTAAAGGATCGACTTCCTTAGTTCATCATCATCCGGTGCAACTTCTGCTGAGCCTGCTTGACCCAGTCACCAAAGGCTTAACATTGGATGCATTGAGTTAATGGTTCTGATTTGGCCAATTGAATCGCTGCAAACTGGTCTGCCTAGAGCCACTAGTGGCGGGTCATGTTTCAGCCGCCGTAACAAATTCAGTTAATTAACAGCTATCTAGTATCGACTACTCTGTAGACCACTACAGTACTACTCCTAATCCTATACGCAGTGCTTAGTGCTGACTGTCCCCAGTCGGCCGTTTCAGAGCCTGGTCAAACTTTGGCTCCTTTGGCTCACCAGATTATTACCTAAACAGAAACTCCTAAAAATTGATCCAATCTCTTCCTCTGACAGTCCAGAATGGAACAAGTACAACTGATGCTGTGCCCATAGTGGAATTACCATGAATCGACCGATATCATGGCTACGCAGCCTCTGGGCTCCATCCCCCCCGCAGTATTCCGCGCTTCCCCAGTCTACAACACCCGTGGTCACTGATCAGCTCCGGTATCGTTGCTGGAGCCCGCGCGTGCTATTGCGTCGCCTCCCGTTGCTCATCCGGATTGCTCTGGGGATCCTGCTGGTCGATATACTCGGGACGGCGATATTCTTCCCCTCATATACCCACCTACCACCATGCTATGAATCTCTCAAAGCAGCCGCATCGTCTTCCAACGCCCCCGGACGAGCTAACCCTCGAAATGAAACAGTGTACATCGCCGCCATCCTCTACGACCGCACCGGCGACCTCGCTGGCGGACAATGGGGCGCCGCCTTGACAACGCTCATCCACCTCCTCGGCGAAGATAACGTCTTCCTCAGCCTCTACGAAAACAACAGCGGCAGCAAAGGCGAAGCAGCCCTGCAGTCCCTCTCCCACCGTATCCCCTGCAACAAATCCATCGTGATAGACCAACACACCCCCTTCACCACCTTCCCACACACCACGCTCCCCAACGGCGAATCCCGCATCAAACGCATCGACTACCTCGCCGCCCTGCGTAACCGCGCCCTCGACCCCCTCACCAACCACACCACCCACTTCGACAAACTCCTCTACCTCAACGACGTCCTCTTCGACCCACTCGAGGCCGCCCAGCTCCTCTTCTGTACCAACAACAACACCAACACCAACACCAACACCCACACCCATACCCCATCCTCCACCTCCTACCGCGCCGCCTGCGCCGTCGATTTCTCCAACCCCTTCAAGTTCTACGACACCTACGCCACCCGCGACCTACAGGGCTACGGCACCGGCCTCCCCTTCTTCCCGTGGTTCACAACCGCCGGCCGCGGCGAGAGTCGCCGCGACGTGCTCGCCGGTCGGGACGCGGTGCGCGTGCGCAGCTGCTGGGGCGGCATGGTCGCGTTTGACGCGACGTATTTCCAGAAACAGGACCCCGTGCGGTTCCGGGCCGACGCCGAGGTCTTCTGGGATGCGTCGGAGTGCTGTCTCATCCATGCGGACATCCAGGACGGGCACAAGGCTGGGGGTGCGGAGGGTGCGGATACGGGCGTGTATATGAATCCGTTTGTGCGGGTGGCGTACAGCGCGCGCAGTCTGCGCTGGTTGAAGACAACGCGGCGCTTTGAGCGGCTGTATCCGTTGGCGCATGATGTCCTCAATCGGATCGTCGGCTTGCCGTGGTATAACCCGCGCAGGGGCGAGGTCGCCGGGGAGAAGGTGGAGAGGGAGGTCTGGGTTGCGGATGGGTCGGTGGGTGGAGGCGCATTTCGGACGGTGGAGGTGGTTGCTGGGAAGGACGGGTTCTGTGGGCGCAGGGGGATGGAGGTTGTAGTGGAAGATAGGAAGCCTGGTCAGGATGGGTTTGAGCCTGTTCCTGTTCCTGTTCCTGTTCCTGTTTCATCTTCGCTCCCTTAAACAGTGACTATTATTATTATTATGTATAACTTTTTTTTTTTTGCAGACGATAATGTATGAACCATCTGCACCCAATAAAACCCAAATCAAGAATGAGGCACCTTCGTCCATCCCCTGCACCGCCCAAACACCGTCCGACAGAACTTGCCATACTCCACCACCAAATCAAACTTCCTCCACGAGCCCTGCGCCCGGTGCAGTAACCGCGCCGACGGATCCGTGAGAGGTTTCGACCCCATGTTACCGTACTTCCCTCGCCCGGGACTATCCGCTTCATCAGCAACGAGCACGAGACAACCTCCCCCGCAAGGGAAGGGGGGAAACCAAAAATACCTGAACCCAGTAATCGGGAGCACCAACACATCCCGCACAAGCTTACTCCGCCCCCCGTCCTCCAGCCCCGTCAGCGCATTCCACCGCAGCCCAGCAGTCTCGTTCAACACGCCCTGTACGGCCTCCGTGAACGCCGCCGGCCCCGTCAGCATCAGCGGGTCCCAGTCGCGCATGCCCGCGCCGCTCGACATCCGCCTCATCCGCGCCGACCACGTCTCCACGAACCGCTGCAGGATCGGGTGGCCCGGCGCCCACGCGAACGACCACTGCGTCAGCTGCACGGGGTAGGTGTAGCCCATGCGCCAGTAGCTGTCGCCGTCCGGCGGGCAGTCTGCCTCTAGGCCGATGATCGCGCGCACAGACGCGGTGGAGTTGTAGGTCGCGTTGGTCCGGGGATCTTGCCACGGCTGAATGTCTGTTGCGTCGATCCAGTGCGCTGGGTTGCGCAGCGGCTCGGTGTCCATGTCCCCATACTGGTGTCGTTAGTATAGTATACTGGGGAGGGGGGGGGGGGGGGTAATGGAGTGGAGTGGAGTGGACTCACGACGCCGCCGATCCATTTAGACACAAGGATGCGGAAGACATCCGTGCGCTCGACGTTGCTAGATAGAGCGTAGAACTGCGTTTGCAGGGCGGGTTCGAAGGTGAGCATGAACTGCTTGATCCCCTCGTCGTCCCAGAGGAAGTACGCCATGCCGTCTGTTTCCACGGCGCGGAGCCACTGCTCCGTGCTGTGGCGGACGGCCGGCGACCATGTCTCTGGCTGCGTGTTTTTCCACGTTTGGTGGACGATGAGCGGGATGGCGGAGTAGGGGAGCTGTCGCTGGGGGAGCGCCTGGGCTCGCCGCGAGGCGAGTTTGGCTGCCTCGACGATTGTTTGGGGTGGCGAGGTGGTGTCCTCAAGCCATGAATTGGGTATATACCATGCTAGATGTTGGTTAGCATTATGGGTCTCCGCGCGTAGACGGTAAAGAACTGTTGGGGCGGTGTCTTCTGTGCCTACCGCCTCCTTTTCCTTCCTGCGAATGGACATATTTCGCCAGCAAGAATTCTTGATCCTCGATGACTGGGGGCTGCTCCTGCAGGACGAGCAGTAGCCATATCACAGCTAACAACACAACCCCCGAGACAATGACCTGTCTCTTGAAGCGCCAGCGTGGCGGCATGGCGAAAGCCGGTGTCTGTAACATGCCGCACAGGGCCCCGCTGGATATCAATTGGCAGCCTCTGGAGCGCCGATATGGTCGTTGATATACAGAATAGATTTATACCTGTCTTACACAGTCTCCACAGGGCAAAATCAGAAGTCAGGCAAACATAATTATGAAATCTCGTGCAGCCCCCGAATCTGAAGCGTATCGTGCAAGGGGAACCTGGCGCAGCAATCGGCCCCAGAGCCAATCATTTAGGGCTACAGAATCGTGGGGCACTAGTCCAGAAATGGAATAGCGCGGTGTGCCTGGTTCGGGGCCGAAAAGTTTATCCTCAGGCAGCAACGCCGATCTCCGGAGTTGAGAATGGGATGCAGAAAGTGAGGAGGGAGAGTGAGAGTGAGACAGTTCTGCGACAAGCCAAACGTTATCGCCAGATAAAGTAGATAGTAGTCTACATGGGGTATTTTGAGGAGTACCGAATACAGTGGAAGTGGGCTATCACTAAGGGATGGTACGTACCGTCAAGGGGAGGAAGGAGTGGTCACATGATTACCACCCAATTTCTATAGCTTTGCACCCACCCACCCTATTCTTCCCCTTTCCTTTCATCATCAAGCTATTCCGTTTCTTGTCGTTCAAGTTTAATTTCATCAGATTAGCATCAGAATTAAAGGTGAATCGTCAATATAACATCATCTGATCCTTTTTCATCAAGATTACGGGCCAATACTACTCATTGGGACGGATTAGTCCAGGCAGTGGGGTGGTTTGGTCCTTTCAGTCCTTGCCCATGATGCAATGCGAACGTTCTTAGTTGCACTTGTCAGCGGTTATTTCTGATTCTCATCGACATGATGGCTACCGTCATACTAGCCTTGCCCGACATCATACTGCCCGACATCATACTTGCCAAATCTAAAGAGTGACGGAAATCAACTCCAGAGATACACCCGCAAGCTCAATTTTCTTCTTTCTGGGCCGGGTTGTCCACTTCTCCCGTTTCAATGCCTCTTCCTCCCATATAACCTCCCAAACAACGAATGCGAGATATCCCACTTCTCTTGACTTCGACATCTACGCAGCGAGTTTGCCCCATGTTGAAACTCAGGTCTGAGACCTTTGATAAAATACATGATCAGCAACTCCTCGAAAAGAGGCGTACCCGTGAGGCCACCATCTCGAAGTCATAGGCATAAGCTTTAATGAACCGTTGTCCTTGCTGTATGGGTTCAAACCCCATCCTCCAATGAGCTGCCAAATCATCTGCAAAGTCTTCCAACACCCAGGATTTGAATTCCTCAACTGTCGTCACTGTTTCAGATGCTTTTTTTAGTGTCCAGCGGAATTGGGCCGCTCCAGCGAGTTTCCGTCTCAACAGCTCGACCTGTTCCCTTTCGGGGCCGATTTCATGCCCGAAAAAGCTCTCTTGGTCGAAATATGCCTCAGCCTTCCCGATCTAGACCCGCGCAGCATCACCCGCGAGCTTGCTATCGTATTGCGAAATCGCGTTGAATGCCGCGGTCGTCCACTTGGACCCCTTTGTCGTCGTCCGATACAATTTGGTAGCTCGTGCTCCTTGCTGTGCAGGAATTGAAGCCTGCCCGCTAGGAAACATTCGACCTTTTTCGATGAGGACCCGCATATCGCAATATAGATTGGCCAGCTCGGCCCGTTGTTGTTCGTCCTGAAGAGACTGATAAAGCCGGGTGAATCGCTTCTTAATTGTTCCTTGAAAGTTCACGCCGGTGCTGATAAGGCTTGTTTCTTGACGGATATCGTCCAAGTCTGGACATTGGGCCAAGTGGGCTTCGAGGTGATCCCCCAAGGACGATGAAGGGGGAGGACGAATCTCTGCATCGGATTTCGCGATTGTGGATAGCAATAGTCGTTGACTTCTGCTTTAGTATAGTAAAAAGCCCGAATGCAGGTACTGTAATATTATCCAGACTAAGCTGTGTGTGCTATGAACAACAGAAATGGGAATCGGATTAGCATGCTAAAAGAGCACAGAAATGCGGAATATCCGGAATAAATAGAAATGCAAAGAGAAAAAGTCGTGATATCAAACAGCCACGCCACTTCCAATCCGCACTAATCGGTCTACGGTCGTTGGCCGTATATGACGTGTACCTTGGTGTAGAGATGGAAGTTCTGGTAGTCACGTAGCTCCTGGCGCATTCCTGCGACCAGGACCTCGATCTCGGCGCGACTCCAGCCAAGGTAGCGGGTGAAGAGGGCGAAGGAGTAAGGGCCGACGGCCTCGAACATGTTGATCTGGTGGTAGCGGCCGAGTTCCTTGAGTTTGGGGTCCTTGGCCCAGGGACTCTGGGGGAGCTATGAACGGGGGATCAGCTCGTGTACTTGGACTGCGACTCTCGAGGATAGTACCTTGTAGATGTCCTCGCGGACATTCACGAAACCCGCCTTCTCCATCTTGTCCTTCCACGTCGACATGGTTGTCATATCCTTGCCGTGCTTCTTGGACGCCAGATGCATATTCTTGATCCCTTCGATGAGACTCTTGGCCTTGAGGTGCGTGCCGTCGTCGGAATATGAGTTGACCTCCATCGATGACATCTCCAGCCACCCGCCGGGTCTCAGGTTCTCGAATGCCTGGCGGAAGAGGGTGTCATGGTCGCGGATGGCGCCTTCCAGCTCACGGCCGTGGATGTAGTCAAAGGGTTGGCTGTAGGACCATGGTAACTCGAAGTCGTCGATCTCGAATCGGCAGTTCGGGGGGATCCTGGGCCAGTCAATGCGCTGTCCGATCGGAGGGGGGTCTTAGGTGGAGGCGTACCAGGAGGGCTGGATGGGGCTCAGGTCGTTCCCTAGTGACGGGAGAGAGTTAGCCGCGTCACAGTTAAGATGCAACACAAATGGAGAGAAGCACATACCGATCACCTCCGACTCGGGATGCTCGCTACGCGTGTCGCATTAGCCGAAGTGTTCCCCCAAACCGTACAAACAACCGCAAGGATGATCTCACTCTGCAAAATCGATGGCCCAGATTCCGGTCCCAGTTCCGATATCCAGTACACGTCTGGGGGTTTTGATCGGCGCAGCGTGGAGTTCGCCTTTCAGTAGGATGCGATAGATGTGGTGGCTCTAATGAACGGCGGAAGGGGGGGGGAAAAAACGTGATCATTGATTAGTTTCTCCGTACCCTTGTCAAAAGAGACGCAAGCATTCGGCACTAACCAGGTCCAGGCGGTCTTGTTCTTGCTCATCATTCGGCTAATTGGTCAGTGTCCTGCGGTCGACGAAAACAATACAAGCGACTCAGAGGCCGGCGGGAAGATTGCTTACCAGCACGTATTCGCCTTCGTGGTATGAATGGTATCTGCGACCGTTCTAGGTGGAGTTTAGTAGAGGTTCTGCGCTGCGGCGGCGGCTGCTATACCTCGTAGCTTCTCGGAAATTAGCGATCGACACATGACATAGGTGAAAATCCATCCTTACGTGTAATTCATCGCACTCGAGGTGATACTGGTGGTGTAGCTGGCATCTCCCAGGCTGTTGCGCTGGGTGTGTTAGTGAGGAGCCCAGCTGGACAAGAGACTGCGACAACAAGGAGACTGACGAGCCGGTGTAAGCGGAGTCGGCATCGGTAAAGTCCTATCGCAGAATGTCAGTCAATCAGGATTTCATGAACCAATTAGGAGAATGACGAACATCAGGCTCGATGACACTTGGACTCTGTCGCGGTTGCTGCTGGAGCTCTTCTTGCTGAGGTACCGGACTGGCCATTGTGAGGGTCTTGGGGGAGTTGGGAAGCAGGGCAAGTCTGTTGGACGTGCGAAGGAGAGAACAAAGAATGAAAGAGACAATCAAATAACTAAATCCAAACCAAAATACGATTCCTCGGTCGAGATGGGGCAGACCAGAAAGTTAGCCCGCGGACCGTGTACCACAGATGGATGATCAATGGAAAAGTACGGAGTCAGTCGAGGAGGATTCTGATTTATGATTTATGGGATATATATCATATATGGAACTAAATGGTAACTGGTTAATGGTATCTCATAAGTCATAATGGAATAACATGGTTATAGACTTTTAGTCTCCTGCAGCCCTGCGTACACAGTATTCCATTCTTATAATAGTATTATCATTATTATTATATTCGGAACTTTCACCTTCTCTGTATGTACTCCGTAGACCGTCTCGACAGCCGAAACACCGCAAGAATAATACTAATAATAATGTGACTCGTCTGGTTTGCAATGCGTCGACTAAGTCGTGCTGCCTCCTGAGTCCAGTGGCATCAATCAACATTTCGGCAGGTTTCTGATCCTGAGTCTATTCCTGCCCTAGCAATCTCTTGTCGCCGCCGTTTCCTTAAGATTCAGCACTAATTCAATACATAGGATCATACTCCGTACACTCCCATCTCTTATCAACAACATCACCCCATTCGAATTGGTGTTATTATGAGCAAGTAAAGGCTCGATTTCCAGCTTTTCCCCCCTGATATAAAGATACTCTCTTATTCTCACTGCAATGACAGGGGTCCCCGGGTCCCCGACCGACTTCCCAACAGAGCAGAGCAGACCAGGATACCAGGCCACCATCCCTGGCCGTTGCATCGATCGAGAGTCATCCTGTCCTGCTTTGAGAGACTGACAGCATTAGTGGCCTGTTAGACTCCGCTAGACTCTTCCACTGTCCCACAAGCGGTTCAAATCTGCCTCGGGGCCGGGGGGGGTGCTGTCGGAGATCAGTCTGAAAAAGGGAAAGGCAGTCCCCCCATGGTTCCTTGTTCAGCCACTCAGCAGGGCGCCTGTCTGCTCTATCTGCCCTGAAGAATCGTCATGCGTTCTCACTGGCCAGAGCGGATGGCAAAAGTGGAGAGTTGTGCATTGTGATTGTACTCCGTACAGAGTAGGACTGTGCGGCAGTGGGTTTTGAGTTGTGTCACCGACGTACTATTCTTTCCAGTCCAGGGCATCTTCATGGGTATCATCACGGTGTTAGTGAAGTCAATTTCACGGCCAAAATGGCTAAGACGCTTCGAGATATTACCTTGTTCAAAGCTCCCCCATCCAGCGCAGTCCAACAGAATGGTTGTTACCTATTGAGGTGTTGAGGATCACAATGGACGACGGTATCACAGACGGGTACAAACGCAGAAAAATACTGAAATACGTGCCAAGACCCTTATTATCCAGCCGTCTCGTCTGGAATCGGAACTGGCAATACCCATGCCACGTGGTCACCACTGTGATCCTTCCAATGTTAAAAATGCTAATCCTGTATTATTAATGAAATATCTATCAGATCCGTCGGTGTATCACTCGACAACGAGAACTTACTACAGTAAGCCATCTCTGTTGGCTTCCTGCCCGGACTCTGATAATAATACTAAATGAATAATACCGATGCATGTCGCGACTTGCATCTCTTTCAACGGTCCGGGATTCCTGTCTGTGATCAATCAGACCAGGACTCTACACCGAGACTCTGTTCCTTGTCCTCCCTCTCTGGCAATTAATACCCTCGGATCGCATGGTCACCATGTCTAAAAGCCTCCATCCTATAGCATGTGGCACATGCTATCCCCACCTATTCCGCCTGTCATTCCGATCGGCCCGTCCGCTGCCACGTCAGCTGTCTGGAACGGAGCAGCGAGTCCTGAGCCCTCACTGTCGGCATATCATAAGACACAAACAGCGTCGATGGAGTCCTCGCAGCCTCAACGGATGACGGCGGGATTTCCTTCCGCATCGATGGGTAGATACTAGATAACGTTCTTTTGGCGGATCGTATCTTCAAATTATCAGCACGGCCACTGGTCGAGGATGTCAAACACTCAATGTCTGCATCCGACTACACCGTCGTCTCATATGCTTTCATAACAGTCACCCTGCAGAAGTCGATGCAGGTCGAGGACTACAACTACAATCATTGACCCAGGAGTGTTTGATAGTGGTAGCTTCCCGGTTTCACAAGCACACAAAAGACTCGTTGAGACACTGGCTTCAAAGGTACGGATATTCCCGTGTTACCCGTTTGTGGAGTGCTGCATGGGTCTGATTGGCACATCATATGTGCCTCTCTGGATATGTGCAGATGGCCATGAATCGTAATGTGGACTGACAGTGTCAGCTTGTGTACTTTTGTCTCGCTGGACACTGAGGTGATGGATTCTAGAGTCGTCGTCTACGAACAGTTGATTGTAGAGAGCGAGAGAGCACAGTAAACAGGACCAGTCAAGTCCAATATATAGCACATGTCATGCATTCCCCCGGCATGAGGAGTGCCAATTTACATCAGACCCCTCAAGATCCTCAATCTATATTCCGACGCAGCTGCCAGGAGGATAGAGGATAGAGTAAAGCGAGATACATCACCCCAGCGCCCGAATCGACAAACAGCACCAGCTGCACATCTATCGCTAGTCCGAATCTGATCGCAATGAAGATTATTCATGATTACTTTACTTCCGCTGGGTACGGATGCTTACTTTCTAGACCGCCTCAGTCTCAACTCTCCTGCGACGAGTCTCACACGGGAAAAAGGCGCGGCTTAGCGACCTCGTATTCTCCTCGTCTCTCCTTTTTGGCCACCTCGCCAATCACGCAATGAGGAATTCGCAACGTTGAGACCTCACCACAAAGTTCCCCCTTATTCTGCATAGAGATATATAAAACCTCTCTAGCCGTTACACCCAGATGGTTGGTGTGCCGCGCAGCGAAGGCTGTGGCACATGCATCAAGCGGCGGGTCAAGGTGGGTTCCCCCTGCTTTTAGTTGCATATCCATGTGGTCGCAACTCGCAAATATCTAATAGTGGCCGAGTCGCAACGTCATGACTTTCTAATTCGAGCAAGCTACAGTGCGACCAAGAGCGGCCGGCATGTCGTCGCTGTCGCGATCGGAACATCGAGTGTGCGGGCTACCAGCGGCGGTTGAGATTCTACCATCAGACCCCTGCTTCCATTAGCGGTCGCAAACGGAAGGAAACCGGTTTACCGAGAGCAAAAGACCAGGATATTCGAGCGGTTGCATTGGCTACGCGAGTCATTACCGCGCGAGCGGGCATGGATAATCTCCTGGCGCCCAGTCTGGCGAGCGCGGCGGCCGACCTCCAGATGAAGGAGGTTTTCCATTCCTTCATAATGGCTTGCTTCCCCGGCCTGTTCTGCGCGTGGAGAAACCGCGTCCAGCTCAACTGGCTGGATTTCGTCCGGCATCATCTCGACACGTCGTCGCACGCGCTGATCTGGAGTATCCGCAGCCTGAGCACATGGCATCTGGGCCAGTCGCAGCAGAACCAGGACGTCATCCTGAGTAGCCGACACATGTACGGTCGCGGGCTGCGCCATTTGATCCAGTCGCTGCGGGACCCCCGCCGCGCCACATCGAACTGGACCCTCATGGCGGCCATCCACCTGGGCATCTACGAGATGCTCCATGGCCTCGGCGACAAATCGTGGCTCGTGCACTCGCGCGGCATCGCAAAGCTATTCCACCTGCGCGGACCAGACGCCCACCGCGACGGATTTGGACGCACGCTGCTGGTCGCGTACCGCGCGTTCCTAGTGGCCGACGCCTTCGTCTGCCAGGAGCCGTGCTTCCTCGCCGAGCACGGATGGCGCTCCGTGATGCACGAGTTCGTGGCGGCGGAGCGCCGCGACGGGAAGAGCTCGCGGCTCGGCGAGACCATCGAGTTCGCGTTCAACGAAATCGTCCTGTGTCCAGGGCTGTTTGTTCAGACGCGCGACTTGGTTGCGGCGCGGGATGCGTCAGAGATTCTGCAGGAGTCGCTGGTTGCGCAGATCACGCGGAGCCGCGACCGGCTCTGCGATCTTGAGGGCCAGATGGGGCCGCTGCTCGGGGAGCAGAAGGGTATGATCGAGCAACGAGATGATCTGATGGGTCTTATTCCGGCTGAGGTTGTGAGCAAGGTCGCGCAGTTGTCTTATCAGGGCATACGATCGGCGATTGCCATGCTCAATCAGCTACTCATCGTCCTGGAAGCGGCGAGGGGCAGGACAGCGCTGGATTCGTCATCAAACTCGATAGATTGCCCCTGGAAGTTATCGATAGAGGCGGAGCCCTTGATCGGAATACAAATTCAGCGGCCAATTCCTGAAGGCCATGAGGGTGATTCCCAGGACCAGTTGGACCAGTTGGACCAGCTCGCGTTGTCAATGGGCATGATGCGGACCTGACTGCCAAAGTATGCTTAATGAACTGATCATACCCCTCTTATCTAGCCAACGGCGTCAGATTCACCAAGCTACACTGGTAACACATTGACAACCCAGCCGAACTTTCACTTCTCATATCAACGATGAGAGCCACTACCCATTGGCAATCGACCAATGCTGCTCCCCTAGCATCAAGGAGCCAGAATGCCGAGTGAGGTTCTTGATGGTTGGAATTGTCTTTATGGGAACAAGATGACCCGAAAACACCAATTCGAATTAGAAAGTTGGACACTGCGTCGACTATACAAGATAAGACCCCGATTGCTGGGTCATGAGAACACATGTCTCTCCAATGAGCGGTTTTGGCACGTACGCAGCTCTGTCACACGGCCGGAACATGAATAACTGATCTACAATCCCCCTTCCCACATAGCCTACAACTTTGTCGCTAAAGCTGCCTCAGCCGACGCCAACGAAGCAGGATCGATCTACTAGGGGGAGGGGGGAAGAATGCAAAATCACCACCTATCATCTCCTGTGGTGGATAAGGAAACACTTGAGATGGGACAGTGAGTGTTTGCAGATACCTCCACATGATGAGGGAAAGCTGTGTGCGATTGGATGAACCGTCTGGTGTGACACCGGACGAGTATCTCTTCAAAGCCACAGGGAAACTCGGCTCTACGAGGACTGAATATGAGATTGTCGCCCGGCTTTAATGCATGGGACATCTTCACTGCCCGCAGGGCTGTTTCTGTGTCAATACTGCGAGCTGACGGGCAACCCCAGGGTAGATGAGAGCAAGTTCGATCTGTTAATGGCGAGCTTGTTTATGGATAGAATGGCTGTTGTCCAGGGGCCTTGATGGCGATATGCTGGATGTATTTACAAGACATTATCCGAGGTCCTGGCTTGTTCTCTGCACGAAGTCTTCTGATATAGATTTCTGACGTCCTAGAGACGATACTAAGAAAAGCTCATCGCTCACATGATACCTGGGCCTCGGTCTCTGTCTGACAATGCGATTATATATCCATACAAAACTGAGATAGGAATCTTCGTAGCCGTGGTTCAATGAGACACGGAATACACCAAACTCAGGTTCAACAGCAATCATAAGCTCTACTTAAAACGACGCGGAATTCTCGGAGTCGAGACAAAGCGGATGTTCGCTGCTGAGTATGTTGCCAAATCGGGAAAGTATGTCCATCGCCGAGGTTTTCCCGCTGATGTGGTGATTCTCTGACAAGCATGAAGCTCGTTCGTATTTCCTCCCCGTGATCTTCAGCTTGGACTATGCCATTGATGATGCGGGATTTCGGTCCGGATGGCAACAGCATCGAATATAGATGGATGCGCCGAGACATATATTCGGATAGAACTCGACCGCATTGCCTGGGCAGTATCTGACGATCAAACTGTCAACATCTACATTCATCATCATACAACATGTCCAGCTCAGACTACCGGTGGGAGGAAGTCAGTCCTGGGCGCTGGGAAAGGGACATCGATGAGGTGGAACAGTTCTACACCTCTCTGGCAAAGGCGTATGAAGGCTCCGGACGAACCTACTTCGCCATCACCGGCTTCATCTCGTTTTCGGTCGAGACCAAGGACGGTGTTTCTGCACAGGATACAGCAGGCAGGGTTGAAGATGCGCTACGCAAAGCATGGATTCATTTACGGTACGACCATCCCACCATCGGGTCACGGGTGGAATGGAATCCCGGGCAACAGCGGTGCAAGAAGATATATGAGACGCTATCGGGTCCTCGTGTGAATGCGTGGCTGCAATCCACCTTTCAGATCGTTCCTAATACTACCTCCGGACTGGAATGGTGTAATTCCGATCCGCCAGTACCAAAGCTGCCGACTCTCTTTCTGATCTGGGGTCCGGCAGCAGACGGACGCATCGAGGGAGACCTTGTTCTGCGATCACCCCACGACATCATCGACGGAGTCGGAGCGCTGATGCTTTTCGACAACCTATTTACACACGCCGCGAGCGCATACAAGCAAGGACCGGAATACGTCCTCCCCCAATTCGGGCCAGAGTTCGCCAACCTGAGCCCCCCGTTTCGTGTTGCAGCTGGTCTCCGGCCAAGCATGCCTGCAGATCAGAGAGAGCGGTTCGAGACAATGATGGCGTATAACGCGTTCATGAAACAGGACCGCATTGAGATAGCTACCATGCCGTATAAGAAAGGGGAACAGCTACCGGGAAAACACCAGCGAGTCGCCCTGACTCTCTCGACTGACCAGACGACAAAGCTCCTAGCCGCCTGCCGACGCACAGGTCTGAGCGTCACGCATGCATATCATGCCGCGATAGCGCTGGCCGTGCGTGATCTCCAAGAACGACGCGAACAGGAACGCCTGGTCCGATATATCAATTATTCCTTGATTAACGAGCGTGCGCATTGCTTGCCGCCGTACGACACCCGTCTCCATGCCGCAGCGGTTTACCACTCCGTGTCCTGCAAGTCGCTCGTCATTGATACCAAGGTCCCGAGCATACTGGCCAGCCCAGCCGACCCGAACCCAAATAGGGAGGAGTACGGGAAGATTGCTAAGACTGTCAAGGACTTCTACCTGGAGATCCGGAATGACTACGACCACATCCAGATGATTCCGGCCTGGTTCGCTAACAATACCATCCCCTACCCGCAGGGTGACGGCGCCCCCCCTGTCCCAGAGCCGAACCACAGTCCCTCCGTCTCAATATCTAGCTTGGGAGTAGTGGATAAAGTCATTAGTCCATCGCAGGGGGCGTTCGAGCTGGAGAATCCTTGGGTCACTGGGGAGGAGTTAGGAACCGGCCTTGGATTGTTCCTGGGAACCTGGAAGGGACAGCTGACCTCGAGCGCGGCGTATAACGATGCGTGGCATGACAGGGATGAGGTGATGGAGTTTATACAACGATGTAATAGCATCATGATGCAGGGGCTTGGGGTACTCTGAGAGGCAGGGTAAGGGGTGCAACGATGCTACCGACAGGAAGGGTTGGTTGGTAGACGTATGTGTTTCAATGGTGCTAAAGAACCAAAAGGCCAAATAGACGACCTGCTCCTCTGTCACTGCCAACCTTCAACCTCATTTTATGGATAGCCAGAAACATAGTTCTCACAACGGCAGCAGCAGCCTCTATACAAATCTTTCTTTTACAGCCCCAAGTACATACGACCACAGGGTGTGGAGAACAGGGCTTCCCGTCCGCTCAGCCGTACTTAAGCCACACGCCGGCCGGTTAGTAGTTGGGTGGGTGACCACCAGTGAATCCCGGCTGTTGTATGTTTTTGATGTCTTTTCTTTTTTGCTCCTGTATCTCTATTGACGTTAAGCGCGGTGTATAATGACGCGTGGCATGACAAGGACCAGATGGTGGTGTCTATACAACGATGTAATGGGCATCGTGGTACTGGGGCTCGGGGTAGAATGAGTCGAGTCGGGGTTGCGGTATATGGATTTCTCTTCCCTTTTCTTTGTGATGATGATGAAGAGAACATGAAACGAGACGTATGCGACACCACTAAAAACAGACTTCAACTATAAAACACTATTAGTTGGATGATTCTGGCTCGCGAACAAGCTGAGGAAGCGCTGTTGATGCCTGATATTCTTGGCAGTTGATCCTGCAAGCCTTGCGAGGAAGATGGTCAACTCAGCCTCGTCTTTCTTGTTTCTGGTCTCCAGAGGTTGATTATCAGTCATGGCAGGCCCCAGCAACAATATCTGTTATTGAGTATTTCACCATCTTTAAGATATCTTTGTGGACTTTGTCGCCTACAAGTTTGGATCTTGAAGCAGCAACAAAGCACTGAAGCCAAGGGGCATAGCCGAAGGGTACTTTGTGCTGCAGTATTATAGCACAACATTGACTCAATAATATCGGTTGGCCGCCTCAAACACCGCGTTGGACAGACAAGCTAACAGGCCACAGATTCGTAGCGCCCCATGAAACAAGAGACGAGCCGGAAAGGGGCCACGACCTCTAGCAGACCCACAATGGTAGGCTGGAGTGTATTACCTGGCGTGGGAGAAGGGAGATGCACACAATTTGAGGTCGTGGTGTCCGATGATGCTGGTTGTGCTGATGGAACGGACGAGTCCACGTCTCACCACCTGCATTCTCCTGCTCCCTTGAAAGTCGTGAAGCACACTGCCCAAGGGGGCGTCTACACAACAATTGCAGGTGCGAGCTTTAAACTCGGCAACAAAACGCTCGACATTGTTTTACGCGCCCATGATGGCGCCGAGTGGTCCACAAGTATGGTAGTAGCTGGCGAGCGGTTACTCGTTCCAGCGCAACAAGAGAAACTGGCTGAGCTCTTCATTGCACTGAGTGCGATATGCAATATGGAGACCAGAATACCTGCGAATATGGGTCTGAGTGCGGAGGGCCTTAAGAGTCAGACATGTGCAGCTCCCTTCTGCGACATTAATGGTCTTGTATGCACCCATGATACCATGGCAGACAGCCAGATTGATAAAGAACACGAAGACCAGGAGGAAAGCACCTATCCTTCCGTTATCAGCTATACAGACAATGAACAGCTCTGGATTGACGGAGCACCACAGAGCTCAGCCGCAATGATGGACCTATTAACCAATCTTGTCGCAAAATATACAATCCGCATCGCAGACACCTGCCACGCCCAGGATGCAGACAGAAAAATTCTTCTATCCGACAACATAATCTGGTGGTTGGACGAGACCACCGAAGAGCTGCCGCAACGGAAACACGACAAACCAGCGAATTGGGGAGGTTTTCAGGACATGTGGCGGAACCATAAGAATCTAAGGGAGTCCAAAAAGAGAGCAGCAGTTGTAGTCGAGACGGAAGCTCGACCGGTCCATGGCTCGGTCATCAAGTTTGCTCAAGCAGGCGAACCCGACAGAAGCGCAATGAACCCTTTGAGGCTGGTACAAGTTCAGACACGAGAAGTAATCAGAACAGTGGGGCTGGAGAAGAAACGCTATGCTATCATTTCGTACACGTGGAGCCAGTTCACTAAAGAGGAGTTGCTGGAATGGGCCACAGCACGAGCAGCGAAGCTGGGATACGAGTATATCTGGATCGACCAATACTGCATTGACCAGACGGACAAGAAGGAGAAGAACGGGGAAATTAAGCGCATGAGAGACTACTACAAGAACGCGGCACAGGTTCTGGTGCTTCTGCCTGACGTGACAAGCCTGGCGAGCTTTGATGTGGTCTCAACTGACCAGCTGATCCATGTGGATGCGGCTCTCAATGCGTCCAGGGACGTATTGAAGGAGATTGCATCCTGCCAGTGGCTGAAAAGAGTCTGGACCTTCCAAGAAGCATGGGTGGCGAGACAATGCGTGTTCTGCACACAAGAGCAGATGCTTGACGGCACGGTGATGGACAGCTTATCGGGCTTGCTCAAATACCAAGCTGTCAACAGACCCAAATTGATGTGCGTCGCCAGTAAGTCAATAGGGAACCCAGTGGTTGCAAATCCGAACACGGTTGTCTGGGATGGAGTCCTCCGGCAGCGTCAGACAGTCGTGGGATCGACGGACAGGTGGGCCTTGCAAAGCGGATTCAACGAATACGAGCCACCCCGACTCACGCTGGTTCAAGCTTGGGAAGCCTCGAAGGGAAGAGACACGATGAACGAAGAGGATAGGGTATACGCCCTCCTTTCCTCTGTCGAGGGTGGAGACAGAGTGAAGGTCGACCGTGGCCGGTCTCTGATGGATGTTATACAGGACTGTGTCGAGGCGGGCATTGTCGGCGCGGACCTACTGGCCGGCAATTCCCCCTCGACTGTGGCCGATAGATGCTGGATGCCAGATCTAACAGGATCAGGACCACAGCATCCGTTACGAGTTGCAGGCGCTGATGAAAGACAACAGCCATTAACCTGGCAAGGGGGCAGGGTGTCCGTGAAGGGCAAGATTTTCGGCTTTGCCGACCTATCCGCTTGGCTACGCATAGCCAAGATGAGGACTGAGGATGCCATCCAACAGTCTGAGGCGAGCGACCGGCCCTGGTTACAGTTCGCGAGCACCACGCGGCAGAAAACATGGACTACGAAAGACGTTGTGGGTTCTGATTTCTTTTTAGTACAGGCGATGCCGGGATCCATGCAGACTGTGCTGGTTGCTGGTAAGAAAAGATCAGACGGGTCGTTTCATAGGAGGAAAGGCCATATAGTCTGGCTCAAGGAGACAGGAGAAGAGTGGCTGCGTGACAGCCAGTCGGTAGAGGTTGGAGCATGGGGTCAGAAGGGACATCCATCTGCTCTCGCGTTTGAGATTAGTTGAAGGCCTGGTGAGCCAAAGTCCGCACGATGCTACCCTTAGCCATTTTGCCTTGTCGGTTGGCCTCGGTGAGGATATACCTTCTGTTGTAGAGACCGCGAACGGTATCCAAAATCTTAATCCGCAATGTAAGGCTGGCCAGATTGCGAGTAAATATCGCGTCATGTCAATGTATGGCAGTAAGTAGCAGCATGCGTAGCATTTAAAATCTCCTTTTCTTTCTTTCCATGACATTGAACACTTCCTGTTTGATTCAGTAGAGCTTCCTGCACACTTTCCTTCCCAGAACATATCCAAATTACAAAAATTTGGAATCTTAACTGATGGATGATTGACTGCTGACCATGGAAAATTCTTTTATTCAAGCGTCGATTCGAAGACGAGACGTCCGCCTTAGCAGAGCAGCTGGCGGAGATCGATCGCTACCCTCAGAACGATAAAGGCAGACATCGGGAGGATGTTCCTCTTGATCACAATAAGGCAACCGCTTTGTTCCAAGAAGAAGAGAAAGCAATGATCGATTATGTTGCTGGTCTGATGCTGTCGTCAATGTAGATGGCCCCACCATCGCGGCCTTCCAAGAGGAGAAAGCTCTGGCGAGCAACGATAGGCGTTTGGCAGAGATGCCTGCGGATTCTCCTACGATTGATGATATTGGCCGGGGCGAGTAAACGGACCATTGCGGCCCGTCCTCTCGAGACGATGCCTCTAGTATCGCAAGCCATCTGCTGCAGAATGATTTTGAGAAGCAGGATGGCGACGATGCTGGTCCCTCGATGACACATGCACAGAGGCAGGATGAGGCGATGAGAATACTGAAAGCTACAACGCAATGCTGCGTCTGCTATGAAAAGTTCTACCCTTATCAAATGGCCCGGCTGCAATGCACTTATCTTTACTGTAAAGACAAGACTGCCTTGTAAATCTCTTCATGAGAGCCACAAACGACCAGTCGCTCTTCCCACCGAGATGCTGCCGGGAGCCTATTCCGTTACTGCTTGTTCAGGAGCATATGAACAAGCAGGAATGAAGTGAGTTTCAAAGCGTGGAAATCGACACCACTACCACAGATCGAACGTACTGCAGCAATGTAAGATGAGGCAAGTGTATACCGCGAGACCAGATTACGGCAGACCAGGCGTATTGTGCATCTTGCGACTCATTCACGTGTACAATGTGCAAGAACGCCTTTCGCCACGATGGCTGTACCGAAGATTCTGCTTTCCAGGCCACTCTTTCCCTGGCTAGCAGCGAGGGTTGGCAACGTTGTTTCTCATGCCGGGCACTCGTGCAGCTCGGCATTGGGTGCTATCATATGACGTATGTGCATCCTGAGTGTCCTAGAGGGTCATTCCGCGACTGCTATAAATCATTGGCTGGTTGAATAGGTGCAAATGCAGGGCTGGATTCTGCTACCTCTGTGGTGCGAAATGGAAGTCTTGTTCCTGTGCGCGATGAACAGAGCGGCGGCTGTATACCAGAGCCGAGGAAATTGTTAACCGAAGCTCCTGAGCCCTTGGCAGTCGAAGAACGCCAATATCGTATTGTAGATATGCAGGACAATCTGAGAGAATCACGAGTGGGTACGTCAAGGACGTTTCGAGCGCATTTGGAACGACACTAGACACGGCTTAGAGTGTGAGGTGTGCGGAGCCCGTCACTGGAAATATATCCTTCGATGCCGCCGGAGTCATGTAGACGGAGTCGCATCTAGGTCATTGCTGGCGATGGGATGGTTGCTATCTTCTAATAGGGGCCAATGGCCACAACCATGGTCAATATACCAGCAGAAATGGACACATGTTGATGCGAATCTCATGGTAATAGTCACCATTCTTCCCCTATGTGATCTAATCTTTATCCCTATCCTAGACATAGAGGTATGAAAAACCAGCATCTTGGTGGGGAAGTATGAAATTCAATCCACCATATGTATCTTGACCATATATATCTAAATTGTGGAAAATTAACACTATACTTTTAAGCATACCCTCTCTAGGAACGACGTCTTTGACTCAATCGGTAGAAGCATTGCCTTATCTCAAGTCACCTTCCTCTGAAGGACAGGCATTGTATTTTCTCTGTGTCACCGCAAAAGAAAAAGAAAAAAAAAGGAAGAATATCTATACCAGGTGGAATGCTCGGTGCTTTGAATCAACACTACGAGTGTTGGATTGCAAAGGGGTCACACCAAAGCTGCACCCCAGAGGCAGCTGGTCACCATATACTGACCATGCTGAAAGAGACAGGCTCATCAGATCCGAACAGCAGCCACCTTCCCCGGCTCCTTAAACGATCCACCCACTGGAGCCATCAAGCCCCCGTTAGTGCCGACATACAGCGTCCTCCCATATCTATCCAACGCACAGCACGTCGGACCAGGAATGACCGTCGAGTTGACCCCGCCAGCAACCTCTACCACCTCTCCCTCCGGAGTAAACTTGACAATGCGATTCTCCGGATTCGTCGCAAAGTATGCAGTCCCGTCCGCTGCGATATCGAAATTATCCGGCGTGATCGCCGTTGTCAGCAGCTCATACTCACCAATTGCATGTGCATGTTCGTCGATTCGTACCCGGCGGTACTCCTTCCGCGTCACACTGACATAGTACACATATCCGTCGTGAACATGGATGCCGTTCAGGCCCATAGGCGGAGCCTTGGGCGCGGGGAGCATTGATTCATCCTCCAGCACGACCTCGTACTCGAGCGAGTCCAGATCAAGACGCCATATCTTGCCCTCGGGGCTGTCGGAGATAAGCAGGTATCGGTTCTCGCGGGTTTTGTAGAGCGTCGACGCGCCGAGCGCTTTTGCCTCGGGAATTCCCACTATCTTCTGAACGGAAGTGGGGACGTTGGTGTTGAGATCGAGTTTCCCGTCGCGCCACATATCTGGCGTCACCTCAAGCAGATCGTAGTTGTTGTCGGCGTTGAAGTCGAGTTCCCAAACGCTGTAGCTGCCCGGTTCTGCCGAGAAGGTCTTGAGGTCAAATGTACCAGCCACGACGGCGAAGACGTCGTTGTTGATCTCGGTGATGCCGAAGCAGGCTGTTATTTCGGGGTTGTCTGTTGCGAAGGAGTAGACTAGCGATCCGGTGTTGGTGGTTGGGTCGACGGACCAGACCTCAGGGACATCGATACGAGTAAGCAGCAGCGTGCCGTCGCAGCGAACAACGATGTTGTCGATGAAGGAGCCATTTTCGGGGAATTGGAAGACGGTTTGAACGGAGGGCGTTTGGGTGTTGGTTTTATGGGGAGTGAATTCTGGAAGGTGGAAGGCGAAAGTTGATGTCGCAAGTGAAGCCAGGGTGAGGGCCTGGGAAAGCCACGGGATGTACATCATAATGGTAATCGTTGAAGAGAAAGAGAGTCGTGGAAGAGGCTTGGCTCTGGTATTTCTCTATTTATAACCAAAACAACGAGGGCGATCTTTTTCTGTATGCGGGGTGCTCCTGCATTCCAGAGATGATAGCAGTAGTATGACAGTCTATGAATATACCTGCATTCATCATGTCAGCAATACCATCAGTTCGGTCTGGAATGCATGGCATAGCGTGTGAGAGGCGTCATCAAGAATGACCGTCTTCATTGCATGAAACAATTGCTTTGATACAACCCTAACTCGAACGAATAAGCTCCATACACCCGTCAACCCCATCGACATCAACGAAATCCTCGGCATCCTCAAGAACTGTTCACCGGATGTCGCGCTCGACAGAGCAGCAACAATCCCATCACGAGTCGTGATGCTCACCTCTCCCAGCGTTTGTTCTCTTCACTTACACTATTTGACATAAGCAGATATACTAGTTGTCATAAAAACCACGAGGATCGACCGCGATGAGAGCAAGGCTGAGCAGGAAAAGCCACCCATATCGACGCAAAAGCAAAGACCATTCCACTGTACTACTCATGCTCGGCCCAAGACGAGCATTGAGAGCGGGTCGTGGAGGTATTTGCTTACATTGGGTGCTTTGCCCAATGGGATGTTTCCGGGGGCGAAGTACGTCCTCGGCCTTGATACGCACTTCCTTGATGTTATTTAGCAACTGTTGCCGTACCCCAATCCGTAGATTGTAAATATGGGCTCCAGCTTCGATAAGATAGGTTACAAGGCCCCAATCCCCTTTTTGAATGGCTACAGAAAGAGGTGTGTCGCCATCGACATCTGGGAAATCAACATCAAAGCCGTACTCGATCAGCAATCTGGCGATACCTTTGCTCTTTGCCACGTGCAGGGGCGTGAGTCCATCTTTGGTTGTGCAAGGAGGAGGCACCTGGCCGCTTTGAAGAAGCATTCGCACAATTTCGAGCGACCCTTTTGAGGCTGCGATGTGCAAGAGGGTACAGCCATCGGTTCTGCGCTGGCCATTGAGATCAGACCCGCCAGCTTTAATAGCGGTTTCAATCAGACTCCAGCGACCAGAACAAGCCAAAGCTAAAATCTGTGCGTTCCTGTCGTGCCTCGTTCTGGAGATATATGGCTTGAGCTGGCGGCATCTATCTTCCATACTTGCTACAACGTCGTCCCGTCCAAGATCAATCGCTAGCTCGTAGGGGGTCAAATGGTTGTTCGCAGGGGCGCCGGGATCTGCACCTAGGCTGAGCAATATTTCCATCACCTCCATCGGATGCCGACTCTGGAATGCATAGTGGAGAGGTGCGAGCCCACTCTTGTCCGGTGCATCGATGCTGTACCCCCGGCACTTCTCTGACATCGCGTCATGCAGAAGTGGAATTATCTGTCGATTTCCCCTGTGGCTTGCCAAGTGCATGAGGCCTGGATGGAGGATAATACGATGATATTGTAGAAGCGCATTCGCATTATCGACCTGATTGTGCCATATGGCAAGCCCCAGAACAGTTCGGCCGGAATAATCGCTTAGGTTCGGGTCCGCGCCGTGATCGAGAAGAAGCAGAAGAATCTTTTTGGCGATGCCCGACATCAATGACGGATGACAACCTATGAGCCAACGAGGTTTTCTTCGACAGGCAGAGACAACATATGACAGCGCCGTACATCCCCTCGAGTCCTGGGCATTGATGTCGATGGAATCTACCTTCAATAATCTTTCGACGATTTTATGGTCCAGCAGTTCGATAGCCAGCATAAGTGCCGTCGAGGCTCGTGCATCAAGCCTAGCATTGATGCTGAGCTTCTCTGTTTCTAGTAGAGCATCGAGTATTCCCATGGGATTATGAGTTTCCGATATAAAGCTGGTTCCCGCAAGTGGCAGTCCGCAGATGACATCTGCCAGTGTGACATCCTCAACTGCTGCATTGAGTTGCAACAGCTCCTGGACGGCCTCAACGTTTCCTTGCACACAGGCATATCTTAGAGGTGTCCGTTTACCTCTTGGCTCGGATGCGTTGATATCGTACCCGCTACAACCTAGCGTTCTGATCAACCCAGCCAGGCCGAACCAAGCACATATGTGAAGTATACCCACATCTTCGTGAATCCATTCAGCCGAGTCGAGGGAGCAGAGCGATGCGTAGGCCTTTAATGCCTCCTTTATATGCAGCCGGTTTTTCAGGAACTGACCCGCCCGCACTTCGATCATTCCATCACCACCCGCACATGCCTCTCTCACATGTTCTCCCCAGTGTTGCACGGCATAAGACAGAAAGGGCCAGTTCTCGATCTTTTTGTAGTGCGCCGAGACCTCCTGGTGTTGGAGGTATTTCAGACACAGATTGGCCATCGTGGAATGTGGGTTCCTCAATTTCTCATAATCGCAGTTATGCAAAACCTCGTCAATCGTCCCATGGAAAAAGCGAACAAATGAGTGCGCCGCATCCCCTTTGTCAACCGTAAGGAGACCATTTGTCGCCTTCAGTATGGAGGTTCGGTGATTTTCGTTCCAACCCATGGCCAGAGGGGTGTTCCTATTGAGTGCCAATGCATTCTGCAATTCGTTGATTGTCAAGGACCGACTGGCGCAAGCGACTAAGCAAAGGGCCACCATTGCCTCATCACGTTCAATATAAGTCGGATAAGCCAAAATATTCCCGATTTTTTCGTTGCAATATTCTTTCAGAATTTGAATGGGAATGGTGCTCACTCTTTCAAAAAGTTCCTCGTCTTTTTGCAACTCATGCTCAGGCTCAAGCAGGTTCTCCATCCAGGATCTGGCAATAACGAAATTTCCCTCTGCCTTGGTGGCTACTGCACTAACCACCTCTTCTAGTACCTCGGGCTTCCGGTACAAATACCGTACAACTCCAGAGGGGTCGTATTTTGGCCACGGATGTTGACGCGGGTCTCTCTGATCTTCACCTTTTTCCACCCTTTCCCGAAGTATATCCCGGCAATACATGCTGATTTCGTTGTGGGATGCGAGGATCTCTTTATACACTGTGCTGTAGACCTCGTTGGATGTGTGATTGTTGGGGCAAGTCCTGCCTGCATCTCTGCATCTCAGGCACAGGTCATAGTTCTTCCCATTGCAGAGACAATTAAAATAGATCAACCCCTCCAGGTTACAGTTGTCGCACCGGATTATCATGGCTATTTCCCGGTACCCCATGGAGGTGGTTAGCAGGCTCAGTCTATCCCTGCGGGCTAAAAGACGCAGTGGGTAATCTTTAGCCACAGCTGACACCTCAGGATCGCATTGGTTCACCCCGTCGACGATGAGATAAGTTCTCTGGTAGCGACTGAGCAGTTCCTCGAAAGTATCCTTCATCACATCCTCACTCGGGGATGCTTGTGTTCCATAATTGTCATACTCGTTGCTGAGTTTCGAGGGTATGTCGGCAGCCGAGTCGAACTCGATGAGCTGCCTCAGGAGGCTACCCAGTACGCTTTTGGGAGTTTGCTCTTTTCGTTTATTTTCATTGAGGTAAATGTATAGAACCGGGCATGACGGGAGGGTTTTTTGAAGGTATTCCACGATTCTAGCGCAAAGGTACGTCTAGTGAATCGGTATGTTAGTATCGGATATTTCGATGCCCTGCCTGCGGCCACCTTACTTTTCCGCTGCCAGCTGCCCCATAGCATCGAAGCTGCCAGGGACTACCTTCCATCCACTGCACGAATTCTTGAGACTTTAAAAGCCATTGTCCAGTTTCAACGCTATTCCTCAACTTGTTCTGCTGCTCTCGGAAATCCAGAGAGGAAAGCCACTTGAGAAGTTTACCTCGATGATGAGCATCAAACTTGTCGTTCACTTGGTCCATGTTCCATCAATGATCAGTATCAGTGAACTCGTGCTTTGATTTATTCAAGCGACCTACATCTCAGCATAAGACTTGCAGCTAGCTCTACCCGGTGCACCTCCTGTGGCTGGATCAATCGCAGAAGGTCTTTGGCATACGCGGCTGCCGTCACTGACGCATAGGGCTGCCAAAGGTCGTTCTTATGGCTGTCTGCATAATCGCAAATGCCCCGTATCACGATGCAAGGGAACCCGTTCATGAGGCCGGCCGCTTCCATCTCGAAACATAATACTTCCTGCTCCTTTGCCATCTGATCCCGAAACATTGCCGATCTTACCAAAGTATTCCCGCTGGCAATTAGCCCATAATGCACGTGGGGTTCATCACGCAGCGATCGAGGGACGATCTGTCCGGGATCACAGGCGCTACAGTCTTCGCGGTCCTTGAGATGATGATAACCCGATCGATAAAGCAAATCCTGCTGCCGACCGGGAAAGGAATACTTCGCAATTCCAAAACTCTGCAACTTTTGTAGCGAGTCGTGGATATAGTCCTTCCATTCCCCTTTATTCATCGCGTGGTCACATGCTAGTTTCTGCGCCGCCGACGTGAGTACTTGAGGTGGCTTGTCCAAATGTGATGCACTATCGCATCTGTCCTCGAATCTCTTGACCATATCATATTGCAGGACACCCGCTAGAGAAAGGGATTGTCAGCTCATTGCTCAAACAATCAGATGAGCGATGTCTTTCATCAGCTTACAATGCTTTCCTTTCGGTTCGCTCACCACCACATCTCCCAGCAGGATGTCCTTAGAGAGGCCCTGAGGCTGCGGCACCCCTGCACCGATTCCCACCATGAGTCCAAATCATATCTTGGGGAAGGTGCGAGTCATGCTTGTCATGACGCGGGCGGCGGAGGCTAGGCCTACAGTGGGTGGCCGCACGATGGCGACATTGTGCTTGCCCATTTGGCCCAGAATGTAGATGTTATCGTCACCTGGAGAAGCCTGGAGGTCCTCATGCTCGTTATCCAGCATTATTCTTGCTGTGATTTGCTCTTCCAGGGTAACACACACCCACCCCATGGTGTAGTCATCGTGGGTTCGTGGATTCTGGCTCATGTTGCTGTTCTTGCGGTTGTGTTTGGGTCTCACACCCCATTCGCATGAGCATAACCTGATTGAGCTTCGAGCGAAAGGATCAGGAGAGATCATCCGGGTAGATATATGCATACTTGCGGTCAGATGAAACCCCGGAGCCATATTCCACGCCAGCCAGAGCATTTAGTAGGATTTAAACAGGGGATATTATTGGCTTGGTTTCTGGGGGAAATGAAATATATCGTCAGCTGAGCGCCCGATTCTTTCGAAAGGCTACATTGCAAGGGGATAAACCTCGCTGCGGTTTGTCGTTAGACAAGGCTGAAGCCTACTTACCAAACGCAGACAAGGCTGTTCTATGAAGCTGCGACAAATTAGAAGGGTCGGCCTGCTGTCAGTGCGTTCGCGACATCTTCCCCCTGCATCTCGATTCATTCTTGAGGAAACAATGGGATGACTGGCTCAGGGCGCCAAGTTATTATCCATCTATAAATCCTCCCATGCCTGACGATAAAGTTTGTTCTTCTTTTTGTCCTGTTTGTTGGACTACTTTCTGTTTTTCTCTAGACATTGAGTTTCACAGTAGCCAGGAATCATCATGTGGCGGATGGTCAGCCTTCTTTTGGTGCTTGCTACTACTCACGGTGGTTGCATCTCTACTACAAGCCCCTCGACCCCCAATCCAACAGCCTGTGGAGATATTATCAGACACCAGGGTAGGTACAAGTCAACATGGCCAGGAGATTTCTACTGCTGATGTATTCTTCACCATAGACCAGGTCATATTTAATGCGTCGCAAGTGTACAACTGCCTGACCAGTGTTCCCTTTGACCCGGCTGTCGCGAGTTGATTGATCCAATACTTCAACAACACGGTCTAATTTCAGAGCACCCTTGCTCACCTAGCCAAACCTCCCCCAGGCTATCAGCAGCCCGCAGTGGACCTGGTGGCGTCTCTATTGCAGCTTCAACGTGATATCGACCGCGGTGTCTTCCAGGGTGAATATGCCTTTGAGGCGGCTTTGCATAGACTGATCCAGAGTGCTCATGAAGACCATCTGTCCCTGTCCGGTGGTATTATGAGCGCATTTACCTTTGGATCCCAGTATGATATCGCCTCTGTCTCCCTGGATGGTAAAGAGGTCCCCAAAGTGTACATCACCGGTGAGCTGATTTTTCCCAAGATCACGATTGCGCTGCTGATGGTAGGTAGACGACCTGTTTTCCAACATGATAGTAGATAATCTCTCTTGGAAACCGTCAGCCATCAAGACCATCAACGATGAGGATGTTGTGGACTTTTTGACCTGGTTTGCTGCTGTCAATTCCTTTGGAAACTTGGAGCCCCATGCAGACTGGAATATGCTAATGCGAAGCGCTGCACTTGACATCCAGGGATCCTTCGAAGTCTTTGGTGGTGCTGCTCCCTTTTATCCTGGAGATTCCATAATCTTTGGGTTTGAGAATGGGACAACTCTAGGCCCCTTTCCCTGGAAGGCGATCTTTTATAGCCAAGGGGATACTGGACCTCTTGAGACTGGAGGTGACTTCTATAACTTTTTTGTTCTGGGATTTTATCCTGCATCATATCGTCCTGAAGAACCAGACACTACTTCAGTCCCTGTGTCCACTTCAACAACGGTGGCATCATCCTCTTCATCATCCACACCTACCACGACACCATATTTGTGGACACCTTATCCCTTGTCCGATGTGTCAGTCAACAGAAGTTATAGCGACTCTATGGAAGGTTTTTTTCTTCGCGAATCATCTATGGCTGTCCTGAGCATTCCCCACTTTAACTACTATGGTGAGGATGCGCAGACCTTCAGTACCACGATAGAAGGTTTCCTAAGAGGTAGTCGTCAAGCCGGATTACAAAGGGTGGTCATCGACCTGCAGCAGAACCGGGGGGGGTTCGCCTCTGTTAGCCATAGAGACATTCAAACTAGTGAGTTTGGCCCTGGCACTCAGTCGGCGGCCCTGACTAATGTTGTTTCTTATAGTTCTTCCCATCCTTACAGCCATTCGCTGGCAGTCACAGACGTACACACCCGATGGCCGATGTCTTAGGCTCGACCCTGACCGAGTACTGGAATGACATCGTACACAATACAACCTATGCACGCTTGTCCGCCAACGAGTGGGTGGCCACCGCTCGCCTGGATGCTGCAACGGGGCAGAATTTCACCTCCTGGGAGGATTTTTACGGGCCGGCTGGCTTCTATGACCGCGATGGCTTTACCAAGACAGCAAGACACTCCATCCTCAATCATGGTCGCTGTCAAGTCTCTGACAAATCATTATAGGAACGATACAACACGTCGAGCTCCATTTTTGACCAAGAAGCGGCCGGGTTCAATGTCGACGGCTATGGTTCCCGGACACCACCGCACCAGGGCTATAGAGCAGAGGACATTATCATCGTGAGTGAAGCCATTTTTGATTCGTTCTCCACCCACTAAACTATTCTTTTTGATTTTCAGTTGAGCGATGGGCTTTGCTCATCTGCCTGTGCACTTTTGATGGAAATGATGCACCACGAAGCCGGCGTGCGCACCGTTACAGTCGGGGGTCGACCAACGTATGGGTGAATGCAGGCAGCTAGCGGAAGTCGCGGTGCAAGCGCCTACAGTGCCAAAACAATGGATGCTGATATTCGCCGGGCACAACGCATCAGCCCATCCGCATTGGAATTTCTGCCGAATCGTACCTCGCTTGATTTTCGCCTTTTTTCCGCCAGCGTCAATCTACGCGACCAAGTGCGAATCGATGACACTGAGACCCCCTTACAATTTGTCTATGAGCCGGCCGACTGTCGCATATTCTACACTCCTCAGACATGGTTTCATTACACGAAACTCTGGATGCACGCTGCCGATGCAATCTGGAGAGATCCATCGCTTTGTGTCTTGAACTCGACGGCCCACGACGACCGGCAATCGCAGCCACCTGCACGACCCGTAGCTGATAAGTCAATTGATAGCTTCGCGCCGATGCCCCAAGGAACAGAGGCTTCCGGTCGCATCAGTGATTATTCAAATGATATTTTTGATGTGGGAATACCCGTCCCGAATTCGGAAGGTAAAAGCTGTGACTATTTTGATGCCCCCTGCCCGAATGGATATGTTTGCAGAGAACTACACATATGCATAAAGGGACAATGCGTGCGTGACCAGCGATGCCTCTCCAAGTGCAGCCACCATAGAAAGAGCTGTCCCCCTGGTCAATTCTGCCGTGCATTCACGGACCAAAAAAGCCCATTCAATGATGATGAGTCTGCAAGACAGGTTCTAGTTTCAAGGACGAATTATTCCCCGGGTTATTGCCAGCCTGATGAGCAGCAGCTTTTCTCTATTGAAAAACTGATGGTGATGTTATTGGATATGAGAGTGGGATAATATGGCGCAGGTTGCTATGACGAGTTGAAGGTCTGAGTCAATGATGATCGAGGAGGGAGGCCTGAGGCAAACATGCCTCCTTATATATGTTGGTCATTCAGCAAACCATTATGTGGGATATCTGGCTTCTTTGAGGCTGATATGTTGCTTTCCCTCTCACCAAACCATGCAAATGCACTCCAGGATGCATCATCATGATCTTAATCTGTTATAAAAAAAAGCCCGTTCCATGAGATGCGTGATGGATTGCATAAATGCTGGATTGATGGTTTGGAGGTGTATTACTATCTAGAATTTCCTTATATGTGCATAGTCTGTATGTATCATAATGGGCTGTATTCACAGATCATTATCTACCATCTGCCATTACATCCCCTGTAACTTTCTATTTGTTCTTGTCCTGATTATACTATTGTTTGTGCTTGTGGTATATGGATCATGTTATTAAGCCAAAAGTGATGAATGCTTGAAACTAATGTCTGATCTTCTGGCTGCTGCTAGCCCAGATTTTGTAATATCTCCTGACTACTGCTAAATCATGCTCATGTATACCAGGAACTGATGGCTACAAAGATTACGCGCAATGCTATGTTGGTAGTTCGTAGCACCTGGAATACAAATAGAGACCTTCTGCAAGAACATCTAGTGTTTTTTTTTCAGAAAGAATGAAACTTTGAGTTGACATTGTTAAAGGCTGTTGGCCGCCTCCTGTCTCTGGTGACAGGCATCTTGACTTTTAGCCAAAACTCATTCTCTCAGAATTGATGCAGTAATATAGTCTACACTGGATTGTTTGAGGGGTTGACCACATTTAACAGAGCCATATTTGTACGGGAAACTCTGTAAGCAAGGCCTTCTATACCAAATACATAAAAAATGGCAGGATATAAGACGTGAAGTGAATACTTAGCTAAGATTTATACTTAAAACATAAATTTAGAGATGCTACAGAGCACAAGAGAGGATATATAGTTTAGGTGGGGTTTCGATAAATAGGGAAGATATGGTAGTAAGGGTGCTAAGTCCACTAAACACAAAATATCAGAAGATGAAAGCATGCAACAACAGGCAGGATTCACTGGTGGTCACTCTTACCTATTTTCCAGTTCTATATTAAAAGTGTACGGCTGTCCCTATTAAAAACATATCTCTCTCTTGCGTATACTACTATGTTCAACCCTCCCATCTAAACCCTAATAAATCTTATGAAAACAGATGAATCTATAGAAAATTGACTTGGGAATTCAATACAAGTAAAAATTATATACTAATATATAGTATGCCACCACTTAGCCTTGATGACAGCCCGCACTGGGTTCAGCATGCTACCTACAGATCAATCAAGATACTCCTGACCTAGGGCCTCTTTCCCATGCCTGCTCAATGGCATTGGTGAAGCTGCCCGTTTGAAAGCTGATATATCTCCGACTGTCCTACAGGTTCCATTCAGCTGCTGGCGTTGTAAAGAGGCAATGTAACTACATACTCATGGGAGAGGTCTGGATGTTGTTTATCGGCTATATCATACCCTAGGAGCCGAGCATGTCGTCGGAACTTTCTCTTAAGGCCTCCTTCTTGGTTCATTGTTGACTGCACCATCGCATAAAGGAAGCGTCCGCCCAGAGAGAAAGAGAGTCAGGCACTCAAGACCCTGATTATGTACTCGGGCTAAAGTAGGATCAGTAGGTTTGAGAGGTCAATGCCGATCGAAAACCGGTGGCACGCCTCCGCTGAAGCTGACTGTACCATTCCGCAGGGGGGGGGGAGAGATGCCGGTCGAGGTGAGAGAGCAATTATCATCCTACCTGTATTTGAGAATCAGTAAATATATGGGCCATATTCATTTGAGATCCAAAATGTGCTGTTGTTGATTGACCCAGGGCCGCCGAATCTATCATCGTTGCAGGTGACCTGTGGTAGGGGCGGGAACCCATTAAAAGACGCAAAGCCAGTCACATCTGCATCCAGGCTTCTAGTGAGGTTGCCGCCAGGCCCTCTGAGTAGAATTGAGTCGAGATAATTCAAATGAATGTTTGGCGGTCTAGGCTCGCTTCAAGGCGTGTTTGCAGGAGAATCCAGATGAATGGAGAACTTGTGAATCCGCGATTGATATCTCAGAGTGTCATTGGTATTCCTGGTGATACAGAGTTAAAGATGGAAGCTGGGTGACTGGGGAATGGGGAATATACCCTCCACGATCTGGTGTCGCCCAGAATACCCCATCGTACGAACCATCCGGATTCTTGATTTACGACGTTTGGTCAAAGCTCACAGCGCTGTCAACGCCACCTAAGGTATCCCCAAATCGATCGATAGCATTCGAAAGAACAGATCCATGGGCCGCTAAATTATAGTATCCATAGGGCTGGCTGGCGCAATTGGCTTGAGTGACCAGCGCACTCCCAGCCGCAAGGTCACCATTTTTAGGTCCACCTGGGGCTGGCCATGCCCTGCGCAAATTCAGGAAGCATACGAGATATGCAATGATGGTGTACGAGGACAGGAGCCTCGCACTCCGAGGGAATTGGACGATCATCAGTCATTTCTTATCATACAAAGCTAAGGAGGTATGCTGTCACGCCCTTGGAAAGTCAAATTAAGTAAGATATTGATTTAAACCCTGAATCTAAATTGTGGGAGGTATCTATCATCTCATCTACACTGATTTGATATGAAGCACGGACCCATTAGCATAGCGATTCCTGATCATTCGAGGACCATGGCCATATGATCCGCTGACTTTCTTTCATTTGGAGGCTATTCATGTAGTGGTAGGTTTTGAGAATGACGGCTGTAGGCTGTTGCGTGGGAAGTTATCGACCGACAGTAGAAAAGAAATAAACAAAGAAGCGGTGGCGCAGAACATCTAGGTCTTGGCTAGATTGACCTATAGGGTTAGCTGGTTGGCAGAAAGGAATGATGATAGGCGAAGGGCCGAGTGCAATGCTTTCAATTTTTCTTGCCGGCCATAGCACTGGCGCCGCAAACGGAAATACATAATAGGTCGCTGAACCACGGTACAGTCCATTCCGGTCCGTCAGGCGGGTAGACTACATGGGTAGATCATCCACTATGGCACATGAACAGTAGATCCTTGGTTTTGATCATGGCCAAACATCCTGACAGCAACTTCATGTGATGGGAATCATGTCTTCAATCCCTCACACCTTATACTGATCATGGCCGGCCATTAGAACTCTATTGTAGAACTTGACCTTACACGGAACATATTTCGCCGCTGACGACAAAGCATACTTTGCTCAGCATGCCCACGCAGCTTCTGGGTTTGAAGCACAGAGCCGTGGCAGAACAAGTGCAGTGGGCCATTCTAGACCTTATCGCTTGCAATAGCCGTAAAATTTGAGCTTCCTTTGAGACAGCTGTGCTTGCAGTCAGGGACTCACCAGATATCTGCGGCCTTGGTCCTGGCCACAGGTATAAAGGGCTCACTGAATCCCTGCTTTTCACCTCCCTACTTTGCTCAAGATCATGATTAATCGCAGATACCAACACTAACTATACAGTGTTACTTGATTTATCTTTTCATATTCACAGACATAATGCCAGTACCTGACTACGGTGTTTGGAAGGGGTTGCCTGTCCATTACGAGTATGAAAATCGCTATGAGGACTCCCATTCTCCTCATCTTTCGTTGTATTATCACGATAAAGAAGGAACCGTGCCTCACTTTGATCCTGACTACCGTCTCAAACACAAGGGCAAGGCTCGAAATAAGAACAGACCAAAGGAGATTCCTGGGCTCTTCCGTGCAGCCATCAATATTAAATCCACTGATCAAGACTCTCGACTTGCATATTGGGTAAATCAAAACATCATCGAGCATCCAATTGCCAGAAAGCTTGCGAACCTGGAGTTCGGCTTTCATTCTCTTCAGGACTCGGATGGCGAAGGGCTGGACTTTATCCGAAGTGACCTCTTTGATACTAGAAGTGGTCGTGTTCTCCCCCATGACATCGATGGCCCCGATAATGATATTATTGATGTCCTCGTGCCTCAAGTAGAGCATGCTATCAATGAAAACGCGGATATATATCTGTTTGGATCACGCTTCAATACAAAAAATGGAATTCATGACGTGCACATGAACCAAGGCAACATTGAGAAGTTCGCCGACGACGATGGAGTCTCCCAGGATGGAGGTCTTCTCATCCACTACAAAGATGCCCAGAATGACCAAAATGATCAATGGACTGGGATATTTCTCGCATTTGCATCACAATCCATCCACACTGATGATCAGCAAGGCCATGCTATTCCTGATGCGTCTGGCCGCCTTGTGACCTGGGGTGATTTCATAACTCCAGAGCGCGTCGAGAGCTCAGTGGCAATCAAGGAAGCATATGTCAACCCACCGGGACCAGACGACCGTTCTATTAGACGGCGAAAATCAATAACGCTCGAGAACCTTACCCACCACAAAGTCTCTCTCTCATCGTGGAAATTGAAGAATTCGGCAGGCCAAGTGCAAGAACTTCCTCACAATGCAGCCTTGAAGTCCATGGCTACCGGAATGTTTGAAGTACCAAACTGGAGTCTGTTGAATGAGGGTGATACTATCACTCTGCTTAATGAGCAGGGGTTAAAGGTTGATGGTGTGAGTTACGGAGCTCGTCAGGGACGCATGGAAGGTCAACCTATTGTCTTCGCGCACTAGTTCCTGGCTGATTCCATTTTCTTTCTCAATTACTAAAATCAAGGGCGTTGCGCTATTGAACAGAAAGCAAAGTCAACCGAAAAGAACCAGAAAGGCAGATCGAAACGACACCAAAAGTATTGCTCAACCTGGCTTCCCATTATTCTTGCGTCGATTCCTGCGTTAACTATTCGTCCGTCAAGAGGATTCAAAATTAAAAGTGCAATTGAGGGTAAGGACTACCCCAGAATGCTTGATTAGTAACTTCTTGGAGGGCTCTATCATGGCCGCTTCCACATTGAGAATATTATAACATATCAGTATGAGCAGATTCTACTTGTTTTCATATGGGTGTAGAGAGGAGAAAGTCCTGCGAATTACTATATGAACCCCCAATACTGATTCTTGCAGCCACACTTGGCCTAAATCAACATTTTCTGTTTAGTCAGACAGGCTTATACAACCCATGGGTCCATATCCAAACCATTTGGTTTACCACACACGGATCGGATGTAGATCGCCAGATCTAGTCTAGTCCTGAATGCATAATGGTTCTAAAACTACGTTTTGATCAATTTCCAGGCCGGGCCGGTTCTCGTGGATCGTTTTACTATGGCCCGGGTTGAATCAATCAGAGTTCACCTGCATATTTGATAATGCTACACTCAATGCAATATATGATCCCCAGTTCCTAGACAAAATCCTAGCCCGTTTCAGTAATGATACCTAGGATCTCATAGTGATAGCTCAATAGGTGGCTATGGGTGCCATTTTCAATGATATGGCCCAATTTCTGGCCAGCTAGACCTGGGTAGGTGTACAAAACCTAGCGAATGAGTTAGAATTCTTATATCAGCTCGTCTTTCTAGCCACTACTATGGGAACTAGATTGTAGATATTAAGCTAGATACTAGCAGTGTATCTATTAAGGATATCAGCAGTGGCGTTAGTTCTAATATAAACATACAATTAAAGTTAATAGAAACTTTAGCTAGGACTTTAAGGGTTAGGCTAATAAGGCTGAGCATAGCATAGAGCCTGATACATACAAGAATATTTTTAACTAATATTTTCTAGAGTATGTAAAGTCCTAGACTACTAGTTAATAAGCATGGTTTAACTAGAAGAAAAGAGAGAGATAAGGCCTCAGATATATAGTTTAGAGTGATATTTCTTTAAGATTTAGATAATTGAATAAAAGGCAGCTTAGAAACGAAGTAGAGATAGAAGCACATTGATATTATTAAGAAGTAGCCATGAGTGTTTAAGTTTAGAAATATCCAGATGGCAAGCTAGGGGTTATAATCATATTAGTTAGGGTGACTACTAATCAGCTTCACCTACCTAGTTGAGGGCTTGAGGCCAAGAAACGGAATAGGGAGTTGGTCCTTCGACTCCTTCCTCAGCCCTATATTTGGCCCCATGCGTCTTACTCTCATACATGAAGATCTTTCACTATCAGTAATCTCTATATCATAGAATCCACCTGTTATAGACAGAAACCTCTCTCACTGATTACTATTTGTTTTCACCTGTTCATGTTGAGTAATCAGAAACTCAGCCTTAATGAAGAGGCGAGTTGGTAGTCTAAATGGAGAGAGAGCCACTGGAATTCCCAGGAGGAACTAGTTTAGTAGGAGTGTTGCGGAGCTGTAGCACTAGTAGTGACTAGCAAAGTAACCCTAGCTACTCTGCGAGAACATCTGGCAGGCTAGCATTTAATTATAATTTATAACTGAGATAGTTGCAGATCTCACCTACCATCACTGCTAATTTACTTATATAGTGTCCTACCCTTATTGCCCGCAGATCCTGTACCCCTAAGCTCTCAGTCCCGAAAATCCCATAATAATGTGATAACTAAGGGCTTCAAGAGGGATCTCGGAAGACCTCATACTATAGTAGTGAAGGGAGCTGTTAAGTGGCGCCAAAACTTTAGTCTAGTTCTATATTGATGGGAGCCATCCGAGCCATTAAATTACTTACATAGAATAAGACACATGTTCTTCTGTGCCAGTGGCTTGCTTGGGAGATAGATGGAAGTAAGAGCCTCACTAATCATATCCCCATGCCTGTCAATCCAGCTGGTGCTCTGCCTCGGTGTTTTTTCTTCCTGTTATATGTAATCACTTACTCCACACACTCAGAGCCTTCTAGAAGGAAGGCAAGAGTCTAGCATATATCTAGTAGTAATCAAGAGAACTGCCATCCCTATGCTCCTTCTCTTTGATTAGAAATCATACTACACGGAAATTTCTTACTGCTTCATTATAATCATGTAACTAAGCTACTAGCTTTGCTTTAGCTAATGAAAGACCAAGATTGATGGTGGATTCGTAATTACGATTTGTATGTGGAACCTAACAGATCATACTTGCCTCGCACATGGATTAGTATATCTGGGCTGAGGGCCTCGTACCTCTTGAATCTGTAAGGAGGATTGTGGTCTCTCCTCAGTGTGAAGATGATTCTTGCAGTGCACAATCTCCTTGACAGCCTGACGGTTTACTCATGGCGGCTTCTGACTACTGGTGCTAGCCTGGGTTTATTTTTTCTTGTGAGTCACCTATTGTTCTGGACACGATGTGCGGCGCAAATACAATATACTTATAACTCCTATCAAGATTGGACTTTCCGTTTACCGACTGTTCTTCCATCCATATGCTAAATATCCGGGGCCTTTACTGGCTAAGCTGACCAGCTGGTATGCCGTGTACCATTCATATGTCGGAGATCTGCATACAGATATATGGAGGTGTCACCAGAAATACGGTACAGAGACACCGCATCCCGACTTCTACTCCATGGGCTAAGCTAACACGCAGTTTAATAGGGGATGTGGTGCGATACGGGCCTAACCGGATAGTGATCGATTCAGAGTATGGACTGAAAGGTACCTCCCTTCATTCAATGAAGTGTTGGCAATACAGACGGCTAATCTTGGAACCTGGATAGCAATATACGGCCACGGCGCCAACGTCCATAAATCTAAGGGTTATGAGCGGGTGTCGTTCATTCCGAAAGTTCACGCGACTCTATGCACACTCGACGACGCCAGACACAAATTCTATCGTCGCCTGATGAACCAGGGATTATCTGACACTAATATTCGACGGATGGACAACAAGCTAAAGAGCATTGCATCCTTATTTGCTAGCTCCCTGGGTGAGCCAACCGATCGTTTCCACAAGTCTGAAGACCCTGCTGGTGATGGATGGAGTGTTCCCAAGAATATGAGCCACTGGTGTAAGTTCCTTTCATCTTGTCTCCGATAAGACTCACCGTTGCACCAATTTGACTGATTCCGTAGGCGACTACTTCACCTTCGACGTAATGTCCGAGCTCGTGTTCAGCAAATCCTATAATCTACTCACCGACAGTACAAACCACTGGATTATCGAAGGAGTCCTAGGTCAAATGCAGCGCTTCGGATTCCTTTTGCAACTCCCCGAACTTGAAACATTGAAACTCAACCACCTTTTCTTTCCCGAGGCCCGTCGAAGAGCCATACGGTTCTCAGCGAAAGCAAGAGAGATTATGCAAGAGCGACAGTCACGGCAAAAGGAAGAGCTGAACGATATTCTTGGCAACTTACTCGCAGCCAAAGACCCGGAAACCGGGGAGGGTCTGCCGAACGCCCAGCTTTGGGTTGATACTAATCTGTTGATCATTGCGGGTAAACAACATAGCCCCCTAGTCATGCTTCCTTCCTCATCCGTATCCAGTGACTTGGACTAAACTAAAATTTTGCCGTGCGATATAGGCTCCGATACCTCATCCACCGGCATGGCCGCCCTCTTTTTCTACCTCTCCCGTAACCCCACAGCGTACGACCGTGTTATAAAAGAAGTCCGAGCTGTCTTCAACAACCCGGAAGAGGTAGCACAGGGCCCCCTGCTTAATTCCTGCATATACCTCCGTGCGTGCATCTCGGAAGCAATCCGTCTCTGCCCTGCCGTCAGCGGAGCTCTTTGGCGCGAAGTGCTGGACGGTGGCCTTTCAATTCCAGAAATGAACATACACATACCCGCAGGCTGTGAAGTTGGCACGGGGATATGGTCTCTTAACCATAACGAGAAGTACTTTCCCGACCCCTTTGCGTTTAGACCTGAACGCTGGATTGCTGAAGAGAGCGGCGACGAAGCCGTCACTTTGGCTAAGAGTGCGCTGGCTTCGTTCTCAGTTGGACCGAGGAATTGTGTGGGGAAAGGGTTAGCTATTATTGAGATTTCGTTGGCGATAGCCGCCGTGATCTCTCAGTATGACTTTCGTAAGGCAGAGACGAGATGCACAGAAGTGGGTGAGGGGAAGGGAGAGTTTAAGGGACAGTTCCAGACGTCTTGGGCGTTTACGAGTTTGAAGGATGGGCCGTATATTCAATTTCGGAAATACATGCCTGGGTCTAACTGACGCATCTGAAGGGTTGCTTCGATACACATAGAGTTAAATACCTAAAAAGGAAAAAATATGGATAGCTAGGTGGCTGCCTTAACACAATGACATAAGACTGACTGCCAAACGATGCTAGAATACATGAATATTGTATTTCCCGGAGTATGCCTTCTTTGTGCTGAAGGTTTCCCCAATCCTTGATATATATATACGTATATATCTTCTTGAAAGATTGTCTTACAAACGTATTTATATTTAAGTGATACTACATCAAACCATATCACTCTGTAAAGCTCATAGATTGAACATAGTAAAATAGAATGGTTGATGAGCCAAAGAAGTCAAGACATCAAAGGAAGATAAAGGGAAAGAGAAGGATCTGTATTTCTAATGAGCTTTTGTCGGAGAGAACCACAGAGGAGGCAGGAATGAAACACCATTTCATCCCTGGCTATATTCAAATCTCTTCGACACCCTCTTCCTTTCAAGAATGACCCTGGCCGCTTCTGTACATGGACCATTTCGCGATTCAGCTTGTCGAGGTTGCGCGCACGAAGGAGGAAAGATTTCGTATACGCAGCAGCAGTGACTGCTGCTTAATTATACCATTCGCATATGCCTCGAATGACCAAGCAGTTGTCATCACTCCAGCACCTTCCATCTCAAAGCACAGAACCCCCCCCCCCCCGCACCATCTCGCCAGCTGTTGTCTCGGGACATTGCATGTTTGATACCCTAGTTTCCAGAGGCGATGCCACCATAATGAATGTGTGGTCCTGCCGGCCGAGGGCACCTGCGCACTTAGGGGCCTTTTCAATTTTTATATGTCTCTTGGCTATCTTCGTGGCTAGAATGAGGTTGAAGTAGTCTATCGTTTCCTTCATCAGGGCCCTTGTATTCGGGGCGCAGGCTCAATATGCGTTGTAGGTGTGACTCCAGAATATTGAGGCAGAGTCGGATCGGACCGAATCCAACTGATTGCAGTCATCAATAACATAGCCGGGCGATGTATGGCTCCTGCACTCTGAGGCTTTTGGGTCTTTTTTGATGGTTTTGCTAATGTCTAATTGAATGACGCTGGTCCTGACCACGATATCACGGATATCAGGCTTTTTCGAAAGTACTCAAACAGGGCGTGGATAGCCAATAACCCCTTGAATACGGCACAGATGATGGTGATCTTGCAATGCTCATGTCCCCGAGCATGAATTTATGACCTAGCTTGTAGACTCTCTTGTAGTTCAGGGATGGTGGATGAATACACACCACGGTCCGCATGATCATCAATGGCGGACTCTTCATCCGATAATGGAGGCTCTCCTTTTTGGGGGTTTCCAGTGTTATTTCATATCCCATGCTATGCCCCTGAGATGGCCAAATGCGACGCCTTCTTGGAGCGGCGATGAACTCATTTGGGAAAGTCCCTGGCTCATTTGTAACGGCCACAGAGCCTGAGCAAGCTGGCAGTGTTTCTTTGGATCATTGTCGCAGTTACATTCAGTGCTTGAGGGTATTTTCAATGGACACCAGACAACAGACTTCGTCGGCCTGGGGGATTTGACCTTGGATGTCCAAAGTAGTCCATGATTCTGCTCAAACCCTCCATACTAGCCGCTAGATAATACTTTTTTTGACCATCAAGTCTTCCAATGGATGCATGTATCACCTTTGCGACAAGTTCAATCAAGTCGTCGAAGCCTCTATCGAACAGTTGCAGAGCTCGAAGGACCCTTTTCAAATCGACCCATTTTTTGCCGATTGTTTTCAACTTTGCGAGATGTGGATATATAGGATCTTCGTTTGTTGTAATGTCTTTAAAACCCCAGCCCTCAAGATCCTTTCATGGAGCAAGTTTAAGCCCCTCTTCTCTTTCACCTGTTATCATTATTTGATAGCCAATAGTTTTGCGAGGGTTTCATTTAACTAATTCTCATGATCATGAATTCAGAAATAGATTTTCATGTTTAATTCATGCTTCATTCCTTAAAGCTCCTTATCAAGATTCGCATGATTCATGAGGAGTTCCAGCACTGAAGAGAAAGTATACGGACTTGCTTCTTTAAAGGTCTTTCATTTTAAAAGGAGTACAGATAACGGATTATCATTCTTTTTGAATATGATGGATGCACGTAGGAGATGGAGCAATGCACTAGCTCTATTCATTAACTATATTATGCAGGTGGTAAATGCCACCCCATTACTCATATTGAAGCTATATATAATGTCTCAGTGGACTTCGAGAGAGCTGGTCATATCACTAAGGGAAATTAGAAAGACCTGGTATTCTGAGGCCCTCGAGGGAGTCATTTCAGATCATAATGATATCAATGATGTCGATGACAAGCTTCCGCAAACGTCTAGACAGGACGCCAAACACAGTGGGTAAAAGAGAAGTCTACTGCTAGTTGTTTCTGGAATTCCAAGTTGCGCTGCAACATTAACTAATGGAGGTTACATCTGGAGAGCACGCAAAGAAAAGTCAATAATGTCAAATATTGATGAGAAGGAAATTGGGACAATCATGAAAAGATTACACCAAGCGGGAATAAATATTGTTGTCTATTCTACATAATTACCCCTAATCTTCATTTGTTAGATGCTATTGATGTTTGCTTCCTTGACTTCGGTTTTGTCCAAGCATTCCAGACAAGATGAAGAAGGCCCCTTTTGGTCTGATCCTGTACTTAGCCCTCCTCTTCGAAGTGACTGCACAATATTATGCCCATCCACCCAACTACGGGCACATCTGCGGCGCCACACCATGCTCTTCTTATCTCACAGGATCGCACATGGAGCCCGCCGGCATGATGTCCATGCAACAGCAACCACCCTGTATTAGCCAATATCCAATGCGATGCACACCCATAGTTCAACAATACGGTGTCGTGAACTGTGTCTGTATGCCTTACCAAAACTCCGGGGCTGGATACCCAGGAGGAGGCATTGCGAGACCGCCGCCTCCTGTATATTATCCCGAGTACCCTATGGGACCGGAACCGAGACCACGACCGCCACCACGGAGACCGGTGTGTCGTATTGTGTGTCTGTCGGGCGATCAAGAGGACTGGGATTATCGCCCATCATACGATGAGCAGGAATGGCTACTGGACCATGATCCGTACCAGAGACCATGGTGCCGACGTGTCTGTAGCCGACGACCGGGATGGAGAGGTAGATGACCTGACCACCTGAATGAAATTACTCTGTCGGTTCCAGAATGCAGAAACTAAAGAAGTTCATTAGGCGGATATGAGGATATAGATGATCCGTCAGGTCTTTATCCAAATGACGAAGATGACTGGGAATTCGGAGATGATGTGGAAGATGGCGACAACGAAGACGACGACGCTAATGATGACGACGACGATGATAATAATGGCAGCGATGATGGTGAAGAAAATGCTGGGAGTGGCCCCAGCTGCGCCAAACCCCTCAAAAAGAAACCGGGAAACGGGCAGTGCAAGCCAACCAAGCGGCCGAAACCGGGGCGGCCCATTGAAGGAAGATGGCCACCACGCCCTGGACATCATAACCCATATCCTTGGCCTCCTGGAAGGTGGCCTGTCATCAAGCCGGGAGCCTTTCCACCTGGCAAACGCCCCGGCACGGATCGCCCGAACAAGGGTGGCTGTAAAACCAGATGCCCTCGAGGACCACGGGGGCCAGCTGGCCCCAGAGGGCCTCCAGGTACTCCTGGAAAAGATGGTACGACTGGCTCTAGGGGGGATCGTGGAGAGAAAGGAGATAAAGGAGATAGTGGGCCTAAGGGTGACGATGGAGAACAAGGTCCTACGGGAGTACCAGGACCTAAAGGCGAGCCAGGAGAGAGAGGAGAAAAAGGGAAAACTGGAGAAGCGGGACCCAAGGGAGATCCTGGATCCAGGGGGCAGCCCGGGGCAGATGGTGATATCGGACCCAAGGGTGACCGTGGTGACAAAGGAGAAACAGGTGCGAAAGGCGACCCCGGCGAGAAAGGAGAACGTGGAGAACGTGGTGAGACTGGTGAAAAAGGTGAAAGAGGGCCTCAAGGCCAACAGAATGAGACAGGAGCTTCCGGACCACCAGCCTCGGTTGGCTCTACGAACTCTACTGGAACAGATGAAACGCAGGATAATCAAAGTACAGGATCCTTGTCGAGCCTTGAGAAGCTTAGCCTTTGCCAGAAATCAAACTCGGGGCCTAGGGATGTCGCCGTCGGTGATCTTGTTTTCACTGTCACCTGTGATGAGGCGATGGAAGAGAATCGAGTCACCATCAACACCAGGAGTATTGAAGAGGCGATGATTATTTGCGCCGCCTGGCCTGATTGCCATCAAGTCAGCACGTTGCCAGAAGGAAACGTGGAGGGCTCCAAAAGTAAAAAGCTGAAGGAAGCACTCTACAAGGTCAAGGGAGGAGCCAATGCGAAGTTGAAGAGCACTCGGCCATCCACCAATGTTTCAGATGAGGTGCAGGCAGTTTACGGCCGCGGGTGTCCCAAGATCGATCAACACACAGTGACCTTCGGACCTAACACGTTTAAGATCACCTGTGCGCAAGAAGCCCCCGTGTTCCAGGAATTGCGTGGAACAAGGACCGGGGACGAACCGGTGGACTGTATCGCACTTTGTGCATCAGAGCCCGACTGCCAAGCTATTACGCAGGTCAAGAAGGATGGTGTGAGCAAATGCGTCATGATCTCTAAGATTACTGGTGATCTACAATCTGGAGGCGGATACTTTGTGGCCCAGAGGGTTCGATGAGATGCGATGCAGCAGCTGAACTCTGCAACGCATCTCAACTATCTAGCATCGTATGAAACCATGATATCAAGATTTTGAAAGTCTTCACTTTAGTTCGTAGATTCTTCTTTGGTGGTATCCACATGGCAATAATGGCGACAAGTACTCTCTAATAAACATGTAATTTAAAAACTTCAATTGAGATTCTTCATTACATGAATCTGTTCTCTTCCTTTGCTATTTCCCGGACACCAAATCAGCCACCATGGGTGACAGATACCCTATAAAATAACTCGCGGCTAGTGCCCCAGTATTCCCAATGCAACGACTGGGTCTCCTGGTTGTCCTAATCCTCGGACATCAGATGGGGAGGACATCTGACTTTCTTGAACTTGAGATAAACGCATTGCCGCTCGTTCGGTGACGTAGTTATATATTTCGTATTTGCTTGCGTCGAGAGGCCATTCCATTTATTATAGGCCTCTCTCTGGCTGACACAGATCTCACAATCTTCACCGTCTTTGTCTTCATCGTCATCTTCACACACAGGATATCCCCATAACTTGGCAATGTAGAGGTTAGGGTAACCATTTGGAAGAGGATACAGAAGGCTTCCGGCACTGGCCATCCAGGCCGGACCGTTGGAAATGGAGGACCCATCGGCATCCTTCAGGTAGAAGTGCTCCTGGGTCCGGACTTGCTGGTCATTTCGATTTTCATTCTTGCAGGCGCCCGTCTCGCGGCACACGCGGAACACCCGGTTGCCATCCTCGCCGCCGAATTTGTAGTAGATACTATACAGACCGAGTTTCTCGTCATTGTGGTCCTTGATCCGGTAGCATTTGCCGAATTCGATATCAAGCTTATCATCGTCTGTGGGACGCACGGAGTGGGTTGGGGAAGAAGCAGCATTCAGATCGCTCTGGATATCTTTCTGGAGGGGAGTATCGTTGGGTACGTCGATGTGAATCTGAAGGGGGTTCGCATTGACCAGCATGCCGGCCGTAGCTAGCGCAGCCAAAGAGGAGAAGAAGTGCATGATTAGATGGGGAAGCTCAGGGAATCTGGCTGAACAGACTATTTTTGGGATGTTTTTGTCGTAGCGAATGTTGCTCGAGATATCTAACTGATTTATATACCTTTTTTTCCTACTACCCATTACTCTAGCTGATCAATGGAGTTCATCGTATCATATCATTGCTTTAATAATACAAGCAAAGTTATCAATATCGATTATGGTGTTTGGAAGATGATGTACTTATGGAGCAATGCCCCAATCATGAAGATTTACTTTGAGCTTTTTTCCTTCCGCCAGAACCTTGATCTTAGTATATGAGAAATTCGACCGACAGAACTCAATCCAATTGGTTCCAAATATCTAGTTACAGAGATAGCCCCCTTGGACTATGGCAGAGGTCTATTTTGAGCCCTCAGGAAGCGGATGCACCGATTGATCCTATTGCATCTGACTGAGAGTAGCTAGGATGCTAATTCCCTCCGCCCCTAGGACAAATTGCTACATAGGATACTCACACGACAGACGATTAATTGATAATATCATCCCACGCGTCAATCGAAAGGAATATGTCATTCTCCGCACCCGGTGCCCAGACTGAAGCATACCCTTTACTAGTAATGAATGGCTCAGCTGGATGCCTCTACGCCACATACGCTCCTCCATACTTAAAATTAGGCCTCAGCAGAGGCCGTGGTCTACCCCGGAAGAGCTACCCAGGGAACGGGGTCTGGACCCACCGGCCTATCTTTGGCGAGGTTTACCCCAATACCTATAGACAAAACGTCATGTCGACATCTATACAACCCACTAATGAACACCCCCAGCTGGCAAAAGTGGATAAGAGTACCGTGGTTCCAGCGCGAGCATATACCGAAACGGCCATTTTGTGGCTAGAAGGAGCTTATTCGCAAGCCACCCAGTGTGACAGATGCCCAATTCCGCTTGCGGCTGTGGGAATGTGGACTTTCTCTAAGCTGATCACTGAATTCTAACATCATACCCCTCGGAGGAATTTGAAGCAGCAGAGCCTAGAACGAGTGTGAGGCGATGATCAAGATGACTTCACTATTTTCTCGTGTAAGTAATCTTTTTCGGTGGCTGGCTGAACTAGTGTTACGAAGATAGTGGCAGGGCCCGCCGACATAGCTCCCCTACGGGTTGTGAGATATTCTTCTATTCCTCTCTTTGTAGGATTCGACGACTTTTCAACCGTTCCGTCGCTCTTTGTTTGTATATGTGGTTGAATATGAAGCTCTTTTACAGACATATTCTACTGTTCGGCATTCTATCAACTTTCAATCCGGTTATAGGCCAGATCGCCCCTGCCCAAAATGTCCTAGATGGGAAAGGGGAAGCAGCAAAACCAGCTACCGGAGGATTAGGAGCGGGAAGTCCGGTTTCTAGTCTTGCTCCTAGTACAGATGACCCTCTTAAGACTGTTGGGGGGCTTTTAGAAAGCCTCGGTCTGAACAATTTGGATCTTAGCAGTCTCGTCGACATCGACTGGAAGAACAATGAGGTATGGGGTTGGCTGCTTCTACCCTCACCAGCTTAATTTCCAAGCCAAACTCTGACTACGTGCAGCAAGTATTAAATCTCGGTGGACCGGAGGGCAAAGGAAAAATCAACCTCCTGGCATCCAAGAAGCTTGGAAGGGACAACGCGACGGATGACGAAAAAAGGGAGGTCGTAAAAGACGCGTACTACAGCACAGATCAGGGCAAGGCACAAAAGAAAGCAGAAAACGACCAGAAGAATGGACGGCTGAATTTCTTCTATGCATATGGCATGCAGAGTGAGGGCGACATCGTACGGCCTAAATGGGTGATGATGTTCGACAATGGTTTCACTGCCCATAGGTACTTCAAGCTGGTTCAGAAGTCCTATCAAGAGTATTATAAGAACAACCGTCACAAATGCAACGAGCGTGAGTTGTGCCCACTAGCCACTACTAATGGTATACGTCCATAGACGTGATGCTCACGCTGGTATCCAGACCCTACTCCGCAAATCTTCATCTTTCCTCATGGTGTTGGACCCGATAAGTTGGAGAATGTAGAGGCATACACAAACTTTACGGGGAAGGTCTTCTTCTCACCTGTGGATGAAAAAATCATGCCTGTTATTCCACATCAAGATCTATTTGGCCACCTGCCGTCTCGCTTCTCGCCATAAGAAGAGACGGAGCACACATTGAGCTGCTCAAGCGTTGCTTTGCTGCGCACCACCATCACACCTAAGAGGAATTCTAAATAGTGAATTGAGCCAGATTTCTCTTCACAAAACCTAGGAATGTATGATAGGATTATTGGATAACGCGCAATGAATTATATATGGGGTGGTCGCTGTCAAGGGTTGTAGCGTGGTCCCGACGGGAATACAGCTGTTGTCCGAAAACAGCGCCGACAAAGGCAGCATCCATACACCGAGGGCGTGTAACTGTAGCAGTGACAGCCAGCCCAACAAGTTTTGAGGAGCCATTAGAAGCGTAGTATCGGTCTTCCCTTTTCACCAGCAGGCTGAGCCCGACTGGACTGCGGGAATCGAGGATTGGTTATTTTTTAGGCCGCGATTGGGCTAGAGGACATCTTTGCCCTAGTGCAGGGAGATTCACCACTTACCATCGAAAATCTATCGCAGAAGTGAATGTTGGCAAACTTGCGCTGTGAGGCATGCGACTCATTTCAGCGATAACATTTATCTATGATTTCCTACCCATCACGAATGCTTATATCCCGACCATGGAACCTTCCATCCTCACAGGCCTCGCCCTGTTGGCATTCATACGCCAATGCTCCGGCCAGGGTCTATACATCTGCACCAGCACTACACAATGCACGCCTATATCGCAGCCAGCAGGCATGCCACCGCCGATGGGCATGCCCTACCCTGGATTTCAACCGGTACAAGCAGGTCCATTCTATCCATCCATGCCGGGATGGGGGATGAATACCTGCGGATTCAACCAGCCATGCCAGCCCAATCCATGTCTGAACCATAACGGTGCTGGGCCTGCGGGATGTCCACAACCCCCGCCCTATTACGGCTACCCTCCGCATTGGCCAGGGTACGCAGCGGGGGGAACCTTTCCCAACCCAGTGCCTCCAATGCAAATGCCAATGCCGATGCCGATGCCGATGCCGATGCCGATGCCGATGCCGATGCCGATGCCGATGCCGATGCCGATGCCGATGCCGATGCCGATGCCGATGCCAGCTCCACCGCCGCCACATATGCCTGCACAACCGCCCGTACAGATGCCCATGCCGGTCTGGTGTACTTGCACCACGGCTGGGCCAACCACAGGTTGTCCCGTTCATCAACCCGGGAGTGGAAGTCAACCGACGCCAGGGCAGTCCGGTTCCACTGGAGCGCAGTGTTCTCAAGGTTCTCGTGGGCCAGCGGGTGAGCGCGGCCCTCAGGGCAGCCCAGGTGAGCGTGGAGAGCGTGGAGAGAAAGGCGAAAGTGGTTTACCTGGGGAAAAGGGGAAGAGAGGAGAAAGAGGGGAGAAAGGGGAGAAAGGGGAGAAAGGGGACAAGGGGGACAAGGGGGAGACGGGAGACCGTGGAGAAAAGGGTGACCGTGGGCTACCGGGTGAGCGTGGTCCTTCTGGAGTTTGCACTGGCTGTACATGCAAGACTTGTGGGAATGGGGAAAACACACCGGGAGGAAACACACCAGGAGGAAACAAACCAGGAGGAAACAACCCAGGGGGAAGTGGTCAAAATGGTCCAATACCTAGTGGTCAAGGGGTTGGGGTTGGTGAAAGCGGCGGTCCAAAATACAATTCTATCCCTAGCGCATGTGGTCCAGGAGTTGGTAGGGACAAAGATGAGCAACCGTCATACAACGCACTACCAGCTCATAGTGGTCACGGTATTGGGAGAGATACAGGCAGTGGGCCATCGTACGACCAGCTTCCTAATGCTTATGGCCATTAGATTGCCTAGCAGAGCGCTGCCGGGCTATAAACGGTCTTACGCTGACTGCCACCCGGCATCACATTATCAAATAGTTATATATAAAGGACGGTATCCATCTGCAAATAGTGAAAGCGCCATTGAAAGCGCCATCCACCAGATGTGAGTGTATCACTATCCTATAAATTATCCAAGTTAAAGGACAGCACTGAGAAATATCATTATCGCCAGAAAGACAGCTGCTATTCCAAGCGCATAGCTACCAGCCGATAAGCCAGCCTCTAAGCTCTGGCTAATAGTAGTTGTCACTGCAACAACGCAGACACTACTAAGCATGGAAATCATCACCAAGAGCAGCAGGCATCGAAAATATCAGCCTCCCACAATCACGAAAGCATGTACTGTTTTGCCGTATGGACTCTCGGCATCTGAATACTTGTCAACTGCCAGTTCGTCAGCAGGCATTTTTAGGGGGGATGTCGATGACGGACGGATATTCCGTAACAAATCTACTCCCTCGTGGGAAGGTGATAGTCTCTGTATTAATTTCATTCTGCCAGTAAAGCTCGAGCATTGATGGCAGGAACTTGTAGTTATCTCTATCCAACAACAACCGCCGGACGCGCCGACTAAAGCAGTAGATGCTTCCAAGTCTGTTCTCGACTATATTCGGACATCCTTGGTAACTATCACTCACGCAAGGATTGTGGCTCAGAATGTCCAACTCACACTCGAAATGGTTGACCCCGATCTTGAGAGCGGTCTTAGTAGACCGATTGAGGTCCCTGTATAGTCCGTTGTAGTCAAAATCCTTGACGACGATCCCAATCTCCTTTGTCGGATCGTAGCCCATGAAGCGGATCTATCCATCCTTTAGCATGCATAAAGGAGGATCCTCCTCACCATAACTTCCTTTACCCTAACCGCAGAATAGAACGAATGCTGCTTCCACCAGCTCGAAATTCTCCGCAACTCATCAACATGTATGGACAAACCTCATTGTTCTGGATGACTGTCTTGTGCGACCCATCTATTTTTATGTCTCAGACACATCCATATGCAGTTGAAGTGTCATTTCCTTTCGGCCTCCTTGCAGTAATCATAGATAGCCGACGATCGTCCCTCTGAGCTCCCTGTTTCCTTGAAAGGACTCATTGGCCCCTCAGACTCTTGGCAAGCTAGAGTTAGGAGCATCTTCGATATATATACTACGACTCGCGAAGCAGTGATGTCAACGTTATGATACCCTCTTTTTCAGCGGCAACCGTGAAATAGTACAATCAGAGGATTTGTCAAGATTATCTACCAGGACTAAGACAATGCCTATGTACTTAGCGTGGCGAAGTGCTTCGGACGCTTGTGCTAGCGATTGACACGTCAGAGGCTTCGGTGGCATCTCCTTGGTCATCACGCTGGCTGGGGCAACAACCCTGCTAGGCTACGCAGAAATACATCGTTCGGAGTTTAGCATTGCCTTTGAGGCTCAGGGTTCCTACACGTGTAGTTTAGAGTACTATAAGACTGGGACCCCCATGAAGCTTATGTAGTTCCTCTGGAAAAACAGAGTATGGGTTCCCACAGCTCCGCATATCGCCAGTACAGTATGCTTCTAAGTACGTTTTTACGCGACTAGCACGACAATTGTAAGAGTTGGTATGGGAATGAATGAAGATCTCTACCATTGAATGCGTAAGTCGTGGAGTAGCTAGCTACATCAAAGCACTTTGCTATCTGCGGGAAACCGCAAGCATCAAGGCCACTGCACTTATTCCGGCATAGGCAAAGTGATGGACAGTTTACTACGGAGTACATACGAGGCTATCATCGTTGCTATCCTTCGCGTGAGGTGTCTCAGTGGAGTTCATCTAGCTTTGTAGCTTAAAGGACACTACTAAACGCCGTCCAATCAATATGCCTCCTTGCTATGATGGTCGGGATATATATAGAAGACACATCGTTGACAGAAACTGAGGCGTCAAATGCGTGAAAGGTTTGTGTTCCCGGAAGCTTAGATACGCTCTCAGCCGGAGGGACTGCGCCGCATCATTTGCCATTGGAATGCTCATTGAGAGAGACATCAGAGTTACCAGATCTGAACCAAAGTCTCAGATGCAGAGAGACCGGGAATTTTGGTGTAACTTCTCCTAAGCATAACAAAATGTCATCATTCTCTTAGGGTAATGAGCAGGCAGTCGAGAGATGCTGAACAGGAGAATAGGTTATGGATCATACCCCTAGACAGGCAAATAGCTGGGATTGGATGCCTCTCCTACCATGCCGTTATGATCAAACTTTTGGTTAACGAAGTGCGTGCTCTAGATCTTCCTAATAATGCCTCCCTTGCCTATTCCCTAGACATCCACATACACCCTAATTCCTGAGGGAAGATCTCCTCGGAACATAAATCCCTCTCCACGACAGGACGCCACATCAGAGCGAACCCATAACGATAAGGAATGAAAGAGCGTCCATGCATTCGAGATATACGTGTTCCCACTTCTGTCACCTTAATTCTGCGTTTGAAACCAAACGGGGATGCTGCAACACTGTGACGGCCCGCTGCCCCTTGCAGGACTCATTTTGTCTCAGCAATGTTCGTGATGCCGAGCATCCAGGTCACAATAGTGCAAATAGAGCAACTGATAACATTTGATGGAGCAGTACGCGGCTGTGCTAGTGTGGAATGCTCAAGTGTGGGGGACAAGATCAAACACAATCGGAAAATGACCGGGTCCTGGTGGTCAAGTATGCGGGTGCCTGACCCATCAAGCGTTATTCGCGGATGAGCAACTTGACACTCTCTTTTGGCAATCTATGATTTAGTGTTGCCTATTTGGATTCACAGGAGACCTTGAAAAGCTCAAAACCATTCTGTTTGCACCACTAATCGCCATTAATTGATGAGCTCATCTCAAGGTTTCGATCAGAGCCATAACGTGAAAGATGCTGCAAGGAAGCGACGATTGTATCGACGACATGATTTACGTCCCTGAAGGTCTACTGACCGCCGAAGCGGCTAAAGGCGAAGGGACTTATGAGAATCGCCCAGCTCGCTTCTCCTTCACACCACACGATTGGCCTGTCGGGGATGTTGACATTGCTCAGAGAGGCCAGAGGCGAATCAGCTGGGCACTCGACGAGCAGCCACAGTTCTGTCTTGAGGAAGCGAGAAGAACATTGCGCCCTGTCGCCGAGCATAGTCCTGTGGCCTCGGAGACTCAAGACGATGCATCGCCTCCCACCGATCCTTACTACCATGGCAATACGAGACCATCGGCTGAGAATCGGCAATCAGAGACTGATACCAAGAGTCCTCAGTATCCTGAAAAGCGAAGCAGATCCTTCAGATTCAGCTATCGGAACTCATTGCCCCTCGGCCAGTCACTGCGAAATACCACCAGGGATCATCGGAAAGGGAGCATCAAGAGTGTGTACAACAGGGCGACGCTGGTGAAAATCAAGCACCAACGTAGATACTGGCGTCGTTTGTTGATTGAATACGCCATCTATGCCTTCTTAGCTGCTGTTGTGTACTTTGTGCTCATAGGAGTTCCCCTGTGGAAAGGGGCAGTATATTGGCTGTACTGGACTATGCAGCATAAGATGGTGATCCAGAGCAGTTGGGCCATTTTCCTTGCTCTGCTCGTATTGTAAGTGCATGTCTTATCTGCTCAGGTGCGACGAAAGAGAGTCCTGATCATCCTACAGCTATTCCTTCGCACCACTCCTCGTCACCTTCGAGAAAGACGCCCCAGGACCGGAATACTACGAACACCGCCGGATTGCTCGAACCCCAACAGACACTGCTCTGATCATCCCATGCTATAAATCCGCACCCATCATTGGGCGGACCCTCGAAGCTGCGCTGAAGATTTTCCCGGCATCGCACATCTACGTCGTCGCCAACGGCAACTCACCTTCCCCGATCGACGCCACCGAGGACATCTGCCGCGCGCACGGCGTCAACCACATCTGGGCTCCCGTGGGATCAAAAATCATCGCCCTATTCATCGGTTGCTACGCAGTGAAGCAGTTCCGGCATGTTCTCCTGATCGATGATGACTGCATTCTGCCTCCCAACTTCCCCATTGTGGCGGCGCGGCTCACGGGGAAGGTCAGGTGTATCGGCTACACCATCAAATCCGTTGGACGGGACTCGTCCCTGGGTACATACTGCCAGCAAGCGCAGGATTTGGAATACAAGTTATCTGGTCTGCAGCGGCTGTTTGCAGGACGCATGGGGAGCGCCACCTTTCCGCATGGTGCGATTTCTCTGTGGCAGAGGTCGTTTCTGAAGGAGACGCTTCACAATCACCCGGGTTTCTCGATCAGTGAGGACTGGTTCCTTGGAGACAGCTGTCGACGGCTTGGGGGAAGGATCCTGATGTGCAGTGCCGCTTTCGTGGAGACGACGACGCCGGCTTCGGTCCTCTTCGCTACCAGATCTGAGAAGCGCGGCGGGTTCGGCGAGGCGACTGTCTTCAAGCAGCGGTTTCTGCGGTGGAACTTCTTCGTTGCAAGTGGTCTGTGGCATAATCTCCGCTATCTTGTCGGGTCATGGAAGCTGGGATGGTGGGAATTCGGGACGAAGATCTTTGTTTTCCAGGAGGTATGCCTTTCCCCCCCCCCCCCCCATTCGTTCGGGATTGAGATTGACCAATGCAGATATATGAAAACTTATTATACATCCTGACGCCGTTTATTCTGCCCATATCATTCATCATTCAGTCGGGGTTCTTCATTGGACTGGCCATGGCCACCTTGGGCTTTTATATGCTGCACATCGTCATTTTCAACGAGGTCCACCTGCGCCGGAGACAAGAACAGGTGTGCAGGAAGGTGGTCCTTGTGTACTATGTACGTCCACATAACCTTTGGAGCCAGGATTGGCACTAACGTGAAACAGATGCCGTACAAGCTGATGATGACACTGACGAACATCGCGGGTTGTTACTGGTCGCTGTTCAGATACGCTCGGTATTTTGCGCGACGACGGCCCAAATTGACTGAAGACCACAAGGCGGTTGGCATGGTATTAAGACTGGAAGAGATGACACATGCATCTGATTCGAAAAACAACAAGCTGGGTCGAAGTTTGACTGTTAGAGCGGTTAATGTACGGGAGAACGCTGGGATCGTTGCTGAGCTGTCCGCGCACTGATATTCATATGATTGAATTGACAAATATAATCCGAGATCCTCTATAAACATGGCGTCTAGAATCGCAGGTCCCAGCCAATTTGAGGACCAAGTTTGGGCAGCTCGTCTGCCACGCTTTGAACGTCCTTGTCCCCTCTACCGCTTAGACAAAGCACCACATTCTTCCCACGACCAAGTCGCTTGGCCGTCTCTATCACCCCCCAGACGGCATGGGAGGTCTCAAGGGCTGGGATGATCCCTTCTAACTGACTCAACAGTCTGAAACCCTGCAGCGCCTGGGCATCCGTCGCTGCCAGAAACGTCGCTCTGCTAGTCTCCTTCCAGTTGGCCAATTCCGGCCCAACACCGGGGTAGTCCAGCCCAGCAGACAGGGAATGCGTGTCGGAGATCTGGCCATGCTCGTTCTGCAGTACATACGTGCGAACACCATGCAACACGCCAACAGACCCCGCCGACAGTGTTGCCGAATGCCGGTCCGTCTCCAACCCTTCTCCAGCCGCCTCGACGCCAACCAGCCGCACAGTCTCATCCTGCGCGAAAGGATAAAACATGCCCACGGCATTCGAGCCGCCGCCGACACACGCGACCACCGCATCGGGCAGCCCGCCAATCTCCCTCGCCATCTGCTCCTTCGTCTCCGCCCCAATAACCGACTGGAACGTGCGCACGATCGTCGGGAACGGATGCGGCCCGAACGCCGAACCAACAATATAATGCGTGGTGTCCAGCCTCTCCACCCACGCGCGGAACGCCTCGTTTACAGCATCGCGCAGTGTGCGCGACCCCGCCTCCACAGGCACAACCGTCGCGCCCAGCAGTCGCATCCGGAACACGTTCAGCGCCTGCCGCCGCACGTCCTCGGCGCCCATGTACACCGTGCACTTCATGTTGAACTTGGCGCAGACCGTCGCCGTCGCGACGCCGTGCTGCCCCGCGCCCGTTTCGGCGATGATCTCCGTCTTGCCGAGCCGCCGCGCGAGCAGGATCTGGCCGAGCGCGTTGTTGATCTTGTGCGAGCCCGTGTGGTTCAGGTCTTCGCGCTTCAGCCAGATGTTGGCGCCGCCGGTGTGCTGGGTGAGGCGGGCCGCGAGGTGCAGGCTCGATGGTCGGCCCATGTAGGCGTAGTGGGAGCGGTACTCGGCCCAGAAGGAGGGATCGTGGAGGGCGGCGGTGAAGCCGGCTTCGAGCTCCGTGAGGCAGGTGGTGAGGGCTTCCGGGACGTATTGGCCGCCGAAGGGGCCGAAGCGGCCGGTGGTGGGGTCTGGGGTGTGCGATATGGTTGGGGTTGGTTTTGGTTGTGATGCGGACGCTGCTGATGGCGCTGGTGTGGCCGGTGTAGGAGCAGGACTGTTTTCAATCGATTTCCTGGCCGTGATTTCTGCACAATATTCCTGTACTGCCTTTGCTGCGCGTCCTGCGGGCGCATTCGCTAGGATCTCGATGATATGACTCCCAATAACCGCTCCGTCCGAGATAGAGGTGACGCTCAGAAAGTGCTCGCGGGTGCTGATCCCGAATCCGACAGCCACGGGAACATTGCCAGACAGTTCCTTCACCTTCGCGATCAGCTGCGGGAGATCCGTATTCAGCGTCCCCGTGGCGCCCGTCACGCCCATCCGGGAGACTAGGTAGATAAAGGAGTCGGCTATGCTGCAGAGAGTCTTCATGCGATCCGGAGACGTCGAGGGCGCGATCAACGGGACATACGAAAGCCTTGGTGGTCAGATGATGGTCCAGCCTCTCGTTGAAATGAAACTTACCCAGTCTTCGCACACCCGTTGCGGAACCGCACCGCTTCCTCCGGGGGTAGATCGACGATGATGAATCCGTTGACACCCGCCTCTTTGCAATCAGCGAGGAGCTTGGCTTCCCCATACTGCAGGATGGGATTATAGTATCCCATGAAGAGGACGGGCGCTCTCAGCCCCTGTCCGCGTGCCGTCCGCACCATATCTAACATGGAGGAGATTGTAACCCCGTTCTGGAGGGCCTTGAGATTTGATTTCTGAATCGTGCGGCCGTCGGAGATGGGGTCCGTGAAGGGGATACCGAGTTCGATGATATCTATGCACTACTGTTAGCATTGTTATGAGATTGTATGCCGGTTCACGACTTACCTGCACCTCCTGCTTCCAAGCCGAGCATGATATCCGGTGTTTCCTCCGCTGTTGGGAAACCGGCTGTCACATATGTGACCAGCGCTGGCCGAGAGTGGGCTCTGCATTGGGCGAATGTGTGTTTGAGATGCTCCATTTTTTTTTTACTGTATAAGTAAAGAATTGATTTTGTTGTTGGATGTTTGTCTACGACGGACCTGTGGTCTTTATATCATGCTCATTACTATATATTTTGATCTGGTGGACCAGGTGCGGTACTCAGGAATCGGATATAACAAATGTCCATAGTTAGGGTTCTTCAGCCATCACTGAAAAGCAGTATCCCAGGATGCTTGGCAGCGCCCAGATCAATGGAAATAGGATAACAGCGGACTTAAGATGTTTAGCTCTGTCTGAAGAGTGGAGTTGGACGTTATTATTGGTCAATCGAGGAAGTTCTACCGGAGAAGATGCAGTAGCTCCCATAGTGGAGCATCCGCGCTGTGAGTCACCGGAGATATCACTTTGACATTCCTCCACTGGATCGTGTATTGAGTTTTTATCCGTACGGGTTGTGAATGTCATCGAAGGTGTCGTAGAAGTTGCTCTGTGGCTTGAATAATGGACGTTTGGCCCCTAGATCTATAGACGAGGGTTAAGGGATGGGGGTCGAATACGTAGAATAAACATATCCTGTCAACGTAGATGAAATACTGTATATCCCACTAGCTAGAATCCGGATACCTTTTTAGTGTAGCGGCATTACACAGATTTCAATTCTACGATATATCTCATATCAAGATCGCTCTATATCAACCTATAGATTCTCTACACAGCGTGCGAAGCAAACAGATCCCTCGTCCCATCATCCTCCTCATCCCAAACATACTCAATCTCCCTCGCAATCCCCCCCGCCACATTTCTCCCATACACCTCCCTCACAAACGCCAACGCCACATCAATACCCGCACTCACCCCCGACGAAGTCCACACCTCCCCGTCCCTCACCCAGCGCGCCTCCTTCACCCACTCCACCTCGCTCCGCAGCGCAGTCGTCTTCGTCCACAGCATCTTATTCGTCGTCGCCCGTTTCCCATCCAACACCCCGGCCCGCGCTACCACACCCGCCCCGTTGCAGATGGAAATCACATGGGCCACGGACGGGGAGATGCCGCGCACGAACTCAATCACGGGGTTGATGATCTCGGGGAACCGTGTTCCTGCCCCGCCGGGGACGAGGAGGACGTCGATGCTTGTTTGACCCGCGTGGACGGCGGTGAGGATGTCTGTCAATGTGTTGGTGGGGACTACTTCCTGTGCGCAGACGGACCCGATACGATGGGCTGCTGGGTCAGGGGATTTGGTAGAGACAGGGTCCAGGGTTGTGGAGAGGAGGGAGAGGTGGAGCTTGGTGCGCTCGGAAAGCACGTTGAGGACTTCTAGGGGGCCGAAGACGTCGAGGGCTTCGAAGCCGGGGAAGAGGAGCATTGCGTAGTGCATTTTGGTGGAAACTGTCGGGACTAACAGGATCAATATTGCAAGAGATCTCTGGGTGGTGTGTTTTCTTTCTTCTTGCGGAGGCCTGAGGGGAATTCATTATTTCTACTTCGTAAGAATGGGTGTCTAAACTCCGGACTTGGCATGGAGAAGCTTCCCGGAGATAAGCAAAGGCCGCAAGTAGCCGAATTAGTCATGGGAGCGGAAATAAGAGAGCATGTCTTTCAATAATAATAATGGTTGTTCAACAGGGGAATGTCATTACATGCAGTGGTTATTGAAAGACTCATATTATTATAGAAAAAAGAACAAAGCAGTCCATGCCAACCACATCGGCTTCATCAAAAATTCGCCTGGACCAACCATCACACTGCTATTATCGACCCAGAAGAGCATGGGCTGCGACTCCTGTTGAACCGCCACGCTCCGGGTCGAGTTGATCCTGTCAAATGTCCCCGAGAACGTCACATTAAATGTCACATGGATATCGTCCTCCTTGCCGACATAATACTTGTACGCCGTGTTGGTGTCTCCCGCACCCACGATAGTCAAGCTCAGAGTCGTGTTGGTGATTGATCCAGTGATATTCGTCCCCTCCGGCCACCCTACCGACAGACGTTCGTCGGAGCTACAGGATGATGCGGGGAGAAGGATATCACCCTCATCGTAGGCGGGCGCTGGGCTGAGGTTGGGAATTGTGCTAGCGTTGAATGATACTGCATCCGCGCGTGTCTGGTCGGGGAAGAGGTTCATGCGAACGATATCGCCCGCGCGGTAAGTGCGAGCATCCCAGTCCGTCCACGACCTGGTGGTCATGAGTTTGACCAGGCCAGGCGGCCTAGGACAATATAGTCCGTCGTTGAGATAGTCGTAGGAGAAAGTGATATCCTCCAATGCTTTGTCGGTTTCCCACGCCTTGAACCCGATTATTATAGAGTTCTCGGGACCTTTGGGATACGGCGTCTGCGGCCCAATCCACGCATAACCCAACATACGAACGGAGCCGGTGGCATTGGGGCACCTCGATCCGCCGGTGGCAGTGTAGCCTAGGAAGGCTTCGCCCTGGAAATAGGAGCCGTCGTATGTGGTCGGGTTCCTCCCTTTCTGTCCCCCGGCGTTTGTAGTCCAGTTTTGGGCGTTTCTGGGAACAAGGTCATATTTATATAAGGTGTATTGTTTGGAACCACAGCTATCGCCTGATGAGGAACTGGATCTAGAGCCCGAGCTGCTATCACTGGAGCTGTCGCCTGAGTCTTCACTGTCACCACCGCCGCCTCTTCTGGCGGCAACTGTGACTGGGAGAGCTAACAGCGGGGCATAGTTAAGCAGACTTGATAGGAGCATGGGGCCTCAAGCAACTTGATATGATGATCATGAAGAACCCCAGAGGAAGAGGACAAGTGAGAGAATTTCCCCACAACGAGGACGAACACTGTTTCACAAGGCCATAGCAATTAAACCCTCGTACTTGTATGAGAAATGGAGAATGTAAGCCGGTCATTGGGGGTGCAGGCCGTCAATACGAAGCCAAGACAGACCGGCCATTGTGCCAAGCTCTTGCAATGTCCCTCTGCTACGAGCTCAAGCCTCCAGGGGCCAGGAGTTCTTCCTGTTAAGAGTGCATCGAACGAGCCGACTTTGTTGATATCATTCCACATCATGGCTACATATCACCATTCGCATGGATGCATTAGTGCCCCTGAAATTGATACAAACATCCCTGTTAGGCAGTGCATTTCAGCCAACGAGGGCAAGCCTATCCTTCACGATATATAAGCTAATCCATGCGCGTAAATATAGAATGTGATTGGGCTGTCGACTGGATTGAGGCGCGGTCGTAGGCATCTCAGCAATGTCTCCTTGCCATTAGGCTGATTCCTCATCGATAATGGAATCAAATTTATATGCACCATCGATCATCACCGCCAAAGAAGTGCTTATCTCGTTTTACTATCACACGATGACAATCTGATGACCTGAACTTGGCGACTAGAAATTGTCTATACAGCCTCAATGACGACCGGTGTCGTGGGCAGGTAACTTATAGGTTTGCTGACTATATAAGGGACTGGGAGTTGGTCATGGGAACTGGGGGCACAGTCACAGTCGATCCTCTCGGTAGATCACACCAATATATCAGTACGTACAGGGGATCTTGCTTCGATGTTTCAGCACACGGCAAAACTCTGGCGATCGGCCTCACCAATGGCAACATTTAGTTGCACGTCCTTCGATGGAAACGATGGAAGTCCCTCTGTTCTTCAACAATGCGAGAGGAAGTGTACGCCGTGGGTACAGATTGTTACCTGGTATCGGGCGAGCCTTGACAGTCTAGAAAAACATTATTCAGTTATTGGGGATATGCGCAGGACAAACACTTCTCTCCAGCGATGAGAGGCTCAGCTGGAGTTTAACAGGACTGGTGGTATTGGGGCCCTCAAGAAAGACTAGTTCCCTTGGGGCCATCACAGTGAATAAGCTCATTGACTAGTTTGTTACAAGGCTTACATTGGATGATGCTATATAATTGAGCTATTTTGAGTCATACAATAAGCCAAAGACAGCTATTGTTGTGGGCAATAGAGTGTCCAGGCATACCAATCCGCAGCTCTCTCTCTAAATATTATCTTCCCTCTATTAACATTGCGAAGGGATCTCATTGAGAAACCTCTGGAGATAACCAAGGAAGTACAGAAATTCTCTCGTATCAACCAAGTACCACACGGTTCGGAAGACCTGTGAATGTAAGGCACATTATTTGGAGACATATCGACAGGAATTTGGCGTCTCATGCCTACCTTGGACTTGTTATCAATCTTCAGAATTTGGAATCTGTAGCTGTCTGTACACTTAAGCTTTCCGAATGTATCAAGATTGCTCCATCAATGTTCAAGATTCTATCAGTATGAAACATGGGTACTCCAAAGACCATGCTTGATATGAGAGGGCCATGGGTCGGAATTCGAGCTATTCCCAATAGAGCACCGACTGCCATTTGCCGACTGACCTAAATGCTGGTTGAATAACAAGAAACTCATTCCATGTCATTAACTGTACTCTTTCTGGATGAAGTCCCTGTTCAGGGTTATGAGCCGGGTAGTGGAAGATAAGAGGGCAAAGCGGTACGTTGAGAGCACGGAGTATGAAGTTATTCGGATCCTTACTCCGTAGATGCCTAGATTGATCAATGCTTACTTAAATAGTCTTTTGGGAACTTATATATCCGTTTACCCACCTCTTTGCATATATGAAGAGCCAGAAAGAAACAATCCCATTGAAAACGCGACCTGCAGAGGTCACAGGGATGTCGGTGCTTGTATCAAGACTCAAGAGAATATGAAGCTCTCCCAGGCAAAAACCCTCTAGGCAATGCCAAAGCCTTAGTAGGAAGAAGAAGGGGGCTTCTACTATGGTAGCAAGAGCTTCTGTACTGATATAGCCTGCTATATTATTTGATAATTTTAATAACCTTTAACCTATATGCCTATTTAACTTAGCTATTAGAAGCTACTATAGTCAAAGCAGACTACCTACTCTATTACTAGGCTTCTCCTACTAGTAATATTCATAGTACTCCTAGATTCTATCTAGTCTCTACAAGGACTGCACAGTATACACAGTATGGATAATATCATACTATCATCCAGCCACCCCATAAATCCCAACTGCTAGTCCCAGCTCAGCCTAGCGCTACCTGCCACATCCCCCACACAGCGCCACGTTTCTCCCCGACCTGCTACTCTTGAGTCCTTGACACTGTCTGCAGCAGAACCCGTTACGGGGTACGTCTACCACCATGCTCCCCAAACCATCCCTAACACGCCTCCTCATCGCAGCCCTCTGCACCCTCATCGTAACCTACAGTATGCCCTTCTGAATCCCAATCCCACCCCAAACCCAACTAACACCACCCCCAGGCCTCTACATCTACGTCACCAGCAACACACACGCCGACACCGCCTTCTGCGCCGACTGCATGCACTACGCCATGAGCGTGGAGGCGCGTATCGTAAGCGCGGGCAACGTGCGCGGCAACGCGCAGTTCTTCCGGTATGCGCTGGACACGTCGTGTCGCGGGGTGTTGTTTACGAGCAAGCGGTGCGTGGGCTTCCGGAGGGGGTTTCTGGATGATGTCGGAAGGTATATGTATGCGGTGGAGAGGCCATATGAGGCGTGTAAGGGGATTGGAGCGTGTGGATGATTAGCTGGCCTACACTGGGTAGATAGAGTTATTGATTGGGGGGTTCGGGATGCGTGGATCGGAGCGGGTGTGATTATTATCTATTATTCTGTTGTGTATCTGTATCTGTATCTGCTTGGTGTTCAGAGACTTGAGAAGTCATGACTGGTAGATCGAGAGTACGTCTGTCGAGTTCTCGTAATCCACCCCGCACGCCGTGCTGAAATCCCCATACATCGCTCCGCGCTGGCGCACAAAGTCGGCAAACGCGCGCTCGGAGCACGTCTCGCCCGGCCCGTCGCGGCACCCGACCAGCGGCTGCGGATCCTCGTTCAGCAGCACGCGGTAGTAGTTCCCCTCGTCATAGCCGAGGCTGTCGCACGCCATCTTCTCGATGGCGATGTTGGTGAGGAACGGCAGGATCTGGCTGCTGCGCCACGCGCGCCCGTAGTTGATTGTGTCCGTGGGCATGGTGGCGTTGACGTCGTAGGCGCCCGTGAAGGCGCTGTTGTTGAAGAGGCCGAGCGCGGTCAGCACGGTGGGTGGGAGCTCGCGGTGCGTGAAGGAGACGTAGAGGTCCTGCGCAACGGTGTCGTCGGCGAGGATCTGCTGCGTGGCGTTGACCCAAGGGAAACCGAGGCGTGGGGATAGCTCGCGGCCGTAGCCGGTGTTGTGGAAGTACATGATGTCGTTGCCGTATTCGAAAGCGAGCCATTCGTTGGCGGTGAAGAGGTCCAGCGAGCAGAAGGGCGAGGAGCCGCGGATGACGGTCTCGTAGCCGCAGAGCTCGAACATGCTGACGATGTCGTCGGCGGTGAAGTTGAAGGAGGGCGCCTGGGCTTGCAGCCGGGCGATGATGGGCTTGGTGTAGCGCGAGACGAATTCCTTTTTTTTTGGTCAGCTCAAGTTCTATAGGCGATGAGGAGAAGGAGACGGAGCATACCTTGGACTGGTCGGAGCCATAGCTGGAGCTATACGCCGGACAGCTCTTATAGGGCGTCAAGGAGTCGGCCCCAGTCTTCTTGTACTCTCCGACCTCGGTGAGATTGATCTGCTTGGGCTGGTCGCCCGTGAAACCGACGATGAACTCCTGCGCAGTCTTGACCGTTCTCTCCGCGGTGGACGACCAGATCTGGTCCGGGGTTTTGAAGTCCGGATACTTGTCGTGGATATCGATTCCCAGCATCATCGCCTCCTGCAGACCGACACGGGTGATCTTCTCGATGTGCGCGTCGGTGATGGGCGCGTTCCACATCCCCAAAAACGACAGGCTACCGGCCTTGGACCAGTCCTGGGTCGTATTGCGCAGCTTCTCCACAAAGGGCTCGATGTACGATTCGTAGTCGAAGTCGTTGGCGTAGATGGCCGCATGACGGACGAGGTATGCTGCACGTGTGACATTGCAGCCCTGGGGCGGGGAGGCATCCAGAGCAGGGTCGTTGGGTGAGAAATAGGGCGAGATACCGGCCAGATGGTGCAGCGGGTTGAAATTATCGGCGGTGGTGTCGGCGAGGCTCAGAGACCCCAGGGCCAGGAGAAGTGCGGAGAGACGATGCATCGTGAAATTATTGCGAGTCGGGTACCCTTGAACCCAGAACACAAGTTTCCTCTCAGACACCAGCAGATGAAGAAGTAGGGATGCGACTGCTTTGGATGCCAGAATCGTGATTTATACACGTTGTTGCAGTAGGGTCGATGTCATCGGTGTTGACCACAATCCTGGTTTGACCAAGAAAACGTCGATGACGCAGTGAAGCCGATCACCGCATCAAAGGATCTGTTGCTGTTGTGATTGCCAACACATGAACTCTACTGAATATACCGGATACCATATTTGATGCCTGAAAGTTCATTAGAATATCACACAGCTGCCCATCTGTAGTCTCCTCAGTGTCAACTTCGTGATCACCTGCATCTACCAATTGGCAATTGGCAACTGGCAACTGGCAACTGGCAACTGGCAACTGGCCCGGATAACCGACTGTTTCTCTCTCTCTCTTTGTTTACAGTGGATACGCCCCATCATCGAGGATTCTAGTCACCTCTCTAGTCCCAATGATCCAATGCCAACGCCCAGCTGGAATTGCCGGTTTTCTGCGCAGACAAAGTCCAGGCATCATCTCTTCTCTTGCCTGCCACGTCTCACCAGCAAGGAGGATGAGCCCCAACCATTTCGGGGAGAAAATGTCCAGTAACTGTCCAATGGATTCGTTTTGAATAGTATATACACAAGTTCCCCAGAAATAGATCGCTTAAGCGCAATTCCATCAACTCGCTCGTGCAACCCTCATCACTTTGCCTCCGTCCCCTGTATCTCCTGCACCAAATTCTGCGACGGCAACTCAGCCATGCCCCAACGCGCTGGACTCGACCGATCCGGAATCCCTGAACCCGAGTACGTAATCGTCGGACTCTCCGGACGCTGCTGCAGCTTCTTCTCGTACATGCGGCGCTGCAGCCAGAGTGCCGACAGCGCCGCGATTAACAACACACCCAGTCCGGCTCCTAGGCCGGCGCCGATCGCGGTGGTTTTGGAGTTGGGGTCGGAACATACCGCCGCATTGGCACTGTCGCTGTCGCTCGCTGTCCCTGGCGCGACGGCGCAGTTGGTTGCGAGGCTCGTGGCTGTCACGGGCATTGTCTCCGTCCCTGAGGCGGATTTCGTGGCCGACGCGGACGGTGTCGTCGTCGTTGATGATGAGGTACTCGATATCGCGACAATCGTGCCGATATCCACCGTCTTCGCACGGTCGCAGCAGTCCGTTCCGTTGACGCTGCAGCACCACTGATCGACTCCCTTGGCAGGACACGGGAGGAGACTAATACCGCCCGATGTAGAAACTACCCGTCATCAACTCGCAGATTCCCACGCAGGGAGGGGGTCGGGTTTGGAATCACTCACTTCCACGACATATTGACGGACAGTCCGGGCTCTTCCAGTTGTTGTCTGTGCACGCGTTTTGGTAAATCAGGCCACTGAGGCCCTTCATCTGCACGAGACACAGCCCGCTCGATAGACAGATGTCATCGGCCATGGTAGAAGGTTTATTGTTTGCGCAGCACGGGCTATTCTCGCGGTCTGGGAAGCAGGGGAGAAAGCTCCCATCGGCTTTGCTGCCGTCCGAGAAGTAGCATTGTGCGGCGAGTGCTGATGGCGTGAAGTATGCGACAAGCGCAGCGCATGCGACCAGTTTTCTAGAGAAAATCATGTTCCATAGATGGCTCCGGCGGGGAGTTGTCGTCTCAAGAATGGACTTTCGTTTCTAGGCTCCGCGTGGATCTCGAAGGGATCAGGGGGGGGGGATAGTTATATTATTGACGGAAGATGACATTGTCTCGAACATGGGCGAAACAGGGGCCAAAATTGCCAACCTCACGACCCGTAGTAATTGGTGGGCAAGCCAACTTGGCGCATGAGCAGTCAATACGAAGAACGAGGCTGATAGGACAAGGCTGACTAGGACGGGAGTGAGGAAATTGGCCCGATCCTCTCGATGCGGCTGACTCCAGCTTCTGTGGACCACCAGAATGTAAGCGAGCAGGCATGGTCATCAAGGGGCAGAGATATGATTTCAGATTGGGAAAAGGATCAAATACCGAACGCTGTCTCTCATCAGAAAGTTGAAGGAATTCAAAAGGATTGAAGGTGCTTTGGAAAGCAAAGCATGGGCGGCGCTGGATAGTGAATACTCCGTAGCTTCCTGAAAGCCAAGACCAATTCTATGCCCAAACCAGGCGCTATTCTCAATCACACCAATCAATGCAGGATTAGTGAAACCTTGTTCTCGGGCCAGATTTCATGTGAGACAGTTTGCTGAGGATTGTCGAGTTGGTTTCTTTTTCAGATAGTCCATGTGTGCACTGTGAGACCGCGCATGGACTGATTGCCATCCATATACTCCGTAGCTGTCTATCCCTAGTAAGCCGGACGCAGCCAGTCAATAGGATTACCATTCCAAACTAGGCGTCAAAATGCTAACTGTCATTGTAAGTATAGGTCATGGACGTATTTCGCGTTGATATATATATATCTATGGCAGCACGACTATAGCCGAGGGGTAGTGTGGAGGACTGTCCGGCCATTTACTGCTAAGAACAGATCGAGAATTCGACCACCGGCGTCAGGATCTGCTGCCTTCTTTTTATTCAGAAAACTGCTAATTAGATCATGACACTCTCAACCGAAATCCAAGCTGGCCTGCTCACTCTTATTAGTTTTACTGTGATGGTGGAGACGCGCCAAGAGTTCCGCCGAGCTCGATGCTAAGAAATCATCTAGGTACTCACAAACAGTACACCAGCAATGCTCATTATGACTGCATCAGGACCCGTGGAAACCTTCATTATCAGAGCTGTGTTATCCGCAACTTCATCTCTCCTCTACTACATCCCAGGAACAACCTTCGCGGTGATAAGCTCTGCTTCAGACTCCCTAGATCTTTCAAGCACGCGTGCGTGCTGTTCTTGTCAGCGCTGCTGTAATTGACGACGTTAATGATCTTGTGCTGTTGAGGCAAGTACTCCTTTTCCTCACTGTGAAATACTTCTCTGGGCTAACCCCTGTGCCATCGTCAATAGCATTATCGCCGACCTCAGTAAGTTATCTGATGGACACTACGTTAATCTCGGCTGGATCGTCGACCGATTGCTCGTCGCCTCATTTCCCATGGCAATCCTCACCCCGCTCTTGACAAAATACCGTATCGCACTGGTCTTTCGCCGGTATTAACGAGCATGCCTTCTCTAAGTACAATCATGTCTCCAACAGGCCCCAGGCGTGTGACAGATCTACAATCGGGAACCATCCGATGTATACCTGCTGGACATGCAGACGTATCTCATGGAACCGTTGTTCTTTGCTAGTATCGGGTTCGCAATCCCGTTCGTATCCTTGCGGGCAGGGAAGGAGATCTGGAGGGGTGTGGTGTTTTCTCTTCTCATGGCAGTTGTGAAGGTATGATTTGATTGATCTGTTAGTAGATTGTGCTGATGGTGGACTAGTTTGCCGTGGGGATCTGGTTGTGGCTGTGGCAGCACATGTCGTTCGTAAAGCCTCTGAAGCGATCCGACATGTCTGATAGGGATACGGAGAGCGGACAAAGTGGCCGTACATCAGATGAGAAAAAGCGCTCGCTTCATCACCACACAACGGCATTGTCGGGGATACTTTTGGGGTCTGCGATGGTCGCCCGTGGTGAGATCGGCCTTCTGATCATCGAGATCGGGTACAACGAGACCTCGTACGAGGATGCGTTCATCACGGCGGTCTGGGCGATCCTAGTAAACACAATCATCGGGCCGATGACCGTGGGGTTCCTGGTCCGGTGGTAGGAGAGAGCATTGGAAAGGGGAAGTGGGGATTGCAGGAACTCCGTACAGCACCTCGATTCCGGACAGAGTGGACAGTGTGAATAAAATAGCGCACAGGTACAAGCGGATGTATGACCCTTGTGCAGTCTACGCCTGAGATATCGAAGTGCGGTTTGTTTCTACTGGTAGAAAGTGCTGTAGTGGGTGCTCGACATCGCGATGATGGAGATGGGATTCTAGCCGCGTTTTACGAGCTTGCAGGACGGAGATCAACCACACCGACTATGTCCATCATCATTGATATCGGAGATAGGATGTCGGTGGTCGGATAACGTTGTCCGACTCTTCGACAGGAACACGATTTGTCATTCGGGAGTCTCGTATAATCGTATTCATCGCAACCATCGGCGATCGGATTGTCCAACCGCCGACAGTATACCGAGCAGTTCTATTATGGATGTTGCTGTGATGGACAACCTTAGAAGGACACATATAAAAGGCCCTGGATTGCATGCCATCATTCACAATATCCATCATCAAATCCACTCTACAATCACAAACCTACACCGCAACCACCTACCGCAAAATGTCCACCGTAATCGTCTTCGGCCCTACTGGCGGTGTCGGCGCTGCCACAGCCCTCAGCGCCCACAAACACGGTGCAAGAGTCATCCTCGCGATGCGCGACACCCAGAAGCCCATTCGGGGCCTTCCCTCCTCAGACGAGGCGTCCGGTAACTACCAACGCGTCCACGCCGACCTTACTCAACCAGACACAATCCGCGAAGCCGTAACGAGCACCGGCGCCAAACACGCCTTCATCTACGTCTCCTTTGGCTCCCCCGACTCGATGCGTGCGAGCATCGAGGCGCTCAAGTCCGCCGGCATCGAGACCGTGGTGCTGCTGAGCAGTTTGAGCGTTCAGGTGGATATCCGTGACGTTCCGCCCAGCGACTTCATCGCGTACACGCATGCGCGCGTCGAAGTGAACCTGGACGAGGTCTTCGGGCCGAGAGGCTATGTGGCAGTGCGACCGGCATTCTTTTCGAGTAACACGCTCTGGTGGAAGACCGAGGTGGTGCAAGGAGAGGCGAAGACGGCATTCCCCGAGGCCAGGCTTGATTTCATCGCCCCTGAGGATATCGGGAGTGTTTGCGGAGCGTTTCTTGCTAAGGGGTTACCTACGGGTACGAGCTTCGTACATCTGGCTGGACCAGAGCAGATGCCAATCAAGGAGGCGGTGGAAGTTATGGGTAAGGGGGTTGGGAAGCAGGTCAAGGTGGTCAAGGTCAGCGAGGACGAGGGAATAGAGGTCATGATGACGATCCATGGGATGCCGGAACCAATGGCGAGGAATTTGTCTCGCCACTATCAGACGGACAAGGGGAATGGAGCTAGTGACTTGTTCCAAATGCCAGGATATGAAGAGGCTGTTGGCAATGTTGAAAGATATACTGGGAAGCCATCACTGCGATTTCACGAATGGGTGGCCTTGAACAGGGACAAAATTCTTGCTTGATCAAGCACTGGCGAGAATAGGGCGAGCTTGTTGTGTATAGGCTTAGAGTTGATTGTATTTGTTAATAATTACATCGTGTTAGCAAAATGAACTGGCCGATTAGGGTTGAATTTGACCAGAAATAAACGCAGATATGATGCGAGGTCTAGTAGAAAGTGAAGACTTAGTCACGAGCTTTCATTGCTTTTCTTAGCTCTCGCTTGGCCCGGTCTATCAGATGGGTATGATATCTCATTCGTCGTAGCAGTGTTGTGATGAACATCATGCCAGATTACCCCCGTAGAGGGGGCCGAGTCGGTAGCGAGTGCAACGAAATATCCTGTTCCATAGATTCTACCACCTTAACCCCAGGGCACTCAACCTGGCTCTCGACTTGGACCAGCGACCGTCCAGTTTGAGCAATAGCCCACGTGCCCTCTCGTGTTGCAAACGAGATGGCGCTGCCACGGCTGCAGCTTATGGAGTTCCCCACGCAAAGGGCGGCAAACCGACATAGCCATAGCCGTGAACGAGTCGAATTACAGGCAAATGGAGTGTGCGTTGAGGAATTTTCTCCGTGGTGGACCTCGCAACTAGCAGCCAAGTCACGCGGCGAAATACCCAGAGTGGCAGCGTCGAGTGTCCAGAGAACGCATGGGAGTTTCTAACCAGAGTCTTGGCTTCTTCTGACAGCCAGACAAATAGAAACGTGCTCGAGATGGGTCTGTTATTCGTTGACCCTTCTCCATGATCTGGTCCGCCCAGCGCTGGGCGGAACTTGGCGCCAAGTCCGCCCTCCGACGCGGGACAGAGCATGAATCGGGGGGAGTGGAGGAATGGACCAATATCGGTGGGATTCTGCTTCACATTCGTGGATTTACCTGTGGGAACCGGGAGGGGCCCTGAAGTCATTCGAAAACATACGAGCGAAAAGGCGAGCCCTTGGCAATGGCCTCAGACCGCTGCCTGCCCTTGTGCTTGGTTTTGAGTATAAAGGACACCACCGGCTGCACTGCTATCGATTCTTTCTCAGGCCATCCAGCTCAAGCTTTTTCATTCCTCCCCCATCCTATCCGTCCTTCGTCTACATTTAGGTTTATCACTAAACCTGATCAAGATGATTCCCCTCGCAACCGCCAAGTACGACTGGATCCTCGCCATCACCTCCATTACCTTCGTCTTCAGCGCTTTTGGCAATGGAGCCAACGATGTCGCCAACTCATATGCCACTTCTGTTGCGGCTCGTACGCTGAGCATGTGGCAGGTCGGTATCCTGGCCGTTTGCACCGAATTCATTGGTGCTGTCGCCCTTGGCTCTCGCGTCACCGACACTATCAAGTCTGGTATTATCGACATCCGCCGTTTTGATGATAAGCCTGGTCCTCTCATGCTGGCCATGGGATGTGCTGAGATGGGTAATGCCGCCTGGCTGATGTTCGCTACGGGCATGGGCTGGCCGGTGTCGACGACGCAGACCATTGTCGGTGCTCTCGTCGGTGTTGGGTTTGCCACCCAGGCCTCTATCCATTGGGAATGGACCAAGGGCAGTGTCTCCCAGATTGCTGCCTCGTGGGGAATTGCCCCCGCCATCGCTGCCGGTTTCTCTGCCATCATCTTTGGAATCTTGAAATACACTGTTCTCGAGCGCAAGGACCCCTTCAAGTGGGCTATGCGTCTCATCCCCGTCTATCTGGCCACCACTGGTGCCATCCTCGCCCTCTTCATCGTCGTTGAAGCCCCCACTGCCCCCTCGCTTGAAGAGTTCGGTGTTGGCAAGGCCACCGGAATTATCCTGGGTGTTTTCTTTGGCTGCCTGCTCATCGGCGTCGTCTTTTTCGTTCCTTACTTCCACCGCCGTCTTGCTATGAAGGATGCCCGTGTCCGCTTCTACCACCTCCCTCTGGGGCCCTGGCTTCTCAAGGAGAACTGCCCGCTCTACTTCCCTGGCAAGGGCGACCAATACGTCATCAGCTACTACGAGGACGCCTTCGGCGAGGTCCGCGCCGGCACCAAGATCGACGAGAAGGACAACAGCAACCCCACCCAGCCTACCGATACCAAAGTCCTCACCGACCCTACTGACATCGAGCGCAACGCCGTCTCCGTACAAAGCACCCCGCAGATCAAGCCCCGCGAGAAGTTCTTTGGCTCCTACGAACGCTTCCTCCACCCCGTCCAGCACCTCCCCTGGAGCCACCCCCGCAAATGGTACGGCTATCTCAAATTCGCCTGGCTGCAGGGCGTCACCCGCGACGTGGTCACCCACGACTCGGCCGAGCTGCGCGACATCCACTCCCGCGCCCGCCGCTACGATGACCGCGTCGAGCACCTCTGGACCTACTGCCAGGTCGTCTCGGCCATGATGATGTCCATCGCACACGGCTCCAACGACGTGGCTAATGCGGTCGGCCCCTGGGCGGCCGTCTACGCGACCTTCCGCGCCGGTGTCGTCGACACCGAGACCCCCACCCCTGTCTGGTTCCTGGTCATTGCCGGTCTGCTGCTTGGCCTTGGCTTCTGGTTCTACGGCTACAACATCGTGCGCGCGCTGGGCAACAAGATCACCCAGATGTCGCCGACCAGAGGATTTGCCACGGAGCTTGGAGCGGCGATCACCGTGCTCCTGGCGTCCCGCTTGGGATTGCCCGTCTCGACGACGCAGTGCTTGACTGGTGCCGCTACGGGTGTGGCTCTCATGAACTATGATCTGGGCGCTGTGAACTGGAAGCAGCTGGGCTTTATCTTCAGTGGATGGGTGTTGACTTTGCCCTCTGCTGGATTGATTGCCGGCTTGTTGTGTTTGATGGCGTTGAACGCGCCCCATTTCTAGACCTGCTGCTTGAGCTAGAATCCTTGATGTTTTATGAATCTCTATAGACATTTTTAGTATTATACCCATTCGAAAAGTTAAGACTTATTCTCAATATCATTTGTACTCTATCTCTCTAGTACATGTTTTCATCTACCAACCTCAACGAAGTATGTATGTAGCTGTAGGATGATCCATATTCTTCGACTTTCCTTGCAATTAATTTCGACCCCATGCTTATGATTGATTGACAAAGTATAAATCTGCCTTGAACCGACAAATTATGCCTTCAGTTCAGAATGATACAAAATGATGAATCATACATACAACTTCCAGGTCACATGAGCAGTGGCCATTCATGTCACAACCCAAAAGCCCTGATGAAGCAAGTAATGATGCCTGTAAAGAGTTCGGAGAGGTTCATTCACCATGATATCGAGATCAAATGAATCGAATATACAAATTCCTCAAAAATCACCGCCCTCGCGTTCGATTCCTGACCCTCCACTACGCCTACTTCACAACAACATGCTTCATCGGCTCCATCATCCTCTGGGCCTCCTCCCACCCGCTCGGCAGTCTGCGATACATCGATGCGCTGTTTCTCGCCTTTAGCGCCATGACCCTAACCGGTCTGAACACGGTCAATTTATCGACACTGAACCTTTTCCAGCAACTATTGCTTCTCTTCTTGATCATGCTTGGCTCCACGGTAGGTTGCGCCGTGCATACCTTGCCCCAGCCCGCTTAGTTGAGAATCCTGTAGATATGGGTGTCAATCGCCGTTCTTCTGACTCGGCGCCGCGCCTTTGAAAGACGTTTTGGCGATATCATTCGTGAACAGCGCCTGCGGCGATGGAAGACGTCTGGCTCTTTGCGCGCTGGACTCAATCGGTCCCTGACGCGATCGCTGGGGCAGCTGGGCTCCTCCTCAACTAATGTGGCCCAGGAATCAGAAAAAGGCGATGGGTTGCGGGCAACTGGAACCCTCGATCGTCGACCGACAGGACGGCATGACAGCGGCGTGGGTGATGAAACTGTAGCGTCTGTTCTGGAATCCACGCCGCGGCATCTGGCTAGCTATGATGCAAAAGAGCACTTTTCCTTATTGAACCGGGCATCCACGGGCGATAGGCGCCCCTCGTTTCTTCATACTATGAATAGTGATGATGGAAACCATGTTAATTTCGCTGCCGACGTTAGGCCGCACGGGCGTCCGTCGAGTGCTTATTCTCGAATTATACCGGCTGGTAGACGGTTATCCAAAGAAAATATACGCCACTGCCGACATCCAGATCCCCATATGTGCCCAGAACATGGACATTTGTCGTTCCTCCGTCATTTCGGACGCAATGCTACGGCCCCTGAGCTGACTGATGAGGAGCGCGACAGACTCGGGGGTATTGAGTACCGAGCTGTTTGCTTGTTGACGGTCATTGTACCACTTTACTTTGTTTTGTGGCAGGTCATAGGAGGTCTAGCAGTTGCTGCATATGTGGCCCGTAACAAGGCGGGAGTGACGGAGAGAAATGGCATGAATCCATGGTAGCTCGCTCAACTTCCAACAGAGGATACGATAACTGGTGTTTTCCCGTGAGATCTGGATTACTGACTCTTCCCCAGGTGGGCTGGCTTCTTCTTTGGCATATCTGCCTTTAACAACTCGGGGATGAGTCTGGTAGACGCGAATATGGTGCGCTGAAGCCACCAAACGGAGTATGGTATTTCTGATGCGGTAGACAGGTGCCGTTTCGCTCGTCGATATTCATGCTCATCACGATGGGGCTGCTGATTCTCGCGGGTAATACCTGGTATAGTCAGTCCTTCCTTGGATCTGCAGTCCCTCCTCTCATGATAGCTCCAGCTACCCGATCTTCCTGCGCTGTATCCTGTACGGGATGAAGCATCTCCTACCAAAGCACAAGTATTTCAGAGAAATGCGTGCAACCCTCCGGTTCGTACTCAAGTACCCGCGTCGGTGCTACACCAACCTCTTCCCTGCGCAGCATACCTGGTGGCTGCTTTGCTTAGTGATTGTGCTCAACGGGATCGACTGGGCCGCCTTTGAAATCCTCAACGTAAGCCATATCCCGCTTCATGCAACGTCCCAGGTCATACTGAAAAACCAAGGCAGATCGATAACCCGGCCGTCACCTCGATCCCCCTCGGCCCCCGCGTCCTCGACGGTCTCTTCCAAGCCCTCTGCGTCCGCAACAGCGGCTTCTTCATCGCCAACATCTCCACCCTCCAGCTCGGCATGCAACTCATCTACCTCGTCATGATGTACATCTCCGTCTACCCCGTGGTCATCACCATGCGCAACTCCAACGTCTACGAGGAACGCAGCCTAGGCATCTACGCCGACGACTCCGCGCGCTCGCAGCGCGCATCCCGCTCCCCACCCGCCTCCCGCACCCGCCCCCGCGCCCCCAGCTCCATCCCCAAGAAATCGCCCTCGCGCCGCTTGTACTTCGTCCAGCAGCAGCTGCGCGCCCAGCTCGCCTACGATCTCTGGTGGATCGCCCTCGCCGTCATCGTCATCTGCATCGTCGAGGCGGGCAACTTCACCCGCCATCCGGTCACGTACTCCGCGTTCAACATCATCTTCGAGACCGTGAGTGCCTACGGCACCGTGGGTCTGAGCACCGGCCTGCCGGATGAGACGTATAGTTTCTCGGGTGGCTGGCATACGCTGAGCAAGCTGGTGCTGTGTGCGGTGATGCTGCGTGGTCGGCACCGCGGGTTGCCCGTGGCGATTGATAAGGCGATTCTGTTGCCGGCGGAGCATCTCATGCTTGCGGAGCGGGAGGATACGCGGATCCGCCGCGACCGCACGAGGAGTTGGAATCGCGGGATGGTGTAGATGCTGGGTTTGGGGAGTTTTCGGTGGTAGATTAGACATCTCTATATGGCTGGTCCTCTTGCTTTTGTACATGCTCTTCTAAACGCAAGCAGGGATCGAAGTCACTCGATATAAATGAAGAATACACAGCTCCAACGCGCGGCTCGCCTCTAAACCTCCTCCTCTCGAGACAGAGCAGGTTCCAAGCTCCCAACCCTCGCCCCTCTGCCTTTTTGAAGCTGCAACCCCCTCGTGGCGGGAATCATAAACCCAGTCCCGATATAGATGCATACGACGATATACTCCATAAGCGCCGTCATGACTACGAACGGCCCAATCGGTCCGTTCAGGTTATCCCAGCGATCATCATCCGGGTGGTAAATCGACAAAAACAGCCACGCGATGCGAACGACGAGAAACGGGACCGCGACAGCCATTCCCTTCAACACCTGTTCGCGAGGTTAGTCTGATGGATTGCAAAGGGTGGATGAGGGGGTGTCGCACCGTCACACTAGGACGAGATAGGCTCGCATGCCGTTTCCAGAAATATCCCTGGAACACGAGCAATGTGGACAGGAAGACTGCGACGATGATGTACCCGACCTCGGTAAGCGTGTGGCCGGTGCGCACTGCGGTTGCGTCCTCGTAGTTCCCCCCCACGCTACTGCCGGCGACAATGAGGGCGATTCCAGCGATGAAGAGGATGCGGGAGATCATCATTGGATACTTCATTGCGGTTTTGTGTTCGAGATCATTGTGGATTCTGGGCATGTTAGAGGAGAGGGAAGGTTGTGTTTGATGCATTGACGTACATTATCCGTAGGAGGCCGATGGTGGCGGCGATCAAGGGGAGCAGGCCGGCATTGAGAAGGATAACCGCGGCGATGTATAAGCCGACGCTCTGAGGGCTGTTCTCATAGAGAATGACAACGATGTCACAGGTGACCCGAACTAGTGGTACGTGTTAGACGGTGTGAATGGCGAGGACCCGAGGGGGGGGGGGGTGAGTACATACTCAGGCAGAATACTTGGAGAATGATCCATGGCATGCGAGGACGCCCATGACGGTAAAACAGTAGTATAGCAGCGAGTGCGATTGCCGGTATATAAAAGACAATTTGCGCGATGGCTACTTTGGAGTGATCTGTAAGCATCTTGGATAGTGTAGTAAACAAGCGAGGCGGTTGGGGATCGTGGGAAAAGTGCCTGATGATACACAACATTTGACGAAGGAGGCAATCCCACCTTTATATCCCAGATTGTAGGTCGACTAATCTCCAGCCTCAGACGGGCTGAGCATCTCATAAATGCCCACAGCATGTGTTTGTCCAATCGACTGGTATCTTCATAGCCAGCGCTCGTTTAAGCCACGTGACCTCGCAGGTTTTGACCCAGAACGGACTAGTGCGGCGGGTCGCTTGGTGCCTCAGGGAGCTTAAGGCAGTCAAGGCTTCTTTCCCATTCCGAAACACCACCAACGGGACCAGCGTTCTGCCTCTGCTCTCGGGTTCATGCCGACTGCGCCTCAAGGGGATTAGGGGGGGAGGCTGTGCAGATGCTCTCCCGGATTCCCAATCACCGTATCGATGACGCATATTTGGACAATCAAATATATTGCCATAATTGCAGTCCCTGACGCATCTTCTCCTGTATATAGATCAACCAGATTGCGTCCCGCTCTTCAGTGCGATTCTGGACCGCCCGTGTGACAATGGCAATGGGGGTAGAGGCTACGAACATTCCGAGGAGTGACAATTCTTCCTGCAGGCAGTACTCCAACGACTGGCAGACATTCCGCGCCATGGTTGTATAAGTCTTGTGGCCATCCAGGGACAGCTGATCTGCATCGATCGTGAATTGTGTCGTCTGCTTTCGGATGATGTCGTTCAAGTTGCTGATGCAAGACCACAGCAGCGCTCTGGAGGCCCAGTATAGCATCAAGAAAGAGGCAGTCTTCAGATTAGGGAAGTGGTAGACAACCGGAAACACCGCCCCATTCGTCTCATTGCCGGTAAAACTTTGAGAGAGCACTGGCCAGTAGGAAAGACCCGGTACTTCAAGCTGGAAGTTGCTGTAGACGTCTTGTAGGGCTCGATCAATTGCGTAGGCCTCCTCGATCAGTTGGCGGGTCATAGCGACGTTCTCCATCTGATCTAGAGAATCTAGGCGATCAAGCCGTTGGAGAATGAACGGGACCCCAGCAAGACAGTCCGCGATACGATCCACGCTTTTCTTCGATCTTGTTGACCATGGATTCAAGCACCACGCGCGGTCGCATAGATAGTTCGGCACGCGATGACCAAGAGCGTCGAGGATCTAGGAATGTCAGCGAAAAATCCTCATAGTAGCCGGCAGTAAAAATCGCATACCCCCGGAAATCTCACTCCCAGAAACAATTCATGACCGATCCCAGCCGTATGCGCATCCATCCCCCGGGCCTTGATCAAGGAGACGAATCCCTTGCAATGGCTGATATACGCCGCGCATCCCCTATCCGGACACTCTATGACCTCATACAGACTCAGAACCAGACACGCCGCCAGCGTTTCATCATCGTGCATCAGCCTCTGATCCCATAGCGCTGCTTGGAGCTCGCGGAGCCCCCTTGTGTATGACCTCAAACTCTGGTGGAGCAGAGATTGGTCCTTGGCTTTCCGGCCCAAGCCCGCACAGGAAAGGGCCAGGGCTGAAAACTCCAGCGCCTTCGTCCTCATGGGCAGGTTCGGCAGGAGAAGCAGCCAGGGTTTTTTCGGCGCGTTGATGAGATGAGGATGTGGAAGACAGCGACCGACAAACTGCTCCAGAAATGACTGGCGCATATGGCTACTCCGGATAATGTCGAAACTCGGCCCTGTCTCGGGAGTCGCGTGGACATTCGCGTCTCTGCGAGATGCCTTTGTGCCTGGTTGAACCAGGATAAAGCCCACCTCGCGGTGGTAGCCGGTGCAGAATCGGCGAGCCTTGATGCACTGTGTGCAGCTTGGTCTTTCGCGTCCGCACTACGATACTATGAGTATTCCATCGCCATCCTCGCGTTGAACTTACCGCGATCTTTCGGGCCCGGCAGGTCCCGCATCCGTGAGATTTTCCTCTTGAGCCGCCCATCGGTTAGACTTTGTGGTTGTAATTTGTAGTTGACGTTGGAACTCTGATTCAGACGGCTGGTTTGTTAGATATAAAGGGTGGAGGTGAGATTAATGCCTAGCTGGGATAAGCATTGACGCACTCCATTTAGCCTGGTTGCATCGCCACAGTGGTTTTGAGAGATCGAAGGATGATGAATAGGATGGCTGATAAAGAGAACGGGGATATGTAGTTTCTCAGAGCTCCCTTCGAGTATATATATCTGAAGCAGTTGCCATCACACAGTGTCTATTTGAATACAGGTACGACATTTGACAGTTCCTGAGAATTAATTAACCATTGAGACATTCGGGTAGCTGAATCCCACTGAGTCAGGAACCGCTGATTCGTGAACGACGAGGCAGCAGCGGATCGTAGGCCCTGATGCCTAGGATTTGGTCCCTGGCGGACAGCGATACATACTATGTATAATGATATAAACACGAAGACATCCAACCATCTGCATGCAAGAACGCTGAAGTAAACGAAAAATGAAAAAAATCAAACAATCCCAGCAGAGCAAAAAGCGCGTCTCCACGAGGTCGCCGACCTCCTGCTCCAAATCTACACCAGCTGGCAGCAGTATGGCAATGACCGAGTGGCTCGGTTGCAAGCAGAACTGGAGATGGCCAAGTCCTAAGACGAGAAATGGGCGGTCCAGTTCAAGCTGTGGATCGAGGAAAAGACCGAAGCGAAGAACGTGCGGGAACGGCTCAAAGCACAGGAAGCTGCGGACAGATTGTGTCCTGGAAGCGTGTGCCAGAAGACTCGGGATCTTCCTCTCTGGGAAATGGAGATGCTACGGCACGAATCTAAGCGGAAACAGGAGAGCGTGGAGAATAACCAAAGATGGGCAGAAGAGTCGACCAATTCGGATCCCGACCGAGCGAAAAGCTTCCAGGTTGACCTGAAGCATGCAAAGAGAAAAGCTGCCATCTATCAGCAGGCGTATGAGGCTACTAAGGTTGATGCAGAACGACTGTGTCCGGGAAAGACCTTCACGTCGGCTACAGGGATAGCCTCGCTCGGGAGAAGGGAGACAGTGACTAGCATCAACGTCTTTAAAGAGGTAGTTGCGACCATACAGGAGGATCTGGCTTCCGAAGGATTGGGCTGGTCGACTGCCAGACGAGGCTGTACAGGCACAAAAGTTGGCGGAGAAGGAAATCGACCGCTACGAGGAGTCAATTCTCAATGCTGAGAAGATGCTGAAGGAGTATGAAGAGAGTTTAGCAAGGTATGGCAATCAGGATTGAGCATTACCGAGTAGACTATATGTTGGCGGACCAACTGTGCCTATAGATGCAGCTGGTATATATGATATGACATGTCGATCCCCTGCTGTTGCTGCAGCAATAATGCCTATCTTTCTGCAGGTGGGAGAGGCATATTCAGACTTCACCCTTCCTCGTTCCCGTTGAGCAGATAAATCATTCCATTAACATGGCACCCATACACGCTCTATTGATAGTAATTTCGTTTCTTTCAGCGGCATTCGGAACCCCCCATCGCAGATCCTACCTCTATGTCGGGGGACAGTACACCCTTAACAGCGATGGAGAGCACATTCTCACCGGCCAAATGTACGTCGAGCGACTGACTCCAGTCAACGGCCCTACCAAACCACATCCCATCGTATTAATCCACGGCGCAGACCAAACGGCAACAGTATGTGGCCCTACCCGACACACACTTCGCTACTAACACGCGCAGAACTGGCTCAACAAACCCGATGGCGGAGAAGGATGGGCGTCCTACTTCCTCTCCCACGGCTACGAATGCTATCTCCTCGACCTGACTTTCCGCGGCCGCAGCCCCTGGCTTCCCGGCACTGGGAACCTGACAAAATACAGCACCGAGCATCTGCAACGCTACTTCACTGCGCCGGAACGATACAACCTGTGGCCGCAGGCCGGAAAACACACCCAGTGGCCAGGGGAAGGCGTCATGGGCGATCAGGTCTTCGATGCATATTACGCGTCGACTGTCCCGTCCCTCGCGGATGGCGAGACGCAGCAGCGGACGATGCAGCTAGCAGGTGCTGCGTTGCTGGACGTCATTGGCAGGCCGGTCGTGATTCTGGCGCACTCGCAGGGCGGACTGATGGCGTGGGGTATTGCAGATGCAAGACCGGATCTTGTACATGCCATGGTTTCCATCGAGCCCACTGGTCCACCATTCAACGATGCGCTATTTGGAAATGGGCTTGCGCGTCGCTATGGCCTGACGGATACCCCCATCGCCTACGCCCCGACTGTGGCTGATCCGGCTGTCGATTTCGCGAAACAGACGATTCCATCGAACTCGAGCGCGGTCGCTGAATGTGTTCTCCAGGCTGATGACCCCCCGCCGCGGCAGCTGGCCAACCTGGCTCGCATACCGACGTTGATGGTCACCACGGAGGCGTCGTATCATGTGGCTTATGATTGGTGCACTGTGTGGTTCCTGCGGCAGGCTGGGGTCCAGGTAGACCATCTCCAGCTGGGAGAGGTAGGGATCCACGGAAACGGGCATATGGTCTTCCTCGAGCAGAACAGCGACAAAGTGGCCGCGCTGCTCCGCGGGTGGATGCAAAACATTGAATAAATCTATCATCCTCTATATGGTATCTATCTCTTATAAACCAATTCAAACATCTTTCACAATCAACCCCGGACCATCCACCCGCCTCGCCCACTCCATCCAGCTCCCATCATATATCCGCCGATGGTTCTTATACCCCAGCTCCCCCAGCGCCAAGTCCAGCGCCGTAGCCGTCACCCCAGAGTTACACGTCAGCACCATCGGCCTCGTCCCATCCACGCCCGCCCCTTCAAACACCTCGCGCAGCCGCTCCCGCGGCAAAAACTCACTCGACTCCCCATCCAGCATCGCCGCCAGCGGCACATTGATCGCCCCGGGCATATGCCCCGAGCTCAACTCGGGGTATATCTCCGGCTGCGCGCCCGAAAACCGCCCGCGGATCCGCACGTCGATGATCTGGTACTCGCGGCCCCCCCGCAGAACCACATCCCGCAGCTCCTCGAACAAAATCACGCTCCCCTTCTCCAGCCCCGAGGCGGCATCGGCATACTCGTCCTCTGGCGGTGAAGGCGGGGGTTGGCGCTGGGAAGGGGGCGGGAACTCCCCCGTTGCAACGGGGAAGCCCTGCGTGACATAGACGCGGAAATTGTTGAGCACGTGCACGCGCTCGTGCCCGAAGACGCGGAACATCCACGCGGCGCGCGGCGAGCTGTAGATGCCGACGTCAACGGCGTCGTAGAGGACGAGGATGTCGTCTTTCTGGATGCCCAGGGCGCGGATGTGCGATGCGAAGTCGGCGGCGCTGGGGAGCATTTGTGGGTATGGCGAGGTGGTGTCGCGGATGAGGTCCATGTCGAAGAAGCTGTTGGGGGTGGTTGTTAGTTATGTGATAGGAATTGAGAATAGAAGGGGACGGACACGGAGCCTGGGATGTGGTGGGTTTGGTAGGATTGCGCATGGGCTGCGAGTCGTCCGGCGGCGACGGGGATGATGCGCCGGGGTGGTGGGTTTGTTACGGCGGCGTGGAGCTGGGCTGGGGTGACCAGCACGGAGTCAAAGGGGTACGTCATGGTTTGATTTTTAATATTTCCAGTGAAATATGGAGGGTTGAAGTTGATGAAAACATGAATATGGACTCAAGCTGGAGACTACAAGCAATAATAAACATGCAGTATAAGTGGGGTTGGTCCCTTCTTGGCCGATTGCGCAATCGCTAGGTAGTCTCTCCCATTCGCATTTGGTGATTTGGATTGGGTTATTGGCAGCACAATCTCCACATCTTGGTTGATTGATCTTGGGTATTTAAGCACAGTAGAAGTTCACATAGCAGTCTGGCTGTCCGTTCACCAGTTCGCACTGGTCGATTATGGGGATGAAGTCTTTGTTTGGGCAGTTGGCCTGGCATGTCTTTGCGCTTCCGCAGGGGGCGTCATCTATTGTAGTATGAGTATGGCAACCAATAAAAGCGGAATACCCAGAGAATTGGCTTACATTGGGCCAAGGCCACGGCTGTGAGGCCAAGAAGCGAGAGGATATAGCTGAATTGCATGGTGTCTATACAGTTAGATAAAGATCTTGGTTCTTGAGAAGAAGGCTCTTACTGGAAGATTGACTGCTCAGGATATTGTTCTGATATGCGAATCTGATGCTTGCCGAAGCCCTGAACCGGGGACATATTTATATTCCAGAGTCGAGAGTCAATAGTCCACGATATTTGGCATTCGGTAATTGCAAATGTAAGGGGCGCATCCTTTATTGGCCTTTATTGGCCTCAGATTGAGGCAAATTTGGCGGCGATCAACTCAATATCACCGGAGATCCCCAGCTTTGCTTTTTTTTTTTTTTTTTTTCCAGTCGTGATCTGCGCTGCTGTAGGGTCGATGCACTGCTGAAGAAGGAGAAATGCTACCAAACGCGATTCAATCACGTTCCTCATCACAGGACGCCTGTAATTTGGGATGAACCCAAAGGCTATAGTCTCAAGTAACCCAATATTCCGGCCAGTATTACTATAAATCTGGTGTTCAGACTGGTTGAATGGGAGCTCGCGGCGGAGTCTCCTGCTTGGCTATGAGGATTTGGCGCTGCAAGAGCAGTCGCAACACCAGTAAATCTTGTCGTCGATGTTGTCCTGGATGATGACGTTGATTCTGATGCATCGCTGGAAGATGACGAGGAGGTAGTGATCTCACTGGAATCTGTCGATGTCGAGCGTCTGCCGCTCTTCGTCTCTGTGATAGTGTAAGATTCTCTAGATGTGGATGTCGATGTGGATGTCGATGAGGAGCCTGATTCGGTCTCAGGTGAATATGTCCTTGTCGTACGCTCCGTCGTGGTCTCATGATCATCATCGTCGTCGTCGCTGTCCGTGCCACCGTAGCCTCCACGACACGTCCGGCCCCATCGGCACTGAAATCGTCAATAAACCTCCCGACCTTCTCACCTATTGGAGCTACTTACACAACCGCCTTGAGTACACTTGTAACCATACTCGCACTGCGATCATTAGATTTTGAACATCGGCCCAGTCCTCGGCAAACATACATAGTATCCATTACCACAGCATTCCGACTGCATAGGCACACACCCCGTGTCACATTGCTTCTCGGTGTACATTGCGCAGCAATACGTTGGTCCCTTTGACGGCTTCTTATCGTTATAACACAGCTCCCCGGCGCCACAGCAGCTTCCATCCGAGCAGCAAGAGTACAGGCAGCATTGGCCGGCACGACAAAGATGAGCGCCTCCTGTGCAGCTCAGGTATCGTGGGACCAGATCATTCTCGAATGCTTGTGAGACTGACTCGTTGCCTGAAGGTGAGAAGCGGGCGGTCAGGAAGGGTTTGAGGGTATCGCGCTCGAGACTGGTCGCTGAGGTGTTTAGGATGATGACCGAAGCCAGGGCGAGGAAAGAAATTCGCGCCATAATGTTTTTGGATTTGCATTTGTTGGAACATTGGGACCGAGTAGAGTGGTTGTTTATATAGCCGGGACCCTGGATACTGCTTGTGGAAGGGAGGTGGGACGTCGTATTTGCGGGTGCCAGCCAGGCTAAAGCGAGTCTAATCTCTTGGATAACTTGGTGGCAGACAGGCCATTGGATAAACGACTGGAAATCTTCCCGCGACTGAGTCAGGCTGGTCTAAACCTCGTATTTGTGGCCCATAGCACTAGAAGTAGATTGGTGTGGTTGAAGTCTATCTACGCTTTGAGCCCTTGACTGCCTATAGAACGGAATATGCGCTGGGAATTGGGAGATATCTATCTCTTACCATCACCCTTCTAATCCTCCCTATTTGAATAGATATGGATATAATATATATCACTAGATAGATAGGATCTAGGGCTACTCACCTATATAAAAATTATATCTATTTCCTATCACCTATTAACTCTACGGTTCTACCTAGAATCCTAGATCAGCTTCTATAGAAGACTCCCAGGCTCATAGCTTATAATAATAGTATAGTATATAGTAAGTTATATGATTAGAGGTTAAATACTACTCTAAGTTTAACTCAATGAGAGCTAGATCTAGATACTATCATACTAGTTTTCTTTATAGGTAGTAAGAGCTAACTATCCTAACTAGTACTTGTATAAGTACTTCCTGAAGTTTGTTCCTCTGTTGTTATAATTTATAAAGCTTTTAGATTTCTAAAAGCTATAATTTCTACTATAGATACTCCCGTATAGGAGTACTCCTAGGCGTTGGCTTGCTGTCTCGGTGTCCCCCCTGTCATGAGCTGCGCATGGTCAGACGCGGGCCAGAGTGCCTAAACTAAGATACGGACTTGTGCACCGCTTGAAACGATTCCTTGAAGATGCTCTGACTGAAGCGATGTGTTGGAAGTCGTTCCGCCACAGCAGGTCTGGATTGCAGAAAGCAAGTTGGCGTCATCCTTGGAATCGACGAGACGCGTGAACGTCGAGAGCCCTATAAGCCTTCTTGAAGCCGTACCTGATGCGGGTTCAGTCACTGTCTTACGGGCACAAATGGAGGAACTCGCCCCTCTGCCACCTTGCGCACTGCCTCGTTGATAACGCTCACTGCAATGCCCAGCCTCGCAGCCTCCCAGCACGGCCCGCTTCTTTGTTGGCTTTGACCCCTCAGCCGGCGTCCACTTAGATGTGCTCCGCAATGTGGGTTTCATAAGCCCGTTGGTGCTTCATCGCATTCCTATCTATCATGTTGTGTTGACACTTCTCTTTCCTCGAAACTCGACACCTTTCGCGCTTTGGTCTTATCCACGTTCATCTCCCGCGAGCACGCCTACCCGTAAGCCACGATGGCCCACGATGCTAAGTCCCCAACACTCTGAGCTCGAAAGCGCAAACGGTGCACCGATCGCGATAACATCGAGCGTGGACGAAATCCATCTGCTGACAGGCAAGAAGTTATCCGTCGCATTCGCAGCAATGCTACTGGCCCTGTTGCGTACGTTCACTAAACCTGATCTTCGAGCGCGCGACTGAACAATGTAGTAATCGCGCTGGACCAGACTATTCTACCAACCGCTGTGCCGCGCATCGCGTCAGACTTCAACGGGGTAAGTTATGCAGGACAGGCTGACGATCGTGGACTTACAACGCTCGGTAGTTCTCCCAATAAGGCAGGGTCTCCTCCTCGTTCGTCCACTGTTGGAATGTCTCTTTAATGAATTTTGTACTCCATGAGATGGACCAAAGTTAGATCGGTAATGTGTTGGTATATAGTTGGAAATGTAAAGTAAGTTTGATCAGGGAGATCTACCTACATCCTTCTGGAGCTGCTTGTATGCAAATTGATGAGTTGCCACCAGAGACACCCAAATATAGGGAAGGGAAGTTGCCAGATTTGATGAACTCAGCCCTTGTGTAACAAGGAGTCAGTCATTCATTCTTTGTTCTTTGAAATATTGTTGCTCCTTAACATTTCAGTGATCTTCCTTTTCTATATCTCCCCAGTGGAACAGATTGGAGTTTATGGTTTCAGGTCTGGTTTTATTATCTGATTGGTTGTAATTATTTCTTGTGACTTGCACTTCAGCATCTAGCACCTGTACTTATCAGGGCTGAGGTTCCAGGCTGTCATGTTGGATCTTTTGAATAGAGGGAGCGTATATATCTTGATCATCCAGAGAACCGTGAAGGGCTGCAGAGTCACTCGTCACGTATATAGTATTGCCTGAGGCAGCGGATGGGAGTAGAAAGAGCTAGAAATGCATGCCTGAGGCCTGAGGCCAAGACAGTGCAGATTGTTGGTAATGCAAACAGCACAAAGAGTGCAAACAGGCTGCGATTCCCCTGATCGATGATCTTCTCATCTGATATGGCGTTATCTCTCTGCAATCTGACTGGTCAATCAATCGGCGATGACGATCGGATCGCAGTAGCCCCCTTATCTCCAGGTTTTTCCGCTCCGATCCCTGGCCCAATTTATTGAACCCCCCCCCCCCCCAGTGCTCGGTGTAAGCAAAGGTAGTGGTACATTCCCCAGTTCTCGCGAGAGTCGCCCTGAAATTCTGTCTCTCACCTCTACGGTCACTCTGTGATCATGCACAGCAAGCACAGCACCACCCGTGCGACTGACGCCACAAAAGGTACCCCGCTGTCTCCATGATTCATGAGCCGGAATGCTGGATGGGCGCATTGGCACGCTGCTAATTCCCAGGTAGTGTGGGCTACTCTGATCACAAATACGAATTATCTTCCTGGTCTCTTCACGCTTGAGTACTCGCTTCGCAAGACGGGGTCGAGATACCCGCTCATCGTTTTGTACACTGACTCTTTTCCGGACGAGGGCCATGCTGCTCTCGAGGCCCGGGGGCTGCTGAAGCAGCGCGTTCCGCATTTGCTCCCGTCGTTACCGAAAGAGTATACCAATGACCCCCGCTTCTACGATACGTGGACGAAACTCGCTGCCTTCTCGCTGGTCGAGTATGAGCGTGTGGTGCTGCTCGATGGAGATATGCTGGTATTGCAGAATATGGACGAGTTGATGGATGTTGAACTGGATGCGCCAGAGCTGGGAGGGACGGGGAACAGAGTGTTTGCCGCCAGCCACGCCTGCGTGTGCAACCCGCTCAAGAAACCACACTATCCCAAGGACTGGTATAGCATTTGGGACCCCGCGTCAAGGGAGTCCACCGCATGCTGACCGAGCTGGACCGCAGGATCCCAGCGAACTGCGCATTCACAACGCAGCATTCCACCCCGGACGCGGCGCAAACATCGGGCGCACCCTCGGATACCGGGCTCGGCCTCTGCAACTCGGGTATCCTCGTCATCAACCCGTCTAGCGGCGTCTACGACAAAATCATCGACCAGCTGAATACCCCCGCCACGCTGAGCTACACCTTCCCCGACCAGGACCTTCTCTCCGATATCTTCCGTGGCCGCTGGCTCGCCATCCCGTACGTATACAACGCGCTCAAAACACTGCGGCGAAAGGGCGTCCACGATGCAATCTGGCGAGACGAGAAGGTCAAGAATGTCCACTACATCCTGAGTCCGAAGCCGTGGGACGAAATCGATAAGGCGGCCGAGGGGCAAGGAATGACCAAGCCGCGGAAAGCCAGCCTGGACCCCATGCACGAGTGGTGGTGGCGGTTCACGGAGGAGAGGCTGGCGAATGAGAACGAGCGCGGCCTGGCTGATCAATTTTGAATACCCGAGATACCCCATTTCTTTCGGACTCAATAAGACTTGAGAATTTCATTACATAGATATATAGCATAGACTTGAGTGGTGTGCTATGCGCCGTACTTCTTGGCCCCTTGGCATACCCATCTAACACGCCTGGATTTCCTGCCACAAGGCCACCCCTTCGTCGACGCACAGATTCTCCATCCACACCACCGACTTTAGAATTCGTCTCATTTGTTCCCACGACACAATGCCGAGCATGGCGACCAGCCAACGCAGCTTGCCCGCATACCACGCCCGCTGCGGCGTGCCCGTGGCGGCCATACCGCCCAACACCAGGACCCAAACCAGCACCTCCGGCATGCCAATCCAGTCTTGATAGCACTCTTCGACCGAACCCAGCTCGCCCCGTAGTGACTCCGCTAATCGGGGATAGGGCCGCGCCATCAACGGCGTAGGGAACACAACGAGCAGACTGAATGCTGTCACTGCTAGTCTGAACGGCTCGTTGACCCGTCGGCGGGGCGGGTCGTGGGTTGCAGGAAGCGACAGAGCGCGGTGGTGGATGATGTTCCGCGAGCCGAGGAGATACGCCATATCTAACCCTTTGAGGTGGCCCTGCGCATACTCTTGCAGCAGAACAATGTATCGGCGCAATGTATCGAAAACCAACGCAGCAGCGGGGTTGAATGAAGCCTGCACTGCCGCGAAGAGATGATCACTCCCTGTGTCTAGCACAGGGGAGAAGCGGTCCAGGAAGCGCGTGATTTCGTTCGGGTCCAACGAGGTCTTGACTGGCCAGTGCGGCTTCGCGAGATTCCTGCTCGCAGTCACCAGATCGAACCTAGCGCCGCTGTTAGTAGCCGTTGCGGAAAGGTTCCCCTGGGAAGTGGCATACGTTGATAACCCCTCCGCCAGCCCGAGCATCTCCAGCTTATCCAGTCCTCCTCGTGCCTCGACTAGGTATCTTAGTCCGTGGATGTGTGCCTCCATCACTTCAACGCGCTGTAGTGGCATCGGCCATTGTAGGTGCGACGTGGGTAAGGGGGTACCTGAACTTGTATCCGGGGGCCATGCCAGCACAAAGGCGTCGAGGATGATCTGGTCTGTAGCGTCCTCTGGGCGGCATGTATGGAGGAACTCTTTCAGCGAGAGGATGGCGTTTCGTTCGATCAGGAGGGTCTCGTAGTCTTCTGTTGTTGAAGGGGGGTGGGTGGGTTCGTTGGCGGGTTGCGGATGTTCTTGGTCTGAGGTGAGGCTGGTGGGGAATGAAGGAGGGGAGATATGCGCGGAGTGAATCCAGTTTTCGACTAACGAGGTGTTCATGTGAGTTTCTTGGAAGGATGTGGGGGGTAATCTATCGGCAGGCGCTGGGGGCTTCGGTGTTTCTCTCTGAAGGTGTGGCGGAAACAGACTATCACGACAGTGTGTTGAGGGGTCGAGGTCCACCACGCTGGACGGAGACAGTTGCGAATAGTCGCTGTCGTTTAGGTCGTGGTGTGTTGGAGTCGCAGGAGTCGATACGGATGATGTCAGGGTCTGTGGCCAGTATAGCGAGGTCGGCAAGGTATAGAAGCACGATACACCTATCCTACTTGGCTTAGTTGGGTGGATTCAAGGGACTGCTGGTGCAGGCTGCAATGTCTCCCTACCGTGTACATCGTGCGCAGCTCGGGTACTCCCGACTGCAGAATCGCTTCCCAGCCCTGCATCTCTTGCAGGATTTCCGGGAGTTAGTGGATTGATATGGGTACCCAGGACGATGCTGGCTGTCACTATGCAGACCCCCCATCAGTGCATGAAGAAAAAGGAGAACATCGACGGACATACCCGCCCTCATCCGACTCCGACAATCCATGCTCCATACGGTAAACCGGGAAATCATATTGGCAGTGCTGCTGGCCTCTACAACCCTTTAGCCAACCATGACCGACACCGGGGAACCTCGACTCACCGCACGCATCTCGAGCAAGCTGGCATCCTTCGATCACATTTCCGCTTCTTCGTCCGACACGAGAAACAGGCGGTTAGTGCCTGTTGGCGTACTGCGAGTGTCTCCGCCATACCGTCCCACGTCGCGAATATGTATATTATGGCGGAGGTATGTGCGGACGCCTGTCCCATTTATAGCCCCTGGGGGAAATATGATGCTATTCCTGTCACAGGCACGTGGCTGAATTTGGATCCATCTGTCGGGCACCGCTCTGCAGATGAAAGTATTCAGCAGCCTACAATCTGGACGACATCATGAACCCCGACGAGGTCCCCTTCATCGGCATGCGCGCCAGTGCATCATTCTTCCAAATACTCAATGTGCAATCATGGCTCTTTAGGATATACCTCACTCCACCCCATCCCGTCCCTAGGGAGGGAAAATAGAAACAGGGTTGCTAAGCTCGATTAGGTAAAAGGTCCCCCCACCCAGCCGATGTGCAGGGTAGTCAGTGAAGAATGCCCATAGTCCCGTCGTGCGGTGAAACCCGTGGGTCATCTTAGTGACGGACTTTCAGCCGGTCTACGCCCTGCATTTCCGAGGAGATCAATGGGAAGGGGGAGAGGCATGGGGAGGGGGAAGGGGATTGTATGACAGTCACGGCCCATTGGGACCAATACCGGTCTAAGCTCCTCGCTTATTTGCGTTAATCTTTGTATACAATGGCATCAGAGGCGTGGCCGTGAGCTCCGCAGATGGTCCCCGGTTTCAATGGGCGAGTCTAGTGGGAATGAATCCCTTGACTCGGGACGACCTCATATGAAGGCTATTGCCTAATGAAGTAGTAGTCTGATAAGATTCTAGAAAGGCCAGAATGCGCCGCTGGCGTTGCTCCTTAGATCGGGATTTGGAGACCTTGTTGGTACTTTCCATTGTGGCTGGATTTAGTGTAGAAGAAGTCCGCACGCTTGTCCGCTTGTGCATATATGAAAGGCTCCACCGCTGCGGTGGAATTATTGGGTTGGTCCAGTTAAAGTCCGCTTTGCTGACGGGGTGACAGGCTAATGGGGCTATTGGAGCACGGAGATACGAAATCCCCCATCACAAGTCTATCAGATCGTGGATGGATTTTGCTTTATCAGATGGATCGTTATGGGATCTTTGCGGACGAGTTCCGGAGTCAACCACGGATTCAGGTGATGCTGCTGGCGAGCTTGCAAATGCCCGATTTGAGCTGGATGCTTACAAAGATACAGAGTCATCCTTTGGTCCTGGATCAGCAGAGACACGGTGTATGACATGATGTAGGCTGTCATCATAGCACATGGAGGGCTGAGACTTGACTCTGGCGACGACAATCTTCACATCTTCAGCCCTACGAGAAAGGATGACATCGCTCACGATTGACTGGCCTGCACTTTTTATGCAAACACCGGTCTGTCTCTATTGGCCGTATCGTATCTCAAATCGTACCTTTTTTTGCCCACTGGTCGCTCCACTAGAAGAGGCTTATGCATGCAGGGGAACTCGGCTAAGTCATTGCTTGAGCCCAGTGGGCAATTCTTGCCCCAGTCTCCGTGCTTCGATCCTGTGGGTGTGACCAGTATCCTGTCTTGAGTCAAGGATGCTACTCTTTTAGGTTTTTTAACGAAGCCTGTCAGAAATTAGCTGTTGACAGCCCATCCCATATCATTCGGTACCATGCTCTCCCGACGCTAAGCCTTAGCTCTCGATGCTCTAATCCATGGACACTGCACAGATTGGCCATGTTTTGAGCACATTCGAGCCTCCAGGAGCACTAATGCTGTGAAGAACAGCCCGATCTCGAAGCGAAGTCACCTTACCGCAAGCTAAGCGAAACCCAGCACATCAAACGGCTTCAGCTGAAGAAACACTCCGGACATCATACGGGTTAGGTCTTCGCGGCTGAGCGTCTAGGCTGTCAGATTATCCGGATGGTAGCATTCATCCTTTGCAAAGATGGGAGGCGCATGTGCAAGTGACGTATCTCGAAGATAGCCTCACTCGCCCCGGACTTAAGCCAGGAACAAGGATATAAATACGGCCTGCCCTCCGCAGTTTCGCATACCCAGTCATCCACATCTTTCAACCCACATCCACCAGACCATCCACCCCCGAAGCAAAATGAAGTTCCCCGTTCTCCTCACTGCCGCCGCCTTTGTTGGCCAAGCCGCTGCTTTCTGGGGCCAGATGGACACCTCTGACTGGCTTGGAAACGAAGGCGGTTCGTACAAATACGTCTACCTGAAGGACTACAACACCGGCTCCACGTATCGCGCCTACGTCCACGGCGGATGGGACGCTTGTGCCTCTAACCACTGCACGGTCCAGTGAGTGCCCGTCCCACAGTGTCTTTGCGCCAGGACAATCAGTACCTGATCTTATCTTCACTTCGTACAGGTTCACGGAGACAAGCAAGGGCACCTACACCTTCAATGCTCAGCTTTGGAGAACTAGCAATGGCTGCCATAACATCGACTTCGAGGGCGCGCTTGATGCTCATCATGGATACTGCTGTGGTGCCTTGCCTTGTGATCTTGCGGCGTAGAGCCCTGGATTTACAGGTACGCGATTCACTAGGCAATCTGGGGAGACTTGAAGCTCATTTTCAAGTCAGAGTCGGGTACGAGATCTTGTTAGGCAAGATCGGAATGGATTTGGCGCGCAGTGCGAGAGATTGATGACGTTGGTTCTTGGGGGGAGACGCGGGATGGGGAGACGTCGGGCAGGTATTCACGTTTATTATGAGGATATGTATCCGGCCGGAGGTCTACGAGATGAATGCTACTCTGCTAGATGAAGTGCTCCTGGGTAGACTGTAGCGTAGTAGCAGGTATCCATCACTGGAATTCTGTTCCCTCTCAACATACTACATCAAGGAGTATCGACTTCTGGGACACGCGGTCTATCTTATTACAATGGTCAAGCTTCTTCGATAGGAGCATCCCTCAATATGATCCTGGAAGAAACCCTCATGCGAGCCACCTCGTTCTTAGAAGACGCTGGGTTTTTTATGACCGCGCTCTAACTTTTGTCGTGGATCTCCCTGTGTTCGGTGTATGTGTTTCCGTCATTGAATGGCAGCTCAATTGCTGGTTTAGCCTCGGCGTCTGTCTTTGGAACGCTCGAGTTTTGTTCTGGTGCCGTAAAGAGGAGGATAGCGTCCCCGTCAGGATCGAATTTGTGTTAGGTTGGTTTCATTTGGAGAATCGATGATCGTATCAATGGAGGGGATGACGTGTTGTGAGGAGCTTGTGCTTTGGGAGAGTATTGGCTTGGTGAGATGGATACGCGTAGTAGTCTATGTTATGCTTTGATATTAGTATTGAATCCAGGTGGAGAAGATTTCTCACTATAAGAATTCTTTTCAGACTCCCCTAGATACGTACAGAGGGTGGACCGTAGGGGCAAAAGAGAACTTGGGTGCTGAGTTACTGTAAAGTGTGTTAGGTTTGAGGTCCAAGTAAGGATGAACTGGAAAACGAGAGCAAGGCGCGAGCAGAAGGAGATCTGACGGATGCATCAGCTGTTGAGATGTATAGGCCCCTTTGGATAGAATATTCTCACGTCCTCGAATAAGGCGAAACATGCGTTTCAAACAGAGTAATAGTAAGGAGAGGCTTTTCCATGGAATAGCCATCAAACACATGCTGGGTTAATGTGCAGTAGATCTTTACAACTGCCTACATCTTCATATGTGTATTTCTTGTCAAATAGATAATTATTGCTACTCCTCAAAGTCCTTCAGCTCCAGTCCTCTATCAAATGCACTCAAATCTTTTGCACTTTCCATTAAGCAGAGGACTTACACTGCAACTATGCAAGGTTCTGTGGCGATTGCTATGACAGGGCGAGCCCACCCCTTGTACGGTAGGCCGCAAGAGGTCTTCTGTCTTACTGAGGATATGTTGTAGTGCGATGAGGCTAATATCAGGAACTGATGCAGCAGGAAGAGGTGGCAGCTGCCCGCCGGCGTAGAATTGTTTCACCAGCTGACCCAGGCGGAGCATCTCTGCTCTCCATCTCGAAGTTCGCACATAACCTTGTCGACAGAGTCCAACGTAGTAGTTATACCGCGTTGGCGCCGTTGCTCAATTTCCTCTGTGCACACGTCAGCGCAACAAGTTATATCCGCGAGTTTAGTGAGTACGTACCAAGTATCCGTCGCGGAATTGGTAAACCTGCAGCTTGAATTCTCTCTTTACTTCCCATTGTAGCAGTATTTGTGGCCTTCTTGAAAGAATCAGACTGACAGAATACCCAAGAAATGAAGATCCAAGAGACAATCTGGCCGTCAAATGGACCACACAGTTTCCCACGCAACTTCTTAGTCCGAAGGCTGGACAACCAATCTACAACCTCGTGGCATTTGATCTAGAACTGCCATTTCCACTAATATTCGAAAGGAGACTTATCGGGGCACTTGTCGACTGCGGCTGTGGATGATATTCATCAGGATCAGGATAGCCACGGCATCCCAGCAATACATTTGCACTTGAGCACAGCCTCCAGCCGCGAGATTCTGGGCCTCCTTCCAGGGACCGTTGAACATTCTTCGGAAAACAGGAGATACCAGAGTACGATGCTTTGAGGAGAGCCGGACTCTTCTTGGTTCATTCTTGGACTCCGTGTCTTGTGGCTCATTCGCTGAACCGGGGGCTGGCGACTCATAAGTATTTCTTGGTGTACTACTGTCTCCACTTGGTGATGTCGAGGCTCCAGTCTTTGTGTGTTCATGTTCAGCATCGGGGGCGCGTTCTGCGATTGTAAAGACGAGAATGACGTTGCCATCAGGATCGAGCTCGTGATATACAAAGCTATATGAGTATGTTGATTCTGTTTCTGTGGTCCCATTTCACAGACAGCGGCAACTTGCGAAGAACTGAATCTAATGAGCCTAGAAACCATGGAGATGTGAGAGATTAGCCAGAAGTCCAGAGCGCACACTGGTATGGCATTATAGGTATAGCTCTACCAGTCATCTTAAGACAGTACAATCAGAGGGTTGGAAAAACAATGTTACATAAAGACTCAAGAGACAGGGTCTTTGTTTTACTATTTAGCAAACTTTTATCATAAAGTGCCTGTCGCAAGTCTCAAACTGCCATCCATCGAGTTGACCGTCTCATGTACAGGAGTTTACAGATGGTTAGAAAGCTTGTTGTCTGCACTGCAGATTTGACATTGAAGAAGAAACCCCATGGCAGAGACCTATTCATGGCATGGGAAAGTACAAAGTACTGCATAAACAATGCACCAGAGTTGGTCCACATTAATTAAGCCTTCCCCTTCAAGTCTCCACGAAGAAAATATCAAAGTCCCACAAGTCAAGACCCCCCATGTCTCCTTCGAAGGTCCGCAAAATCGGTTCCAAAACACTCAACAGATCACAGTCATGCCGTATTTTACGTTTTCTGCTACGATCCCAGATGGTGCCATTTCCCTGTGTGCTTTCGATCTCCGTAGAAGACCGTCCACGAATTCAAGACTGAACCCTTCATATGGCTCATCAGGGAAAGGAAACTCGAGACCGGCGATCTTCAAGCCCTTGATCAGTGCACCGAGTTGCAGCGAGATGCATTCAGAGCAGCAATTATTCTCTTCAGCAGTCAGTGTATCATACAAGTCCTTGATTTCGGATATCAATTGTCTCAATTTTTTTTCACAGCGGATGTTGAGTTGATCTGCACTCCGAGTTATTTGAGATTCCAGGCTGTAGAAAGAAAGATAGTACGTGCTGATGATTATAGAAGGCATGGGCAAGCTAGAGTAGATTCTGCCCTGGCTCTCCGTGAGAGCGACCTTCGTAGCAGCATAGAAGAGATCTGGCTCCCGGAAGACCCTTGCAATAAATATCCAATTTACAGCGTCTCCGACGGGAATTTCTTCCCGGGGCGACAGACAGTCAATCCAATTATTCATCATGACATGCACTGGCCTCTGGCAGGAATAGAAATTGGCGATCTCGGCGATATGGGTCAGAGTGCTGAGCTCGACTTTTCGGGGAACCTCTAGCGCACAGCCGTGGACGATATTCATCAGGATTAACATTGCGTCCAAATCCCACAAGTCCATTGGGATCTCCGCAAAGCCTTTCGTATAGACAGTCTCTGACTCATTCCAACCATCGTTGAACATGGTTTTGAAAACGGGAGAGCTAAGGGCGAGATGTTTCGAGAAGACGCGCATGCGAATGCACTCTTGTCCGGCTTTCCTCGACTTTGACGGCGGCAACCGCAGAGGCAGAGCGCGCTTGTTCGTGGGAATCAGAATCAGGAGTATTCAAAGTCGCGGGGACATTACTCTCGTCTGTGTCGATGGCCATCGCGTCGGATCCGCCAGCAGTGCTTGCTGCACTCTTTCTCGGAGTACCTTTCTCTGGAAGACACAGGTGGTTAGCAGTTGAAGTAAAGTTCTGTATCAGAAAGAGACACACTGGAGCCTGGCTTGGGAAACAGGAACATCACGTCTCCCCGCGGGTCCAGTATGTAGGTTGCCTCCATTATGACTTGCGAGATGATGTGCCGCTCAGGAGTAAAAGAGGTCAGGAAAAGAACTCTAGCTGGGCATATGACTTCTGACACAACTTGGCTGTGAGAGAATTGTCGTGATGTTGAATACTAGCAGAGATGGAAGAGCAGGAAGAGACTGAGCAGAGTGGACTGTTGAGAGTGGTGTTGTGGAAACAGACATATTCCTGGAAGTGTTGGGTAGGGAAGCTGTGAGAAGTGAGGCCATCCATTGACCTCTGTCCTCCTTCCATACCCACACCCCTCTTCTTTCATATGCATTTACGGTTATCCTCTAAGACTAAGAAGCTACCGATGATTCAGACATACTCTACAGACTCTTCTCACGATCATAATAATCCTGGATAGCTTCAGAATCACCAGAGTGCTGAACCCATGGCTCCCATACAACCTGATATCATCTCTCTATTGTCGGTCAGTCCTCGGCATTACCCGGTCTTTCAATTGATCAATAAATCCAATCTCAATCCACGGTCTCAGAGCAGGCTGAAGACACCGTGTTCCCCTCCCTATTGGCGACAAAAAAGACAAACCGCATTCTTAGCTCCGCCCTGACCTAAAACTTGGTCAATCACCAGTTCGGCATCGGGGAAGACCATATGGGAGCCACGCCATCGTGTCGATCAACCTTGCACAGTTCTTTTGCGACCAATGAGACAGGTTAGAATGGATAAAGCAACACGGGAGTTTCCAGAATTGTGGGTCATGCCGGAAATCTTGCTGGCACTTGGGTGAATGGTTCGTGCCCAGGCCCCCAGACTCAAGCCCTGAAGAGATTAAATACCTCAGTTTGCCTGGCTCGTGCAGACACTGTGCAGGTGTAGTATGAGACACTTTGGTCTGGAGGGTCTACCTGAGTGAATGGCGGAAGGATACGGGTCAGTATAGTCACAGTATATGTCATCTGGTTGGCTACAGGGTGAGTTGGTGCAGAGTCGACAAAGGAATAATCCGGACGATCAAAGGTGAGTATTGACAATGCATTCACTGGTAGCATGAGGGTGCTCAATTGCGGTCTGAGTAGTCCATCAGTACGTGTCATCTCTTCTATCCGTTAAATTTCTGTAGATGTTGTCTCCTTTTCCATTCTCCTCATTCCATCTCCTCTGCATCGTTCTCATACCAACGACCTCAACAGTGCAAGACAAGAACTCAAAACAAGAACTCAAGACAGCCACTGCAACATGGCTCCTCTCCTCAGCAAGCCAGAGGTCGGTAAAGACGACGAGATCATGCTGAAGTACAGGATCTCCCCCCTCTCGGATCTCAGACTCCATATCTACCACGCGTGGGTGGGCATCTGGCTCTCGAGCAAGAACGAAACGGCTCTGCCCCCTCCCAAATGGACAGTCGAGGAGCTGGGCCAGTTCTTCCACGACTGGAAGCTCCACAATCTGCTTGACATTGAGCTGCTCAAGTCCATCGTGCAGTCGTTCCAGAGCCACGTCGCCAGCGGAAACATCACCCTCGGCGGCGATGTGCCGCCCTCCTGTGCAGAAACCAACATCCTCTCGCAGGCATACAACCCGCAAACCGAATGCTCCTGCAACGGCCTCTACCCCGTCCCGGATGGCATGACTGTCGACGCCGTGCTCAAGCAGACATCCTGCAGCGCCATCGCCGCCATGCTCTCCGCGCAGCACGACGTCGCTACCAGACAGACCGAATGGTCCAGCCGCAACGGCGCGATCTTCACTGCACCCAAGCTCGCCGCGGCAGTCAACGAGCTCGTCCTCGCCAACGCAGACGCCCAGCCCGCTCCGCGCAGCTGCACCAACCAGCCCATCCCCGCGATCACCGCGCCAGACCGCCGTCCCAGCAAGGAAACCGACTCGGACCCGCGCCTCCACAACACCCTCTTCCCGACCTTCGAGGGCATCAAGCTCTGCGCCGACGCCAAGCACCTCTTCGCCATGGCCTGCGGCGCGTCCGCGCTCGACCGCGGCCTGCTTGCCGCCATCGCCGACTCCGGCAACGACATCCTCATCGGCGACTACGCCGACGCCGCGTCCCCAACCACGCTCGCCCGACTCCAGCGCACCGGCGCCGCAGCCACGGCCTTCCTCAAAATGTGCCACCTCGCCGGCACCCTCACGGACTGGCAGTTCAACACGCTCGCCGCGGCAATCATTCAATTCCGCGTCCTCGGCTACCACCGCGACCACGCCCGCAACCGCCTGCCCCCCGCCATCCACGGCAGCCGCATGACCGGCGTCACCGTCCACCGCCACGTCGACATCGCCATCTTCCACGGCGTGCTCCCCGCATCGCTGGTCACGGGCGCCCAGCTCTCCGAACCAGCCTACATGCGGCTCTCCGAGGCCTGCACGCTCATCAACGACCTCGTCGACCTCCGCAGCGACGCCATGCGCCGCCAGCGCGAGAACGTCGTCCTCCGCGGCTTTCCCGCCACCACCAGCGCCTGCGCCTACCTCGACGGCCTGCTGACCCGCCTCCTCACCGCCGTCTGCGGGGTGATGGCCGAGGGCAAGCTGGGCGCGCTGGTCGTCATGGCGTTCTGCAACTGGGCCGTCATGGCGTCGCATCATAAGCTGTTTGAGCTGGTGGGCGGCGTGGTGCCGGTGCGTGGCTCGCCGGCCTGTCGCTACAAGTCGGTGGAGGACGGGGCGCTGTATGCGCGCTTGCTGGCGCTGCTGGAGCCGTTCGGGACCCTGGGCGAGTGGAAGCCCGATCTGCGCCGCAGGAGAGCCATGCTCGACCAGATGTATGGCCTGGCGCGGATGTCGGCGGATTCGCATGTCGGTTGGTTGGCGGATGTGACGCGCGCGTTGCTGCAGCCGGCCCAGTTGAGACGCATTGTGGATGTGGTGCACTATGAGTGGAAGGGGGGGGTGGGGGATGTTGAATATTGTCCGTAGAATGGGGCGGTCTTGGATCATTACAGACTGTACAGTCAAGGAAAGTGGAGATAGAGTATGCGGATACGACGAGACGGAATTACGAATAGAATGAGGGTATGATAATGCAATTTTGTTTTGCGTTTCTTTCTTTGTAGTGACGACTGCCCTGGTCGACCAAAGTCAAACGGGTTCAACATACTAGAATACAACCAGTCTACACGACGAAGCCAACGAAGGGAACGTAAATCCAAAAAATCTATTCAAAAAGACGGTATCGACCATATAAATCTATCTATGTGGCGTGAAATCCGGTCAGGCATAATCGTGCGCCCATGGACTCGTGTGACTCGTAAACGAAAGAACAAGGCCCGCCTTATTGCGTTCCTCCAGCCCATATCCCCCAGGGTAGGTATGGATGTATAAGAAAAGAAGCACTTCCCAACAACAGGTCTGCCGCTTAGCCCAGGTTCAGGGTAAAGGCAGCGTTCGCGCCACAGGCACGGGTGTTGTGGTCATCCGGGAACTGGTACGACTCGGCGCAGTTGGCATCGCCCGGCGCACAGGTGGCGATGGGGCAGCTGGCGTCGTCGATGGTGACGCCGAAGCCGGCGTTGATGAGCGACGACTGGGCGTGCAGGTCGATGGACGACAGGTCCCAGTAGAGGACGTTGTCGGACTCGGACTTGGTGTACTCGAACTGCAGCACGGACGCGGTGTCGGACACGGCGGACAGCTTGATGGAGACGCCGCCGCCGTTGGGGTTGATGCGCCACGCCTCGGTGTAGGAGGCGCCTGGGGCGAGCGTCTGCATCGCGTTGGCCGTGTCGGAGACAGACCACAGGTAAACTGGCTCGGCCAGGTTGTTCTTGATCTCAACGGCGCCGCTGGACGCGCGAGGAGCGACGGGGAGGGCCGAGGCCGTCAGCGCGAAGGTCGCAGCGGCGAGAGTGAAGATCTTAGAGAAAGACATTTTGGTTGAGTAGAAAGAGAGGAATCGTCGAGATTCGTAGTGAATGTAGAAGAGTAGAAAGGAGAGACTTGTGTTGGAAATAAAGAGTAAAAGACAGTGGAGGATCAACCTCGAGTCACAGGATGAAACTATTCGGAATAGAATAGAATAGAATAAAAGAAGGACTTAGTTTGAAGAAGGAAATCTGGAGAGAGGGAGGGGGCATCACGGCCTTATTTATCTTCTCGCAGATGGCCTAATCATCTGTGGGCCATACGAAGGATTGCAGAAGCGCCTCATTAGAGAGATCCAAAACGCCGTGAAGCCTTAGCCGAGATGGTACCTGAGCAGAGGATTCCCTTCCCAGCACAGTAGTCGGAGCAGATTGGCCACAATCGCCCCAGGACCCAATGGACGAAGACACATGGCAGTGGTACCTGGGCTAGTTGGGCGAATCAGCATGCATATGAGGGGAGGAAACCCTTCACTGGTGCCTGAATCACTCTGAATCACTCCGGTGAGCAGTAAGTAATAGTGGTAGTTCTTCCTGTCTGTCCCTGTCTGTCCCATGGGACTGGTGACATTGTAGACGCTCTAGTTCTACAAGTCTCTATAAAGAAAGGCTTAGGGACAAAGACACAAGTCAATAACAGTGCGTTTCCCATGGTTGACACACCACCGGATATAGTATGATTGGCTGGATGTACCAAAAAGCCCTACTGGATTCGGCTAGCCAAACTCTCCAACACAAAACAATCCAGCAGAATTTTCTACTCGGCCCGTGGATGACACTGTACAATTGAACCAATGGCCATTGTCCGCTCTACACTCACAAGTCACGGCAGCGTGGCAATATCCTCAACTCTCAAGTGTCTGGATCTGGGTCGGGATGCCGCTTAGCTCCTTTGAACTCGCTTCAAGGCCCGTCCGCCATCTCATTGGTGAGCCAGTGCAACCAGGATGCGTCCAGGATGTCTGCCGTCTCTTCCGGAAAATTTTCGAAAACATTCAAGGGTTTACTAGCCAAGAGGACAAGGTGTTGGGGGGATGTGCTGTGCTGGATAGAGCCTGGCAGGGACAACTGGACGAGTCCGCGGAGTATTATTAATAATGATGATAATATGGAAGATTTTGCCCTTTTGTGCTCGCTGCTGACGCCGCTTCTGGCCCGGCCTGGCTCAGTCTAGAGTAGAGGGGGTGGATTCACCCCAAGCAAACTCTATCGAAGAGCCAGGATAAAGAAATTAAGTGGCTTGAAGCCTGTATGCCCTACACGGGAGGAGTTAACACTAGACCTAGGGTGAGAACCAAAAGTACGTATCTCATTTCAAACGCTCTCAACATGAGATGCATCCAGGGTCAAGCACACCACGCCGCCGGATGGAAAATACAAAGAAAGCACCCCGCTCTCACCTGCGTACAAAGATCATCGGAAATCCCCTCACCCTCCAGCCGGGGTGTGGCGCTGCCGTGCCAGTCTGGCAACCAGATCTCCAACCACTGCCGGCTTCTCCTCGGTGGGATAGTGCCCTGCCCCGTCGAGCCAGACTCCGTACGGGGCCCAGTTGGCCATCAGGCGCGGGTTAACGGATCGCACCAGAACATCCTTACTATCTTTCAAGAACGGATCCATGTCGCCGAACACCACGGCCAGATCCAGCTGCTGCGCCTTGGCGCTGGATTTCCAGAAGCTGCGGATCTCGCCGTCGCGGACAGCCAGGCGCGCCTGCGCGTTCAGGTTGTCGAAGTGCGAGGGACCAGCAAGCCCCTCGGCCAGTTTCCAGAGCCAGGTCTGTCGCATGCAGTTGAGGATGATGCGGGGGACGACTGGCGCCATGTGCGAGAAGCGATAGATGCTGGACTTGGCGCTTCCGGGGAGTTGTTGGTAGGGTGCGGTGTAGCCTTCAAGATCTTTCTGCGAGATGTTAGGCGACAGGAAGCGCATGACGGCAGACTCCGGGGTGCATCCGCCCAGAATCTCGGTGGTCATGGCCCAGATGGCGTAGGGGAGGCTGTTATGTAGGCTCGTTTCGCTCGGACGGGGGGGGAGGAAAGAATCGAGCAGAAGGAGGCTGGTACAGCGAGACTTGGGTAGCAGAGGCATCGTGCACGCGGCGACGCAACTGAACGATCATGTCAGTGGTCGCGTCATACAAAGATCGGACAGCAGTAGACTCACCCTCCCCAATCATGCGCGACAAGGGTCGCATCCTCAACGCCCGTGTGTTCGAAAAACTGCATCAGAGTACGCGTGTGCAGTTCAATGGTGATCGCCTCCGGACGCAAGATCTTGTCACTGCGACCATGTCCCAGCCAGTCCACCGCGTATACTTCATGGCCGCGCTCCAGCAACGCAGGGAATACCTAGACACAAACAACCATTAGCACCATCCCACCATAAGGACCGAGTGTACTCACATCCCGCCACATAAAGCTCCAGCTCGGATTCCCATGCAGGAACACGATCGGCCGATGCGTCGTCTTGACGTCCTGGGCAACACTGCGATAGCTCGGCTTGAGATGGACGTACCGCACCGTGGCCCCGCAGACGGTGAACTCCCCCGTGTGGTCTTGCCAGGGCATATTCGCCATCCATCCTTTGCCGTTTCGCTCGGTCCGGAGCACTTCGTCTCTGGCGAATCGGTGTTTTCCTTCCAGCTGGGCTTGGGCGACTGCGTCGGCCCGCTTCCTGTATTGTTCGGTGTCTCGGACCAGTGTGTTAGGGGTGACCAGCTTCGGTGCGTTCCACAATATCGTCGGGAGGGTCTTGTAGGCAAGTTTTAAGAGATACGGTAGAAGCAGCGCGTAGGCCAGGAGCGCGCGAATTATCGTGGAGGACAGGAGCACGGAGCTCAGGTAGCCGGAGCCCATGATCGTCAAGGCTATGACAGCCTTGACCGAGCCTTTGATCTGGCGGTATAGCGACGCCATTCTGATGAGGTTGTAGAATGACTGAGACTGCCTATCTGGTGTTGCAGTGCAGTGAAGAGTAAATACTAAGAAGAGAGAGAGAGAGAGAGAGAATGGTGGAGGGAGAAGAAGAAGCAACAGATGAAGGATGATTGGGCGGTGACATCATCGCCCGGAATGGGTCTCCAAGAATCGCCTCGGGCTACTATTTCATGTCTAGACTACTATATCCGAATGGATGCAAAAAGGCCGAGATAATAATACGATCATAATGTCAAGATAGAATCATGGTTATGTCAGAAGTGGTCAACAGTCTCTCAAAAGTACAGGCAAATCTCACGATGATGCTATGGGAGCTACCACTTCAATTATTCTATACACCCCATACACCCACAATCTACAGTATCAGGTCGGATTCATTGATGGCTATTGCATGTGTTCCTAGCTTTCCTAGCCATTGATCATTGTGTACTCCAGTCAACTTGCTCATATATTAGAATAATGGACGAAATATATGTAACCAATCTCATTACTATCTTGACTCGCTAAATATATACCACATAACATAGATCCAAACGAACGTATACAATAAACATCACATCACACATCTCACATAAAGAGCATAACCGAGTCGTATATTAATTATTAGGCGACCATGAATATGTCGCTATCCGAAAGGAAATCAATCACTGTAGCGTCCTCGTCATCCAAGAATCAAAAAGTCGCATGTCGCTGCGTAGTCGTTATCGTGCAATTCAAAGTCAGGTCATTCGAAATGACCGGAATCCAGATAGGTGAGTTCTATCAAGAGTGTCTTCAAAGACTGAGTGTCTTCGAAGGCGAAGTGTTTATGCAGCGGCAGGAGCATCCAGGGGAGCGCGGGGGCTGTCGTGCTTGTCATCGTAAGGGGTCGTCTCGCGGCGCTGGGCCCAGAGGTTGAGAACCTCGAAATGGATGGCGAGGAGGGTGAAGATACTATCCTAGTCTTAGTATGATCCAAAAACGATTGGAGCAGGGGGGCTCACAAGGTCAGGAAGATGAACGCTTCGTTGGCCTTCTTGAGAGAGCAGCTGGCACCGGGGGGAGCGTTGAAGGCGCAGTTGTGCCAGTTGTAGTCTTGCGCGGCGAAGATAAAGGCCGTCAACCAGCTGGAGGAATGGACGAATGAGTATGAGGATACACAGACGTAGGAGGAGGGGTTACGTACAGGTACGAGAAGATGATATCGATCGGCAGGACGAATCGGCTCAGCTTATGGGGCAGAAACGGGGACGCGAACGCGGGGAGGAAGAAGGCAACCGACAGGGTGGACTGGACCCGTTAGCGAGACTCAAGATCAGAAGAAAGGGAATGGAGGATCACGTACGATGACTTCCCAGTAGATGGTATGTTGTCCCTTGGGCCACTTGTGGATGAAGTAGGAGGTGATACCCATGACAATGACCGCGCTGGACCACTGCATAAAGCGCAGGAAGAGCGCAACCGGGCGAGTAGCTGTTGTTGACAACATGATGGCGGATTAAGTGATATCAAATCTGAGTGCTATAGAAAGGTGGCTGAGGACTGAGCTTTGGGCGATATGAGTTGACCTGCTTGATGTGATCTGATTGTCTGAATTGAATTCTGCGGAGCATGATCTGAAGCTCTTAATATATGTCTGTTTCCATCGCCATCCCTGAGGCAAGAAGAAGGGCATTCAGCATTATGTCATATCCGCATCAGCCGTGAAGCTTTTCGACGAGAATCTTCGCCAGCGCATCATGCCATCAGCCCAGGATGATTCACGATGCAGCAAACCGCCCGCGATAAGTATCCTCATGTTTCTGGCAGCTGCCGTATCGTCGAATGAAAGCATGCAGAAGACCAGGGGTGGGGGATCTGACGCCATCATCGCGCTCGACACCATAACATTTAGCTCATCTCGGTCACTTAGAGTGCTAAGTTTGACTCACTCCCGTGGGTTCCGCATGCCGAGTTCCCGATTTACTATACTCCAACCCACTGGCGATCACGTTGTCAGGGTGGACGACAACCTTGTTCAGCCCTATATCAAGATCCAAAGATTGTACGCCAATGTGGGCTGGCCGCATCCCGACGCATCCTTAATTGGTGGGTCTGAAGATATTCCCGACGATCACCAGACCAGAACGATTCGTCTCTTTAGCTTCAACTATGCCCGACTGGGCAATTTGGCGAGTCCAGGCGGTTCCGAGAGGGAGAGCTATTTCTTGGCTCCTACAGCTAGCTAACTAACTATCTATGACAATTTTCGACCGGGATGCCTGTCAACCACGGCATCGTCATCCGACCATACACACCAACCACAAGTGAAGCCAAAAGTTCTGCGCCAACAATCTTTAGCGATCGAAAGAAAGACCTGCTGATCTCTGCATGAATGAAGAATTCGCAGAAAGCAACTCGGAATGCACTATCTCTGCTGAGGTGTGGTAGAACGCCCAAGAAAGACCTTTAGGAATCCGAACTAGCCGGCTCGGCGTGTTACTATTCACCAGGGATGTTATATGTTATATCGACAGGGACATAGATCACTCAAGAAGAACTCAAGAACTTAAGAACTTTGCTCGTCAAAACCGATATCTACGGAGTATACCCAGCTTCGTCTCGCATACAGATGGTCGGATCCACTGATGCCTCGGGATTGTCCGGATGAAAGGAAAAAACGCCATGGAACAAATCCAGTTGGCACACGAGAAACATCTCGAATGATCGATCTATTAGATGTAGCTCGAACAACGTTTGAACGGCAGAAAAAGAATAAAAAATTTATGTACAACCAAAAAAAGAAAAGAAAAAAAAAAAAAAAAAAAAAAACTCCCAACCCAAAAGTGCCGCTGGCTCATCGACTCCCCCGACCTTCAACGTCCTGCAACATTATATCGTCATCATCCCCAGCGACCGAAGCCAGCTTTGCCCCCTCGACAGGAGGCATGAACCACGCCGGATGCACCAGATTATATACCGCAACCGCCAGCACCATGGTGATGCCATCCAGCCCGATGAAAAACCACTCATGCGTGATCAGATACCCGCGCCACCCCTCCAGCAGCTCGATCGTTCGGTAGATACTCCGCACGTAGATACACACCACCGAGAATACCGTCGCCGCGAGCAGGTAGGTCATGCCGCGCGTGAACCGCGCGCGCAGATGCGGCCGGCGCGACCGCCGCAGGAAGTCCGCGCCACACACCACAAACGCTGTGATGGCCACCATCTGGAAGATGATACCCGCGACCATGGTGTTTGTGCCGGGCTCGGTGTTGCCGCCGGCTCGGCCGGATTCGGAGGATGCGAGCCCGCCGCCGGCGGCTTGCACCACGAGCGAGATGATGTCGCAGGTGCAGAAGATCCAGAGGTAGGATTTGGGGCGCAGGAATGAGCTCTCCGGGCCGAGGATCTGAATCATCCGGCCGAGGAGGATGTAGACGCCGGCCGTGAAGAAGGTCGGGGCTGGGGTTTGTTAGTCAACAGGCCTCGAGTTGGGGTCATCGCAGGTGACGAGAAGAACGTACCGATGATCAGGGTCGAGATCTGCATGAGGAATGCGTCAGGCTGGTAGGGACATACCGCCGACCAGGTTCGTGCTGCCCAGCCCAGTACCTCCGCTATATCGGTCAGCATTGCTGCATTGCCGCGGGAATTTGGTGGGGAGGAGACATACTCAGACAGCCGATTGCGAAGACGCAGCACCACCATTGTCGAGACCAGGCAAATTGGAAAGTATGGACGGCCATCGACAACCCGAACAACACGCAGAACACTATGCCCGCGGCGAGAGACGGCTTGTAGCCGTATGATGTTTCCAGGCCATCGATCAAAGGATGGCACGTGCTGTTGAGGACTTCTTGCCAGGCGGGGTCCATGATACTAGATCGGAGCTGGAATTCAAGGTAGACGTCTTCCACTGGTAACTTGTTGGTCAAACCGGTAGAGTTGACAGAGTCGTAACAGTTATTCGCAGCGCCTGAGACCAACGCTGATTTATACGACAGCCATGCTGGCAGGCAGCATCAAAATACGATACAAGACTCCACATACAGCACCGGCAAAACCGATCAGGGGTGGCTTCCCACAGCCTCCAAAGTCCAACCTCTCTGCCTGGGGAAATGGTGGATTAGATCCCTCGATCTGTATGGCCGACGGATGTCAACTATCAAGCGCAGCCACCACCATTCTCCCCGACGTGGCTATCTAGTACTTAGTGCTTACTGTTCGTGTCAAATCAACGGACAATGGCAAGCTTGAATTAGACAAGGGCGTATGGAATTCACCAGCCTAAGTTCCTATTGGTAGGGGCCTCACTGCTCTCAATAGCACCAGGATTAAACATCAAGCTTATCTCACCCGGGGTTAGTCGCCAAGACAGCAGTCGTGATAGGAGGACGGATATATATATAGTTAAAAATGGGTCTGACGTCCGCATAATGCTTCAGCCTTGAGGCTAACCTCTCGTGTCAGCCGCACAGGATTCAGGCAATAATATTCTTTAAGGTTCGTGAGGAACCCCCAAGTCCCAACAAACAACAATAAGGTCTATCTAGGTCCAGCCCGAAACCTGGCGCTGGGTGAGTGGTGAGTGGAGACAGGTTTCAATTATAAATCCTTGATCAATAAGGTTTGGTAAACTAGTGTCAAAGGAGTACTGCTTGCGAAGAGTTTTCAAGGTAGATGTCCTTATTCACAGACACTGTCACTCACCTCCGGAATTCAGTGTTCGCAGGCAAAGGTTGTAATCGTTGTATGTCATATGATATACGGCTCCTTTGTAGAGGAAACTATTCGTGATCCTTACAAGAAGTAGCAAGGCTACTACCACCAGGAACTGTGGTGCGACTCTACGGCCCAAGAGAAGGCTTTTTATCGCCGGTCAGCAACTGGACATCCGGAACATCCATCCTCTCAATCGCCTGAACAAGGTCGTGTAGCATATGCAGATGATCCCCTGTGGTTCAGGCACAAATGTCGGATATCTCCGATCACTCATGCAGTCTCCTCACTCCAAGTGCTCTGGATGTCCTGTGAGCCTCTTGTTCACAGGGTATATTTAGTCACTAATGCATGGAGCACTCTGGTTGGCCAGATAACCTCTCATACACGAGTGATAAACAGACGGCTACCCTGTAGGATGATAGATCTGAGAATCTCGGCTGTCATTTCCAGATGATTAATTGGCATATTAAGCATATTACAGAGTACTAATGAAGACTTTAGCGCATCCGATATCAAGACCCGCCGCACATCCTTTGAGCCGCATGGGCACTGCCTGTCATATCTGGTCATCATTTGATGCCTATGTATGGAGGATTAAAGTAATAGAAACCCCTTTTCGTTAACTTCATGATAATCATGGAGGCGGAAAGTTGCAAGATATTTCTCGATACGTTCTCAGAGGATCAATGGCTTTTATAGATACTCAACAAGGTCAGTCATAGGGTAGCCTAGTTTTTATATGATAGCGGAAGCATCTGTCTCAGATCGCCTTCTCCACAACTTCATTCATCATGCTGATCATACTATCCAGTTCTGGAGATCGACAGCTAAGGCCCCTGCACTGCACAGTCAGTGGATACCAGACTATTCTGAATAGAGAGATGGGTATAAGTTTCCCTGGGGTGCATATACATTGTTCCTAGCATCAATGAGTCTACTTCATGAGGACCTGCATATTGCGGTAAGCCATTCAAACTTCTGATGGGACAGACCAACAATCTCATAAACTGTCTACTAGCTCTTCCTCTCCAGTCACCATGTCTGGGGAAATCGACCATCTCTGTGCCCTGGTGGACCAAGCAGCTACACAGCATAGAAACAACCATAGCACCATCTACAATCGTAACGACCTCACCATACCAAAGGAAATCACCTCCAATGAAATCCGCACCCGGATGACGTCATCGCAAATCCCCTCGTTTTCCTCCAACAGATCCACGACCATCGCGTCGTGCGGACCTTTGCTCCGAGTTTGTTCCTCGTGGCGCTGGCACGCACTCTCGAATCCGGCCCGGCCGATCATCACCTTGACCTCACCTCTCTGATTTACATCGTCTCGGGCGAAGAAGCAAACCCCGTCAGCACATGTGTGGCCATCTCGCTGCTGCTCTACGGGCACGGAGCACCAGACAACGTGATCGCCCCTGGCTTTGGGATGACGGAGACCTGCGCCGGAGCGATCTACAATCCGTCCTGCCTGGGCTATGACCTGGCGCAGTGCTGCGGCATCCACATGAGAGTTGTCGGCGCCACGAGCACTCGGGAGGTCAGTGGGCCGATTGTGTTTGCGCGGGATTACAACAATGAGATCGCTATTGCTGAGGTGTTCATTGTGGGTTGATGGTTGAGGACGGGAGGTACGGCGAGGATCGATGGAGCAGGCAATCTCAGGCTGTCCGGCCGGACTAAGGATCTCAAGGCGGCGATTGAACAGGATAGGATGGAGGATGTCGCGCCGGGCTTAGTGGTCTGCTTTGCTACGCGGTCATCGGGCGCTGAGACCGAGCAGATCTGCGGATGATGTCCGGATGTGGTACCAGGTTCAAGCCACGATCACGCGCACGGTGCTGCTGTTCTCTGGCTCTCGTCCGTGCGTCCTCCCGCTGGATGCGTCGCATCTGCACAGAACCACGCTGGACAAGCTGTCTGGCTTGAAGCTGCGAACCGCACTGGAAGGCGGCGACTGCCACGCCCAGGAAGCGGAGAACCAATAGCTCCTCAAGCAATACCAAGATGAGATCTGGTCCCTCCCTAGTCAGCCCAACGGAGCAAGCCATCGGCATCGACGCAACCATGTTCGAAATCGGCTACGCCTCGTTGCGCGAGGCTTTACCCGAGAGGGGACTCTAGAGCACAACTGGGGCCGGGGGGGTTGGAACCGTGAGGGGTGTCTTGATTAGTAGTCAGTCATCAGTTACATTGACACACTAGTCAAGATGCATCGTCAGTAATGGACGGTCCCTCGTTGGTTTGATATTGCTTCTAGGTAGATACTATGCATTGTGCTAGAGTATGTCACGATGGGCTGATGTCCACAGATGTTGCATTCCTCCCTGCAAGCTGTAGGTGCAGATAATATATACCCAGGCCATAGACATACAGCCAGTGACATCCCATTCTTTGCATATTATTATCCGAGATGCCGTGGAAGTTTCCCACCTGAATAGGAAACCATTTGCGAAGATCCATGATAGCCCGCCCCTCATTGACACCAGGATGGACTTTCCTGATAGGACCAGGGGGAGGACGCCTGGACATGCAGCGGTGAGGTGGCAGAGCTTTGCTCGGATTCCTCGGATCTTCTATAGAATAGGATAGTACAGAGGAGGATAATCATCATAATACTCATACTAATAATCACTCTATCTAATTGCAGATACCATATATTCTTACTCTCCTAAATCCCCATTCTATCTCTTATTGAGTAGAAAACAGTCGGAGGAGGGGTGGTGTATGTCAAAAATCTGGGTAAAATGACAAATGTCACGTGATAGAAATACTCTGTAACCAATAGGAGAGTAGTATCTCAAAATCTAACTAATCAGATATCTAGATGTATATCACGTGATTTCAGTAGCCAACTAGAACTAACTAGGAGATGAGACCACACCTTATGAAAACATATATTATTATTTAGATAGTTGTCTACTAGGATATGGTAGTTACTAAAAAAGTCAAAATGACACGTCATTTTGGTCAGTTTGACATTTAGAATACCACCCCTAAGTCGGAGAGCGGCGGCAAGCGAGGTCCATTTCGGCAAAGACACTGCGGGGTTTGCCGACTCAATCCCGTCAGAAAAAGATATTGGCAAAGGCCGGCTGTGATTGGTCCAGTTAGAATACATGATCCAATACTTAACTCTGGTAGGCTTAACAGTGCTGAATCATCCGCGCTGGTCTGGCCCCGATGCTGAGAAATGCGGGGAAACAGGCCAGTGGCGGATTTTGCTGCAAGAAAAGAGTAGAAAGAGCTCGACAAAAGCTACGTAGCTATGGTCTAGCGGACAGTAGACTTCTGTTACTAAGAAGAACAGGCTGGCCGCGGTCTCTGCTGATTATAAAGTTCTCTCTCGACCCGTCCCCTCTTCCCGTCGTGATCTTTTCTTGACTGAAATATCAAACTGGCTACAAACCCACCATGGCTGAGAGCAAATGCCCCTTCAAGAGCCAGGGCTCACGGTCCAACGTCGCCGGCGGTGGCACTCGGAACACCGACTGGTGGCCTGAGCAGCTCAAACTCAACATCCTGCGCCAGCACACCACTGTCACCAACCCGCTGGGCGCCGACTTCGACTATGCCGCCGCCTTCAACACCCTCGACTACGATGCCCTCAAGAAAGACCTCACGGCGCTGATGACCGACTCGCAGGAGTGGTGGCCCGCAGATTTCGGCCACTACGGCGGTCTTTTCATCCGCATGGCCTGGCACAGCGCCGGTACCTACCGGGTGTTCGACGGCCGGGGCGGCGCCGGTCAGGGACAGCAGCGGTTCGCGCCCCTGAACAGCTGGCCCGATAACGTCAGTCTGGACAAGGCCCGGCGCCTGCTGTGGCCCATCAAGCAGAAGTACGGCGACAAGATCTCCTGGGCGGATCTGATGATCCTCACCGGTAACGTCGCCCTCGAGTCCATGGGCTTCAAGACCTTTGGCTTTGCCGGTGGTCGTGCGGATACCTGGGAGGCGGACGAGTCGGCCTACTGGGGCCGCGAGACCACCTGGCTGGGCAACGACGCTCGTTATGAGAAGGGCTTCTCGGGCTCCGACAAGCAGGGCACCGTCATTGCCGACGAGGCCTCGCACAAGACTACCCACTCCCGCGAGCTGGAGAACCCGCTCGCCGCCGCCCACATGGGTCTCATCTACGTCAACCCGGAAGGCCCCGATGGCAACCCCGATCCCGTGGCGGCTGCCCACGATATCCGCGTCACCTTCGGCCGCATGGCCATGAACGACGAGGAGACCGTCGCGTTGATTGCCGGTGGACACACCTTTGGCAAGACACACGGCGCCGCCCCTGCAGACAACGTGGGCAAGGAGCCCGAGGCTGCTGGTTTAGAGGCTCAGGGCCTGGGCTGGCAGAACAGCCACGGATCCGGCAAGGGCCCCGACACCATCACCAGCGGTCTGGAAGTCACCTGGACCAAGACCCCGACCAAGTGGAGCAACCAGTTCCTCGAGTATCTCTTCAAGTTCGACTGGGAGCTGACCAAGAGTCCCGCCGGCGCGCACCAGTGGGTGGCCAAGAACGCCGACGACATCATTCCCGACGCATACGACGCCTTCAAGAAGCACAAGCCCACGATGCTGACCACCGATCTGTCGCTGCGCTTCGACCCGGCTTACGAGAAAATCTCGCGTCGCTTCCTCGAGAACCCGGACCAGTTCGCCGACGCCTTCGCCCGCGCCTGGTTCAAGCTCACCCACCGTGACATGGGCCCGCGCGCCCGCTACCTCGGCCCCGAAGTCCCCGGCGAAGTCCTCCTCTGGCAGGACCCCATCCCCGCCGTCAACCACGCCCTGATCGACACCGTCGACACCGCCGCGCTCAAGCGCGACGTCCTCGCCACCGGCGTCAACCCTTCCAAGTTCATCTCCACCGCCTGGGCCGCCGCTTCAACCTTCCGCGGCAGCGACAAGCGCGGCGGTGCCAATGGCGCCCGCATCCGCTTCGCCCCGCAGCGCAGCTGGGAAGTCAACAACCAGCCCTGGCTGCAGGAGTCCCTGTCCGCCCTCGAGGGCGTGCAGTCCCGTTTCAACGCCTCCCGCCCCGACCGCAAGCAGGTCTCCCTCGCCGACCTGATCGTCCTCGCCGGCTGCGCCGCCGTCGAGCAGGCCGCCCACGACGCCGGCTTCCCCGTCCGTGTCCCCTTCACCCCGGGCCGCATGGACGCCTCCCAGGACGAGACCGACGTCGAGTCCTTCTCCCACATGGAGCCCATCGCCGACGGCTTCCGCAACTACGCCAAGCCCTACGTCCACGGCCGCGCCGAGCACTACCTCGTCGACAAGGCCCAGCTGCTCAACCTCTCCGCCCCTGAAATGACCGTCCTCGTCGGCGGCCTCCGCGTCCTCAACACCAACTACGACGGCTCCGCCCACGGCGTCTTCACGTCCCGCCCCGGTGTCCTCTCCAACGACTTCTTCGTCAACCTCCTCGACATGAACACCGCCTGGCAGGCCGGGCACAACGGTGAGATCTTCGAGGGCGCGGACCGCAAGTCCGGGGCTAAGAAGTGGACTGCTACGCGCGCGGATCTGGTCTTCGGATCGCATGCCGAGCTACGCGCCGTGGCTGAGGTGTATGCTAGTGCGGATGGCCAGAGGAAGTTCGTGAATGACTTTGTGGCCGCGTGGAATAAGGTGATGAATCTGGATCGGTTCGATCTGCAGGGGAAGCAGTTTATTTATCCCCGTCTGTAATGTATTTCAAGTTGATATCAGGATGATAGTATAATTCGATGTTTATGATCATTTCCCACTATCTACCTATAGCAAGGCTCCTCCCATCGGCCTTTCCCCCGGATTGTATCTGTGGGCGTCTGGCCTGTCCAGAGGGCTAATAGCTGAGCACTAGATAGTAACTGCCGGTGCCGCCGGATAATCGAAGGGACAGGTGAGGTTTTAGCTTACGCGCCCGCCATGTTTCAACTATCTCACTAGGTAAATGTAAGGATCACAAAGGGTCCTTTATGTATATAGCAGAGTTACCTTCATACAGAAGCCTACCTAAGAGGAGGCTCCCTTATAAGAGGGTATATACGTAGTTATATAATACTTAAAGATTATAACTACTATCTATAACTACTAAACTTAGGAATTTAGTAATAATCTCTTTAAATAAGAATATCTATCTTATCTCTATTTATAAGTATTCTCCTTTCATACTAGTTCACCAACTCTTATAGATTAAGGATCCTTATAGTAAAGCCATGGAAGCCTTGGCTCCGCCTCATCCATTTGCTTGTTCCGACAATACATGCTTAAAAAGCTAGCAAAAGTGCATAACTGGCCTGGTCACCCTATCCATGGGCACTTCAGCACTTAATGCACTTCGTTGTTTACCTCCTTTACTCGTTCTTCTTCATCCAGCTGGGCCCGGTCGTCCGTAGACAGATCTACCTTTTCCTCTTCCACGGCGTCACTTACCAGAGTGTCAAGGCCCTTCATGATATTATACGCCTCGTTGACCGCAGAGCTGATCTCCGGAGTATGCTGGGCTTGATCGGAAATCTCCATAAACCTTTTCGTCCACCTATGCCACAACTCCTCTCCAATCAGCTTGCAATTACCCTTTTTTTCGTTTTCTTTGAACAGCTCTTCACGAATACGAGACCCATTCATAACAAGGTATTGGGCAGCGACTATCACACGGCTGTCCCAAACGATCGTGGACGGGCCATGGCTGTCGAGGGCGTCATGGATGCCGAGACCTGGGTATTTAAATCCACCTGGATACTCATTCAATCCGGCCTTGACACAGCGCGAGAGGAATGCCGAGAAGTTCACCCAGACTTCGCATCGTTCCTGGAGCTCTGGGGAGTCGACACCGAGTTCGTGCTCGTCACCTGGGGAGGCTATGGGAAGGACCTGTCAACGATCGTTCATTAGAAAACAGTGAGTAGACGTACGATAACATTCATTCCAAGTCTCGGCCATCAATTCTGCGAAATCGGACTCGTTTTCAGAGGCTTTGGAATCTTTCTATACCGTGGTTAGTCCTGTTATGATTCTTGAATACGCTAGTCCTGCTCGGCAATGGTGGATCGCGGAGTAGCTATGGCACTCACCAGTAACTGAACAATCCTGTCCTGTCGTGTGTCGTTGTAGGGGATTAGTTGCGCCACGGTGAAAATCAGTTGATATAGGATAGATATGTATTCCCCTAGTTCTGTTCGCACGTCGTATTGCGCAAGAGGATCTGAGGAGGTCTTGGTATCAACCTCGTAGGCGTCGATTTGACAGGCTATCTCCTCGGTGATTTTGCCATCTTCTGTGGTCAGGAATGACCTGAGCAGGACCGCCAGCTTAAGATTGAGTGTATTTTCATCAGCCGAAGAGATTTGTTCATCAAGATAGGCCAAACAACTGTCCTGCGATTTGGTTATTTGTTTGTCCATTGCAAAGGCAAGAATAGCTTGTTCTTCTCGAAGGGTACCTTGACCGCGCAAGATCAGTTGAGAGGAATGGAAGCAGGTGAAAGGTCTTGGTAGCCTGTAGGATCAGTCCCTTAAGAGGGGAGGAATCCAACTAGCGAATCATAGCAACACTGACTATTTATTACGCAGCTCAACTGGACCTGGCGCTTATTTGGCGATGTGGCGTTGAGCTGATGGGCTTCGCCTGTCACTTTGTCTGATAGATTCCCGAGGTATGGAATGTCCCTGAAACAAATTCTATTGTTGGGGCTCCTGAGGAGAACTAAGTGGGAATCATAGGGTATACGTCCCAGGCCATTGCACAAGGACGGAAGGGAGCAGAAGCAAATCCATCAGAAAAAGAGTACCGCTACCAGTTAGGAAGTGATAGCTGGACACCTGTTGAGCTTAGTGGTGAGTATGCAACATGTAACAATTCCCAATCTCACTGAAGACTAGGTATCATTTGAATTCATATTTTAGATGAATTCGGAGACCGGAGCTTTCCGAGAACGAAAGAGTGAATTCACCATGACCAGTCCATGGTTACTGGTCAAGTCTACCTAGGCAACCGCCAGTCATTCCACACGCCTCGACATCTCGCCGACATGATACCCCCAGTCCGCCTTCTATCCCATTCTTCAAGCGAGGAAATGCCTATTCACGCCTTCGACTTGTCTGGCCGAGGCCGGTACATCAATGGGAGACCAGTTGGAATCGATAAACAGCTCACCGAGGAACTCGATCCCCGATTTGCGCAGAGATCTGTTTTGGCTTTGGCAACGTACGTAGATACAAACGAGCCGGTGACATTGAGGATACGCTACGAGTGAGTCCTCCACTTACTGTCCCTGGAAGCAAGAGATCTCATCTTACGCGACATAGCTTGAATCCCGCGCCGTTTGGGTACACGGATCCCGATGAGATCAGACAAGTGCGAGAGCGAGCGAGATTCCAATTCATCGAGGAAATTCGTGCCACGGAGGAAGTGGGGGATATTGGCCACGGGGCAAGCTACCTCGACCACTGCGTGCAGAAAGCAGGCTCACCGTTCCCCTACCCGGAGGGAACTGTATACTTCTTTGTTATGACGCGGGTACCTGGGGAGAAGATCCTTCCCATCCTCAACGACCTCACGGATGGTCAGCTGGAGGATGTCCGAAAGCAACTGACATTCATCCTTGAGTGCGTCGTCCTCTCCCGAGGCACTCCGTCGTTGCTTCTTCTATTGCTTTTATTTCACTATAGCGAGGGACTAACGTGTGTTTCCTATCGACAGACGGATGAGACAATGCGGCTTCCTCCTATTTCAGCCGAACCCGGACTTTTTGCGATACGACAGAGCCAACGAGAAGTTGTAAGTCCTTTACTCCGAAGGATTCTTAACATTGAGGCTAACACACTCGCAAGGTACCTCATCGACTTTGCATACATAAGCTTCACAGACCCGGACGTCCCAGATAGCCTGCCCATTACCGCCGACAGCGCCTGGGTGCTGTCCTTTGGCCTTTGGAGGCCTTTTCAGTTGACTGAAGTTGAAGACTCTTATCCCTGGGAGACCCAACGAAAACTTGAGGAAGAAAATAAGAAAAAGGCAGAGTCTAAGGTTGATGAGCCGGCAGCACTATTGCCCAGCGTGGGCAGCGGATTGGCACTTGCTGAACGGCCGGTGCAGAATATTCCTCAAGCAAGTAGCAGCGCCACCGTCCCAGTGGTGCTGCAGCCCAGTGATAGCAACCAGGAGAGTCAGAGACCAGGTCGCGCATGAGTCGAGGCAGGAAGAGGGGGGTTTTAACCGTGTTCCTTGGTTGACACTGAATAGGTTGCTGAGGTTCCATTTGCTGTAGCTTAACCCTATTGTAGGGGGTTGTCTTAACAACTATATATATCGCTACAAGCTAGGAAATGATGTATGGACACCCTTTTAGCTGAGCGATGAGTATGCGACAACTTGCTTATCGTACTTTCTGACTTGCTCTCTAGAACAGATTAACAAATTTTTGGGGCCTCCTTAATGACCCACAGACTTGCTTCGTAGGGATATATAAATTCAGTAAGGATAGTCCTTGCTGGTAGTGATATATGTAGATGTTGACATACCGACACTCAAGCGGATGCGCCTTACGTTCTACAACGAAATAACTTACCTCCAACGAGGAGTTAGCAGAGTATGCAGGTTTAGCGTTGGGAGATCAGTTATCTTGCAATAAAGTGCATGGAGAACATGGCCCTGCACTGGATGAGGGTTCTAGTGCTGTGCCATATCAATATCAATGCTATGGCTCCATCTGAGGCCAGGTCCCGTACTCCAATGTCCCACCAACGCTTCATGCGCAGCCCCATATCTGTTCCCAACCGGCTTAGCTGCATCGATAATCCGGCGCATCTCGCGCTTTTCCTCCTCTGTTAACTCGTTCTCCCGTGACGCCAAATTCTCCTCCAACCGGTGCTTCTTCGTCGTACCGGGGATGGCAATGAAGCCCTGTGCAGCGACCCACGCAAGCGCAATCTGACTGATCGTGCAGCCCTTCTTCGTCGCCAGTTTCTTGATCCCTTGCACGATGGCGCGGTTCTTGAAGAAGTTCTCCCCTTGGAATTTCGGGCCTGGCGCGGAACAGGCCAATACCGGATGGGTTCTGGACGAGTGATTTCGACTTACTCTTGCGGTGGAAATCGTCCGGGGCAAAGTCCTCGGGAGTCTTGTAGGCAAAATCATCGACCAGCCAACCATGTCCTAGTGGACTGTAGGCAACGTAAGCGATGCCTAGCTCCCTGCAGGTGTCGATCAGGCCATCTGTTTCGTGGAGCGTCTCGAAGGCTGAGTATTCGGCCTGCACGGCGTCGATCTTGGCGACTGTGGATCTGTCAGTGATGCCGGGGTGGACGGACGATATTGCAGGGACTGACTGGAGTTGGCTTTACGGAGAGTCGCCGCAGAACACTCGGATACACCGATGTACTTTGTCTTTCCGGCGCGGCGGATCTCGTCGAGTGTGGGGATGGATTCTTCGAGGGGTGTTTCTTGTGTCATCAGTATGGCCCTCATGGAGTATAAAAAGAGCATGACATACTAGTTTCAATGCGGTGGAGATAGTAAAGATCCGGAGTGAAACCGAGGCGCTCGATAGTTCCCTCAATATATGTCTTGATGTGCTCTGCAGAGTTGGTCACGGAGCCGTCGCCAAACGCATTCAAGCCACATTCTGAGGCGACTGCCAGGGACTTGTCAGTTGGAAGTTTGATTGCACGGATGGAAATAGTCATACCGAAGACCTTGTCGCGGACATTGTGCTTTCGGATAAAGTCTCCGAGGAGTTTCTCGTTCACACCGGCTTGGTAGACGACCTGTCCATTCGATATTAGAAGCGACATTGTTGCCAGGAGAGATACGGACTCACGGCAGTATCCCAGAACGTACAGCCCAACTCGATGGCCTTCAAGAGAACGGGTTCGGCTTGTTCGAGTGTGAGGTTGCTGCCGAGGCCATGGCTTAATCCCATGGCGCCAAAGCCGGGGATGGGCACTTGGATGTCAGCGAAGGGCAGTGTCTTGACCATGATGACGGCTGTTTGATTGAGGATGGTTTACTTCAAGCAAGGGAATGACTGATTTGGTGTTCGAAGATGCTGGAAACTGCCATCAAAGGCGCAGACAGCCACTGATATACTGTATCAAATACCCGTGGGTTTTCCATTGCATCATTGACGCGACGGCTCTGCATGTCTCATCGAACAATTCACACAGATTGACGGGCACGATCCCTGTAGATTGCTGACATCTCTGCATCCCCATCCCAAGGACTATGCTTATCTCCGGACGAACACCGCCTAGTGCTTACAATGGGGCTCTGCAGCATACTCTGGCATGTTTAATGAGGATTGACTCGTCATGATCCGACGATTTGCAGGCCCAACTCCTACTGGTCAGACGACCTTCTCTATGATTTGATGGGAGTTGACATAACCACATCACCCGCCATGGTGGATGAATCAGTGGCAGCTTGTCTACTTGTCCGCATCAGATATGACTGGAAGGGGAGCATCTTAGGGCCTATGGACTGATAACTCCTAACTCTGAGTTTGTGACAAGGAGGAAGCTATGGGGAGATAGTCATGGCGAGAGTAAAAGAGACTACGATGTAGTATATGCTCTGAAGGGAGCGACTGTCGAAGGGAAGCCATTCAGAATATCACACACCAGACGTGTTAACTTAGCATTTCGGAATGTCCTTGCTCATGGCACTTGCGGTGGTTGACATTGATCTGATCATCCATAAGCCTGGTGCTGGTGACCTAATATGAGGGAAGTTGTGATAGAGTTCCAAGCCATAACATAGGAAAGAGATGAACTCATCTTTTCACCATAAAAGCTTCCTTCAGCAAATGGAACGAGCAGCAAGCTGCCTCAGGTGAGTGCCATGGATGCTCCAGACATAAGGCTAGGCTTGGTAGATTTCGCTGCTCTTGTATTAGTGAAAGGATCTTGATTCTAGTCGCGTTGTAACACTCGAGAGTAATCACAGTCGGTCTAGCTCTGGTTGGTGCTCAATCTGATCTTGGTATCTGGAGCAAATATAGGAAGTCCATGACCTGCACCTAACAATATAACAATATACACTTACTCGTATACTCTGGCAACTACGGAGTATATAAACCGCCCTCACAACTCCAGTACTACTATCCATGAAATCTTCCCCTAAAAAGAATTCTATCGCTATGTTCGCCACCATGACCGATTGATCATCTCATGGATCTGTTCAGGGAGGTTCCTGAGGAGTCAACAAGTCGGTATCATATCATGAGATAAGTACTATAGTCTGGGAGCGTCGCAAATGTGTATGCAATGAATGATAATCAAGAAAATTAAATGGTCTGATGAGTAATATCTATCTGGACAAAGAGAATCTAAGGGCGAATAGTAGAATAAAAGAGAAAAAAAAAAAAGAGAATTAAGAGAGTGAGATGCCTAGACTAGTCCGTCGGACAAGCCACCGCCCCCTTCAACGTCTTCGTCACAGTATGCGTCTCCGTAACCGTCGTCTTAACTGTCCTCGTCTTTGTGCTCGTCGCGCGCGACGTCACCGTCACGGAGGGCTTGAGAGTTTCCGTGGTCGTCTTCACCACCGTCGTGGTCGGTGTCGCCAGGGTTACCGTGGACTTGACTGTCAGGACATCTGACTTGATCACGGTAAGCGTGCTGCGCGGCAGGGAGACGGTCGATCCCACCGTCGTAGTCTTGATGCTGGTGATGGTCTGGGTTGCGCCATGCACGGTGGCGGTAGACGTCCTGGTGGCCAGCGACGTCGCGGTGACTGTGGTCGTGGAGGCTTTGAGGGTGGTTGTCTTTCCAACGGTGGAGGTGCTCGTTTCCGTGACGAAGCTGGTGATAGCGGGGATGGTGCTCGTCGAGGCCTTGATGGCAGTCGAGACGACGGTGAGCGTAGTTGTCGGCGCTCTGAGAGTCGTGGTCTTGCCGGTGGTCTTGGTCGTGGTCGCGCTGATGATGGCGGTGGATGCGGGCAGCTTGACGGTAGACGTCTTGACGAAGGTCGTGAAGGTCGTGTATTCGGTGACGGTCGCGGTGTTGGCGCGCCGGAAGACGGCCCGCTTGGCCTCAGTTGGAATGCACCTGAGGGTTGTTGTGACGGACTTTGTGGTCGAGACTGTCGAAGTGACCGTCTGGGTGGTGGTAGTGGCTTTCGCCGTGGTGGTCGCCGTTCCTGCGGTCCCCTTGGTGATCGTCACGCTGGAAGTTGTTTTGACCGTACGCGGAGTCGAGGTCTTGACGCTGGTGGTCGTGCTGACGGCCGTCGACGTGGTTGTCAATGCCTTCGGTGTCACAGTTGTGATGGCTGAAGAGGTCGTCGTGCTCTTGACCGTGACCGTGGCGGGTGCTTCGGTGATTGTTGCCATGACTGTGCTCGTCTCTTTGACCGTCGTGGTCTCCGTGCTTGGAGCTGGAGTGATGGTCCGCCCCACATCGCTGGTCACAACGACCTTCCTCGTGCTGGTCACGGTAGGCTCTGTGATGACCACTGTGGTGGTGATAGTGGTCTTCTGTGTGGTTGTCTTGGTCGACTGGGCGGCAGTAATCGTAGAACCAACGTCCTCGGTGACGGTGAACACGGCTGTAGTCGTCTTATCCGCAGACGTGACCGTCGTGTACGCCGTCTCCTTGTCCGTGACGGTCACCAACGTGGTCACCATCGCAGAGACAGCGCTCGTACTCGGCGCCGGCGTCGTCAACGGAACAGCAGTGCTGGAAACAACCACACCCCCCGGCACAAACGGAGTACCACTGACGCGCGTCATATCAATCCACGACGTACTGCCAAAGAAGCTCGCCAGCTGGAACTGCGCAACAGCAGCGTCATCCAGCTGCGTTGCAAAGGACGCCCGGTTCGCGTTCCACGCCCCGGGCCCGGAGTTCTGATACTCCCCGAAGACCACGCCATCCGTGTTCGGACTGCTCGACAACCACGTATCCCATCCAGCCGCCGTAATCGACGAGTCCAGGTACGAGCCCACAAAGGCCACCCGGGCAAGCGCGTTCCACGGCCGCCCCAGCGAGAGCGAGGACATGCTACCTGCGCCCATTGCCGGAACAACGGTACACTGGTCAAAGACGAACCCAGCGGCCGTCGTATTGCTCGCGCGCTTATGAGCCGTGAGACTGATCCCGTCGCGATTCGACGCGATCGTCGACTTGAGGAAATACCCCGCCCCGGCGCCCCAGATCATATCGATGTTCCCCTCGATGTAGCTGTTGCTCGCGAAGAAGTACCCGTTGATCAGCAGTGCGTCCTGGTTGCCCTTGACCTGGCACCCGTACAGCGCGGCGTACTTGCTCGATCGCACGGCGAACCCGAGCGACGCGTAGTTCTTCTTCCCGCCAAAGTCGTTGACGAAGTTGATGTTGCGGGCCTGAAAGCCGTTGCCCGTCGCGTAGACTGTCGCGCTGTCCGTGTTGGACTGGTCTGCCTGCGTGTCCACGCCTGCGTTGTACTGGATCGTGACGGTGTTGCTGGCGTAGTCGAAGGGGGATGTCGAGTAGCCCAGGAACACGGTTGTGCCGGACCGGTTGAGCACCAGCTGCTCGTGGTACACGCCGGGGTAGATGAATACAGTCGGTGTCACTTTGCTGGAGGCGGGGAGGGCATTCAGTGCGCTCTGGATGGTCTCGTACGTGGTTAGGTTGTCGATCGGGGTCTTGGACACGATGTATGCACCGGCTGGAGGGGTTGTCCCGTCGTATGCCGTGGGGGTTGGAGTCGGGGTAGCACCGGGAGTCGTCGTCGGTGTGGTGGATGGTGTGCCTGCTGGGACGGTGATCGAGTCCCAGTGAGTCAGGTCAATCCAGTCCGTTGACCCCATCACCGCGTCGAGTGTGTACGTATCCGACTCCAGCAGGGTGGCCTTCCCGAAAGACTGGCGAGCAGCCACATTGTTCTCCCAGTTGCCCGGGCCGGAATTCTGGTACTCCGCGAAGGTAATGTAATCTGTGCGCGGGTCGGTGGTGCTCCACACCTTCCATCCCGCGGGCTGGATCACGTTCGACAGGTACGAGTTCTTGACGACGACGAGGGAGTACGCGGAGTACGGACGGCCGATGTACACGCTCTTGGTGAGATCGACCGTGGCGCTGGGCGCGGCGTCAAAGAGACACTGGTCGAAGATGTAGCCTCCGATGGCCGCGGATGAAGCCCGGCTCTGTGCGACGATGGCGGATTTAGCTTTCTTCGCCCCGAGGGTGCAACCCTTGAAGTAGGCTTTGGAGTAGCCCCAGATGAAGTCAATCGCGCCTTCAATGTAGCATGACTCGTAGTACTGGTAGCCGGCCGTGCTGCCGGTCAGCAGGGTATCCTGCCAGCCGACGAAGCTGCAGCCGTAGAAGCCAATCTGGGACCCGTAGATCGATGCGGCAAGCGTCACGTACGACGGCTGCGATCCATCCAAGTTTTCGGTGTTGACCATGTTGATGTTGTACAGGGCGATCTTGTTGCTGGTGGTTGCGAGCGTTGCGGTCTCCGAGTTCGAATGACCGCTTGGCAGAGGAGATACGGACAGCCCTCGTGCAAAAGTCAGGGTGACTTGGTTTGTCTGGTACGTTTGGCCAGGGTTGCCGGGCTGGTACCCGATAATTTGCACAGGTCCCTGCCGGTTGACCGATGGAACTTGCTCATTGTACGAGCCGGGGTACATGAAGATGATCTGGGTGGAGGCATCATTCGGAAGAGCGGCCAAGGCCGCGGTCAAGTTCCGGTAAGACCCAGTGATGGACTCATCCTGCGAAACTAGGAGCGCACCAACTGGAGGAGTGGTTCCACTTGTCGGGTGTCCCCATGTAGCCGTGGCTGTGGCGGTAGGAGTGGACGTAGCAGGGCTTGTCGAGTTGGTCGCTGAAGGCCCAGTGAGAGGATAGGAGGGCACGGAGTTGTACGCCTCCATATCCAGCCAAGAAGTGTCCCCAATCCACGACGATAGCGAATACTGAGCCGCTTGCTCCGCCGTCAGGCTGGTAGCAAAGGTCGCACGTCCGGACGACCAGGCTCCAGGGCCCGAGTTGCCATATTCACCGAAGGTGACATGGCCCGTGTTCGGCGAGCTGGTCGACCAAATATCCCACCCAGCAGCGTTAATGTGCTTGTCCAGGTAGGAGTTCAGGTAGACGGCGATACTGAATTCGGAGTATGGTCGGCCTAGGTACGTACGACCGAACGTCGTTCCATAGCTGTTGGTGTACGTAAGGTAGCAGGAGTCGAATACGTAACCTCCAGCGGCGGTAGACGAGGACCGACTCTGAGCTGCAATAGACGTGCCAGGAGTGTTGGTGGCAAGGTAGCATTGATGGAAATAGGCGGTGGAGAAACCCCAGATGTAGTCGACGGATCCCTCGATGTAGCAGTTGGAGAAGACTTGGGTTCCTTTGTTCGCGAGCAGTGTGTCCTGATAGCCAATGAACGAGCAACCGTAGGCCGCCAAGTTTGAGCCGTAAAAGTCGGCAGCTAGAGCAGCAGTATTCCTTGTCTGGGGATAGGTGTTGACGAAATTGATATTGTACAGCGCCAGGCCAGACCCATCGTTCTTCTTCGCATAGATCACCGGAGTCTCCTCGTTGCGGCCCTCGGACGTTAGGACACCAAATGAGAACTGGATGGTCACACGGTTCTGCGTGTAGTCATTCTCAAAGGAGGTTTCGCCGCGCAGGGTAACTTTGCCCGCACGGGTGATGGAAAGCTGCTCTATGTAGGTTCCTGCCTTGATGTAGATGGTGTATGGCTTTCCGTCTTTGGGCAAAGCTGCGATGGCTTGGCTCACATTCGCATACTGTCCAGGACTTGGGTCCTGTGAGACGACCAGGGTTGATGTCGGCGTGGCTGTGGGAACTGTCGAGGAAGTAACCGTGGAGGCTGTAGGAGTCGAGCTGTGAATGACAGCCGTCGAGGACGTCTGGACCTGAGCGGCTTTTACGATCTCAGCCAGCACATCTGCATCCACCCAGCTAGTTGTCGAAGAGGCAAATTGCGGATAGACTCCGGCGAAGACCCGGGCAACGGAGAACCGATCCAAGTCTGACTGACTCATGAGGGAGACATACTGTGACCGAGACGCCTGGTTGCTACCGTAGGATCCAGTTCCTGTAGTTCCATATTCACCGTAGAAGTTGAGGGTACCTTGAGTTGCGGAGTCGACGTGGGCGCCGGTACCAGCGATCAGCCCATCAAGACGGCTGTTGCGGTAGACAGCAATAGAACCAGGGCCATTGTTTGCCGCGGCAAGGTAGACATTCTTGTTGCTCGCTCCTTGTTTCTGCAGCACAGAGCAGGAATCGAAGACGACAGTTGAGTTGTACAGCGTGGATCCGGAGGTGTATCCCTTGTTGTAAACGAGCAGAGCGCTGGAGCCAGTCGGCACAATCTTGGTATTGAAAATATACAGACTCGGGTAGCCGTAGATCAGCTTATCCACGGCTTCAATGTAACTGTTCGCAATGATGCCGAGGCCGAGACTGGCATCGATACCTACACTGCCGGCAGAGATGAGCTGGCATTCATAGAAAGCATTCTGCGAGCCACGAATAGTCGCTGCAGCTCCCCCTGTGGCAGTGTTGACAAAGTTGATGTTCTTGAACGTAATACCAATGACATTAACCGAGATGGTGAGAGGGCTTGCAGTGGAGATGACCACCTGATTCTGCGCGTAGTCATCTTCCTTGTTTGTTTCGCCGATTACAATCACCGAAGGAGTGGCAGACACCGTCACAGCTTGTGTATAGGTTCCTGCTTTCACAGTGACTGTGGAAATCCCCTTGCTCTGAGCATAGGAAATAGCGTCGCCGATAGCGGTGAAGTGGCCGGTACTATCCGTGGCAACCACTACCGCTGTAGTAGATGTCGCTGTAACGATCGATAGGTTAGCATCTATCCTTCTTGATCATGGTTTCTATTGACTCACGTGCAGAGGTAGTGGTGGTTGAGACGGTGGAGGATGAGCTTGTTGACGAGCAGTCGGTGGCAGAAGGTGAGGCTACAGCAACAGAGAGCGTGTTGCGACACCCAGGAGCTGTTCTCGAGGGGTCTATGGTGTCACACTGAGCGATAGCGAGGCTGGCTAGGCCCGCTACGCTCCAGTAGTACCAGAATCGCATGATGGCTGACGAGAGAACCACCAGCCCTGACTCTTGACACCTTCCTCTGCAGCAGGTGAAATGAAAGGGAGCAACTCGCATATAAAGCAAAGAGCCAAGGACTTTGACGAACAAGGATTGATGGTTCCCAGTCGATGAAGCTCAGCTAGTAATTGGGCCTAACAGCCGAGGCTGGGACTGGAAAATTTACGATGAAGCCAACCCTGGTTCCTAACTGTCGGCTGGGTCGAGGACTCGAGGCAAATCGAAGCGATGAATTGCATATGGACAGCCTCATGGAGGAGGCAGTTCCGATCCACCTGTACCATACTACCATACTACCATGCTACCAGTCTATCACAGCATCATTACTCTATACTACCACGGGCATGTCAATTGCTGCTGAAGCACGTGGTTTCTATTCTAATTGACAAAATCGTCTTATGAAACCATTTTCCACCAATCAGGTTAGTGCATATAATGAGGCTAGAATGCTTTTAGCCTAGTGCCCGCCAACGTACCAAAGAGCTGATTGGATACTTATCTCCAAAGAGAAATACCCGAACCAATCAGAGGGGACCCTTTCGTTCTGCCTCTTGGCGGCCTTTGAGAATCTTCCTTGGTTTCCAGATATCAGGCGTATTAAATATTCTGCAGTCGTGTAAAGCAGAACACATACCCAGCTTTCACTATAGCATCGGCCCATTTAGTTGCACCTATTCCCAAAGCAGTCATATCACCGCGTTACCAACTTTGCAAGGTCCTTGAAAAGGGGACAAGCTCATTCCCTATCTTTGTAATAAAATCAGATATCTGAATTGATTTTACTACTGAGGCTGAATAGATTAGTAGATTTGTCGCCAGCGTGCTAGGCCTTACTATCTAGGGGCCATGGATAGTATTCACTCTCATTCTGCCTTACACGACTGCAAAATACCCCTGATATATCTACTAGAGTCTAGGTTCCACAAAGTAGAAAGCTCGTCCTCTTCAACCGAAGCCGTAGTTGGAATTGCGACTGAAGACTACATCAGCTCTAATCACGAGACCACTTCAGCGTCGACATCGGTATAGTCCGCTCTGGTCCGCTGATATGTCCTCGTCACCAAGCATGTCAGTCGTACTGATACTGGGTACAAATTCCCCGACGAAGGCCCGACTTTCGTACATTGTGGCTGAGATAGTTCTGCAAGGCTTCAAGCGTGCAGCGAGTGGATCAGAGATCGTATACCATCGGTTAGAATTCGCCGCCAGGGTCTTCGGTCAGATTCCGGTGTGAATTGCACGGTTGCACCCCAGTCGGATCGAAACCAGGCCAACGGTAGCGATGCCAAGAAGGTCTTGTTTCGGATTCCATACATTGGCCAGATGGCTTAGGCTCTTGGCAAGAGGTCTGATAACCTAGACTTCCGTCAACATCAATTCTTTTCTGTATATATTTCCAGCACACTGTACAGTACTTTACCCTATCTACACTTGTCACAGTGGACTAACTCTATGCTGATATTAGCCGTATTTTGTAGTGGTGTAAAGCGGTAGAGATAAACCTTCTCCAATTGAACCTCAAAGTCCGTCGCCACATGCTCACCCCGCTGGGTGATGTACCACGATAGCGTATAATAATGCTTCTGGCGGTCCTTGTTGCTTTTCCATAAAGACCGGGTGTGGAAGAGCCTCTGCACAGGTGTCGCTGTAGCCTGCAAGCTCCTGCCCCCTTCTTCCGCAACTTCGACGTTAGACTGGCTTCTCAGGCGATCTTCCAGCCGTTCGATCGTGTCTAGTTTGAGGACTTGCGCGGCTGGAATCGAGTACCCTGGCTGCTCTAGAAAGTTTGAAACTTGAATGGCCGCCCACGAGTTTCCTCCCAGTCGCGTGAAAGACGAGCTCCGGTCCATATTCCTGAATCGGTTCTGCAGACACCGGGGAAAGGCCAAACGTAACGCGTCATAAGCCGTGAGACTATTTGTCTCGAGAAGAGAAGCGCCTTCGTGGGGATCATCATCTTGGGCCAGCTTCCCGTCCAATTGGGCCTGGAGCGCTAAGCGATCTGTCTTACTATTGACATTGAGAGGGAAACTGTCCATGGCGAAGATCATATCAGGCATGACAAACGGATCTGCACGACTCTGCATAAATTTGCGTAGTTCTTCAACATCAACCTGTGGACGGCTGCACACAATCCACAAGCCTATCACGCCGCTGGAAACCCACGGCTAAGTTGACCTGAGGATACGCCTGCATCGCCGGTTCAACTTCAGTCTCCAGCTTGATCAAGAAGCCGCGATTTTTGACGAGCTAATCCGCACGACCTGCCCATATCAGCTGTCCGTCTTCGGTTTTGCGTGCGAAATCCCCTGTCCTGTAAAAGCGCTCGCAGTTCCATTCGATGAACTTTTTCGCTGTTAGTGTAGGATTGTTGAGACGTCCAGCAGCCAAACCAGGTCCTGAGATCAGGACCTCGCCATAGTTGGACTCCTTCATTCTCCTCATCGACCAAGACAACCTTCACCCCGGGGATAAGCTCGCCAAAAGGCACCTCCAGGAAGTGTGATGGGGAGGCTATCACCAGCGTGGCACCCTTGGACAAAGTCGTCCAGACAACTGGAGCATCCATGTAGGATCCTTCAGCGATGGACCAAATAGCTCCATTGCCTTTATAGATCGTCTTGTGTATCTGGACATATCCGTCTTGGCTGAGTTTAGGTGCCAGTTTCACGGCTGACACCCGGTGGCTGACAGCCGAAATAGCTGCTGAAGGGTGAATTCCCTGATATGTGCCTAGAGGGTTTAGAGTCAGACTAAATGCTTGACTAGACATGGATATCTTAATCAAGTGCCTGACAAGGTACAAGCGCCTTGTTCCGCCCTTTTATAGTAGGTGCCAGATAAAGCAAATTCCTACTCCAACTGGTGATTGGGGCTTGTAAGCTTGTAGCCCATAATAGCGTGTGTGCTAATAACTGCACTTATCACGCAACTTCACTGTCATTTCTTGCTTTTCCCCCTGATCTGAAACTTTTCCTTCCCTCTTTTTGCCCCAGAGAGTAGAGACTCGGATGATGGGGAGGGCAACATGCTCCATCTCAACTAAGAAAAATTTGACTTCAACCTTCAATTTGAGAGTCTCTTTTTCTCGATTCTTCCCTTCGTCTTGTTAATTCCATCATCGCTATGGCGAACTCTGGCACGGATACGCAAGCCCGGTGTGGTGAATGCGCCCGTCTTGCAATTCATCAAAACAGTATGCTCTGACCCACCGTCGATAAGCTGTATATCAAAAGCATGGGATGGTTTGTGGTGGCTTGGATTCTGTTCTTTGCGGCCCTCTGGGGTCTGTTCACCAATTACCCAACCATCTGTGCGTCTCCGGTGCCTTTATCTTCAATCAATTTCATTAATTAGCTTGATAAATGCAGGGCTCACATACTGGAGTGACACCACCGAGTCCATCCATCTTGCGCACTCCAACGCCTACTATGAGGGGATCTATGCCCTCCTGCAGATCTGCGCCATTATCGCCCTCCTCTTCCAGGGGATAACGCTCTTCATCGTCTCTGTGAAGAAAGCCGGCGCCAATCTCCACCAGCAAGCCTTACGCACCCTGATTCGGGCACCACTCGAGTCGGTTTGGGGAGATGGTGGCCGCTGCTGGTGCGTAGCAACTTCTCGCCACATCTGTTCAGTGCTAGCTCTACCCTAGCATACTTAATCTCAATTGAATTATATTTGTAACCACACTCTAGACGGCAACATGAATACAACAACTAAGAGACAAGATCATCCCCACTCGCAGCGTCCAAAACCCCCCTACAAGTCCCCGCAAACCGCGCATACATCTCCATCAAATGCCGTCGACTTGCCGGTTACTTAGACTTTTATAAGTTATAAGGAAATTAGTAGGGTGGCTCGCTTATAGGAAACTGACCTAGGGGATTAGTATTGTATCACGGTACAGAAAAATCGAGCCTTCTGAAGAGCTTGTTGGAGACTTCTAGGATTATACTATATAGTTTTTCGAGATCTTCACTACGCGATGTTATAAACTTATGGCTATGAGAATATATACTTAGTAACTCACTAGTTTCTACATACTTAATACCTTCTACTTCGTAGAGTACGCGCGCCGTATCGATTAGTGCTTTTAGATGCTTAGCACTTTACTACTAGTCTCGAAGTTTGGGAATAACTTTTAATGCTCCTGATCTCCTCGCATAGACCAGCGGAATCAGGGCCCAGGGTCCAGGCTCAAGGACTCTTGCTAAACCCACCAAGCCCGGCACCCAGCGTGATCGCCTACGCTAAGATACGTTGGACTCTTAGAGGGCCGAGACCAGAGCTCATAAAAGCGCCGAGTCTTTTGGTTCCGCCATCATCGGGTCGAAGACCCTCGGTCGTTGTTTGTATTGATCATTGTAGACTCATCAACGTGCGCGCGGCGGCCATCCCACAAGCACTCACTGCGCTGCTTGTGTCTGTATCGCCAGACCTGGAGCGCCTCGCTATGACGAAACCATACTTTAACTACACTAGGTACTACCGGACGGGCGGAGAGCACAGACGTGGCGGCCGAGCCGATGCGGAACGCTTCAGGACAGAGCCACTGCCAGAGTCGTTTTGGGATCAGGCACAGTCTCTGAAAGCGATTGAGTATCGGTGCCATTTTACTGTTCTACCTTGCGGCGGGAATCAATACCGATACGGAGAATCAGACCGTATCTTTGGTGAACTACTTGCCGCCAAAGCTGGAGTACCTATGTATCCGAGGGTATGAGAAGGGCACAAACGCCACCCATGACGAACAGCTGGATGCTCTCAAGTCGCTGTTCGAGGCGAGCTCCTCGTCGCTGAAGAGTAAACATGGTCTTGACGAGTGTATCCCTCACGCGAAACATGTCGAGGATCCAGACGATGAGCCTCATTAGTTGTGGGAGTTCCTGGGCGATCAGGGATGGTCGGATTCAAACTCTGATTTTGACGCTGATAGTGATAGCAAGGAGGAGGAGTGAGCTGCCAATGATGGGGATTTCACTATCTCCTGCATTGCGATTCCATGGTGTTGATAGTTCTATATTCACACCAGCATATCGTGGGCTTGTTCGGTAGTCATTTCTGCATTGTTTTTGGCACATTCTTCTAAACATTGGTCACGGTCAAAATCTAGCAACAACAAGCCTGTGCGTCTGGAAGACTGCAATCCATCGTGCTAGTTGATCCAACCAATCTGGGGGTTCAATCCTGCACTCCCTGCCCAAATTGGAGCAATATTCCCATGTCCAAGTCAACGACAGCCGCGCAATTCCACCGATGATGTTTATGCGGCTGACATTTGCGAGCCTCTCCTCTGATCATGATCTTCTGCGATTGCGGTATACCCCTGTCGAGCCTCAAGTGAAAGTATATCTACTATTGGCCGCCATTGACAGGCCGCCCAATCCCCATCTTGCACGTCTCCGTAAGCGCCAGGGTATGGAGGCTGCTAGACATCAAACACGCATAGAGAGGATAATCTAGCTCTTCCCAGAAGGCACAGCTGTGGAAATTCCATCTGACATCTATGCCCCATCTTGATGGGCTTGGAAAGAGACTGATCGAAACTGCGGGATGAAGGTAGTCCGGTGGGCTATATTAATGAGCAGACTTTTTATTTTGAACTCCACCAGCAGCTCTTCCTGCATGGAGATATATTCAATACATGCAGGATTCACCAAACATGGAGCCTAATCCGGGCAAATACCAGTATCGTCCACTGTCCCCAGGGCCCAACAGCATCCGAATGCTCCGTCTCCTCTCAGATCCTGACTCTACTGCCCAGATCCACTGCCAGTTGTTCAACTATTCCCTTTCTGAGACTCGCAGAGGGACACACCTGTACGAAGCATTATCTTACGTATGGGGGGATACCGCGAAGCCCCAGTCTATCTTCATAGACGGTCGGTCTCTCGCCGTGACTGCGAATTTGCACGCCGCGCTGCTGCATCTCCGGGATCCTGTAATTGACCGCGTCATGTGGATCGACGCGATCTGCATTAACCAGGACGATTTGGAGGAGCGCGGTTCCCAGGTCCAGCTTATGGCGCGGATTTACACCAAGGCGGACCGCGTGGTTGTTTGGCTGGGCCAGGCGGCGGAGCATAGCGATGTGGCGATGGAGGCGATTCGTGCGGCTGCCAGCCGGGAGAATGTCCCCAAGTACGACGTGCCTTTGGGAGAAGGCATCCAGGAAGTGCTGGGGCGGCCGTGGTTCAGACGGATCTGGGTGCGTGTCTCCGTTCTACGGCACTTCGAATATGGATCATAGGATACTTATCCGAAAGCCTTGCAGGTACTTCAGGAAGTGGCCGCAGCTCGGCAGATTCGGCTTCACTGCGGATTCGCAGAACTCGACGGGTATACCTTCTGTGACGGGTTGAGCCTCTTAAGCCAGCAATTCGCTCACCTCCTGCACCTGCATCGGGTGGTGGACCCGGTGATCTACCTGATGAAAGGTGCAATTTTCCGACGTAAGACAGTACAAAGCTCTGGAGTGTCCAGGGTGGCTCTGAATATACGCCCGCTAGGCGAGCTGGTTGAAATGTACCACGGACACGAAGCAACCGAGCGTCACGACAAAATCTTTGCGCTGTTGGGTATGAGCTCCGACGATCCCATTGCAGCCGGCTTGCTTCCCGATTATAAGGCTCCATGGGAGGAAACCCTCGCTCGGCTGGTGAATTTCTTATTCGGCCACCAGATTATAGTACACACAGGGGCGGACCGAGAGTTGGCAGTCATCCAAGGCAAAGGAGTTCTCATTGGAAAGGTGTCCGAAGTCAGTGGCAATAATGGGGAAGACGAGCAGAATGTAAAGATCGCTTCGACGACACCATCTGCACGTAGTATTAAGCTCTCCGTCCGGAGACTGCCAAATCCTATTCGAGTAGGAGATTTTGTGACTCTGCTTACGGGTGCATCCAAGCCGACGATAATCAGACCGTGCAGGGATCACTTTGCTATCGTACGGGCGCAGATATCTCTCGAGTTGCAGAGCGCCGCCAGTCCCACCTTGCATAACTTCTTGCTGATCTGGGACTGGGAAGGTTTTCCGTCACCGTCAACGGAGGGCTTTGAATACCAAAGGCTGGTGGGATCAATCCCGTTTTCGGATACGACCTATTCGTTGGGGATGGATCGCCTGTGGCATATGGCGCTGGTATTGGACGAAGCGCAGGAACATAGGATGGCGAGTACACGACTCAGTGGCACAGTCACGGCCCACATCAAGGAGTTGGGAGAGGCGCATCTTCGCACATTGACATGTATGCACAAAGCTGCTGTGGTTTACATAAAGGCAGACGAGCTTGCCAAAGTGGAAACACTGTTCGAGCGAGTCATAGCACTGTCAATGCGGAGACAAGAGCTGGATCAAATAACACTCAGCAGTCTTTCGGAGCTTGCGGTTCTCTATGTAATGCAAGGCCGGGGACGGGAGGTGCGGAGGCTGCGGTGGATGGAAAAGATCATCAACCTGATACGAAATGGCACGCAAACCATGGATGAGATTATGGTCCACGCAACACAGGTACTTGACAAGGAAAGCATGACTCTTGTCTTTGACCTAGCAGGGAACGACATCCAAGTCACATCTGACATGCTCATATTGATAGCTAAGGATCCCAACGGGGTCGAAATAATGCAGCTTGTCATCGACCGTCAAGGAAGCGACATAAAGATCACAGACGATGTGGTCGCTGCAGCAGCGCGGAATTCGAGTGGTGGGGAAGCAATCATGAAGCTGCTGCTTGACCAAAGGGAAGATGAAGTCCGCGGTTCTGAAAACGTTCTTATTGCTGCTGCTGCGAATAGCATCAGCGGCTGTGAAATCATCAGGCTTCTTCTTAGCCGGAAAGCAGATGAAATAGTCGTCACGGGAGCGGTAGTCTCCGAAGCTGGGCAGAATGCAGCCGAGGAGTTCTTGACGCTTCTTTTCAGTCAGGGATATCCCAGAGTCAAGTTCACAACTGGTGCCATCGCCCAGATTGCGAGGCATTTTGACCATGAGGTCATGATGATGTTACTTGAGCGGGAAGGGGAGAGGCTGCGCCCTACGGCCGACATACTCGTCGCAGCAGCTGGGAGCCACTACGGAAGGAGTGTATTGAAGGTCCTCCTTGATAACCGAGGCAACGATATACAGATCACCGAAGATGTTATTGTTGCGGCCATCGGTAGTAGACACGCCGAAAGCGTCGTACAGCTGCTCTTGGATCGAAAAGCACAAGAGGTGGAGCTCTCCAAACCAGTCATTGTTGCAGCCGCCAAATCATGGTCTGGAAAGAAAGTGATGAAACTTCTCCTTCGAGCAAAGGCAAGTCAAGTTGGCTCTGCTCATCACATAGTGCTTGAGATTACAAAGCATTTCGATGTCGAGATCATGTCGCTGGTGCTTGATGCCGTGGGTGGAAGAATTGAAATTACTGGCGGCATGGTCTCTGCTACTGTTGGTAACACGAGTGGGGAGGAAATCCTTCGCCTGTTCTTCCATCGCAGAAGAAATAAAGTGCGAGTTTCAGAGGATGCTGTCGTGCAGGTCGCACTGTCATGTACCCATGAAATGATGAGATTTCTGCTCGATCGAATGCAGGACAAGATCGAGATCACCGATCAACTGCTCATCGCCGCTGCGAGAAATAAGCACGGGACTGCAATGTTGAGACTGCTGCTCGATCGAGCAGACAAGGGCAATATCAGTGATGAACTGGCAATAGCAGTGATCAGACAGGGGGCAGATGAACTGAAACTACTTCTCGACAAACGAGAGCAGAGGATCCATGTTACCGAGGGCATGCTGGTAGCAGCAGCTGGACACTGGTATGCGAAGGAGATGCTCCGACTTCTCTTCGACAAAACGCCAGGAGAACTTGAGATCACTGAGAAAGTGGTGATCGCAGCCGCTGGAAACAAGCGTGGCAAGGACGCGATGCAGCTGTTGATAAATAAGGTACCTGATAGTGTCCAGCTCACTAAGAATGTCGCCGCTGCTGCTGCCAGGAACAGGCATGGGGAGGATATCGTCCACCTCCTGCGCAGTCATGACGGCGGAATGGCCACTTGAAACTTTCCAAGGACAAGATTTGGGGCGAATCCGACTATGATGGAGACACAGTCAGAGTGCGGATAGATATTCCTGACACTGGTAGAAGAAAGAGGATTCGCCTTTACGAACTGTGGCTGCGGACATGTTTCACCCTCTGCAATCGCGTAGAATCCTGCTAGTTGGTAGTTCAGTTATTAATTGGTGAGAGCAGGCCTTTTGGCTTTGCGCCTCAATTAGTCCCCCGTCGAAAGTAAATTTCCTTCCATTCCCTACTCCCTTCGGCGCAAATTCTCTGGGTTTCATCCGTAGGACATGAACATTTCTCTTTTAAGGAATAAATGAGACAAGCAGACTCAATCTGCCCTCCAGTTCACCCAAACCCCACCAGTCTGAAACAAATCAATCTCGATCATGAACTGGGGCCACGGATATATACTGGGGGCAACTCCCACCCACTACTAATCAGCGTGCTCCTTTTTGATAGAACCCCCCACTAGATCTAAGATGCCAACCGATTAGTCGCAATCAAACCAATGACATTGAAGGTAAGATTGATTACAATCTAAGACTATAGATGCTTGGACACCTCTTAGACTATGACCAGGAGAATATCGAGGATGATTCTCGGGGCCGAGGAGGTAAGATTTTAGGGCCAACCCAGAAGACACATGTGCGTTATCGCTTCAAGGGTACTATCGATCGGAAGATATCCTGGGAATCGAGCACCCCTCCGTTCAATTGTGAGTAATTAGAGTCGCAGTGCGGGGACACTCCTGCGACACGTTGCAAACTGAGCCCTGCACCATGCATCTCGAGTCCCACCCAGTCTGCCAACTCTGGAGGCCAGGAGTAAGGCATGGCAACAGTGGGAAAGCGCTATAAAAGGGCCCTCTATACTCCCCTTATCTGACAATGTCATTGTTATTGTTCCCTCACTCACACCACTAACATCACATCATCACAATGGGCGACGCCAACACCCTCCCCGACTACGTCCTCAACCCCAACGCCGTCCTCAACGACAAGGACGCAAAATGGCGATACAAGTCTCCCCCCGATTACACGAAGACACGAGCGTTCTACGAGAAGAGTACGCTGAAAGTATCCCTTTACCCCGCAAAACACCGGCTAACTTCCCCTCCACCAGCCAAAACCATGACCCACGAAGCGGGCAGTCTCCCCGACCTCGTATCAAATCTCGTCAAGAACTGGGAGATTGAAGCCAGTTTCAAGACCTCGCTCGAGGACTGGCGCACCATCGACCAGAGCACATATACCTTCTCGTTGAACGGCGGCCCTCCCCAGACCGGCGACCATATGCTGAGAGTCGGAACCTACAATGCCCTCCTCACCTCCAGCTCGTACTACGACCCCGAACATAATGATTTCTCGGCCAGTCACAAGTCCTTCAAGCGGATGATGCCGACGTTTGCGTGGGAGGTGCTGGAGGTATACAGCGGGCCGCCAGTTGTGATCTTCAAGTGGAGACATTGGGGCGAGATGGTGAATGATTACGTAGGATACAACAAGTAAGGAGTACTCTAGTTGGGAAAAAAAGACATACAAGGCTAACATGAGCTCAAGCCGTGGGGAAAAAGTCACAGTCAAGGCCCATGGTGGACTCATCGATATTCAGGGTATCATCGTTGCCAAGGTTAACAGCGCCCTGCAGCTCGAAAAGATCGACGTCTGGTTCGATACAATGGAGATGTTCCGCCAGATTGCGCGCGAGGAAAATACAGGTGAAGCGTCTGCTTTGGCTTCAGGCGCTACAGGCTGCCCTGTATTGAGCCACGGAAGTGCTTGAGTGGTACGGGTTTTGAAGAGAAGTTTATTCTCAAATGATATTCATGAATGACGAGTATAGTGAAAGCAACAAAAAGCATAAAAGAGTCCTTTCACATCCCAGAGTTTTGCATTATTCCTTCGCATTGTGCATATATACTAAATAAAACATTGTACATGCCCTATGTTTAACCAGAAGGTACTTGGATATTATTAATTATACGATTTCCAGACGAAGCATACGTGTATCCAATGATAAACCCCAAAACAATGAGCAGTAAATTCACATAGATTCGTGTCTGCCAGTTGCAAAGCATTCTTGCTGGTAATTTAGGTAGCGTATACCCACATGTAGACGCTTCGCTCTGGACGAGAGATGATGACCGACCCATCTCGTTAGGCAAGGCTGATGGGCTCGAATCGCAACGCGCTATTTGAGGTGAATATCAGAATCAATATGTCGGAGCAAATGGGCATAATAGGCAGTCTTACCGGTCAGCGGCACTGCGGGCGTGTCAGGAGTGTCGACGAGATAGTCAAGCAGAAAGAGCTTGGTGAACGAAGCGGCTGTTCCCGCAGCGTATCGCTGCCACGCTTTGGCCTTGTGGCAGTCGGCATAATCAGCAACTGCCTTGATAACGATGCAAGGCGTTTCCTTCCAGAGCCCGATCCCTTCCATCTCGACACCGATAACGCCTTCTCTGGCCACGAGTCTGTCCCGGTCTTCCCCAGACACCAGTACAGTATCACCAGATGCAATGGGACCAACATGTACTGCTGGAGAGGGGACCTTCGATACTGCATCAGGTGATGCTGACCGGATCCTGCAGCTGGGCGCCTTGTCGATGCACCCCAGCTCGTCACAGGACGCGTTCAAAGCCTTCTTGCATATGCCGTCGTCTTCGCAATCACCACAGGACACGCACACACCGCAAGGGCGAAGACCACGGTGTTGATGGAGATGAGTTGAGGGAAATAGACAGTCTTGATCTATCCCAGGGTAAGTCGCACTCCGGTCACCGAGGACCTTTTGCACCGCTGCAAGATGCTGCACCAGCGCCACTTTCCGCTGGTGCTGTTTATCAATATCCCGTATCCTGTCCAGAAGGGCCTGCGTCTCCTGATTCGGCCTCGTTTGCGAGTACGCAGGATCTACCTTGCGAAGGAACCCGTGTGGAAGATGCTTACCAATGTCCCACTGAACGAGACGGTCGCTCACAAGCACATCGCCTAGATATATTTCTTTGCCATCGTTGCTGCGCGGGATACCGCCACACACACCGACAACCAGAGCGAGCTGGATATTGCGGTAGCTCAGTTTGAGATTTGAGGTTGCAGCCATGGCCTTCACCTTGCCCATTCCACCCACGTAGACAAGAACAACATAATGTTGGCCTACCCTTCCATTCAGGTATGTATTTTGATCGCGTGTATGCTGGCCAAAATCGTCTTCCTCTTCGTCATAGTACTCGTCAAAGATTGCCTCCACAGCGTCCGATTCAACCGCGAGCGCGCACAATATTGCAACCTTGAACTGATCTCGTCTTGTGGGACGAGGATATTCCATCGTTTTCGTCATCGGCTGAGATCCTTAACTCACTCCTTCGTCAGATATTTAGATATTCTTACCTTTATATACCTGATATCTCCTAGCTCATTATGCGGGCCAAATGATGATTCACGCACAAGGGGTTTCAAATTGGTATCTGAGCGCCTCGCGACAATCAGAGCGCCTGCGTAGCCCCCGGTCTATAAGTGCGTGGTGCTAATCGACCAAACATAGGTACTGGATCTACGCTTCAGGAAAGAATGATATAATGTAAATCCAATCACGAATTGACGTGTTACTGTATGGCGCGAACCAGCGCATCCATGCCATGAGAGCTACATAGACATTGAGGAAAAGAGAGGTCTTCTGAGAGTGAAGAGTACGTGTCGCTTGCAAGCAAAAAGTTAATATCAAAGAACAAGTTAGAATTATGACTAGCGTACAGAGACCTGTTATTGCCTATGGACATATTTCTCCTGAATCCAGACTATTGCATGCCTAAATTGCAGTCAGTTCTTGTTCTGCGAAGAAATATCGCGGTTTGGAGGATGATAGATAACTCACATTGCGAGTAATAGTCGTTCTGCACGGTGCATTTCCATCCGCTAGGACAGAGCGTCGGGCCAGTATACCCGATACCACCGCACTGTTCCCACGGCGAGCTGGTGGCAGTTCCATTTGGTCCCGACGATGTCGTTGTGCCCGTAGTTGAAGGCTTTGTCGTCGTTGTCATAGTTGTCGACGTGGAGGCAGTGATCGACGAGGTCTTAACTGTCGTAGAACTGCTCGCGGTGCTGATAGATGTCTGTGTAGCACTCGTCGCCGTCGCTGTCGAAGACGGCACACTGCCACCAGGCTCTCCGTAGAAGATCCCCCGTCCATTTGTACCGACAAACACGCGCCCGTAGTTCAACATATCCGCGTTGACCACGTTGGTCGAAGCAGAGCCAAAACCATGTGACGCGTCGGAGATCATCTGCCAGTTTGCGCCCTTGTCCTCCGTTTTGAAGAGGCCGGTCACGCCGTCGACCGTGAAGAAGCCGTAGAGCACAGCGTAGGAGCCGGTCGATGAGCCCTTGCCGAGCCCGAAGCTCCAGCCTGCTGCGCACCCACTGCCGATCTGCGTGAAGGTCTTGCCGTAGTCGGTTGAGTGCCAGAGGCCCTTGTCGGTGGTAGCCCAGACGTCGCCCGCAATGGAGGGATGGGCGCGGATAGTGTTGACGGATGTGCTGGAACCGAGGGTTGCGGTCTTGGTGAAAGAAGCGGCGCCGTTGGCAGAGACGTAGATTGAGCCCGCTGAGCCGCTGTAGAAGACGGTATTGTTGGCTTTGTCGGACGCAATGGCGGCGCCAGATGGTAGCGAGGAGACTGCAGTGAATGTGCTGCTAGACTTAGACACCATGGCCCCGTTCGAGTTCATGAGAAGAATGGTGTCGGCATCGGCAGAGAAGGCGACTGGTCCAGTGGGCGTGCTAGATGATGCCGCGTAGTTTCCGGACCAAGTCTTGCCAAAATCCGAAGACAGAGCCACGGTAGGCAGATTATCACTGGAGCCGGATCGGACGATATTTGAGGGCTTGTTACCCGCATAGTCTATCCCCTGGGTTGTGCTGTACATCGGGGTCTGAAAAGAGTGTTGCGGGGCCTTGGACAGATCAGAATGGTAGTAGCCACCAACGTCGCCCACGGCAGAAAGCAGTTGTGGTCCTCCAGGAGGAGCAATCAAGCCCAGGATAGCCATCTCCTCGATACCCACAGCTAGCGACTTGAGCGTCACGTTGTGGACAGTATCCCACTTGGTAAGATCATGCCCACCATAAATGGTAGCGCCCGTGCCATACAACCAGTGATCCGAGTCAAAGGGATCAATAACGAGAGCTTCCATCATCCATCCAACCTTTTGCGGGAACTCCTTCCCGGTCGAGCCATCCAGAAGCCAGGGCGCATTGGAAATATCGTAGCTGTAGTATTTGTTCATGTTCGGGTACCCATTCCAGTCCCAGATGGCAGACCACGTAGCACCGGAGTTGACACTTCGCCAGACAATCCCATCCGGCCACCAGGAGTTTAAGGCAGCTACCATGATGGTTCCAGGCACCTTCAGATCGACAGCGAGACCGCCGTAGCCGTACGAGACAGATGCAGCGGGTGTGGGACTGATATCCGTCCACTTCTTGTTGGCGATGTCATACTTGTGAAGGGTACCGTTTGTTCCATCATATGGACCGGCTCCATTGGCGTAGGAGATATACAGGGTCTTCTCCGCAGGAGAAAGGACTCCTTTATGGGGGAGAAATCCGTACATGGGCTCACCAGTCACCCATGACCCTGAGGATATCAGATATGCAAGCTTATTGAAGAATCAAGGACTTACAGGTAGCACCAGCATCCTCCGAAACAAAGACAGATTTTCCAGTGTCGGCAATGCCTAGAAGGGTCAGACGATATCGTGCTTTGATACACAGGAGCACATACCAACAAAGATGCGCGAGCTTCCACTGCCTTTCAATCCGGAGGTAGAATCAAAGGTAATCCACGCGATTCCAACACGGTCGGCAGTGTATGAGCTAGTCGGGTCCTGAACATACGTGCCTGGACTCGTTAGCCATGATCAGCGCATTGGATACTCAATCCCTACCAGTCCAGGTGAAAGAGGTGACATTAGACCAGGTCACGCCATAATCGGTACTCTTCCAGAGACCGTGGCCGCTTCTGGCGCCAAAGTACAGGATGCTATTGTCGTTGGGATCGATGGCAAGACGCTGCGCAATCATTAGTACAGCATTGTATCAAACAAAAGTAGAAGTACCTCTCCCAGGCCACGACCGGGCATGTTTCCACCGACTTTGAATGGCAGCTTCGCCTCCGCCCAGGTATTACCCCGGTCCTTGGACCGAAGGATGGATCCATTCTCGGGGTCCCATTCGTTGGTATACAAACCAACGGCGAGATACACCCGAGCAGGATCTACGGGATCCGTAGCAAGCGCATCGACACCCCAGTCGTGCCTAACCACTCAGAAAATGAAGTACCATTTGAAGATCGCGGAGCATACCAGTCACTATTCGCTGCATAGTCCTGCAAAGGAGTCCAAGAATCATCTGCATTGAGCCGATATGCGCCGCCAATATCAGTGCGGGCGTAGGCGAGGCCCTTCTCTGAGGGATTGAAGACGATGCCAGGGACGAAGCCACCACCACCTGACAAAATCAGGTTAGCCGCGTCCTACTCCTTGGAGTCCGAGACACTTACCTCCTGTCATCACACTCTTCCAGGTGTACTGCTGCGATGCCGCAGCATAGGCCGCCTCGACCAGAAGGCCAGCGGCCAACAGAATTGCCTCAGCTGTCCGCATGATGCTCCAATTGTTGCTGAGAGGACTTGACGATAATACAACTCACTGTCGCGGTGGCATCGACTCATTTAAGCAAATCCACTACCAACGGTAATACTAGTCATTGGGCGCCTATATGTGTCGAAGAACCGCATGCCGTACCCGTTCAGGCACATGCACCTACCGAGCATGATTCTTGCATTATTGTTCCCCAGTATACCCACGCGATCCGAGCAATTGCGGAAATTGGATGACCTGAGAGAGTCACTAAATCGGACGATTCCTCGACTCTGGAAATTGCAGTACTACTAGAGTCTGTCCTGTGATCGGTCCATCACCGGCAAACGGTCAATTTCGGCAAACGACCGAGCAATTGTCCTCATCAGGACCGGGGCCATGATTGCCATGTCAAATATAGACAGATTGACCACGGAAGAATGTCCGATGCAGTGGCTTGACTTTCGGTGCCATCTGATCATGCATGCAGCACTCTATTTGTTGCAGGATGACTGCCGAAAGGAGAGTTTGTCCGTATATCCCTTATAATACATTAGACTAAAGGACTGTGTTGCAATCATGAAGGATTGGACGGCGGGGGTAGCAGCGCTAGGATTGAATAGACTGGGGGACTCGTATGAGGATTCCGGGAAAGAGCAGCTTGCAAGCTTATAAATTAAAGGATGGAGTTGACAATGCTTGATTTAGCCGGATGCCGGCCCGTGTTGCCTATAATTCAGCCACCAAGGGAAATGAGCCGGCTGAGCAAGGAGTGCAAGATGGATAGGGGGTAGTTATGGTCAATGTTATATCCTAGGCGCTAACCTCGGCCCCTCTCGGCATCGAGAGTACATGAATTAGCAAAGGTGCTATCAATGGCACTGTAGTATTAGATGGAAGACTGAATATACTGCCAGAGCCACAGCGCTGCGTAGTCAAGAGGCACTCAAGCAGGAGAGTGCCTGACGATAAATCCAACTCCTCAAACGAAAGCAGCGTGTTTGCAATGAAGAATCTCCTTTAGAGTACGGATAAAAATGGAGACCCCTCTTAGTTCATTGTAGTGAATGACTGGTAGAAACCGTTAGATAGTTTTTGCAGGATGCGGAAGATCAAATCTACAGTGTACCTGGATGCCATCACCAATAGAAAAGGCGTACGAAGCTATTGTGCATTTCTCAACTGGACGATCCTGACCCAATATAGTACTCAAGATACTCCTATTCTGTCATCATTTCAAGATGAACAAGATCACTCAAATCCCTGGCACTGTTCCGCATCGCCAATCACCGGCAACCAGGCAGCCCGATCCCCAATAAAGAACTCCGCGTCGGGTTTGGCAGCATCCAGTCCCCGGGGATCATCTAGTGTCCCTGCGAGCACAACGACTCCGTCTTGAAACTCAGCCCGATCTGCGGTCTTGTACAGCAGACACCCGCAGTCACCACAGAAGCGAGTGGTCATGTGCATGCCGGTCTGGTGGACAATGTGCCATTCTTTCGGCGTACCAGAAGTGATGCTGAAGTGGTCTTTGGGGACGAGAAGGTTCACTGTGCTTCCACTGCTGTATTTGCGGCAGGTCAGGCAGTGGCACACTGCCTAGCGGCGTGTAAATTTGATTAGCAGAGGAGAGTCAGAGGGTCTCGTACCTTCTTCATAGGCTCGCCTGTGTATTCATACTTGATAGCTTGACAAGTACAAGATCCAGTTGGCATGATTAGTGAAATAATCTTTATGTGGAATGTGTGCTATATAGATATTGCGACACACAATGGGCCCTTGCATCTTCATCTGGATATATATAAGAAGGGACAGGAGATCGATGATCGCTAGACCTGGCCTCAGAGGATCTGGAACACAGTCTAGTCGCGGATTCCATCTATTCAATGGAAATTTGAGCGGCAACACGATTGAGTGTAGTTTAATTCCAGCTCCAGCTAATGGTATGAGTGCAACTTGAGATATAAAGGCGGTGATTATCCTGGGTATCATCATGATGCGGAACCGCAATATGGTTGAGCGCCAGAAATTAAGTGACCAAATACCGTGGACGAGGAAGCAGCTGACAGCGAGAGAACCGTCTAGATGGCTATAAGGACCACAGTTCGCCTTTCGTATTGCATCGCATGACCAGTATGATTGAACCATGGACGAGTTGCATATCCATAGATGAAGAACCACAGTTCAAATGTATTGATCTGGCCATAAGCAAGATGAAAAGAAAACAGCAGACACCATGTAGCAAGTTATAGCTCGAATCCTATTATCCGTCCAGAGATAAGGAGTATGCAGCAAAGATCAATATGCCTTTGAGAAATTGAGCGCAGATATGAAATGAAACAGTCCGCATTATAATAATATGGGGACGGTCCGTACACGGGCCGCGACAACAGCAGCTATGCATATCATACGGCCCGGCGGACGGACCGTGAAGCATATACTGGTGGGTGAGCAGATATAAATTGCAGGCTCAGCATCGCGATCTATGCTTTGGGAGTTACAGCAGGTAAAGGAAATCATCACAATGAGAAAGGACGAGCGAATTATCATCATCGGCGCCGGAGTCTTCGGGCTCTCCACAGCACTCAAACTCGCCCAGGACGGGTATACATCCGTGACGGTCCTCGACCGATGCATGCCCCCTGTGCCTGATGGGAGCAGCAATGATATCTCCCGCGTTATCCGATTCGACTACGGGGATCCGATATATGCACGCATCGCTAAGGAGGCTTACGACCTATGGAAGACGCCAGAGTACTCGGAGGCGTTCCACCAGACCCCATGCTTATGGGTGTCGCAGGAGGGAACACCAGAGCAACCGGTTCAATCACGCGCTGCAGAATACAGCCGTAAGACAAGACGGGTTCTGACGGAAATGGGGCAGGAATGGCACGCGGTCCCCAATGTCGAGGAGGCAAGGAAGCGGTTCCCGGCGCTGAGTGGCAGATTGGCGACACTAGGGTTCGATGGTTTCTACAACACTAACGCTGGCTGGGCGGATGCTGGCCTTGCTGTGCAGAGACTGGCAGGGAGATATGTGGCTGCTGGAGTGAATTTCATTACTGGCTCGAGCGGCCACGTTGTCGACTTTGAGTATACTCCAACCGGCGAGATCACCGCGGTGAAGACGAAGAATGGCAATCGAATTGAGGGCGACAAGTTCGTCGCGGCGACCGGCGCCTGGACGGCCAGTCTCATCCCGTCTTGGAATTCCATGGTAGCAGCAGGACAGGTGGTTGGATATGTTCGACTGACCCCGGAGGATATTGTCGCGTTGAAGGACTTGCCCATCTACTTCAACTTCTCGACCGGCTTCTTCTGCTTCCCTGTACATCCAGGAACAGGGTATCTGAAAGTCGCAGTGCACGGATTCGGATATACGTTTCCACATCCAAAAGCCGTCTCAGCACCACCGGATTCTGCGGTATCCAGCAGAGCGAACTTCGTTCCTGCCGATGGGATGCAACGACTCACTGCCGGTTTGCGGGGCATCCTACCTCATCTGGCGTCTCGAGGCTTCGAGCGAGTGGGACTGTGCTGGTATAACGACACACCGGCGGGGGATTTCATCTGTGACTATCACCCAGACCACAAGAATCTGTTCATCGCCACTGGTGGCAGCGGGCAGTAAGTTGATCAAAGAAACCAGCCCAAAGACGCTTCAGAGCTAACCACATGCGACCGATTACAGTGCATTCAAATTCCTCCCCGTACTCGGCAAATACATTGTTGGCAGCTTGGAACGAAAGCTTCCAGACGAATTACTTGAGAAGTGGAAATTCCCGACTCAGTTTCGTGAGAAATTCCAAAATGATGCTTTCTTGGGAGACGGTAGTCGTGGAGGTCCCGAGCGGCGCGAATTGAAAGATGAAGAGCGGCAGGCGTATAATGCTGCCATGACCACTGAACGGGTAAGGAGGAGTAAGATTTGAAGTGGTTGAAGATCGAAGGGGTTTTCACCTTATGTACGAGATTCTTAGCGCGCAATGACTTTTGATGATTTATGGGTATTTCCTTGACAGTGTCCTCAGCCAACTTCCCGCTCTTTAGTACTGCACGACGAAGCGATGTACACTATGCTATACCTAGTGTAAGAGTATGGTCCAAGAACCAACGGTAAATCGAATCTCTCCGTCGGTAGAGCATATAATAGATCGTTTTGCTCCTTGAGACAAATGCATCATAGCTGCTCTCCAAGATAACCACGAAAAAGAAGCCAGTCTGTGGTGTCAGACAGCGATAACCCAGGGTCGTCACCATCCGGCAAAAAGGCATCTGGACTGGGATCCATAGCTGTCTCGAAGAGAGAGGACATGCCCTGGATTGAAAATGGCTGGACGAACGTTGCTTGCTGGTCCTGGGTCGGAGGCGCATGTTCGCCTTGATCTAAGACCTGAGAACCAGCGATGCGATTGTGAGAGGTAAGGCCTCCGAGAGAGAAAGCTTGCGCAAAGCTACAGGAAGAATTGAAGTCGAGTATATCCCACATGAGAGCTTCGTCCTCGGCAGACATTCGAGGCAACTCGGTCGAGGTCGGCATGCGTGGGAGAATTCCTGAAAACTGTTCTTGGTTCTCATAGAGAGAGCCATATTTTCGGCGTCTGAATGATAGTTCGTTCAGTCGAGTAGCTTAGAATACAGCTGTTAGTCCCCGGAAGCTGCATACAAGGGAGGTTGTATACCAAGACTCTCATGTTCTCCCACTGTGCAGACATCCCAATCACATAATCCACAAGAATGCGATAATCCTTCTTTGCTAAACGAGAGACTTTTTGATTGTTGCCGACCGTGTGCTCGAGTTGGATCGTAGCAGCAATAGCACAAAGGTACCCAATGAAGGGATCCTGAAGTCGCATGTCCACCTCAGTCATTTCCCGTACAAAACGAGCGATCCATCTAGAGTGAATGAGAGAACTTTCATAGCACTTCTGCAAAAATGTGGACGGTATATTTCCTTCCACCGCACGCAATTTCGAGCTAACGACAAAAGGATGATGTAGAAAGCCTTGTAGAGAGTGAAACAGGAATTGGACGCAAAGCCAGGTCGACAAATAGGCACGAGAGGAGGGTTCTTCTCGAGCACGCCGTCGAAAATCGACGTTCATGTAACGATGTGCATCTGCGAAATGTGTCTGGAACTGCAACCAGTCGGACTCTAGAACCGCCAACGCGGTTCCTGACTGCCACGGCGGTTGAGCAGTCGCCTCGAGAGGTTCGAAAATATACTCAGTGGCCTTACCCCATATGGATGAGAGACGTATGAGGCAAGATAGAATGCCCTGATCAATGCTATTCGCCGCTATTCCTGGCCTGTAGTGCAATATGCCAATATTTAAGAAGCCCTCCGCCCCTATCCTTATACTTGATGGGAATGGGAGCGTAAAGTGTTTGTCGGCCAGAGCGAGGGAGTAGGTCCGAGAAGCATTATAGTGCCTGTCCAGCATAAAGAAAGACCATGCAATGCGCTTGTGCTCTTCGATCTCGTCACTGTTCATCAGCGAAGTGTATGCATCCCTTCTATGCAGGCCTGCTGATTGAAGGATACGAAGACCTAGACCGATGCCTGTACAAGCTCGATCGGACCGACCAGCGGCCAAGTCCACCTGGGCCATCAAAAATGTGCCTTGTAGGAAGGGTAGTCCAAGCTTGCCACTCTGATATTGGCTAGACAAAATATCCCAGGCTTGAAGAGCGGCATCCCTTGTTCCTGCTGTCTCAGATCCATAGTCTGCGTATGGTTCACTAAGAAGACGAGAGGTAAGTGCAATCAAGGGGAATGCAATCTCAGGGGGTGGAGAGTCAGCATTTTTTGAGAGCCATTTCTTCGAGAAGACACAATAGGGCTGCTCGTGGAAGTGGAGAAAATAAATGTCTACATGACGTTTGACCAAGTCAGACGGCAACGAGGCCCTGGGGCGGGGTCAGTCCAGAAGTCCGTTTGCGCATTAGTATAAAGGCCATACCATGGCAAGGCTCCCCTAGAGTTGGCTTGATGAGGATCAGCTGCCAGGCAAACTTCACTTGGATTTTGTGGAGTTCGATCTGTTCGTTGATCTTCCTCCGGTGACAAATCGACGGGTAAAGCATTTCTCAGCGGATCCTGTCTGTCGTAGTAGATGTCAGGAGGCTTCGTGAATCAACCATCGACGCCAGCGAGAAACGCACCGGATCAAGCGCGTCAACTCATCCAGTCTCTCTTCGATGCGGTGAAATTGGTGCGCATGCGATATCGGTACCTGGCGAATGCAAGGCAGTAGATTCAGCAGCGATTCACCTATCATGTACCGCGTAGATCAATCCATTTACGCACCGATTGCGGTGGCACGTCACGCTGCGGCTCAGGGGTCTGGGATATCCTCGATCGACCCACACCAGCTGTCGTGACTCGTCCAGTGTAGGTGCAGCGCTGTCCCAGCCTTCGACATAGCGAGCATGTGGGTTTCTCTCCAGGACAACGTGCTTTCTTCCGCCTGTATGAGCGCGGATCAGTTCTGGGGATCGTGTCTTGTCGCCTGCGCAATGAACTTGAGGAGGTCTCGCGTCCACAATGGCCGGACTCACCGACAAGGACCGCACGCTTGGCGCGTTCGCTGCACAGCTACCCTGTGAATTGCGTGGTTATCATCTGGGCTCGCCATATTCAACTATTTAGCTTTCGCGATGTTTTATTTACTGGAGTGGATGACAGCACGTTGAGAAGATAGAGAACCATCAGAGTCACGTGGGCATCTTCCATCACCAGCATCACATGATCTGGGTATCCACTAGGCCTAATTGGGTCAACCTCGGTAAAATGTCTTGCCTCAGGCAGCAATGATGAGAGGTGAGTATGGAGGTCTTAATATAGTACACGCACAGTGCAATTGCGGACGGGAAACACAAGAACCGATACATCTCTCGTCTTCTTTGTACATTATTCTGGAATAAGCATGAATTTATGCCTGTCTCTATCTTGTATCTGCTCTCATGCTTGCCCCTCAAAGAAACATTCGCCTAGGTACCAGTGTTGGTGCCTCACTTAGCTTCCATGGCGGAGCGTGTGAACATAATCCAAATTCGAAACGTATTCGAGGACATGACGATATTTCCTATCTATCTTCGGATTCGGTGTTGAATTCCATTTTTTTTTTGGCAAGTCAACTTCGGTCAGGGAAGAGAAAGCACGGACCTGAAAAGGTATCCAGACAAGACTGTGTAACAAGTATTGCTCTCCATGCTATGGCAATGTTGACGCCTTCTCACTATCCACAGGTGTCATTATGATGCATACCTGGCCTCAGCTAAGAAGGTCTCCAGGCATCACTTTCAAGCAGGTAATGATATATGTAGTTGGCCATAGAACTACGAGAAGAGCCCAATCTCCGCATATGCTTAGCAACAGACATGTCATCTGTGAAACATCCTCCACTTTGGGCTCTCTCAGTGGTCAACATCTGGTAAATTTCAAGGGCGTTGCAGGCATGAGCCTGCAACGGAGGCCAGGGATCTTGATGGCTAGATGGGGATCCGTGCCACAGTCTCTTAGGAACTTGTAAAACGTCCGTCACTCGTCCCATGTCTGTTGATCCAACTGGGCGACTATAGATGAGTCACAGATCTTAGGCAACCTGTTCAACACATCACGAGTTACTGATGGACCACTCGGTTGCGATCAGACGCATCATGTAGTATGGATTAGCGTACATGTTAGTCAAGTCCTCTGCGGCATCATCCCCAGCCATATTGTTTATACTGCCATCATGCCTGAGTTCTGTGTCCCACTTGGGGCATAAAATGCCTGCGAAAGGAGTCATCACCAAGTAATATTCACTAGTGTTCATAAAGGTCACTCACCTGCGCCTCGGCTGTCCCCTCTCATGGCAATCCCGTATGTGCGAGAGCATCTTCGGCACCATCTGCATCAAGATTTGTTCTCTATTCATATCGAGACGACGAGGCTTCACCTCGAGCCCGGCAAGAACAGCGCCGCTTTCTCTCTCCCGTAACCATCCATCATTAATCGTGCGGATATTCGGATTTCCGAGTTTGAAGTCGAGCCTCTGCTTCATGCAGACCAATGCCCTCGGACATCTCATACTGATAGTGGAGAGACACTTGGCTCTCAACCAGGAGAGGGTCTGTTGCCATATACTTGAGGGCATCCTGTGTTACGCTGCTGGAGAGCTTAGGAAGTACTATAGCAGGATCTACTCCCGCTACAGCGCTTATCACAGATCTAAGCTCCTCAAACGACAGCGGATTGTCATTGGTCATTGTAGGATATGGCACAGTGATGAGCTGATCAGGTACTATATTGTTGATCTGTATCAGCACGACAGCTACCACGCCTGGGCCAGTTGTTTCCTTCTCGCCTTCGCAGTACTGTACCTTGTCATAGCTGGGTGACGTACGCTTACTGGACGGCGTGCCGGGGGCCGCTGCAGGAGCTGTCATAGACAACGGTCGATCCATAGCTTGAAGGATTATAGACAATGCCTCTGTCTGGGACTGCGACTGCTCCAGCTGTGACCGTAGTAGCTCGTTCTGGTCATTCAACACCATACCCATAGACGCGGTCTGTGTGACAACAGGAAGCAGCAGTCTCGATACTTTGACACCCGGGCATCTGGATTAGCGAGCCTGGTTCGAATGTTGGCAGACTTGCTCGACATGAAGCATAGGTGACAGTGCAGGATACCATGGATGGGGAAGAGAGATGGGGGAGAATGCGGAGTAGAGAAGAAGAGAAAGAGGTGCAATCTCTTCTCAGATTAAGGATGGTTTGAATCCCTGTAGTTGGGTATCATTCACCATGGGAAGATGATATGAGTGTTACTTTGATCTATTCCTATTGTCCTGAACACTTCTTTCATTCACTCTGTGATTGTGTATAGGGGGTGAATACAACCTTGAATAGAGTGAATATGATTCTGTCTTCTCCACTGCGTTCTGACTTCTATTCACTATTCCCTGTATGCCTATGACTAGTAGCTTCATGTATTTTAGAGGCATTCAAACCCAGTCACTGGCCCTTAATCTGTATAATGGTCCGCCTGGGTTGGTTTGTCCGTGGGTTGCCGACAACACTGCTCGCTACATCAGGGCATCGGATGATTACTCCCAAAATGAATCTTCCATCTAATATCCGAATCTCTTCCTCATAGAGAGTTAGGTAGTGTGTTGTATGCGCGTTACATCTCTCCATCCCCTGTCAAAAGTCCCAAAATAGGCAACCTTTCACCGACCGAGGTATGATCCAACCTGGGGTAATGTGATATTAGAGTCACATCCTCTGACCTCGAGACCATGGCGAGTGCACAATCTTTGTCCTCCTGCAGGTCCCGAGAACAGTTACATCCTGCAAAATTAAGGACACCTCTTCATGGCTCCAAGCGCCTTGGAAACATCCCACGCGGGGATCACATTGCTTTTCTGCACCAAAGCCGCCAATAGATGGTCTTATTGGACGGATAGGGTCCGTTCCCTTGCATCTGCCGAGGGCGCGTGCAGGAGAATCAGGTACCCGGTCTGAGATTATGATGTATGATTCGCGATTTGAGCGTTTCATCTCTGACATTGACTCCTCGGGGAACCAGAGAACAGTGCTTCATTTCTTCAAGCACTTGACGTTTGTGATGCAGTACCATCGATGTTGCGGGCTCCCTGGGCAGGACGTTTGCTACATCCTACGTGACGATGAGACTCGGTCGCAGGACATGTCGTACTTCTTTTGGGCTTCGAGATGGGATAGTAGCTTGAGGAGCAATGCCTCGAGCATAAATAGAGCCAAAATCTCATCCTACAACGACTTTGAACAACAGCAACGACAACGACAACTTCGACAATCGATCGACCATCAAGAACGACTCTTACAATGCGCTTCTCGACTTCCACCATCGTCAAGGTGGCCCTCCTGTTTGGCAGCATTGGTGTCAACGCAGCGGCCATCTGGAACCGCGAGGCCCCAAGCACCGACATCAAGGCGCGCGCAAATGCCGGATATCGATCCGTCGTATACTTTGTCAACTGGGTTAGTCTCTTAGCATTCCTTTGGATCTCAATCTAACTGAGACACAGGCAATCTACGGCCGCAACTATAATCCCCAGGATTTGCCTATCGAGAGACTGACCCACGTCCTCTACGCCTTTGCCAATGTCCGTCCCGAAACTGGCGAGGTCTACCTCACGGATTCCTGGGCGGATCTCGAGAAGCACTATCCCGGTGACTCTTGGGATGAAACTGGCAACAACGCCTACGGGTGTATCAAGCAGATGTATCTTCTGAAGAAACGGAACCGCAACCTCAAGGTCCTGCTGTCTATTGGAGGATGGACTTATTCCCCCAACTTCGCGAAGCCTGCCAGTACCGATGCTGGACGCAAGACGTTCGCGCAGACCTCGGTCAAGTTGCTCCAGGATATAGGATTTGATGGTTTGGATATCGACTGGGAGGTGTGTTGCCCTCACCCGAAGATTGGATGATATTGACAGGTTCAAGTACCCCGAGGATGATCAGCAGGCGGGCGACTTTGTCTTGCTGTTGAAGGAGCTTCGATCTGTATGTATCTCTCTTTCGACCTTGGATGACTATCACTAACAACTGTAGGCCCTGGACACCTACAGCGCTGCCCACGCCAACGGACAGAAATTCCTTCTTACCGTTGCTTCTCCAGCTGGTGAGTATCCATCTCTTCCTACATAGTGGCTAAACCACTAAGAATCTCAGGCCCCGAAAAGATCAACAAACTCCACCTCAAAGACATGGATAACCAGCTCGATTTCTGGAATCTGATGGCCTACGACTACGCTGGCAGCTTCTCCGATCGCACCGCCCATCAATCGAACGTCTACAACGACACCTCCAACCCTCTCTCCACGCCCTTCAACACCCAGACCGCACTGGATTTGTACTACAAGGGCGGCGTCCCCGCCAGCAAGATCGTCCTCGGCATGCCCCTCTACGGTCGCTCCTTCGCCAACACCGACGGACTGGGCAAGCCATACAACGGCGTGGGCAAGGGGAGTTGGGAAGACGGAGTCTGGGATTACAAGGTCCTCCCGCAGGCCGGGGCGACCGAACATGTTCTCCCTAATATCATGGCGAGTTACAGCTACGATCCATCCAGCAAGCTACTCATCAGCTACGATAACGCGGAAGTCGCCAAGATGAAGGCCGGGTATATCCAGAACCAGGGACTCGGTGGTGGCATGTGGTGGGAGAGCAGCAGCGACAAGACCGGCAGTGATAGTCTAATTACCACGGTGAGTGTCTCGTCTCTTGAGGGCGGCTTGAAGCAAATGCTGATTCCCGAACAGGTAGTAAATGCACTCGGAGGCAGTGGTGCTTTCGAACAGAGTCAGAATGAATTGGACTATCCGGTGTCGCAGTATGATAATATCCGAAAGGGCATGTGATTGTAGCAATCACGCTGCTTGACTGAGGATATGCTGCTAGCTGAGAGTATAGTGGGTTGATTTTGTGATTGTGGTGAATGTTGATCTTTCTCTATATATATACATCCGCGGATCTACCATAGGGGTATCTTCAAGTTGTCAAAGTAGACCAGATCAATACAACCGAAGATTCCAAGGGAAAGATGCTTCATTTCTATCATATTTGGACATCTTCTTCACTATCCATGATTGTAGCAAGTTATTATCGAGTGGCACATCTTCCCATCTAGGACACTTATCACAAACACACAATAGCCTCAGGGAGGAATAACCTCAACCTTTACTCGCATCTTTACAACTTCATCATATTATTTGAGCAATAATCTTAGCATTTTGGACTATTGTGATTATGTATCCAGGATAAAGCTCAAGGTTGATGGATTTTAACTGGCTATTTGGTATGCGAATTCGCACACACGTCGTTTCTTTACAATCCTCCTATTTGCTCCAAAACGCATTTGGAAAATGTTTTCAATCGTCCCAATGCATGTCGACTATCTATAGTATTGTGTATTGTGTAGTGACAGCATTTTTCAACCATCCGAGGCCGGGTGTTGAAAGATGTTCCCTGATCGAGTGGTTCCACCAGGTTCAGCACCAGGTTTGGACAGGTGGGATGAGCGAAATCTCTTGACCGACGGACAAATGGCATCCGCTGTTGATCTCAAGATGGAAGTTTGTATTTATATGCTTGTCCAAAGCGTACTGAATATTCCAAAGATGTCTGACGGCCGCGATATGTCGAATACCGACTATCATCATTTCGTAATCCCCAAGGTACTCGTAAGTAGCTGCTCAAATCCAATCAAACCCGACCTCATTCTTGCGCAACAGCCGCACCGATTGCGAGATCCAATTCGCCTCGGCATTCTTGTTCTTATACGCCATGGACCCATCCTCGGCCAACCGCGCCGCCAGATCAGAACTCGCGTGCCACAGATCATCGCTGTCCGGCAGCGCGAACTGCAGATCCTCCAGCGAGACCAAGGTGCGGGCGTGGCCTGTTACGGTTGGTGGACCGTGCATCTGCGTCGTGTGGCCCGTGTCGTCGTGCACGATGCAGAGTCTGCATACCTTGTACAACGCCAGCGCGAACCGCTTGATCTCCTCGATGCCGATCCAGATGAATGAGTCCGGGACGGACCCCGGGATGAACTGCCCTAGGATCGTGGGGTAGAAGAACATCTTTTGACGCAGACAGGTGTAGACGAGCGTGGTGAGCAGCTGCGAGGGGAGTCGGGGGAGAGTGTAGGTGAAGCTGATGTTCAGATGCGTTGGGTCCTGTCGGAGGAGGGCGAAGATGATATGCAGCAGGATGCCTTGATAGGTGGCCATTGGCCAGGGAGTTGGCTTTGCGCTGTCCAGGTCTGTAACCTCCCATTTGTCCTGTACGACAGTTTAGAAAGAGGATGTCTTGTCTCGAGTAAAATGGGGATCACCTTTTGCTGGTAGATGGATAAACATAGCTTTTCGTGCAGCGCACACGCCGCCTCTTGTCTCTTGGGATCCCCCATCACCCAGAGTCCGATCATCAAGACAGATTGCAGCAGAAACGGTGGTTCATGCGCCGGATCGAACGTCGCACGATGGAGGAACGGCCAACTAGGATGGAATCGCTCGAAAAAGGCCTCAACGAACGGTTTGACGTTGACTGTACCCCGCTCGAGTGACCTAGGGCTGAAGCGCATGTCGCCCGGCGATGTCTCTGACGAACTGCTGTTGTGCACTGCACGCTGTGTACTCTGTCCATCGTGTCGCGGTGTCGCTGGTGCTGACGTTGACGCTGACCCTGATGAGGAGACCAGTACCACGGCCAAGGAGCACGATATCCCGCGCTGCACACACGCCTCACAGGGGGCCTTCTCCCTCCCACGACATCGCGAGCGCTGCGCACGGCAGTACTCGCACGCCTTCACGGCGCGCGTGTGGTCGACATGTTTGTCTTTGTGGCGTTGACGAATGTGGTGACGCAGAGTATCACTGGGCGACAATCAACACCACCGAACACGAAAAGTGGGCAAATAGACGAGAACGGGAGGAGCAGGAAGGACTGGAATTGGGGTTTACTTTCTAGCAAAAACACTGGAGCAATAGGGGCATCCCACTGGGGCGACCTGACGGTGGCTGGCAGCATGCCGGTTCAGGTGCTCCTTGCGCCGGTAACTACGGTGGCAGCCGGGATGGGCGCAATGGAACAGAGCCTGCGTCTGGGAGGACTCCGATTCCATAGTACAGGAGCAAAGCGGATTATGTCGCCAGCGGAGTGAGGAATGAGGGATAATGGGATGTTGAATTGGGATTACTGATATACTGGGATAACTGGGATATGCACCGTCGCATGGGATAGCGCGCATAATGGGATGAAAGCGATGGGCTTCCGGTCAGCAAATAATAGCGCTCTTCTACTGTAGAATACTAATAGCCTAGTAGTGTGTTGCGTAGCAGGAGGGTGGTGTAGGACTATATCAGCCACTCCCACTCTACTACGATCCTGTGTCGATCTGTGGCTGCAGCAGGATTCCGTGCAGACACGATGGGATGGCGATATTACCAACAATACTTGACTCCGCAAATCTTGGTAAGTTGCATGTATTTCCAATACATCAGAAAAAACACTGGGATGTCGTGGGATACGCAGCAGATCTCACGACATCCCCAGGAAGCCCAAGGGGGCCTCTGGGATGTCCGATGGGATGACAATGCAATTTAAATCCTTCGGGGCGCTTTTCTTTACCCTAACCGATCTTCTTCCCTCACCTATTTCTCCTCAGGAAATCGCCGACCCCAGCGTGGATTGGAAGGACCTTGAAGCCATTGGATGTGGAGGTGATATTCCCGGTTGGACGACCCTCGGAGTACTCCACTGCACTGTGGTATGCCCATCACCCATCATCCAATAGCAGAAACAAGAATGAAGCTGTTTTGGATGACGGCGGTTTCTCATTCTCGACCTCCATTTCTAACCGAGGACTAGACTAGACTAGTTGGCGGGTTGGCACTCCGCAAGGGATGTATGTAGCAGAATTTTTCGAGCGTCCGTGCCTCAGGGACGGCCGACGGGCTACGGGCCTAATTCCTAGGCGCTACGAGGTCCCACTGGTAGTAGTCTGTCTAGTCTACACAGTAGATAACCAGCTCGTCAATCGAACTCTATCTATGCATTATTTTCTTCCCTATGAAGTAAAAGAACAAAACGTCCGGACGGGGTCGTTTCACGAACTAATGGATACTCTCACGTAAAGCCAAGCACCGTCTTTTGTCGAATCTGCCAGAGCCAGAGCCAAAACAATCAGCATGTCGAAATACCACCATTCTGATGTGATATCCTCGTCTAGAACATAATACCTCATATAGAAACCGGCAGCAGTCTCACCCTTGGTCATAGCACATGGCTGACGAGGAAGTTGTCGGCCGATCCCTGCCTGCAGCCGTTGAGCAAGGGGGCCAGGGAAAGAAAAAAAAAACGTGTGTGATCTGGCATTGCAGCCCAGGCCAGGTGTATGTAGCACATGGCCAGCGTCTCCACCAATACTATGCGGCCTTAATTCACTTGCTATCGAGTCTAGACTGGCTACGGCCCTTTTGCAAAATGCAAAAGAACATGAAAAATTGTGGTATTATTGAATATTGCACCATGAGGGCCTAATCCCGAAGGATTAGCGGGCGGAACCGTAGAACTAAAGCCCTTGGCATGGTCCTCGCGTAAGAAAGATGCAGAATTGCAGATGCTGTGAAGAGGTCAGAGGTCAAGAGATCTTCTCGCTTGTCTTGAATCTTGGTCAAGTGTTTGGTGGCGCTTGGTCGGTGCACAGTCTATGCTCACGTTCTCTATACCCATGTCAATCAAGCACATGGGCTCGGCATACAACGTATGCAGCATAGATTCGGTAAGTGTTGTAGCACTAGTGTCAAGTAGATACATTTCCTGCATAATCTCCAGGAAATGGGAAAGAATGCCTCAATCGGTAAACATCTGACTATCCACAAACAGGGAACCAGAATAGTCGCCTCAGCTGCAATGTCCAACAACTGCCACGCCTGTGGCCTGTTTCCAGAAATCAGCAACAGTCGGCCATGGATCAACACCGCGGCATACACGAGCATCGATTAGTTATTAATTGCTAAGGCATTGGTCGTGTGTAAGAATTTAGCCCTATTTGCCAGCGAGGTCATAGCACATGGTCAAGAGGGCTGCATGCAGCATTGTTGCACCCTGTGTGAGAGTCAGACTGCGCCATCTACCCCAGTCCTTGCTAACAAGAAGAAGTAAGATAAGACGAGGAATAGATCTTGGGCTCTCCTCGGGTATATCCACCTCCAGAATCCACATAGAGATGGCCTGGAGTCTGGAATCTGGATGGCGCTCAGTGGATCCGATCTAACATAGGGCCTGCGTTTGGGGGGGGGGCATTATCACTGGCCATCAGATTGGGGCTTACAGTAGTCTCATGCATATCAGCATATTTACTCGGTTCAAGTTGCGCCAGTAGTATGACACCCGGTGATATCAGACGACAGGCACAATACTTAAGTGGGAAAAAAAGATTGTAGAAAACCAAATATCATTGCGAAATCAAAAAAGGAAATAAAAACAAGAAAACCACATTCTAAGCTAGTTGCGTCTAGGAAACATCTGGTCCTCCAACTGTTGTTTGCTCTTCCTACTCCACCACCAAGTCATCGTCATCCCTCCCAGTAGGTCCTCACTTACTCGCCACGGTCCTTCTGACCAGTCAAGGTGTTCAGCGAGTCCATCAGACCCGGGATCTCAGGGTCCTCATCGATGCGGCTGACGTTGGCAACACGGCCGAAGATGGTGTACAGCCCCACGATCACAATGACCTCGAAGATCTCACGGGTGGTGAAGTGGGCGCGCAGCTCCTCCTGCAGAGAATCGGTGACGGTGTTGGTGCGCACCAGCTCCTCAACGTAGCGGAGCAGGAGACGGTCGCGCACAGTGAAGAACTCCTCGTCGTCGACCTTCCCGAAAGCGATGAGCAGGCGCTTGGCGTTGGGCATGCCGTTGACCAGCGCGACCGGGCTGTTGATCTCGAAGACGTAGTGGGCGCCGATGAGAGCGGCGGTGCGCAGCACAACCAGCTGCCATTCCAGCGTGGGCAGCTCGCGAGTGGAGCGGAAGACCGTGCCCAGGAGGCTGGACAGGGGAGGGAAGAAGCCCTCAGCGTGCGCGAGCAGCTTCAGCACGTTGCGCTCGAAGGGGAGCACCTTGAATGCCTCCGCGAGGTCGCCCTCGGTGCGCTTCGGGTCGACATAGGGGAAGACCGCGCGCTGGTTGGGGTAGGTAGTGGTAGGAACGGTGGTGGTGGTGCCTTTGCCGTTAACAGCCTTGCCGTTGGGAGCGGCAGGGGCGGCGGCAGGAGCAGAGGCAGCGACTTCAATGGCCATTTTATCGGTTTGGTAGTGAGTCTGGTAGACTTGGAAGTTGTTTTTGGGAAGAGATTGAAAAGTGGAAAGGTGAACTTTGGAGAAGAGCTGTTGCGATGCTTGCTTGCTTGTTTGCTTGCTTGGTTGGATAGTGAGAGGACAGTCAGGACGGGATCACCAGCTCTTTATATACTTCGATTTTCAGTTCTTCCTGACTCTACAAGTCCAGACAACAGCACCATGCTTGGCCAAGTGTTTCTGGCCTTTGTCAGATTAGAAGAACATTAGAAATCAAAACTTCAGGCCGACCAGAATGCGAGATACTGTGTGCTGTACACGAAGCAAGAATCTGCCTTTCCATGGTCCTACAACACCTCGTGTAAGGCTAGCCACAACGGCAGAGGAGGTTCGCTAAATCCTGGCGCAAATCTAATGCATGTCAGACGGGGCACTAAGAGTGGAGAGGGGATCGGCTACCACAAGATGCTCGATTTGAAAAATACACGGGCCTGTATCAGGGCTCTGGCCTCGACGGATGGGATTCAGCAAGTCTGGATGTGATGAGAATGAGGCGATTAGCAAGACGAATTCGCTCATGCCGAACCAAGATGCAACCTCGAGATGAAGCAGGGAGGCAAGGGGAGTGGAGAGAGCATGGCTGCAAAGGAACGTTGCCTCGCGAGGACGACGAGGTTGCGACAGGAGCCTGTAGGGATGAGCCATTATTTCTGAACGAACAGGTATATAAACCACGACGAGTAGCGGGGACGAAGCAAGGAGAAGGCAGGAGATACAGTTAGACATAGACACTCCCTCAATAGACAAAAGCAACTGTCCTTTTCACTCTCTTCTTCCTGACTCTTCGACGACCTCTTCTCCTTCTCCTCCCCTTTACTGCCTCCTTCTTCTACCTTGAGCTCTTTCCTCTGCCTTTCTGAGCCATGGCTGCACTATCTCCGATGGCATTGCTTCAGCAATCCTTCAACTTCCTCCATCAGCCCGAGCTGGTCGAGCCTCAGAGACGTGTTAGGTCTTTCGGGTCACGGACCAGCTCCCGGTCTAGTCCCACTGGCCGTTCCAGGACTCCAGATCGGGAGAGTGAGCTGTTTGATCTCACTCCTATCCAACAGGAGATTCTGCTTTCACTTGGTCCTCAGACAGCATGGACGTCCTTCAGCTTCGAGGTGCCTGATCAAATGGCCTTCAGCATTGACCGGCTGCGGATGACTTGGCAAGCCACTGCCGCTCACCACCCAATCCTTCGCACGGTCATTGTCGCGAGTGATGATGGCGCTGGCTCACCCCGTCAAAGGGTGGTGCGCCAGATTCTTCCCATGGGCTTTGGAGCCTGGGAGCCGGTCACCAAGACTGTTCCCTATCTCGTCTATGAGGAGGGAAGTCAGACCGGTCCTTCTCTGACCCTCCACTACCACCGAGCCTTGATCGATAACAAATCCCTTACCCTCATTCGCGATGACTTCGAGCTGTTTTTCCAGGGGTATGCCTTCCCTACTCGTGTCCCTTTCAGCAGCTACGCCAAGTCTATCACCGACTCCCGCCAGAGTGATGCCCGTGCCTTCTGGAACAGCTATTTGGAAGGATATCAGGCCAAGATTTTCTCTACCTCGTCAGTTTCCCCGGTGGAAACTGTGCAACCTGGAGATGTTGGCCTGCTGGGACAGGTCGAGGACTTTGCTCAGGATTATCAAGTATCCATGGACACTGTGTTGATGGCCGCCTGGATTGTGACCACCTCACGCCACCTTGAATCTCATGATGTTGCATTCTATACCAGGCTCCGTGATACTGGTCTCGACTCGACTGAGTACATCGTTGGTCCCATGGAAGTCACTGCTCCCCTTCGTGTCAAGACCGTGGCGAAGGAGCCTGTCCTTCAATTCTTGCACCGCTTGGAAGACGAGGAAGAAAAGGGCTCTGGACACACATTCATCGGTAGTCAAGGCATCGCCGATAGTATTCAAGCTAAGGAGGCCATCCAGTTCGCATTTTCTGTCCTGGAATCGGATGTTGCCGTGCCCGCCGCTTCCCCCTCGAACAACTTCGCCATCCAAGTTAACTTCATGGCGGCCAGTGGCCTGCTGGTACTGAAACATGACCAAAGTATTCCTGCTGCTCGGGCCAATATCTTCTTGCAGCACTTTTGGGAAGCATTGCGGCAACTCACTCTAGACCCATATGCTCCTCTGCAAAGCATCGGCGTGGTTTCGGAGGCTGAAACGGCTGCTCTGTCCGGCTTCCACGCCACACACTCCAATATCTCGCCGCGCCTGGTTCACGATCTTATCCAGGAACAGGCCCTGCAAAACGGGGCCGCTACCGCATTGCAATTCGAGATGACTGAAAGCTTGAGCTTTTCGCAGCTCAACCGGGCGGCGAACCGCGTTGCTCGCCAACTTGTGGCTCAAATGCCGTCGAAGTCAGCATTCATTCCCGTGCATATGGATGTGTCAGTTAACATGGTCATTGCCCTGTTGGCCATCCTCAAGGCAGGCGGTGCCTATGTGATTCTGGATCCTGCTCAGCCCACCTCTCGCAAGGAATATATTCTCCACGACACCAACGCCCCGTTCTATATCACCGCTAACGACGGCGTGGAGGTGATCCCCGGTACCAAGGCTCTCTTGATTGAGGATTTGGCACAGAGTCCTTTAGGCAAGGATGGCGAAGCCGATCTGAACCTTGCTTTGGACACGGAGAGTCCGGCGTATATAATCTATACTTCTGGGTCTACCGGCAATCCCAAGGGAGTGGTTCTGAGCCATCGTGCTGCATCGACTGGTATCCTCTGTGCCCCAACCATTCCCAACTACCGGAACCTGCTTTTTTACAATCCTGTCTTCTCTGCCGCGCAGAGAACGATTCTCTCAACACTGTCCAAGGGCGGCTGTCTCTGCCTTGCAAGTCGCTCCAAGCTCCAGCTGTCCCTCTCGTCCCTGGTTAAAGACATGCAGGTCAACACCTTGGGTATCACCTCGTCAACCATTGCTCTTCTGGACCCGGACAATACCCCGACCCTGCAGCGAATCACCCTCACAGGTGAAGCACCTGATCCTTCGATTGTTGCCCGCTGGACGGCCAATGTCGAGCTGAGAAACAACTACGGTTTGAGCGAATGCACTCAGCTGAACTGGGGTCGTGCGCTTTCGACCTCCTCTGAGCTCTCTGCTAGAAATGTTGGGTTCCCAGCCGACACCACTTCTGCCTTTGTTCTCGATGCAGATTCCCACCAGCTGACCCCATTTCTCATCCCGGGTGAACTGTGTCTACAAGGCCCACAGCTGGCAAGTGGATACCTCAACCAGCCAGAGCTCACAGCCAAGGCATTCATTGACAGTCCCTTCGCGCCGGGCCAGAAGCTCTACCGCACCGGTGACATGGCTGTCCGTCTCGAAGACGGCAGCATCGAGATCATTGGTCGTCTCGACTTTCAGACAAAGATCAACGGCCAGCGCGTCGAGCCGGCAGAGATCTCAGCGCTCCTGCAGAAGGATAATGATGTGGTCGCTGCTGCCGTTGTTGCTGCCACTGTGGAAGGCGACAAGGCCCTTGTCGCCTGCATTGTTCACAGACACGATGACGAGGTTTCTTGGCCGCAGCGCGTCAAGCATCTCCGCAAGGTGACCCAGGATAATCTTCCAGCATACATGACCCCGGCGTACTGGCTCTCTCACGATGCTTTGCCGCTGAACCAGAATGGCAAGGCAGATATCCTGAGTCTCCGCCGACACATCGAGTCCATGACTCGGTCTGAGCTTATTGCTGCCAGTTCCATCGCTGAAGAGGACACTGGTCGTGCGCTGTCATACCAGGAGGCGGTGCTGCAATCTGTGTGGGCCAGTGTTCTCCAGCTGCCCATCGAGGTTGTGACGCCAAGTCGGTCCTTCCTTTCGCTCGGGGGCGACTCCCTCAAGGCCCTCCAGGTCATCTCGGAGTTGCTCTCGCAGAACTTCGTGGCCGAACTGGGCGATTTACTGCGATCTGACTCCCTGGTTACTGCCGCATCACTGTTGAAGGTGCAAGACGGCGAAAATTTTCAGCCGCCCGCGCCATATAGCCTTGTGCCTGCCGGAACAATTGTCGATCAGGAGACGTATGAGGATCTTTATCCTATCACTCCCCTGCAGGAAGGAATCATCTCTGCCCATCGTACTGCTGGCGGATATGTCTACCACAGGGTTTACCGCATTGATGATGTCGACAAGCAACAGTTGCAAAACGCCTTTCAGTCCGTCATCGATGCAAACCCTATGTACCGTACTGCCTTCATCGAGAACGGCACAACCCTGCTGCAGGCGGTCCATAAGAGCTTCCAACTTCCCTGGCAGACGCTGGACAATCTCTCGGTGGCGCAGTACTTGGAGCAAGATAGCCAATGCCTGCAAGACATTGATATCACCAAGCCTCCGGTGTATGCAGCTGTCGTGAACAGAAACGCACTGGTGATAACAATGCATCATGCTCTTTTTGACTACTGGTCATCCCGTTTCCTATTTGACGACGTTGCCTCCACCTATCTGCAGCACAGCGTCGCTCCTCGGTCCTCTTTCAATGTCTTCGTCCGCCATCTGCAGCAGAACCTGGACGAGAAGATTGCTGCGCAGTTTTGGTCCGAGTATCTCAAGGATGCGGCACCAACTCGTCTGGCAACTGGAGGGGAATTCAACGCCGTGCAGCGCACAGTCAATCAGGATCTTCGGGCATTCACCACTTCCACCGGTCTTTCCCTTGGTGCTCTCATGTATGCTGCCTGGTCGGTCATCTTGTGGAAGCACACTGGTAACGCGGACATCACTTTTGCCATTACCCTGTCCGGCCGTGATGCTCCCATCCAGGGTGTGCAGGACCTCAACGGACCAACTCTGACCACTGTTCCAATCCGTGTCAAGCTCCAGCCCAGCATGACCCTTGTCGAGGTGGTCCGCTCCGTTCAAGATGAGCTTTGGAATGTGGCACCTCACTCGCAATTCGGTCTTCGCCGCGTCTTGCAGGCATCGTCCAAGACAGCCAACTTCTTCGACTCGATGGTCAACTTTCTCATCAAACCCGAAGCTAGTCCCGCAGCGGAGGTCTTCAAGCCGTACGCGGACCGCCCCATCTGGCAGACAGGATATACCTCGCTGGAGCTGGAGGAGAGCGGCGAGGGCGATTTTGATCTGCGGCTGTCTGGCTTTCTGGAGACCGTGCGAACGGGCTTCATCGCAGACCAGGTCGTCAAGCTCCTCGACACGGTCATCTCGAGCAGTGGCAGTATGTCCCTGCGAGATCTTGACATTGTCACGGACGCTGAGGCGCTGTATCTACACTCCCTTTCCAAGCCTGTTACTCCCACTGCGCAATTCCTGCACCACGGCTTCGAGGAAATTGCGGCGGCTGCTGGAGATCGCACCGCCATTGAGTTCTTCGGCGACAGCGAGCCGGTCTCTTACGCCGAGCTGAACAGGCGTGCCAACCAACTCGCCAGATATCTCATCGACAACGGAGTTGGTCCTGATACCCTTGTGCCCCTGTGTCTGCCCAAATCTGTGGAGATGATTTCCACCATCCTGGCCATTCTTAAGGCTGGCGGTGGCTTTGTCCCGCTGGATTCTGACAACCCGCCGGAGCGCAACAATTTCATTGTCAAGGACGTCGCGGCTACCATGGTCCTGACCGATGAGAACCTGCGCGGCATCTTCGACGAGGCGGGTGCTGAGGTCCGTGTTGTCGACGTGTACAACGTCGATTTGTCTGGTTACTCTGATGCTAACGTCGCGCTCGACCATCTGGATCCTGGGCATCTTGCATACGCCATCTATACCTCCGGTTCGACTGGTCTTCCGAAGGGTGTGCTAATCCCTCACGGCTCCATTGCCGCCGGTATTGAGAGTATCATTGAAGCCGAGCAGTGGCAGCGGGAATGGCGCGTCCTGCAATTTTCCAACTACGTTTTCGACGTCTCTGTCGGTGATATCTTCTGCACACTTACCACCGGTGCCACACTCTGCATGGCCCCAATGGAATCTCTACTCTCGGATCTGGCGCAGGTTATCAATGAGATGCAGATTGACAGGCTGTTCATCACCCCCACAGTGGCCAAGCTCATCCAACCAGTTGATGTTCCCGGCGTCCAGGGCCTATACCTCGCCGGTGAGCCTGTGACGCCCGATCTCGTTGAAATTTGGACTCCGCACTGCCTGGTGATGAACTGCTACGGTCCAACTGAGGCTTCAATTCTCGCTGCTGCAGGCGCCATTGAGCAAGGCGGCAACAACCGTGTCATCGGCCACCCACTCAAGAATTGTGTCTCCCTCATCGTCGAACCAGACAGTCTCCGCCTCGCTCCGTATGGCGCCATCGGTGAGCTGTGTCTGGCTGGGCCTCAACTGGCCCGTGGTTATCTCAATCGTCCTGAGGCAACTGCTAAGGCCTTTGTGACGCGCGGCGATGAGCGCATCTACCGCACCGGTGATCTGGCCCGCTGGCTTGAAAATCACCGCATCGAGTGCTTCGGTCGCAAGGACAGCCAAGTCAAGATCAACGGCCACCGCATCGAGCTGGGCGAGATTGAGAGCGCCGTCCTCAAGACTAACAAAGTGCACCACGCTATTGTCACGGTCGTCGAGATCCAGAAGAAGGCCCAGCTCGTCGCCTTCTGCGTCGTTGACCCGGCCAACCCCCAGGCTATCCTCCCCGCGCAAGAGTACCTCGAAACCCTCACAACCGTCAGCATCAGTCTGACCTCGCTGCCACCTTACATGGTTCCCACTATCTGGATCCCTATGGGCACGTTGCCTCTGCTTCCGTCGGGCAAGACCAACCGCAAGAAGCTGGTTGAGTGGGTACAGACCATGGACGCCGAGGATCTGCAGCAGTACTCTCAGGCGGATGCGCCAGCCGAGTTCGTCGACGCTGTCACAGTCGAGGAGAAACTGCTACAGTCGCTGTGGGCCAATCTCTTCAACAAGGAGGCTGGTGAGATCAGCGCCACGAGCCCCTTCTTCGCTCACGGCGGTGACTCGATCTCGGCCATCAACCTGGTCAGTCATTGCAAGCGCCAGGGATACACCCTGGCGGTTAGCGATGTCCTGGCATTCCCCCTCTTGCAAGACATGGCTTCGCGCATGCGGCCAGTCAAGACCAAGAGCAAGACTGCGGTTGAGGAGACAATTGCTGTGGACGTGCCTGCGTCGGTGTGGGATGCGCTGGACGGTGCTGGACTCCAGAAGGCCGATGTCGAGAAGATTTATCCTGCTGTCGCCGGTGTGGAGGACTTCCTGGTCCGTGGCGCCAAGAAGGAGCAGTTCTGGCAGTGCCAGACCGTGCGTCCGCTACCCGACGTGCTTGACTTTGAGCGCTGGATTGAAGTGACCACCGAGCTCACTGCCCGCAATGAGATCCTTAGATCCATGTGGATTGAGGCGAGCAACCAGTGGTTGCAGATTGTGCTCACGAAGCCCATTCTGGATCTCAAGACCATCGCCTGTGCCTCCGAGGAAGACAAGCAGGCGCAGATTAACCTCGCGTGGGACACTCCGTTTGAGGTGAGCAACGGCACGCCGTTCATCCGATATCGACTCTTCACGCTGCCCGACGGCTCGCGCGACCTCTACCTCAAGATTCACCACGCCATGTACGACGGCACGCTGCTGCGCATCTTCGACGACGAGTTCAAAGCCCTCTTCAAGCGCCACACCCCGCCACCTACTGTCTCGTTCCACGACTACGTCCAGTACATGCAGGGCACCGACAAGGCCAAATCCCTCGTCTTCTGGACCGATTTACTCAAGGATAGTCCTGCCCCCTATCCTGCTGCGTGCAACCCCGTCGCCTCAACCTTCACTCTCGCTGCGACCGACCGCCGCGTCGACTCCTTCGCGGCCAACTGCGGTGTCACCGTCCCCATCGTCTTCCAAACCGCCTTCGCCCTGCTCCTCTCCCGCCTCAGCAGCAACCCCGACGTGACCTTCGACAACCTCATCACCGGCCGCAACGTCGACATGGAAGAAGCGCAGAGCATCGCTGGCACCTGCGCCAACTTCCTCCCCTTCCGCAGCACTTTCGACACTGAAACCAGGATCCGCGACCTGCTCAAATCCACCCAGTCGCTGTTCTGGAAGACCACGGAGAACGGCAACGTGAGTCTCAACGACGTCTATGGCGCGCTGGGGCTCGAGCGCGAGCAGTCCTGTGCCAGGGCACTCTTCCTCTTCCAGCCCTTCGACGCGCCCCCGCCCACCACCAACGTCGTCGAGAAGCACATGCGCTGGATGGTCATGGCGCTGAGCAAGGTGCGCATGCCTATTGATTATGCGCTGCATCTGGAGGTGTCCAAGACGCCCACTGGGTATAATCTCAAGTGGAAGTATGATCCGCAAGTGTATCCGGTGGAGGAGTTTGAGGCGGTGATCAAGAACTTTGCAGATATTCTGGAGAAGATGATGGAACATTCCCGTAGTACTGTTGTTTCGATTTTGTGATTTGCTGTTTTTGCCTGTTTATAGACCAGTTTTTGATATCATCTCACCCTCAACATTTGATTAGTTTATATGTATCGACCCGGCCAGGCTAGATACCAATGCCATCGTCACTGCCTACTGCAATAGCTGTGTATGCTTTCAGCCTGTATTGGTTTCCTGCAATCTGGCAGCTCGTTTCGGGAAATCTCAGCTAGAAGATTCCTCTTCAGATCAGCTTTCTGGATACGTTGCGATATGTTCAGCGGATCTAAAACGTAGGCTAGTACGTAGATTTTTAAGATTTCTGCTGTCGATGTCTTGATGCGCAATTTGCGAACTACTGGCTTCATCTGGCGCTAACAGTGGGACTGAGGGAAATGTCTTCTACTCGCTGATCGGGAGCCCTAACTGGGGTGGCCGAAGTTTCTTTCAAACTATACGCTCACGAAGATCTATGATTCCGCAGAGATTGAAGATGTAAATCATTCTATGGCAGTGAAGCTGATGGCTAGTGATGCTCATCTTTAAGATATTCTGGTTCTGGCACCACCCGGCTTCGTCGTAAAGTCTTATGGCTTCGTTCCGACACCCCACTGCTTGGCCTCCTTTCTGCAAAGCCTGAATTTTGCTGCTCAACTTGAATCATCTTCGCAGGAGTGTTTGATTTTGGATTGGGCGTCGAGATATTTTTGGCTTTTGCTTTCTCCACAGCCGTCGTCCCATTCCTCTCAATGCCGGAAGAGCAATATCCTTGCTTCTCTGGTACTGGAGACTGGGAATTTGAATCACCGATCCAAAGCAGCCCGGGGTAGAAAGGGCTTTCATCTTCGCAGAATATGTGCGGGAACAGGACCAGAAAGTGGTAGGCTGGCGGCTGTGACGATTGATGATCCCTTGGGGAAACGTGACTACCAGAATGACGCCAGCTCGGTGAGTGGTCCCCTAGTTTCGAGGTCGCGTAAAATAGCCGAGAGCAGGTCCGCATGGAGTACCACATATTGGCAGCGGATTCCAGGAATTCATGGAGACTTTGTCTGAATTCGTGCGTTTTTCCCGCACGCCCGAGCGGTGCAAGTGTTCGGTACAGGTCAGAAGCTGCGGTTTCCAGGGTCTCAGTCCGTACCCGCTGTTCGTCAGGCTGGAAGAGGGTGGTCAGAAGTGACCGTAGGATAGCTTTCTGGCTGGGTCGAAGATTACGGGAGTGTTGCAAGACTTCTCCCATGCTCATCCGTCCCGTGGGCGCGTTCAAATATGTTGCTAGGAAGATATCTTGTGAGAGCCTGCTTGCAATGATTGATTGGGCGTAAATGGTACGAGGATAGGTGAAGTTGACGTATGGAAGGTCAGTGATTAAGGGAAAGGCCGAGTTGGCCCTTATTAGCTGGGTTGACCCTAATTCTTCTGATGCTGCCTTTTCGCATGTTAGACAAGCCAGATCAGGGTCACGAATCATCCGGATGGGAGACTCACTAGCTCCGATGTGATGATCGTGTCTTCGAAGAACTCTTCGATCAGGTCTGTGAGATGGCTCTCAAGGGTCTGGAACTGGTTAAATATCCTGTACATGTGTAAGAAAAGGCATCAACCTGTTCACAGCCATGCTATTACTTCTCTTGCTCCATTTCTTCCACCCCTACATCTACCTGCAGTTCGTTCAATTGATGCTGTGTTTCCTGAAGACTCGTCTCGAGCTTTGATATCATGAAACCCTGTTTGTCGAGTTTCTTCTGGCTTTGGTTCGCAGCGCGCTCGGCCGCTTCGACTCTTTTGTTCATTTCATTCTCCTTTCTCTGGGCCGCTATGCTGGTTTTGTTGCTCGCATTTTGGATTTGGGCTTGAAGATCAATCTTCTCCTCGGCCCATCTCTGTGCCACCTGACCAATCTTCTCTGCAAAGTCTTCGTTCTTCCGGATTTCTGCGTTGAGCTTCAATTGTTGTTCGTCGATTGTTTGATTGGCGACCTCCAGCTTCTGTTCCAACTCCCTGTTCTGCGCAAATACATCCTCCATTTTCGTCATGAGTTTAGTAAACGACAGAACATCTTTGGCCGCATTTTCTAGGGCCTTTAGCGAGGATTGAAACGTTTTCTCCTTTACCTTTGGACTGGGAGTCATTTTGGCACATCTATGGGGGAGTGATTCCGGAAGTTCCACTTGTTCTGACTGGTGTAGTCGCTGCGCTTTTAAATAGCAAAATGACTGGAGTGACACACATATTTATTTAGTATTGCCTCACCGCAAGGTCAGTACCATGCACGTCGTGTGGATTTACAAGCGGGTGGGCTAGGTATGTTTTACGTCCTTGCATCTACGCAGTACCCAATGCTCAAGCCAGCTTTCCTTGAGACATCTTTCAGTGCGACGGCCAGTTGACACTTGGAGCTCAACTTCCACTACGCAAGCATTCGTCAATCAGACTTGGGAGCTCGGCCGCGATCTGTGAAAGCTGGATGTAGCCTGCTCAGAATCCATATTCTATCCAAGCCGAAATTCCACATCTTAGACATTCACCAGAGATATAAACATCCTCTCTGCTTAGGAACTTCTATTTTGCTTCACTGCAGGAATGATATAGTACACTAAATACTTATCCCCTAACGAACAGTGGGATCTGGTGAAGGACCAGCTCTGTTGGAAACTGTGTGCAAAGGTTCTCTGCACTAGAAAGGACACTCTAGAAATTACTTTATGTACAGAGCTTTTCCCTGGAGACTGACCACCATATATAATTATTTGCCGAAGGGAGACAAAATGACTGATTCCCTGGAATCGGAGGGTATTGATAGAGTTCAGAGGATTCTGTTGCTCTTGAGGGCACAACCGTCAAGAGCAGCCGATTTATACTTCTTCAAGACCATATTGACCGGGGTGAACAAATGAAAAGATGAGTGATATATGAAGGAGATTGAAACTGAGCGGTGGGTTTAGAGTCGGAGAATTACAGGACCATAAACGAAGGTATACATATTGATCCTTGCTGTTGGGTAGTAGTCATTGTTGATCGTCTTTCGAAATTGGCAGATATCGTGAACTGGAGCATCAGTCAGGATAGGACTGGTCTTGTAGAAGCGACAGGGAAGAAAATGTGGCCTGGAGAGGTGGTGAGAGCACATTCCTCGCTTGATCTACGAGGAATGCAGTAATCTCCCCTCTACCCATTCTCGTAATCCAGCACAAGACATTCAATTTCTGTGCGAGAGTCACTGTTTTTAGCGGTCTGACGTTTGACTACCCTTGCTTGACAGTTCATGCACAATCCCCAAATAGGCATTATCTGTATCGGACTATGCTCTGTAACTGTTACAGAGCATAGTATATAGTAGGCTCACACACACATTTCCAGATCAATGGTTAGTGACTAATATTAAGAAAAAGACAGATACAGATATGTATTCTAACGTCCAAGTCCACCAAACAACATCATCCAACCAGCTGTCATCACAGGAATTGAACTTCGTCTTCGAAATATGCGGTAAAGACATCACCCTCTCGTCTAGGTCCCGCAACTGTCTTCAATCGCTTGTGCGCCGCGCAGTCGGTATCGTAGAACCGCATGTCGTCCAGGTTGCGGAAGGTGGTCTTCACAGCCAGTGTGTATCCCTTAGACCGAGCGTCGGGCATCATGCGGCCAGCCTGCACGGAGACGATGTATGGTTCGGCATTCTATCTAGTCAGTGGGAGGAAGTGGAAGGGGGGAGGAGCGATAGAAATACCCGCTTAGCCTCATGCTGGAGAGAGCGATATTCGTCCAGCAGGACGTCAATGTCCTCGGACTTAGGGATGTTGAAGAGAGTGACTCGGTGAATGGTCATTGTGAGAGGTATGTATTGCTTAGATTGATGGGATGCACGGTGCAGGGTTTGGAGCAGGGATGGAGGGATGATCGTGGGATGTCCTGAACATGGGTGTGGGTGGGGATTACTGAGATATATATACATGGATATATTGACTTTATACGATGGCAGTTATCATGAATCTAGACACTTGAATAGGAATGAGCTTTACATTGTATGCATTGTCAGAATCTCACCCTCGCACACGACTCGTATCACTCATCTCCTCCCAGTGAATCACAGGAACATCCCCGGTATGTACACTGTTTGGGTGTGGGAAGAACTCTGGATTATTGTGGACAACTGTGATAGTCGGGATAGTCTAGGCCAAGAAAAGCAGAAAAACAAGAGCTTAGAATCCTCTGGGATGCCGTCTGCAAGAACGAGGCACCCATTCTCTTGGTTCTCTTGGTATCCTGCAAACTGAATCCTTCGAGTGCAGCCAAGTATTCACATATCCCAGTGTCAACTTTGAAATCTTGGCTGCGCATCCCATTCAGATGTATTTTTCCCTCATGAAGTTATCCCAGCGGCATCCCACCGTGGTGTGGTGGCAGAAACTGAAAATTACGCTCTTCGCCGGGTCTTGGCAGCGTTCGCCTCGGTATCACGAAAAACCACCGTTAGTAATTGGGAGGAATTGGGCCGTATTTGCAATTTGCGCCCTCCCAGCGGCATCCCAGACACACAACAAACACAATGGGATAATCGAGGCAGCGATTCTTCATCCCAACGCGATCAGCTAGCTAACAGTGTATGATTATGATTATGATTATGATTATTATTACTACTACTACTATGGCTATGACTTTGCGTGCAGCAATGTCAGATCATATAAGAATGCCCCGATCCGTGCTTCATCCACTTCCTCTCCATCATCGCCAAAACCTCCTTCAAGCGTCCATTCAGTGTTTCACATCCGCTTGAAACGCCTTCATCCACCATGGGAGAACTTGCTAAGATTGATGGGGGCGAGTCGGGCGTCCACACCAAAGTCGTCGCCGATGTTCCTTCTTCGAGTTCCTCCGACCATATGAGCGAGAAGTTCACCGATTCGTCCGACGACGAGCAGTCCAAGGGCCCAGCCCGAACCATTACGGGGCTCAAGGTGGGTTGGCCATAAAACCGATGCGAGGAATGCAAGGGATCCGGGCTAATCGGCGTAGTGGATCTTGGTTGTTACTGCGATTCTGTCAAGTCATATGCTGTTCGCTCTGGATAACACGATTGTCGCCAATATTCAGCCGGTATGTGTCCTGCCGACTCGACTCTGTCACGAGGGTTATTGACAGTCATAGGCTATTGTTGAGCAATACCAAGAGGCACAGAAGATCTCTTGGCTCTCAGTTGCGTGAGTATCTCGTTACTTACCTCTGTACTTCAATGCATCCTAACAACGCATAGCTTCCCGCTTTGCTCGTCCGCGCTCGTCCTCCCCTGGTCCAAGGCCTATGCGACCTACAACGCCAAATGGCTCTATATCGGATGTGTCGTTCTCTTCATGGCCGGTTCCGCTCTCTGCGGCGCAGCCCCTGATATGGACTCTATGATTGTCGGTCGTGCCATGGCTGGTGCTGGAGTGAGTATCCCGCGGTACGGGACATGATCCTTGACTGACCATCCGCAGGGCAGTGGCATGTACTTTGGCGTGCTGACCCTCCTCTCCGTCAACACCACCGTGTCGGAGCGTCCTTTCTACATTGGTTTGACGTATGTAGCCCCCCACCCCCATAGATAACCTCAAGCAGCTGCTGATCGCAATAGTGCTGTTTCGTGGGGTATCGGAACCGTCACCGGTCCTGCTATCGGAGGAGCTTTCGCTGAAAGTTCTGCCACCTGGCGCTGGGTAGGTTTCTTTCTTCGACTCTTCGCTTGACAATGCTAATGAATGTGTCAAGGCCTTCTACATCAACCTGGTCATCGGGGGTGCCTTCGCCCCCGTCTACGCCTTTATGCTTCCTTCCTTCGAGCCCTTGCCCAAGGCGACTCAGCTGGAAAAGGCCAAGAACATCGACTGGGTCGGCTCCGTTCTCTTCGTTGGCGCCCTGGCCACCCTCATAATGGCCATTGACTTCGGAGGCGCCGAATGGGCCTGGGACAGCGCCCGTTCGATCGCCCTCTTTGTTGTGGCGGGTGTGCTCTTCATCATTTTCGGTGTCCAGCAGACCTTCTACATCTTCTGCAACGAGCAGAACCGGTTGTTCCCTATCCACTTCTTCAAGCGCCGGTCTTTGGTTCTGCTGTTCATCCTTAACAGTGAGTTCCTTTCCCTCCAATCGCCATGATCAATCAGTACTAAAATATCTCCCAGCCTGCGCCAGCAGCGGTCTGTTTATCTCAGTCTACTACATCCCCCTCTTCTTCCAGTTCACCCAGGGCGACACCGCCGTCAAGGCGTCTCTGCGGCTGCTCCCCTTCGTGCTCGTCCTGATCTTCACCATCATCCTCAACGGCCACATGATGTCCAAGCTCGGCTACTATATGCCCTGGTACCTGCTCGGCTCGGCCTTTGAGCTGATCGCCGCCGCCCTGATGTGTAAGTCCCCCGATATCCACATCGCTCTCCACCGTCTAATCCTCGCAGACGTCGTCAAGCCCGACACCTCCGCCAGTGCGATCTACGGCTACACCGCGCTCATGGCCCTCGGTGTCGGCGCCTTCAACCAGGCGGGCTACAGTGTCGTCCAGGCCAAGGTCAAGCCGAGCGAGATCCCCTGGGCTCTTGGGTTCATGATGGTTTGTCAGTATCCCCTTGACGTTCTGGAACCGGTATCCACGTACTGACGGTAACAGCGCAACTGGGTGGTATCGTGCTCGCGCTCGGTATGGCCGGCGCCATCTTCGTCAACAAGGCCACGGCCGGTCTGCTCGAGCTGCTCCCCGACGTGGACCCCGAGATCGTCAAGAACGCGATCGCCGGAACTAGCAGCTCGCTGTTCAAGTCGCTATCTGATGAGGTCCAGGCCAAGGCGCTGGGTGTCATCGTGCATGCAATCGACTTGGTGTATGTTTGTCCTTACTTTAAAATTGATGATTGGTACTGACATGTGTAGATACGTTCTGCTGATTGTTGCTGGTGCGATGGGTGTGCTGCTCTCGGTGTTCCTCAAGGTGAGTCTGCTTAGCAGTCTTCAATGGCGACGGCGCATACTGACGGTTTTCAGCGCGAGAAACTCTTCCTGGAGATGGCTGCTGGTGGTGCTTAAGGGCTAGCTTGATACCCTGAAAAAAGAAGAAGGAGTTGGATATGATTGTCATAGAATGTGCCATGCATTGGCTACTAATGAACATACTGCAACGAGTATACAGATAGATTGGGTGAGAGTACAATGAACTCCGCTTGAGAATATTCCATTGCTTCTTCGTAGGGAACTGCTATACATTACCATCATCATTTCAAAGGCAGACATTTTATGCGGATATAACCGTCGACTACCATTTCGCCTGCTCTCCAAGATTCATAGCAGCACTGACGTAGGCCAAATGGCTAAAAGCCTGCGGCGTGTTACCGATCTGCTCGCCCGAGATGGACACTTCTTCCGAAAACATGCCCAGGTGGTTCGCAAAGGAGAGCATGTTGTCGAAGTGCGTGACGGCCATCTTGCGCAGCTGACCGTAGAACGGGTCATTGGTGTGGTAGGGCATTGCTTTGGAGGCCTGGTGTACGTTAGTTTCAAGGAGAGTACAGAATGGTGATGGCGATGGAAGAAAGGACGTACGCGCATCATGGCTTCAACGAGCCAGAATGTCACCATCACGAACGCGCCTTCGACTCCTCCAACCCCTGCAGACACAGTCAGTATACATAAGACACCCCGGCGTTGAGCGGAGACGGACCATCATCCACCTTCCGGTGATCGTACCGCGACACCATGTTCGCAACCGACAATCCGCCCTTCGCTGGCGGCAACATGATCCTCTGCAGCGTATGCAGAAACCGCGGATCATTCGGCGCCACAAAAAACACCAGCGGCGCAATCAGCACCGCCGCATCCAGTGTCTCCTGGTTCTCGTAGCTCATGCAGAAATATCGCCCGACCGGGTTATACCCGCGGCTCATGATCTCATCGTACAGCTCGTCGCGCGCGTGCATCCACTCCGTGCGGTCCGGACACGGCAGGTTCGACCGCTTGTCCGCCAGCCGCAGCGCCCGGTCCAGCGCCACCCACAGCATGATCTTGCTGTACACGAAGTTCTGCGGCGTCCCGCGCACTTCCCAGATGGAGCGGTCGGCGTCGCGCCGCACGCGGATGACGTGCGCGATCAGCCGCCGCACCGCCAGCCATTGGTCGTAGGAGATCGGCCGCCCGTGCTTGTTGTACAGATACACGCTGTCCATGAGTTCGCCGTAGATGTCGAGCTGCGTGTGGCTGGCGGCGGCGTTCCCGATGCGCACAGGCTGGCTGCCCTTGTACCCTTCGAGATGGTTCAGCTCGAGCTCGGGCATGTCGTGCTCGCCGCGGATTGTGACCATCAACGGGAGCAATGGCGCGTTATGGTCGGCGCGGTTGTCGGTGACCGGCGGGAAAACCCGATCGAAGATGAAGTTGATGTAGTCCTCTGCTTCCTCGGGATAGCCGTTCTTGAGAAACACATACACGACGAAGGCGGCGTCTCGCACCCAGGAGTATCGGTAGTCCCAGTTCCGGGAGCCCCCTATGTGCTCCGGGAGGGAGAAGGTCGGCGCTGCAACGATGGCGCCGGTGGGTTTATACGTCAGCAGCTTGAGTACCAAGAGACTCCGCTCGACCTGTTCACGGTAGTGGCCGCGGAAACTGCAATGGCCAATCCAGCTGGCCCAGAAGTCGAGAGTACTCCGCTCCAGTTTATCCAGGTAGGAATGGAGGAAACTGTGGTGTGGGAGGGTGGTATCCGGGTGGTGAAGGATTAAAGCCACCGACTGTCCTTCAATCATTCTCACTCTGGCAAACAGCCCTGGGCCGTTCGGACCTTGTTTCTCTTGCAGGTCAAACTGCACTGCGGGCGTTGCATCGGACGCCTCGTGCGACGAGCTTGAATTTGTATGCACTCGCAACTGCAGGCTTTGCGTCTGACTCTCGAATAGATATTCCTGTTGCGAGGCGTCTCCATCCTGCGCCACCCAGCGACCTGTATGCGCATCTCGCGCATAGTTGAACGCAGGAAAAACCTCCACATTCATGTCCATTTGACCCCGGAGACACTCAATCTTGCGGATCACGCCGGAACGGCACCCGGCCCCGTTCTTATCCTGCGCGCCAGGCAAGCCACAGGCGCACCAGCTTGCGAAAGCATTGCGCTGTGATGGCCTCTTTCCGCCGACGGGCAAGTAATCCAGAATACTCACGACGCCGTCCTCATCGATCCATCGTGTCTCCAGGACGTTGGTGTACGGTCGGTAGCGCTGCTTGCTGATCGGCTGTATCTCCGGCACGGGAGAAATGGAAAAATAGCCTCCCTGAGAATTATCCAGTAGACGGCAGAAGACCGAGGGCGAGTCAAAGACGGGCCAGCACATGAAGTCTAAGCTGCCGTTCTTGCTGACCAGGGCACAGGTGTGCATGTCGCCGATGATGCCATAGTCTTCGATGCTGCAATAGGGTGCGTGGGTTGCCATTGTCTTCAATGAATCGATACTACCATATGAAACGAGTCGACTTTACAAGTGATATATTGCAACAGAATAGAGCGAGTCGAGTGTTCAATAATACTGGGGACATATTCGAAGCAGGAATGGATGACATCATGCCCACACAACCGTGGATGCACTGTTCTTTTCTTCCCACGCGACCCCAGTCCAGCGCATTGGGAGATGATCGATCCAGAGACTGTCGCACAGTGGTTGATCTCAATGCTAGGGAGATCGATAGATACCAGTCTATCAGGTGGCTCCATCCTTGTTGCCACCATCTACACTCCCACCCACCGCACCCTCTTCCACCCACGCCTTGAAGTCTTCGTTAAAACCCCCGAACTTCTTCTTCATGTCATCCACCATGCCGGCTGATCGCGCAAGAATGTTCTCTCCCATAAGAAAGGACAAAAGCCCCGTAAATTTCTCCTCGTGTACTAGTCTCGTCCGAATCTGCTGTCCTTCACCACTGGAGATGCCCTCGAAGCGGAAAGCATGCTCTCCCGTAAAGATCCCTGGAATAGAGCCCACCCAGCTGAAGAGCGATGGCGAGTTTTCTTGCACGATCGGCGAGAATTGCATCTTGCCGTAGCCGACGGTGCAGTTGAGCTTATCGCCGGCTTGAAGATCCACGGGGGATTTGTCTGTCACAGGAACGATGGAGCGGATGAATCCCTCGGGGGAGTACTTGGGGATTGACGGGAAGTCGAGGAACTAGTCAATCAGTATCTATTATTCCCAGGAAAGATGCAACAAGTACTTTTTCTCGGACTGTGGCTGGAGGAGCAGCGATCTCGATGCTGGTCGTTACTGTATACATGGTGAAAATAGGTCTGGTCTTCAGGCTCACAATTTTGGTCAAATAAACAGAGGATGATTGAGCTCCTGATTGACTGGGCCTTCCCATCTTTATATAGAGCCTCAACTTTTCCAGTCAGACACTCTGGAACCCCCTGTCATCGCTCTCAATCGCACCAATCGCTGCTCTCTCCAATGTCAGTGATCGGTTCACGCGAGATAAAGAAGATCGAAAATGGTTTAACTTATGACTCAAGCCTTTTATCATGGGGCTGTGTCTTAGAGTTTGTCTACGCTGAATGGCTGATAGGTCGATCTAATGGCTTAGCTGGGAGATGATACTATATAGCCACACTCCCTTGTCACAGTCCCAGGCAGCATCTTTAACTATTCCAGCTGTCCGTTTGGCTTCTGCAATTTCACTCCAAGGTCAGGTAAGTGTCAATGTAAGCTACAGGACTTACATGGTGTCCCCCTGCTCCTCGCCAGATCACTTTCTAACCTATGTTCACAGCGGTCGGTTTTCTTTTTTGTTTTTACTCCAAGTTGAAACTGCCTAGTTCAATTTAAGCCAGTGCGTGAAAAGAGAGAAGAAGTCAACGCCTGAGATGTGAGTTATGAGTTCACCAAAAGATCATACCGGATACTGAAGCAATCGCCTTGCCAGTTCAATCTATACAGTACAGCGCACAGCGGCCAATGATTCAACGTGGACATAATGATTCCACAACTCAACTCTCTTCGATCCTTCCATGAGTTATCTACCACAAGCCTCAGGTACGAGGTCTCGGACCTCGCTGCATTGCTCTTAGAGCCCCTCAACCGTGCCACTCGTGTGACTTACTACTATCGGCATCCATCTCCAGACAACCACAGGTGACACCAAATCAAGAAACGTTTCGCTGTCGTTGTGTTCTCCACTATCACCGGGGCTTTGCCCTTGCAGTAAGATCTTTCTTGTTGTTGGACACATGTCACGCCCCACTTTAGGGGGCGTTGAGAGCGAAGGATCCGCCGCCAGACGAATCCGCAGCCATGTTGCTACCCGCTATCGGGATGGTTTCGGATGCCTGCAGCAAGATCAGGAGTCTAGATCTGTTGGGATGCTACTTAAAGGGTGTGGTGTCCCAGGCCACTATAGGCATAAAAAAAAAGAGGACACGATTCTGGGGACGAAGTCAGTAGGACTTGAAAAGTAATCATCAAACATGGCAACGTAAGACTCAGATGCTACGTTTAGAACCTCGCGAATCTGACACAATACAGTCCCGAGGAGAAATGGGTGGAATTCACACAGCGAAGCGGCCCGTTGGCTGAAAAAGACCTGGAAGCCATCTACGATACCCTGAAACCAGTCACCGACAAGGATGTGCTCGGCGAGTGGAAAGGCGGCGGCTTTGAGACCAGCCATCCTGCTCATGCCAAGCTGCAGTCCATGAACTGGCTTGGAAAGACCTTCCATTCTACCGAGGACGTGGACCCCATTATAATCGAAAAGGACGGCCAGAGGGTGTGTGATGAGAGCTGGGGACATGCCAGAGTGAGTTGGACATGCACCGATTGATCGATCCAGAATTGACGGCTTGTAGCTCCGTCAAATCCAATTCCGCGGTGTCTTGTCAACCGCCATGATCTACGACAATCATCCCATCATCGATCATTTCCGGTGGGTGAACGACAAGATGCTTGCCGGAGCAATGGATACAAGTATGTTCCGGGACGCGGGGATATACTATTTCTATCTGTACAAGTAGAGGAATAGCATTTCTTTCTTATATCCTTAATACCATGCTCTGAATAAAGGCACCGTGACCCGGCAGCGGCAGGTGCTAACAGGGACACCGGTTTCAGTACTGGTTCGTCTGTGCCTTTGATGCGAGCTTCGGCCTTTCGGTTATGGATTGGTTCATCTGTCAATTGTTTCAGGTAATCTGCCTTGAGTTGAGAGAACAATGCACTCTCATTTTTCTCCTTGTACACCAATGCCTGCCGCGAAGAAGCTTCCAGTGAACCTTTGAACCTTCACCGTGACGGGCTTCCTCCTCTAGGGAGAATATTAAATTTACATTGGCACCTATCACCAAGAGCTAAAGATCTGAATCAAAGACTTTTTCGCTGGAAATGAAGCACCTGATTGCTTTGCCCAGTTTGATACTCGAATTCTGGGTGATGGTTACGAGTGCCACGGCGGCGAGGCAAGTCAGCGCCGGACTTATACCTGGTTGCGCTGCAGCCGTTGAACTTGGTGCTGACATTGAAGTAAAACCGATGTTGCCGAGCGAATTGATCTTTGTCACTCTGATAAGATAAACGAGAGGTCGAGTAGCCGATGGGATTTACACGATATATGTGTGTCAGCCTGAAGAGTTGATGTTGGAAGTTAGAGCGGTCGTCCGTTTATGGCTTGTCGCCTTAAGATCAGATCAAGAGCTACTGAGGCTATGCAACATCATCATGTACTTCATAGAGGATGATTTTACATCCTGTTACTTAGCTTGTTGGTTCGTCACAGAGTTGTACACAGCAATCTATGTGGCGTTCTCAATTCAGCGCTCAGCTTATCTGCGTACCATTCAATGTATCTGTGTGTTATATATCTCGGCATCAGATGACCGGAGGTTTACACAGTGCAATAGTATTCTTACATTCACACCAGGTTCTCGGTTCAGATAGGAGATCTCATTTGAGTGATAGTATAATATGCGCTATATCTGTTAGGCTATAGGCTGTGTTATAATGCCACAAAAGACCGAGGAACGAATGAGTTGCTGGAAACTTCAGAGTGATCAACACCCAACCAGTCTGCAAATACAGAATGCTTCGAAGTGTCGAACAAAGCTGCAGATAGAAGTGAAAGAGGGACAAAGAGAAGGGGATCGGAGAGATACTGCACCTAGATGGCAACGACGTCAACCCAGAAGCGAGTATCGTCATACTTATATTTGCTGTTGCTGTCAATCTGCGATTTAATCCACTGGACAGCGGACTTGTAGTCTGAAGAGGCGTTAGCTTCGCTTTCAGACGAGGGTGCAATCCCAGGAACATACTGTTGATATCTGGAGTATAAGGGTTGGCCAGGCCCGAGGCACCATTGCGGTGACCAGCAAACCACTTATCATAGCCGTAGTAATTCTGACAGTCCCAACGAGAGGCAACATCGGCGTGCACATTGGTGCTTTTGGAAATTTAGTGAAAGCTCAGCAGATGATTTGCAAGGATTCCCTACTTCAGCAACGCGCCATCGTTCCACTGCGCCTCGGACTTGCCTGCGAAGCCATAGCGATGGGCACACACGCGGAGTATGCCCCAGTTCTGCTTGAACAGACCGAAATTGGCTGCATCCTTGGTCTTCCCATCTCCATAGGGGTAATGAGAGGTGTTCATATCGGCGCTGACAATCTATTAGCAAACACAATGGCATGTCCTGGAAGTGGCCCTACATCTCGAGCATGGCAATGGCAAGATCAAGGGTGTTGCCACCAGCGTTAAGAATTGCCTTCTTGTGGGCTCCGAGACCAGCGACGGTGTAATGGCCACGGCCAGCCCGCTTGTCGAGCGAGGCATCAGAGACAGGAGCGGCCAGCGCTGCAGTTGCGAAGAGAGCGACAACACACGAAAGAGAGAACTTCATTTTGAGTCACCAGTTGTGGAGTTTTAAAGAGCAGTGGGTAATCTTTGGAGAAAAAAAAGGATAGGTAGTGCAATTGGAAAGGTCACCAGGACTTGTCGCTTGAAGAATATCCCCAAGAGTGAGGTCAAATTGGGGACTTTATACTCACAAAGAAACCCCTGGACAGTCGGATGATGCTGAAGTGATACACAGCTCCAAAGGCCAGTCTCCACTAGCAATGTCTAATATCCGAGTTCTAGACGTTGTTGCCTCGGCGCTGAGAATGCTAACTACCCAACGTGGCTACTTTTTTTGAAACGGGCCGTCTTCTCCCTTCTCTTCCGTGACCGAATCGTGATTGTGTAAGTTTCCTTGCAACTATCGGCTCTTATTCTGCATCTCACACCTCGTGATCGGATGATAGGATGTATTTTTTTGAGACACTACCCTGTCAATGCAGGGTGCTTCGGTTTCCATTCCTGACAACCTGCAGATGACACAATATCGAGATGCAGAATTTGAACGGGAAATGGCCTCGGGTCTAAGGGGTACTCCGGCGGGTATGGTAGGTTTCAGGTAAGGAAAGCTTGGACCAGTTCATGGGGGCATTTGAAACATCCTGTCGCGCACTGGAAAGTTCATTGATATGGATGTTATTTTGTGCTGATCAACACGCACTGAAAGGCTTCCCCAGAATATCACTCCTGTTGGAGAAGAAGGCACCCCGGATTCTTCAATTCCTTCCGGGAGATCTGGGGTTCTTTCGACGTGCATAATCTAGACTGTGATTCTACTGCAGTAGACGACGCCATTATTGTCGAAGTGAAACAGGCCTTGCCCAAACCGTCACGGGGAGGTGGAAGAGGGTCCGCTTCGGCTGTGCTCCGTAACCCTCCCTGACGCGCTTTAATTAACTTCGTTTAGCAGTACTCCGTACTATCAGACTATCTGCAGTGGATCGGAGACTCGGAGTTGTGCAAAACGATGTCAACTGATTTGGCGAGCGTTGAATATTCCCCACTGCCTAGCTAGTTCGTCGGGATAGTGTGACTGGCTCAACTCCCACTTGGCAGTCGCTTCCACAAGCTATCGACAATTGCGATGAACTTCCTGTGAACAATCTAATATTCTTTGGTTTCAAGGGGTCCGTGACCACGGGGTACAGTGGGCAGTCTTAATGGGGAACGACAAACCAAGACTCCCCCGTCTGCAAGAAGTATAAGATAGCTCCCAACGGCCTCAATGCGAGTCATATCCTCATCAACAACACTCCCTTCAATCACCTCCATCGTTCCTTATAGTACAGTATGCGTTCCTTGTCGTCTGTTGCTCTCCTGTCTGCGATAGGAGCTGCCTCCGCCCAGGCTGGCCCTTGGGGACAATGCGCAGGCATCTCCCATACTGGACCTACCACTTGCGAGTCGGGATGGTCTTGCGTCTATCTGAATGACTGGTACAGCCAGTGCCAACCTGGTAAGAGCATGCACTGGGTCCCTTGCCCATTTACCAGGAGCTGACACCCCATAGGAGCTGCAACATCTTCATCGACCACCGTCTCTTCGACCAAGCAGCCTTCGTCCACGGTTGCTGCTCCGTCTTCGACTACATCCGCTCATACGCTGCCCACTGGTAGCGGCTCTTTTGCCAAGACGGATGGACTCAAGTTCAACATCGACGGCAAGACTAAATACTTTGCTGGCACCAACGCCTACTGGCTGCCGTTCCTGACCAACAATGCCGATGTTGACGCTGTCTTCGACCATCTGCAGCAGACCGGCTTGAAGATCCTCCGCACTTGGGGTTTCAATGATGTGAACACCATCCCCGGCTCTGGAACCGTCTACTTCCAGCTCCACGACAAGGCAACCGGTACCAGCACCATCAACACCGGAGCCAACGGTCTGCAGCGCCTGGACTACGTTATCTCCGCTGCTGAAAAGCACGGCATCAAGCTGATCATTCCTTTTGTCAACAACTGGGATGACTATGGTGGCATGAACGCCTACATCAATGCCTACGGTGGCAGCAAGACCGAATGGTACACCAACGAGAAGATCCAGAGCGTCTATCAGGCGTACATCAAGGCGATTGTCTCTCGCTACAGGGACTCTCCTGCCATCTTTGCGTGGGAATTGGGCAATGAGCCCCGCTGCAAGGGCTGCAGCACCGATGTCATCTACAACTGGGTGGCTAAGACCAGTGCTTACATCAAGTCTCTGGATCCCAACCACATGGTGACAACGGGTGAAGGTTTGTTTTCCTAAAACCACAATTGTTGTGTGTCATGATTTCTAACACACCGTGCAGAGGGCATGGGTCTGACTGTCGACTCCGATGGCTCCTATCCCTACTCCAAGGACGAGGGCAGCGACTTCGCCAGGAACCTTGCCGCCCCCGATATCGACTTTGGAGTCTACCACCTCTACGTTGCCGACTGTAAGTATAGTCCTCGTCTATCGAGAAGTTACTCCGAACTAACCCACTGTAGGGGGAGTTTCGGACAACGCCTGGGGCAACCGCTGGATCAAGTCCCACGCCAAGGTCTGCGAGGCTGCTGGAAAGCCTTGCCTGTTCGAGGAATACGGTATCAAGGATGACCACTGCGGAGACTCGCTCAAGTGGCAGAAGACCTCTCTGACTACCACCGCCAACTCTGCGGATCTGTTCTGGCAGTATGGCCAGCAGCTGTCCACCGGTGCCTCGCCAAATGATCACTACACCATCTACTACGGCACTGATGACTGGAAGTGCGCTGTCATCGACCACATCAGCCAGATCTAATGGGGGAAGCCCCCTTGAGTTTCTCACTGGCGAGTATAATTCGTGTTTCGACTTCGCTTCTTTGGGCTAGATGACCTTGTGTAAAAACCCCGTCGGTGGAGCGCACTTACTATTTGGAAATATCAATTTTAAATCCGAATTCATTTATTGGCCAAGTATGATCTAGGTTCTTGAACATAAGGAATATCCGAGCAATTTACATACTGGATAATCTGCTGTATATCCCCCCATACAATTCCTGGATAGATACAACATTTTGACCACCACGGTACCCTTATGCTCGCTGAATGATCCTGACCTGAAAATTTCTCGGCTTCACAAACCACCGATCCCTCGTCTCCCATTCATTCTCCCTGAGACCATCGCCGAGCTCAAAATCAAAATCTCTCACCAAAACCGGAATCAACTTTGACATTTCCAGAAGAGAGATATTCTTGCCAATGCATGTTCGCGAGCCCAGCCCGAAGGGCATATAGTTCCGCTCCATAAGCTTCAGCTGTTCCGGGCTCGACTCGATCCATCGTTCGGGTCGGAAGACCGCTGCATCTGGTCCGTAGACATTGGTATCGTAGTGTGCGACCCAGCTGTTCACTCCGACGTTTGTCTGCGGGCCATCAGTATATGCCCTGCCAGAGTCAGATTAAGGGACTGGACTCACCCCTTCCGGAAAGAAATGTCCAGCAAGCACCGCGCCCCCCTTCGGGATGACTCGGAAGAGGGGGAAGCCTGTGGCAGGATGGATGCGAAGCGCTTCTTTTAGAACAGCCTGCAGGTACGGCATGGCCTGTGCCTGTTGGAATGTTGGATTCTGCCCGATCCCTGATCTCATGATCTCCTCGCGTAATTTGGCTAGATATTCGGGAGAGCAGATGAGGTGGTAGAGCACTGCACTAAGCGTAATAGCGGTCGTGTCGCTTCCTGCGCCGACGTTCGCTCCCGCCGAGACCAGTATATCCCAGTCAGACAGAGAGTCCGGGTTCGCCATCTGAGCTTGGGTTAGCTTCATAGCCATATGGGCTGGTAGATTGGAGCTGTGGTTCCCCATTGTTGCTTTGGCTTCCTGGACATGGTGCGCGGTGAACTGCTGGACGTATGTTTGGCCCAAGCCGAGGAAGATAGAGATGCGTACGAATAGCGGATACAGCCAAACATAGAGTCCTAAATATGAAGCTACCGTGAAACTGGTGTCCAGAGACTTGATGATGCCTCCCACGTCGTTGCCGGCGTCGAGGAATCCGAACCGGTTCGCAAACTATATCCATCAGCTACACCAAGGCACGGACATAGGGAGGTAGTGATAGACATACGGTGATCTCCCCAATCACATCAAAGGCATAGCATTGCAGCCAGTGCCCCATGTCGATGAAGCAGCCCTGTTTCGCAAACTCCCTTAACCGCTGCTCAAAAATCGCCACGCAATCATCCACGAACGGCTCGTAGGCCATCAGCGAGGTCATCGAGTACAGGGCAGCGACCTTCTTCCGATCCCGGGCGTGTTTCGTGGATGATCGCTCGGAGAAAAGGTTGGTCAGAGACTTGTTTTTGCCAAGGTTCCATGCATCATACCACTCGGACTTTTCGAACTTGGTGCCGTGGCCGTACATCGTCTTGAGGGCCGTTGGATCCGAGACACTGTACCAATTTGGAGCGATGCGGACAATCGTTCCTGCTTGATCTTAGGGATGCTCATGGGGTATTATAGGTGGTGTTTACCAAGTGTTTGATGGAGTTGGATATTCTTTTTGTGAAAGTCACCACGCTTCATCTGCCACAGGTACCATAGGTTGCTAAACCGTCCAAGGAACGGACCTGGGAGAGCGCGACATGGGGAACGGATGGAAGCGAGGATAGAGCGGATCAGAAAGGACGTAAGCACGATAAAAAGGATAGACAACATGGATAGCATTTTGATAGCTGTTCTTGCTTTTACAGTGGTTGCAAGATAGCCGCTCCATGACCTGGGCACCAGGCTGCAATAAATAGGCGTTGCTACATCCCTGCACGTTGCTCATCGGTCACACAAACATGTTGTTTAAAGTCTGGCAGTCGTTGCGTCCAGAGTAACTCGTTATCCAATCCCAGGCTGCAGCATCCCTAGATCTGTCATATTGCATGTCCCCATACGGAATTGGTTCGCTGGCCTTGCAGTGGCGTAGGAATACCCCGACTGGTCCACAGAGAGGATCAACCAATAACAACTAGAATCCTGGATCTTGGCTGGATAGAGACAGTTTGAGGGGAAGAGTACTCACATCATGAGAGTGAAATAGTCAAGGAGAGTGAATCCAACCCACATCTTAGAGTCCTAAGCTATGCGAATCCTGATATCACGAACGTAGAAACCCAAACCCTAATCTCACGGTATTGAAGGCATCGTTACTCTCATCTAGACTACCGTTGGATTTGAAGCTCTGGGATTGTGGACCTGTTTAATTGGTAGGCATGATGACCAGCGATACTCGTGGGCGAGGAGACCGTTCGAGGGGAGGGTAGGCTGAATTGAGACCAGGCATTTGCTGGAGACGGAAATTGATATTGAATAGTCTAGGGTCGCTATGATAGGACACCCACAATCATATACATCAGTGTATCGCTACCTGTACAATCATACACTGGCAGTCAGTCCTCGTCGATGGTGCCTATGGTGGAGGCTTGGCATTGTTGAAGCCGCAAAACAGATATATCGTATCCGTCAAGAGATACTGGGAGGAGCTTGGTCCTTATGTTCTAAAAATAGCCAGTGATTCAGGGGACAATGAAGAATCATAATATGTTTCTCTCGTCTTTTGAACATGCTTAGCATCTTACTGATGCATTTATCATACTGCCAGATGCCTTGACTGTTTCCCCTGCAGATGAGCACATTTGCGCGGATATCAGTAAGCTTCTGGGTTAGGTACAGAAACCACCCAAATCCATTAAGAGAGCCTTTGTAGTTGCATGCCATCTTAAGTCGCTAGCTCTGAGTGAATGGTCGGTACCTCCTCCACATCTTCTCGACATATCTCAGGATTTTCTTCTTCTGACGTTCACCTCCAGACATCAACATCCATCCAGATTTATCGTGTGCTTTTTATTATTGAATCGATAGAGCTAGCATAGCAACAGAGTGATGACAGAATCGCACACCAGCCCTCATATTTCTGACCATGGCAATGGTCAGAGCAACACAAACACAATACCTGCGTTCTTCACGACTGGAACCTATGCCACTCTCCCTTTCGCAGGATGGGTCACATCGACAACAACCATCTATGTCTGTACCCTCATCCTTCTGTTCATAATGACCCTCACGCACCGGTTTCTGGGGATTGCCATATCGAAACTCGACAAGCGGCAGGCGAGCCATACTGCTGTTCCTAATCTGGAACGATCTCCTTCCTATCCTTCCTATCGCCAGCGTTTCGCTCTCAAAGCTCGCCGCAGTCCCCTTCCTCGATTTTTTAATGCTGGGCGGTCTTCCCAACCGAGCAGCGATGATGAAATCGGGTTGGTCTCACACGACTTGGAGCGATCCAGCAGTGACCATCTTCCGTTGCATTCAGCGGTCCCTCGCGCCTCACACGACTGGGCCCATATTGGAATTCGGGCGTTGGTGGAGGTAGTTCGAGTGTTTCTGGGATATGTACTGTGAGTTTGATTTCTGCGATGAGATGGCGTTCGATCTGACAGGGTGACTTGTAGCATGCTCGCCGTAATGACCTTTAATATTGGAATCTTCTGTACTATCCTGGGAGCGATTTTTGTAGCAGAAGTTGTGATCGGACGCCTATTCCTACCTCTGCGGGCGGATGCGGATTGTCATGATGGTTGAATGAGCATGTGCTATGTAAGATAGCATGTGCAGGGCTGTTTGTTTGTACTCAATTCTCTCTTCGTGTCTGTTTCTGGGTCAGCTTAGCGTACACGTCTCATCTGGGATGTTCTGCCGCGGGATTAAGGCCGCGACGCAGGACTACATGTATATTGTATATGCGTGGGTGATAGCGTGAGTCTGCGTCCATCTCCTTTAGGGGAAACTCTTGGGTTTCTGCCGGCAAGAGATGCATTAGAGAGGACAATGTAGCATATCCATGCATCAAAGAGAGTGAAGCCCTCCCAGCCTGAGGTCTTGAATCGAAAATGTTCGGTCAAGGGGGCTGATGGACCCTCTGGCACGTGATTTCCGGCACATTCTCACATAATCCGAATATTACACAGTAATCCAAATCAGAGACTGAAAAAGGGAGAAATCCGATCAGTAATCCCGGATGACACCGGCTTTCGGTCGGATTCCTTCTATTCCGATTGATGATCCTTTCTGTCTAGCCCGATTTTCATCTACCTAGAAGGCTAAGCTAGAACTCCTTGCAAATCTCGGAGGTTGGTTCTTGGTTCTCTTATTCAGTGTTCTACAGAGTAGACAGGAGATCCTGAAGAAAGTCGCACAATTTGCGAGGCACAGAGGGGCATAACTTGCATAGTAATTAATGCCATAAGCTCATAACTCATAAGCCTGTGCTTAACTGCTTATGAGACAGTGCATCAATACACGTGATGTTTGATCCATGGGCCACCAGCACAAAGCCTTACGCAGTACTCCAGAGTCCAAACAGAGGCAAGATCAACCCGTAGATCGCTGCTTCGGTGCTTCCTATTTACAGGAACATCTTCACATGCATCGACGCATGTTCATTTGAATTGATTTCTATGTGTTCAGGACAAATCCAGGTCTTCGCACGTTTGAGAAAAAACCTCACGTGAGCGCATCACGTGCTCCATTATTGTCGCAAGACTTCCGACTTCAAGACTCATAAAATGACTCACAAGCTTATTTTCGAACCATCTGGCGATCAACAGTCTCGACTCTTAAAGCTACAAATACCGAGGTTGGATTTGCACTGAGATTGCTTGGAATCGTGAGGATTTATGCTGTTCGTCCTCCACCAGGATAAACCAGATAAACCAGATAAACCATAACTTCGGCGACCGCCAACAATACCATGGAAGCCCGAGCGACGCCTCTTCCATCATCCACAAACGCCATCCATCCACTCACAAGTGTGGATGGTGATTTGCTCGAGGCCAAACTTAGCAACAAGGCGTCTACTACTCCATAATAAGCCAGCAACCTGGCGTGCGCTATGCAAACTCACCGTCAGAGCCCAATCAGACCGGGTGAAAATAATGCACCTACGCGTCCTCCGAACAGATGAAACAGAAAAGCAGTCGTCCTTCTACAGTGTGCACATTATTGCCACATACTGCACTGAATCGGTCATTCCTCGCGTCCTTTCTCAATCCAAGACATTTCTATGCTTCATACATGGACTACAGAACGCGTTTTGCGGATCCAAGGATAGAATTCCGGAGGTCACCTGCAACGCGTCGGCCATTGGGACAACTGAGAAATCGGAGGCAAGGCTCTTATTTTTTTTTTTGTTCCCTCGGCGTCTCATCGACATGTCCCTAATAGTCCCTTACGCTATCTTCAAACCAGCCCATTTTGACCCTCTCTTGGATAAATTCGAGTACGGCCCAAAACTTTGAATGTCCATGGTGGGCTGGGGATCCAGTGACCACTCACCAGCGACGCAGCCCCTAGTCATTGGCATTTCGCCTGCCAAGTATATAACCTTCCGAGGGCAGGAATCTTGTTTTCTTTTCTGATTTGATTTGAGCTGTTACTATTTATTCTCCATTATCATTTAAACCAGCCGACTCTGCTCCACGATCGGCATCCTAAGACATTTTCGAGACTCTGCTGTCCTTCCACCCGCCCAGTATGGACTCCAGGGCGGAGAATCCCGATCTGGGCAAACCGCAGTTTGAGTCGCACTCATGGCTCGAGCCTATTGTAGGTGGAATTTATGTTCGCTCAGATGAACGGCAGATGGTTGACCATTGCTTTGCAGATCGTACTGGCCATCATGATTGGCTCTTTGATAATAAATCGCCGCAGAGACTACAGCATCTTGAAGCGTGGAAACTCGTCCGATGCGTATGACAGCAGTGGCTCAGAGGACAATTCGCTGTACGACCCGTCATCCAGGGAGATCACCACTATCTTCGGGATCACCATCAACACCCCAGACTCGTCCCGATGGGCGCATCACATCCACAGCCGGATTCTACAAAAGTTTCCCTTCCTTGTCGAAATGTTCTACTGGATCGTCAACTATTTGTTCTACTCCGTCACCAAAGCGACCTCCCAGTGGCTCTCCCCCGCCGAGATCGGTGTTGTCCAGGTTGCTCAGGATCATGGCATCAGCATTTTGGAATTCGAACACGAGTCGATCGCACGCTATTTCTTCCCGATGCAGGAAGCCGACTTCCAAGCGTTTTTCCTCAATAGCCACCAGTCGATGATGACCTTCTTCAACCGTATCTATTCTCTCGTGCATATCCCCGGCACTGTCCTGTTCCTGGGCTGGTACTACTATGCAGCCGAGAACCACAACACCTTCGCCGTCGCCCGACGCACCATGACCCTTGGCAACTTCGCGGCCTTCATCATCTTTTGCTTCTACCCCTGTATGCCACCCCGGCTCCTGCCCGAGTCCTACGGCTTTTACGACACTGTGCGACAGGACAACGCCGAGAGCGTCTGGGTCGGCGGTGAATCCGTCAACCAGTTTGCCGCTATGCCGAGTCTGCATTTCACCTACGCATTCGTCATCGGGTGTACCTTCCTGTACCACTCGGGGCTTCTGCATCGCCTGCAGGGCCGGCCGGTGCGCAAGTCTGCTCTGACGCAGATCTTCTTCGTCGTCATGGCGTTTGTCTACCCCATGCTCGTGCTCAGCGTGATCATTGCGACAGCAAACCACTACTGGCTCGACGCGGCAGTCGCGACTTTGACCGTAACTATTTGCTTCTTGGGAAATCGGGTTCTCCTGCTTCTGCTGCCCGTGGAGTATTGCATTTGCTGGGTACTGAGACTCGCCAAACCCATCCCTACCACCGGTGATTGCTATGTGCGACAGTGGCGTCAACAACTGGGCAATGTGCCCCTACTGGCAGATCATGACTCAGACCGCTTCTCCGACTCTGTTGTTTGAGTTGACTTGCAACCTTTCCCACTGGCCGGGCACGAAGACCTCGAGGCCAGGAGCATATTCAAGGCGCAATATAGGTTCATAATGTATATATATCCTAATTCTATTCGCTTAATTCCTGTCCACTATTTTCCATAACTTTTTTTTTTGTACACACCACCGGCCAGAAGATTTCGTGTTTCCTCCCACTTGGACGGAAGCCAAACTACGTCACGTGATAGATTGCCAGATTTGACCAGCCGAGCAGGTCTAATGGTGCAATAGAGATTCCTGCGCAGGAATGTGTACTTTTCGCATGGACTGTGTTTCACAAAACCTCCGAGGACTTAAGAGCGTGAATCCGGGGCTTCTACGCTGCGGGGGATGGAGCACCACAATAGACGCATCAAGATCGTGTGTTGCGAGTTTACAGAAATATATCACCAAGCTCAGCAAGGCTTCTCATGAAACGCTATCCAAACGGACATGAAATAAGTGATTCTGAATTCACAGAATACACGATTATTAGTTGGGTCAACACCCATCCCAGAAAAGGAGCCATTCCTGCCAAAGCCTGAATATCATCCCCATTTTCAGACCCAGATCATGGTCCTTTCTGATCCTTCCACGACACAACTGCAATATACAGCTGAGCAGCATTGATAAGACACCCTAATAGGCCAAAGAACGCACTCAAGAAAACCCCCACCAAGGCTACCGTTAATGCATTTCGCTCAGATGTATGTCACTCTATCCATGATATCAACGAGTTAGATGGGGGTGGCTTCTTTGCGAGCTCATACAGCCGTTCCAGACGAGGTCCCCAGTAGTGATAGGTGAAGTTATCAGGAAGTCGTCTGATAAATCCTTCATCCCATTTGGCATTTGGATCAAAGTCATGTTTGCGGATCAGTCGTTCTAATAGCCTTTTGGATTTTCCTGTCGGGTCGGTTGATATAGGGAAGAGGAGGCCACGATCACGGACTGCACTACGACGTCGACGGACTATATCACTAAGACGACCAACAGACCAACAGACCAACAATCACCATCACCATCAGTACTCCGAGGCCCACTATGACTTCTACTAATACTACTAGCGCCAGGACGTTCACCAACCTTGCTCTGACAGTAACGGATACTATCACCACCACGGCAACCATCATCGACACAACGACCACCACGACCATCACCCTTCAGATCACCACCACAGTGGACAACTGAGAAGCGACCAACCCTGCTGCTCCCTCCTGTGGCTCTTGTAGTGATCCCACCATCAAATGGCAGTATGGTCTGGACGGTCGCGATCACTACTCGTTCACCATCAACTACCAGAATGATTTCCCTTTCGCTTCCTCCAGGACCATTGATCCAGTGACTTCTCTCATCTGTAACCGGCTGCAGAGCCCCTGCAATGCCCCTGAAGAAGAATTCAATCGTTGTTGGGAGGCGGCAGCGATTGTCTACCAGTTCCAGGGTCAGGAAGCCGCTGATGTCTGGAATGACCTCATGACCTAGAGGGCATGATGCCTAGGTTGATTGAGGACGCCCATCTCAGAAAGGCTGCCCATAACATGTTTCTCTCGCTCTCACTCTTCAAACCCATATTTTTAATAAGTCCTCATTTTGTATGTCTAAGGGCCGCACTCTCTACATGGCTTTGGTTCATCATATGCATTATCTTTTCATTGCAGCTTCTCATCGATTCTTCGTATATAGGGATCTCCGCTGTGTTGAGGTTTTCTTTTCGCAGTTGACATAGAGCAGCATCGGCAACATGATCAAGCTGACCTTCTTTTCCCGTCTTTCTATGAACCTTTGTATTCACTTCAAGAAATGCAGGATTTGAACGTCCTGATAACCTTGCGTATATTGATCATGCTTCTTACCTAGCCCTAGCAGCAAGACCTAACAATAACTCTGAAAAGGAAAAGGCGACAAGTATCTGGGCGCAAGACGGAGGGCATTGACAGCGAAGACTGCTCTTAACTATCCCAAATAGCCCCATACGCCGGCACTCCCCTTGTTTCCATCCCGTAAACCACCTTCTTAGTCAATTTCTCGTTCGAAATGACAATCACAGCCTCGGCCCCGAAGCTCTGCACCGCATCCCACGTCAGCTGCACCAGGTCAGGCCGACCCTGCTTTTTGGTATCGTGCACTACTGCATGGGGATCCGCGCCGTAGACAGCAGCCATCATATCCTTTCCGAATGTAACTTCGGGGTTGGACGTGGACCATACCAAGCGGAAGGGACAGGTTGGGACCTGAATATGGCCCAGCAGTGGTCCGATCCCGGAACCTGTTCCCACGAGAACAACTTTGTTGAATAGCGTAGCGATGCGCATGACGCCACAAGCTTACATTCTATGGTCAGCCGTCGGGTCAAGTTTCAGAGGGAAAAGGAAACGGGAGCCTTACTGGGGATACCTCGAGTCCAGAAATGGGTTGGGGGGTTGCTAATCTGTCGTCCTGTCCAGTCCCCCGCGCGAGAGACAACAAGTGAATAACCTTTAGGTCTGCCATTTGCGGCTACTGGGGCTGGAACAGTGGCGAAGGAATGCCACTCCAGCAATGGCCGTTGCGAAAGGCGTGTGAATGTTCCATTGACTGGCATTGTGTAGTCAAAATGGAGACGAACCGCATGGTTCGAGAGGACTTCGGCATCGACAGGGACCCTTTTGAGAAAAGCCCAAGAGCTTGCGATGCTCAAAGTGATAACAACCAGCATCCAAAACTTGGGCGAAATGAGAACCTGTCTGCCAAGGGACTGGTGCACAGATGTTTGGTCCCGGATAGACAACATTGTTTGGACCCATATGATAGTGAGAACGGTCCAACCGACGAAGCGATGTATGCTCTCAAACGTATTGTGTCGCGCTTTTCGGAGGGCTGGATAGGCAGATGCAATCATGCCAAATAAGAGGGAAAGCACAATCACGGAGAGCGTGAGGGTTGCAGGTGAAACTTGTGCAATGAGACGACCCTCCCGCACAAGGCGACTGATGTTGTATCCAATCGAGCCCGCAAACCAACAGGTAGCAGCTATAGCAGCGCCAGAGTGCACGCCTCCAAGATGATAGATCTTTGCGCATCGCTTTCGGATTGCCAGTGGCCAAGATTTGGGTACGGAGCAGCATGCTGTGTAGAGAATATTGATAACGGCATCTTGACGGACCAGAACAGCGATGGTGAGGTTGATGTAGGCGAGTATTGAGATCCACTGACGATCAATTGCTGGGATGAGCACGATGCACAGGAGCGCAGCAATATTTGCCAGCCAAACGAGGGTGAACAACCTTCGGTACACGATGAAAATCCGGTAACGAAGTCCGCGGAGGAGCTTGCCATCTTTTTTAACGGGCAACGGCACCGGCTTCTGAAGCGATTCGCATGATCCTAAATTGACAGATGTACTTGGATCGGTAGAGCTTTGAGTGACGGCCTTCTTCTCTCCGAGCGCACCAGAAGTACTGACGGATGAAGTTTCTGACACGACATGAAACTGCTGTGTGAGGGCATATTTATCAATCTTTCCGTTCGGGGTCAAAGGAAATGCTTCGACAGCATGCCATTCGGAAGGGGTGGCATAGTAGGGCAATAATTTACTCAGATGAGTCCGGATGGATTCAACATTGCACGATTTGGGAGTTAAGAAGCCGATCAACTGCCCTTCAACCAGGAGTGCGGCAGCTCTCTTAACCCCCGGACACGCAGCTAATGATGCACTCACGCCGTCTAATTCGACTCGGAATCCCTGCGATGTGTTCAGAGCTGAAATTTGCCCGGGGATATAGAAACAGATCCTACCTTGATCTTCACCTGGTCATCCTTTCTTCCCAGCATCTCGAGGTTACCGTCCGGTAACCACCTCGCCAAGTCACCAGTGTTGAACATCTGTGAGTGACTGAAGGGGGCTTGTTGTTAGCAAAGCAATATCCCTTGGGCTGGAATCAACTTACCTGTCGTTAACGAAGGGATCGTAGTGATAACGTTCGACAGTCTTCTCATATAGCCCCAAATATCCCCGGGTAACGGCCATGCCTCCGGCCCATACTGTGCCAATTTCTCCAAATTTCACGGGATTTTTCTCGTCATCCAAGATATATACGTTATTGTTCGGGAGCGGTTGACCAATTGTTAAAGGTTGGCCATGGTGATGCCTGTGCATCGTGTTAATGATAGTCACCTCCGTTGGACCGCAGCAGTTGTAGAAATCAACTCCATTTGCTGCCCACTTGTCCGCTAGACTGATTGAACTGGTCAGTTATTATTAAAAATCCGTGGGTCTAATGTATCAAATACCTCTGGGGACAGGGCTCGCCTGCTGTGGCAATGCATCGAATGTTGGGATAGTCCTCAGGGCGATACCGATTCAGAATGCTTGGTGTACAGATCAAAGTGTCAATCTGGGCACGATCAGTGACTTGCTCAATATGGCTGAATATTGATTGAAGAGATGAAATACCTGTCGCAAAGCGGCGTGCCAATCTGATCCACGCAACACCAGCGTGGCTCCGTTAGAAAGACTGCCTAAAATCTCCCAAGCACCTGTGTTGCTCATGAGAAAGGAATCGTAAATGGGTGTGCCTGCAACATACCCATGTCAAAGCTGATGGACAGTACCTGTCCTACCTTCGAACCACGCGATATGCCCAGATTCCCAGGGCTCTGGCAAACAACGTTGGTGACATTCTTGTGAGTCACATCAACACCTTTCGGGGTGCCAGTGGTGCCTGTATTTGGATTCTCAGCCGGTATACTTTGAATGAGGACAAGTACTTACCAGAGGTGAAGATCACATAACAACCGGAGTTTTCATCCCCCTGACAGATGACCTGGCCAGCTTCCACAGAATGGCCAGTACGGTCCGCCTCCTGAACTAGATCCTCTAGCAGAAGGATAGAAGATACCTGGCCATTCGAGGAGATTCGGTGTTGAAAGGAACGAGAACATAGAACAACTCTGCTCTCGGATTGCGCGAGGGCATGTTCAAGTGTCTGATCGGGGACAACAGCGCCGTCTAAGGGAATATACTGCGCACCGCACATGAGAATACCGAGAATACCTGCTACCATGTCGAGCCCGCGCTTCGTTACGAGAACAACCCTGCTACCAGCAGTGACCCCTTGCTTCTGCAGCTGCAGCGTAACGAACTGGGCATACTGAAGCAGCTTACCGTAGCTGACTTCCCGGGGGGCTCCCTCGGAAAGGTCGTGCAACGCAAGCAAACCCGGGTCTTCGAGAGCATGATGAAGGAAAGCATGATGAGCGGTGGGATATGGAATTGCCCGCTGCGGGCCAAATCCAAATTCTCGGGAAAGGATCCCGTCTGCGTGGCGTGTAAAAGAAGATTCCATCATGAGAACTATTCCTAGGGACGGCTAACATAGACATTCACTGGCGATCCGCTCCCAGAATACATGAAAGCCAAAGAGCTATGACACTTCTTATATGCGTATTGATCGCCGTTCCCATCTATACTACCTTTACCCAACACCAGTATACTAACTTCCTACACCCGCGGATTCACCGAAGCCAATATCATTCCCAATCACAGGGAAATCCGTGATCTACCTATCTGACCGACCTATCAAAGGCTAAATTTGAGTCAGACACTCTCATTCATCTCGATCCTCGGGCAGATATTACTTCAGCAGCACAACCATGACATGGTTGGGCTTCATGCATGTTTCACAGCAATCTCTGGTCTGGGATGATCATTGCTCGGCAGGCGGGGTTGACCCCGGTCGATCCTGGGTTAAGTCAGATATAATCCCTGTTCATCTCGGCGAGGATTGGTGGCTTTAATCTTTCTGGCGGGTAGAAGCTGATCGCCTCATGACACGCTGGCCTTACAAGGACCATGTGCAGGATTCCTCGTGAGCCAATCGGCCTGAAATGAATGGAGGGTAATATCAATGATTCGTCCTTACGAGTTCGAATGAGCTAACGTGCTCATGTCCTTTGGAAGGCCGAGTCCGCATGCGGTGGGCCGGGGGTTTCAACAGTCAACAGAAGTGATAGTGCTTGTACGACGATGGCGAATCCTTCAGATGGGGCTCCTGACCTTTCTAGCGCCCGGGCGATGTCATAAATGGGGCCGTTGACATGCTACACTCGATCTGGCTGCCTTGCAGCTGTGGCGTGTCGCGCTGACACACATCGGATTTGTCCACGGGCTCGACCATGTCTTTCTGGATCACACTCTAGCTATACATTAAGCCTGGAGGTCGCTGTTTTCGGTAGCAAGAAGACCCCTCAAGTGACATAAGGTCTTCCACTATGAAACACAATACGACCTCCTCGGACCTTGTTCTGGTGGAGACATATCCATTCGGTGCCCGTGTCCTCGCATTGAATCGGCCCGCAAAACGAAACGCCTTGTCTCAGACGCTAATTAATTCCTTGCTGGCTGAGTTGGAAAATGCCTCGACCGATCCCCAGATCCAATCCATCATCATTACGGGCTCCCAGACAATCTTCTCAGGCGAGTTATTCCCGTCGTCGCAGTCGCTCGATTGTAATTGAGTTCGTTGCTTACCAACCAATTTGCTATAGCTGGGGCAGACATCAAGGAAATCGCGGAATTGGACGGGGAGACTGCTCGCCAGCAGAGGTACCTTGAAAATCTTTGTCATGGGATGAGAAACATTCGGAAGCCGATCATCGCGGCAATAGAAGGGAAAGCAGTATGAATGTTCCTGTCAATCCTCAGACTCCTGACTGACAACTCCGTCTAACTCAACAGCTTGGCGGAGGCTTTGAGCTTGCATTGATGGTGAGTGTTTCGATCCCGGACGTGCAAGCACGCTGCATATTAAGATTACTACAGGCAGACTGTATTGTTGCCACGCCTGAAGTGGAGTTTCGATTGCCGGAGATATCCATTGGCTTGATTCCCGGTGCTGGAGGCACCCAACGCTTGACAGCTGCCATAGGCAAATATCGGGTTTGTCTTTCTCCCAAACACCTTGCTTCCAGTTATGATTCAGCAGCGTAATGGGTTTTCAGGCAATGAATATGATTCTCCTCAATCAGCCCATCTCTGGACAGGAGGCATATCAGCTAGGGCTGGCGAGCAAATTGGTGGAGAGTGGTAAGGCTCTTTCAGGAGCACTGGAAATGGCAGAACAGCTGGGATCGAAGAGTCCATCCACAATTCTACTCGCAAAGGAAGCGATATGTCGAGGTGAGCAGCAGTGCCTAATCATCGCTCCAGTTTCCTTCTTTCCTGACCTATTCTAGCAGACGAGCTACAACATGATCACGAGTTCGAAAGATCACTCTACTATACAGCATTTGGAACGGGTGACATGATGGAGGGAGTGAGTGCATTCCTGGAAAAGAGAGCTCCTGTGTGGAAGAACGGCCGCAACATTGCCTCTCCTACGATGGACCAGTAGTAAATGATGAGAGCCTCTACACAGAAATAAATCCTGTGTTTTATAGTCGCTATACTATTGGCAAGATCAAGCTTATTATGAGCCCGGTGTCAGGCCTATATGTATTACAAGATAAGCGCTATATTGTCATGGGCGACATGGTGGAGATCATCATGAGACGCTGGAGTGACTGCGAGCCGCGGCCAACTAGTATATTTTTTGCTCTCCTAGCTCAACATCTGTTGATCAAGCCATAGATGCGTGGCAGAAAAGTCAAAAATATCACCAACGATCACCGACCATTCCTTATGAGCTTAACTGGATTTGCCAACCAGCCACGCGGGGTTGGAATGCGGATGCTTATGGAGTAGAGTTTCGCGCCTTGTTTGGTGTCATCAAGAATGTTAAAAGATCACATACAGGTTCTTATCTCCATAGTCAAATTCAAACTATAGGTCCTCTCATCAGGTCAACTTGCTGATCTGATCGATAACCGCCTGGGTGACCTCCTTTGTTGTCGCTTTTCCTCCCAGGTCTGGCGTCAGAATACCTTGCTCACAGACAAGCTCTACACACTCCAAAAGCTTCTTCGACGCCTCCTCTTCACCCAACCAGGCCAACATCTCTGAAGCAGTCCAGAACGTGGCCACGGGATTGGCGATACCCTTTCCGGTGATGTCAAAAGCGGATCCATGAATAGGCTCGAACATGCTGGGGTTCTCTCGAGTGGGATCTAGGTTGGAGGTTGGGGCAATGCCAATGGATCCAGCGAGAGCAGCGGCAAGGTCTGACAGAACATCGGCATGCTTTTGGTGAGTCAGCTTTCTGCTTCAGCTGGAAACATTAGGATCGCTGGCTTACCAAGTTTGTCGCCACGATGGTATCCAGACTCTCGGGCTTCAGAACCATTCGAGCGGTCATCGCATCCACCAACATCTTGTCCACGGTCACATCGGGGAAATTCTTAGCCACAATCTTGGCCACTTCGTCCCAGAGGACCAGCCCGTTCCGCTGAGCGTTGGACTTAGTCACAACCGTCAGTAGCTTGCGTGGTCGCTTCTGAGCAGTCTCGAAGGCAAAGCGCATGATCCGCTCCACCCCGTGCCGGGAGAAAATGGCTGTCTCGGTGGCGATCTCCCACGGCTTACCAACATGGGATCGTCCACCCTGTCCCGCATACTCGCCCTCGCTGTTCTCACGCACGATCACCCAGTCGAGGTCTCCCGGCTGGCAGCGCCGAAGCGGCGAGTCTGTCCCGCGAAAGATCTTGGTGGGCCGGACATTGGCATATTGCTGCAACGGTTGACATATCGCCAAACGAAGGCCCCAGAGGGAGATATGATCGGGGACATCTGGCCATCAATTAGTAACGATATTCTGCATAGGGCAATATGACATACCGGGAGCTCCGACTGCCCCGAAAAGGATCGCGTCATGCTTCTTGAGTTCCTCAAGACCGTCATCGGGCATGTATTTCCCAGTCTCTTTGTATGTTTTGGTGCTCCAATCATACGTTGTAAAATCGAGTTTAAAAGTGTTGAGGGCTTTGCTGACGGCATCGAGAGCTGTGATTCCGGCATCGATTACCTCCGGTCCAATGCCATCGGCAGGAATTGCAGCGATACTGTATGTTTTGCCTGAGGACATTGTGAGGAATTGTATTGCTTTCTGGAATGATCTTTTAATATGAAGTATTCCTGTTGTTGACAGGAGCACGAAAACCGATGGTGTTCCCTCCAGTATATATACTTGTTGATCGACGCATAGAAACCCCCGCTCTGCCGGACATGTTCAAGAGCGGATACCCTGCAGAAGACACGCCGGTGTTATTCTTGTCCGGAGTTGCTCCGAAAATGCAGCTCCAGGTGTTCATAACGTTATTCGGCTACTGATCGTCGGGAATTAGGTATAGTGGGATTGGAGATCTTCTACAGAACAGATCAGATACTTGCGATTCCGCCCGGACATGTCTAACTCCGGCGTCTCTTCCCCGAGGATTAGGGACTGGTCGGCTCTGCCAGGAAGAGTCGGTGTCTGATTATTATTCTATATTTTTGCTCTAACGGTTGGCTCATGGCACATGTTACTGCTGGTCGCTGACATAACTGAGTATTCAAAAATATCAGTTGTCGTCAAGGAATCGCTGGAACGGTCGAGTTCATTTGAGAATCATTCCTCCTGTATGTATGCTGGGACAGTCTGTTCACAGTATGTCAATGCCGAACCTTGAAGGTCTCTTTTTAGCCTGTAAATATTTCCCAGCATCATACTAAGACATTCAAAGGATTCTCCGACTCAGAAGGACATGCGTTGTTTGTGACTTGTTGTATGTATATGTTCGCTCTCGGAGAGGGTCTCCAAAACAAGTCGGCATGAGCAGCAAAGAAAGACTGTACTTGTGCATCTGAAACATCTGGTTGCTTCATATTGGCAGGAGTTCCTTGTTGAAAAATATCAATGAAGGGGATGTCTCTTCATATTCTTCCGTTTCTTTGTTTCGAGTCCAATTGGCCCTTTGCGGGACAACTCTTCGTTCCCTGTGTAATAACAAACAGTGGCACTGGAATGAATCACTGCCACAAAGGGTCATAGCAGGTATATAAACCCCAGCCTTTTGTATAGATACTTTCCTTTTCTTCATTCCATCTGCAATTAATTCTTCGCTCTCGACTCCTAACTTACTATATCTCTCGATACGCCACCCCACTTTGAGCTACAAGACCGTCAAGATGGTAAGCTTCACCCCCTTTCATATCTTTAAAACTTGCTAATCGCATGTAGGACTCTGACACGGATTATGCAGACTTTGTCAGCTGCGGGAAAACGGCGGAAAACCGCATGTTCGAGTTCTGGGCGGATATCATCAACGGGTTCTTCCCGTTCCAGGCCAATACCTTCCCCTCACCGGCGTATCTGTTCGCTAATGGTGCCTCCCCAGGCGAGCAGCGGGCATGCCTGACGGCAATGCTCAGCTCCGGTGCCTTGGCCAAGATCATCCATTTGATCGTCGCGCCTTCCCCCGTGCCAGACAGGAGTGCAGCTTACGCTTGGGCGGATAAAGAGGCTGAGCTGCGTCCGGCCCTGGCGGCGGCGTTTTTCGCCCTCCCCAACCGCGAAAAGAGGGGAATCTATGGACTGATTGCCATTGGTGATTTTGTCCGGCTCTATGAATACACCCTGGCTGGTGAGTTTAAACCTATTTTCTTCCCTGAGGGTAAGCAAACCCTTCATACGGTCGTTGATGGCCAACATATTAGTCGGGCACTCCAGGAAATACAGAAGCTGTGGATCAAGGAAGATACACTCGTCCCATTTCCTTTACCCTGAGGGCATTAATTCTACACTTTTGCTTACTCGCTCCCTATGAGCATAGGTTGTGGAAAGGGGAGAGTCCGGTTCGTTCGTTGATTAGTTTCAAATACAGTTGGGGTTTTGACACTTTGTTACAAAACACGTGTAGACCGTAGAAGCCAGGCTCCTCTGGTATAGAGACTTTTTAAGTGCTTGATAACAGTAATTGAAAAGGCGACGATGTACCCATCCGTAATTGTCGCGATCAGTCGCCCACTCACGTGTGGATATACTACCCCTTAAGGTGTAACCGCCAGCATGAAGAGCACACTCTGCATGGGCCAGCTCACCAAAGGTGAGACATCTTTCGTCAAAGGATCAAGTCAGATGTCGTCGTAACTCTTTATTGCTTGTTAGCTGATATGATTCGCTCTTGAATGTGTATGAACATCTTATAGCTGGGGCCACTAGCGACGTCGACGATGTATGTCAGAAGGCGGGATTCCGAAAAAGGCAACCTATCCGCCGCAGAAGCGGAACGGCCGTAAATGGTAATATCAAATGTACAGATACTATATCATCGGTAGGCCTCGCACTCTCATGGCCAGGAATATGTGATATGATAGCCCACTGCTATCCTCATGAGGAAGATATCAATATGCTACAAAGTCTATTCCGGAGTAGGCCTGGGCAGCATGTCCGTCCAGTGTATTTTGACATAAGGTATCGTTGGCAGAGTCATTGAGTTGCGAGTGCGGCTGGATGCTAATTGTAACTTCTGCGAAGGCTCGAGAATGACACACTATGGCTTAGCGAGCTGGAAGATGGTTCCCGATATAGCGAGTTACGAGGGAAAGTCCTATTATGTTTGAACAAACTCACATACATGGCGGATATCAAATTGCACTTCGAAGGGTGGCACTATGTCAAGTACGCAAGTCCATATTATTCCAGTTTTGACCTCTCAGCTCATTATACATTTCAGTTGGGATCCTATCTCTCACGATTCTGCAGCTGGACATCGGAAGATATGTTGGAAAGAATTACCGATAGTACATCATATCTGGAGTTTCCTGGGCCAGACAAGGGAAACAATGCCGGCGGTTCTACCACCAGATAATTACGAGTTTTCATTCACATTTCCGGTATCGAATCGGTTACCCGAGTCTCTTGAAGGGCTCGACGATAGCTCTATCAGATACACACTCAGAGCGGAGATTCACGCTGGGAATGGAGAAACAATCAAAATCACGAAGCGACTGACGGTTCACCGAAGATATGATTCTCTATTGATACCCGAACCAAAGGTACTCATGCTCGGGATTGTGGTAGTTATAGACTAACTGCTCGTAGGTCATCGAGAATTTTTGGTCTGGGAAAGTGGTCTATACAGTGAGCATGCCATCACAAGCCTTTCCATTCGGCAGTGAAGTCCCGTTGAACTTCCAGTTCATTCCACTTCGCAAAGGCCTTGAACTGGAGAGTATCAATTGCCAACTCGTGGAGATTGAGGAGAGGAAATGTCCACTACAAGCTATCCGATCCCGCGACATTTTGACGGACAACTATACAGCTGCGGGTTGGGGTGATGTGATCCCATCATCGGATGGAGCGGATTGGTATCATATCATTCGAAGACTCCAACTTCCTCGAAATAGGAGAAAGTGTCGGCAAAGTCACCCGAACAGCACAATGCCTATACGCCATTTGATCAGAGTCGACATCAGGATAGCGAACCGGGATGGTCATGTTTCTTTGGTTAGTCCTTGAAGAACTCTATTGTCGCACTTGATGAGAGGCTGATAAATATCAGATTCGCTTGACTCTTCCCATTTTCATTCACTTTTCTCCGTTGTCATCCGCTACTGGTGACAATATGTCAGAGACTCCAGCTTTCCCCTCCATGTCCGCTCCACCGGATGTCTTTTTACCACATTACAAGGACCATTGCCAGGACAAATTTCCCGGGGAGGCGCTTTCCGTGCCGGAGACGCGAGAGAAAGAAAAGGAACCCCCGAGCTACTTCGAATTGACGGATCTGTCTACCATTCCCAGCTACTCTGCTACCCTTCATTTCCGCTCTCATGATTTCGTAAGGCTTCTCGAGGAGGAAGACGTGCACTAAATTTGGAGACTCCTGCCCTAATACTGTTAATCGCATTGTGCCGTTTGGATATACCTATCCATCAGTCGGACAATATTACTTTCTCAATTCCCCATCGGCTGAAAAGCCCAAAGCTTCCGGGCATGAAGGAATGGTTATCTGTATTCTCGGAATGAGAAAAAACCGTTGGGAACGAGCATAGGTGGGAAAACATAGCAAAAGTGATATCGTATTCTCTTTCCTATGATGAGTTCTAATTGACCATCAACTTGATCAGACGAGCACCCAGCTCGGACGGAATTGTCACCACCAAGCAGCCCTCCGAAGCGACCCATTGAACCTCTGTAGCCAATGCGGAAGGATAGATGGTCTGGATTTGCATATCCTGACCCTGAAGGGCTCTTATGGGGAGCATCATGCTACCATCGCCGCCCCGTCTCCAAACCGCAACATAATAGCATCCGCTGTCTTGACCTTCTGCCGTCTGTGCAGACATCCCTAGGGAAACCCAGTCGTCATGCCAGTGAGGCAGCCCAAGAGGCCAGAACGGAATTGCTGTCTTGAGATCGGCACGGATCACCTTATATACATCCATGCCTTCTTTGATCAAAGCAAACTGATGCGGCTGGAGAAGATCCAATCTTCCACTGAGATGCACGCGACCAAGTAGTGAATTCACCACTGTCATTGCATTGAGCTCGTCGTCCCATACCGGCTGTGGATATGCCCATACCGCACCTTGCTCTGGAGCGACAGCAGTGGGAAGGGCCGATACAATGGCGGGATACCGTTCGGGATCTTGTTGGTCGCTAGATGATTGCAACGCGTGCACGGCCAACATGGCATAGTCCATTCGCTGAGCACCACTCGAACAGTTCTCAATTACCAAGTGGGGATATTGATCATGCAGCTCGTTCACCCATTTGAGATAGGCACGATTGTGCTCGAGCTGCCCTGATCCAGAACTCGAGCAGTTGACATCTGTACCTTGGGTCACGTCAATATTGTAGTCAAATTTGAAATATCCCACGCCATACTCGGTAACCAACCGATGGATGACATTGCTCATGTGTTTTCGTACAGCGGAATTTCGGTAGTCTAGCTGAAACCGGTCTTTTTCCACGATGCGATGGCCGTCTCGTTGGAAAAACCCTTCGTCCGGGAGTTGGTTCGCGACCACACTGCGCACCCCAATCACTTCTGGCTCAAGCCATAATCCCGGGACGAGACCCTTTTGTTCGATTCTCGCCAGGAGTTCTTGAAACCCCGAGGGGAAGCGCTTTTTGGAAGGCTCCCACTGCCCGACGTCGTCCCACCATCCGGAATCATCGGCATACCAACCCGCATCAATGACAAAGTATTCGGCGCCTGCCTGAACGACTGGATCTAGAAGAGCCAGTATCTTGTCCTCGGTTGGATCGCCCATTAGACAATTCATGTAGTCGTTGAATATGATGGGTAGCCGCTCATTGTCGCAATGCTTGCGCCGCATGTGCCGTCGATATCGCGTTATAGCGGAAAAGGCTTTCTGATAATCGTCGTGCACGTGGCAAAGAGCCACAGCGACTGTGGTAAATTGCTCTCCCGGCGCGAGTCGTTGCCTCCAGTCGTGGTCAGTCTCTACGGGGCCTCCCGCGGCAAGATAGATGTTGTCCTTCCAGTCACCAATCTCCCATCGCCAAGAGCCATTGTTTTCAATTTGCCACAACCAGCTATCTTTTTCATCATTTCGCTTCAACAGTCCCATGGGCAAATGCCCCTCTGTGGAAAAGGTACCACGATTGGAGACAGAGTAATGCCCCAGAGTGCCCCAATGATACTCCGGGCGGCCGTAGACACCATAGTCATCGATACCCAGACTCGGTAGGTCATGCTCTCCCCACTGTGCTTCTCGAAACCACGAGTTTGTGGGAACAGAGAGCTTGTACTCATGCCACCATCTGTTCGAGCCGGCCGACAATCCACCAAGAACGAGGGACGACAGCTGTGTGACAACAATGTCCTTGTCGCCGCCGTTTTGAATTGTAGCAGTGGCACGGAGCACAGGAAACCCATGATAAATTGTCAGATGGGATGTCACTGTCGCTCCGGTCACATCATCGAGCAATCGAACGTGAAGGGTCCGACTATCCGGGCGATTTTCGAACTCATGAGACTGATATCGCAAACGAGAGCCAACATAACTTCCTACCAGGCTCTTAGAGGACTTGTTTCTCGCTGTTCCCTCCCCGGCTAGTCGTGCCTCCAACAGGTAGCAATATGAATTGCTGAAATTGGGAGAAGATGGGGTCGGCGAGATTGCAGGAAGCGGAAGCACCTCTTGTAGATATGCTGCTCCGTCCTTGTCAATGAGAACAGTGACCCGAATGCAAGTATTTTCGAGGGTGATGGTTTGGGACCGCATATCGTATTCTATCTGTCATCATGCAAGCGTCGCTCAAGAAAGAAAAGCCAGACGGGAAGTGACGAGACCTACATATCTAGCGGAGGGGCAAAGCGGCTAACACCTAAATTGTACGGAGTAGAGCCCGTGCCATGCTGCACCAATGATGGGTGTTTAGTTGAGTATAGATATCCCAGACCCCACCATTCCTTGGCGACGGCCTCGTTCCCCATGGCGAGATGAGTTCGTTCGCCTGCGAAGAGAAGCCAGCAGCACCCGGAAAAGGTGGTCTGCTCGTGAATGGTCGCTCAACGTGGAGAACCTCGAAAGGGATCTGTGACCTACCGCCAACCGTCTTGCCCAAGCAGCTTCTCTTAGCTGTTGGGAGCCGATTAAGCGTGAGGTTGTCTGAAGATGCACCGCTTGCGGAGTGGCCTGGTGTCAAGGGGCTTGAGGGTTACGACAATGGAAACTATCTAGCGGTCCTCTACTTTGCATGGGCCTATATCCTCTCTGCTCGATGCGTTGAGTTGCTTAGTCCCTCGGCGGACCACGAAAGTCAGATGGACTATGATGCACCGGGGATATCTAGCGCAGCACCACAACCGGACGAGCGACCTGCCATCCAGATCGACCTTGGGGAGGAGGTCTCTACTGAAGAGGCTCTCTGGTGGCGCACCATACTCTCGTCTGATGACTGCTGGGGTGCGACGACCAAGTATAATGGTCAAGTATACTTCTCACCGTGGTCAGTTTCGGCAAAGGATGTCGGATTAACCGTGTCATCCAAATTATCCGTGGTCAGCGAGTCATCGCCGCCATCATCAGTTGTCGCCCTGGGATACCTCACGCGTTTCTGCGAGCACTATCGGTTATATGCCCAATGTTCAGTCGCACTCACTGAAGTACTCTACATTCCATTTCTATGGGGCAAAGCGATTTCCCTTCCCTTTCCAAAACAGCTTTCCGGGGCGGAACTAACGGCAAGTTTTGGTCATGTCTCTCTCACGACTATCAATGATCTTCTTGAGACCCATAAAGAACTGCTCCCTAAGTACATGACCTTGAGTTCTAACCCTTGGGGACTCCGCTCTCTTCTGTGCAGTACCTTCTTCAATCCTAATATTGAGTGTAATCTTGTCAGCGCTTGGTTAAACCCGGCGTTTGCAGTGCTTAACTCGATCTCTCCAACGAACCCGGCCTCAATAGCTGCTTTACTTTCCAAGCGACAGCCTCAACTCGGAATACTTTGGCTTGGAGCAGTTTGCTTGAATGTAGTCAAACCTGTCCTGCGGGATATACATATAGGAATGGTCGCACTAGATCTTCCAGCTTCTGCATGGACGGGGGTACCACAGACTTTTCTAACTTCTCAAACTCAACACGTCAATGGTGAATCCATACGCCGCGATGATGAATGTCGTTTATTGTTCATTACAGCCGCCGAAGGCCATGACCGGCCTCCAATATGGCCCTGGAAGCCCTTCGGCGCGACGCAATTATGCGACACAGAGCTGACGGTTCGAGAGCACGCTCAATGTGCCGCTACGCATTGCCTAGAATACCAATCCTGGGAATGGCTCTTGTCAAATGATGGTGCAATTCAAGACTTTGGAAAGGGAGACAAAAGGCAGATCGATGACCAAACCTCATCTTCCACCACCAAAAGGGAATCCGCCACGCCCAGGCATTTTAACTATGATCTCCTCTCGCAATCTTTGTCTGAAGTCGCCACGCGTGGGATTTTCCAATGGTTAAGATCAACGGGATATCCTCCGAACGAACGATCGATATATCAACATTCTTGGATTGATATCGACGGCACTGATGACGAGGAGCCTGATGATGCGGAGTCAGAATTGGGAAGAGAGTGCAGCGCAAAGGAACAGAAAGTCGAGAGTTGGTTGGACGGCATTGACTATTGAGGGATGTCCTTGCTGTGCTGGCGCTGAGCTGAGACTACTACTAATGAGTCATTACATGAGGTTGCCTCTTTTGGGATCAACGCTTCGACATTCTATTGGATCGTCGAGACTTCTTTGAGAGTGGGTGCTAACTGCTAAGTGCTGATCACAGGAGTGATAGCAATTTCTGTAGGCTGTATCACATCCTAGCGCTTACCCCCGGGATTGATTTTCGAGGCTGAGGTTTTTGGTTCGTCTCGGGGATTATTATTGGCTAGGTTATCGATTGGGCCATTACAGAGTACAATAATAGGTAAGGACGAGTTGACTTCACGCGAGACAAGGAGACAAGCCGATGGCGCCAGCAGCATCAGAACCATGCAGAACGTAGCTAAGATTTTCTTCAAGCTTTCTTCAAACAACCGCTCAACGGCTCAACCGCGCCGTTTCCATTGCAGTTCTCTGCAGACGAGGTTGCTTTAATTAATGAGGATGCTTCTGGCGCAATCGGAGGGATGGAATTAATGCAGAGCCTAGGGCAATCGCTGGACCATATGTGGCCTGACAGAGGTGTTGTACGGCCAGAGCAATACGATGAAGTAAACAAGCTTCTAAAGCAAGCAAAGGTGGAGCTGATTAACCGGCTAGCACATTCTGAAAAGAAGCATGGTCATTCGATAGCTGGACCAACAATGCATTTTTCGCCTAATGGGTACAGCCTCCGTGTTCCGAAATGAGGGGGCGGGTTGAAAAGCAACGGTCTAACGCCAGACGCCATGGTGGGAAATATGCTGGGTTGAGTCTCGAAACAAATCCAACACGGAGAGGATTCCAGCAGACCCTGGGTACAGGAACAGTGGGGGAAAATGGGACGCCCAGAGGACAAAACAGAGCCCTGGACGGTATTTGTCTCTGGACTTTGAACATGTCGCCGGCCGGGCTTCAAATTTCAGTTTTCTTGACTATCGACCTTGCAGGGGAATTAAATCCCTGCCAGTGAACCTCGGACCGAATTCCTCCTCGATCCGTTCCCATTGAAGCTTTTTGTGCATCAATTCACGGAGAAGCTTGTCTTCGGCATCCGATTAGCCCGTTGGCAGCGGGGGAATGAATGAGATGCGCAAGAGCCTCTGGCAGCAAGATGTGGTAGATCTGTACCTTTATGGGTAGGGATCGCCTCGGGGAGAGGACCACGCAGGCGGCTGATCTTAGTGTGTTGATGCTGGGGTAATTGCTGACAGCGCTGAGTGATCTCTGAATCTCAGGAATACAGTTGACAATTTGACATGCTAATGAAGGTGGGATTCCATCATGAGAGACTCACAAGGCTAAGGTACTATATACCCGTTACTTTTGGGTCTTCTGCCCATCTGTTGTCCTGAGTACTGACAAGTCATAGGAAGTCCTCTCCAGTATCAACTCAATGCTTTTGTATATATCAGATATGTCTCAGAAGGTTACACTGCATCAAGGATATGGGTTCAGAATCTAGAAGTGGACCCTTTGAACACCAGTGCATACGAACAACAAAAATGCCTCACCTCTTCATGCACAACAAATGGCTAGTAAGGGCGTCAGGCGTCCAACTAGGCGGTGCTACAATGCATCAATGAGTCCTTGGTTGCTGAATGAATATGGGGGCATACAACTTGATCAACATTGAAGTTGGAGAGCCTCAGGTCAGGGTATAAGAAGGAGGACAAATCCAGCGCTATCCTGAGTCTTTATCCCATTCCCAACTCATTCTCAATTCAGCAGTATCTCACTCTGGTTTGAATCCTGATCCCGATCAACCTCTCTACAAGATCTCCATCTCTTGTACATTCATATAACCGGCATCATGGTCAAGGTCGCCATTCTCCCTCTCACTCTTCTTGCTGCACTGGCTCCCTTTGCCGCCGCAGACAACTGCAAGACTGGGCTGAACTACTGTGGTTACAACCTCTTGAACATCGGTATGTGAACTTGACACTCCGGCCCAGACTTATTAAACCTAATGAGGTATTCTTGATAGGTAACTACGGAGCCCAGGTCAATGAGGCCCTTGTGGCTGCCCATCAGTCCACGGATGATGGCCATATCCGTGAATCTCTCTTCCAGTGCAATGGTGGCAGCAACGGTGATATCACCTTTATCACCTACTGCGGTGGTGGCTGCAGGGACGGTGGCTCTGGCCGCAGTGACTACTGCTGAAGAGTTGGCTGCACATTGCTATCTTGATTCATAACTGAAGGTGTGATATGGATATGGATGTTATACTTTGATCTCTCTGCATTGGTCATATTCAACATATGATACCGTGCAAAGACGTAGTTTGGGGGTGAAAGCACTATCTTATGATTAAGTTAGGTTGCTCCATGTCACATAGATAAAGCATGCCATGATAGGAGCATGATATTTGTATTAGTTCCTGGTTTGCCATCCTGTGTATGTGAGAAATGCAAGCTTTTTAAGTCAGAGGTCAAGTAGCAGAAGAACTCCAGAGCTATCGTTTGAATCTAGGACAGCTCGCGTCGTTCAAAACTCCCTTACTGAATGGTAGCAACCAATAAAGGATAGTCTCAAGGCAGAATAGCCAAAATCATCCACGCAGGCCAAGGCACACGTAAGGTTTACAGTACTGGCTTCTGTTGGTGAACACAGCTGGATCAGGATTGGCAATCATTCCTTTGGCGCACAATACTTACCTCTGTTTCATTCTCGTACAGACTTCCTGGCAGTGCCACCGCATAGCTATCTCACATCAACACTGTAATATGAATTATCCTTTCCAGACCATGGGGCCTCTATAAGTCTGGCCATCCACCCAGGTTTCCCTCGGCAGGTCCACAATGTTTGCATCGCAGTTCACGTAGCCCCCCAGAGAATGCCGAGAGGTGTAGACCTTCATCTGAAAAGTGACTCTCTCTTATATTTACATTTGGATCGAAGTGGTGATATATGTCAATAGTAAAGATAGTCATGTTCAGAGATCGTCCGCATGCTCCCCTTTCCATCCCAGCCAGGCAACAGCAATGAGCCCTTTGAACAGGACAGCCATCCACAGCGCCCCCATCAATCCAATCTCGCTCTTTGCCCACAAGCCCCCAAGAATCGTCCCCAGAACCAAGCAAATGACTGCTCCGGCGCGTCTTCTCTGCTCAACACCACCCAGTGAGGGGAACGCGGGATTGGAGAAGAAGTCACAATAGACACTGGTGAGTACCACGCTAGTCAAGCCGTTGAGCTTCAGGACACGACTCGTGACAGCCTGTCCGCTGCTCTGGAACGCCACCAGAGCTTGAGGCAGAATGACTTTCCAGCTCAACGCGGAGTCGCGGGACGGACGGTGGACGGTGACAATGGTGGCAGCAGCCGCTACACACAGCATCTGAATCGTAAATGAAGCGCAGAGAACCCAGCGTTGCCGGGAGATTACCCAGCGATGGTATAGAGCGAAGCAGTACGATCCTAGGCAGAAACTGAAGATGCTGACTCCAGCTTTTATCCAGCGGGTGCCCTCGTCCAGTCCGATCAAGCCTAGGCCCAAATAGACAGTATTGCCGGTCTGCATGCTCACGAAGGAGCCCCAGATAAATACGGCGGAGGAGTCAAGCAGACCAGTGATGATGTAGCAGAACAGGAGCAGGAGATCTCCATAGCGGGGGTTGATGTCTGTGCTGAGATACGCCGAAATTTGCTGGAGACGCGACTTGACGGGAGGGCGATTGTTGCCTGCTCCAAATAGCCAGTCTGTCTCCTGAAATACAGGACGAGAGGGATTATTTTCAGATGTCATTGCAATTGACGAGTCTATGTTCAACTTGACTGGGGGATGGTGAAAGGAAATTACTAGAGGAACGCGTGTTGGGTGGTGGATCTCGGCGCTGGGGAACAATGACGTCCCTGTCCGACTGTAGACTGTCAATCAATCAATATCAAAATCTCGTAGAGTTGTCATGGAGCTCGATGAACATCCATTGAGATACCTATTCAGTAATATAAAGGCACGATCCTCCTTTCTGGTGCTGAAACTTCATAGGGCGAACTTGAGGCGAGATACGATTACGCCTCAGGCATCAAGGCAACCAGCAATCAATCTTGACGCGTCCAAAGTAAACATCGCCAGATTCATCGCCATCACACCTAAATTCGCGTTCTGTCTTATATTTATCGGCGTTAAATGACAGAACTAGTGCATGGAGAACAAGTGCAGGTGAGCGTCTGCTAAATACTTGCCTGGGGCTCAAGACCAAGCCTAGGGATGCATAGATATATATAATGGAACACGGAGCAAAATGGTCGATTGACAGCTTTCATTACATTGCTTAACATATATTGGCCGAAATTCATCACGTACACATACAAGCCATCAGCACATACATAGTCTTGGTTCATCGTAATCTCGATTCAGTGGTAGCGCGATCCCTGCTAGAACCGTGACCTCCCCCCCTGTCACGGCCGATTTCAGGTATAGTTGGCAATATACTGCCTGGTCAACCACAGCTCATACTCCTTGCCCACGCACGATTGATCTGAGGCACACACTAATGAGTCATAGTTGCCGTAGGTGTAGAAGGCAGCCTTCTTTGCATCGAGGTCCTTTCCTGCCACATTGGCCGGTTCGTTCTTGATCGGATACCCCCGGTACGCCATGACATCTCCTAGGAACCTGGACGGCTTGGCCGACTCGTTAGCGAACAGTCCTGCCGCGGTGTGGTCGCTGTGGTCCCCAGTGCCGTAACCGTGGATGAAGTCGAGTGAATTGATACTGTCCGGGTTGAAGTCGTTGATGATCTGAGTCAGGGCGTTGAGCAACTCAGCGCGCGTGTACCTCGTGCCAGACTCATCGATTGTTCTAATAGACGGGATCTTGTCTTTCCATAATTTCTCCAGTGTCTCGTGGCCAGTGGTGCCGAAGCCATCGCCGTCCACGCTGCCGTCTGGCATATGCATGAAGGCAATGGAGATTGGACGATCGCGTAGCGTGTATAGGGGGATGTCTTTGCCCTGCACGCCAGCATCGGATTCATCCCAATGACTGGGAACGCCGGCCATGGCTGCATAGGCCTCAAGAGCGCCAGTTTGGCGGGAGGTCCAGTAAGTTGAATCCTTCCCTGCATCACCAGCCGTCAGATAGACGGTGCGGACACGCCGGCCAGCGGTGATGTCGTGGATGATCTGTGGGTTCTGGAAGAGGAGATCATCGTCTTGATGCGCGACGATGTTGAGGGTCTGTGTTGCGGTTAGGCTGGATAGGCCCAGAAGGGTGACGGCACTGAGCAGAGTATAGGACCGCATGATAGACTGCTAGGAACGAGGATATGGAATCAGGGCAGCTGAAACATATGTCTCGCTCGAGGCATGTAGGAGACTTTGGTCATAGTTATATGATTTTCAGCTTCGCGTGCTGTTGTTCATCCTGCCAGTCTTTTTGTTTATCAAGTGATGGGCTAGCATTCTTCATCTGCCTTGACATTCCACGATCAATTCCCTCGTCCTATAGCTAGCTCGAGCCATAATCGTCAACTTATCCCTTGCTTAATTAGCAGTCGGATACTCCTGACGGCTTGGCTAATGACCTGAGCTAATGCTTGGGCCAGAGAATACCAAACGATCGCGTCTATTTTTGCTGTTTCCTGCAGAACTGCTCGGATCATACACAGTGGCTCTCGAAGAGACATGACGACATTCACAGTTGCCGCTTCTTTACCACCACTTATCCGTACTCATGAAAGGATAGGGTGCTAGTTTTTATTCCTCTACTATGAATCTTGTACGCACCCCGTTCGAATCTATCACATGCAGTTGAAAGATGGCTAATGAGAAGGTACTGGCCAAGCCTAGAACGAATGCCCCTGCATTGTGGTAAACATTCTCTTCCTCCCTGTTCCAAGATAATCTGCCCTGTACCACCTGTTGATCATGGGCTCGTCTTTTCCAAGAGGATAACCTTGCTCGCATAATCCGCATCGAAGGAATACTGTAGGCCAAGGTTCATTAGCATCGCCCCGGAGTAGGGTCCTTTTCCATCCACGCGATACATGGCTTCAGGATCCAGCCCTTGCAGTCTCACCCGCGGCAAGGTGTGGTTGACATTCGGGCCCATCTGGAAGAAGAACAGCACAGCCTGTGCCCCATCTGCTGATATAAAGAGCGCTGCCGGCCAGTTAGATTCCTCAGGTAGACTTAACCGCCACATATCCCCCTTGAGGATAATAGGATTTATCTTTTCTGAGAGTGCGATTAGCTCCGGCACTGCTGCTTTCTCTTCGGGAAGCATCTTCACAGGGTCGAGCTCAAGGCCAAAGGATCCGCCCATCATGGCGACGTGAGCACGGAAGGTGAGGGGAATGGTGCGTCCTGTCTGGTGATTAGGGACTGCAGAGACGTGCGCACCCATTGCACTTGCCGGATACACGAGGGAGGTCCCCATTTGAATAAAGATACGCTCCACAGCGTCGGTGTCATCAGATGTCCAGACTTGAGGGAAGTACTGAAGGATTCCTGGATCGAAGCGACCGCCACCCGAGGCACATCCCTCCCAGAGAATGTCGGGAAAGCGTGAAGTCAGCACATCAAACACGCGGTACATGCCCAGCATGTAGGCGTGGACTGCACATGGGGAGGGGGTCTCATTAACGGCACGGTTGTGATCCCATTTGACGTAGCTTATGTCTGCGCTGTCGAGAATCTTGGAAATGGACTCGATGATAAACTCTTGCACCTCAGATAGGGCGAGATTGAGCACGAGTTGGTTTCGTTGTTCGGTGCGTGGGTATGAGCCTGCGTGGAGGACCCAGTCCGGGTGTTCATGGTACAGGCTTGAGTCCGGGTTGACCATCTCAGGCTCGACCCAGATGCCGAAGCGCAAATTCTTGGAGGAATTGGCAACGTTCAAGGCTGTGATGTCCTTAACTAGAGGAGCCAGGCCGTTAGGAAATCTCTCTGGATTGGGTACCCAGTCTCCTAGGCCCGCCGCGTCAGAGACTCGAGGATACTTGTCGCCGAACCACCCATCATCCATGACAAAGAGTTTAACCCCTAGTGCAGCGGATTCCTGTGCCATGTGATACATGTTATCCTGGTTGATATTGAAGTAGAGACCCTCCCAGCTGTTAAGTAAAACAGGACGATCAGCTGTGGCAAATTTACTCTTCATGAGGTGTTCGCGGTACAGCCGGTGTAGAGATCGTGACATGCCTCCTAACCCGTCTGAGGAGTACACAGCAACACACTCGGGAGAGGTGAGCGTTTCGCCAGGACTCAGAGGCCAGGAAAGTTGATCAGGATGGAATCCGAGTGAAACACGAGTCAAACCCTGCGATCCCTTCTCAACATTAGCAGCAAATGAGCCAGTGTAGACAAGTGAGAAGCCCCATGCCTCTCCTTGGGACTCCGTGGTCGAGGGATGTGCGAGGGCGACAAAGGGATTATGGAGATGAGACGAGAAGCCAGTGGTACTTCCGAATCTGTCGATGACATTAGTGTCCATTCAGTACAAGAGATAGAAGCAGCTGCGTACCCCTGCAGCCCGTAGTCGACCTTGCGCCGTTGCCGGTGTGCTTCCCTGGCCCAGTCTCCCCTAAGTCCGATCATGTCGAAGTCCTCACAAGGCAGGTCTACGCTCAGACTGGCCAAACTTTCAACTGATATTTTCCCTTTGCCCTTGTTCGTAACACTTACACTGCGTACAATAGCATCGTACCTGGGAAAGACGGAGTATGTCAAGTTTGCAGCCACCTCGCTGTACTTGTCGTACAAATGCACTACCAATGTCGACACATCCTTTTCTGCACCAAATGTCGCCGGTAGTCCAGGCAGCTTGGGCTTTCCCGTCGACATTGTATGGGATTGATATTGAAATGCTGACACGGTGTGACCTTGAGACTGGCGGATCCGAATGGCCGGCACGCGAAAATCTCCCCGTCCTTGATCCGGAAATTCACGCCGGACGCGGTCTGGCATACCGGTCCAGCCATTGATTATGGGAGATGGGTCATCGGGAATAGGACCGGTGATGCTTCCGCCAAAGTGATCTGAGTGAAGGTCGCCGGTGGTTTCATCAACGTGGAAGTGATAGGACACATTGTTGCCGTTGATGGCGAAGCATTTCCCGTCCACGGTGATGGCTGTGGAATATTAAGTTAAGAGGTATTCCTACTGTAAATTAGGATTGCCTCACCATCTGTGCGAGGAGTTTGCTGAGCCATGCTTTCTTGTTTATTAAATGCCCAAGCTGTGTTGATTATCGCCGCATTCCCCAGCGGCGTTTACATCTAATATATCCCCACAGCAAGACCCCGCGGGATCATGACCAGCCTGATTGTCAAGAGCTGTACAACGCGAATGATAGACCGAGTGGAGAATGAAATCAGATCAATTGCCTTGATGGATTTGATGGGCTTGGGTGGTGGTCCCCACAGACCGACTTAACCAGAACAGCCACGGGCATCTCCCCGTGAGTGCATGTATTGCGGCCGTGACATTGCGGGGCAGTCGCTGTTTGAATGTACCAGTTTTATGCCCACAATCATTGTGAAAGAACGTATCTGTTTTGACTGACAATGTCTCTGCACCACAGGGCTCCCATGACCATGACTCAGTAACGCGACACAGACCAGGGTCCAAGAGGTATAAATGCATTGAAGAAACCCAAAGTCCCTCGATTGCGATGCTTGCTACTGGGTCGCTAGAGACAAGGAATCCGGCGAGCTATTCCAACCAAGCCTTCGCAGATACTCATCTTGCAGGAGTTTGGATTAATGCTGATATTCGCCAAATTGTGGAAGTCACTCACCAGCAAGTTTCCACGTCTTTGTTGCGTAGCTAAGAACCCGACGGAAAGGTTCACTATCAAGCTGAAAACATCCCTCGAAGATAGGTGTAAGGTATTTGACTGCAATAGCAGCCTCTCCAACACACATGACGGCCGGCAGAGGTACCCACGGGATCTTCTTGGTAGCTTCCATCGCATCGAACTTGAAGCAGATGTCACTGACCATTTTGACGAAGGACGACAAGGCAAGATATGAGGCTTTAGCTTCTTCCGACGAGACCAATCCCCTGCTTCCCCGACTGAGTCGGTCCTGATGGAGCATGATGCCTGATCTGGTTGGCTTAGTTTCGATTGGAGACATAGGGCCATATAAGATAGGATACTCACGCTAAGCCTATGGCATTAGCTCCGCACAAAACAGCCCAGCTCCCTGGGGTTTGCGCAATCAGCTTGTTCATGAAGTACATCAAGGTGCGATCAAGCATTGAAAATTTCTCGGATGACCAGTCAATGTCACTCGATTGCCGCAGCATCTGTACTGGTCCAAGGATGCGGACTCCCTGGATCTCACGAGCGAAGTAGCAGAGTGGAATTTCTGCCGGAGTCGAAAAGGACGGAGGGTACTCGGGGGTGCTACTCCAGGTACTAAGAAGTGAATCATCAACCGGTATTCGAAAAGTGTCCCTAGGCTCTACCACTGCATGTGGTGCTATGAAGCCGGTGGCTACCTGATAGATCAAACTTCAACGAATAGTTTAGCTTCAATCATTCTCTTTCAGTAGCGATCGGCTCACCGGTCCAGCATGTATAACCCACACCATACTCGTCTTCGCTCCTCCGATTCAGAAAATCTGGTAAAATCATGGTGATTCACTCCATCGTCCAGATCTAACCGTTGAATATACCCAAGCCTAGCACAGTTTCCGATGCTCACAGAGGCTTCCTGGACCAAAGAACTTCCCAGTTCATATAATGTCAACAACAGTCCACCTTGTACGAGCTGTAATGAGGGTTCTCGAAGGAGTTGAAGATAAGCAAAGAGATACTTGGTGATCTGATAAATATTTGCCTGGTGACCATTCTGGGCCTTCATGCCGACAACCAGGGACACGGCTAGGAGAAGCATTGCGATATCAGCGCATGGCGAACTATGTAGCTGAGAAAGTCGATTGCGGAAACTCCTTTCAATGATAACTGGGAGCCATGGATGAATATGACAGAAATACTCCGATAAGATCGTATCTAGCGAAACAGACTGATCTGCCAGAGCAGTCATAGCCAGACCCACATAGTACCGATCCACATCTAGCTGACGGGAAGTGATATTGTTCCAATATGGTTGGATTGGTTGGAAGCTGCCTGGTAGCCAGAACTGATCCCGCGTCACCGGCACATGGAAGAGAAGAAAATCGGACAGTGAGATCTGAGGCCAGGTGACGCGTCCCGAGTTCCAGTCGTAAGTGCAACGTAATTTGAGTCGTGAAGCCTGTTAGTAAAAGGACCCAACAAGTAGGATAGAAGACGGGGAACACACTTAATGCATCGACTGCACGAAGGCAGTGTCTTGTCGCATTTCCGTTTCTGGCTGCGACAGTCTGCGCAGGCATTGGACGAGGATGTCTTGGTGGTGGACTCCATGCCAACTGGTGAACGACGAAGGTATGAATTGATCGGGAAAGTAGATGGGGTCTAAGCTGTGGGTACTGATTCGGGCGACGGACTACTTACTATTTCAGGCTTTCACAGCGGGTTTTGGTTGTTGGCGTTCACTATCTAGCTAGCTGGCCCGTAACCCCGCGGCTTACTCTGGCATAAATAGAATCTTGGCTTAGTCAGATGATCAGCTAGTCAGGGATGAGGCTCAAGAGAGACGCTGAAAAACAAATATGATATACACAAAGTGCGTCATCTAGAAATAGAGGCTCGGGAGTCTATCTACTAGTTGCTGTGCCTGTTCTGAGTGACTACTTCCACTTCCAGAGTCCTCAGGCTCATTGCACGGATACAGCCCAGTATCTGTCTGAGGGCTTATCTGTAAAATACTCCGCCGAACGGTAGAGGAAAAGGCCATGTTACTTGCTGTCTGAGCATCGAAACGCACACCAGGAGGCGTCCACGGTTGGTCCGACTGGCTGCTGACAGAAGCATTCGTCGGAATCGTATGCTCAGGTAGATCCAGAGGTCCAGGCAACGGTGTCTGAAAGAGGGGGCGTGTATTGCCTAAAATGTCTGCTTCCCCACGGTTTGATTCGGGTCTTTGGACAGGGTCAGCTGGGCAGCGTGCATGCGTGCTGGTACTATTGACCGTGAATTTGTCGCTCATTGATTCTAGCCACCGTTGCAATTCCATTGGCCCTCGCAAAGGATACTGCGACCATTCCTCCATCCGTGTAGACTTTGGCTTCGCGTCTTCTTCTATTTTCCGAGTTGCCACAATGAGGGGCGGGTTGGAGATCGACCGCAAGGTCAAGAGTGCTTCAAACAACGCCACCTCGGTGTCTGCAAGCCTTTTCTCCAGCTGGTTAACGTACCCTAGTGGCAGACCTCTTTCCAGACACCATCAACATCCTGGTTGAAGAGCGAAAGGCGATCCAAGTCATACCTCTTCCCGCTTTGTGGGTAACTGCATTTAGATGGATTCGACGAACATTGAAAGCAAACTGGACTGATGCGAATAAGTCAGCCTACTTGAGATGTCTTCATCCGGTCAAGTAGGAAATGGTTGACCTACAGTTTGCGATCGCACTGCCAAGCTGTGAGTTTCTTGTATTTTCCTATGGAGAGAACCAAATTTACCTTGCATTTTCTCTGTCTGCAGAGCTCACATGAGATTGGACTGATTGAATCTGCGTCTGAGCAGCTGTGTTAAATCTTGTGCTTAGACATAAGGTCCATTTTCCCACCGCTGTAGATCTCGCAGATCACTTGGAGGTGGGGACGGAATTGATAGAGACAAACCTGACGACATGTCCTCACCAAGCCCTCCAGGATTGCCTGAAAGTTGACCCAGTGAAGTTGAAGTGTGACAGCCAACTGTTGGATCTCCCCGCGGACTTGAATATATCCGGAAAGCACGTGATAGGAGGGAGTGGTGTCAGTTGATTAGTCATCGCCCGTGACTGTGTGTGTGTCTGTGGACACAGCAAACAGCCGAATTCAACCATCAACAACACCGACGATGGTTCTGATAAACTGCAGGGGATATGGCCTCACCTTTCTCCATCGTTACTGGCCCTGATGAAAGCTGTGTCTCGGGCTGGGAACGCGAGGGCCATGTTTCGAAACGTCGTAAGACAAAGCCGACCGGCACCCCACGACCCCCGCGAGAGATCGGGATAATGAGGGAGACCCAACGCGATGGTTCAGCGACCTTTCTTGGTAGCTCAAGTGGAATTCATTTCATCAGGACAGTACACAGTGCGTTTGTGCGCCGATCGGCAGACCTGCATAGGGCACGAATCACCAAGGAAGGCCTAGTACCTGGCGAGGACGACCAGTTGCAGAGATCTGCTAGTCACTCACGGCAGGTGGAAGAGCTGTGCTCCAACAATGAATTGGAATTGGACCCTGACTTGTGCTTTTCATTCGAAGACATGGTTCGATGGTCGCGGAGTTACTTCCAGAACTGGCACCCTATGTTTCCTTTTCTTCATGCCCCGGATATCCTGGAAATGATGGAAAGGGCGAGTGAGAGCGGATTAAAGTCTTTGAATCGGACCAGCCAGGCCATATTACGGTCCGTGTTCACTATATCGACTATCGACAAACGCCAGATCCAGCACTCGAGGATGACGGCGGACCTCGTGCCCGCTATACTTGTTTACCGAACTACGCAAGAGGCAATGGAGAGTATTCACGGCCTACTGCTTGAACCAGCGACAGTCACTTTACTTCAGACAGCTCTGAGTGTTCAGATCATGCTTCTGTCCCTTTTGCGGCTTAACGCAGCTTCTCGACTGGGAGGGCTGATCACTCGAGTAGTCTTTCATCTAGGCCTCCATCGCTGCCCCGCACGATACTCCTGCTTCGGTCCCAAAGATGTCGAGATGAGACGTCGTATCTTCTGGTCTGTGTATTGCTTGGAACGCTACCTTTCCCAGGCCCTTGGCACCCCTCTAACTATCCAGGATGATGATGTCGATGTGTGCTATCCAGGCAACGAGCGCCATGAAAAGACAGCGGTAGTGCCCCAAGTCCAGGTTATTCCCGTCAATCTGCGTCTATTGACCTATTTGGCGAAATTCTCCCGAGTCAGGGGGCTTATTTTGGAACTCCGAAACAAATCCACTATGCATAGCCATGATGATCCCTCCCAGGCTGCATATGTGGGTGGTGAGCTAGCCCAGTGGTGGAATGATGTGTACGATGATGTGTTTCCTATGGAAGAGCTGGTGGATCAGGAGGGAAAAAATGAGCCATCTCTCCCGTCCTACCACCGCCTCCTCCTCATTGTGCATCGGCACGAGGCTATCATAGCAATGCACCGACCCTTACTGGCTGGACCGAAATTTTCACCAGACTACAAATCGGCGTTGCAGACCTGTATTGAATCTTCGCGGTCCCTGTTAACTGCTCTGAAAAAGTACCTAGCAGCTCAACCGGCAGGGAATGAGGACACGGGCACTAGGAATCCAGGAGCTAGTCAATCCCCATTGAGCTGGTCCTCGTTTACCTGGGCGGTTTGGATGGCTTGCCTCATCATCATGTACGCGGCATCAGAAGGCGATTTCCCTAGTTCCGCCGCCTTGAAAAATGCCAAGCTTGGGATCTCCATCCTAGAAAACCTCTCCTTAAGAAGGAGTAGCTGGCCCGAGACCTGCATTGACGCTATCAGAGGCATGGAATTTGCTCTCAGTGCGAAGACAAACAGTGACTCTAGGCGACGTGAGCCAAGTCCCAACACAGTCATAGACAAAGAACAACGATCGTCTTATGCAAACCCTAATCAAACTTCTCCATATGAGCCGCTGGACACTTCTTGCCACGATCTTGATGTGTCGCACAGCACTCTCCGGATCACCCCCTCGACGCCAAACAATCACACTTCAGGCACCGAGATGGTCGCACCTCCCTTATCACAGGGCTTACTAAACTCCGAAGGTGGCCAATCAGGGTTGTCAAATGATCTGCTCAGTAATGACCGCATAAATGAGCATGGACGGGAATTAGCAGGACTCACGTCTCATCTTCCAGGGGAGGTGGATCTCACATCAGCCAACCTCATATTTGGGGAGATGATGATGCCCGATATCTATGAATCTATTGCCACCGAGCAGGGTCTTGGTCTCGCGGGCTCTGATCCTTCAACATTGACCCCTTTGTGGAGTATCGCAGATGGGCCTCTCAGGATTCATGAGAACTATACGTGCTAGTCAGCAGTTGGCTTCCTGGTAGCCTCTCGATCTCGTCTCAAGACCAATGCTCTCACACTCTCTCAAGCCAGTCCTTTCCTCCCAAGCAGTCAATCGTTTGAACACAGCGGCGAACAGCATATTCGGCAAACTTGAAGACGAACCTTCCGCTGAATTACCAGTTTCATCCTGATTGTGGGCGTTGTTAGAGTTCATCGTAACCTCGCAATATAACTAGAGCATTCTCGAGCAATGATTGTAGAAGCACCCAGCTTACCGAATGTGCTTATCCGGTGCGGTCAAGAATCTATACAATCGTGGAGGGGTTTTACCGCGGTTGACGGCTGACAAGGCCAATGCTGCGGCAACTGCTGGACGCTCGATATCACTCAACTCAACCAGTTCAAGACCTCCTTCAGGCCTTGCTTGGGTTTTGCGAGTATCGGTCTGGGGGTCACTGTTATGCTCATCAAATCAATAGGTACTCTTCCCAGCGCGGTAGAGTCAAATTTGACAAGCTCCATCATACTAAACAACTTGAGATTTGACTATTACAGGGCCAGTGAGTACCGATGAGATGTATTGGTCAGGATACCGCGGCATTTATTTTCATAAACAGATGCATTGGATTCCACAATCTGTATAGTTTACTCTCATTGCTCAAACACTGTTTGCTCACTGGCCAATTGTTTCCCCGCGTTGTCACCATGCCAACTAGACCCTTCACCATGGAAGCTTTGGATAGTCACTATATCAGGGACATAAGGAATAGGACTAGACTCAGCCCGCCAAATGCATTCATTTAGTTCTGTTCTCGGTGTTCCTATGTTCGAGATATCTTGTTTGAGGTCGTGGTGGTTGAACCGAAGCTCATAAGCTTTCCATATCCATGGAAGTTGTCAGCATCGTAGACGGATATGGCGATGGACGGTTTGGTTCGCCTCAATCCACCAATGAAGAGGGCTCGAAGAGATCATATCATATGATTGCTGCGTCATCTCGCCCTCCGCTGCGTTCTGTTAATAAAATGATGTGCATCACGACCTACTTCAGGCTTCTTCCCCACTACCGAAGACACTCACGATGTCAGAGCTGAAAGAAAGCGATAACCTAAACTCTGTTGTGTTTCTCTCGCGCATATCGACGTTGATTCAGACTGTCGCCGACAACCTGCGTGACAACCGACTGGACCGAAGAGCCATCCAGAAGCTGCTGCTTGAATACTCTGCCCGAGCCGAGTCTGACGGCCGACTGATCAACGCATCTCGACAAAGTCCGCAGTGCGTTGAGCACGGCATCTTTCTGGCATATTCACATGTAGAGCTACTCACATGGCTGGCTCGTAATAATTATACCATCCCTGCGACGACTGTGAGATGGTATAGCTGGCGGAAGCTAATATCGTCCAAGTACCGCCTGCCGCTATTTTCAGTCTCCTCGCAGGCGCTCCAACTGCAGGACCAGCTATCTAATATTGTGGTCAAAGCAGGGCTGTTATATACAGATCTTCGGGAAAATCAGGTATAATTGTTCGATTGCAGCTGTGGCTTTCTATTAACTGGAGTCTGGCACAGGTGGAGATCCCACCCGTAGCGATTGACTATCGAACGGTGACGCCTTGCAAATCACAAGGAACGCCCCCAGAAGGTATGGCCTGACGCTGGCTGTCTCGATCGGTAGCCTAGGCTTCTAACATGAGTGCAGCGTTGCATGACCTTCTTCGTCGTGGCAGGCAGGCAGAACAACAGATCTACGGAGGAAGGGTACTCTAATCATTATACCGGTGGAGGAATGTTGGGCCTTCTACCAATGATGTTATGTAGTTTTCAATTTTTGATATCCTTGCACTCAGTATAATCAAATTGAGAAATTTCTACCCTCTTTCTCTGCTTTCGTCAAGAAAATGAGACAACTTGTCCTGATTGATCATCTCGTATTCTGGCCAGGTCAGCTTACAAATTCCCCTTTGGACAAGTCCGCACACGTCAAGGTATTAAACTATCACGGCATCCCCCGTTGGTCTATCTCCAAAAAGAAATTGCGAGCAAGCCTACCGAATCCATTGTCCGAAATATTTTTGGTCACCATGTCTAGCCATCCGACGCCAGATAAACCAACCATCGCCTCAGCACCAGGATCAGGATGCTTCCCTGCCGCCACCTCCCACATCCGCATCGCTCGGCCTTGCAGAGACTTTGTCGCTGCTGAGCGCTTCTATGTCACAGGTCTCGGTTTGAAAGTTCTGTGGCGCAGCGGGCCGGCCCATGAGGTCGAGGGAGGACACGAATTGCTCATGCTGGGCTGGCCCGATGCGGCCTGGCATCTGGAGCTTGTCCTGGATCCAGCGGGCAAGAATCCCCCACGCCCAACCGAAGAGGATCTACTGGTTATTTATGTGGATGGATCGATTGACCCTGTCGTCGTTGAAAGATTAATTGAAGCGGGTGGGCGGAGGGTCCAACATCCTAATGAGTACTGGGAGAAATGGGGAGTGACGATCAAAGACCCAGACGGATATCTCTTGACTTTGTGCCAGAGAGCCTGGAAAAATGCCTAGGTTTGACTTGTGCAATGGCTAGCAACCCGGACACGTTGATTTTCTGTTTTTATAGGGAGATATCGTCCTACTGACGCCTGTGATATCTTTTCAATCTATACCCATCTTATAGCAGAATATACGGCCATATCGTATTTGTGATTTCGAAATGTTTCTACCCCGTTTGGGCAGCTCTCCAACAGCCACCTTTCTGATAGGTCTTGATAGGCAAACTCCTGTACAATGACTTGACTGCACATCAAAAGCTCCAGGATACTGTCTCATTGTTAGATGAGATCGAGAGAGAAAATTTCTTATCGTTGGCAAAGATGATGCTTTCATAGCTCCCCTAGGAGCGAAAGACAGCGACCGGACTGTTGAAGCATCCATTTCTCCAGCAAGAATAGACTCGATTCCTGGGATGGCCTCCCTCGACAACTGAAGAGCAACATCCTCGCATGGTTACAGAGTCATCCTCCCGCTCAGACATCTCCTTACCGTGACCTTGCCCCCGAGGCACAGTTGGCCGAGCTACCCGGAGAGGCACATGCATATCTTCATCCGACCTGGCTCTATTCGCGCAATCGACGAATGTATCGAACATGCTCCGGACTTGTGAGGCTGGGACCACAATTGATGCAGCCCGGGGATCAAGTTGTAGTGCTTCTTTGGGGGAGTTTGCCGTTTATTCTCCAGCCAAATGGAAGGGACTGGTCGCTCATTGGTGATACGTATTTACACCACGACAGTATCTTGCGTGGAAACGACGCGTTGACAGTCAGAACCTCAGGGACAACTAGGATCCAGACTTACAGACTATCATAAAACAGATTGCTAAATCGATTATTAGAATTGACGGCCTCTAAGTGTACCAGGTAGGCTCTGGTACTTCATGCAGCAGCACATATCTACCCAGCTCCCGGTTCTTATACGCCACAGGATCATGGAGCGTGTGTGTCCGGATATCCCTCCAGAACCGATCCAGTCCTACCTTTAGCGACGTTGCTCGCGCTCCGGTCACCTCGAAGACGCCGGACGTGACCTTGAGGCCAACATCGGTAGTCACGACCTTGACACTGGCCACCCATTCGGCAACCTCTCCACGCTCCTCCGCCGTCAACTCAGCGCGATTGCTCGAATGGCGCGCATATAGGGCCGAGAGCTGATCGTCGGCTCGGTCAGCCAGTGCTTCGGCGGCGCGTAAATGCGCGAAGAAGTTTCCATATCGCTCGAGAATGTAAAACTCATCGGTGGCGGACTCTTTGTTGTCGCCACCAAATGGCCATGCTCTGGTCGAGGTTGTGGTATACTTGGCTGCGAACTCCAATGCGCCGACGGCGATGCCAAGGTAGAAGTTGCTGAAGACAAGTTGGATTCTAGGTCTGTCAGAGAGAATTATTTATACCCCTGCTTTGAAGACTCACGTTGGCAAAAGTAAAGAGCCGAATGGAATCGTCAGAACCTCAGCGATGGGCCTCTTGGTTGTTGCGTCCCAACCAAGCGCATCAGTCCACGATGTCCGCACATTCTCAATCTTAACACTTCCTGATTCCGTCAAGCGCAGGCCAATGTTCTTCCAGTTGTAGGCAAATTGTATGCCCGGTTGTTTCGTTCTCACAACGGCAAAGATATGATCTTGTGTTCCGTCCAGCACGCCTTCTAGGACCGTGAGATCGGAGACAGCGCCCCCAGTGTTGAAGTGCTTGAAGCCAGTGAAGATGATTGAATCACCATCGGCAGTAATCTTCAAGTCATTATCCCGGGGGTTGACTGCGCCGCCGACAAAGTAATTGTTGGAGATGATCAACTCATCCAGTCGCTCTGCCGTGCCCACGACGTTGCCTATCGTTGACCACAACAGGTGATAACCGAGCAGCATCCCAATCGACCTGAAGTTTTACAATGAGCTACCGTTCAACGCCGAGGATGATGAGCCCTCTTACCCATCGAACTTGGCCACTTCTCGGATTGCCTTGAATCCTACTGCCCAGGGCTGCTCGCCGCCACCATACTTCTTCAGGCCCAAAAGTTTCAGTAGCCCTGAATGCTTCAGCAGGGCAACCTCTGCGTTAGGCGACTTGTTATCCTGATCTCTCTGGGCTGCATCCTGAGCAAGAACCTCGCCCACTTCTCGAGCTCTGGTAATCCATGCTTCCGCGGAGTCTGGAAGAGAAGCCCACTTTTGCTTGTAGGCATCGTAGACAGTAGGGTCTGTCGCGGGCGGAATGTCTTGAGTCATGTTTAATCGAAAAGAACAATTTACTCGATGGATCTTATAGAATCGTGAGACTTCCGGCCCATTTTATGTGTTGATTCGAAGGTCTATCTCCCATGCAGAGGACTATTGCGGGATGGCGTGCTTCGTGGATGATCATGATGCCATCCACAACTACCGTCTCCCATTCACCAGTCATTTGATTTGTTTAATAGAAATTCGTCATTTGAAGCATATATGCCGCTTCCTACCCCTCTCGAACCGTAGATTGTTGGATGTGATCAACGTAGTGTGACAGCTCTACAGAAGCCGAATCAGCGGCGCAAGCCAATGCGAACATTTTGAGCGTTATCAGGTATCGGGGACTGATTGTATGAGAGTTAGAGACTCCAAATTCTCTTCCTCTTGACCGAATGTTTACCCGTTGATTGCTATCTCCGGCTCTGTGGTATCACCTGTTCCTCTCGGCCTACCACTGGCCATGTCGTGGTGCCTCGGGATTCTTCATCTAGCAGGTTGGCGCCACAGTTCAGCAGCGATTGCACCATCCAAAACTCTCCATGATACAAAGGAAAAGCGAGGCCTGTTGGTGTGTACATTACTCCGACAAAGAACCCACGTCTCGCATCATCCGCCGGATCAGCTTATGCGAGTGATGGTCCCTCTTCCTTGGCCAGCCCTATCATATATAAGAATCACATTCAACCCAAGTCTGGCTAGGACCGGCGTAAGCGTAATTGATGCACATCGAACCATGTCAAGGGTCCGTTCATTCAGTTCTATTTGTTGTTTATCGAACATGGGTGTCAAGAACCGAAGAAGAAATAGGTGTATGCTCTGCCATGCAATTCTCTGATCGGCAAAGGAAAGGTAGTATACACCAGAGATACAGCCCAGCCTGTTCTCTATGACTCTACATATCATGACAGGACAGAATTTGAATCCGTCATCTTTCAATGAATCAATCAATCTTTTAGAGGAAAACGGCCCAAGGGAAAGCTGCATTGACATATTTGCGACTGGGTATCATGGGTAGGCAACCGATGGACTCTCCACGAAACAGGTAGCAAGCTGGTATGCGAGAAAACACTGCCCATACGCATATGGCGTCAATCTACTATCCCTCATATGGGAATACCCACGATGTCCGTGGCCCACAGAAGCGAACCCAGCCGGTCCGGGCCCACGAGTTGACAGATCTCCTTCAACAATCGAGTCCCTAAATTTCCCATCCACCACCGGTCGCGCAGATGGTGTAGTACCGCGCAGTAGTGGGCAAGAATGATCAGTGCCAGGGGTTGCTTGTCGCGGACAAATGCCAGATACTCGGAGGGGATGCGATACATCCAGCGCAGGGCAATCATCATTGGGTCGCCGCCTTTGGTGAGCATCTCGAGTGAATTATCTAGTCTGGCGATTGTATCAGTATACACGCCAGTGGCGTGCGATGGGTCCTTTTTGGCGAGGACGGCATTCAGGTTGCGCATTGACAGGATGGTGAGGGTATAAGTGTTGGGGAGCTCATGATAGGGGTCGCGCTGTGTGAAGAGATCTTCCAGGTCCCCGGTTTCGACGTGGTCGAGGATATCCAGGTTGGTGAGCAAGGAGCGAGCCGTCTCAAAGATATCGAGCAACAATTCTACCGGTGAGCCGCATGGTACATGATCCTCCTTGGGAGACACTGGTGTCTGATTGCGATGAGACAGTGACAGAGAGCCGGAACCCTCTCCGGCCAGCGTAGAGGATGCGAGGTCGCACAAGAAAAGAATGCTTGCAGCGGAGAACACTGCATTGGGCCCGGAGATGGAGGGAGTTGTCTCTGTGGCCTGGGCGTAATGGCTACCAGCAGCCTGTCGATGACGCTTTTGTTCCGGAGTGCCAGCCTCACAGGTGGATGCAAGTTCAAGGGCGGACAAAGCGAGGGTACTGTGCCGGAGAGCAGGATATTGGGCGGATTCGCGACGAATGATGGCCTGCCATCGTCGATCCTTGCTCTGACTTTGGGTGAGAGACCGTTCGGTAGACGCACACCAATTGTCCCAAAGTTGGTCTTCGATGCTCAGATCCGCAACACCGGGGCACGTCGTGGAAGCTTTGCTTTCTTCGTCCTGGTTGGTCTGGGAGGAGCCTGGTTCGGGTGATTGTGATGTGGAGGAACTCGCCGGAATGGGATAATGCGTGTCGGGAGGAGAAGGCGAGCAGGACGAGTCCGAATCGGAAGAAGACGAGGGTAAAGAGGCTTTTGGCTTGGGAGGGGTATGTTTGTGAGGACGCGGGTTGGATTGTCGTCGGAGCTCGTTCGAAGGGAGTTTATCACCATAGCGCGAGGAGAGACGATGGCGCCGACATCCATCACATGGTAGACGAGTCTTAGAGCACTGAGACGGGGGAAGGTAATGAGCGATAATGTCTTTTTCCTCCTTTCTTTTTTGGTTTATTCCTCTCACGGATGAGATAGGGACGGGATCATAACGATCAAGAGATCACTTACCTCCATCGGTTGGTCACTACATAGGGAGTATTGAAGCCGTGACCTCCGGAGTGGTCGCTGAACAGGCATAGCAAGATCCGGTGCCAACAGCGTATCGACTACTGGCCTGAGAGAGCCTGGCCTGTCTTTTCAAGGGCCTGGCCTGCCTTTTCAAGGGGGGCATTGACGCTACATTAAAGATGGTTATGGCTCTGGGACCAGCTGGACAGAAGGAGAGGAGGTCGCTAAAAGGGCCAGGGTATAGGGCCTTGCAGGGCAGAAAAGCAACTATTGGGGAGAACAGGCCAACAAGAGCATTGCGTGGATCTGGACTGCAGGAGAGTTGATATCGATCAGATTAACCCATGCCAATCATCTCCTAAAAGTGACATAGCTCTCTTTCGTGCGCCTGCATAGTGGCCAAGGGAGGAAGGGATGTGACCTGGTGGATAAGGATGGATTGCTCAAACAGGTAGCAAGAATGACTGCGAACACTGAACAGTGGCCAAGAGACCCACCATTTGCGTTGTGGTGCTCTACTACAAGGAGTCGCGAAGGTTAGATTATTGCATCTCGAGTATCTAGATAGATATTGCTGGTTATTGGCCCCCTGGATTGGGACTGCGAAGTGGGAAGAAAATTTGATAGTGAGACCTGCTAAGTTCTAAGTCTGCCACCGTTCTTTATTATTGAATTTTGAATTTTGAGCACTGCATACACTGCAGCACCGCTATGCCCAATATAGCAAATATAGATCTTGGCTAGTCCCCCGGCTGATTGGCCAATTGCCGATCAATCGACGAATTCCATGAGACATTTCTAAGCTGGTTGGGGTTAGGATGGGTCTGGGACGGGGGCTTACCCTCTTGGAGTTAAAGAATAATACATGGATCTATCAACGTTTGTGCTGTCCTACCGTGGACCGGAGTGCTGTCGAAGCAATCCCCATGCAAATAATGCAAGAATCAGTCCATACAATCTATATAAAACGCCCTCAACCCTCCGTAACATACCAATCGACCGGGCCTGAGCGGCGGTGCAGCCTCCTTCCGAGGAATCCAACCATGGACGGAGGACAGACTACGGAGTCTGTACCTGAACTTGGAAATACATGGAATGCTCGACCCCGGGAACCAAGTGTTTCAACCTTCAATTTTGATCAAAGGAAATTCTCTCAATTGTCGTGGCATGACTTCCTGGCTGACGCCACCGGCATGTAGCAGATACCAGCTCATTGTCGTCGAGGAACAGGCTAGTCGAAGATTTCCTACTCAACCAGACTCGCAGGCCCGTGGCGAGGAAGGATCTATCTGACTAAATACGATTGAATTGATCATTTGATGAAATTCCCGTTCCCCAGGTGGCTGTAGTGCGTAGATTAATTAATCTCTCGATATATACTCCGGTTTCTACGAGAGGACTCTTTCTAATGCGATGCAGACAGAGTGCAGCACCCCAGTCTAGAGAACATTCCTGGCCCCTGCAATGTGTCTAAGGAAGTGTGGTAGATCATCGGGAAATTAAATGAACCCGCTCTCGCGTGGAAACATGGGTGACATCAACAAGTTTTTGAATTTTGCACTAATCGAGGATCAGACGCAGCCGTCGGAGATGCCATGCCCAGTAGTGAGGGTGAGACAGTAAACGACATGAGTTCGAAGTTCGGATTTCGCCTATCTTGAAGAAACCTCAACCGGCTCAGTTTACGATGCCTCGAACTCTCTCCATAAGACTCCCTCCAGGCTACCATCCTACTCGAGTCGCCGCCTTCTCCTTCCTTTGAGCTTTTGGCGCTGAGTGATTACCCTTGACCATACAAATGATACAAGACTCCCCGTAGAAGGGATCCATTCGGTTGTCCGGCGGGTTCCAAGTCCGATTGGCTTGTCTCATTAGATCGCAGCGACGATAATTGGCTATCCGAGCTTGTGGAATCGCTAGGGCAGCTGAAGCTGAAAGGAAGGAATGAAAAACATCAAGGAAAAATGGCCACCGACGACAAAAGGTGGACAGCAGTGGACACACACTATCTGACAAGTGAGAACTACGGAGTACGGAGTAGTTTCCTATTATATTCAACATAATCAACATAATTAGCTGCTAAAAGCGTGAACACGAGGGAAAAAATCTCACCCTAAACCGGTTTCATATAATGCACGCCTTTTTCTTTTTTTTTCTCTCTGATTTTTCTCTCAGCCCCCAAAAATTGTGCTCAATAACTCTGGCTCGCTAGACGTCCTACTATGGAGTAGAGAGTAGAGTAGTGACTAGTGAGACCAGGGAGGCAGGCAGACAACGCAATACAAGCCCCGGCAGTCTATTCCCGTCCATGCACCTAATTCACAATCCCTGGTGTAGTTCTAAATGAAATTGGCCCTACTATTAAGCTACTACTGACATTTTTCTGTCTCCCTAATCGTCGGGGGTCGCCACCATCACAAGATCCCAGGTCACTTGGGCTTCAAGGGCTTCAGAATCACCAGGGTCAAAGCAGACCAAGAAAGAAAGGGGAAAAAACAACTGCGGGAATGGGGCATTCCAAGAAGAACACTGCTCCCATCGCTACTTAAACTTGATAAGGTTGTCAACCGCTATGTAACGTGGCGTTCCCGGGGAATGGCATCGCTTGTTCCCGAACTGAACTCTTCACTAATGGTTCAACTTACGTCGACAGACTCAGTCTCGAACCCATTTAATCACCCACGGACCCAACTGCGACACCTTCTTGATCGTGCCGATTGGCTTTGGGAATCGAGATTCCCTCTGGATTCCTGGACAGAGCCCAGAAAATAGTTCGGCTAAGATTCATAAACCAGCGGATCATCATTCATTCACTATCTATCTATCCCCTGGTGAGCACCTCAAAGGGTTGCACCATCCTTCCACGGCACCACGCTTGCCATGAATTGACTCATCTTTCTCACACACTCTCTCTCTCTCCCTCTCATTCTTCATTCATTCTTTTCGTCTCATCGTCACTCTTTCAACCCCCTTTCACCACATTCCTTACGGCAATGTTGCCCCGGGGTATTTGAGCCCTCCTTCCCCGGCCCACGCCCACGCCCACGCGGACGATCACCCTGCACGGGATCGACATCCTACAGTGATCTCCTAGACTATCGTTTTGCTTTCCCTTTCTGGAATTTTAAGTATGACCGCAGCCATGCTGTTTAACCTCAATGTCTCCACCTTGTCTGCTACAGCCTTGGTGTGTATGCTCGTCTGTCTCATCGTCAAACTCTTTGAGACCTCGCCGGTACCCAAGAACATCCCCTGGGTGCTAAGCCGGAAGGGATTCCTGCAGCGTGCCGCAGAACGGTTCATCGGAGTTAACCCCATTGGATTCATCCAAGAGGGATATGAAAAGGTTGGTGCTATTCTGCCTGCTGCCCATGGCGGGCTCGGAATGTAGTGGAGATATGCTAATCTCCAACGGCAGTACTCCAAGAACAAGCAGCCCTTTGTAATGCCCAGTGTGAACGAGGGCGATGAAGTGATTCTCCCCAAAGAATTCTCCAACACGGTGCTCTTCGCCAAGGAGTCGGAATACAGCTTCAAGGCCCATATCGTCGACTTTTTCCAGCTCAAGTACACGAGCTGGCCTCTGGCCTTCGCCGAGAAGTATGATTTCTTCGTCAAGTTGGTCAGCAAGGACTTGACCGAGACCCTTAAATCCAAGTGTGTCGCCACCTCCCTCGCCGATGAGGCCCGTTCCTGTCTCACAGACATTTGGGGAGAGGACACGGAAAATTGGGTCGAGGTTCCCCTGTACTCCACCATGGAGAAGGCGGCGGCGCGCATGATCAATGTACTGGCCATTGGGCCTGGCGAGAGCCACGACACGGGCCTGCTGAATGCCATGACCAACTGCTCCAACGCGATTGTCTTTGGCGCCAATGTGATCAAGGCTTTTCCTTCTTTCCTCCACCCGTACGTCTTGCACTCTGAGTTCTGGCTGGAACCCCAAGGTGACTAACAATTCAATAGGATTGTCGGCCCCGTCGTTGGTTTGGTAAATCGATACCAAGAGCATGCCTTCCATACCCGGATGAAGCCGATCATCGATGCCAAGATCAAAGAGCAGAAAGAGGCTTATGACTCCGAAAAGCTCAAGGAACATCTCAAGACGAAAGGTAGCCTCCTCGACCTGCTCATTCAAGCCGGCCTGCGCAGCAAGTGGCCCGTAGAACTCGACACCATGTGGTTAGCCTACCGAATGTTCATGATCAATTTCCCCGGTGTGCACACCAGCGGCATTTCTGCCTCCAGCGCTCTGCTTGATATCCTGAGCTACCCCAACGATGAGGGGTTCGGTGACATGCTCCAAGACGAGATCAACAAGATTGCCGCCGGCTCGGACGGCTCGTGGACGGCTGCTGAGCTGGAACAGGCCACTCTGCTGGAGAGCGCCATCAAGGAAAGTCTGCGATTCAATGGCATCAACCTGCTCTCTCCCACGCGCAAGGTAAAACAACGGACTTGTTTCCTGCAATCTCGGAATGGTCGCTAATGTGCATCCAGGTTGTTGCTCCTGAAGGTGCCACTCTTCCCGACGGCACTTTCCTCCCCTATGGAACCAAAATCGGTATCCCCCAGTACGCCATCCACCGTGATAGCGACCTTTACCCCAACCCCAACGAATACAATCCCTACCGCTTCTACAAAGAACATGCCACTGCCGATGAACTACGCCAGAACTCTATGACCAACACCAGCGACACGTATCTGGTGTTCGGCCATGGGCGCCGGCAATGTCCCGGCCGGTGGGTCTTCGCACACATCTTCAAGCTGCTGATCGCGGAGATATTTCTGAAATATGAGATAAAGCCTTTAGCTACTCGTCCCAAAATCCACCGTAAGCTTTCTCTCCTCCTATGATGGACCGGGCGCAGTACTGACGTGGCCATGCACAGGATGGGGACGCTTCCAACTACCACCACTAACGGTCAAACTGACCATTCGACGCAAAAAGGACACCGTTGCCGTGTTCAAATGACACTCGTTGTTCATATGGTGAGGCCACTGCGCCCATCACCCATGCCTTTCGCTCTGTATATATTTTCTCCTTATTGTTTTGTATTGTATAGCGAAGTCGTTCACTAGATAGAGGGATACCAAGCACTTGTGATCGGAGACCACGATCATTTCTCTAATGTCGTCTGGGCGGACTATTGGGATTCATGTTTGTTGTTATAGCCAGCTGAAGTCATGTATGACTGCTATTGATATATCCTGTCCGTTCTCAACTCGGTCGATATATACATTCATGTATACGAACAACCCGGTGTTCACATTTACGGCCACAAGCTGTTATGAGATCGTCAGCAAACAGATAGCTTGTGTCGCCCTTATTCATCTTCGACCCTCGCTAAGCGTTGGAAGGTAGAATCAAGACGTTGAGATTCATTTGGCGCCGAAATCCGTTATCGTCGCTCTAAGATCTTAGACCTTTGACAGCATGAGCATACGCATTTAAGCTTGTTTCCCGATCATCCCCCTTCGAAGTTTAAGTGGTGGTAGTGGGCATTGCTATCACTTTCGCGGCCTTTTTCTTCTCTCGTCGTTTCTGCGCATTCCCTAATGGTTTTAATACCTTCCTTCTCCGAAAATTCCGGTTGATAGATCAAGATGTCTGCCTGGCTAGAGGCCCAAGCCTCAGCCTTGGGAAAGTGTCTCTCAATCTGCCGGGCATGATCATAGGGGCGACTCCAAAGCTCAAAGTCAGCAAGAACCAGACTCAGGGCTGAGTAGAATAGGATACTCACGAGCTCGTATGCGAGCGTTGGATGGCCCGATCATATTCACGAGCAGCATTCCTGTTTGAATATCGTCTATCGATGATGGAGTTTGTGAAGGACCCAACCTCAAGCCACCTGAGATTTGGGAACAGAGGCGCCGGGTAAGGTTTCAGTTTGAGCATATTGTACACTCCTGCAAAACCGCATGTCTCGAGCCGTGGGCAACAAGTAGCCAGGCTAACAAGCGAGAGAGTGGTCAATTTACTAATGTAAAGCTTGAGAGTCAAATATCTCAAGTCTGGCAGTTCACTGAACAGATATTCTAAGTCGTCATCTCTGAAGTCTGGGGCATGAGGGCCCCCGCGCCGGTCAGACTAAGGTCCTTCAAGTATTTGAGAGCTCTCAGGGATAAAAGATCCTCCGATTTTATCCTCACAAGTTTCGGAACGAAGACTTTCAGAAAGCGCAGCTGTGTTAGCTGCGAGATTTGAGAAAGAAAACCGCTTTCCATGCTGTCCACATATGAGTACTCCCCGTTGTCACGCAGTGTCAGGTTGAGGTTACGAATCGATTTGCAAGTCCTCGCCATCATGGACATGGCTTCCGGGGGGATCTGAATAGCGAGCTCCTCCAAGGCAACTAACGGGGTTTCCGGAAGGGCTGCTTCCATGAAGATTGGGCTAGAGGGTATGTGCAATGAGAGAATGTTGAAGGTATGGCTCATCGCGAGATGTCTGAAAAGCCTGCAATCGATCAAGTTTTCTGCTCCTCGCACATGAACGGAACGATTCTCCAAACATGGCAAATCCTCAAGAAAACCTAGGAAATCAGCTGCGGTGATATGGCCGCCTGAGGACGATATGTCGACAAGCCGCAAATCAGAACAACGAGTCCTCACATATACCAATACGGCAGGATCAATGCTTCCGCTGAGATATATTTGTCGCACATTTGGCCCCATGAAATGAGCGATGTATTCATTTGTTGCGGTGTTAGGTTCCTCGACACTATCTGCAGAGACCCGGTTGCCAAGTGTCCGATCATGAAGTGAGACAAACAAGGTGGTCAACCGTGGAAATTCAAGGTCTTTTAAAGCCTTGTACTTCTCTCTTGCATTCCAATCGAGGTCAAGAGTCCGCGTTGCACGGCTATATATGTGTCGGCGGCCCTCTGCAATTTGTGCAAGGCAAGCCCATCGAGTACAGTGCCAAAGGTGCAAGATACCAAGTTGGAAGAGATGTCTGTTGAGTCGCACAATGCTAGCAAGATCATTACAATCCAGATAGCTCAGTATCTCTAAAAGAGCTTCTGTTGGAAGTTGGTCTAGAGTACGACCAGTCATGTTGGTCGACTTGGAGGTGGCTCTACAGGTATTGCGACCACGGGAGTCCTCCTGGTTCTGACTCGCGTGATAGATGTGCGCTGAAGTCCACCAATCCAATTTGCTCACGCGGTTAAGAGAATATGTCGAGTAAGGAAGCCACCGAGACGCTCTTCGCGATGATCAGCAAGGACTAAGGAGTCGAAGGACAAAGACAGTGTCCATCAAGACGCAACGGTCATGTGATATTGGATAAATCCAACGCTGCAGCACGTGATTAACGCCAAACTGACACCAAGGAGCGTCAAAATGAATATTGTGTCTTTCAAGGTGATGATTTATTGAATACAGTCAACCAAGAAGAATATTTCTAGAGCCTGCATGCTGTTATGCTCTATCGATTCGGTGGTTTGAGTGACTGTGTCACTGTAGACATTAGACAGACCATCAGTATATATATTTGTACAGCAGACACGCGAACTCCCAATCAAAACCGGTTCAATCTCGTCATTGATAGGGGAGGGCAGGGTTGGAAACTCTCGTGTAAATGGGAACTGAAATAACGTATCCCATCAGCATCAAGCCATCGTTGCATAAAATGATCAGGAGCTTGTCGGTGGCGCCGAAATTCCTGCCGATATACCCTTCCGACGGACAGGATCTTGAATCATCAAGCGCCGTCGAGCGTTGGTTCTCCTCTTTGATGAGAACGAACAAATAAATACTCTGTCTGGCCCCATACATCGTGGCCTTGCCAGCAGATCGAGGCCACGGGCATCGAAAGCATGTTTCAGATGAGAATGTCCCTTGCAGCTACGTACTTTAAGAAATCCACAGAAAACTGTAAGGTTCGAATCAAGATTCTTTGTTGTATATCTCTCACTGCTTTGCCTTTCGGTACCCTCACTAAGACGTGGATGGAATCATGCCATTGACAGGTTCCATGCAGTGTCTGTTGGTGGCTTGGTCAGTCGCCAATCGGAATGACACTATTCTCTTTCAACCCCTCCGATGATGAAGCTGACAGGGCTATCTCATGTCCACCGTACCACCAACGAATTGGCCATGGGCTAATCACGTCTTTTCCCCTTGCCTTGACGCTGTTTCATCTTCACCGATGCCACTGATGTTGGCGCCCAGTCTCGATCCAATCTGTGATAGCCGATGGAGATGTGAACCTAGATCGAGATGGGCTTCTTGAACCAAGATCATTCAATATTCTCCGACTACACACTGAGGGGGGAGTATGCTTATATAGAGGGTGCTCCATCCTGAGGAAAGAGAATTCCTCAAACACATCGGCTTCTGGCAAGCATTCTTCCTTCATTTAACTTCTTGTCACTCCTTTATACGAGACCCAGTCATTCATTTACCAATATTTCAAATCATCATGTTCCTGGAGAACTATTCCCGTGTCCTCGCTGGGGTCATGATGTGTATGATCTTCGCACAGCAAGGATACAGTGCATGTATTCCCTCCTATGGATCTAGCAAGCGGCATAATCGAGAGGGCTATGAGAGCCACGCGCCAGAAAGTACATTGCCAGCAAGTCCAGTTATAGCTTCTCACTTAGACACCAACCCAACCCCTACGAAGGGCATTGTTCCTACCTTTACTCCTACAACCTCCCCAGATGCACCTAAAGTGTCTGGAATCAGAGCGACGAGCGGGGATCTTATCATTCCATTCTATCTTTACCCATCGGAGGGAGCCTGGACTCCGATGATAGAGTTGTAAGTGTACTAGAACTTATGTAGCGAGATTGTATGTACATGCTAACCCATCATAGGATCAAGGCCAATCCCGATGTCAAGTTCACCATCATCATTAACCCGGACAATGGCCCAGGATCGACTGCGCTGCCTGACGAGAACTTCTTGGCTGCTGTTCCTAAGCTCACGGCTCACGACAATGCGCTGGTGATTGGCTACGTCCGTACTGACAAGGGCTCTCGCGATATTGCTGAAGTGAAGAAGGACATTGAAACATATGCAGGATGGGCATCTGCTAGCGGAGACACATCGTTCACGGTGCATGGGATTTTCCTAGACGAGGCGCCCTCCAAGTATCATGAAAATACTGTTACTTATTTCAAAGACCTCACTTCGCACATCAAGGAGGCGAAGGGACTGGGGCCGAGCAATTATGTGAGTCTTCCAACCACGATCAACATTTTCCTTCTTCTGACCTTGCATAGGTGATTACGAATCCCGGGGCTGTCCCTGATGCTGCCTACCTTGAAATCCCGGACTCGACTGTCATTTTTGAATCGCCTTATAGCGAGTTTCAACAGGCCTGGTCCTCGGACGTGTTTCAAAGCATCCTCGGGCAGGATCTCAGTCGCTTTGCATCCATGGTCTATGATGTCCCTAGCGACGTAGATATTTCGACAGTCCTAACCCAGCTGCGCGCCATCTCCAGCCAGACCTATATCAGCAATCTAGACACATACCAGGCCTTTGACTCGGCATGGCACAAGGTGGTGTCTCTCCTCAGTGTTTGAGGGAGATTATCTTCTTTTTAGCCCTGGTGGCTATATGAACTGTTCCGCTTTAGGGTCAAATGTGTTCATGTAGTTGGTATATATCGTATGAGGAAGAAGGTTCAATGAAACGGATTTTATATGAAGACGGATTTTTCCTAGCGCCTCTACCCAAGATGACCGCGCAGGTACTCATAGTTAACCTCAGATGATGTTTTTTCAGCCGCGCTTTCCCAAAGTGACGTTTCACGGACTTGTAGTGTCCTTATGAATAGTTCGAATGTGTTTTGCCAGCTGCTGCACTTCCTCTCGCACCCACGGCATCGCATGATGGTAATCCACTTGGTAGAGTGTCGCGGTGGTGGGATCATAATGAGTTTCTAGCTGCCGCTGACCCAACGAGAGAAACGGATCTTTGAGTCCATGGACGTGTAGTGTAGGTAAGCTAATGCGCTCGATGGGCGATTCTGGTATGTCTATCATATCCACAGGTATCAGCGATTCCAGATCATATCAATATCAAGGACAAGCATGATGACACACCTTCGACCGCATCCGACTCCATCGGTGCGCCCCCTCCCATGCACAGCACGCCGAACTTCAACTCGATATCCGTCTTCTTTGGGATCTTTAGTCTTTCTCTGCGCTGCTGATCCAGTAACAACCCTCCTGCCATCCTTGACCCTTGGCTGAATCCCATCACCGCAACCCATTCGCCACCAGGACCTGCGTCCTCCATCATCCGCCATACCCGCTCTATCCCATCGGTGCGCGCTTCATCGAAGCCGCTGCCGTCGGCTCGGTCAACACCCTGATCATCCTGTGTAAACCACGACTTGAACGGCGCGTAGTTGACAAACACCGGTAGGACACCTGGACCGGGACCACGCTCGAAAGGACCGTTGAAAAAGACGAACTGGAACTCGTTTTTGAGCAGGTGGGCGAGCTGTTCGCATTGGAACTTGTAGATGGCGGCGTTGGAGCCTCCGCCATGGAAACAAGCAATTCGGGGAAGGGTGGAGCCGGTCATTATATACTTCGATCTTTAGTCCTTTGGTCGTTCGATCGGGGATCTTCAACTTGTTGGTAGAATCATCGGAGCTTGTATGATTCGGTGTCAGATGGCTGTGCGTCCCAGCACAGGGAGGGGTAGTAAGCCCCCCTCGAAGGCGGCACTCGGTTTCACGGGAGAAGTGAGGCTTGAATCATTATGCCGCCCTAGATACACCATGATTGGGTGGGTTGAAGGTCTATCTTGCAGGGAGCATGGCAAATCAGAGAGCGAATGTCCTCGGCAACTGGCACAACGGCCACTAATGGAGTACTCGGACTCCACGGGAGTCGCCCAGTCTGAGTTAGTGACTTAGGAATATAAACAGTATGAAGAGCCAAAAGGATATCAACTCTCTGTCATTCTTCTATTGATCGAAAATTTCTGGTGTGCTGTCGAGAGACAGATGGTCTTTCAACTACCGGGAACTACCTAGACACGTAGACATGGGAAACGTGGACAATCCGACCTTGAGAACCAATCAACACAAGGGAAAAAATGATGCAGTGTCAGTCGGGCTGCTTTGGGGATCAAAAATAGAGCCATCAAAACCAGTTCATGCACGACCTAACAGCAGCAGTGGCTGAGTAGACCGCTCTTTCGACGGACCGAGCAGGCATCCTTAATCCACTCTTGACCGTCCTGGCTTTATCATTTCGCGATCCTTCAGTCGCCTTCAAGTCCAAAGAGTAAACAGTGCAATGATCAGTTTTATAGCATGATGCCCTTTCTGCCCTTTCTGGTATTTCTGGCGGGTCTAACGCTGCTGATTTCCCGCCGTCGACGCAAAACCATCCAGGACAGAGAGAGCCCCAAGGTGATCGTTTCGGGTCGCACATATTCAGAGAGTGTAGGAGATGACCCACTATCTGTACGCGATGAGAAGATTGAGAATGTCCGAAACGCTTGTATTGTCGGTGCTGGGCATGTCGGTGCGTTTTTAAAGACACTCGGGATGTAGCATATCTAACACTAGTAGGGGCATTGACTGGCATTATCCTCGCTTCACAGAACCCCCATGTACAGTTTCATATAGTTGATGGCGAGTCTCGGCTCATTGCGGCCTGGAATTCGGACCGGCTGCCGGTCCTGGAACCAGGGCTGGACGACCTTGTTTTCGATAATAAGAGACCAGATGCTTCAACTGAACCGTCAAGACGAAATGATTCCCCCGCAGAGACGAATGGTTCGCCTGAAGTACAGCAACGACGAGTGCGAAAGCTGCGCAACATTACATTCTCCACCGACATCCACGCCGGTATAGTAGCATCGGACCTGATCTTTCTCTGCCTGGATCCGCCTCTCGATGGGGTAAGATTACTGCCCACGAAGTTTGATCATGATTTTGCTAACTTTTAGACCTCTGATGATGCTCCCGGCCTGGACCTGAGCAACCTCCAAGCCGCTGTTCGGACCATCGCCCAAGTATCTACTGGCCACAAGATCATTGTGCATCGAGGCACTGGGCCGTACGGAATCGTTCAACGGATCAAGAAGATAGTAAGTTTCTGTCATTCGAAGAATGAACAAACAGCTAACCCTACAGCTGAGGAAAACAGCCTCTCCATCGGCCTCCTTCGACGTCCTCTCCAATCCCGAGTTCCTGGTTCCCGGCACCGCAGTCCAAAATCTGCTCTATCCTAGGCGCCTGATCATTGGCCATATTTTCTCTGAAGATATGTCACCCGCGGCCTTGACTGCCCTGAAGCGATTGTATGCCTGGGTGCCGGACGACCGCATCATCACCATGGATGCATGGTCATCAGAACTGGGTAAGATTGCCGCCGCTGCGGTGTTGGCTCAAAAGATGAGCAATATGCAGTCAATGAGTGTTATTTGCGAGTCTACAAACGCAAACATCACTCATGTGGCGCGGATTGTGGGATCAAACCCGTTGACCCGCTTGGAAACGAGTGGATCCAGCATACAACGAGACGTGGGATGTTTGGTGTACCTGGCTAGAGAACTCGGATTGCCAGAAGTTGCAGAATACTGGACGGCAGTGCTGAAGATGAACAACTATCAGATACGGCGCATTGCTCAGAGCATTCTTGATAAGTTGCCGGTTGAGACGGAGCAGAGAGATGTGGCCGTGCTGGGATTTGCTAGCAAGTGGAACACCATCGAAGTTCGAAATACGACCGCCGTGCATTTGATACGGCATTTAACACGGAATGGAGTCAAAGTGACCATCTACGACCCTCATGTTCCAAAAGATCAGATCGAGAGGGCACTTGGCTTGGTGAGTGGTCACCTGGATGCTGTCACCGTCGTGGAGAATTTGGATTCGGCGTGTGCTGGATGCAGTGCACTTGTCCTGCACACAGCTTGGGAGCAATTCGCGGAGGATCGGGTGGACTGGAAGGTGGCTGCAAAGCAAATGGAGCCCCCCAAAGTTGTATTTGATCTTCCTGGGATGTTTGATCAGGAGAGGATGGAGAAACTGGGATTGCAGGTGGTACGTTTGGATGTTGATGTCCGCCCCAAGGGGGCTGACGCCTGATGTATGACTATATACTTGCATATTAATTGGTGATCCTATGGCAAGCGACGATACCATCTGATTAGCCACTGAGCCTTGCCACAAGGCGATCTCCTAATTCTTTAATGCTCCCCTCAAAGGTGTTGGTGTCGCCCGCCTGCCAAGCCGCATTGGCCCCGGGAACAGCGTCCTGGCCGACGAAACCAATATAGAGTACATTGTGCTCCCCATGACCGTTGTCACCAGTAATGCCGTCGTTGGGGAAGCACAGTTTCGCTAGCGAAATGGAAGCTTCACCAGTGGCGATGCCCCCATTAGTATCGCCCCAGACGCCATAGAACTAGACAAGTCAGAGATATCCTTACAAGATCAAGATTGGACTCACCAATTGATTGTTGCAAACCACTGCCATCACACTCAGCGGCTCCATACCGTACTGCTGGGGATCAAAACTTGGCGAACTGCCCGAATTGCCAAACACCACATAGGGATGGATGTTCGCGTCGAGATCTGAGATGCCATACTGGCTCACAGTGTCCATAAAAGCCGTCTGTCCCTGGCCAGACGGATCGTTGGCACAGCCACCCGCACTGTTATTTGCTCCGTCACAGTCGATGTCCATGTTATCGTACCGACCGCCATTACTGGAGCTATGCAGGAAGATAGCACCCTGTATGTCGCCGCAATAGGCAAAGGTAGTAGAACCACTGACCCCATCGGCAAACCCCCCTTGAAGTGTATTCTGGCATGTCCCGCTCTGCTGGGCGTTAGTAATCTATAGTAGGAATAGAGAAACATTTGACCTTATGATTGTTGTATATCTGCTGTAGGTTGGTTGGAACTTGATATGCAGACGCAAGCGCCGCAAAAAGAACTGCAGCAGTTGCCAACGAATGCATCACAGAGTCGGTCGAATATACTGTGATTGATGACCATATTGCTTCGATTCTGGATAAGGAGTAGCCTTTATACACGGTATTGATCTTCCTTCAAACCCCGAGCGGGCAGTAAAGATGTTCACCCTAGACAAGACAATGGAGCTGTAACATCAGTAAATAACCAGCAATATGTTGCATAGTTTCGGCTTAATTCTTCTTAGCTTCATGAAGGCAACGTTCCTGATTGGGAAAATGGGGCTCGTGTCCTTGAACTACCAAAGCCCCTGCAGGTGAGATGTGATAGATTGGCCTATTCGGGTACGATCTGCTCAATTGTTAGTAAGTTTAAAACGGTGGCTTTGGAACTGGTAGTAAGTGAGAGTCGCTGAGGATGTGATCCAGCCCTTGAAAGGCAAGTGGTCTACTCATTTAGTAGCTGTATCGACCGTGTGGCCGAATTATGTCCTTTGATTAATGATCATCTCCAAACCCCGAATTTTTGCGTGTCATACATAAATCCATTCTATTCGAGCGGTCCCAAGGTATTAGTCTTATGTACTCTGTATACACTAACTAGGCAGTAAGCACTGGTGCATTGAGGGCAAAATAAATCGCGTATTCAAACCACTTCTGCATGCACAGCAGTGTTGGCTGGCTTCTCAGCCTCGGCCACACTCTGTTGGCGATGTTTTTCAATTTCCTCGCCAAACTTATCATGCACCTTGTGTGATTGCCACGCTTTCACATTGGAGTCGAACATCATATCGATTTCCTCGAGTGATCGGCGGGACGTCTCCGGGTACATGAAAAACACATGGAAGGTCATGGCGGTGCAGAAGACGCCGAAGATGATGTATGTCTTCCACTTGATGTTAGTGAAGGCAGGTGCGACGAAGTAAGCGAGCGCAAAGTTGAAGATCCAGTTGCCTGCAGCAGAAAGACCGACTCCTTTGGCGCGGTATTTGAGAGGGAAAACCTCAGACGCATAGATCCACGCCGTGGGCGCCTGAACAGGTTAGCCAATGTATCTGGGGGAGATTCTGGGGAATCCCTACCCAGGTTAAACCGTAGACTCCCACAAAGATATAAGAGCAGGCAATGACACCCTTTCCGGCCGTGCCATCGATCTCCCAGCGCAGGTTTTTGTTACCGTCAATCTCGTCTACGGGATGACCATAGGTGGCCATGATTCCGGCAATTGCAAAATGCAGCGCCATGCAAATGATGGAGCCAGATAGCAGAAGCAGTCGGCGGCCAATGCGATCAATGTAGGGGAGGATGAAGCCGGTCGTGACGAGGAAGATGACATATTGGATAGCGGAAGAGTAGAGAACAGTGTCACCAGGCTGCTGCTTGTTAGCTGACAATTCAGCGACTAATTAGGAGGATTAAATACCATGTTGGCCATCTGGAAGATGTACACCACATAGTACATCGCGACGTTGCCCCCAAGAAGCTGCTGCCACACCTGTACGCTGACGCCACACATGGTGCGCTTCCACACACGAGGTCCAAACAAGGCGAAGAAAGAGACATTCTTGGCCTCTTGTGCCATCCTGACGGCTTCTTGAACCTCTTCCCATTCGGCCTGTACTTCCGGATGATCGCGATTGCCATTTCCGTGCAGCAATGCTAGAGTGTCAAGACTCTCCTCCCAGCGTTCTTTGCTGGCGAGCCACCGGGGCGACTCAGGGAAGAAAAGTAGTGCTACGGCCAGGACGAGAGCGGGAACAGCTTGGACTCCCCAGGCGATGCGGAATGCGGCAGGGGATTTCACCCCCTCGGAGCAGCCGTAGGAGATTAGATACATGATAAGAATACCCCATTCAATGGCCCATTGTTGGATACCAACAATCCGACCACGAATACGGGCCGGAGCCAGTTCGGCAAGATAGACGCAGACCTGGGAGGAGGTAATACCAACTGATGATTGCCCTGTCAGTGAAGTCTATGGGCTAGTAAGACAGAGGACATACCGGAAAGCCCACTGATGACACGACCGGCCACCAAGTGTGTCACATTTTGCGCGCTACATTGAATAACGGCTCCGATGATCCAAATGATTGACGCCACCATCAGTGACAGACGACGACCGATCTGATCGGAGAGAAAGCCGGCAGCGATGGCACCGACAAAGGAACCGGCAGACATGGAGGCCGTGATCTATTCGGTCAGCAATTCGTTTCTTAATTGGCTCACGAGAAACATACGCCTCCCTGTAGGTTCGAGTCGGGGAAGTTGAAGTAGTCGAGATACTGAGTAGTTCCGATCCATGCACTCATGGAACTGTTATGACAGGTATCAGTACATGCATGCGAAGTAGGAATCACTCCCGGAATGCAATTACCTGACATCGAAGCCAAAGAGGGCACCTCCAATGGTGCCAAATGCGGCGAGCACTAAACCTCATAAGCCTCATTGCAGCCAATCTGATAGAACGGGATGACAATACCATAGATATTCGAGATGCGATACATGGCGTCGAAGGTGAGTGACCACTGGCCTGACCGATTTCGAAACAGCCATCGCGCACAACAGGCTCACTTTATATACCGAGTCCTCGCCTTCTCCAGTTCTCCACGCCGTGTCCCACCCAGACTCCGGGGTGAGGCATGCTCGGCCCTTCCACGTCCAAGCCGATAATGTGGAGAGTCCGGGGCACACTTGGCCAGAATGTTAGAATATGGGGAGAATGGGTAATCACGGACAAATCAAAGCCGCTGGACAGAAGAACTCGGCAAGACCTAACTGCGTCATGGTGGAGATCTGCCTGGTCGCGCTTGTCCAGTCGGTTGATTCATTCAGAGACATATCTTGCTGTCGATCACTCTTCGGCTGAATGTATTTAACCGAATTTGAATTTGCTTCGACAAGGCCATTGTTGGAGATTAGGCCGAGTCAAACACAACCGAGATATCCAGTCCAGCACCAACTAGATCCATGGATCTCTGTTGGATCCAGGAGGATAAGCATCGGTGGCTTGCACGACCCAGGAAATAATATAGCCTATATCTACCTACAATAATTCTACGGACAATTGGTTGTCCCCAGTGCCCATACGACGTTAAGAGTCGCTAATATCAGAGACACCTGCCACTCATAATTGATACTGACAGCCTATTTGGCATGACTCTAGCATACGAAATTGATCTGTCTACTCCATCTAAACAAATATAGTTCTTACACATCGCCAGTTATTCCGTTTCGTAATGCACCCATCCCAAGATTCGCTCTGCTTTATCCGTCGTCCAAAAGGACTGATGCCCCGACATGTCCCCCCGGATTTCGGCGTTCGGATAATACTTCTTGGCCAGCTCTGCCGAAGACATCTCCTGTGTGGTGGTTGGTGCCGTGATATTGAAAACCTCGCAGCCCTCCCAGTTGTCACATTTTTCCACGCTTAACAGGCAGGCTCGCGCCACAGCGTTCGGATTCACCCATCCCCAAAGCTGTTTAACCGCCGAATTCGACCAATCGGTCTTGTGAGCTTCCTGGACCTGGCTTCGCGGGGACACCTGGTGAATCCGGAGACAGGCAATCTTCATCCCGGGATACCATTCCGCAAAGGCCAGGGCTTGGATCTCGGCTTCGTGTTTTGCGAGTGCGTATGAGTCGGTCGGATGCCGTGGTGACTCCTCGTCGAGCGGAAAGTATGCAAAATGTAGGGGTTGATTGGAAAAGGCCAAGCCGATCGCATTCACAGACGAGGCATAGCAGACTCGCTTAATCCCTAGCTCTGCGGCTGCCCGAAAGCCATTAAAAGCCGAGTTCACATTATTATTGTGGACCAGATGGTCTTCCTTGTCGATGGGATTCGGGATAGAGGCAAGATGGATCACTGCATCACAGCCCCGAAATGCATGGAGAGTCTGCTGGTAGCTCTGGGCGACATCAGCCGTGCGCATCTCGGTGTTGGAGACGTTACTTGGGCCTTGTTCGGTGCGGTTAATCTGAACTAAATGGTGTCCTGCATCGGAACACGCTCGGACCAGAACGCGTCCGACGTTTCCGCGTGCGCCGGTAATGGCTATCCTCATACTAAGGAAGTGACTTACTGCACGGTCGACTGAAGGGCAAAGCCCATAGAGGTTGCTGACGGAGCTGTTGGAATGCGTTGGGGTCCTGCAGGGGTGTATGGGGAAGAACTGAATGTGGACGATAGTGCTTTCGGCTGGAAAATGAGTGACGAGACCCTCTAGAGGAGCAATCTCGCACACTGCGCAGTCCTGACGTAAGAAATCTCACATCACCATGGGATCAGTTGAGGCAAAACGCGCCGAGTTATACTCCTCTTGGACGCAGTCGAGAACTCCGCATAGTCGACACTTTTTTTTTTTTTTTTTTTTTTTCATTCTTTCCTAGCATTCATTGCGAAGACACTTTAGGGGGAAAATCCCCCCATTTTAGCTCTCATGCTCAACTTTTTGAATTGTCATAAGTATAATGATCAGGAGAGGTAAACGAGGTGCATCTTCGGACATGTGTTCCGCACCAATGGATCGTAAATGATGATGGTGATATATAAATCGTCTCTTCATTCTTTCCTAGCATTCATCGAGATGACAGCCTTATAACTATAGCTCTCTAATAATGCCTGTCGGCAAAGCAATCGCAGAGAAGCTGGAGAGGGGTGAAGGCAACCATCAGGCATCAAGACGTGTCTGCCGGAGGACTGGTCATGTGACGATAAGGTCACGATAAGCTCCATATTGCACGTGACCTGAGTTGCACCAGACGTCCGGTGTTTATGCTGAGAAAGAAATCCATACCATACACTTCAGAAAATAGATAATTAGGACTGTGATTGGTACTATAGGGATTTAGCCCAGCAAATAGACTCTATGTGACATAGACCTCGACCATATCTGCATGGTCCCGCGGCTGGAAGAAAAGAAAAGAAAAAAAAGCCCCACGGAGGGGCAACCCCGGGGCATCACGTGAGACACACAGGGCGGGATTCTTCGTTGGCTGGAGGAATCGGGCAGACGGGGAAGAAGTATCATGCAGGCCTTCCGACGGGCATTCATTCCTGTACAAGGATCATTCCGACTCAACACAGCTGCCACAAGAACCATCTTCTCTGCCAGACTCCTGGACAAGATGAACCTCAAGGAGACCACCCGTCTGGAGCTGCCGGCAGCTGCCGACATGCATGTCCATCTCCGTCAAGGCAAGATGATGGAATTGGTTGTGCCTCAGATTCGCAAGGGTGGTGTTGACACTGTCTTTGTCATGGTCAGTGAAGTCGGTTCTGGTTTCAAACAAATACAGTTCTCTAATCGTATACGAAATAGCCCAACCTGGTCCCTCCCGTTACTAGTGTGGCGCAGGCTTCCGAGTACAAGGCTCAACTGGAGGCGATTGACCCGAATGTGAACTATTTGATGTCGCTCTACTTGAATATAGGTATTCCCTAGATTCTCTAGATGAATCCTGCTGCTAACTTTCACTGCACGGCTTTGTCACCCCCGAGACCATCAGAGAGGCTGCCGCTGCTGGTATCACCGGTGTCAAGGTGTATCCCCAGGGTAAGTGAAGCCGATGATATCGGTAAAGAAGCAGATTCGCTGACGGGTCAGGTGTCACCACTAACTCTGCTGCCGGTGTCACCAACTTCGAGGACTTCTTCCCCGTCCTCGCTGAGATGGAGAAGCTCGATATGGTGCTCAACCTCCACGGCGAGGTCCCCGGCTCCGCCCAGTCGGACGTCAACGATATGAACGCCGAGGAGAAGTTCCTGCCCACGCTGAAGATGCTCAACGAGAAGTTCCCCAAGCTGCGCATCATTCTCGAGCACTGCAGCACTGAGGCAGCCCTAGAGGCCGTCCGCTCCTGCACTGATTCCGTTGCAGGTATGCAGCCATGATCGCGTCTTTGCGCGTGAATTGTACTAACAAGGGGCAGCCACCATCACCGCTCACCATCTGTATCTCACCCACCACAGCTGTTCGAACCCCTTGGCGTTCTGCAAGCCCCTTCCCAAGACCTCCAAGGACCGGGATGCCCTGATCCGCGCCGTCTGCAGCGGCGAGTCCAAGTTCTTCTTGTAAGTAAAGCCCAGATTAGTTTGTGAATCACAGCCTGACCCGAATCAGTGGAAGCGACAGCGCTCCCCATCCCCGGGCAGCCAAGCAGGGCGGTGCCGATGGGACCGCCAAGCCCCCTGCTGGTGTCTTTACTCAGCCCTTCGTCGTCCAGTACGTCCTGCTGGCGCTGGAGGAGGGAGTTGAGCGCGGTGTCATCACAAATGATGACATCACGCAGGAGAAGCTGGAGAATTTCCTGAGCGTATATGGACGCAACTTCTACAAGCTGCCGCAGACGAAGAACCGCATCGTGCTGGAGAGGAAGGGAGAGGTGATTCCCGAGAGTGTGAAGAGTGAGGAGGTCGAGATCGCCTGTTCGAGAGGAGGTGATCAGGTCTTCAGCCTGAGCTGGAAGAACTAGGAATTTGTCCAGTAGTTGAATATGTATAAAGGGCGATCCATATCTAAAAAAAAAGAGGGGAAAAAAACGAAAGTGCATAGCGATTTGTCAACAGAAAAGGTATTGCCTGCAGTACAGATCACCAAACAAACATTGCTGCGCCTTATAATACGTAACATCATTTATCATCATCAGAGCAACTCAGGGCTCGAAATTATCATGAAAAGCTCTCCACATGCAGATAGATCTGCCCACCCATTGACGCCACTTGATTGCGGATCGCCATGGACAAATTCAGCGGACCACAGACACCCACCGCACTTTCTCCTGCACCCTCTGCTAATCCCGCGGGCAAGATCGTGCGCCAGTCTGGTCGACCGGGATGAAGCGTCCAGGACGGAGACACCTTCGGCTTAACCATCTCAGGGCTTGTCGAGCTCTCCCCATCGTCTGCCTCGCCGCGATTTTCATCATCTACCGGCACGTCCACTGTAGAGGAGGAAGCGAAGGAGACCTCCGATGTAACATAGATATGAGCGGCGAAGGTGATTCCCGCGCTGGCAAAGCATCGCGCAGCGGAGGAGAGCTCATCGGAGATCCAGCTGAGCCAAGTCTCCTTCCGGACCATCCAGACGAATTCAATCCGGCGCAGGGGAAGACGCTCACGCTCCTGGGCCGACGCCGCCCGGTGCGCGAGATCCAGAAGAATCGACAAGGTGAAGGTGACACCGGCGGCACCGGCGACAAGATAGACAGTGTCAAAGCTGCCGAAATCCGCATGCGAAGCCGCATACGGACCGTTGATCAAGGCCCGATAGGAGACTAGCTGTGCCGAAAGTTGCTTTTCAGGCTCTTCCGCATGGATGGTGCGGGGTGCGGCTTTTGCCGCCTCGTGGAGGTGCATAGTAAAGCCGCGGTAGGCGCGAAGAAGGAACACGATGTCGCCATTGTGAGAGGTCGGTGTGGAGAGAATAGTGGCCGGGTGGGACTGGCCAATTTTCAAAGTCGGAAGGGAGATGAGTGCGTGAGCTCCGGGAGTCCAGGACTTGATGCGGCAATTGGAGACACGGATGCGAGTTGTAGAACCCGGAAGAGGCTCCAGAGTGGCGTGGCTTAGCCGGCTGTTGTGATAGGCGAATCGGATGCCCGAGATCAGCCGCTCGCCCAGGTATAGGGCGATGCCCACATAGATGTAATGGAAAGCATCCTGAGGACCTTTGGGGATATGAATGGCGACGGTGATGATAAAGCCAAAGAATGTGAGAACATGTTGAAAGAGGAAGAATTCGTAGCACCAGTCACGGAGGGGTAGTACGCTGGAGATATTCATCCAAGCAAGAAACACGTAGGGCACGATCCCGGACCTGAAGAGCTTGTTCGTATCCCACGCCAGAGCCGTCAGGCCGGAAAATTGACTCCATACGCCTCCCAGAAGGGCAAAGTGCAAGGTCGCCATGAGAAAACATCCTCGAGCAACCCACCGATGGTATATATTCAACCTCTCGTATGATATTCCAGTCATGAGGCTAACGATGTTGTTTTTGCCCACCAGGGAGAGCAGCAGGGGAATCTGAATTGTCGCCAAAAATGCGGCGCGAACACTAGCATTGGTATACCAGGTTGGCCCGGTCACTTGAATGTCCACGAAGAGAAGGAGGAGCAAGAACAGGAAGTAACTGAGGATGAACCCGGTGGTCCCAAGGGGGGGTACGATGAACCATGAAGTAGTCGACACGGGTGACCACTGCGGGTATACAACCTTTCGCGTGGCGCTCAGGGCCAGTTTGTAGACTCGAGACACAATTTGTGAGGATGGCGACAATGCTCGCCCTGCTTGAAGTCGCCTTGGATAAGATGTTAGCTTTGATCGAGTTGGAGGGTGCCACATCCACGGACCTAGACCTTAGATGGAAACGCCAAAGAAGCTGCCATATCCCAGCAATGCATACGACGATGATCACAGCATACCAGAAGCCGTGCAAACGAGGAACAAATTGCTCATGAAAGACCCTGCCCTTGAGCAACTGATCCAAGAACTGAGCGGCCTCAGTCCGATTGGAGAAGTCGTATTCTGCTGGGTTGAGCATTTTGGAATCCAGCTGAACACCGCCGGACCATATGAAGCGAATTGCACTCGAATCGACACAGGGACGGCTTTCGAGCCCGTTATATATGAATGCGAACCAGATATAGGACGGCAGGGACTCGGCATCTTTTACGCCCATCTCCGGATTCCATGACAGTGCCAGACAAACACCGTATCTCGGACTCCGGTCATCGTTGAAGAAGAGTAGATGGGATGCAGATGGATACATACGTCATCGAATTCACCGAAATAAAGAGCCATATCCCCCGATTTTATGCCTCATCTATCTCAAAGTACAGACGATGTAACGCCTGGCAGGGGTATACTGGGGTTGAATATCTCCCATTTCTTCATATACAGCCCTGTGGGCCCGGACAAGCTTCCTGTTCGGTGTGACGAAACCCCAGGGTCAGAGATAGCCATTGCTTCGCAGGGGAAGCGGTCACGCACACCAACCACGGAAGAGGAAGATGGTTGCGCATGTGCAGGTAGTGGAGTGAGTCAAGTCGATGGCAGGTGGAGAGAAGCCGTGCAGATCTCCCTGTACAATTCCGTGAGAAGATATCTCCCTCCTTCATGTTTTAGGCAACAGAGCAAAGGGGCGCATGTTTGGCGTGATCGAGAAGTTGTAGCTGGTGTCATTGGGCTACACTACCGGCAGCAATCTGTGTATGAGCACATTAATTTAATTATATCGAGGATAGAGCGTGGCAAGGAACCAGTCCTACGGGGGATGAGGTGAGAGCAATTTCGCATCCGCTGTCAGGGCAGTGATAACACTGACACCCCCCTTTTGCGCGGCGTGACACCCTCTAAGCCTAAAGAAGTAGATTGGCAAATCATGTGACTACATTTGCAACAAATATTAACATTGTCAGGCGGAGTACTACCGTGGCACTCCCAAGTACCATGCCAAAGAATCCGTACCACCATACTATATCGTCCATCAGGTTTTACTACTACAGTAATCGCTTCTCCGTAGAGGATACCCAATAAGTGTAACATAATCGGTGGAATAGGACGTTTGAAGGTGAACAATATGTAGAGAGAACTAGACATTTCAGGTGTTGGAAGAATGGCTTAGAAAAAAAAAAAAAAAAAAAACATCAGTATCCTGCTGACTTGCCTATTCAGGCAACTGGCGAGAAGGGTGCCGCTGGAGCGGAGGGGGTTCCGCCTCAAATCCGTTCGACTCCAATAATACTCTGGTGGCTTCTGAGACATACAATCTGATGTGCTCATCCCAGACAGGTGCCTTCGTCATGCCGACAACTGAGCACGGATCCAACCTGATCAGCGTCCAGAGTAAAATCCTCATATCTGGCACGATGGCAATCAATTCCACAGGCCGTGATTGTCTATCACTCGACTCTCCCTGTTTTACCGATTGGTTGACACGACGCCGCTCAGGCTTTGCCATCGGACAAAGATCGGAACCATGAGGCTTGGACCGGGCCGCTGAGGAAGGAACAACCGTGATTACAGCGGCACCGGTGAGTTGCGCTTGAGCCACCAGACCCCAGCTTCATGGCTTGCACGAGACAGATTATAGATAGGTTCATCATACCGTGACTAGGATCCTCTACTGCCGGAGGGATGCACAGACTGGATGAGGAAGGCTAACGATGCTTAAAATGAAGAATCTAGGTCTGACCAGGAATCAAGAGACGCTATCCAATCAAGTTGGAAAACCCTGGCTTATCGGGGCATTAATGGTGATTTAGTGGGCTTATCACCACTCTAAATCTCCGGACTACGGGATTTGCTAATATACTGAGGGGTATTTTTCTTGAAGAATCATGTAGAAAGAAAACGGGTAAAAGTATATACAGATAGAGGATGCAACCTCAACGTCCCTTGTGGAAAAGCACATGCTCACCCAGTCTTGGCATGCACGTTGGGATACTCCGCGATGGCATCGACACCCTCCTTGGGCGGGCCTGCATAATTCTGGTAGCCCCAGACCCAGTACCACAGAGCGGCGATCGCGGTAAACCCCACGAATACCACGCAGGCGTAGCTCATAGTCTCCAGAGTGACAACCATGAACGAGGGCATGCAGAACAGGGGGATGGCCAGGAGACTCCACGCTAGATTCGATGGGTTAGTGACCTTTCTGATAGAAGTGATTGCTGTGACAAGTGACTAACCAAGAGCAACGACGTTGCAGATCCCACCAAAGAATCCCAATTGAAACCGAGCATTCTTCAGATCTGCGCGGCGGCGGAAGAGGAACGAGACGGCAATGGGACAGGCATAGCTGAGGGTCAGGAAGATGACACCAACACCGCTAAAGGCATTGAACGCGGCCGTGGAACCAAAGTAGATGGCGCCCAGCGCAATCTCGACGCCCATATCCAGCATCATGGCATTCAGTGGGATGTCCAGCGAGCGATTCACCGACTTCCACCACTTGGATCCGGGAATGCCGCCATCACGGGCAAACGCCCAGGTGCACCGTGAGGCTGCCGTCACGCACCCGACACCGCAAATAATTCCCAGAATGATCAAAGGAAGGAGGAGGCAAAAGGCACCGGCCGAGTTTCCGATGGCATCCTTGAGAATCACGGGGGTGGGCTGCGCCGACACCAGGTTGACCAGCATGGTCAGATCGGGCAGGACAAAAGTCAGGGGCAGCAGGAAGGCCAACCCAGCCACGAAATTGAGCACGATGGTGGCCACCATCGCCCGGGGGACTTGGGTGGCAGGTTCCTGAACTTCCTCACACATCCTGAAATAGCGCGGGTTAATACGCGAGGGAAATGGAAAATAATAATAACAATAGGAGGAGCGACTGACGAGATGATCATTCCAGTGGCCGACGTGGCATATGCGGCATGCAGCAAACCAATACAAAAGGACCAGCCCGAGGGCCAGCCGGATTGGGGCTCAAAATGCGTAAACACCCACTTACCGGAGTGTCTACCGTGCTTGGCAATCACCAGTGTGCAGACAATCATGGCAATCAACCCAATCAAGGTGCAAAAGATGGCAAACGTCTAGATGATAGGTGATGAGAACGAGGGCGCAGTGGGAACGAAGCAACAACGGTGGATTTATCGGGGCGATGAGCCTCGCACGACGAAGGACACCAGAACAAAAAGGGCACATACCTCCAGATGGGGGAGCCATTTGTTGCCCAGGGCAGAAATGGCATGGGTCAATAGGGTCATGGCGAGGAAGATCAGGTAGATCTGATAGGTCTCCAGGTCATCTACAAGGCCGACGCCGGGGGAAGATTCGAAAACGTTAAGACAGGCGACGAAGAACAGGGTGGTGCCGAAGTTTACAGCCAGGGTGATGGTGACATTGCCGAGGACATAGGACCAGCCGCAAATCCAGGCAGCGGCACGACGGCACCATGGGGGCGACAGGGCAAAGGTCTGGTAGTAAACACCGCCGGCGGTGGGATAGACGGACGTGATCTCGGCCAGCGAGCAGGCTACACACAGGATGATGATCGAGACGATAATCCAGCCCCAGATGATGTTGGACGGACCGCCACCGGCCAGGGGGTAGAACAGGGTCGTCGCAAGGCCGTAGGGAACGGAGGATAGGATGAAGCACATGAAGGCGACCTGGAGGACTGAACGGTTGCGGGAAAGTTCCGGCGTGTACCCCAGACCTTCCAGGCTGGTGTCCGCGGCGGACTTGCTGGTTTCGGGCTCCATCGTGGTGCAGTGGGAGAGGCGTCTTTTGTCGCGTGGGGAGTTGATGGATTCGATGGTCGGAGAGACGGGGAAGATGGGACGGAGGAGGGAAAAGAGGTGTATGGCTCAGCGATACATACTATAAATAACATACACACTGCAAAGGGGTGGACTGCGTTGGGCCTTTTATTTTGGAAGACTTGTAGCCGGGGAAGCTGAACTGGAAGCTGAACTGAGTAATAATGGTAGCGACAGGGGACACGGAGGGGGGGGGGGGGGTGGATGCTGTCCGTTTATAAACAACCGGCGGGAAAGAAAAAATAAAAGAGAGAGAGTAGGATGGAGAAAGCTCCAGGATTTAGACTACTCCATACACAGTAGTATGCACATGTGAGGCATAGTGGTTGGTGGTGCACAAATCACAGTCAGCCAGAGAAATCTTAATCATCAGGAATGGATCAGGGCCAGCGGTTGGTGACCGGTGAGTGGGCTGATGGAGTGGGTTTGGGCAGAAACACCAGGGTTTGATTGGAGAAAAATGAATGGAAATGACAATGGATCCCTCCCTCGTGTCGCTGCCCAGTTTCCATTGGACAGCAGTCTCGACCCAGTTCCACCGAGTCTGGAGATAGGTATGATACGGAGTAATTCTGAGTGAAAACCTGAACGTTTTTATAGAGTCCGATTGAGGCATTTATTCTTGCCAAGATAGTTGCCGTAGAGTTTATGAAGTGCTAAAGTCAGCTCCTATTCAAGATAAGCCGCAGTAGAGCGTATCATGTCTCAGTCATTGGTAGATACCAATGAGAAGGGATGGTTTTCCCTTTCCAGGCAAAAGAAAAAAAAAAGAATAAAATATCAAAAAAACTCTGGCGATGCAAAAAGATAAGCAGGTCTTTTTCTCCAGTCCCCACGCGGACCCCCGCTAGTCCGACTACGGCTAGTGCTTTGAGCCGGTAGCAGAAGCAATGACGTCGATCGGAAAAAAACCTTGCAAGCGATAATATAAGCAGCCAATCATACTTCTGTGCCCCATCCGTGGTATCCATGGTACGACCGGTAGCAGTCTAGCTACGCTAAGCCGTTCCAGGCATCCGCTGAGCACGTGGATGCCTCGGCATTCGCCGTCCAGGGCTCAACATTTCCTCTTTGAGACCACCTTGATGCTGGGGGTGCGCTGGCTGCGTACTCCGTAGAGCATCAGATCTCAAAGACCACAGGTAGGTACGAAAGACAGTCTATCAAAATGTCTTCTCCTGCAGGAACCCTCACTCTACCTGCCATACAGTATACTGAGCCTCTAAAGAGTAACTAGCTGATCTATCTGATGATCGGTGATCATCGATCCAAGCTCGCTTTGTTGAGATTTCCCATCTGCAACCTTGCCTTTAGCGTGCCCGCTCATTACAGTAGATTCCGACGCTGGTGTCCACCTTCCCCCATGAATTGTTCTCCAGCATTCCATCATCGTAATAATTGGCACATGTCACTTACTCACTCTCCAATCTTTACAGCCTGACAGGTATTCCAGAATAATGCTGTCCCACATGGTGCCTACTAGCCTTTTCTCACCTGGAAATCAATATATAGAAGTCCAAGTGGTGATATGGCCTCATTCTTGGAGAAATGCAGATATGGCCAAGTAGCGGAGCTCCTATATAGATATCACAGCGGGAGGTTGCTTCATTGGCCATACCAGTCAGATGGAGAAGTTTATGGAGAAACCAGAAGCTCTGGGCCATTGGAATGGACGGAAGAACAGTGTAGCTTCAACCTGATACCTATGGTTCGAGCGAGCCCGGTGTCATTGAATATATATTTATGATTGAGGATCACGCCTCTCCACTGATCTCTTCCCCTCTCGGAAGAGTGCTTGCCCAATTTGCATTCAACTAGGCTACTATAGCTCACTTCATCCATGAGCCTACTCACTAGGCTGATTGGAAGACCTGTTGTGTCTTGGGATATGAGTCTCCTGAACAGATATTTAATTCACAAGTTCTTCCACGGACATCTTGGACCGAAAGCGTCTACTCCGAACCGAGGCCTGTGTGGGGTTGAAATGCGGAGATATTCAGTATGCACATAGTACCTCCATCTGGGGCGGAGGGCAGAGTCAATAAGCCATACCACAACTCAGACAGAATGAATTTCGACGTGCCAGCAGAGCTCACTTCCTATCTTGAGACACTCGGCTCCTTCATCGAATGTACTATTCTACCACTCCAGCGCACCGATGACAACAACCGCTTCTTCGACCATCGCCAGGAATATGCGCGCACCGACTGGACCCAGGGTGGAATTCCGCCCAAGGAATGGGAGGGCCTGATTGGTATGATACATCATCACGGGTAATAATAACGAAGGTCACTGAGTTTCCAGACCAAGCGCGAGTTCTTGCAGACCGCGCCGGCTTCTACCGATTCGCTCTTCCCCAAGTCTACGGGGGTCAGGAGCATCCTGATACCAATCTCTGGATGTCTGTCATTCGGTTCCACTCGGCTGCACATCCTGGGTATGGTGGCGGCCTCGGGACAGACAATGATCTCCGGAAAGAACACAGTGTCGTTGGCAACTTCCCCGACATCCTCATGATGCATCACTTCGGGACTCCCGAGCAGCGCGCATCCTTCATTCCGCAGCGTCTTCGTGGACGTTTCCGTGTGGCCGTTGGACTCACCCAACCCGATCATGGTAGCGGTGCGACATTTCTATCGACTAGGGCGAGCCCCGTGGGGGAAGGCTTCGAGATCACAGGACGTAAGAAGTGGCAGATGGGTGCGCATCATTGCACACATCTGATCATCTTTGCACGGCCGTCCGGAAGGCCCGGATCCGCGAGGGGAATAACGGCCTTTCTGGTAGCGCGGGAGACGCCGGGTGTCCGGGTGTCCAGCTTTGAGTGGAGTTCCCCCATGCCCACAGACCATGCGACGGTGGAGCTGGAGAAGGTCTGGGTGCCAGCATCGTCGGTGTTGGGCAGGGTCGACCACGGTCTGGCCATCGCGTAAACCTTTGTTCACGAGGATAGGATCCCTCAGGCAGCCAGCTCGTGCGGTGCAGCAAAATACTGCCTTGACCGCAGCATCGAACGGGCGCGCGGTTGTAAGATTTGGGGAGAGGGCAAAACGCTGGCAGACCACCAGGCAATTCAATTTCCCATTGTGAAACTCATGACACAGGTGGAAATGCTACGGTTGTTGATCCTCAAGACTAGCTTGGATATGGACCGCATCGTGGCGGCGTCGAAAGAGACTTCGAATGGAGTACCGCCGTGGGGGAAAATTGAGCGCAGGTTGAGCGACAAGGTGGACATGTGTAACTTCTGGGCAAGTCGGCTGTGCTGCCAAGCAGCAGATAGAGCCATAGAGGCCAAACGGCTCCTAGAGAACAGGCTGAATGGAGGTACTGACATCCATAGATTCACGGTGGTGATAGATACTCCCGCCATTACCCATTTGAGCACATATATCGTCATTTTAGACGATACCAAATCGCTGAAGGGACAGAAGAGATTCAGATGCGCAAGCTCGCTGCCTATTTATTCGCCTTCAGGCCTCAAGAAAAGGGCGACAAAGGTCAATAGGAAAGCTGTAGTGATTTGGTATAAAAGTCCCTTAGGTCAGACGCTGGATGTATTTACCAGCATCACTCTCCTCAAGAGCGAGAATGAGTTTCAGATTATCGACCATAGTGTCGGCGTAAACCATCATATTCTAATGTAGTTTCATGGGCTTGGTTTCTTTCCTTGCTTGAGAGGTGCAATATCCAATTCAAATCATTCTGATTGAGTAGCCTAGCCGTCGTCGAGAAGGAGAAATACTTCTCCTGCTGTCCATTATGCCACCATCATGGTATGCCCATTCCTAGATACCCATGTGGCATCCGTATGGTGGTCTTGTTATGATAGAGATCTCTCAACATTCGACTTCTCTCATTCTGTTGTGTAACATGTACATAAATCTTCGATGAAGAACCAAGGAAACTCAATGGCAACGTAAACGCCTGCAGAGAGCCAAGTCTTGGTTTCTATTTTCAGAACACCCCAGTCGACAGGAAGTGCTGCAACTGTGCGTCAGATACTGGAATATGTACAATGTAAGCCACACGAACGCTCTGGATACTGTGGGGGGGGAGAAGTGGAGGGCGAATGGTGAGGCAGGATAGACCGAAGCGAAGAACCAGCGGCAGGTGTATTCTCGAAACTCGCCTTTGCACCAGCCACTTAATGGAACATGAGATCTTCTAAAATGGCTTCTTACTTGCCAAAATGATCGCCTTAACCACCCACAGATTGGGGTCTACCGGTTGGGTTAGTCGAAGTCAGGCACCACATAGCTGCTGAACCAGATTCTATTGGCATATGGAACGTGCGCATGGTCCGATCCGGCGCCTTGGAATTTGCAAGAAACATGGCTGTTTCGGCCCAAAAAAAATAACTTGAGGGAAGCATTTACTCCTGTGAAGGCCGAAGTCATGGTCAATAGAAAGGATGTTCTATCCTGCCTGACCTTCTGTCGCCTGAACAGGGCGATGATGCGGTAGCTAGCACGTGATTACAAGTGATGCTAGCATAATTAGATAAGCTGCATTAGTCGAGATGCATAAGATGGGCAGAGCCTCTTGCATAATCAATAATATACGGATTATGTTTGTGCTGTTTGCATCTCCTCCGCGTTGTCTCTTTCAGTCTTTCGTTCTTGGGCCTCACTCCAGCTGTCCATCTTCAAGAAGACGACAAACACACACTCGGAATCCCCCTTTCCATCAAAAGTACGGGGTGAGTTGGTCCGTTGTGTTGTCGTTTCAGCAGCACAACATCTCCGTTTCATCTGTCTGACATGGCATAGGATTCACCAGCCCATCCTTCGCCTGATCAAAGCTCAATCATGCGATCCTCAACTACACAGTAGTTATTGAAAATCAAAATATAAGATACTGATTATGATCCACCGGCCATACCCACATCCGCCCGATCACTCGCTCCGTATCTAGCAGTGCTGCAGTTGGGCCGGCAGGGCGACGCCATCAAATTGTATCCACCCCTACAAACAGCGGTGAATCCTGTGGCGCGAATCATCACTGCAACCTCGCACGACTTTATCGACGCGCTGTCCACCCTTGGCTGGTCGCATTGCTCGTCCCTTACCAATCCGGGAAGTTGTTTACAACGCGATGCAGTGCTCGCTGGTGTTTCAACCTCGGCGTCGACCCCGTCTGGCAGCTGGCGATGGTTAGTGATGAGGAGGTCCCTCTTTTGCTGCCTCTTCATTGGCAGCCTAGAAAGCACGTTCGTTTAAAGATAAAGGCCCAGAGAAAATTTTTGCAACTATGAAGATGCAAGACTAAGGTTTTGGTACACAAGCCTACTTTGGTACCACTGGCTTATTATTTTTTTTTCCCAGTGACGGTCAAAGGGTATTTAGACTTGCCCACGTCCTTCTCATTCTTCTTCTCTTCATCGTACTCATTCTTCCTGGTCATAGAATGGACTTCACCATTATTACTCGTCCCATGTCGGCGCGGTTTCCCTGGTTTCTCTCCACCCTTTTCCCTCCCCGCAAACCTCAGCCATCGGCGTCGGCGTCGGTTTCCGTCTCGACGCAGACTGTGCCCAATAGCCGACCGCCATCTGTCAATGAGGTCACACCGTCTCCGGAGGAGCTCTTGGAAGCTCGCCGGGAGAGAGCACGCATGGAAGCAGAGGAGGTCCTCCGGAATCTGGTCGGTCAAGAGCATGTCAAACGGCGATTGAACGAGATCCAGACATGGATCAACATCTGCCAGAGACAGGGTAAGGACCCCAAGGATGAGTGGTACAACATCGTCCTTCAGGGAAATGAAGGCATTGGCAAGACCACTGTCGCACGGGTATATGCGAACATTCTCTTTGCCATGGGCATCGTGGACATGCCGACCGTCCAAGAAATCTCTGGAGCCGCGCTGGCCGCGCAGGGATCAGAGGGGCTGCAGCAGGTGATCACCAGCATGATCGATGCTGCAACTCCGTCGGCACAGACGGTCGGGGTCCTGCTCATCGAAGATCCCCATCTTTTGACAACAACGGCCTGCTGTGATAGCGGCCGCGAGGTCTTCGATTGCCTTTTTAAGGCAATGGAGCGCACGACCGGCAGAGTGATTGTCGTACTCACAGGCAACCCTTCAGAAATGGAGGAGCTTGTCCGCCTTCACCCTCGATTCGAAAGAATGATGTGTTGCACTCTACAATTCGCTGACTTTGACTCAAACGATTATCTCACCTTGCTTGCTCGATGCATGCAAGACCGCTTTGGCAGTGATCTCGAGGTCGATGGAGGTCTAGATGGCCCGTACATGCAGATGGCCGCTCGTCGACTGGTTCGCGCAGCTGCCGGCAATGGGCCCCGAAACGTCCATGCGGTCAAACGTCTGTTGGATAATATGACCCGCCGCCAAGTCCAATACCTGCTAGCCCAACAGCATGAGAGCTCAGAGGAGGCCAACCACTTTTCTCTCTCAAAAGAAGACTTGGTGGGCCCCAGGCCAGCAGATGTTATGGCTAAGAGCCAGGCTTGGGCCAACATGCAGAAGCTCGTTGGACAAGATGCGGCCAAGGCATCGGTAGCCGAGATAATCGATACAGTTGAGGAGAACTACTGGCGTGAATCCCGGAATCAGCGACCATTCTCTATCCGCGTCAACAGAATCTTTATCGGACCGTCAGGCACCGGTAAATGCACGGTCGCCACGTTGTATGGGCAGGTCCTAGCTGAGCTGGGTATTCTGACCAGCGGAGAAGGTGAGTTGTCTCAACTCTCATGCGAAAATTAGTGCTGACAACACAATTAGTCGTGAACGTGCGAATTTCTCACAAGCCCGATGTGTCTCTAGTGATCGAGGATCTGTTGGAGTCGACCGTTGGTAACGTTCTCCTAGTTGACGTGTCCGACGTGAATGAGGCGTCGGAAATCATGCTGGATTCTCTCCTCAACCAATTGTCACTTCTCCCTCGCCATGATCGGTGCGTCATTCTTGTCGGGCCCTCCAGCCGCATTGAACCTATGCTTTGTCAGCATCGCAACGATATGTTGAAGGTTTTCAGGCAGCACCACCTTGTCCACTTCCATCCGTTTTCCCGTGCCCAGATGCAACAGATCCTCGAGATGAAACTGTGCGACCAGGAGGTTCAGGCAACTCCCGGAGCAATTGATGATGCCATGAAGGCTCTCGAACATGCTCGCATGCGCCAGGATTTTGATCATGGCAGAGCGATCGCTCACCTGCTCGGCTCGGCTCACGCTGCCTATGAGCGCAGCCAATCCCAGGAAGACCATGATGAGTTGCAGACAAATCGAATTCTGGTGTCTGAGAACTTCAAGGTAGACGACGTGTGCGGCCAAAAAACATTGAACTTCGGCGAGGAGTTGAAACATACCCTCGTAGCAGATGACATTGTTCTGCTGCTGGAACGCTACCACCATGATCTAAGAGCCTCCTGGTTGCTGGGCGTGGATCCCTCCAGACGAGTGCCGCTTGCAATCATCTTCAAGGGTGCCTCGGGGATCGGCAAACGGATCGTGGCACAATTTTTTGGCCGCCTGTACTACACCATGGGCGCCCTGGCTTCCGCAACAGTGGTGGAGTGTTCTGCGACCGACCTTATCCCTCAGGATAGTCGCACCGCATCCACCCAAGCCCGCTCGTTGCTGGAAAAAAGCCGTGGCGGTGTCCTGTTCGTGGAGGACGCTCATCGACTTGGCGAATTCGAATCCGCTACTCAAACGATTAACGACCTCATCTACCTTCTTCCCAGATACTCTCGGGACACTGTTGTGATTCTGGCAGGATCTGGATCCGAGATGGACCAGATGCTCTCCACCCAGCCTCGCCTCTCAAGTCTTTTTCAAGAAGAGATTGTGTTTAAGAGCCCGACGCCCCGCGAACTTCTTCGCTTGCTGGACCAACGTCTCGATGAGGAGAAGATCCCAGGACCGCGACCCTTCTTCACAGATACTCGCACAGAGACCTACCGCGAGTTTACGCGCGCCATGCAAACTCTTTCCATGTTCCCTTGCTGGAGCAACGGCCGCGATATCGATGTCTTGGCCATGTGGATGGTGTCGGCTGTGATGCGCGGAGTCCCGCTGGACGGTGACTCTGTCTCTCCACCCCGTCTATCCGAGGACCAAGCGATGACCTGTGTGGTGAAGATGTATAATCTTAAACGTGATCGCCTTCGCTACAACCAGGATCCCAAGATGAAGTCATTGCCTCGGAATTTGTCGCAGCCCCGTCCAAGCTCTGCCATGAAGAGCGGGGTCCGATTCCCTGTCTAGACCTTCCAAGGCCATTGACCGTTCTTTAGCCTGTTCTGTCCAATCACGTTCGTTTATTATGATGCCTCCATGATTCCTGAATCTTTCATGCGTTATGTTTCCACCTTGTCCTTCATTACCATTGCATTTGCATCGGGGGAGCTTTGCGTTGATTATTTCTTGCTCTCTTCGATTTTCGTGCCATCTTGGCTCTCATTTTCTGTCCCGGGTTTCTTGTGGGACTCGACGTTGAATTTACGATGTACTACGATCAGAATGACTGCATTGACGATATTTAATGTGTATATGACTTGTCTGGCTTAGAAGCTGCTGTTACCTCACTCTCGTTTCTCGAATTTGATGACATACTATCTCACATCTGAGTCAGTTATTTGTTTCAGTCACCAACTTCAATGAAGATACGCTAGCTTTGCTAACGATCCTAGATTGTTTTGAAGTCCCCGTTTGGGCCTGTACTGGCGTTCCCACTCGGCGCTATCTTTGTTCCATTTCGCCCAAAACAGGATACTTGAATCGTTGCCTTGCGCCTGAGATTACAGAGAACTTTTTTGTTGCTAAATCCGGTCCTTTGAGACCTTGACCAGATTGTACTCAAATCAATGGTTTCATGAGGATCTTTGAACGAACGGTAAAACTGATTTCATGGCTATCCTCCAAGCGCCAGCATCTTCGTCAGATTTGAGTCCATGGAAGAGTTGACTGGGATTCCGAATTTCGTAGTCAGCGGGGAGAATACAAAAGAGACTACCAAGAGAGAAAAAAAAATAGGCTGGTATATTTGCATCAATTGCCGTACAAATCACATCAACAGTCGAGGATCCACGGCAGAAGTTGAGAAAACCAAAACATTATCATTACAGTCCGTAATCATGCATGGCCAGGCATAAAGATTCTACTATTTCACTGGGGACAGCAACCACTGCTTGGTCTCGGGGTCCAAGCACTCTTGCTCTGCCTTTTTCCATTCCCTGATAACGTGGTCTGCCTTGGCCTTGAAGCGAGGGGTGATTCGTGCAGGAAACTCCTCAGGCATGCACACGAATCCTTGCGTCAAGTGGTCTGGGTCAGCCTCTAGCACCATTGCATTGACTTGATTCGTTCATCATACCCCACGTCAGGTAGGTCCATACTCCTATAACAAGTCAGGATGTGATCCCCAAATCTGGTGAACAAGACGAACCATCATAAGTAATCGTAGTCCGCCGCTGCGTAGCGTCTGTCCGATGTACATCTCCTGTCGATGCGAATAGATACCGCCTCACGTGTCCAAAAATATTTTGACTACCTCGTCACTTGACAGGACAATAAGAACCCCGGTTCCGAGGATTAGACTGTAGACAGGACCATATTCTTGTGCCCAATTCTGAAACTGCAGGTGGGCATCTTGAACGGTGTGAGCGTTGCGCACGAACAACCCAAGTCGAAGAGCACTTACCTGATGAACGTTACAGATTATGGGAAGCGTCGGGGGACCCAGAGGAATGTTTTTAGGCCGGCGGCCAATGGATAGCAGACGCACAAGCAGGAAGGCAAGGATCTAGTGGGAGACACCCGGATCGGAGGAGGTGGTGGGAGCCCGCTGGGCATCCGCTGCACTCAGATTGGCGGACTGTGCCTGGGGAAGTCGGGATACGGTTTACCTTCCTGAAAAAAGGACCAGTCCTCAGGTGGGCGGACTCGAGTACAAAAGACTTCTGTAGTGGACGAACAAGAAAAACTAGAATTAAAAAAAAAGGAAAAGTCGTGTGCCTCCAGTGCCAGGTCGAATCCTCAATCGCCGAGTGAAGAGACGTCACCACCCAAGCGGACTCTTTGAAATTCGGAGATGAGATCGTTGACTTGCCGCATGCTCATTTGATTGTATTCGGGGAGGATGGGATCAGTCAAGTCGCTATCATTATGTACGATTTCCCCAATTATAGGATTCTCCTGGGCAGCTTCGGCTGCTGAGAGTCGGTCAACCTTGACACCCGCCAACAGCCAGAAATCACCCGCGTATTGACAGAATCCGACTCGTTACCACATGGTCTCTACATTCAAATTCTCTTCATCTACCGTGGTGGGAGGTAATCGACCGACTGATGTAGTTTCGTGCAGATGCCAGATGTTCTTGAAATTCTCAAGGCGTTATGGGTCCGCAGTAGCAGGTGGCCTGCGCTGAAAAAGCTTTGATATTGGAAGACCATGGAGTGTATTCCTGCAGCAGTCGAGTTAGCAAGCTGATCCAAGCCGTGAAGAACGGTTATCGAAACTAACCCGACATGATGGCGAAGAGGTTCAAGGGGCCGAGGGCCGCGACAGCATGTTGCATCTTTTGCGTCAGATCATCCATGCATAAGGCTTCAAATAGAGCACGAAACGAGAACTTCCAACAGAGGCTCATCGGTGGCATCCATTGTTGTATCGCGTCGTAACACAGATCAGCCGTGGCGGCTTGAAAGCAGGACACAGGAGCAGCCACGTGCATTTTCATCTCCTTGACCACCATCCACGGTGGAAAGTTGTTGAACGTTACAAAACCGTGTCCATCAGGAAGACCAAAAAGTTCTAGTTTTGCATCATTCACAGGAGAAAAGAACTGCACGCATCGCTGCTCCACGTCTTGGGACCAAGTAATGGTCACACAACTGTTACGCGGCTTGATCGTGACGACTTCCTTGAGCAAGAGCAAAATTTGATGTGTCTGCAGCGCCAGTGGGTTATTCAGCCATCGCGACGAAACACCGGTGAGATGACTGTTATCCTCGTCATAGACATACCGAGGGACTCCAGCGAAAATCGAGGCATTCTGCTGCCCTTTCTGTTCCGCATTGTATAGAACGTCCAGCCGCTGCTCCAGAGTCCCGCATGCGAAGGAGGAGACAAACCCAGTCCGGCCGGCGAAGACATCCACGGATCAACGTTTGCCGACGACAGCATGGTCGCATGGTCGGCTAATATGATAGACGGAGGGGAAGAATTGTCGATTGATTGAGTTTCATCTTTCTGTGTGGAATAGAGACACTTGGCTCCTTTCTCGGAGCAGTTCTGGCACAGACAGGCGTTGTTGCAAGCTTTCTTCTGACGGGGGCAATGGTCGCACACGCGTTTCCATGTGACTCCGGAAGAAGCTCCAGAAACGATACAATCGCACGTCCGAAGGTGCCGTCGAAGGAAGGACAGAGGGACGGGACGAGCGGGAATGATTAATTTACTTGCAGGAGAAATCTCTAGAGGGAACTTTTTGCGGGGAAACCCCAAGGCCAAGCAGATCGCCTTGGCTGCAGACGACACGGGGTAGACTACTATCATGAATTCGTGTTAGGTCAGCAGCAGTTCCAACTGCGTGAACTATCTGTGTTTAATTAACGGCAGCTAGCCTGGACTCTGGTATGACCCATGGGGCTACCAATGCTGCGTAACGAGGTTGTCTGAAGGACTTCTTCTCTCAACTGTACTCTGTATATATATTTACCAGGGGATGACCGGAGATGACTCCGGCCAAGGCGAACAAGTCTTCTCCACCTTGATGCCATGACGCTGACTAGTCTTTGCCTGTTATTTGATATGGAAGCAGACTCATCCTTGAGTGAAACTGAATGCGATCAGCCCCAGTGTTGGAACCCTGGTGTCTGTTGCGATCAATCTGCTATGGGGGACTCGATCGCTAAGGCTACAAGGCCCCAATCCTAAAGGGGAAAAAGCGTTAATAGTCACGGGGTATCCAAACTTCACTAGGCCCCTTTTGAGTTAGACCAACTCTCAAAAGGAGGTCACATGATCCATGGCCGCTTCGATTCGTTGTTTGTTTGTTTTCGCAGTTCTACCTGTAATAATAATCCCCAATCTACGTCCGTCGAAATCTGGACTGGATCTCATCAAGAATGACCCCGTCGTCCTTCTCAGCCAAATCCCAGTCTTGTTCAATGATTCCTTGTCGTCGAGGACTCCGGACATGAAAAGCAGCTTTGACTGAAGATGGACTGGATGATTCCAGCGGGCCCTGTTTATCTGCCGACGTGATGTCGTACCCCCAGAGTAAGCGAGAAATTACAATGAACAGGCTTGATCGAGCCAGTCGGTGACCAGGACATGCTCTCCGACCGAATCCAAATGCGGCCACCGGAAGCTCCGGGTTCTCGATGTATCTCTCCGGCCGAAACCGAGTGGGATCTCCAAAGATGGACTCATCCATATTCATGCCGTATTGATTGGCAACGATGGTTGCCCCCCGGGGAATAAAGTACCCCATATATTCGTCGTCTTGCATCACTGCATGCGGCACGGCGATCGGCGATATTGGGCGCCATCGCAGAAGCTCCGAGATGATCGCGTTGATGAACGGGAGCTGGTCAAGATCGTCAAATGATGGCATCCGGTCCGAACCCACGATTGAGTCCAGCTCCCGCTGCGCCTTGCTCACCACAGTAGGATACAAAACGCTCACTAGCACAAATATGTCCAGCACCATCTTGGTTGTGTGGATGCCTGCAACATACAGTTCTCCGAGCGAATAGCACACATGATCCCATGGGAGTGCCATGATGTCCCTTTTCCCCGTGACTTCCCGCGACCAATTCCAGCAATCCGCAGTCAGAGCTGTCTCGCAGCATTCCCGATACACTGCCTTGGTCTTGTCGTGGAGCGTCGCTGCTTCGGTTCTCCATGTCCACCAGAAGCGCGGTAGTCGATCGAGGATGGGGAACAAGTCAAGCAGGAGAGTCCATGATGAGGCCCCTCGTAGGATAAAGCTAGCCATGTCATTGATTTGTTCCAACCTGCGATGATCGCCATTGTCGCGACCTCGTTCTTTTCCATACACGAGTGTGAACATTACATTCGAAGTGTACTGATGAAATCCGTGCGAAAAATCATCTGTAGAGAGAAACTCATGCAATAGATACTTGCTCTGAATGTCTTGCAGATAGCGATAAGCATTGGTCTGGTGGACGCCCAACAGAGAGCCATGCAGCCGGCGGTTCAGTCGCCATTCGGCGCCATATGGCATGAAAGCAGCAGCGAGTCCTTTATATAAATATTTGTCCATCCATACCGAGGGGGCCCTCGAGCTGTAGATGTTCCCTCGCTTCTCCAGCAGATCCTGCGCGGCTTGGCGCGTGCCGAGTATTATAAACGTCCGGCCCCCGATGCTAAAGCTGACGACTGGTCCGTATTCCCGACTCCATTTCTGAAACGTGGTCGCGATGTCCTTCCCAGGAAGCGAGCCTGAGAGTAGAGTAGGCCCTGGAGGCAAACATAGTTTGGCCACCCGACCGGGGTTTAGACGCCAGCAGTATATCGCCAGCGATACAAGGACAGCTATGGCGATCGCAAGTTGGATTGATTCCATTGCTAGAAATGAATGATGCTTAATTCAATGGTCTCCCGCGGATGATGGACACTCATATATGGTGGCGAGAATGATCAGCATCTAAAGTACGAGCCCACGATTTACACGACCGATTCATGGACACCTGGGAAGACACGTCAGGCGGCTTAGGACCAGCAAACCTGATTTTTAGGTCGCCGAGTCGAAACGGGATACGGGGGAGTGTGTGGTGGGATTAGCGAAGACGCAGCTGAGAGATGATGCATAAACCGGCGGGGAAAGCAGGGGGACCAAGCGGTATCATCGATCGCATTCTCCCTGCTCCTAGATCTCAATCTCAAGAATGAGATGGCTGCCCGTGACCCCCATGTGCCAATAGTTATAGTCTTCATGCCGAGTATGTACAGGAGCAACAGTCACCAGGGTGTATGTCTGCAGGGCAGCATGGACTTTGGTGCCAACGATAAGAGGTCGATGGGCTCAGATGTGGAGGACTGTAGCATTGGTATCATGATATCAGGGGATGTTGGGGGAAAGGGTGCGCAGGGTGGAATGAAGACGTGAATTTTGTACTGGAAACAGGTTAACTCCTAGAGAACAGATTGATACCGACTCCTTGCATTCAAACGGGATCGAAGAGTCGCTGCTGCTGCCGCTTGGTTGTCGTTGTTGTTGAGCAAAGGGGCCATCGGTCGGGAGACCGACCAGATAAATTAATGACTGCCGCCATTCTATCCCCAATGTCCTTCTTGAACAGTGCGAGATTGGTTTTGTAGGTTTATACTTGGATGGAAGGAAAGTGAGAGGATTATTTGTTTCCCTGAGGAAGAGACAAGGAGTCAAGCCACTCAGTCCATCAGGACATTGTTCTTCTTGTGATCGCAGATGAATAAATGAATGGAAGAGCACAATGCTGAGATGAAATCCCATTTACAGAGTAGAACACGGCTACAATTTGATCCCAATATTATCTTATTATTATCCTTGGAAGAGGATAGAAGTCCTCTCCCTGGACGGGCGTGTACCGAGTCACTCGCCAGTCGCCACACCGGCTGCCAAATGCAACATCGACAGATTCGAGGAGACTGGGAGTGGGATGCACAACTTCCAAAACTCACTACTACTCCGTAGATCCGAAAGACATTCTTCATTCTTAAAATGATCCACCCGGTTTGCTACACAGTTCACCGACCGGACCCGGCCCGGGAGAGAGCCGGCCACGGTGGACCCCAGGGCTATTATTCAGTCAATGGATGGTTACACATTGTCTGCCACTCGTGGACTAGGAATGTACAGACTGCAGAATGTGGCCTGGAGATAGCCCTCAAGCCGTAAAAATGTCGTTTGGAATGCTAGCTAGTGTGGTGAGCACAGTCGAACGCAGACGAACCTTAGGATGAAGAATATCTACGGTTTAGTGTCTACCATATACAACAATCTAGCGACGGGTGGCTGTAGGGAAGCCGAGATGAACTTCGGAGAAGGGTTGCCGACAAGCGACTGCTATCTATCATCTATTTAGTTACCTGCAGATATTTACCAGGTAAACTATCGGACAGAACGCTGCCAACAGCCGGAAATCGGTTGAAGTGACGGGTAATCTTAAGCAAAATATCAACCCCCTTCCAGCCTCTCCCCCGGTAAACATCCGCCAGAGAGACAAGAATGCCATGCGGGGGAATAAGACACTCCATGGAGTACTCCAGGATTCCAGAACTCCAGAACTCCAAATGCCCGGTCTCGGATTCAATCGTGCGCGTTTTGAATCGGGACCATCGTGTCCCCCTGTCAGCCAGAAATCTGGAGAGTGGTACCTGTTACGCGATGGAAAAGCCTCACTGGCCTTGAAAATGCGGAGGTTCTGATGCCCAAATCCCTCGATGATGTCTTCTCCAGGGCTTGACCCCGGAGACTAGAACCCTTGACCAGGTTGATCGACTCAAATGTCTCGAATCCTCGATCAAACCGGCCAATCCCACGTGTGAGATCCATCCATGGACGTTGACGATCCACCGCGCAACAGTGGAGTCCCAACAGTAGGATCGTCTCCTTTGGCCAATTTTACTTGCGAAACCGAAATGGTCCCTCCACACAGAAATTTCAGCCCGCAGCTCGCAGCACGAGGAAAAAAAAAAAAAAAAAAAAAAAAAAAAAAAACTGTGAGTGTGAGGACTGAGTCAAGTGCTGCTTGATCCGGTCTGTTTTGTTCTTTACATATACGTAATGCCCATGACTGCTCGATACTACTTATCAGCGACGACGTCCATGTTCGAGATAGCAGAAGCTATCTCTCCAGAGTTTTTGGAGAAGTAATAATAATAAGAACTACCCAAGACGCAAGCCCCTTCACCTATAAACCCTAACGGACTAACGGTAAAGACCTGCCAAGCATCATCCAGGCTAAAACGTAACATTGCTCGGTTAACACTCAAGCCACGCCTTTGTTCTTTCTAGAAGATTGGTTTCGATGCCAATTTTGTTTCCTTCCATCAATCTCGATTTCATCTGACCAGAGATTGTCCACTCGTCGCCATGGCCGTTTCCCAAGATCCCGAGGCGCCCGCCGTGCTGGATGGACACAACGTTGATAGTGATACCGTCGAAAAGAAAGAATATGCGGATGCATCGCCTGCTGCGAATGATCCGTTCGGCAATGAAGAGTGTGGAGAGGTCAAATATCGTGTCATGTCGTGGTGGTAAGAGCTTCCCATCCATGTAGCGTCCGGTCTATGTACAGTTACCTAACCCCATGTTACAGGCAATGCGGAACCCGTAAGAACGGATCAGTCCTATCGAAATCTCTTGGATGGATTGTCTAATTATGCGAATAGTGATGGTTGCTGAAAACATCTCTCTTGGAATCTTGTCCCTCCCGTCTGCCATGGCAACCCTGGGTATAGTCCCGTAAGTACTCTGGCGAACATGACTATATGATGCATCGTCATCCCTGACTTTCCGCGATACAGCGCTGTCATTCTGCTTCTCGGGCTGTCGGGAATCTCGTGGTATACTGGTTATGTGATGGGGCAGTTCAAGTTGCGCTACCCCCAGATCCATAGTATGGGTGACGCGGGTGAGCTCCTGATGGGCCGCTTTGGGCGCGAGTTGTTCGGGATCGGACAGCTTCTATTTCTCATCTTCTTAATGGCCAGTCATGTGCTCACGTTCACCGTGCTCTTCAACACCATCACCAACCACGGTACCTGTACCATTGTATTCGGGGTGGTTGGCTTGATTGTGAGCTTCATCGGTGCTCTCCCGCGAACAGTGGGAAAAGTGTATTGGATGTCCATGGCCTGTGAGTGCCCTTCATGCTCCTGTGGGGAGGAATATACTGACGCACGTATAGCATGCATCAGTATCATGGTCGCAACCATGGTCACGATGATCTCCATCGGAGTCCAAGCACCTGACGACGTCCAAGTTGACGTGACGACCGATGTTTCTTTCCAGAAGGCATTCCTCGCGGTGACGAACATCATCTTCGCTTACAGTATGCTACGCGGTGTTTCCACCCCTTTGTATTGGTGCTGACTCGAGGACAAGTTGCTCATGTCGCCTTCTTCGGCTTCATCTCCGAGATGCACGATCCTCGGGAGTTCCCCAAGTCCTTGGCCATGCTGCAAGTGGTCGATACCACTATGTATATCGTGACGGCAATCGTCATCTATCGCTATGCTGGACCGGATGTGACTTCTCCAGCTTTGTCTTCCGCGGGACCGTTGATGAAGAAGGTCGCGTACGGCCTGGCTATTCCCACAGTATGTGACAGCGCCCCCTGGATGCTTCTTAGATGGTTAACCTCTATCCAGGTAATTATTGCGGGAGTGGTTTTTGGCCATGTAGCCTGCAAGTACATTTACGTGCGTATTTTCCGAGGCTCAAATCACATGCACCAGAATAGCTTCCTGGCTATTGGGTCGTGGGTGGCTATTGCATTTGCCCTTTGGGTGGTTGCTTGGGTGATTGCTGAGTCGATTCCGGTGTTCAACGAGCTCCTGAGTTTGATCGTGAGTATTTGGCGAATCCATCCATCCATGATCGCCTGCTAACATCTTATAGAGCGCCCTTTTCGGCAGTTGGTTCAGTTGTAAGTCTTTCATACTCACGTCACGATATATCTCGCATACTGACTTTCACAGATGGACTGCCCGCCATCTTCTGGCTGGTAATGAACAAGGGGAGATGGTTTACTTCACCTTCCAAGATCTTCCTCACGATCGCCAACATTCTTATTCTCGCTATGGCCTGTACCATTGTACGTACTCGACCACCGAATTGAGAAGAAATGGATCCGCTAACAAGACTTTAGTGTGGTCTGGGACTCTACGTCTCGGGAAAGTCGATTCATGACAGCTCTGCCAAGGCAAGCTGGACATGTAAGAATAACGCGTTATGAAACCAATGACCTTGCCTCAGATTGGTGTTGCATGGATCGAACGAGGGTTTCTGAATGTAGATCATCAATATGACTTACAGTGCAGACAATATGTACATATAAATCACACAGGACACGAATGCATTTGAATAGACTAACAGAAGTATCCATGTCACATTCGGCCGAGAATCTTGATTTGGTTTTGCTAATTACAGGAACATTGGCAAGCATTGTTGTACGGTACCAGCACTAATCCTGGCCACTGCTGCCGATTGGATCCCGTAACACTGTTCCCGTTTAGACCCAGTGCATTAGGACAAGTGGGAGTTGGAAACGACGAAAGCTAACAAATAACAATCCGATTTTACACTGGATTGGTCCCCAGAAACCTTCAAGCTTCGTCACCAGACCATCACTCTTCAGAATATCGGGCTTCATCTGTCTAACGGCTCGACCGTCTAGCAAGTGCCACCATGAATCTTGACCGAACCGAAAGAACTCCAACCAACGGGGAGCTCAACACATGACTGGTCTAATGCTTTGGAGATAAAGGCTCCCTTGCAGTCCTTGCCCTGGTAAAAGGGGGCAGTGGCCTTTTGGAAATCAAGTTTGGCTCCGGTGATCTTGTAGTTGGCGCCCATGTTGGTGCAGCCGCACGAGGTGATCTTGCCCACAGTGGAGACGCCGCAGGAGGCACTGGTGTAGGGGTAGACGATAGTGGCACTGGCCGAGGCCAGGAGGTTAGCAATGGCAAGAAATTTCATTGTGACAAGGTGTTCTGATCTCCAGATTCTAGAGGATAATAGAATGGTGAATTGTCGTGGGGGTGCGGCTATCCACACCCTTATATACCTCGACCAGCACAACCACACCACACAGTTGATCAGGGACTGTATAGATGCTGCTTTGAAGAAGAGCGAAGGGTACTCGGAAATCCGAGAGCGGGATCGTATTTCTGCATGCCAAGTCATACATCGCGTTTGTGATCATCAATGAAAACTTCGCATTAGCTCTTCATACCTACCCCATATTGGTAACTGTATCAGGGGGGAAAGCTGGGCCGAGTCAGACGTTCTTGATCGATTGGTGCAGATGGTTATTCCATGACTTTATCTTCATGCACTCAGCTGGATTCTCTCGGAGACGGCAATCCTAGACCAACCATGAAGAGGTCATATATCACATTCAGCCTAAGTGCTGCAGATCGAGTATGTAAGAGAAATATAAAGATAAGGTGAGTCTTCCAACCATGACATCGTCTGTGAATGAGCAGCAATTACAGATCCCAGAGATTCTCTGGTTGATGTGCGCCAACTGGTGATGATAAATTGAGCAAAAATGCTGGGATTGTTAAAACAACGACGCTAGCCACTTTTGGACATTTGGTGCCTAAGATGGCTGTGACTTTCTGCCTTGGTGCCTTCCGTTTGCGACTGTTTCTTGCCATGGAAGTCCTTAGTGGGTTCGAGGCTCGTAAATTTCGCAAGTCCACATATCACAACAGTTCTCTTCAAGGAGCTCACGATGTGTTTCTGCAGGTGCCATCAAGAGAAGTGGATCATCCTTATCAGAATGACAGGAAGTCTTCTTGAGAGTATTATTATGCTGCGCCCCATCAACAACAAATTCAGTCTATTAATTTGCATGCAACTAATACAGCTGAAAGCTTGGCCCTGCACAGTCTCTTAGTCTCCGCAAAGATAGGCCAGAAGTTCTATGGCCATGGGTCTCATACTCAGCTCCTCAAACAGACTATGCACAATCACTAGGACATCCCCCATTTGAGCACCTCCTCCCCAAAACAGCTGCTTTGTGCTCGCATCTCTGAAGATAGATAGGATCTCCAGACTACTTACATTCGCCAAGAAATACCCCTGATCTGTTTCTCTTGGTAGTGGAACGAATTCCAGAACACTGCTTGGCTACAGGCTCCCATATTTAACATTTCGGATGTCAAGGAACGGCTACGGCAAGCCGCGGTGGTTTTGGCTTCCCCAGTTCTATAATTGTCTCTGGATGTGTCTAGAACCAACGAATTCCTATCTAGCCCCTGGGCTCTGGCTGGGCTCCTCGCGACCATTGACGCCTCTCGCATGGGTAGAGCTTCACTTTTCCCCAATTGGGTAATTAGTGGATCGAAAGTCTCTGTTTTCCGCCAATGGTCCTGCAACATGCTTTTCAATAAAAAGCCACACGCACACCGACTCGCTCAGGGGAAAGCAGAGGGTGTCGTAGCTGGCACAACTAAAATATAGCTGGTCTCCAGGAGATGAGAGAATCAAAAACTGATCGTGGGCATGTAAGGAGACCGTTGAGTACCCATTGAATTGCAAAGCGTCGCCTAGTTCAACCCACCGGCGGTATTGATTATTCAAATGGTTTCTAAACAGAAACAATATGAGATTCAGGAGCTTTCCCTAGATGGGCAAAGCGTGGCTAGTGTCAAATATCGGAAAGCTCTCTATTACGCTTCACAGGCCGCCATCTGGGTTTTCTATCTGTATTTTTTCGTCCGCTTGGCGCTCCTCATCAAATCAGGGGACCAAACATGGCAGATGTGGCTGATGCTGCTGGTTGAGTACCTATTTGCTCGTGAGTTGATTGCGCGCGTCATGCATGGCTCTGCTTGAAACAACTGACGTGCGGAAAGGTCTACCCTATCATGACCAGTTCCTTACGGTAGCAGCGGGCACAACATCCAACAATCGCCCGCGAGGTCGACTGCGACTCCACGGTGATGACGATCTGCCTCGCGTTGATGTCCTGGTACCATGTTGCGGAGAGCCAGTGGAAGTAGTCATGGACACAATCCGGGCAGCTTGTACGATGGACTATCCTGTTACCCAATTTCGAGTACTTCTCCTCGATGATGGTGCCTCCACAGTGTTGCAGAGCGCGGTGACAGATGCGCGCTCACAATGGCCCCATTTATCCTACCATTCGCGCGGCAAGCAGTCAGGTCGCGTGTTCGCGAAGGCCGGAAATCTGAACTATGCGCTCTTTTCCGTACAGAACGACGATCCGCCACAGTTCTGTGCCGTCCTGGACGCCGACTGCATGCCGACAGCGGATTATCTTCGGGCGACACTGCCGCATTTGCTGCGTGATCCCCAGGCTGCGTTGCTGACGACGAGGCAGTACTATTACAACCTGCCCACAGGGGACCCCCTGCAACAATCTCGCGTGCATTTCTACACATGTCACAACGCGGAGTTAGACCGAATGGGAAGCGCCCTAGATGCTGGATCCGGTGCTATCTTCCGGCGAGAGATTGTTGTTGATCTTGGCGGATACCCAACCTTCTCCTTTTCCGAAGACTGGCAATTATCCCTCATACTAAGGGGCCTCGGCCATCGCATCATCCAAGTACTGGAGCCATTGCAACTGGGATTGGTGCCCTCATCGCTGGATGGACATATCTCTCAGAGAAACCGATGGCAGATCGGTCATTCCCAGCAGCCTTCTGTCTTATTCCCTTCAGCTAATCAATCCATTCCCAAGCACCTGCAATGGAGCATCACACTCGGGGGGTTGTCAATTGTCTTTGGTTTGCTGGGATATGTTGTCGGATTTGCAGCCGTCCCGGTTCTTTTGATCTCGAGGCGTGTAATTCCTACTACATCGCCATTCTTTGTCAAAGTACAGGTATTTTCGGCCGTGCTATATTTGTCCCTGACCTGGATCCACGCCCTGATCCAATCTGCGCACGCTGGGTTTCGAATCCCACCATTTGCTCATCTTGAGAACAGTTGGCTGTCAGGTGGTAAGTCCAACAATCGAACGCTTTTTGGCATCCTGCAATTACTGATGGCAAACATTAGCTCATGTATGGGCGATTATTCGATTCCATCTCTTCTCCAGCAAACCAAAAGGATCCTTTGTCACAGGAAGCAGTGATAATTCATGGAATCGCACCACATCGCTACCTTTCTACCACAAGCTGCGTCGAGATCTTCTATATAATGGAGTTCTTCTCAACCTTATCCTGTTCTGTGCCATCTTGGGCTTGTTTGGGTGGTCAACATATGCTGTCGCACCGCTGGCTGCTGCGCAGCGGGTGCCAATCGAACTGCTGGCAACAGTTGCATGGCCACCGCTCCTTCACATCGGGTATCTGGTTCTTAGCAATCTGTGGGTGCCTATCAGATGCTTTCTCGACCCTCCAAAGTATCCCGAGCGAAAATCCCGGATGGCATTGACAGATAGTGGGATCTTTTTTCCTTGTTCTACTGTCAAGATGCAACTCTTTCACCACAAATATCCGCCTCTCGGCCCTTACAACTGCTATGCCATGGTTCCCATTGTCTTAATTGGAATTTTTGTGGCAGCATATGTGCTCTGATGGTCTTTTATATTGTTGGGTATGACCTTGTCTACCATAATTTGTGAACCTAGAATTCGAAGATTCTAGAAACTTATGAATCAGCACAGTCATAATAATACTTCAGTCTTGCGAGCTATAGAGAGGTTCACCATCATATCATTCACTGAACCTTAGTAGGAATATAAGTACAAAAGCATGATCCACTTCCGCAGTCCGCATAGATTGATCATAATAGAACATGCAATCACAGGGCATAGTAGCCCTTACCTGGCAGTCCTCTAGTAGCGAATTTTGATTGGCAAATTGCGGACAATTGCGTACAGGCTATATGTAGCAGTCCAGTCTGAATGCAGAATGTGGAATGCAGGCCATGCAGTTACATTACTTTGTTACTTGGAGATGTACGGAGTAGAAAATTTTTATATGTACATCTGGGAGCAATGAATTAGACTGATTAATCATTATTATTGAATAATAAGTGCTCACAAAGCTGGCTATGTATCAGTATTCAGTATACCCTGAATCAACTATAATCTAAGGTGCAGGAAGGGTAGTGGGCTAGATAATGAATAAAATAGCCTTGTAATCATTGTACAGTATAGTAATGCAGCAAAATTTTGCTTTAACTCAAAATAGTCCTTTTGAGACAGTGAAAACAAAGCCACAGAATCTTTTTATATGTTGTCATGGACAGTTCAATCTTGGCCCACATGTAAATAAATAGCTTAGACTTCATTTGCAAGCAAATTTCCATTCTCCTCGGTCTTCCCACCCCGCAGTTCAACGGACTTCATATAACCTTTGATTGTGCTCCAACCTAGAGAGTAGAAGAGCAGACTGACAAGGGCAACGGTGTAGCCGAGAATTTGCAAAGGATGGATGGGAGTGTGCCAGAGCAGAACAGAAATAGCAATAAGCAAGATGTTCTTAGGAATACTGATGAGCGTCATTGCCAGACCAGAGGTCTTTCCAATCTGTAGCATGTCAGCCAAATCTCATATTGACAGCAATCGCACCCAAAGGAACAGGCTACCAGCAAGAAGATTGAAACATTGAGCATGAATCCAATAGCAGCACTTAGAAGCAGCACCATCCAGCCAGTCTGCATCACTGCTCTCCATTCGAAAGTAGGGTATTCGGTATAGCTGGCAACCACCGAGGTCATAACTGCACACACAGGTGCGAAATAATAAAGGCTGACCAAAGGATCCATCCTGTACTCGCTGTCTGACAGGAGAATCTGCACCATGACCAACCGGTTTGCATCAAAGACCAGACTCGCAAATTGGAAGCAGAAGCCAAGCCAGGAAAATTTGACCTCGCCTGACACAGCCAGTGCGACACTGATTGTAATGACAAGGATGTTGATAAAAGCCGCCGCTGACGGTTTGGCAACCCTCCAGGACCAGCTTGTGATCAGTGTGACAACAGGGCCAGCAGCCTGGCAAAAATCAGAAAAGGGTTGACTGAAATGTTCAAAAGCATCCAGGTACCTTGAGCATTTGAATGAATGAGATATTGAGGTACAGATAAACAACATTACTGCACACCAAGCTGCCGCAGTACAGAAGGCCGATGGGGATGATGCTTCGGCAATACATCCGAGTGTCCATGGAGATACTCTTGCGGCCATCGAGAAGTCTTGTTGTCCGAGCCAGGATTTGGGTGAGGATCGTAGCGAATATTAAATGCCAACAGGTTAAAATAATAGCTAATTGAATCAGTGTTCGAAAGGCAAAGATAGACATAGAGTCAAGATCTGCACTCACGATAACCTGCCATGAGGTCAGTAGATAGTATAAGGAAAGTCATGCGACTATATCACCCCCAACTTACGAAAGTCCGCCGAGTTGATAATCCATTTGTTCAGTAAAATTGTAGCATTAGACCAGAATATCCAAGAACTGAAATGTTTTCATGGGCAAATTAGTATTCCATCTTAAAGACAAGAACAAGCACCATATCACTCACAGGACATCTAGCACAATATGCCAATCTGGCTTTCTGTCACCATAAAGATCATGGACTGCCATGGAAGTTCAATGAGGCCATAAAGATTCAAATAAACAAATCGTGGAGAATAACACTCTAGAAGCCAACTGTGAAATGGATGGCAAGCAAGGTAATAGTGGGGGAACACCTATATATCTGTCATCCATGATAGCTATCCACTTAATTGCTACACCAATGTCAACCTATTAGCAAAGACTTGGAGCCCAACTATACTAACACAGTAGGAAAGGAGAGGCAAAGAATCTGAGATTCTTTCCTGTACCATACTTAGAGCAAGCTCAAATCCACCCAAATCCGGAAGTGGATATGAACCCAACACAGGCTGTTGAGGAGGATTGTAACCCTAGCATCTGGAATACACTAATATCAGCCAACCGTAACATTGGAGCAATAACTTGTATTGAGACAGTCAGCAATCCTAGAAGAGTGTTGCCTGGCTATGAGATCATGGAGATATTGGAACTATATTAACTAACGCCTCATTTACAAATAAAAGACTAGATACTGCCGGGACAACCTAGAGATCTCGTAGAACCCCCAACTCCCTGAATAAAAACATGCATTGCATTCCCTACAATCTTGCCACCAATGAGCTTCTACCATGAGTGTGTGCAGTATGTAATGAAATAGCTCGGCCAGGCCTCCACGTCCATCAACCTCTTGCATTCATCGGCATTAAAAAGAGGATTATCATGAGCCGCCAAACATACCGAGTCCTGATCATCAGCCCAACTGAATGGATAAATCTGTTGTCGCGGGAGGAGGACCAGAGCATCGTGTAGCCGTTCGTCATTCAGGTACTCCTCTTCACAGAACAACGACCACGAAGGCTGGCGCTGCCGAATTCGATGACAAACATGCTGTTTCATTGATTCAGCTCCAGAATGCGCATAATAGTTCTTAATCATAAGGCTTAGAGCACCAGGCCCAGTCAAACCTTCCACAGAGCCATCGCCAGTGCCTTCCGGGTGCTCCAGCACAAACAAGATGGCCATGAGCCAGAAAGGATGTCCTGGGGGAGATGCCATCCAGCCGTTGGGAACAGCTGCCGAACTCATGAGGTCTTCGCTATGAGCCATTCTTCCCATAAAGGCTCTTTGAACACGGCGATTTTGGCTACGGTGAGAAGACGAGAGGATCGTCTTGTGCGCAGCCAGCGAGGTTCCGTGTCCTGTGAAGAGTGGCTCGACAGGGATGAGAGCTTCGGTATCCACATCCGCATACATGCTAAAATGGTGAAAGTCAAGGAAGTTCCGTCAATATACGTATCGACGCCTGATACTTGGAGAGGAACACGCACCCTCCAAACAGATACATATAGAAGTTGCGGACCAGATCAGCGCGCAAAATCTCCTTGGGCAACGCGGCATACTCGTCCCAGAACCACGGGAAATATTGCTGGACCAGCATGTTGTTGGTCTGGTCATCCCAGAGCACCCATTCCCAATCTGGGTTCTGCTCTCTCATTGTCTGTACCCAAGCTTGGGCACGCCCCGACATGTTGCTCCCAGCTGGAAACCATGTTTGATGGATAATCTTGGGAATCGTGACCGGGTCACGCGAAATTGGGCGTGCTAGCAGCTCTCGCGCTGACACTTCACGGGCTATGGAGGGTTTGGACAGATGTGAAGTGAGTTTTGCGCGCGATTCAAGGGGAACGACGGCCTCCTGGAAGTGGTATAGGATGAAGATCAGGATAGCCGCTCCAAAGCAGTACTGATACCGCCGGCGAGAGCATTGCGCGCCCAGCCGACGAAGGAGCGAAGGGGGAAAACGAGCCTCGGATAGCATGGTGATCGGCCAGTTGAAAGATTGGGTGATGATGGCGGTCGGCGGATTTGAGTCGCCATCGGGCGCTTTGAGTATATCTACTCAAATTTTTTCTGATCTAGATGAACTGGAGAAAGGTTACATTTAATATTTACATCTGTGATCTGATCCATTAACCAGTTACATGCACAAGCCTCGAAGTCTGCTATTGGTTGGGCTTTGTGCTCAGGTGGTACCTGTATGAAGATCCCCCTTACCGTATCCGGGCTGCTTTATCAACTGCATTCTGAAACCAGCAATGGTGTATTCTGAAGAGTCTTCACTATTTGGCTCAAGAGCTTTCTGAATTTTTTTAATATATCATTATTCATTCAAACTTTTTGTGTTCCAGAATGGTTTTGGGTTCACACTGGCTTTCCCATCCTATTTTAACTCTACTTTCCGTCCACTTGGATACTAACTTGCCTGATAGTTATTATCAGGCTGCCCTTTGCAATGACAATTTGTGTCGACCCTCCTTTGATACAGGTGTCAACATTTCTAATACTTATGTTCAGGCAATGCCAAGATCCGAATGCGGAGTGGCCCAATACTGGAAGTTCTAGTTGAGATTTGTATTGTTCCAACTTATCTGCTCATCCGCAAACGACCACCCAACCCCAGTGATAGATTTTCCCTATTTTTGAGGACAACAATGAAGTTAAAACAATGGTTCTTTGGGAGCCCACACTTCTAGTGTTCCAATGGTTGTGATTTCCATGTTCATACTGTCAGATCCATAGAACTTGTCATCTCTGGAAACATCTGTATAGTAATGGATAGCTACTGCTTAATTGGGTGTCCCTGATGTTACTATTTTAGAAACTAAATCATTTGTTTCCTTCTGGTGTGTGGTCCATACCTAGGGGCGAAAAGGGGTTTTATAGAGTGCTGGCATAATGAACTGCCCTGAAGTGAGAGAGAGAGCTAAGACTATATATCTAAACACAACAGACACTCCACCTGTTTATACTTTGTATTTGCCTGCCTGGTACTGGATATAAACCTAAAACAGCTGGATTGGGAAAAATGGCCACTTAATATGTACTAGGTAAAGGGATGAAAGATACTGCCCTAAGACGCTGCAACCATAAGCCATAGATGAGGCGCAGACGGGACCATCAGTACAGTGTCCAAACCATCTACAAACACTCAGCTCGAGAACATTAGAAATTAAACACAATTCCTTCACAGAGGATTCATGTGCCCTAGACCAACTGTCTATCATGGGTAGTGGCTGGACCATAATTGAAGGCGCCACAAACATAACTCCAATCGAAGGATCCATCATCGCAGCCTCATCTTCCCCAGTCAAATGGACTACAGGGCTTGATGAAAACTTGGTGAACTTGACCGAGTTGCGACTCTGCATGTCTTCCCTCTGAGGAGCTAAAAGTACTGTCATAAGGACTACTGATACTGACTAACTAGGGTCAGGACACCATTTTAGTGCTGCAGTAGAACCCCTACAATAGGTACTGTGTTTAACAAGAAGGAGATGCAGATCAAGCATTGTGAGTAGAAGCAACCTATGGATAACATGGATCTTGATTTTGTAATGGGGTCTGCCACTATCACAGAGAGAGAATGTTAGGTGCTAATGGTCTAAATATCATAGTGGCAAGAGGTAAGCATGCCGAATAGGGCCACTAGTGAATAAGCCTAAAGAGCTTTATTATACCACAGGTCTCTATAGGCTTATCATATACTGTGTTAATTCTAGGCACACACACTATAAATTTGGTGCTTTATATTAATTGCCCCAAGCCCTTATCCATAATTTTATAGTTTAGTATTCAGCAGATAGTCTCTAAAGTTAATGAAACCCATGAACATTG